CAGCGCATGCCGTCTGATGTGCCGTTTGCAGAATGTGCTGGCCGGCGCGCTTTTCTCGCCCGCTTATGCTACTCTGCTTCTTACCGCCCTCACTACAGTTGGTTCGGTGTTCGCAAGCCTTCTGTCTGCCCCATTAGCACCGTTCCTCAGCAGCGTGTTTCCCCGCGTGCTTACTATGACTCGCAATGCTATTGAAGGAAACTCGGATTCGGAGATAACTGATGCTACTTCGGTAGCGAAATCCTCACCTCGGGTTCGTCTCTCCATCCTGCGACTCATCGGCATCATACCCTGGTCAGGCATTAACATTGCCTGCGGTGTCTGTGGCATTTCCGTCATGGACTGTGTCAAGGGTACCTTCATCGGGGCCTTACCATGGACCGCAGTCACTTGCCAAATTGGAGACATCTTGCAATCCGTGGCGTCCAACCCATCACCGACGCCGAAATCCGTGCAATCACTCTTGACTTCCCCCGATATCATCATGAAACTGGTCTTCCTCACATGTCTCTCGCTAGCGCCAATCCTAGGATGCAACTATTTGCATCAATGGATATCATCATCTGTTGAGGGCGGGCCAATCTCTCAGGCTGAGACTGGTGATGAGAAAGCTTCTCGATGGGCGTGGGTGAAGGAATGGCGAGGTAGGATCCATATGCCATCGCGATCGGGAACTAGGGAGGCCTTGCAAAGGGAGCTGGAGGTTCTAATTCGAGAAAAGAATGAAAGCCTGCCACTATGACCATAGCGCCTTGCCTAGTTTTTTTCTCATGATCTGGCTCATGACCACTTTTGCTCTCCTATCGACTGCTTCGTACACGCTGGCTTTGACCCAGCCCTTGTTGTATAATCAAAACCCGTCGCATTGCTCGCATCTATCCCACTTCACGTTACATTACACCTCACGCATGACCTGGACGCTTCCTCACGACCCGCAACACCATATCTAAACGCGATACCAACGATCCTATCTATTTTCGCATCTACTCACCGCACTCTGCACTGCACATCCTCCACGTCAGGATGCGTCATGATACCATTCACTTTACATCCCCTTCGATATCCTAATCCTTTGCTGCATTTTTCGTTTGCATCCTGCTCTTTTCACTGTTCATTCATTTTTGATTTCGTATTCGAGTTGCTTCATCTTTTGGTCTATTTAGTGTCGTATTCTCTGTGCATTTTGTAATACAAAGATACGAAGTTCTGCTAGTATGCCTTGTAGACACGTTTTCTTACCTGGTAAGTAAGCACAGGAGTCTTCGGGAGAACAGTGCGTACTTTGTTGGATGTACTCCCCGCAAGTTGACAGACTAGCACCATACATGTATCGCTAGTGCCATACTCATAGCATACCCCGTCATATCACTCGATACGAGCCCTCATCGCCGTCATCGTCATCGTCAAGGACCAGTGTGAGATTAGTGGACAACGCTTTCTACGAGGTCAACAGGCCATAAGGTGGTCTTCTCAGGGGGGTGGCTCCACTGTTCCGGTCCTGATTGGTCTGCTGTGGTGTACAACTGTAGTATAACATATATATATACACTGGTTTCCAGGCAGCACAGCGAGCAGCGAACAATTCAATGTCCCAATTGGGAAGCCGGTGTCGTTGGTCTTCTCTGGGCCATGAAAACTCTCGCTGTTCACTTGCTCTCTCTTCTTCCCTCTGTATCTCTATTTTCTATGTGCTTCTTCTGTACATTTGTTAAGCTGTTTTAATGTTGCGCTTCCTCGTCTGTGTGCCTTGCCGCCGCTCTGGAGTGCCCTGTCTTGTGGAAGGCCCACCAGGGTCTCATACTCACTACCATGTCGTGAGTACATTTTTGTCTCTGTGTCCTGGAGTCCGAACTCATTGATAATGCAGGATGAGAATGGTAATACCATAATCTGCCCTTGTACACATGAGATGAGTTGCCATGTATGGGAGACTATATATCCTCCGAGAGGTGGAACTGCAAACAGGCTGTGTGATCGGTTCAAAACAGGGTTGGAGGATGCAGGGGTGAGTATCTACATGTCTGGTGCTATTTCATAAATAACTAATCATGTTGTAGTTGATTACAGCATTTGTCCAACAATGCGATAACTGTGGAGAGCGATATTTGTCGCATTTACCTGTGCAGTATGTCCATTTATAACTATCGTATGGGTTATTTTACTGAGACATTTGTTCAGAGCCGGGCAACCCCAAGCTGCGATGGAGCCATTTGTACCACAGACCAACACTCAGTCATATGCAATGAATTCTCCTCCTGCAATGAACTCGTCCAATTCACAATCCAATCCATTTATCCAACCCGAAGCAGAGCCTTATGTTTCAGCATCTGCAGAGGGCCCCAGTCAACGACAGGGCTCTGGTCGTCGTCAACGAGGTGGAAGGAACAACACTGTCGGTGTGACATCTGCTGGTCCTGGAGTGGGTTTCGCCAATGCAGAAGCCTCGTCGTCTGCCTCTGTTCCTCAAGGGTCTGGAGGCTCTGCTTCTGGATCAAGGCCTGGACCAAGCACAATTCCAGTCGCCTCACCGCCGATGCGAGGAAATAGCAGTCGGGAGCGACGACCTGGTGGAGAGGTTCAGGTACACGGTCATAAGCTCTCTTTGAGTCTGCATATTGTTGTTCTGCCAACCAATGTATGTGACTTGCCTTTGTGAACATCGAACAAGAGCAATCCTGACACTGTCTCTATCTACTAGTTTGATTCCGACACCGATCAGGATGAGGCTGCACCTTCAATGGGTATTCAGGTGCCTGACCGGCTGCATGAGAGGCTGCTAAAGGTTACAGTTCAGAACTTGGAGACAGCAGGCTTTGTACGGCACACGACACTTACTGCCGATGACAAGGAGGAATGGATCGGTGATCAGATCGAAAATGCAGTCAGCACTCTCTGTAACTCTGGCGAGCTGTTCTTTCCCTCCTTCTCCGCTTTGGATACATCCACGACCAGTGTCACATTCAACTCTGTAGAAGAACGTCAGCACTGGATCATCTTTGAACGGTTTCCATTTCAACTCGTTCACCCTGGAAATGGTGGAGCCAAGGCCACAAAGGTTGGTCGGAAGCTGGCTGTAGAGCACAATGACGGCTTTTGGTCGTATACTTTTGGGGAGATTCAGAAGTTGGCGAAGAAGTTAGGTGGCAAGTTCCAGAAGGATTCCGGTATTCTTCTTCTCGGTATGTATATTTATTGGTTCTTCACTACTGCAGAGAGAGCTGATCGAGGTCATTGCGATAGTTCCAAAGAATGGTGTTATGATTAAGAAGGTGAATGGAAGAAGCCACACTTGTTTTGCAGAACTTGCAGCGCGATTTGTTCTGCTGGAGTCAGATCGTCCAAATCCTCTGCCGGTTTGTGAAGCAGCAACTTGTATTGGCTTTCAGCCCCCGCCCGACTCTGCTGCTGGTCCCAATTTAGACCAGAATGATGATGAAGACAATGTTCAACCCCATCGTCCAGCGAGGATTCGCTTCGCTGAGAATCTTCCTGGTGACAGTCCTCCTATATCTGCTCCGAACACCTCGTCAACTGCAAATCGCTCCTTGCCACCATCCACTCCCTCTCCAAACTTGTCTCCTTTTCACGACTTTAGTGTGCTATCTCCATCGGAGGTTTTCGATGGAGGTTCAGACATGGGCGAGCCCAGTAATCTTGCCTCTAATCAACTCGGACTCTCATTTGGACCTGAGGAGCAAGCCAATGCTGCCGATATGGTTGAACGACAGGGCCCAACACATGAACATCGTCTGCCTCCTCAGGCTATTCTCACTCCTACTCTATCTATGGCCATTCGACCTTATGTTCCATCGGTTGAAATACCTCACCAGACATTGACTGCTTTCATCGAGTATATTCAAACAACACCTTCAGTTCTCGCCGACGATCCCCGACCTACTACGATCCATTTCCGTGCCAACTCGCCAATCGCTTTACAAGATATGTTTATTAATTTTATTCGCCACTGTCTCAAGGATCGTGCAGAGCGTGACCCCGATATCAAGGCCTACGCATTATCGTCGCCATATCTCCCAACAGCTCGGGTTGAGATGTTTCCAAAGGACATCCACATTGGTGCGATGCTTCACTGCAAACAGTGGATTACACGAAAGTAAGTCTTCTCAATAATAGCAAATGGCGACCATGCTAACTTTACTTATAGTGGATCTAGTGGCGATGCCATTGGAGAGGCGATCCTGCGCGAGACCTACTATAATATTCTGCAACGTATGTGTGGCGACGAGTTTGGACTAACCACGGGTGATTATGCCGATGAATATCAAATCATCAAGCACCCTACTTTCTCTGGCGATAGCTTCTTGAAGGACATGGAAGCTTTGGGCGCTGTTGCTGCCTCTAACATGGTTGCAATTCATATGGCCTGCCATCCACTGTCACCTGTCTTACTTGAAGCTGCAGTAAATGGGATTAATTCTGTTCTTGACGACGATCCTTGGCTTCATCATGTTTCTCCCGACACAATGGCTCCCTTTGCACACCTTCCCCAGGTTCCTGGACCTCTGGCGATCCGGCCTGACTCTCCTCACTATGCGACACTCTGTGCACTCGTTCAACAGTGTACATCCATGACAGGAGTAAGCTGTCTCCAGATTTCGCTCATACACTTTAATAACATATTTCTTATAGCTCGGTAGTATATCTCAGATGAATGCCGATGCCTATAAGAGCTTTGTCCGGACTCTCAAGTCTACTGCACTCTTGGGTGTCGCTCCCCAAGAGTTTGATAACTCCAGTGCGACTGTTGCATTTCGTAGAGGCATGGATCTCTACATATCGTCATTGGTTCCATTATTTGTTGGAGTCAGTATGTTTGTATTGAAATATATAGATCGCTCATTGATGAACTTTTAGGCATTTCAACCATCGTCCAAGGCTATCCTGGCTGGGCTCTATCCCCAGCATATCAGCAAGGTATCCGATGTGGTTGACCGTCTTCAGTTCATCGTTCAAGAGTCATTGGAGGAGGAAGACCCGACTGTAATCGATGTCTGCATTCCCCAGCTCTCTGCAGCTATCGTTCATTATCTTCATGGTGTCGGGCATGTGAATCACCCCATGTTCAATGGAGAAGGAAGCATCTTGACACCTGATGCCTATCGTGCAGAGAAACATAATGGGCTGTATCGTGCTCAGCATTTCGTCAAGGTTCTTACTGGCCATGTTCTCTTGCCACCAAATGGTGAAATGTTAAAGGTACGAGACTTTGGATATCCTCGCCTTTGATTTCTCATACTCGCTCTAGATTATGTTGACAAAGCTAATGCCATCATCGAATTTGCGTGGTGTCGCCAATGTAGGTGTCCTCATTATCTTCTTCCGAGTATCACTGATCAAGTTGTATATCTCTAAAGCCTGACACGAGTCTCATTCTTCCCTATATTCGTGCATGCCATAAGCAAATGGATATTCTCTACAACACCAAGCTTGTCGAGGAGTTGGCCAAGGATCTGCCTGATGATCCCACCATTGGAACTGACTTTGAGGCTTGCCTTCATTCAGTTACGATAGATATGGGATCTGATCATTTCAACGCCGACTGAGGTATATTATTATTCTCTTATTTGCTGCATATACTGGACAAGGGTTCTGCCTGATTCTGAACATTATTGCTGTATCTCTGCCTCCCTGCATTCGCTTTCTTCGCTTTCTTCATCTCGGTGTATCTGCTTTCTCTACCCTGCTGTACTCGCTCTGTCTGTCTCGCTGCATCCATTTCCTCTGCATGTACCAATCTTCCCCTACCGTCCAGCTGCTTTGTTGGCCCCAAGGGGCTAATTCTGATGATATACACTCTCCTTATTACGAGGTTCAACCCCCGTTATTTTCTGAAGTCCATAATTGTCTCTGTATCTTCAGCTTCGGGGCACTTTCAGCCCCCTCTTCTTCGCGATTCACTGGTTCCCTGATTTTCTTCTGTTCATGTTGTTACTTTATTCTATTGATGCTTTTGGCGATCTGCTAGTGCTATCGCTGCTAGCCCATGTTCTAGTGTCTTGTTGTTGCAGGTACTTCAACAGATAATACTCATACTGCTTGCTCGGCGAGCATCATGTATTTACAACTTTATTTGTTACGATATACTTGTTATATCAGACTGGTCTTGTGTGTGAATGGAGGCCTCGCTATATCCCAACTTGAAGTCTACAACTCCAGAGCAAAAGTTGAGAAGCGATCTTTCAAAACTGACCTGTCATAAATAAAAATGAAATGCAGAAATGAAAGACGATATCAGAAAGTGGAAAAACAAGTCCAAGAATGAAAAACGAGTACACAAAACCCAAACCAAAATCCAAAACTCGAAACCGAAATCCAAAATTCAAAATTCAAAACCGAAATCCAAAATTCAAAATCCCAAAACCAAAAGTACAAAGTCAAGATCAAGATCGAAATATGAAATCAAAATAATTTTGTCCAGTGGGGTCCTTCATAAGTTTGTGCATACATCGTCTATTGACATGCATCATGCTTTGAAGATGCGCCGGATTGACTGTTCGTTTCATCGAGTTGTGATCATGTCAATACGACTTCGTGCGTGTTTACATTTAAGGACCCTGCTAACAGAGTGACTCCGGCCCTCTGGATAGAATTAATGGACATCAACCGTTTTCACGTCAAGCTGAGGAAATATGTGCTAGGCGATATAGAGACATAACCGCGCAGCTACTATGGCTAGGTCCGGAATGATGTAGGCAATGGCAAGCGACCAAGGCGAGAGAGGATCACTGTAATAAATGTAATGCCAGATGCTGGCCTGGAATGCTTCAACCCCGAGAGCATTGCCATAAGCACCGTTCAACTCGGCGGCCAGATGTTATAGTCACTTCTAATACATAGTTAAGCCTTACGCGTCGTGGAAACCTTAAATTCATCTTCCCCTTTATTTTCTGCACGCTTCGCTTCAAGTTTGGCGGGAAGAAACTTGACTTCCTGGTACGCACCTTTCCGACCACCCGCCATATGCATGTTCTATGACGGTCATCTGACGGATGCACTACAAGGCTCCTACTTACCCCGGTGGTCGAAAAGTTTTGCAAAACGGATGTTACCTCGTAATGGATCATATAATAAGATCGTTGTGTGGACATGAACGCGTCGCCCTACACATAACTTTAAAAGAGACCCTGCCGAGATTTGAACCCGGGACCTCACGATGATACGCAGTTGCAATCGTATGCTCTAACCACTGAGCTACAGAGTCAGATATTTGCCCCTAACTTTATTTAAACATAACGAGATTAAAGGAAAACTCAATTTTGGACATTCATCCTCCTGGGAGCCGTTGTAATCGATACCACAGTACACAGTATCGTATAACTACCTCCTCGACACATCACCACATTGTATCAAAAGTTACGCGGTAACCAACTTCAAAACATCTTCGATAGTCAACTTCCCCTCTATGACCTGGCTTACTACGTTCAACGCTCTGCCGAAGTCTTCAAAGAGTAAATGTGGGATTCCCTCACGCGTGCAGTAAGCCGCAAGATCGTTGTCAGCACCTGGTTTTTTCTTGACGAAGAGAAGGTCGGCATGACGTGCAGCGGACATATCTAGAAAGGTTTCCGTTGTAGGTGGCTAAGTTTGAAGTTGAATGAAGACGGTTTCTACGAACCTGAGACGCCGTCACCGAAGAAGAAAACGGTAGGCGCGTTGGGCAAACGACGATAGGGAAGAATGGCTTGGCTCTTGTCGTGACCAAATCCACTATGTGATAGATGAGCAACCGATTTTGAAGGAGGGGAATTACGAGGACATTACCTGGTAGGATGACGGTACTTGATCGACCAGCTTCCATCCTCGCGTACATCAGCATCGTTCGCGACGATTTCGATATTCTTAGCTTCTTCGTTGCCGATGAGCTTTGACAACACAGCCCGAATCAAGGGTGCCATTCCGCTGAACAATATTTAAGTCAGATGTGAAGTGATAGACAGAAGAAAGAAAATACCTGGAAATAATGACAACGGGAACATCGTGCTCTTGGCAATAATCGTAGAAGTCCCTGAAGCCGACGTCAAGGGTGATGTCTGCATATAGTGAGGGTAATCATTAGGTCTATACACAATTAAGAAAGATATGCGACTTACTTTGTTTCAGGACTTCAGCGCATTCATCAAACCTATGGCCGTTCGCGACAACACTGTCTAACATCTCCTTGAATGCATCTCTGGGAAAATGATACTATCAGCCGCATGAACGACTGGTGAATTGGTGAACACACCTAAACGTTACTCTACCGGAGAGAATCTCTAAGTTTCCTTGTCTGCGTTTTTCTTGACCATAACCTAGGTGATCGGTCATATCTAGATGCACATCGTTTAGCAAATACCACTGTGTTAGCATGCATAGATGGGCTTACAATCGTTTGAGTCGCGATTGGTGATCGTTCCATCCCTATACAATAGAACACCCGTTAACACCCAGAACCAAATATGCAAGAGGATGATTGAAAAGGATCAGTATGTCAAGACGAACCAACTACCAACCAATCGGACAGAACAACAAATTTCTTGTCTTGGTGAAGAGGTGGGTATGGAAGAGTGCTATGGGGTGCTTCTTCTTCGGACATGATTTCCTCAGTACTTCTATTCAGTGTCCTGGAGTTAAGATTGGGGTATATGGATGTCTATGTGTCTATGAAAAAGCGGGGAAGGCAGCAACAGATGGTGTGAAGTTGCAAAGCGGGGAAATGTCTTCTACGCGTGTACTTAGATTAGATTAGATCCTCCTCTTGCTCCCAACGCGAGTTCTTCATGAATCAAGACTTTCAGTTTGACTTTCACTTTCAAAGCTCCGTCCTGTAAAGGTCGAAGGCATATATCCGCGCTATCTGTGAATAGTGCTTGTGCTAGTACGGAGTGCCACCGATATTTCCCATTTGACCGCAATTTCCACGTGGTGTTTCATTGATCTCGACGCGTCCGTGTTGTTTAGCCACTCTCGCGAACAGTGACGTCTCGTGCTCACTTTTAAACTTGCACATTAACACATACCACATACCAAGGAGAGCAGCCAGGAAGCACAAGGCAGGCGTTCAAGAAATATGCCTTTGGTGCGCATCGAAGTATGCGACTTCAAGTCCTATAGGTACGTAACTTCTACCTCTGCGAGCTTTCAACGCGTTCTGACGCGCTATGCAGGGGTCACCAAATTATTGGACCCTTTCACAACTTCACTTCTGTTATAGGTCCCAATGGAGCGGGTAAATCCAATCTTATGGACGCCATTTCTTTCGTTCTAGGTGTCAAGAGCGCCCAACTGAGAAGTAGTCAGTTGAAGGATTTGGTATACCGTGGAAGACGATTGGCAAGGAGCCAAGAAGGGTCCGAAGCTCAAGAAGAGGAGGAAGAAGAGGGTGATGGGGAGGGAACAGCTACCAAGGCCTGGGTCTTAGCCGTATACGAGGATGCGGACAAGAAAGAATGGCGGTTCCAGCGGACGTAAGTATTCACTCTGCACACCTCTGTATAAGGCTGATGGTCCCTCTAGCATCTCAATCAATGGCTCCTCTGAGTACAAGCTTAACAACAAAGTTGTGCCGTACTCTACCTACAACAACGCCCTCATCCAACACAATATCCTAGTCAAGGCTAAGAACTTCCTTGTCTTCCAGGGTGACGTTGAGGCAGTAGCCTCGCAGTCACCTAAAGACCTGTCAAGACTTATAGACCAAATCAGCGGCTCTTTGGAATTAGCTGGAGAGTATGAACGCGCAAAGGAAGCTCAGGAACGCGCCACGGAAAACGCGACGTTTAACTTTACGAAACGAAGAGGTATTGCAGGCGAAATCAAACAGTATAAGGAACAGAAGGGCGAGGCAGAGAAGTTCGAGGAAATGTGTGAACAACGGGTGGGTCCACGAACCACATTGCGGAAATGGGTTTGAATACTCATGCACATATTATGGACTTCAGGACGAATTAATTCTGCATCGTATCTTGTTCAAGCTTTACAACATACAAGAATCCCTCGCCGCTCATGCGCACGAAATCAGGAATGCGAATGAGGCTTTGGTCGGACTCCGAGCCGAACAGGAGAAATGCGAAGAGGCGTTGAATGGTGCTCGCGCTGAGCAGGCCCGTGCACGAAATGAAGTTGTGCAGAAGGAGAAGAAGATCAAGAAAGCAGAGAAAGCACTCGAATCCAAGGTAACAAATCAACATTTCCTACATATGCCACTCTTTCTTACGCATACACCTTATATTAGAAACCGGATCTCGTGCAAGTTGAAGCTCAGATAGCTCATTCAAGAAGGAAGAGAGATAATGCAGCGAAGATCACTGAACAGGTCGAGAAGGACGCTGAGAAACAACGCCAGAAACTCGACACGCTCAAGAGGGACTTGGCTGCAGTTCAGAGAGCTGCGGACGAAGCTCAAGGTATGTTTCTGTTCTTCCGGTATATGCATATATGCATTTATCTTCCTTTATGTTCACGACTGACATGTATTGACAACCAGAGGCTTCACGAAGAGCAGCTCAGCACACAATGTCGCTCAGTGAGGAGAGTCTAGAAGAATATCGCAGGCTGTGAGTTAATTAATGCAATTACATGCCCTCAGGTGCTGAATTTGATGTAGGAAAGCTCAGGCAAGCGTCTTGGCCGTTGACGAGAGGCAATCTCTCGAAACGCTCGCTCGAGATGAGAAGACAGCCTCGCGAGGGCTGACCCAGCTCAAAGAAAAGCATGAGTATCTTACCAACAAAGTTGCCAAGTTGGAAGAGGACGAGGCCACCCAGCGACAGAAGCGTGCTGAAGTGGGTCTCACATCTGTTCAAAATTAAATGCATATAACCTACTATCCGTGTATAGCTCGAGGAGAAAGTCGCTGAGATCACCGCAGAACTGACCAAAGCCCGACAAGAGTTGGATAATCAACGTACGGAACGTATTCGCATTCAGCAACTTGAGGCCCAGACGAACGAGAAACTCATGGACGTCCATAACAAGCTCCTCCAAGCTGGCGTAGATCAACGCGAGTCTGAACGAGAAGTCAGACTGAAAGAGTCGCTTGCTAACTTGCAGAGACTCTTCCCCGGTGTCAGGGGACGCGTCATTGATTTGTGCAAGCCTACACAGAGGAAGTATGAAACTGCCGTTGAGGTGGTTCTTGGTCGGAATGTTGATGCTATTGTGGTTGACGAGGAGAAGACAGCTATCGATTGTATCGAGGTAAGACTATCCTAATAGCATGTCTGAAGTTGGGCTTGCCTAATGCATATGTCACAGTACATGCGTAATCAACGTGCGGGACAGGCAACGTTCATTCCACTCGACACCATTCAGGTGAAGCCTATCAATGACAAATTCCGCTCATTCGCCAAAGGCGCTCGTCTCGCGGTCGATGTCATACAGTACGAATCCGCAGTGGAACGAGCGATTCATCATGCGTGTGGAAACGCCCTTGTCTGTGACACTTTGGACGTCGCTCGGTATATATGCTACGAGAAGGCCCAGGAAATCAAGGGTGAGTACTGACCATCTCGAACGATTGCAAAATGGCATTGACGTCGCATACCCAGCTGTGACGCTTGAGGGGACGGTTATTCACAAGAGTGGTCTCATGACTGGTGGTCGGAGTACGAGGGATAGCGGGCGGAAATGGGACGAGAAAGATGTTCAAGGTATGAACAATTCATTGTCATTTACGTGTCCTTCTTAACGACTATGTTTTCTCTATAGGCCTCCAACGCGTGAAGGACAAACTACTTTCCGATCTACGAGAGCTCAATAAGTCGAAGCCCCGTGGGAAGCAGGAAGATGTCCTTGTTGCGGAGATTACGAGACTCGAACCTGCCCATCAGGTTGCTCGGGATGATTTGGTTTGTTTTACTCTTATTCTGCCCATTTCATTACCACAACTAATCGTGCGCCGAACATAGAGTGCTTGTAAACTTCGCCTGACAGGTATCAAAGATGAGATAAAACATGTCAAGAGCGATCTCAGGAAGCTTGACCCGGAGCTTCGAAACGTACATCTTGAATCCCTCTTCTCCTGTGTCACGGAAATTCTGACTTCCGAGGATGTTCTAGGCCCAGAAGAAATACGATGCTCTAAAAGAACAAATGGACGCACTTTCCGCCGTCATCTATGAAGCCGAAGACGAGATCTTTGCTGACTTCTGTAGGGATATTGGCGTGTCCAATATTCGCGAGTACGAAGAACGTCAGCTGAAAGCGGCCGAAGCCGAGAGTGTTGCAAGATTGCAGTTCGATACTCAGATCGCCCGACTACGGCATCAGTAAGCCAGCCTACTGTCGTACTCGCTAATCCGGAGTGATATTGACCCATTATCTAGAATTCAATTCGAGGAGGAGCAACTAAAGGCTATTGAAGAACGGTTAAATGCTCTACAGAGCACTATAGAGACGCAAGATGCTAATCTTCAGCAGTATGCGCAGACGAAGGATGCCTTACAAGAGGAAATCGAGCAGGCTGATGAAACTATCGAGGAAATGCGAGAAGACCTCAAAGATTCATCGGAACTACTGGATGAGAAAACTAAGAAGGTCGAACAAGCAAAGAAAGTCGCATCCAAGGCAATCAAGGCAGTAGATCAGGTTCTCAAGGAGATTGCTGTCAAGGTGTGTTCTTCATCATTATCATTCCTCCAAGCATCGTTGATGTCTGAGTTATCTTTTTAAGAATGACGAAATCGAGAAACTCGGTCTGGAACGTTCTGCAATGTACCGAAAATGCCGCCTAGAGGAGATTCAATTACCCCTCCTTGGTGGTAACCTCAAGAATGTTCCTATGGAGGAGGTCAAACACACTTACCACTTGTTGAAAACGTAATGTCGCTCATCCACTTTTGCAGAACTTGCGCGAGGAAGTAGCTATGGATGTCGATGAGGATGAGAACACCACTCAACGTCCCAAGCGAGTACCAGACTACGGCGTTGAGGTTGACTTTGATGCTTTGGAGGAAGACGAACGAGAGGTTGGTTAACTTTTTCATACTTTGAGTCGCTTGCTCAAAGGATCCTGTGTTGCCAGGCGGACGTCAACGAAAAGCTTGCCGAACTGGACACTGCTATTTCGAAGCTTAATGCTGATATCGAGAGAATGGCTCCAAACATGAAGGCAATGGATCGGTGAGCATGATGTTCTGAATGAGGAATCATTAGTATTCAACTATCATTCAGATTGGACGATGTCGAATCTAAACTCGTCGAAACCGAGAAAGAAGCTGACAAAGCTCGGAAAGAGTCCAAGACTGCCCGTGACCAGTTCAACGATGTCAAACGGCGAAGGTACGCTGTCATTACTATTACGCGTAATTCAGTTACTAAGTTTGTTGCAGATGTGAGCTGTTCAACAAGGCTTACGCTCACATTTCCGAGCGCATCGATCAAGTCTACAAGGACCTTACCAAGGGCAAGGCAGCTCCCATGGGAGGTGTTGCATATCTCACTTTGGAGGACAGCGAGGTAAGGACAGTATTAACAAGGGATAAGATCGTTGAGTGAAACTGAGGTAACACACAGGAACCATACGCCGCGGGTGTCAAATATCACGCCATGCCTCCCATGAAACGCTTCCGTGACATGGAACAGCTGTCTGGCGGTGAAAAGACCATTGCAGCCTTAGCATTGTTGTTCGCCATCCACAGGTAGATCTTCCTTATCACTCAGAATCATGCAGGGATCCTTATTTCGTTACAGTTACCAACCTTCGCCCTTCTTCGTCCTGGACGAAGTAGACGCTGCTTTGGATAACACCAATGTGGCAAAGATCGCAAACTACATTCGTTCCCATGCTTCGGAGGATTTCCAGTTCATCGTAATCAGTCTCAAGGGCTCGCTTTACGAGCGCAGTAGTTCCTTGGTTGGTATATACCGAGACCAGGAAGTGAACAGCTCAAGAACATTGACTCTCGATGTGAGTATCATAGTCGCGAACATTCATCCAATACTAACAATGTATCTCAGCTTACACAATATGCCGATTGAGATACCATCTATACCCTCACCTTTTCGTCCTTCCTATGTATTCTGAGTCTGACATGCTTTTGTTTTGCAAATCACAGAAACCATTGAAAGTATAGTACGAATGTAGCAGTAAGATAAGAATAATATAAACGACATGCAAATGCAAGGAGAAGAAAGCGATCCGAACCAACCATGAGAATATGATACACAATCAAAGCGACGAGTAGCAGGAACTGAAAGAGTCCGAAGTATAAAAACTATACACTATAACGCCTCACCGAAGTTGTCACGCCGAAGTCGAATTCCAAAAGTGTCGTTGCTTTCTTCACGAAGAAGGGGTGGAGGACGTGTGGTATTCTGGCTCTCACCAATGGAAGTCAGAGTAGTATCCTCTTGGTGGGGCATGTAAGGAGTGCCGATGGACATATGGGAAGTGAGTGTAGGTGGCGCAGGGAAATCAGAAAGACCGGACATGCGAGAACCAGTATCAGAAGTCATGTAGCTCGAACGAGCTGCATCAGGAGTGAGTGGACTGAGGTTAAATTGCGAGGAAGGGATTCGAGCAGACGCAAGGTCGCTGCCAAGATGACGGTCGTGTTCTTCGTCATCTACGATGAGAGACAAACGAGTCGAGAACCGATGAGGGTTTGGTACCGCAGGGGGAGTGGACACAGCTCCAACTTCACCAAATCGGAAGTTGTCTGTGAGAAGAGCAGTCAGGGAGACAGGATCTGACGAAATGAGAATGAGATACGCACCAGACGGCTCATCAATCAGCGACGCCCCTTCAAAAACAGATGATGCACGAGAAGATTCAATCTCCTCTGGTTCTATATCTTCCGGAAAATTAGCTGTCGGGTTTGGGTAGGAAACATCAATTGGGAGACGCAAGGGAAGTTGGGTGCCAGCAGGTGAATCCGAACTTGAAGTACGTTGGGAGAGCAGAGACCTAGGGTCGTCAGACATATCGTCCGGTCGTGAACCTCTAACACTACCGAAACGGCTACCCCACATCGGCGAGCTGTTATCTTGGTCACGACGAGATTCGGCTCCTTCCTCCCTTAACTCTTCAAGGTCCTCAGAAATTTGACGCGCCAAGTTGGTTAACCCACTGATACTGCGACTTCTTTGTGAGCTAACCTCGAAAGTGATACTACCGCTCGTCTTTCGAGAACCCACGGAAGGACGCCGCTGTTCTGAAGATGCAATACTTTGTCTATCGGCATTGACGGTCGGTTTATAGAACAAGTCACGGAATCTCTCCAGATCATCGGAATCATTCAGAGGACGAGGTGAGAGCGGGGGAGATGACTCATGTGAGACCATGCCTGGGGAAGATCCTGCTGAATTGCTAGCGTGAGTTGTCGCGGAAAGTCCGGTAGCATTTGAAGCGGTACGTCTAATGAAAACTGGAGGGTGGGCGTTCTCTGAACCTGAAGACGCCACTGCGTTGGAGGATGTCCCTGACGTAGCGTGGAAAACATTTGGGCTATCACTCGAGTTGTTATAAGTGACCCCGGTATCTGCACGCCCTCGTTGTCGTTGGTCTGACTCATCATCCTGAAGTAGCTCCGTCTTCGAATCAGCCGGGTCGATCCGTTGGTTATGGTCCTCAATCTCGCTAGGGCCAAACCCACTATCGATGCTTGCACTATGCCTCATCGTTCGCACCAACGCATCTCCAAAAACAAGCTCGCTAAACCTTGTGTTGGCATTCCGCACGTACGGATGGTCGGAAGAGGTTACCACTTGGGGTGTCAAAATGATCTTCTCCGCAACTTGTTTAGTTTCCGGCTCATGACCATGACCGTTAGAGGAGGATGAGGCTGATGGAGGGTAAGGCGAATAGCGAATAGCATCAGGGCCGAATTCCCGTACATGCCCAGGTGTCAACTCAGCATACAAGCTATCCGTATGGGGTGGGGGTGGCACTTCGACGTACTGGGCACGTCCAAATCCACCTGCCGCGTACGGATGTGTCGCCTGGGCGTATGGGTGAACCAAAACTGGTTGTCTATGACGGTTAGCACTAGTAGCAGTACTAGTGGCGCTAATGGGCTCTCCCTCAGAAGATGTGGGTTTATCTGGTATTTGGACCTTTACAGGTTGCTTATACGGATAACTCACACCTTGAGCGTAGGGATGAGAAGGGATGTGGATGGGTCCATGCGAATGATCTTCTGAAGGAAGTGGAGAGGAGATGGCTATACCAATCCCTTCAGATGCAGATAGACCAGAAGGTGTCGGTGATGCGTCGTTCAGACGGTCGGCCGGACTACCTCTAGGTATCGCAAGAGCAGCGGACGGCGATGTAGGCGTGATGACAACGACATCATCCCGCTCATTCTCCCTATTCTCATCACGAACTTGGTCCTGCAGCCGGATAAACTTGGTGTCCGACCCACGAAGCGCACCTTCCATCGCAATGGCCTTTTCGTCCGAAGGAGTTGCAAGCGGTGACTTGTCGTTAAATCCACAGAGGGCCGCAGTCGATTTGACAAGTTTAAATGCCGACTTGCTCAGGGACTGGCTACGTGTATGGCCATGACCACTTGTAGAAGCATCAGGAGACGTACGAGACCGTGTTACAGAACCACCCAACGAGTTAGAATGCGCATGAGACCGGGTACGCGAAGTCGCCCGAGAAAGGTTTTGCGAGTGCGTAGAGAACACCGATGATATCGCCGTCCTTGACGTTGTAGTATGAGGACTTCTGGGCACTGGAGGTGCATGGACGTGGATTTTCGGTGGAACGGCCTGTGTTCCAAGTAAAGTCCGTCCTGCCAGATACTCGAGAGGGCTCTCTGTGTCTCGCCTCGCCTGCGAGGTCGATTTTGATCGCGCACGAGAGACAGATCGAGCACGTTTGTTCTGGAATGAATGGGTAGCCTTTGCCCTCCATATTTCACGTTCCTTATCCAGCTGTTCTCCCTCGGCGAGGACCCTACGTCATGTAAGTCGGAAGATCCGAACAACGATGTATATGAGACTTACTGTGCTAGAGAAGGCACTGGACTAGGCAGCGCCAAATCGTCAAGAGCCCAACTCTTTGGTCTAGGTGGTTTCAGCCTCTCTGGAGGCTTCTCCACAGGAGAGGCCGGAGACGCCCTCCGAGTTGGCTCGGCTTCTCGTGATTGTGGCGGGGAAGGCGGGGAGGTAGATATAAGGTTACCCATTGAAACAGACTGTTCCGGAGTCTGACCAGGAGGCGCGGCAGGATCCTTGACAAATTTATTTCTCGAGTCTTGAGTTTCTCCAGGAGAGAGGACAGGTGACTCCGGCGGACTGACAATACGACCGCTGGGTGCCCCCTCGACTAGTCGCAGCGCGAAGCGAGGTCGAGGAAGAATAATCGCATCACACCATGTCTCAGCTGACAACCACCGTTGCTTGCCCTTGGGTATGTCGCGCAGGTTGGGCGTGGATAAGCTTGCTTTTAATATGGAGTTTCTGGGAGAAGGTTTCAAATATGCGGGCACGCGGTTCTGGCCTCTCGGGTCTAACCAGGTGATAGTCAGTTTGCCAGGATCAAGCAGTTTAGCTTTGCCCTTGTCGCGGGCTATCGGAGGAGCGCTTTGAGGTTGAGAGGGAGCGCTGGTGGAGGGAAAGGCAACAGCGTAAGGGTGGGAGCGCAGGTCGTGTTGGTCAGAAGGAGGATCGCCCGGTGTCGATTGATGTACGAGCAGTGACGAATAGTAGTACTCGTTATCTTCAGCTACGGGTGCCGGTCGCGAGTTGCTCGCGTTCCCACGTTGTGACATTGACATCGCAGAAGTTGTTGGCGGGACATAGGCAGATGTGTTCGCACGTTCACGCGTCGTTCCGCTACGTGTTTTGGTCAATTGGTCCATGGAAACAGAATGCGACAACCCCCTCTTTCCAAACGACCATATACTCGCCAAGCTACTCCTGTTCGGGTTACTCCCAGTCGTCGCCGTGTGTGGTGTCGCAATGGTCGATTCATACTTGGACGATCGTTCTGCCGGCATGGGCACGTCACCAATACCACCTGCATTGTCCAGGTTGATAAACGATGGAATTGTGACGCGTGGCTTTCCAGGTATGCGTACGTTTGGAGACTTGATCGCAATGCTCTTACGACTCGGATCGACGTTGCCCGACGAAGTGGTCAGGTGTGACGCGCTCGAAAGCGCACGAGTTCGACTGAAACCACCCTGGCGTTCCTGAGAAGTACGACCATGGTCGTCTGTCAACCACCCACCCAGCACATCACCCCAGCTCTCCCGGTCCTGGCTCGACTCAGCACGTGGAGGCTTCGGTGCTTCGATAGGGCCATTGTATGGTATGTACCAGTCGTCCGCCTTCTCTTCCTTGTCTTGTGCCTGTTGTGCCTGAGGGCTACCGCGAAGAGGTGATGGCGGGCTTGGCTTCGGACCAAAGTTGAATCCAAGGCGAGGCAAGCGAGAGAAAGGTGACGCTGTCTGGATATCTGCAGCCATTCATGGGGAATCGGATTGAAGGAACGTGAGTAGAGAGTGCTGATATCTTAGACTGGAATGATTGATGGGGGCTCCGTCTGAATCAACAGGGAAGCTGTGTGAAGCCAAAGATAGAGTCATGAACGTGCAAGTGCAATATTGACATAACATACCGTTCCACTGCTCACTTTTGAACTGAAAAGAGTGACAATGCGCGATTGGACCACAACGTAGTGATGGGAATCGTTGAACTGACACCCGACTGGCAGGGACTCCCTGTACTGTCTCTGGATGTTTTAGTATCAATCTTCAGACCTTTGTCGTCGCATAACTCACCTGAATAGAGAACGCGAGTAGCCACGTCGTAAGTCTAGTTGAAGTTAGGTCTAAACAGTGATCAAACACCACGGATATGGCCAATATTGTTAAGAATAAATAGTTGGCCCGGCCGGACCGCATTGTAATATTCCCAGTTTGATATTCAGAGCTTGCTCATGATGTACAGTACCTTCAAGGTGGACAGATTATAGCGTCGACGGGAAGGTATGAATCTCAAAGGTACGGTGGAGGACATGACTTAAGACTAACATAATATCCTCTAGAAGCGGAATGGTGCTTAACGCGAACGAAGGTACTTACGCCCAGGGTATCAAACTCGGAAGTCACGCTCGCGTGCCATTGCAATGATTGCATATGCATTTTCCTTTGAAGATCATCGATGTCATGGATGGGCGGCGTCCGGACCGCGTACCAGTCGTACCTGGGACGATGGAGAGTATAAAAGCTCTCAAGAGCGGTCTTCAGAAGCAGAAGTACCTGTCTGACTGAACCCCAGATGTCGTCCCCCATCTTCACCCTCAACAACGGCGTCAAGATTCCGGCCATTGGACTTGGTGTGTGTTCATCTTGACCTGGCCGAACAGTGTACTAAGTCATGTATGTACTGTAGGTACCTGGCAGTCGAAGCCAGAGGAAGTGACGGCAGCTGTCGAGTATGCCATCAAAGATGCAGGATATAGACACATCGACTGCGCTTGGTACGCCCCTTCTATCTTTCAGATCGTCCTCGGCCAAATAGACCTTCTTTCCAGGGCTTATGGAAACGAACAAGCCGTCGGTGAGGGTATTCGTCGCTCCGGCGTGCCTCGAGAGGAGATCTTCGTAACTAGCAAGCTTTGGGGTACCTACCACAGCAAGGTTGAGCAAGCTCTTGACGAATCACTCTCCAGGCTTGGTCTCGATTATCTCGATCGTAAGTCTGATATGCAACTCCATATCGGGATTCCAAGCCTGAACGTATCTGGTTCATTTAAGTGTACCTTATCCATTGGCCGATCCACCTGAACCCCAACGGTAACGACCCCGTCTTCCCCAAGCGCCCCGATGGGACGCGTGATATTCTTGTTGATTGGCCTTTGAGCAAGACTTGGGAACAAATGGAGGCCGTACTTGCGAAAGGTTGGTGGTCATTCTCAATGAAAGTCGTCTTTCGGTCAGGAAATTGACTCCATGCGTGCTTTCAGGGAAAGTCAAAGCCATCGGCGTCTCGAACTTCTCGCAGAAGAAGCTTGAGGAGATTCTTCCTACAGCAAAGGTTGTTCCAGCCGTCGATCAAGTAAGTCACTTTTTGTCAGTATAATCCACTGTACAATGTATTAAATCCGACTTTGCAGCTGGAACTCCACCTGTACAACCCTCAACACGAACTTGTGTCGTACCTCAAATCGAAGGATATCGTCCCTCAGGCGTACTCTCCACTCGGATCCACTGGGTCTCCTCTGTTGAGTGACGAGACGGCTTCCGCATTAGCGCAGAAGTACGAGCTCAACACTGCAGACGTTCTCTTAGGATATCTCGGTATGTGGTTGTCGCGTTCACACTTCATGCTAAGTTTAATTATTGATTTTCTGTATGATCCAACAGTGGCCAAGGGTATCGTTGCACTCCCTAAATCCGTTACTACGGCACGCATCATGGCGAACTACAAAGGTGCCATTGCGGCCGCCCAGAAACTCACCGAGGAAGACATCAAGGTCCTCGATGGCGTCGCGCCCGGCGGTAAGCAGAAGAGGTCAGTAGCGCTCGCTCTGGACGCCGTACAATACAATAACAGTTCGAGTATTGCTTTAGGTTCATCATGCCTCCTTGGGGTGTTGACCTTGGGTTCGATAACTGGGCGTAAATCTCAAGGGCGACAAGGCCGTAATTGTACGATCACTGATGTATGGATAGAAGGCAGATCTGGCCAATGTACTGACTGTTTCTGTGGACTCGACGGGTTTTGTAATCGTTCGAAAGCTGAAGATCCTCCAATAGCACATTACCGTTGAAACTAGCGAAGTATTCTGCGGCTGAAGATATCCATTGTGGAAATAGGTGCGTAATTGATTTCATATCGTCCTTTCCATTAATTAGCGGACTCTTTCTTAAATGTTTGATGCATCTGAGACGTACGTTGAATTGTGGATTTGACCAAGGATGCCTTGCCCACAGCCATCCAGCTACCTCCTTGCTACTTTGATTTTCCTCTGAATTTATAAAATCCTCCTCGCGGAACTCATTCTTCGGATCGCAATACCGACACTCTGATGTGCACGAACCGCCATTGTGCGGAAGACAATAAACAACGAATGCTATTGGCTATGCCCGAGGATGTTATCTCGACCCTCGACCGGACTCCCCGACGTACCCATCTCGAATCCAAGTTTAATCAACTCATACCAATGGAGAAAGCCTGTGACTGGAATTCGCGTCGTGAGAGATCTTCTTTACGAGACGAGCGTCTACGAGAGACTAAACGTCCGTGCTCGGAGCACGCCCGACACAGTAAGTCACCGAAAGTTTGAAATGTAGTACCCAAGGCTATGCACTCTTACCAGAACGTGAACTTGGTCCTTATTGTCGAATGCGGTGCCGTTTGCTACAGGTCCCGTCGGCGCTCCCGAAGCTTGAACGTCGTCAGCGCCCTTGGTCCGTGACTTCAGCGCCCCCGTGAAGCCCTACACCAACCGCCGAAGGCTCCTTGGCCCTAACTTGTCACTCTATCGATGTTAAGGAATCTGTCAGGCACTTAGACTAGTGGAGGAAAGGGGGACAACCAAGTATTTTGTTGATCATTATTCAAGTTTAAGAGAAATGGTCCTCTTTAAGATCAGATTTAAGGAGTGATCCTTCTAGCCATCAATATTGTACACCGACAGTACGTGCTATCTTTGGTCTTGTGGAAGTTTGAGACCAGATCTGCACAGAGCACTGCCTCAACCCCTATACTCAGATCAACACGACACGTAGAAGATCAAATACGTACAGTACTTACCTAGTATGCAAACATCCCAAGTTCCCGAGGTGCGTCGCTCGTACTCGCTCTTGATTGGTTGCTCAGAATATATCATGAAGATTTCGGTACTTATTACCGACATTGTTCGAAACACGCGTCGGGAGTGCTTATTCGAAACACCTGTCATTGCACTGCCAACACCCCCGCCCAGAACATTTGCCTCATGCGAGCCAATAGTTTGCCCTGAAACCCGGCAAGCACCCTACGGAATGCCCTAACACCTCTCTGCCCTCCATCATCGGATTCGGCGGTCCCGGATACGCATTGCGCTACAAATACTACTGTGATGGCGTCCGTGAAGCTGCATCCCCATTCTCTTCTTCTTTTTCTTCTTTCTTTCCTTGGTTTTTCCCTTTACAGTTGACGACTTCTACATTTCTACATCCTTTAAGATGCGTTTCGCTTATGCACTCGCGGCGCTGTCCGCAACACTCCCTGCTGCCTTGGCGGACATCATCAACGTCGAAGTTGGTGCAAACAGCAAGTTGCAATTCTATCCCGAGTTCGTTCAAGCCAAGAGGGGAGACATTGTTCGCTTTTCGTTGTAAGTTTGCTTCCTGTCTTATATGCATGCTTGATTCTGATTAGTGTTTTCTTTAAGTAACCCCAAGGTCTGTGCTAACTGCACTAGCTAGCCAGATACATTTCTTGACATATCATTATAATCGCTCTAGGCACATTCAGTGACTCAGTCAAGTTTCGACACTCCTTGCATCAAATCATTACCAGGGTTCAACTCGGGCTTTGACACGGATTTGTGAGTCTGGCTACAACCACATCGTCTTCAGATGTTTACTGTGATTGCAGACAACCTGTTTCTCCAGACCAGGTCACCAACAACCAACGTCCTACGAAGGACTTCTTCGTTGCTGACGACTCGCATCCTCTATGGTTCTATTGCAAGCAAGTCGGTCACTGTGGACAGGGTACATATCACAAGTCTACATTATTCTCGCGCTAATATAATGTCCTCCCCAGGTATGGTGTTCGCCATCAACCCGCCGTCTTCAGGAAACACCTTCGATGCCTTCAAAGCGCGGGCAATCCAGCAGAACGGTACTAGTGTCACCTCAAGCGCGGCCGCTCCTACACAGACAGTTACGCCAAAACTGTGTGCACCAAAGGACAATTATGGCGGCGCTCTAATTCGCGAGGATCCGCCTAAAGATGGCTTTGTGACTTGCCAGTACCAGCAAGGCGGAACCTGCACATACTTCGCTAATGTAAGTGATCACTTTTTCAGGCGAAGGTGGAGTCGGAGATCTCATTACGACTTCAGGGTGGTTCTTTCTCCTCCGGGAGTAGCGTCTGCCCCAAATCGGTCCCTGGACAGTCTGGTCAGTCCGGCAACGGACAGGTTAACAATGGTCAGAATAACGGTCTTCCTACGCCCAAACTCTGCGCCGCGAAGGACAACAGAGGATCGCCTCTCACTGCCGAGTCTGGCGTCGACAACGGATTAGTCACATGCACATATCCGCAAGCTGGATTCTGTACATACGTTGCACAGGTTCGTGATTTGTCCTTTTGAGGTATTCGTAACTAACGCCTGTGTGTTCAGGGTGGATCGTTCTCCTCTGGCTCAAGCGTTTGTCCGAAGTCGATCCCGGGTAGTGGTGGCGCCGGGGATGGTCTGCCTACACCCAAGCTCTGCGCGGCGAAGGACAACAGAGGATCGCCTCTCACTGCCGAGTCTGGCGTCGACAATGGATTAGTCACCTGCACGTACCCACAAGCCGGATTCTGCACATACTTTGCGCAGGTCAGTATTTCTTCGACGAGATGAATTATTCTGGCTTCTAACGTTCCCGTGAATGTTCAGGGTGGATCGTTCTCTTCTGGGTCAAGCGTCTGCCCTACTTCCATTCCTGGTCAATCTAAGGGCAACGTGAATGCGGTCTCTGGTGCCCTCGGAGACAACGACGATGACAGCAGCTCGCCGGACCTCAATACTCTCCTCAGGAACAGCTACATCATTATTGGCCTTCTGGCTGCAGTTCTCATTGGACTCATTGCGGTGTCGATGATTATGTGCATCGGTCGTCGGGGTCTGCGTGGCAAGGAGGCTAAGTACTCGAAAGTTACTGTGCCCAAAGCATTTCAGGGCATAGATGAGGAGGCGTCAATGACACACGGAAAGCGATACAGCGACATCTAAGGGCATGACTTCAAGGTCATTTCATGATTATTACGATTGTTAACGTATTAACACTACTACATTCGCCACGGACTTTTATATAATCTATGGGGGATTTGGACATTTTATTTTGGTACCGGAATAATCATGTCAACCAAGCATGGGGGACTAATTGTTTTTTGAAATGCGTTGAACTTCCTCTGGTCACGGAGGTCATCTTACCCTGATATAGGATGTTCAATCTGGACTGGATAATTCCGTGGTTCCCGTCTCACTTGCACTCAAATGGCCCCCTTTGCAGTCGTGAGCATCAAGTGAGTAGGTGATCTGTTCTTTGTCTCATTACTTGCGTAAGTTAGGGATGAAGTCCTTTTGAAGGACTGACATCTCGAATACTGCGTCATGGCAGCATTGTGGTGCCGCTGTGAAGAATGTGAAAATTTGAAGGTATGCCTTTGACATGGACACCTTCGCTTAACTTCTGGGCCACTCGTGAATGTGATTTGAAGGTCAAAGCCGTTTATTCCCTTTGTCCCTGCCACTGTGGTTCATTAGGCGAAACTTTGGCCTCCGCATGCTATATAAAGACGGTAACTCTCTGGACCTTCCCATTTCCACTTCCCCCATTTTCCCATACTACGTTGGTATCCTTTACCTCTGAAACCGTTCAGTCAAGTTCTCTTTCTAGAAACCATGCCCGCCTTAGTTCGTCAATCAAAGGAAAGCCAGCTTGAGTCGAAAAGCCTGGAGGATCTATTCTGTGGCCTAGCCACAGACAAGAACTTCATCTCAATACCCGCAGGGCCTCCCACTGGACTCAAACGCGACACCAAATTCGAACCCAACTATGATGCCAAGGACCTGCTTCTTAGTCGCGACGAGATCATAGCTACCAGAATTCCCGATTATGCCGACGCCAACGAGCCGTCGACTGTTCTTCTATCCTTGAAACATACCAAAGACCAACTTCTCTCTATATCAGGATTCCCAGAGCCACTCGAGCCTCTCTCGGAGAAGAAGTATGAGGTCAAGCCCATCGAAGGGATAGGCATGGGCATATTCGCAACCGAGGATATCGCAATCGGTGAAACCATCATTCGTGAACGTCCCTTGCTGGTATATCCAGTGGCTTTGCCCATTGATGAAAGTGGCTGGCCAAAGACTTTTCATGAAACTGCTGCCGACCTAATGACAGAAGATGCGAAGCTGGCGTTTTTCGACTTGCACAATTGTCATGGCGAAGCTAAACCAGAAGCCACCGGTATCATTGCCACGAATGGGCTCGAAATTGGTGAGTTGCCTGGATATCAAGGTCCTTATGGTGCAGTGTGCAAGGAGATCTCGCGAGCAAATCATAGGTACATTGCCATTGTCTCTGCGTTTTATAGGATCCATGCTGACTTCCTCTGGCCTATGTCATTGCAGTTGCTCGAACAATGCGATCTTTTCTTGGGATATGTTGTCTTTCACGGAAGAACTACGTGCCGTCCGGGCCATTGGAAAGGGCGAAGAGATCTGTATCAGCTATGGCGGCCACTATCAAAGTCACCCTCGAGCCTCGCGACAAACGAACCTTTTGATGTACAACTTCACCTGCAACTGCCCGACTTGTGCTCTTCCAGAGGAAGAGTCTAAGAAGAGTGATGCTCAGCGTGCTATCATTCAGAAGACGGCTGAAAAAGACTTGGACGGATTCAACTTGAATGGCGACCTCGACATTCTACTGTGGTGCATGGATCATTCTCAGCCGAAGGACAAGATTATCAAGAGATGTCTTACCATGCTCGACATGATGGACCAGGAAGGAATCTATCCCGAATGCTGGTTGTATTACTCCAAGCTTTGTAAGGCGTACTGTGCATTGGAAGATGCTGACAACGCTCGACTTTGGGCGAAGAAGGCAGCAGCTCGTATGCGAGGAGAGCATGGATGCGACGGCGGGTTCCACGCTGTTGCTGAAAAGCCTGAGGAAACAATGTGCTGGGGACTCAGGACTCTCCCGTCTGAGGGTACCTCCGAAGAGGGTATGTAGCGCAGGGGTGGGCCCTGACCTCAGGCAAACATGGACAATGTTCTGTACCGCGTCGTTGTTGTTTCTATCGTTGTGTACTGTATCACTGTTGCAGACTCCCGATAACGTATTAGTACTATCGGTGACCCAGTAATGCAATTCAATTGCACTTCCCGCGCATCTACCTCAAAATGCATTCCTCTTGCCTTCGGACATGCCGGGATATATTGAGCATGGCATCCTTGAGGATATTCACAAAATCTTTAAATTTTTGTATCATCTGTGCGCCGAGTACGCCATTGCCGGCGCCAGTACAGGCCACTGCAAATCCCCTACCTTCCGATTTTTCATATTGCCCCACCCCACTCAATTAACTCCAAGTTTTGGGAACCCAAAAACACTGCTCAGAAGTGTATGTCTGAATATTTTCAGGAGGAAGGATGAAGAAGAGCTTGAATGCACTCAAGAATTGCACTTCTGGGGGCAATTGCATTACTGGGTCACCGATAGTATAAGACTCACAAATTTAGGGAGAAGAACCCGAGAGACAAAGTTCGGAGCTAAGAGCGAAAGTTAAGGTGCAGCGGTTCGAACATAGACCGGCCAACCGAAACGACACATTGAACGCAGGATAGACCAGAGAAACTCCTAGGACGGCAAGAATGAGTGCAACGCAACAGATAGAGGTTCACATCAACGATAGTCGGCTCTTCAACCACTGGATGTTTCAATGCGGGCGAATGATTCTGATATCGGCCGCCAATCAACGTTGAGATCCGTACGCACACAGTGTGCGCCAGAAGTGTCATTGATAATACCATTACAATTTCGCTCACCGTTCCTACAAATCCATCGATGAATGAAGGTGTCCGAATTTCTCCTTGCTTGAGGCAGATTGCAAGTTCTATGAGATGGGCGGAACCCTCTGTTACTAGCAACATCAAGTTTTTTGTACCCATAGTCAGGATCATCGTGATTTCTAAGGAGCAAAGGGGTCGATCCTGAATTTTAAAAATTGACCAGAAGATTATAGCCTTTGAGATTGTGCGACGAGGAACAACATGTGAAGGAAATTTGTGCCTTCGTTCGTTCCAATGCAGCGGCATCTCCCCTGTCTCGACGTGATGGGAGAAGTTGCCCGCCAAATATTCCAAGACAAGGCAATTTAGGCGGTGCTTCCATGAGCTGAACGTCCTGCATTATAGTACAACAGCATGCGGCCAGAGTGCTTTCAAGTTTCGCATCAGCAAACCCGACGAGCCACAAGCTATGTATAAGTAACTTCAGCGCTTCAATAAAATCACAGAAACATACCATATTTGGTATGTTTCCTGGTATCTCACGAAGTTGCACTGGACATAATCACTTGAGGCGTAGTAATAGAAAGCGACGTCTATAGCCAAAAGCAGCGATTACAAATAAGTATACAGAAACATCAAGTGAAAGCTAGACACAAGAACTGAGGAAACGATCATTAAAGCAGCACTAAAAGAGCCTGCCCACGACGAGATCTAGTATGCTATGTGCGAGAGGAAGCGATAAATGCTACAGGTGGGTAACGGGTAAAGGAGACTGGGGTGATAATACTTGCTACAGAGTATAAGGGAAATAAGAACTGACTGAGACGAGATATCATTGTGTATGTTGTTGAGGGGGTATGTGACGTGAAAACCGTGACAAAGCGAGCAATAGCAACGAAACAGATAACTTTGGACGCAAGATAAGAAGAGTCCCCCTAGTACTGTGGGACTTCGACGGGGTATTCGTGATATGGATATAACTCCGTTACACCGGCCTCCAAACCGCAATGCTGCGACTCAGCACCGTACATCGCAGTGCCAGAAGCGTACGTATCGAATCCGTACTCTTGCAACTGCTCGAAAGTAAACTCGGGCTCCGAAGGACCGACAAGAGCGTGCATATCATGTTGCTGCTGAGCATAGCCGATGGGGTGCTGAGGTTGAGGGGTATGGATAGTTGAGTTCGGAGGGGCAGGAAGGGCTTGTTCCGATGGTGAAGGAGAGCCTGAGAAGGCTGATGAAGGGCCAGAAGATGCTTCGAGCGCCGGAAGCCAGCTCATGTGTTCGCCGCCATACTGATGTGGCTGATTGGGAGCAGTCGCGGGAGAGTAAAAGGGGAAAGCGGATGATTGCGAGGATGGAACTGTTGTCGTCGATGAGAGCGGGTCGAGAGGCGAAATGCTCAGGGCGAACTCGGGATGTTGAACCTGGTTCGTTTGCACGAATAAGTTATTGTTAGGTTGGGACATCGAGAAGCCGGATGACGAATCTAAGAATGACTGCTCGAAGAGACTAGTGTCGACCTCAGGAAGTGGTTCGTCGTCTTGCTGCAATTGGTAAGGCATGTACTCCGAACCCATCATCCACGACCTTTCCAAAGAGACACCCACACTAGACGCACGGCGCTGACCGAGGAACATCCGGTTCGATCGAGCAATGCTGCTGACGGGTGATTCCGGACGTGAGTACGTCGGGTGCTGAGCTTGAGAATGCATGAGGAAAGGCACGCTGGGAATGTTGATGGGATGGTACATCATGGGAGGAACGGACGAAGATCGGCGCTGGGTATAGAACGGCATGGCACCTGAGACCATGGGAAGAGGTGCGGGCATGTGCAGCATGGGACTCGCAGTTGCACTCATGCTCATCTCATGTGCACGATCGTAATCAAGCATTCGGACGGCAGCTGCTAATTCATCGCCCTTCTTGCCCTCGAGCAAGAGCTGGGCGACTTCCTCGCACCGGCGCTCGTCTTGAACGGGCATTGGCGTCTTTTCCTTCCGCGCGGCGTCGCGTTTCTTGTGCTTGTTGTGGACAGGTCTGAAGCGATAGTTGGGATACCGTTCGCGATGGTCGGCTTTCGCCTTCTTCGCACGGCTCTCCCAAATACGTTTCTCCTCGAGAGGCAGCTGACGCCAACAATTTCCTGTCAGAGAGGCGAGGAAGATCAGAGCATGATTTGTTAACATCGAGACAGGAACTCACCAATGATCTTAGAGAGCGAGCCATGGTTGGTCTCGATCGACCCGGGAACATGTTTCTGACGAACGAAATCGGCACGAAAGAGCATGAAAGCGTTGGGTGGACGAGGAATGTATCCTTGAGAGCGGCGTTTGCCAGGCGGCACCCTCCTTCGTGTTGGTGGAGGCACGGGTGCTTCAACAGGAGGGAAGAGAGCATCTGCGGGTGATGTCGGCTCAGTACCGTCACCCTCCGCAGTCTCTTCAGTTTCCACGTATGTGCTGGGTGTCACGTTAGGTGCAAAGCTGACGTTTCGTGGAGAAGTATTGATTCCATAGTTTCCGGGCTTTGCTGGTGTCAAAGAAGCAAGACCTGTTGAAGTTACATCGATAAGCAAAAGGGAAATGATCGAAGGGAAAGACGACGTACCAAGTGCGATCGATGAACGTCTACGCCGAGTACGGAGAGCAGGCATGTCTAGAGATACAGAAGGGTATTATAAGTAACAAACTGGTATGAGATGGCGTGAGCAGCACGGTGAGTCCCGATCGAGGGAGACAATAGGGAGGAGAGGGTGGAACAAAAAGGCTTATTGTTCTCGCATTCTTATAAGAGAACGGCCATCAGCACAAGCCTGGATAGCTTCGTTCCTTGGGCCGGAAGTTCGATGGCATACGCTTCGAACAGAACAACTCCCAGCGTTTCCTGTAAATGGATAAGGACCCCGGAACTTCCCTTGCCACATCAGCCATGTGCGCAGATATGCGCTCCCCATCCCTCAGTGCTGTACCCTTCCGTCATCCTGTCATCTCAGCTTGTTTTACTCACTTGGAATGAGGACTATTGAAGCCAAAGTCACTTTCGACCGTCCCAGCTTTGCGCTTGACGAACAGATATCGACTGCTCATGCGCGAAGTATCCCGGGTCCTGAGAAATTGAACACCAGCGATCTGATGGGGGTTTGTACCGATCAGTACAATTGCTTGTATACGGATTAGGAAACGAGTTTGTACTTCCTGTTTATAGACCCCCTTGACGAACCTTTTCTCTCATGTGCCCGCACTCGAGAACCTCCACGTAAATCAGAAGGTAAGGTTCAGGCGTATGCCGTTCCTTCCGCGAGCGAATAGAGCCTACCGACACAGTGGTGAGTCTTCTGTTCCGCTAGTTGTCTTTTTACCGAACGATTCTGACGTACTTGAATACGGAGCTCAGGAATCTCAGGAAATGCTGCGGATATGTTCGCACTTGCTCGAATGCCACATACTTGGCAGATACAGTTCTTTAGCAATGGTGGTAGACATCGCTTGGATTCGACTGGCGTCTTGAGCACTTTTGAGCACAATTTCTTTGTGCATGCCAGGGACGAAGCGACTGTGAATAAACGTAATTACGACGAGGCCACGGACTTAGACATTCCGTCCCCCGTAAGCCCTTATTCCGTCTTCGTAACTTCATAGTTACCGAGGACCCTTCCGACTTTCCAATCCCTTAGGACAAACCTTGTCTGCAATTGGCAAGTCTTGACGATCCCTTTCGAGCTAATTTGTCCAACTAGATCTCCATTCTCCTTCGAATACCCTCGAGATGAAACATGTTTCATCGCCTCATTCTCTGGCCTGGGACGACTCTCAACCTTGTACTTTGCTGCAAGCTAGGGCTTTCCCTGTTGCGGTGGTTACGGGGCTTTGGTAGCAGGACGTTCTTCTCTCGAATTGGAAGCGAGTCATATTCAAAAATGCATCGTTGATTTCGCCACAACGACGACTTCGTTGTATTCGGACAACTGCACTGGCCTTTCTTGCCTGTACAACCTCCGGGCATGGTGTTTGCCATCGATCTTCTCCCGTGGTCAAAAGTCGGACACAGACATTCGAGCCCTCGTTCGGTTTCCTTGTGTCTTCATTCGGCATCGTCGTCGTCTGATACTCTCTGAAACTGCAGAGTAATCTTCGATGACTCATCTCCCTCCAGATGCTCTTACCATTCCTCGCTTGACAGCGAGCTACAATTCGTTTTTTTTTCCAGTTCCGTAATTCCATGGTGGGCGGACCTTGCCACGCGCCACAACCTCCATGTACACCGCAACATCCCGCTCTTGTTCTTTTCATTTGGCGTCCTTCCAAGGGTCGATAAGATATCGATGAGATGTGTCATAATGTCTTCCCTGACAAATTAGCAGAAGCCGTGCACGTCAATGTCATGGTTTCTTAACGCCGAGTTTTACTCTGAACTTCTGCTGCGTTCTCTATGCATATTCCGTCCATGTCGGCCAGCCAAAAACCAAAGAGCCAAATCGCTAGGCACTGCTTTCCGCCCGCGAATAACGATTATAGCTGTCCATGGGGTCCTTTGCATAACCTGTTCGTATCTGATATGTTGCTGTTCGATTGTTGATAGACTTGATTCTGTATCCCTGTTTAATGATAATCGTTTCCTTTATCACGGTCATCATACTAACCCTAGATTTTGATAGAACCTTGAACGTTGAGTTATGACGTTCAGTCATTATGAGCATCTTTGTCGTTGAGAGTCGACCTGGCTGCGGGTTTGCAAAGCTTAGATTACCAGTGCCTGACACCATGTGAGTTGTAAGGCCGCATTCTATAACGTGAGCATCAATGCAGGAAATTGTAGCGCGATAAACACCGCTATTAAGTACTCACTAGCTTTCCAAAGTGAGTCACATAAATACTGCATATCACAGTTCATGTATATCATACACTATTGGGGCACGGCGAGGATAATGGACGTACCAGGAACTAGAGTGGAGGAACATAGGGTAAATGAAAGGATGAATTTCGCACCCAACATCTGTGGCGGGTTGGCGGGACAAGTGAATCGGCGTAGAGGGTTCGTGATAAGCGTAGTACAATATTTTCAACTTTTTAATCAGCAGAGATGACAAACAATTTGCAGCAGTAGATGAGGGAAGAACAATCGAAACAACTTACCTTCCAACTTCAGGAGATTGTGCAGGCTGGAAAGTTGACTATATGCACCTAAATCAACTCAGTCGCTGTTATTCATGTTCGACAGTGGGTGGAAAGCGTCAAAGGTACAATGAAACATGCAACAGACCAGAAAGAGAAAGCGTACCAAAATATTACCCAGGAAGCTGCGGATTCAGAGATGGTCTTAAGGCTGGAGCGGAGCTTTTCAAGCAACATGAAGGTCGATCGTTGTCGGTAACTGCCGATCTCAATACTTCACTAGATGACTGTGCCTTCTTCAACTTTTGTGTCTTCCAATCCCGAACGAGCGGCGCGAGAAGATACAAGACGTCAACGTCATACAATCAAGAAATAGTACACTACGTACAAAAGAAAAGGAGTCAAACGAAACATGGTCCATCCGTACAAAAACCAAGACACTTATCCAATCATCAAATTGAGAGATTATACTCGTACTCGTTCCCCACGCTCTGCGACATCCATAGAACAATAGCCGACAACATCAAAGCGACGTTCTGAGAAACGCTGGCGTATCCATAATAGGTGTACTGTTCCTCATAGGCGTGCGTGATGTACTTCAACACAAGCAATGCCTAGATGAAAATATGGCCCAGTCAGTTAACCTTCTTTACAAACGACATATGGAGCGGATTAGAGGACTTACGACGCTACCAGCCAAACCTCCCGCCATCAAAGCAAAGCCGATGAACAAGAACAGCCGCGCCCTCCAAACGGCCCTAGGATCCTGGAACCCTTCTTCCCCTCTCACACGATCCTTATCAATCAGGTTAACGACGAGCATTCCTAGGAGGGAACAAATCCCTGGGACCCAATCGGCAAAAGTGACATGAACAGGTGGTGGCAGCTCGGGCTCGCCGTAAGGTGCGTGTGCATGTGCTGACAGAATGGCTGCATCTAGGAATGTCCAGTTGGCTAGCGCAAACTATACACTCAAAATCAGCATAAAGGAACTCAAGTAAGCCGATGAGTGAAGGATTACGCGTGATACGCGGGAGCTTGGAAATGATCGAAGTGAACTTGAACTCACCAGGCCGCCTGCAAGGTATACTCCAATTGTCCTCCTGTACTTTCCTAGCGAGAAATTAGGAAATGGGTTCAAGCATACCCTCCTTGGGTCATAATTTGAGCGAGGAAGAGACATGATGGAAGTAATGCTGTTGAAGGTCTATGCTGCCAGATTGCAACGCACCGCTCCGCCAAAAGCGGCTGTCACACGGTCGTCACGTCTGTCTCAGGGAAGGGCGTGACATGATTATACCGTTGCACTCAAGTTCGATATATCATGTCAACTTCCACACCGAAGGATTTTGAGTCTCGAGGATTAAGAAAGGAGTTCGAGCAATGTCATAACTGTGAGTCACTCTACGACATACACGTTTTGGTGCTAATTGGAAGGCCAGGCCACATTGCCAAGTCCGATGCAACGAAATCCAGACCAGTGAAACTACGTGAATGCACAGGGTGCCATACCGCAACATACTGTGTGAATCATTGCTCTTCTCTTGTTTCCGTGGAAGTACCTAACTAATAACTCTTCTAGAGCAGAAAATGTCAGAGGGCTCATTGGAAAGCTCACAAACCGCGATGCGAACTGCATCAGAAGATGGTCCAGACTCTTGAATCACGCGAAGAACGACTTCGCCAACGAGCACTTCCAGGGCCTGATGGGACATATGTACCACCGCGCCTACAACCGCGAGATATTCTGGACGAAATGACATCGTGGAAGAAGCATTTTCGTCCTATTCTCTTCCAAGCCGGATTTAACGCGCTCAACATCGTCAATGACCCGCAGAAGTGGATTAGCCACGTAATGCTAGTCACTATCTCCCGTATCGACCAAGCTGAGGATCCTCGGCCATGGACGCGGTATCGGGTTAACTCCGCCGAGTGCGTGTTTATTGGGGACCTTCCTCGCAGGATGGGAATGGGGCCTCCAGAGATGCGCAGTGTGGTAGAGCAGAAGTGTACAATGGACGAGCAGAACCTCAGGCAGGGCTTCAAGGGGACGATAGCCGCGATTTTAAACATCACTTGCCCGGCTGTGGACCCGATGATTGAATTGAATAACGTGGTATACACTGCCTATGACTCTTCAGTCGCGAAGGGCTTGAAGATTACGGACAACTGGGCTCAAGATTTCATAGACGCCGTTGAGAGAATGTGTGAGAGAAGTCAGTAGATTGATGGTCGGTGACATCGCGCACCTATTATACCCTATATTCCCATCTCACTACATTTTCATTTGTATACACTTTTATCTTCCTGGATCTATTGTACACATACTTGTACCTAATCCTCGCTTGGGATAAAGCAATTGCCTTATATGGATGCATATGTCCCAATCCGCAGTTACTGGCAATTCAAGCGTGGGCACATCTTCACGACAACCGCACCTTCCACCTCGCCATCATGCTTAATGCAGCGACACTTGATTCGCGTCAAGCGATTAACGAAGTGACGCAAGGCCAGAATGCAGGTCAGAGCTTGTTAGACAGTAAGTAGGACTCGGACTGACATGAACTAGCCATAGGCCGGAAGAGCAAAGCAGAGGGAACGAAGTCTAATCCTGTGAGACTTCTCATGTGCTCAGGATGTCGCTTAGTGAGGTACTGTGTAAGTCTTTGCGATATTTTCAGAATATACACCAGATTGATATAGTGTAACCCAACAGAGCCCAGAGCGTCAGAAGGCACACTGGCCGACTCACAAATCACTCTGTCACCTTTGAAAAGAATTATGGCGCTCTCTTTCAGCTGAGTACGAGGAATTTAAGGCTATTCCTCATGTTCCCTCTTCCAAATTTGCTCATTGGTCGTCGCCAAATCTCCTTCTGACGTGCTCGCCGAACACCGCGCCTTCACGAAACAGACACACCCGCTTCCATTTCAAGCAAGCTTTAATTGAATATCATAAGTACCCCGGACAAGTGGAACGACCATATCGTCCTGGTCAAAATCCATCGCATGTTCGGGGTCGACGTTGGGCGCGTTTCCTGATCGATGATTTTTCCCGTAGCTAGCCCCAAAAAGGCTACGGGATGAAAATATGCTTCTATCAGCGGCATGCTGGAGCAGAAGGCTATTCAGGAAGAGGCTCAGAGTAAAAAGTTCGCCCCGCTCAGTACGATCGCGATCATCATTCAAGCCCTAGCGGACGCCAGTGAAGCCGAACCAGCCATTCCATTGTCACGAGCAATGTCACGTTCTATGCATTCACAGCAGAATCATAGTTCGTGCCGGAATTCACGTCGAGGCGGAAAGAGAGCGTCATTGATGCAGTGGATAGGATTGTAGATGAAGCTTGAGGCAAGATGAGGGGGCCTAAGGCAGGAAACCCTCGATAGCGACCTCAGAGGCCTTGCGATACTGGTCCACCTATTTCTCAGATTGATAGACTTACGCAGTCTGAAGCTCGTCGCTCACGGTGATAGTGGATATTTTTGTGCTCATATCAGTGCATCCAGTTCGGGAGCACGAATGTCTGGTATCCTTCAACCGCCGATTGTACGAAACGATTTATGCCAGGCACTATATGGCTTTTTGATACGACAATTGCGATACTGCCAAGAGTATTTCGGATGCACGTCGAAGCTTGTCACGCCAAAAGGGAGTGTCACATGCTGTCACGACTGATCAGCGATCAGCAGAGTCGTCTAGTCGTGGGTCGACCACCAGCTCTCATCCAGTCGCGTCCGATTACCTGCAAAGGTTGCATGAAAGTTCGTCACCATGAATGGATTAAATCATAAACGGAAAGAACAAGTAAAAATGCATCTACAATGCCAGGGATGTCAGTTGTCCTCACAGCAAGCCTTGCTATCTAACATGCTAATCGCCGTGAACTACTCAGGTTTCTTGGATAAAGCAGGTGGTCAATCATCTCAACCTGTCAAACTGTTCGCTTGTTCAGGATGCCATCATGCAAAATATTGTGTAGGTACCATGATACGACATGCACGCCAGAAGACACGCTGAGACATGATACAGAGTCCTGAGTGCCAGCGAGCGCACTGGCCGATTCATAAGCCCTTGTGTAAATCACGTCAACAGACGCAGCACCGTCTTGAGGCACAAAACGCGCAGATGGCCGAAAATCTACACAGCGCTGCTTCATCGTGTTCAACATCTTCATCTTCCAAGCCCCTACTTCCCACCGAGTTATTCGAGGAACTTCGCGCCTTCTCGAAACAAATACGACCCTTATTAGGTGAAATGGGATTTTGCGCGATGGATCTCGTAAACAACCCAGACAGGTGGAAGGATCACTTCGTGCTGGTAAAAATCGCGCGTCTTTTCCCCGTCGACGCAGAAACTCCTGCGTGGGCCCGTTTCGTCGCGAGAGACATCGAGGCAATACCTAACTCGCAGATTGACCGCCTTCCACACACCGCCTCGGGCATGAGCTTCACTGAGATCTTCGAGCAGAAGAAACGCCAGGACCAGTATAGCGCTTCGCTTGGGTATATAGACTCGCTCACAGTTATGATACAGGCGGATGCAGACCAAGGCTCGGACTTGTGTCGTATCACCATATGCAATGTGGTATTCGTCGCGTTCAAGTCGATTCCTAAATCCTTAGTAGGTGATGGCAACCGACCTAGACGGCGCGAGGTTTACCTTTATATGATGAACATGATGATTGAAGCTGTTAGGAGGAAGACGAAGAAGAAAAACACAAAGTGATCCTATCTGTAATTTAGGCTTGGGTGTTCTTGTATGGCCAGTTCAGATTAATAACCATTCATGTCTAGGTCGTTTGAAGCTCTCAAAGACTCGAATTAATGACATTTCCTATGTAGCCGGTGTGCTTCCTATAAACCCCTTCTCAGAGCCTTCCCTTGTCGTTACGCCTCTACTTTCTTTCCGCAGCGTTACAGCGACCTAGCCCTGCGTCGATGACCAGTGATATGGCCCGGAGGCAATGTTTGTCCTGTAATTGAACATTGGCTCTTCTGAAGCTGTGCGATTAGTTTGACGGAGTTCAGGTCCAGATGATCGTCATGAAGTTCGCGAATGAGCATCAAGCACTGGCTGGCAAATTCGGCAAGCGACGGAACCGCACTGGTTGTCGGAAAGTGTTCAGCAAACTCGGGCAGTAAACGATTGACTGCTGGCATCATTGAAGTCCTGATGTCTTTCTGAGAGTGCGCGAGGAAGAACAGAAGCATCAGTAAATATCCGGCTATGGATTCTGGGTCTCCGCTTCCCGTAGCGCGATCACAATGAGATATAAGGGATGAAAAGGCTGAATGATAATAACCCCTTCGTCAGAATGCGTGACAGAAATACACGAAAGTTAGCTGCTTACCAGTCTCGTCTGTCAGCATGTTGACCTGTCCTCGTAATTGTAGCAAGAACGACATATTGCTCGAAGGGTGTTCGTGTAGTGAGTATGGGAAGTAGAAGAACCATGCGACGTGGTTTATAATATCGCTGTCTTCTTGGATGAGTAGCGATTGCAATAAATCGCCCAATTGTGCATCTGGAGCCTCTCGTATATGCCGCGTCAAGAAGTCGAATGCACAAGTGAAGTCCTTCGATACAACTAGACGTCCAATGCTTTTCAAATCAGCGTGGAGGGCTGCAATGCACGATGCGATCGAGTGACCAACCACCCTAGGCTCTCGAGCTTTATAGTTGTATAACGTCCAGTGGTGGAGCGATAGGCAGGAGACGTCCTGATAGCAGTCTCTCAAGATGTCTTGAACATCATGCCGCAGTTCCCTCCTCAGAAATTGTAGGATTAATACATCCTGGCCATCGTCCTTTTGAGCACTGTCCTCGGGCGCCTGACGCTTGAGGATAACATCCCAAATTGATTGTGTCATACGGCTGAGTATTGGAGACTTGTATGGACACTGAGCATGGAGCACGGGGGCAATCGTGATTACCTGGAATATGGCCACTATCACCAGGATTACAGCTTGGGTGCCCCCAGCGAAAGACGAATCTATAGAGGAAAGGAAAGTAGTGAAGCCGCTTAGAAACAGCATCAAAGCTATGACTAACACCGAGGAAAGCCTGTCGGCAAGGAATGTTACACCGTACATTTGAAGACCTCGATAGCGATAATGCCGTATGCGCAAACGTTCGCGTGGCGGGACAGAGGGGAACACCATGTATACTCGGAGCCATTGCTTGATACACATTCCTAGGGCTGCAATACTCAAGCTGAGCACGAGACTGAGAGACCAACATGTATTGAGGAACCACGCGCTGGAATCATGTTCTGGAAGTTGGAATTGAGATATCATCGATTCGTTGAGTGCCGACTTGTTCAGTTGCAGGACAATCTGCATCAGAAGATAATTTGAAGCGCCTTGTGGATCGGGTTGTAACCGTTTATAAGAGTCGACGAAGAACGTGGCAACTACAGCCGAAAACAACCCGGCCTATTCACAAAAACTTTGAGCAAGGAAAAGAATAGAGAGAAAAGAAGCACATACGAAAACCAAAATCGAATCCATTTCCTCCTTGAAGTCTTTCACCATTCGTTCGTCGTGTTGGCGGACGAGTTTATCGAGTTTGTACCAAGCAGACGATTCATCTGGCTCCTCTTTTGACTGTATCAAACGATTCGGTCAATAATGCCAGGACAGTACTCTGTCGACTCACATTGTCTACTCGATCGTTAGGGCTGGGGATACCGAGTTCGGCGTCGGTCTGCATCGTCTGTTTTGTGTTCAGGTTGGGAGGTTGGAAAGAACACTGGCTGGTTCATTCGAGGAGGTAATAGGATTGACCATGTGGCACTGCTTCGTAGGTGGTTCTAGTGTGGGTTCGCACGATCTCTTCTAGCGCGTGGGAATCTGTAGTGAGTTGGATGTTGTACAAGGAAAGAGCTGGATTTGGGCCATCTGCACCATTCTCAGATTAGTATCATAGACTCTCTGTTATACAGTATATCAGCGCCGTAAGAATGAAACACTGAAAGCATATAACTAGCATTCTTTTCCTATCAGCTGGCGATTGCAGGACCTAACAGTTGTGCTCCGTGGATTATCAATTCCCGTGTCGAGAGCACCTATGACAGAAGCGAAGATTATGGGTATGTAGATGGCAAAGCGAGTTGATCAACTTACCCTGTAGTAACCCATGTTCAAAGTAGGACTCGCCACGACGTATTCAGAACCTAACAACTTAGAATGTCTCATATCAAATTAGAGAAGTCGAAGATCACGAAGGGTAGAGAATGACCTGCACAATTATTCACTTGACTTCCAAGCAAAGGCAAGAACAACTGTTTTCAACACACAGCTTGATGAGTACCGGTCCACTGCGAAAAGCAGTGACTTTCGTATCATGGGCATTGTCTTACTGATGACATAGGTTGTTCTACGGAAATACTATAAGGAATGGTCAACGCAGTGACCAGGCTTGATACGGACATCATGACATACATACAACTATTTGCGGAATGATAGGCCAAGTCCTTCAGCAAAAAAGTACAGTAGAAACTTTGAAGATCTGCTCTCGGCTGAAGGTAGCACTCACTCAGGACCAGGATGGCTGAGACGTTGCAGGCTCTCCTATTTCATGAATGCTCCAAGCTCTGTTCGTAATTGGCCCGGAAAACTATGATAGACCTTCGCGGATTAAAGCTCGTGTGCTCGATACCTTCATAAAGTGGCCTACCATTCCGTAACTGGCTGTAATACAAACCATGGTCAAGTACTTGCTTCGTATATGTATCGGAAGCAAATCTTGGAGGATGGTGACAGGACAGGGTTAGGGTTTGTGTCCACCTTGACATCACCTGCAACGGCTACACCGTCCGCGTCAGTGTTGCCACCAGGATATGGAGCTGATCCAAATGAGATAATTAGCGAAACAGTGAAGAACATGGAAGATATAAACCCCAATGCTCTCTCGGACCCTCGTCAAAATCAAGCACTTACCTTCAACCACATTTCTCTTCTCTTGCCAACCTCGTCCGAAGGTCGTCGTAAGAGCTTTTACACACAGCACAGTCAGAATGTCCGACAACCAACATGAAGGAACAACATTGAAGCAGAAGATCCCGAAGCAGGAACAGGACCTGCCAGGATTGCAGAAGGAGATGGAACCGGAGCCATTCAACACGAAACTAGAGACAGCTGCAGGGCCTAAGGAGTATATAGGCGTTGGGAAGCTCAGAGGCAAGAAGGCGCTGATTACTGGAGGAGAGTACGTGCAGTGTGATTGGCCTTTTGAGAGGCGAGAGAGGGCTAAACACTCCATAACAGCTCTGGTATCGGCCGCGCAGTGGGGATTCTCTTCGCGCGTGAAGGTGCGGACGTCACTATTGTGCACCTCCCCGAAGAGCAGAAAGACGCAGATGAGACCGTATCTGCAATCAAGCGCGAAGGCCGGGAAGGTTTCTCGATTGCCTTCAACCTAGAGAATTTCAAGAACGCCGATCAAGTCACCGCGAAGCACATTGAAAAGTTTGGCAAAATCGACATCCTTGTCAACAATGCTTCCAAGCAGGCCATGGAGAAAGACTTCGCAAACATTAATTTGGATACAGTCGAGAGCGTATTCAGAAGCAACATCTTGCAGATGTTCGCTATTACGAAGTTTGCGTTGCCGTATATGGACAAAGGCTCAAGCATCATAAATACGACGAGCGTGACGACGTTCAAGGGTAGTCCGGCGATGGTGGATTACACATCCACGAAAGGCGCAATCGTCGGGTTCACGAGAGCATTGGCTAAGAATCTCATCTCGAAGGGTATCGTAAGTATTGTGTGCCTTCGCCGAAGTCTTGCATGTTCACTCACTTAATGCATTGCACGCAGCGAGTCAACGTTGTTGCTCCAGGGCCAGTTCATACACCTCTGCAACCCGCTTCTCGTCCAGCGGAGCAAATGGAGGGGTTTGGTGAACACTCGCAGATCGGTCGACCTGGACAGCCATCAGAAATCGCGCCTTCGTATGTCTTCTTGGCCAGTGCAGAGGCAGAGCTGTACTATGGACAGATTTTGCACCCGTATCCCTTGGGTGACTAAAAACAACTTATTGGTAACCAAGCTGTCAAGTAGTAGTGTCGAGGAAATCACCCAAGGTCAAGCTATAAGTCGTGGTATATGCAATCAGATATTCATGTCGCGAACGTATTTGAGTAAAGGCTTGAGTATTCAATTTATGATCTTCGCAAGCCAGGAAAAAGCCAATGTTTTGACGACAAGTGTCCGAAACGCAGAGGGCCTACAGGCGCGACCTATCGTTAATTGGAAAATTAGTAGCGTGCGCTCCCCGTTTAGTCAACAGCATATCCGTATGATCTTGAAGCCGACAGCGCCAGAAATACGGAGAACAAGAAAAATATGAAAACCTGCAGCGTTCAAAGTGGACAGAAGCAAGGCGTTCAGTCAGGTTCAGTCGCACGACATGATATTTCGCTTACCAATCCTGCCTATTTTGGGAGCGCGTAATGGATGGTGGCTACGCCCTCCACGTCTACAGCGGACGCGGTCTTCATAAGCTCACACTCGGTGTTCCTTTCTTTCTCTCATCTTCCTCAGTTTCACGACCCTCCTTGACTTCTGTTGCTGGAATTTGGTGAAGGAATTGCTATAATGAAGTTCTCGTTTACGCTGTTCGCAGCGGTCGTCTCATTAGGCGGGGCTTTAGCTTCGAATGTGATCGAGCTTAACCCGGACAACTTCGACACTATCATTGGGCAGGGCAAGCCCGCTCTGGTGGAGTTGTAAGTACAACATAATTTGAACACTCTTTGCTTGAATCTGCCGTATTTAATGTACTTGCGTAGCTTCGCGCCTTGGTGCGGTCACTGCAAGGTACGGTAGCACACCAAATTGCTCTTGTTCGGCATTATGTATTACCAGTCTTACAAACCATGCTTCATAGAATCTTGCTCCTGTATACGAACAACTCGCCGACGCTTTTTCGCATGCAAAATCAAAGGTTGTCATCGCGAAAGTCGATGCCGACGGAGCAGGTAAACCGTTGGGTCAGAAGTACGGCGTTACTGGATTCCCTAGTATGTATCGACCCCTCATCATATTCTTTTGTGAAGTTGGAATACTGAGACAGTTCGTGTAATCAGCTCTGAAGTGGTTCAACGCCGAAGGGGGTGAACCTGAGAAATACGAGGGAGGCCGTGAGCTTGAGACCCTTGCTAACTTGTGAGTTGCCCCGTTGCATTGTAGATATAAATGCAGAATGCTTAACGTTTTCATAGTATCACACAAAAGTCTGGTGTTAAGTCCAATATCAAGCCCCCACCCCCGCCTGCTTTCACGATCCTCGATACTCACACTTTCGATGAAGTCGCACTTGTAGGTCTTCACCAGGAAGTTAAATGGCGGAATAGTTCTTAACATATAACGTCCTACAGGATAAGGACAAAGACGTTTTGGTCACCTTCACCGCCCCTTGGTGTGGTCACTGCAAGCGTCTCAAGCCCATCTACGAGGAAGTCGCCAAGGATTTCGCTGCTGAATCCAACGTACGTTCAAATATTGAGAATATCTATAAATGTGATCCAACCCTGTCAATCTCTAGTGTGTTGTCGCAAATGTCGATGCTGATGCCGCTCCTAACCGACCGCTCGCCACGAAGTACGGGATCCAGAGCTTCCCCACCATCAAGTTCTTCCCCAAGGGCAATAAGGGTGCGTTCTTCCCTTTCTTCGCAATTGCATATTCCGCAGCTAGTATATCAACATACTGTCTTCTGTAGACGAACCCCTAGATTACGATGGCGAGCGAACTGAAGCCGCCTTCGTCGAATTCCTTAACGAAAAGTGTGGTACTCAACGTGCAGCCGGCGGAGGCCTTTCTGGCCAAGCCGGACGCTTGCCTGAATTCGATTCGCTCGCGAGTAAATTCTTCGATGCTACTGGCGAGGCGAGACAATTGATTCTCAAGGATGCTGAGAGTCTTGCAAGCACTGTTGGTCCAGTCGCCAAGCACTACGTGAAAGTTATGGAGAAAGTCGTTAACGGCAGTGAGGCGTATATCGAGAAGGAAACCAAACGGTAGGTTTTAGAGCTGGTAGTGCTCTGCTTTGGATTCTTTTATTAATGTTGTGACATATAGATTGGCCAGCATCCTTCAGAAACGCACTCTCGCTCCTCAGAAACTTGATGAGATCAAGATCAAGGCTAACATCCTCAGCGCGTTCAAGCGTGCAGAGGAGGCTATCGAGGACGCTGAGAAAAAAGTCGAGGAGGCTATTGGAAGGGCAACCGCTGAGTTGTAAACTTTATCGTAGTACGGTTGGATAGTCTGTATTTATATCATTTGCTCTGACTGATTTCATTGGACTGTTTTCTCCTTCAGTAATCTGAGATGTCAACATCATACATGTTGTACAACTCATCTTTTATGCCGATCCTATAGAAAGCCGAGTGACAAGCTCAGTTGATGTGTATCCTATGCTTGGATAATAGAAAGGCACTGGTCTTACGGGGCACCGGTGGTTGAAACAGTGGTATGGATGTTCAATTCCCGGTGTGTCCACCATGTTTGTAGCGAGGAGATGCGGAGAGGGCAGTTGTTGGAGCCAGTTGGTGGCTAGTGAGATATGTGAGGGAAGAACGCGACTTTTTTGCCAAACGATAGTTGCGCGAGACCACTACCGCACAATTGACATACTTAATCCGAGGTGTCAGGTTGCGCCATATCTTCAACATTATCGACCCCGAACCCGTTTTGTTCAATACATATCATTCAGCTTCAAGATCTAAATGACGGCACACCCTGCTGTCCTCCCTAGGAGCCCACTCTGAAATACATGAAGACAGGAGGCTTACTGTAACAATGTGATGAAAAATCAGCCCGGTGAAGTCTTCTAGGAAACGAAGTTCAACGGTAGGCGATAAAGTGGCCAATAACGGAGTTTTCTGTCAGTAAAGCTATGTTACATAGACGCACCGGCATTCTAACTCAGGCGAGCAGCGCCTAGACGTGATGTTTTCTCCACCATCAAGCTTCGCAGAGCGTCCCAGTTAGATTAATTGTATCGGACATCTCCAGAAGCCACCCTCCGTGATGTTGCTTATCGAAAAGAGGTTAGGACATGCTATTGCGAGCGAACAATGCTTTGTAGCATATTGCAAAGTGTGATAGAACGAGAATGTGGGGATCCAGATCATGATCAGTGAGTATCAGTCGTCAGTAGAGATGAAATTAGAATGTGTGCTATCTAGAACGGGTCGAGTACTCACGACATTGACTCGGTCATCCCTAACTGACACGCTCAAATAGTCAACCACTGACCAGGCCCAGGCGTCGGTCCGCATTGCACATATTGGCATGCAAGGTTCCAGCCAGAACGGTCAAATGAATGGATAGGAACTGGCCATATGGTATCAGTAAAATGGGGTATGTCCTGACCGACGGACCGGTTAGTTCAAACACAGCAGATGATTCAGCCAAAGGTTTATACAAGTACCGAGTAGGGGACGTCTAAATGCTCATGTAAGTTAGAACTTTCAATCCGTTGAATGTGAACAGCGTGAACCGGCGTGAGCATTGAGTGAACCTTGGGAACGAACGGGGATATGTCGCGTAATACGAAGGTATGAATCATCATGAACTTACGTTCACGGAACTCTTGGGGTTCTGCATTTAGACTGTAATCACACGGACGGCAACTGCGAAGTTCTCATAACTATGGAAGACGGGAGAATAGAAGTGAATATCACATCGCGCAGATTGGTCGGTCAACTTAGAGGCCATATTCAATGAACGTCGAGGTATCATCAATGAGCCGTTCATCGAATTGCAACAGCTAGGAACCACATTGAGTCAACCTACCCCTTAGAGAGAGTGAATGATGAGAAAGAGAAGAAATGCAAGGCGGCAAAGTTCTGTTCATGAGATGTCGTACCTTCGTGCCTTAGACTCACCGTCTCAAATCTGGTAATTGGCATTGAAATTTAGTCAACGCATGAGAAGAGCCTGTCCTATATGCATAACTGACTCGTTCGACCCAGCATTGTCGTACATATAAGGACTCACCGTGGTTTGGAATATGATATAGTTGTTTCAGAATTGCAGCTAGATCATCCATGTCCTCGGAGGAAGTGCATCGAGTCCTGAAGGGGTCAGATGAAGGCACAGCGCTTCCCATGACCGGCTAATGGACGGTACACATACCGAGCTAGAAATGGACGCATATACCAAGTTAGAACCGATGCGTATATAGTCATGTTCAAATTAACCCGTTCTGTTCGCATATAGCCACCACAACAGCGATCGAAAGACGAATCTTCATTGAGTCCACCCACAAACCCGTTTCCCAATATTATACGAAGTCAAGAACCAGTCTTCTCCGGAAGCGATATACTCGTATGTCGTATCCTCCCCACGAGATAAAGCGCATATCCGAGCCGGAGTTGTCGCGTTCGATGAGAGACGTGATTGTCCAAAACACCCGACCGGTCGATTCTCCTTATGATGGACCTGGCACAACACTCCATGTATATGTAACAATAGAGAGTATGGGACCGCTTTCGCACTGATAATAATGTAACGCGTCCAAGGGCGAGAACTTGGAAGCAAATTGGGAATCCGTGTAACGCGCATCGTAAACGCGACGATCTTCTAGACTTGTGGGTTGCCCCGTCTAATTTCCAAACAGAGAGAACCAGCTTGACAGGTCATTGGGCCAGCTCGTTTCAGGCACTCGCACACTCCAGTGCTGACCTGAGATGCAAGTAGATGATCAAGGTCCTTGAACGGCATCCGTTCGGCGAGTGCCTTTAAGGCCTGGACAGCCATGAGTATGCGGTGTGCCCCATTTAATTTGCAAGCTTGCTTGGGAATTTCTAGCTGACTCTTCAATCGTAATCAGCCGAATTGCACAGTCAAACTTGGGGTATGGACACGATACACAGTATGATGTGAGCTTGCAGGAAGACCGGGAGAATAGTGGTACGTCCGATACTCACTGTTTCCAGCCTGCATGCGGTGAGTCAACGCATGAAGCGTTCCGAGCGAAGTACTCACATGTTTGGCATTGTCGATAGTAGTGACAGACTTCTCTCGATTCGATATCAAGAGCCTCATCTAGACGCAAGAGGGTGTTTATTGACACACACGGTCTTCAGAAGAAACCCGCGAGTCGTTGTGATGCGTATGGAGCTGCATCATAATAATGTAATCTACCGTTTCTCCAACATATTGGCAAAGGACCTAGATTCGACCAGTCAGTAAACAAATTTAGACATCGAGGACGGATAGGGCCAACGATCATGCACTATTAATATATTATTATATATGAGCGTTGGCATCTCATTCTGCAGGTGATGAAGCTTTGAAGGCCTCGTATATGCATTGCATTTAGCAAGTTTCGGGAGCTTCAGAAGCTGCAATCGCCGTCCACTATAAGTGATTAGTTATCGTAAATTACTCCCTTTATTCACTGTCAGCCCAAATGCAACTTATACATGCAACTTACATGACTGGGACTTATACTATCTTCATGAAAGTCTATAGGGAACAAACGTACAAAAGAAAGATGGACGAAATCTATGCTAAATAACCTAAAACAAGTAACACCACGTGGCGAGCTTGTCTCCATGAAGCGGTCGCCAGGAAACAGCGAGTCGTTTGTACTCACACCTTGGTCTTGACCAACTTGACAGCGCCCTATCTTCCATTCTGCCCAGTTGATACGGTGTAAACACCACAGAACTGTGGCTTAGGATTGACATCGGAACACTCTAGGGGAAGAGCGGAACAGTAAGTATAACTAATGTCAATAAATCAGGTAGAGCGGAGGAGGATGCGTGCGGATTTGCTGGTGAGTAAGGTGGGTGGTAGGGATGTGGATGGTGTACGTGAGTGATATGTGGTCGCGGTATGATAACGAGACAAATGGTGAGCACAAAAAATGCGAATAACGGGCATGCAAATGCGGTAGTCGCAATGTGAAGGTGAATTGAAGGTATAAAACTACAAGTGCGGTCAGAAGAGTGTACACGAGCCACCAAATAACAGAGGTGAGTGAAAAGGATACAAGTGGCAGATGCGCTGCCAATTTTGTTACAAAACAGTTCGAGTCAAGTCAAGAAAAATATGTAGGTACAAGGAATGAATACTGTGGATGGTCAACGGACGCCCGCGCACGTTGACCGATTCATCACCAGTTCATATTATCGTATGCGAACAGGTTCGCGAATGGATCATCGCCGCCAGGGGTCGTGTCGTTATACTCGTGCTCCTCAGCCATGGATCCGTACTGATTGTTATCCATGTCGCAGGTTGCGCCGAGCTCAATGGGAGGAATAGAACTCAGGTCGAAGTCATCAGGCTGCATGGCATCGCCCGGTTCTGGCCAGAGGGCTTGTGATCCCCAGGTGTAGCCGCCAAAGCCAAGCGTGGCGGTCTCTTCCTGCAGGTCGTCGACGTTCGAGTCTCCCGGTTGATTGGCAATCGAGAGAGCGGACATCGAGAGATTCTCTGCCGGCGTGTAGGGCCCGCCTCGTGGAGAACAAGAGGCAAGCGAATCCGGAGGAGAGAAGATGCTTGATGCGATGGAGTCGGCAGGAGAGATGAGGCTTGGGCAGTAGGGATTGGCATCTTCCGGGATGTTGAGCGAGTGGAGGGGAACGTTCCTGTCGGCTGCAGGCTGTTGGCCATTGAACTGGAATGATTGGAAGGGATCGCTAGACTGGAGCACGAGCGAAGTAAGTTTCTGCTCGAAAATCAATCGAAGCGACTGATGTGTACTTACAGGCATATTCGTGTCGTAACTCAGTCGTCGGAGAGGCGGATAGAGGGTATCGTTCGGTAAGTACTCGTAATGCGTTGATGGATCCGAGTCACTTGGGTGGGGTATATGGTGGTTAGGAAGAGGGGTCCGCCTGCTGATCCTAGGCACAAGAGAAGGAGAAGTCGGGCATGAAGGCATGAAGACGGTAGGTAGTTGGATAGTCTGGTAAGCCGGCGGGGGAGTTGGTGCGGACACTGCTCGACGATTGCTGTGGCCATGACCATGGCCGTGAGTGTATCCGCGACTGAGACTACGAGGCTCGCACGGGACTGGCAGAACGAAAGAGATGCTCCCTTCCACGTCAGTTTCTCCGTCGCCATCGCCCTTCCCTTTACCCTTCTTACCCCTCTTATCCTTCGTCCGCTGCGGTCTGTATACGTAGTTGGGGTACATTGCTTCATGCTGCTTCTTCTTCTCCTTCGCCAACTCTTCCCAATACGTACGCTCCTCCGCAGAGAGACTCTTCCACTGTTGACTGATTTGCTTGGATAGGTCAGCCTGTCGTTGTCTCTTGGCGGGAGGTGCGATGGGCTCGTCCACCGATGATGTCGCTTCGTCCATTGCCTGTTGGCGATCCTCGCAGCACTTGCGTCGGAAAAGGATGAATGCATTCTCGGGTCGCTTGATATAGTCCTCGTCGCCCTTCTTCGGACGTCTCTCGTTATCGCTGGCTACCGATCTACGACGCCTTTGCGAAGCCTGCGAGGACGCAACCGAAGGTGAAGAAAAAAGTGAAGAACATGTTTCTGAACCAATTGAAGAGGAAGGTGAGAAAGCCCGCTGAGGCGGCGGTGTAGCGAAAGACTTGGGGTCAGGCTCGAAGGGCGAGGCGGACGGCGAGATGGAGCGAATGTCATTGGTGAAGTTGGAAGGGAAGGTGAATGCGCGAGGCGTAGGGGAAACGATGGTGAGGGTCGGGAGGTGCGCGTCCGTCGTAACTTCGAGTTCTGACAATACGAAAGTGAGTACAATTGTGTCCATCCTGTTATTGAACACGCTGAAAGGAAGTTGTATTCTACTCACGTCGTGAATGTGTGTCGCGAGTGCGGTATGCAGGCATGATTGTTCTCGTGATAATTGGTATGGAAGAATGAAAAATGTAGGTGACGCTGGATGGGCTACCTGCAGGTGAGTATAATGGGACAGAGGAGCTCCCGAAGTGGCTGGAGGGACGCAAGGCGTTGGGCAGGAGCCCGGAGGAGGAGAACAATTACACGAGGGACGGACAAAAAGCAAGACAATACGAAGGAGGCTCTTATAGTCTTAGAGCATCTGAGGTTCCGCCGAACGAGCACTTGCGAACGCCTGCTAGATCTCATCGCAAATCTGGATGATTTCTTTCTTCGACGGCCGCTCGGTTGAGGGCCCAAATCCCAAATCGGGGTTAGGATCCAATCATAGGGCTGAGGTATCTCCATTGTGTCACCAAACAGCCACAAATACTTTTTATTGTCTTGCACTCCCCCTGCCCGACAATCCGGTTCTCAGACTCGCTCTATTGTTCTCTACCCATGAGCTACTATCTCTTGCTCGGCGTCTCTTACATCCCCGCGCGACGTCTTTTCCCTCAGGTTTTCCACTGCACCCACGACTTGCCAGTCTTGCCGTATTCGCCCATCTCCCTCTCTCCCCAATGCCTCGAATTTCCCGGGCTGTTCATATCATCTGAACCCTCCGTCGTGTTCGTTCGAGACGCATGTATTTTCCGCACCGCAGCCGACACTCTCAGCCCCCGCCTCGTGTTCCTGACATTTTCGTAAATGTAGACACTTCCAGTTTCGTTCAGAAGTGACTGTATAATGACTCACTACGGAGTGTATCTGACATCTGCGATCGTCGTCAAACCTCTCCACGTTTAGGTTCTACTTTTAGTAGTAATAGTCCGCTGATCTTGTCAACGATATGTTGTCTCGTCGTTCCCGATCTAGCTGATTGCGACATACGCTATAAGGCAACTGTACTCTGAGATACTGGAGAGTGTTTCTTGTGGACACAAGCACGAATGCCTTTGGATGATCACCGTCATCGTCCTGCGGGCTTTGCGCCTCCTTCATCCCGACGATGCGCCTTTTGCCTTTTGCTACCCCGACGTCGGTCTTTCCATTGTCTCCGTCCCCTCCCTATCGATGTAGTGTCCACCACTGCCGACGACCCGTACACGCGAGAAAAATAATCCCACCTGGCGCTGCACCTGACCTAACCTCGCGGTTCGCCTTACGGAAATTAATGGCAAATGTGGATTATTATCAGCTCGATCCCGTCTGCGCCGACAGTTGGGCGCAAGCTGTTTTTACCGGACCAGTCTTTGGTTCCGTCACTGGACATCACCTCCCTCGGAAGCTTATTTCACGGGGCAATTCGATGATCGTCACAATGTCTTTGAACTTTCCTCTCCTTGTTTCTCGAAAAGGAAATATCGAAGGAGGCGCTTGCGGATTGTGAAATCGTAGCTTGATTCCTCAAGCAAAGCTTCGACTCTGCGACAACACATTACGGATCTCTCGCTCCGCTGAGTAGTATGGATACTGCGGGGCTCGGAGTGTGCGTCTGGTTTCGAACTTCATCCGGATCTTAATCTTCTGTTGTCAATCTGGTCGGTATCCTCGGTAACAGTTTGCTCACGCTTCAAACTCTAACTTACAACTTGGGCTTCATGCGAATAGAGTCATGGCTTCGTGCTTCTGCTGGATTCTTAGCTGCGATCGTCACTGTTATGACCGTATGAATGAATGCATGGTTTCATGTTAAGGTATAGCTTACCTTGTACGGTTCCGTTTGTAACTTCCGATCTTAGCCTGCCCGAATGTCTGCTGTATGACAAGATCTGACAACGTATTGTCTGGGAAGACGTCTTACAACACATATAAAGTCATTACAAAGTCCTCTCGCTGCGCTTTCCTGACGGAAGGAAAGCACAAAGATAGTCTAATGTCTAACGGGATTGTCGGGCCCTTCCGTTCACTGTCCTTCATCAATGCATCACTAACTTACTAGTACCGTGCCCACGATGACGCTCCATCCATCGGTGATGCTTTTCCGTAACTCATTTTCTTTATCTCATTTCCCCTTGCCCATCAGTGTACAGGTCTAAGCTAAAGCAGCCGTGGGTGCTCCGTCGGATCGCTGATTATCGTAATTTTTGTGCCCAATATTCTGCTCGCGGTGTCGCCCAGTGACCTCAATGTCAGGTTCAGTTCCGTACATTAGAAATTCAAATGTGGTCGGAATATTCGCCCGAAATTCCAAGCATCGTGGCCAAAGTGTCTGTACGTACATACGGACACGCGTAAAGCGGTGGTACCGACTGCATGGGAATTGTGGGAACGAAGGTAATCAGGAGCGTAATCGAAGTCTTGTATATGTCATATCACAAGTCTACTGTCTCCTTCGCGCTCTGAGAAGATCATGCATTTTCTGTCAGTGTGTTGTGGTCCTGGAATCCGATGACGCACATCATGATTTCTCTCTATGCGTTACCCCATACATCTGCAAGCTCTTGCATATTGGCCGAACCGGATTTTGAATGCCGTTTTGTTCTGATGAGAGAAATACGTACTTGTCGCCGCCGCTTGGGCCACGGTGCCTTATGCTTACTGTTTAGTTCATTACTATTCCAAGGAGATGAAGGAGATGGGATGACATATGTTGGAAATCCTTGTTACGAGAGCTTGGACCACCTCAGATATTCATATGACCTGATGTTGGATAGAGCTCTTGTTCACCCGGGTTCCATCTTGGAACATTTAAATTGTATCAATCCCGTCTCCGTAGCTTGGTCCTCGGATTGATAGGAGGTTTAGAAGCTGGGAGGTGTCAAGGACGAAGTGGTGTGACATATGGAAGCTGATCAGGCGGTATTAAGGATTTCGATATACCGTATTGATAGGGTTAACTTAGAAGTGGTACAGCGGAACTTCGAGATGCCTTTCCGCGGAAGGTGTGTATGTCCTTGGAACCTTTTGCACATGATCCCGGCGAGCTAGAGGCCATCAGAATCATAGTATTGTCCGTTCATTCGCCTTCTGAGTCAACTTGTGTTGTTACTTCGTACCAGTGAGTGATATTCATCGAGCTCGTTAGTTTGCACTTACTCGCACAGCCTCTCGCATGTTATTGTCCACAGAGGAGTACGTCCGTCCTCCTTCACCGCAGTGACCGAGCAAGGACGGGTTGGCATAGCCTAAGAAAAAGTGAAAGTGAAAGTCTGATCCGGTTATACATGTGCTTCCAGAAGGTGAGTTGACCACGTTGTAAATGCATGGCAGCACGGAGCCGACCTTGGACGCACTATAGGGTGAAATGAAATAAAGCCATGAACGTAAAGTCACTCTTTTGAACTCACAATCTCTGTAGATCCCTATACGGCACACTACAGGGCTGCGGTTGCTGAGACAACGAAACAAGAGAAGGATCGAGATCGAAAAATGTCTGGATTTCGATCGACCGACATCGAGCGTCTATATAGTAGCCGGAAAAGGTAGCTGGCGGGACCCTGCGGGACCGGCGTCGGGAGCTCGGGAATCATAGGATTCGGCGCGGTAATCGATCGAATACAATGGAGCCAGGCCGTCATTTTCGGAGCGGCAAGTTGGAAACTTGACACAGGGGCTGACGGCTTAAATAAATCAAATTCAAAAATATTTCTTAACAAACAACTGCCACCTCAAGATACCCTAGAATGCCTGCGAATGGAAAACGAGCACGCACAATTAGTTTGGAGAAGTCAGAGGAAGAGCAATCAATGAATAAGGCAAAGAAGCTCAAGTTACTCGCCTCGCATACCCTTGTATCCCCTTTTCCCAACTTTACACATCCCACGAGATCCGAGACATTCGAAATTCACCGTATATTGTCAGAAGAACACCCGTCAATCGTCACAACTCACAGAGCTCCGTCCGCATCGAACAACTCGGCCAAAACTTGTGGCTCTGTGCCGAACGTCCTCGAGTCGCTCATTGGCACGATTTTGTCTCAGAATACATCCGCGCGTAATTCCACCGCAGCGAAAAGAAATTTGGATGAAGTATTCGGAAAGAATAATTTCGAGGTGATAGCCACGGCTCCAAAGGCGGATGTTGTCGAGGCAATTAGGAGTGGTGGGTTGGCGAATAAGAAGGCTGACGTCATACAGAAGATCTTGAAGGAGGTGAAAAAGAGACACGGGACGTACTCTCTTCAACACCTCGCGGGAATGGTGGAGGACTCCAAAGTTAATGACGTGAAGGGAAAGGTGAAGCCAATCTCGAACGAGGAAGCCATGCAGGAGCTGGTATCCTTCGAAGGTGTCGGGCCAAAGACCGCGTCTTGCGTATTACTCTTCTGCCTGGGACGGTCATCCTTCCCAGTGGACACCCACGTCTTCCGACTTTCCCGGCTTCTGGGTTGGGTGCCACCGAAGGCGGATAGAGTCACTGCTCAGGCACATCTAGATCTTATGATCCCAGGTGAACTAAAGTATGGGCTTCACGTCTTGATGGTTGGGCACGGGAGGAGGTACGCTGTGTACTGATCGCTTCGTCAGAATATCATACTTACGATGATGTGGTAGGTGCAAAGGGTGTAAGGCTGGGCCCGGAGCAAAAGGTGACTGTGTATTGAAGACTTGGCTTAAGGAACAGAAAGATTTCAAGACGGAAGACGTAGAAGACGCGGTGCTTGAAGCAGATGTGGAGATGAAACGTGAGCTCGCATGAAGGACTTTATACCTCGATTATCCCACTAGGAAGTTGCCTTAGTTCTTGATCTCGCAAGCCATCTTAGAGAGATACAGTATCATGAGACGAAGGTATCCATTCGCCACTACGAGGAAGCGTAAAAACAAGGTTACTGCCAAAACTGGACAGGACGACAACATCGTCGCGCTACGGCACCTCGGCAGACACGATCACGTGCGGATACGTGACAAAGGTGCGACAGACTTGTGAAGACAACCGTCTTCGTAAATCCTCCCAGTTCTCTTCAAAAACTGGCGTTGAACGTGTATATAAAGCTCATTTGCATTCATAAGTACACAAAGACGCGATTTTTCAACAAATGTTGGAAGAAATACCGTGTCACAATACTGGTCACGCCTGATAACAGATTGTTTATGATAGGACCCACATACGCAAATCAAAATGGGCGTGCCTTTCGCAAGGCAAAATCCAAGGATGCCTTTCCGTCTTCCCAACACGTCCCCCCATTACCGGGCCTTCCTCCGCTTTTTTCATATCTCCCCCGCTCATACATTGCTCAATCACAACTGATCTTTGACTCGAACATAGTCCATTGCCACTCAGAGTAGTACAACCGACATGGTCTCTACCACCCGACTGCGGGTCCTTGAGGAAAAGGGCCCATTAATAGCAGCCTATTACGGTGAATGCTACTGTCCTGACAATGTTGTAATCTATCCCCAATACGTCGACCCTACCAAACCTTGGGCTCCACCCGAACTCTTCACTCTGGATCACGCCCATAATCCAGAGAATTTGTGGTGGGTGAGGGATCGGGTGGTGCCGGATATGAAACCTTGGCAAGCCCATGGGTTTAGTCCACGAAAGGGGACGTTAACTAGGGAACAGATGCTTGCGAGAAAAGGATCGAGGTTGTCGCCTCGGTATTGGATGCATAAGATTCGTGAGTATACACTGTTCTTTCGCTTACACTGTCACATTATGAACATGAAAGCGCTCCTTTCCGGAGGCCGGGCCTTCTACTTCCCTTCTTCGATTGACGTGCGATTCTTGATTCTGACTGAACGGGGTTTCCTTTCTAGGGAAGTTGGTAATCGATAAAAGAGCGTATAAACGAGTCGAAAAGGATTGGCCAGGATTGCATGGAACTAAACGGGTACCCTTACCCTCGGATTGGCTAGAATATGGATATTGGGCGAGACCTGCTTTCAAGCATAACAGGCCTAATCGAGAAATTGATTTCGTTGCCAATTCCAGTATGTCCTTCTTCATGCTTCGACGACGGAAACGCTAATCAACGTGTTCAAATTCTTTTAGCGCCTCCAAGCAGGATCATTGAGCTCCCGAAAGAAGACGTTGAAGCAATGGTCGTCAGTCTTCACGAAGAGGATTGGACTTTCAACCCACTTAACTGGATCCCTCGAATAGAGCACCCAATGCTCCCCAAACGACCCGATTTCTGGCCCACGCCACACTCAAGCCAAAGCAATTTGACTTGTCGCTTACCTTCTGAGCTTATCCTCAACCCACTCCTGGAACATCGGAAATTCGGCAGACCGCCGATCCTGTTTGACATTCGTCGAGAGCTAGAGACGATCCTTATACATGGGCACGAAGGCCACGGTTGGAACAATACCCCTCTTGGGGAGAATGGCTGTAACTCGTATCAACCTGCGACTTATCCTGGAGTCAGCACGTTGACAGTGAACTTCCTAGCAGAAGATACTCGCCTGATATTTGACTGGAAGTTTACCGTCATACCGCATCATCCGTCTTTGCCTGTGATGGTGATTGATGTCCTGAATGCGATAAAGGAGAACTTTGATCAGTGTCTGTCAGGGGATGAGGTTGAGACGATCGTTGGGGAGAGGAGGCATCAGATGTGGCATGCGTTTGAACGACGGTGTAGGTTCTTTCGGCAGCCCAGAATTGGAGGGATTAAGCGTATGGATTACCTTGGGGATCAATATTACTTCCGGGGTTTGGAGCCTGCGCCAGATAACGAGGGTTTCGTGATGTTCTTTGGTCCTCCTTGAGCCCTGACCATCGACGCTGGACGATCAAGCCCCACTCTATTGTGGTGGGGTTTGACAGATGGCCATGAGTTCAGGTCTATCTCCCTCATTGCTGGGCCTGGGTTGTTTTACGTGGTCAAACGCTACAATCATCTTTTTCTATTCGCATCCTCGAGCATTATCCTTACATTCTATTTAGGGTGTTCCCTTTGTACTTTAACTTTGGTATTATTAAGAATGACTTGTATGACGATCCGCTTGGCTTGCTGGACGATTAAGCTCTGTGGTGGAGCGTTTTCTCCAATTGTTCTGCACCTGGGTATCCTCGAGGTCGAAGAACGACTTTCGTCCTAACGTGAGAAGATTCAAGCGAGTCGCATATCCGTTCTTACTTCTATTTCCTGATTCACTCACCTTTGTGGACACAAATGGGTTACTTGGATGACATGCAACGCATGTCCAACGTGCTTCAACATACCCCCAGAAATATACAGGTAATTTGTGAACACTAAAGACAGTTGGATCCGACTCGATCGTCAGCGCCGCATTTCCACGGAGGTCGAAGCGCACTTCCGATTATTCCGTGTTCAGTGTTGAAATTTCCCTTTTGGCCGTCGGTGAACTTCGCCACGTAGAGCGGGTCAGAAGTATCCAACAGAATCCATTGTCAAATTGACAGCGGAGAGGTTCAGAGAGAAAATGCAGGCGCATCCGCCCAAACGAAGCAATGTGGCGCTAGAACAGGCAGCATTGAACGCGCGACGCGACTTGTGACATGGATCACATGTAGCGTTACGTGAAGCGTTATCGGGCTTTCGGTCCGACTGTCGATTCTTGCTTGGGGCTTATGTCGAAAGGCGATGTACTAAGTTCTCATCTGGAATCATGGAAGTTCACAGAGGCGTAAAGTAGAAGAAAGCGCAGCTACGGAGCATCCGGATGAATCTCGAGATGACATCAGTGTCAAGGGAAAGAGACCGGGGATCAATGAGGTATATTGTCATGAGGTCAAAGACAGAGTGAATGTTTCAAGTGTAGCTTGGGAAGGAGCAGGGGAAATGAGAAAGCGCCGCGAGGAAGATGTCCGATACATGATACGGGTTGACACGATGGTCATGAAGCTTGAAGACCGGCAATGGGTTCTCGCTCTCGGCGGAATAAGTCTGTCCGGTGAACCAAGGTTTAGACCTTGGCATTTGGTGCGTTCAGCCGGGTCAATCGGTACATACTTCTGTGAAATATGAACGATGACACTCGTGGTCAAAGCTGCAACGAGCCAGAAAGTGATGTTTCTTAGGAAGGGCGTAGGGTAAGTAAGATCGATAGAGGGAAGAGCTTGCCTTCGAGAAGAGGCATGACGTGAACCCGTCTCTCCTTCCGGCATTTCGGAGTCAGAAAGTGCAGAGCCTAATCCACGCGAGCAACTCTGGGCAAGGTTTACAGAGTCGAGTCACAGGAGACCTGGCTGGAAGAAGAAAATGAATCTCATCTGTCTCGTACGATATGTCAAGGCCAGATGAGGTGAACAATGGGACGAGCTATACTTACGCCGTGTCAAACATAGGGCCGCACTCTATTGGATATGTTGGATATCAATCATGGTGTGTTTGAAAGATGAGAGAAAGTCGTACCTTGCTAGGATATCGCAAGACAAGTCCGAGAGTCCAGGGCGGAACTGGATGTAGTACATGTCCAATTCCAAGTAATTGGAAAATACGGGGACCTGGGAACAGTGAGAGACCGGACCGAGTCTTGACAGCTGTAATAAATTTTGGATTACTTCAGGTCGTTGAGAACAGATCAGCCAGAGGGTGCACACGATAGTTGAAGGGCGCAGATACAGTTTAGATGAGTTAGGGCACATGATCAGAGCGGGCGGGGAGGATGCGTCGCCGACTCGCTGTCGTTTGTCTTCTAGGTTCAAATTTCTTCACGTGTAGAGTATCCGGATCACAACAGCGGGTTACTGTGAGTACGCGGCTCCCCAGTACGCGTAGAAAACATGGAAGACTTCATGGAGGCGTTGATGGAGAATTCTTCGGAAGAGGATCCGAACGTTGGTGTAGACCAAAGTAACACTTTGTCTCGCGGTCTGACTATGTTAGCATCCTACTAAGGTAATCGAGTCAGTCCTAATAACTATGTGCATCGTCATAGATATGTATGTTTCGAGAAGGCAAGAAAGACCCCATATGTGCTGGCAATAAGGATTCTTCTAAGGTGATACTGGCATGGAGTATTTAAATATGGTTCTATGACAGCCAAGTCCTAATTCGGTTATATGTAACTCTAACTCTCAAGTTTCCGTCCTTCTCAAGCTACGCTCATAGCCCTCAGGTCTTTCTTTCCGATAGACCGAAGTTTGAACCTGGTTGTCAAGCGAATCAAGGTTGTTGGCATTGTTGAAACGGTACGGAACCAATATCATGAGGTTCACGCCATTGGTCCGGTCATCCTGTGATGCAACATCGACCAGAGATAGATGGCAAACGTCACCTCCGTGCCGGAAAAGAAGTGATATGCATGTGTCGTCCTGGGCGTCGTGTTCTCTATTTGACGATGGCTGCGATGTTTGGAGGCTGTACTCAATCCGCTTATAGCTGGCAGTAATTTTACCCCAACATCTGCGGAAGCTTTGTCGTATCTTCAGTACTTTGTGTGGAGATTTGCATTGGGTAGGAAACTACCACACTGGTCGGTGGATATCGGTCTGCTTCTGTTGAGCTTCTCTGGTCTTCGAGGCGTCATTACGACGGACTAGTGCGCTTTGGCTCGTCCTTCTACACCCCAATATTAACCTTCTGGTGTGTTCTGACTCCTTTGAGGCCGTTCTAGCACGCACCCCCTGCACATTGCCGACCTACTGGTAAGTTGTGGCCGGGAAGCCTGCCCGGCAGTTGTAATTTCCTCACCTACTTGCCTAGAAGAGAATAAAGGCAGAATCACGCCCACGGTGCGCTCTAGCCCCGCCTGTTACTGATTTTTACGATCTTACATCCTGATTTTCTCCTAGCCGTCCGACATTGCTCTACGACCCTGGTTCTTGTCTGAAACGTCTGCTATGACAGCCTTTTGCGATCAGGACGCCCTTTTGCCCGAGGTCGACGACGACGGTGCGTGTACCGACGTTTCCTTATTTGGCATGTGCGCACGTTGCACCCATACCGACGACCATGCTTTGCAGATGGCATGCCGCCTTTGGTCGACAATCCTTACCCGCCGATGACTTTCACATTTGCGATGAATATGACTCCGATCACTTATGGTACTTCGCCTGGTAGCTTCGAAGTTGTGCCTGAGACAACGCCCCAAAGCAAGTTCATATACTCCCCGCCAAGTTCTCCGATCCTTGAACCTATGAAGTCCTCTCATGCTAAGAAACGGGATGCTTCCTATATTCCAAGACCTCCGAACGCGTTCATCCTTTTCCGTTCATCTTTCATACGTGCTCAACATATTCCGGGAAAGATCGAGGGGAATCACAGTGCCCTCTCTAAGATTATTGGTGCGTGCTCATTCTCTCTGTCTCACGGAATCTACCAATGTATTCTCTTATTCTTAGGAAAATGCTGGAAGGCACTCCCGCGTGAGGAACGCGAGGTGTGGGAGGCTAAGGCGATTGTTGCTCAAGCCGAGCATAGGAAGAAATACCCCGACTGGCGATTCAGACCCAGTGCAAACGCACTAGCGAAGGTGAAAGACGGGCCACGAAGACGAAATAATCGAAAAGGAAGAGGAGAAGCGGAGAAGGGAGAACGGAATCGAGAGAAACGATGTGCGAAAATTGCAGACTTGCTGGTGGCGGGGAAGAAGGGAAGTGATTTGCAGGTTGCAATCGAAGCTTACGACTGCGAGACTGGAGAATCGAAGAACGTCAAGGAGGAGAATGGAGGTGTGGTTGTTATGAAGGTCCAGGAGCAGGAAATATCATCCGTCGCCAACGTCATGGTTCCTCAAGTTTCCCCAGTCAATGCTAATGCGACACTTGATATCAACACAGCTCGCAAGGAAATACGATCCTACACCCCAGATGTGTACCACGACGGGAGGTTCAAGACATCGTTAACCTCTATGTTCCGACGTTCGGCCTCTGCGCCTGCATCCCAGACTCGCAACAGCACGTCCTCCACCAATGCTTCGTCCAGCATTGAGGCCTCGTTGCCTCCTCCTGTGGCTTGCGACTTCGCGTCCTTCTCAGCGTCAGCTCAAACTCCCGATGTAGAATTTTCGCCCCAGCCACGTGTGGTCGGTGACATCACACCTGTTTCGACGATGACTTCCACGAGCATCAAAGACGTAAATCGTGCGGATTCTTTACTGCCTTCGGTTCCAGGATTCACGACTGTCCTTACTGATTCCTCTCAAGTCTGTGGCGGTGTTTATCCCATTCAATGCCCTGATGTGAGTCAAAGCGTCTCCTCTGACGCTTTACGCTTGAGCTTTCTCATGCTGATTTTTCTTTATGTTGGTTTCTGGTGATGCAGACGTACGAGCATCCTTCCTTTGACATAAACACAAGTCTTTCGCCATGCAGTCCTGCGCCTACGACACCCGCGTTCGAACCTGATTTTGATGAGGTTTCAACACCTGCACAATCTCCTATTGCGTTCGATTTCGCCGTTCAAGGAACTGGTGACTATGTTGATTCTCCCCACGTTACCCCCGATTCCCCATTCGGAGTCGGAGAGACGATTTCGTCCAACTGCGGAGACCACTATTCTGACTTGCTTTCACACAACCAATCTTCTTATTCATCATTGAAGGGGTGGGCCGGGGATGCCACTTCTAAGCGCTCTTTTGCTTGTGCCAACTCGTGGGTCGGTACTCTTCCTGTTGCTCAGCAACCCATGATATACGACCCCGACCGTGTCATGAAAGATGCCTTCGCAGCCGCGACGGTATCTTATGAAGAGTGGGGCCTCGGATCTTCAGCACAATTGTCTTTGCAATACCCCGATCGCAGTTTCGAAGACCTACAAAGTTTGCAGCACTATGCACAAGGCTGGCAGGACCTTGCAATGGCTACTGGTAACTACGACGACCAGTACCAATTGTTGTGATCCTTGTTATGCCGTTCCTCACAGAGTCTATTTCCCCTTTCTCCTGGACTTTGAACGATCGAAGGTATTCTGGACCTGTTTCAGATCGGTGTCTTTTCATTTACGATCGAGTCCTTATTGTTCTCTTGTCTCCCAGCGGCTCCCAGCGGATGATTCAACTCTTCTGATACACGTTTGTTGACGCTGCCTCTATGCTCTCCTTCTCTTGCGCGCCTTGTCTTTATCCCCTATGCTTCCCTTGTTTTGCCACTTCCTCTATCTACTTCCCGACTTGCCTCGGCTTCCGTCGGGTTGTCATAGAACGCCGATAGTTGTGTTTTACCCTCTTGTTCTCCTCTGTCTCGATATCAGCTGTTGCACACTAGTGTTGTACAGTAGTTGTGTATCTGGTATGTCTTTGCTATCTCTCCCATGCTTTTTTTGTTTTCTGACTGCGATACACGATTCTCAAGATTATGTACTACATGTGTATTTTTCTGTTCTGTATGTCAACAATTTATGCCAGGTTATTACACCCGTGTTCGCCGCTGTACAGAGCTTATCTGGCACTTCAGCGCTATGTCTTGAACTTTGGATCATCATCTGGCGACCTCCACCGAGCGCGTACCCTCACTGACGCTTCACAGTGGTGCTTCTCGCTGCGCTATGGTTGAGTATGGCCGCCACCATATGCTCGCATCAGATGATGTGATGGGCAAGTATCTATTACAATACCCATTCAGGCACTCAATCTTATTTAGCTCAGTCCCACTGGAGAAAGACCGTTCTTGTGGAAGCCTCGGTGAGTGTTATTGCTTCATCTTAGCTCTTGAACCGAGAACCTTGGGATTTGCGGGACGCCACAGGGAAATGATACGGCCCCTCTGTGTCCTAACGCCATTGAATATTACCCATCTTAAATGTTCTTGGGCCTCGCCGCCGACATTCCAGAAGGTCTCTGTGGAGGGACGTGAGCAGGATTTCCACACTCTGTCACGGGCTTTCCATTAATCAACAGGTACGGTTGCGTAAAAAAAAGGCTTGCTGACGGAGCCGATTGTGTCTTGATCGTGGCTCTGTGGATCTCGTAACATGGTTGAAGAATCTCGTGAACTTCAAGTACACAAGAAATAGATTGACAAGGGTACGTTTGACACTCCACAACCGTTCTGTCGTTGTACGAAGAAGTACACATGAGTTCTCACAGCACCGCGCTCTTTTCGGTTGAATACGGGATAATCATTGCTTCCGATACACGGGACTTTCATAAATTCACACCCCAGTATTTGAGAACAGGTCAGCAATCCCTTGGTCCAACAGATAGGAAGGCAAGTCAGCTACATATGAGGTACGTTTGTCACATGCATTTAATACGAGCATGGCTCGCTTATGCCGAAGGACGCTAGCCTGAGAGTGGGTCCAGAAGAGGTCGATCTTGGGTCATGTGGAAGGACTCCATGAACAACCTTCCATTTTTCGGAAGTATATAGTCGTAAAAGAGGAAGCATCAGTCAGTTTTCCTCCACCTATATTAGTGATGACTTGCTAAGGCATTCAGTTTACCTTCTTAGCATGCTAGACATCCGGCAATAAACATAATTCGCAACGCTAGAATTGTTCGGTACGAGAGGTTGACACGTGGGGAAGGTCCGGTTATCTGTAAGCAAGTGTCGATGTATCTCCGCACGTTCCCAAGACTCAGGGAGCAGGGGATAGGATATTCTTACATGGTACGTCCCTCTTTGCTCGCTGTAGAAATGCTGAGTCAAATTTCCTACTCAGGCTTGAGTATGAAGAAATTCTTGACGGGGAAGATTCGCAGTATCAACATTGGTTCCTTGGCGGGTGAATATCTAACAAGTCAAGCATACGGGCTTCCTTCATGCCATTAATTGCAAACGTTGACAATGCGCCACTGCATCCCTCAATGTCGAATACTTTTTAGAACTGCGTACCGATACGCAACGTATTCTTTTAATATAGTGCTGATTGTGTTCTTCTGCGACAGATTAGGCCAAGAAGGATATCGAAATGAAATGCCTCTCAGTCACATGAGATGGCTGGGTACATTGTTCCCTCTTCCAAGGAGCCCTGGTTCAACGATAGCTCAGCAATGGCTTAGAGTCAATTTCGAGGCGTCCCCATCTTTCTAGCACACCCATTGTCCACTATCTAAAGGAGGTGATCCTACACGTTCATCATAGCGTCATCGCACAAATCTAGCAATAATAGCTATCTCCGTGGTCGTCAAGATGTTCCAGATTCTGGCGACTATTCCTTGTTTCTTCTGTGATTCGCTCAAGGGTACCGATGTTCGCAGACGAGTCAAATGTGTGTATATATCACTCGTTCGTGATTTGGCACTGGGTTCTTTCCCGTCATGCGTTCCCATCACTATCTTCTTCTGAATCCATAGTTTTGTCCCCCCCCTATCACTGTTTTCTATCTTTACCCAGTCTTGCGATATTCTGGTTTGCCGTTCTCGCGTTTCTGGCCTGACCGGCCCTATTCATTCCGTATCCTTCTAATTCATCATGCTTTATGTTCAGTGATTCATATGATATCACGTTCACGGTAGATGTCGATGCGAGTATCGCTCAGCGTGCGCGTACTTCAATGTGCGGAAAGGCGTTTTGATCTTCCGCTCAAAACTTGAATCAACTCCATGTATTAGAAACCTGCCGCGTCACGCATGTTCAAACGATAGGGATTTGCGAAGCAACCGGACTCCCTACTATGATGTCTTCTGAACCTTCCGGCGAGAAAACTGTGAATATAACTGTCAACGAGACGAGCTCACAATCATCAGAATGAAATGTAGAGACAAGCGTCCATATAATTTGAATAAGATGAAGAAAGACGCACCAATGTGATAATGGTGCCGTCATTGAGAGCTTCTTTCCTCGGTACAAGTTCATATCCAAACACTCTTGGTAGGAGGATTCGCCATCCGGCCCAGTAGAGAATGCCAACAAACATGACCGCAATTCCGACAAGACAGTATCTAATGCAGGTTAGGTCAAATAAATCAAACGGCGAGAAAGTATTGAGAAACGCACAGGTAATAAGGCAGGGGTGGTGTGTCACCCACACCGTTTGACGGCCTGATGAATGGTGCAACGAGCACTAGACAATATATACCCAGTCAGAGCGATTTGAGGCAGACGAGGGAGCGTGTGACATACAGAATGTTGAAGCAGCCAGGAAGAAAATTGCTAGTGGCCACCATACTGTATAAGACGTAAACAAATACTCTGGAAGATGTGATTGATGCACAAATATGTACCTTTGAAGGGACGTACGGCATGAGGTTTACGCCATCGTAACCAGAATAATCCCTGCAGGCGAATAAACTTCAGCTAATGACTCTGCGCGACTGATTTGCGTGTTCTCATACAGTGACTATAAAGAAATTGATGATCTGCTGTGGGTAGCCTTGAACATCAAGGATAAACGGGTATGCGACTGTTGGAGGAGGTGCAATGATGACAATGAGCTATATCGAAGCGATTATGGACTCTATCAGATGTCACAGTGAACCGCAGAAAATGAACGCACCGAAGGAATCAAGTGAACGATCAAGCCTGGCATGGGAGCCTTGCGCGTCGGCCAATTAGAAGCCCATGCGCGATTTCCGAAAGGCAGTGGAATACCCTCCTTGGCTAGTTCTTTGAGAAAGACTTAATATACACGAAGGGAGAGAGGAGAAACCAGCTCTACACACCTTGGTTAATCCGAGCGGCAGCAAAACTCTGGGGAATGAAACTCAGGCGACTGGTTTGGTATACAAAAGAGTGAAACATCATACAACTGTGATAACATTCTACAAGGTCCGAGGCAGTCAGAACGACACTACGGCATGCACCTGTGAAGAGAACTTACCCTGTACATCAAATGATAGGGAAGTAAAAGTCAGTCTGAAGGTGAGTCGTTTCTTCGATAGAACTGACCCTAATGCGCTATTGATTCATCAGCTCGTAATTCTAAAGCAGTCAGAACTCAAAACACACCTCAAAGCCACGAAGACCGTCAATGCTCTCTGTGCCTGAGGACCAAATACTTTGCCGAAGAATAACGAAGCAACCGTTACTCCACTGTTCATGATCTCTTCCTTTGATGCAGCGCTGTCCGTTCATAGATATTAGGCTCGCCGACCATGATATTTGAACTGAGACATACGCGAAGTACGCCACATTAGCAAGCAGGTATAGAACCGCGCAGATTCCAAGACCAAGAGGCCCGGCAATCTTGAGAGTTCTGACCGGGTTCTTAACGTTATTGAGGATGTAATTCACGTTGGACCATCCATCGTAGGCGAAAAGGACCTTGAACATCGCGGTTGCGTACTACAGTGAACCATATTTAGTGTCCGAAACCCCCGTAAACCAGGCAGAACCCACGTCATTACTGCTGCGAGAACTACCAGCGAAGGCGTTGCGGAAGTTGACATGAGGGTCCTGAATGTGAGTATGACCAGAGAGAACGACCCATCCTTTTACGAGTGTTATTTCACAGTAATAGGGAGACTGTAGGTGAAATTACCTGTGACCACCAAGAAAACGAGAATGGCGATCTTGAAAACACTTAGCCCCTGTAAACCAGCTTAGCATAAATACTGAGAGGAAATTGGGCAAGATGGTGACGACTTGCATTCATCACATAGACTCCCAATCGTGGCGTCAAACCGTGCAGAAGGGTGACGAAGGAGATTACTGCAATCGAACATTTACTTGATCAACGTAGATTTAGTGGTTAGATCTGAACTTAGAAATACCGCCAAGTGCAATTCCTCGCGTTTCCCAACGGCCGGCAGGTTGATCGGCGGCAACCAGAATGCTAAGGTGTACATTGAGTTCATGAGAACGATGATTCGAGAACGAGGAAACACACTTGCTAGCGAAGACAATACAATTAGATGCACTGAATCCGAGTAAAATGGCATTTGCAGCGAAGATGACAGTTGCCAATGAACGAGGTTTCTTGTAGACGGCTTCAAGGTAAACCTTTTCTCCACCACTTCTGGGAAACATAGTGCCATACTCGAGCCAAATGAATAGTCCACAGAATGATAGAATGAAGCCCAGAACCCAAAGCATGAGAGAGGCTCCGACTGAACCGACAGAGCCTAAGATTGAGGATGGCGTAGAGAATACACCAGTGCCGATGATACGACCGACGCTAAGAGTTCTCAATTCGAGGGAACCAGTTATGTGTTCAGATACCTACATAAGCATCGTACAACTGAACACGCCAAGATGGCGTCCCATGCCACCGGCAGCATCTACAAGGGAACTGAGATAAGCGACAGGGACACGGTGTAAAACATACCCTCTTCAAGGGTCAAATTTCCCGGGTTCAGGTCAGGATCTACAGTGTTAGTAGGTTCTAAAGGTTCTACCGAAGATACTTCCTCGACTGTCGGAGCATACTCCTTAGTAGCATTATTCTCGTCCGCTGGGTCCTGCACCTTCCCCGAAGCTGAAGCAATGTCAGACAGTGAACCGTCGACATTCTTCCTCAAGGGAAAGTAGCGTAGTAGGGAAGACATAGCTGTCAACGAAAGGGAGGGGGGGTTTGAGAGAGACACTTTCGCCTGGGCATCTAGATATACAGCAAAGAGAAGCTGCTATATAACTGCTAGAAGGCATGCTGGAGCAACAGCTTCTAACGCCATATCTTTGTATCTCCACGGTTCAGGAAGTTATCAGGTGCGACAAGTTCTATAAAGGAAGGTTGTGCCTATCCAACGGTCGAAGCATCAGAATTCTGGCAGTACGAGAACGTTGGTCGTCTTACCCTAACAATATTTTCACGAGCGAGGTGTATGGTGTGCTTTGTCCACTACTGATAGCATCTCGAAAGCGTGCTTTCTGAGTAAACGGTAATGGGGACGGCCCGATTCAGAAACTTGAGTTATTCGGCATTACTGTATCATCAAACGAATGGACAGCTCGCTTTCACGCGCCGGTAGAATGATGCATAGACAAAGACATGAACCTACTTCCAGAGATAGTCTGGAATAGTCATATGCACGCTGACAGCTTATCACCCAAACATTCCACTTAGGGTATGTTCATCACACTCGCTAATGCAGTACAGGCCGTCAGCCAGGACCGTGCAGCTTAAACATAGAACTTACCTACACTTATTTTGTGAATTATTGCAAGCTGCTATTACACTCTCGACGTTCACCATCAATACAACAAGGGAAGGGTGCATAGAAGCGAAGACACCCTACGATACAACTACAACACAAATGGACATGTCACGATAATGCCTTCTGTATCTTCTGGCGGGAGAACTATGCATGGGGATGTCAATACGCAGGCATCATCACAAAAGATGTGAACCAAAAGAATACATACCAATGTGATGACAGTGCCATCATCCAGGGTCTCTTTATGTGGTACGAGTTCGTAACCAAACACTTTTGGTAAGAGAATGCGCCAGCCTGCCCAGTACAGGACGCCGACAACCATGACACCAATGCCGACCAGACAATACCTTAACAGTGCGTGTTCAGTTTTGCCAGTAGATGAGTATGCACGAGACGTACAAGTAATAGGGCAAAGGAGGCGTGTCGCCTACACCATTGGAAGGTCTGAGGAATGGCGCAACCAGCACTGACAAAATGTCAATATTAATCCGGGTCTCCAGGAGTCATACCACGTGAAGAAAGAAGACAACTCACAGAATGCTGAAGCAGCCAGGAAGAAGATCGCGATAGGCCACCATACTGAAACAACGGAACATCCAATCAGCATTTTATTGCGAACATGTTCGGATCCGGATACAGCACCTTTGAACGGTCTGACAGCGTGTGGTTTACGCCATCTTAACCAGAACAAGCCCTGGAACATTACACGTGAATTCACGCATCAGTCGATATTACCTGAAAGAAGCGTACCCCAACAATGAAGAAGTTGATAATCTGTTGTGGGTAACCTTCAACGTCCAAAATGAAGGGGTATGCTACTGCTGGTGGGGGTGCAATGATGACGATAATCTAAAGCAACAGTAATTCCGTGGTTAGTTCATGAACTTGTCCATGCGACACTAAGAAAAGACGTACGGAGGGAATCAAGTGAATGATCAAGCCCGGTAACGGAGACTTGCCCGTTGGCCAGTTAGATGCCCAGAATCGGCTTCCGAAGGGTAGTGGGATGCCTTCTTTGGCGAGTTCTAGGGTAAAACGTGATAAGATCGGATTGTGGAACGAGGCTGAGGTGCTATATGACGAACCTTGGTTGATACGAGCTGCGGCAAAGGTCTACTAGGAATGTCAGATTAAATTCACCGAAATAGTAGAGGGACATACCACTGTGATGACGTTCTGAGCAATCAAACATGGTCATGAAGAGCTACAAGATACTGTGTAAGAAATGGACTCACTCTGAATAGGACGACAAAGACAGCACACGGGTGGTCAAACAAAGGACACACGCCATCATTGAAAAAGAACTTACCCTAAAGCACTCAACGCGACAAACACGGTCAACGCCCTCTGAGCTTGAACACCAAACACCTTCCTAAAGAATAATGAAGCGACTGTCACTCCACTTTTCAAGATCTCCTCTTTTGATGCCGCACTATATGATAAATCAACATTAATCTTCCCGCTTCTAGTAGCTGACGAAGGACTTACGAGAAGTACGCCACATTTGCCAATAGGTACAGCACAGCGCATATTCCCAATCCAAGTGGACCAGCAATCTTCAAAGTCCGAACGGGGTTCTTAACGTTGTTGAGGACGTAGTTCACGTTTGACCAGCCTGCGTAGGCATTTAGGACTTTGAAGGTCGCTGTTGCATACTATACGAGTGCAAGGTTCAGAGGCGAATATGAAGGGACGAGGTAAGAGGATACATACATCGTTACTGCTATGTGAACTGCCGGCAAAGGTGTTTCGGAAGTTGGCGTGAGGGTCTTCGATATGTGTTGCACCCGATAATACAACCCATCCTGACCATGAAACCGTCAGCGAGACCCAACACGAAGAGCACTAGTAGCTGGAACATACCTGTGATGACTACAAAGAGAAGAATGACGATTTTGAACACACTTAGGCCCTACTCAACAACTTAGGATCGAGTAAGGAGGGCGAGGGACGCGAAAAGAACAAACGTTCATCACGTAAACACCTAGACGTGGGGTCAAACCATGAAGGAGAGTTACAAAAGTTATAACTGGGCTCGGTTAGATTTGTGCCGGCTGCTGTGATAAGTTGGGGGAAGTGAAACGTACCTCCCAATGCGATACCACGGGTCACCCAACGACCCGCAGGTTGTCCAGCAGCGATCAAGATACTAAAGAAATAGTTCAAAAAATTTTCAGGTTAGTTGTCAGTTCACTTACTTGCTAGCGAACACAATACATCCCGAAGCAGTAAACCCAAGCAGAATAGCATTTGCCGCAAATATGACAGTCGCCAACGCTCGCGGTTTTTTGAACACTGCTTCAAGGTAGACTTTCTCGCCTCCACTTCTCGGGAACATAGTTCCGTATTCGAGCCAAATGAAAAGTCCACAAAAGGATAGGACGAAGCCGAGTACCCAGAGCATGAGAGATGCACCGACCGAACCTACGGAACCGAGTATAGAAGATGGGGTAGAGAAGATACCGGTTCCGATGATACGGCCGACACTAAAGAAGGATGAGCGGCGCAATGAACATCAATGAAATGGACATACATGAGAAGTGTACAACTGAACACGCCAAGGTGACGTCCCATGCCACCAGCCGCATCTACCAACCACGATAAGCTAGATCCTAACAGACAATATGATACACGGACCTTCTTCTAGTGTTAACGTCCCGGGGTTCAAATCTGGATCTTGAGACGTAGCAGGTTCCAAAGGGTTTACAGAAGACACCTCTTCGCTCGTCCTCGAAGATTTCTCCACGGTGAAAGCACCATCCTTCTCTTGCTGCGCTGGTGTCTTCTCCAATGCTGAAGTTGATGCAGCGTCAGAGACAACTTGGGCGTCATCAGCCTTCCTCCTCGTTGGCAAGTATCGCAGTAACGAAGACATGGTCAAGGTTGAAGCTGCAACTCGGGGGAGATAGGTCTCGTGAAGAAAAGTTATGTGCGCCAAAGCGTCTAGATATATAGAGGATTCCAAGAGAAGGCGCAGCTGGGAGGTGGCTTTGCCATATGCATGTCATGTCGGAGTGGATGTCTTCTTACGCCATAACCTCCAATCATTGCGTTTGGCGCGGGGAGTTAGCGATTGTATAGCAATGGAGGTTATCCGAGGCAATAACCATGCTGTTTTAAGGACACTGAGGATCATTGCAATCAGTCGGCTTTGATCGAGACCCGTAGGAGTCTTGATGAAAACCAAACATTGGATGAAGCAGTAGACTGGTCGTCGAGATTATACATAGCGAGAACAGCTGGGATTTGTTATCAAGGCGGAGACGGAAGTGTTTAACATTTCAGTGCGTAAGAAGTGTCCGAATCGAAATTTGAGCGCGAGGATGCACATGGTGAGGGTGTGTGCTATAAATAGCCTGCGGCAATGACCGACTCGAGGGACTATAAGCTGAAGCGAGATTCGCAATTCTGCTGTTCGAACGAATGACGAGCTAGTCCTCGAGATCCGGTGTAATAAGGGATGAAGAACATACTGTACAATGAGATGGAAACCACGTTGTGGCAACGTGAGATCAATGCTTGACCCGTGGAGTCTAGTGGTGTACCAGTCCACTTCAAGTCTCAGGGAACGGCGACATGAACGATCACTTTCACTCACTTGCGGAACTATGTTCGGAATGGGATCATACCGTCTCACGCTGCCAAGAAGATCGTATAACGCGCAGAGACTATCACAAAAGACTCACATACAAAGTACATCGTACAGATCCCATACCTAGCTTCCCGTCCACCCCTTAGGCTGTACAAAACAATCAAATTTATTCGTTATTCCAATCATCACAGGCAAGAGAAACAGAACACTCACCTTGACTTCATCTCCGACCTTCCTCACATAAACCGCAGGCCTCTCAGCCTTCTTTGCACCTTCTTCGCCCTCATCCCATGTATAACTTACTCCTACAGCTAGCTTAGTTCCATCACAGTTGAACGCGATCGAGGGGATGGCGGTCGGGTATTTTGGATACTGACGCAGACGCTTTTTGAGTTTGTGGTCCCAGATCGAGACTGTTCCATCTGAACCAGCGGAGGCGAACGTGTTGTAGCTATAGCCGATGAGACGTTTAGGATCGAGAGGAACAAAATATGAGAGGGTCAGGTACTTACACAGGGTGGAAAGCGAGAGCATTGACTGGCCAGACGTGATCGACGTCGGCAATCGTCTGTCGATGACACTTGAACGCGTACTTCTTCTCCTGAGCCTCCGGGCTTGGGTCGAAATACTCGACAGCTATCCGTCCTTCCACTGATCCAGTTGCGAATCCTACATAACCCTCGTTTGATTTCTGAATCAAACACGGAAGACACGCGTACTCACCTTGTCCGTCAGTCATACACGCCAATGCCCTCGTCATAAACTTCAAGCTGCTCTCCCTCGTTTGCGCCGGACTATCCATCTTTCTGATATCATAAATGTTAAATAGTCGGCTGGCCATGGAGACGACAAGCGTATGGTTCACAAGGTCCATCTGATATACTCGTTCTGGGAGGTCGTAGGAAGCTTGTTGTGGGTTTGATGCTCGGGGGTCCCAGAATCGTAGTGTACGATCCCATGAACCTGTGATCAGTACATCTGTACGCAGTAAAATCAGGAATAACGAATGGCTGAGTGTGAGGAAAAGGACAGGGTGCTTACTGAGATCTTTGGAGTAGTTTGAAGCCGATATTGAGTCGCTGTGTTGACCCAAATGCGTGACTTTTTCGGTAGTCAAGTCAAGTCTAGATCAATGATGAAATATAGCCGGATAAGCATGAAGGAGGAGCATAGACGTAAACACCGCGAAAGCAGTTGATGATGGACGTACTCTCGAACTGATGTATCCAACCCTCCACTGAACGCTCGATTTGCATCCGCAAAACAACATGTTAGGACGGCTGCTCGGTGGTCAAACTTGGATTTCTGTTCATTTGCATCGACGTCGTACAATCTCACAGTCTGCAAGGAGGGTGAGTTAGCCAAGAAAAATGATGAAAGAGAAGATAGGCAGTGTTCGACAGGTTCTGACCCATGAAATCAAGTTGATTGCATTCAAGTGGTAAGGGTGCATACTAGATGTATGAAATGTTATCATATCCTTGCATTGCAAGCGCGACATGCGCGACGCAAACCTCCAGGTAGCCAACCCTTCGGAAACATAATTGGTCGAGAACGTGCAGCAGTTCTGCGCGGTAGCATGTGCAAGCCATGCGTCACCGCTTTGCAGCAAATTGCTCAACGTGGGGTAATACCCTGATCCTCCAATTTCATATCACCGAGATGAGGATGCTTAGAGAGTTGTCTGGGTCTTGCACTAGGCTCTGTGCAAGTAGAGCGCCGAAAGCATCTGCCACTGTAAGAAATGTTCGCGAAGAGGCAGGTTTAGCGTTATGTGCTGCACCTACCCACATCCTTCTCGTCCGTTACCCCATGTATACACCCTTCATTCGCAACCATCCCAACGACACAAAGTGCAGAGACGCTGTCAGACTCGAATAACTAGAGAAAAGAGACTCACAGTATCCCATGACGACACAAGCAAATGCGAGGGATTCGTAGGCGAGAAGCGTACGAGCGAGATGCTATCAAATGGAGGTGACGAGAGTTCAATTTGATCTATAACAATTCAGTAATAGATAACAAAGTGTGTAATGCACAGAGCCCACCAGCCATTTCAGACGCGTAGAAAGTAAGAGCAAAGGGAAAGCAAAGGTACGAAGGAAAAGTCGAAGTACTTGTCGAAGTCGTACTTTAATGCCGCTTAGCGCCCCCAGGAGAACCTGGGGGTCTGTCGCGCCACGTGTTTCTTTAGTGTAAACGCGTCTGGCGCGCGTTGTTTGTTCTTCTGCAGCCCTGTCCTCTTGCAAATTTGCCTACGGTATCTTACAATCCTCTCCGTAAAAAAAGGTTTCTAGTGCCCATTTCTATAGTTTTGTTCGGCGATGGCGTTCCGGAGTCCTTAGACGGTACGTGGAGGTGACTAGACCGGAGGCTGGTGGACTGTTCGTTAGATTGCTGGCCAACTCGTAAGTCATACTGAGCACTTCCTCAGAGTACTAACTCGGTGTAGTCATAGAGGAAAGTGCTCGAACATGTGCGTGCCTAGTGTTCTGGAGTCTCGCCTTTTGAAAAGGCATGACTTCACAGGACACTCCTACCGGGACACTTCCGTCGTCCCTAACGGAAGTTTCCCTAACTGAGTATTGTGGGCCTTTGATGACCGGTTGCCTTGGTGATACTTGTGAAGTTACTTATCGGGAGACTGGTTTGCTGCCACTTTGAGCTGAACGTACTGGATTCGATCATCTCGTGCTATGAAGAAGACCGGAAGTCTTACGATACTCATGGATAGCCTCTTAACACGCGATAAAGGCTTGGCTCACGGCGTTCTGCACTCATCTGCTTCTAGGATCATAGGTCCGATTGCTAGCCGCTTATGTACTCTTTGTGTATTGTCCAATGTTCAGGGTCCAACATAACCGCCCGTCCAACTTTCCTGTCCATCGCTCCGAGGGTATAAAAGCCATCCAAGTTGTTCCCTTCCTTGATCATTGGCTCTTGTCATTTGCTACGATGCCCATCTCACGCGACCTCACTCCTTACATTTGGAACAGGGACTTGGAAAGCCCAGAGTCTCCTTCTACTGGGCAGAGGACATTTCGGTCAAGCCGTACAATAGCTCGTGCTATCCGCCAACCTGGGAACCAACTGACTCCCATTTCTGAGGGCCGGATGATAGCACAGTCGCCGACAATGCCTGTGGTCCCTCCGCCGCACTATGGTGGGACCCTTATGCCACAATCGTTCTATCTACCAGCGACCTCGGTAACTCTTACGCCTCCACCTCCTTATGCCCCATCCTCTACTCCGAACTATAGATCTTCAACGGGGCAGCGGGCGTTGATGCCTATGGCGACTCCGCCTCCTCAATATCCGTATAATCCACCAGCGCGCAGCCCCGCGTCAGTTCCTACGCCTCGATCCCTATCTGGACGCCCATTGTTGACTCCCAGCACGCAGGGTCCCAGGTATCCTAAGATGACCCGTGTTGTTGTCGATGAACGGACTGGTGAGTAACTAGGACATCCATAGCTCAGAGGTCATTGGAGCTGATAAACCCTCCTAGCCACGGAAGGCAATCCTCCCGGATCTCAGCCGACCATGCTCAATCGCGCATTGGAAGAAACAAGTTTCAACAATCTCAACTTCCAAGATGGCGATCGCTGGGCCGTAGATTCAGATCCACAGAAGGTAGCTCAATATTGTCGTGTACCCTTCATGCACGCACGCCGCGGTGAAAGTGTCACTGCGTCGAGAGCCAATAGGATTGGGCTCTGTCACAATTTTCTTCCATACTTGATAGTGATCACTGCGAAGAATGAAAGCACAGGCGTTGTCATTGATGAGCTAATCAAGGGTCTCTACGAGGCTATCCGCGGTCAGATCACCACCGCAGAAACTGTGTAAGTAGTTGCTTTCTCTTATGCATGGTCGAACATCGGGATTGATGGGTATATTCACATGGTAGGGCTTTGCAGAAGCTATTTGACGATCCTTATACCCGTCGCTTCTCACATCTGGATATACGAGGTGCCACTAGCGGTCTTACTGGGCTTCGTCTTCTTGGGAACTTCACATATTTTCGTGGTATGAAATTCGCAAAGTATGTCCATGGAGTACCTGTTTTCACTATCCTGTTGCGGGGCCCCAACGGTGAGAAGCCTGATGCTTGTGAGTAAGCTACATGTGCTGTGTTTATAGCTGCAATTTTCGATGCAATAGATATCATTACGCCAGTAAAGATTTCGTGTGGATATGAATTTGGTTTGAATGCTATCGGTACGTCATTGAAACTTTCTAGGGCTTACTGATCAGCCATGTGTGTTTCTCGCATAACCACAACTTGGCTTCTACTTGAGACATGAGGTTATGATCGGTTACTTATCCTTTCCCCTCCTTTGACCATTGACCAACACGTGGCCGCCACAAATTCCGTATAAGCTCTCGTTACAAGGTGCTCCTTTCTTTGTCTCCACTTTTACAACTCACTTCTGATGTCTGATTGTTGGCATCACGTCGCCTCCCTGCGAGGGCCAATTGCCAAACGGCCTTAACCGGAGGCGAACTCTGTCATCTCTCGACCCATGGGACCTAGCGCACCACAACCCGCAAAGTATCCTTCCTACAAAAATTTCGTTGGGAAGTCCGCATGTGCAGGTCGTCTCTCTTCATCCTCTTCTTTGCTATCGGTTTCCAAAGGGTTCACTGTGCATGCATCCTTAACACCGGGTCGAGGGTTTGACGCCTATGGATATCTTCTACCACGTCCTTCAAATCGGCGGCGGCGGAATGTCAGCGACAACCCAAGAACTATTAATGACTTTGGGAAACCTAGCGGTTTCGTCACTACCCCTCCTCTGAGGAAAATAATAATCGGGAGCATTTACTAGCCCGACGGAACTTGGTTTTATGTCGAAGCGGAGACCAATCCAAAAGGTAGCACGGTACAAGACGTGCTGTTGGTAATACGCCTCGCTCTGAAACAGAATTTGACTGCTGACCAAACCCGATGAGCGAAGAAGATCTCTATTGATTAACGTAGAGCTAACAATTAAGTGATAGGGACACCCAGGAGATACTGCATGACCTGTTCAATTCTCAGCTGAATCATCTCAAACTGAAGTACGTTCATAGCGGCATGAAGAAGGTTGACCTTCTTGGACAGTATGGCTACTTTCAAGGGCTAGAGAATCTTCAGTATGTGAATGGGACGCCCATGCAGGGAAGGTGTCCCTCGGTGCTGTAATCGCCGATTTTTTGAGCATTCAGCTTTTATTGTCAATATGGATACGTCGTAAGGAATACTACGATGCCAATCAGTTTACCATATGTTCCCTTGCCATGTTGACCAAGAGAAGGGTCGTCTTCTGCCGAGATGTGTAGCTTCAAACATCGACTATCGGGCGTTTTTTTTTTGCGTGCCCTTAATGATGTTGAGGTCAATCTGGATAGATTCTGACTCGTGTTTTACCCCATCGCCTGTTACAGTATGTTTCACGCGTGTGCTCAAATATGGCCCCAAAGTGGAAGGTTTGATAATATGGCGTTGGAAACGGCCTTTGGCTTTTGGTTCTGTCCATGGCCACAGCCCCTCTTATTGAGAAGTATAAATACGGGATCTCGTCACTGTATTATGCCCCATCAACCCCCTACCTTCAACGTCTCTTAGTCTCGCAAACATGTCTTCTGGCGAGCCGAATCTCATCCTTTAGTATAGACCTGGTAGGTGTATCCGTATTCGGATTTTGGGACGCAACTGAAGTTGACATTCGCGATCTATCCGACGATAGTACCTCTTCACGGTTCTTTGAAACATGACCAGTACACAGCTTCGGGTAGTTTTAAAGGATTGGGTAGGGTGAAAACATGGAAGTTGTCTGACCTAGATCCTATCATGATGTGGGACTCTGGTGCCCCGGGCTACCATAATAACTGTCATTTCCTGGATTCGCATTGGGACTCACCTGCTACAGAAGAGGCTCTAACCGAAATCGCCATTATCTGCGAAAAACTTCCATGGACTATCGCAGTATCCGGCCAAAAGAAAGGCCAATCTGGTCGACACCCTGTCACGGTTAGAGATGTTCTACTCCAACTACAGGAAAACCTTCAGCAAGTTGTCAATATTCACGAACACGAGTACGAGAGAATCGTTGCATGTCTAATGCGCCGCTGCTAACTATTCGTCATCATGCAGGGCCCTTCAGGAAATCCGCAGTGGCTATTATGACTCGGTTTATAGACGAATTGACGTTCTAATTGGGGAGAACATGTTCTGCGGCTTGGAACAGACTGGTATGGGAAGATTTTCCCAATCGGCATACGGGATCGTACCAGTCTATGCTCTCATCACTTGCTGTCCCTGAGCCCCCTTGTATAATTCAGTTCGTGCTTCGCCCGGTATACCATGTGTTGAACCTACGATATGTCATTGATACCCTTTGCGAAATGGAAACCCCTGGTACTAGAAACAAATTAGTACGCGAAATTGATTGTCCAGTGATTGGCAGCTATAGTATGTTGGTCGGTCACCTGCCAGCTATATCTCACATTCAACACCTTTTATGTGACTCTGCACGAGTTACATTAAGAACTTGGTTGAACAGTTTGAATACATACTACTTACAATGGCGGTGTTGTGAACTCGCCCGACATAAGTATCCCACAATGCACCAAGCCTTCATCCAGAACTGCGAATTTGGAATGTCTGTCTTCCGAATCGCACTGTCCTTTATAAGGAGGTCTATTGCAGGAACCAGCCCAGAGAAACCAGAGATCAACGATGATTTGTCAGAAGTAACTGGCTCTTGCCCAAATTTCCCGACAGAACAGTAGTCAAAGGAACTCCGCATTCCGAATTCTGTATCATGACAGAAAAAACGATCCAACACATGACGCAACGGAATTCCTTACTCGGTACCTAACCCATATCCATGCTTGTCTCTCAGCCGAACCGAAAGAGTAGGAAGGCCACCAAGGAGATAATGAGGCTTCTGTGGAGGGTAACTTCGGGTTTGAGCCATTTCTGCATTGTGTCTTTTGTCTTATAAGGGGGAATGAAGTAGCAAAGGTCGAAGGAGAGTCAAAGCGTGACTGCGGCAAGAGGCAAAAGACACTATCTGCAAGGCATAAACACGAGTCTGCGGGAGAAAACATTTTCACACACTCGCTTCCACGGGCTCATACTGATACTCAGAGGTGAAGGGAAGGAAAGCCAACCTACAGTATACTGAAAGTTACACCAAAGCTCCTAAATGGATTTGATCTGGAAGGAGATCGTGGAGTTCACATATCCTCATGGATTGGCCCAGGGTAATCTCCACTACTTATGTCGTTGGGATAGCAACCCTTGGAATGACGCAACAAAGTATGAAGAGAATGGGATCGTCGGTGACTCTCATGGTATTCATCAACCGAGCGTTCGCTGTCGGACGGCAGGTATCGTATTTTGGTGTGTTATTTTTCAAAGCCATTGCCAAATAAGGCGAAGAGCTGCTCGTCGGCGCTAAAGTACTGCCCAAGAGTCACCATTTCGCCACACCGTACGTGTCCTAAGACTCCCAACAACGCCTTTGTGTGCAGTGGACTATCTTGAGTAATTATACAAACTGAATGGTTCCACTTACTCCTATTATATCCCGTGGAAGAGTTTTGAGGAATGGGCTGGTGAGTCCTCATCGCAATATTGATTGGACCCCAGCGAACCCTTTCGATTTCCTCAGCATCTTATGCGGACCTAGCTATTTCTTAAGCTCCAGAAATCCGCAGAATGATGTTGACATCACTTAGCGTGGCGCTGCTTCTCTGGATTAATCTCGTCATCTGACTGTTTTGTTTCGACATCATTTCTCGTCGGATCCGGCTATCGAAGCATCTACTCTGAGCGCTGAGCGCCGAGTCCTTGCTCTATTGTAGCTATTGCCATGGCGATTCTAACTCGAATATCACAGCTTCCCAGAACACCACGTTCGTTCACGCCGCGATTTGACGCTCATTTCCTAGGGGTATATAAACACAACCTCAAAAGTAATCTTAAAGGTGTCCAGTTCCCATAATACTCACATCTGCTAGTTGAAGGATACTCTATGACCGCTTTACCACTACTGCCATCATCATCATCGCCTTCATCGCTACTTTCGCCTGATGACCAGAAGCATGGCTTCATTGACAGAGTCCCGCCGGACCCGTTTCAGGCTGTTGAAATGCCACTAGGGGAAGTTAATGAGCAGCGTCAAAAGATAGCTACGTTATCAACTTCAAGAGCTTCGTCATTGTCGCTTGGTGAGGTTACTTCGAGATCGGTGTCGCCGGACTTGTGTGGAGGGATATCACACACCTCTCTACCTCACAAACCTCGTATTCGACCCCGACCTTTTGCACCGCTTCGCTCATCATCTACGAGCGAAAGATCTAATTCACTTCGGAGTGGCGCATCCCCAGAGGGTAAAGTCATTGCTGTTGCTCGTCCTGGTTGGAGGCTGGTAACATCTGATGATGCTGGTGGGCCGACGCCTTCTCACTGCCTGCGTCTTGCTGACTATCCACATGTAAACACCGACTCTATTCTGTCAAACGTTACGGGGCCTAAAGAGGTGTATACGATCCGAAGGCCAGAACCGCGGGCTGCCATTCGCAGAAACTCCGCGCCTGCGTCTTCTGCTGATCTCTCTCGGGATCAGTTTGCATCTGGACGAGATTCAAGTAGTCTGGCTTCTCCAACTTGTGAAGGCGGTCTCGAAGGCTCTGAACGCGATAGCGTCAAAGGATCGTCACGGCCTCTAATCAGACGGAGTCACACAATGAGAACGATACTTGATTCGGAGGAGATGGGAAAGCTGGAGGAAAGGAAGGCATTCCAGTCCATTGACACTCTTCCGATGTCTCCTCCTCATCCGAAAGGCACAATGCTCTCGAATGAGCTCTTGTGCAATAGTCTCTCGGGCCTACTTTCTCCGATTCAATTGGGAGGTCCTGAATTATTTAGACCAATTATGTGGGGATCCATGACCGAAGAACCATCTGAGGTACCTCTTCCATTGTCGACGATTGGCGGCCCACACATCAGGGCTGATTCTTCTCTGATCAACCAAACAATGGATAGTCCACAATCGGATCTTTCGATGCTAGAGGGACTTGAGGACAGCGATGCATCAGAGACGTCCTGAAGATCTTTACATCTTTGCTTGATCCTTGCTGTTGAGGCTTGAGGCACTGTAGGGTCTCCAGCTCTGGAAGAAGCTGTGTAGGAGTGGATGGGGATGCTCCAGGAGTGCAGTCGATTTTTTTCTTTCTTTTCACACCATGACCATCTTGAAATATAGAACTTGCAGTGCAATGTTTAATTAAATTGATGTGTTTTCGTGGTGTCCATGAAGCGATTGTTTCGATTACTTGGAATCTCCCCCGAGCATAAGTTATTTAATATTTGCTCTATTTTGAGATGTTTGATCGTAAAGCGCTTGCCATAAATGGAACTTCAGAACAGGTCTCATCCGGCCTTGTTAGCAATCCCCACCACCGACTTAATGATCACAGCTTAACTTTTGTAATTGAAGCTTGAGAAGAACGTTGTCGCAATTTCCTGAAACGTCAACAAAGTCTACTCGCATAATTGTAGCTGGGTCGTGCGACACTTGAAACCACCAGCCTGGGGGCCTCTCACACGAAATCAGCATCCGTGCCACTGACATTGGACTGTTTACTCAAACACAGCCGAGCCACCCCTTTACTCATACATAAACGTGCTTCTACGAGCAACGCCTTGCAACAATAACATTGACCAATGTATTTTCATGACTATCTGAAGAGGGTATGGTTACCAGGGACTTCGAACTTTCTAGTTCCCGACGTCGTATTACTCCGCAAAGATGGGTATCATGGTTATTACGGGGTTGTCATGCCATCCATGTCCAGAAACAACAGCTTATGTTGACGTAAACTGGCCATTCCAGATGTCAACATTGCGTTGACAGTCTTCTATGTCCTGTGCACAGTGGTACGTTTCATTTCATTTTAATCAAATGTCTCGTCGATCCGGATATGGACCCTTCAGATGAAGTCCTCGTAGAATTACTAATGGATGCACACTGGACTACAACAGCCACATATCAAGACGCCACATCCTGTCCGTGAGAATCATTCTACTGTCCAAATTCGGCTACAGTCCCGATAATAAAAGTGTATCCTCGCCAAGGTTCACCTGAACATTACCCATACCTCGCACATCTACATTCTCAACGCCTCACTCACTATGGACCAGTATCCAAACAACTCTAGCTCCGAAGGCCAGTCTCCACCACCTCTACCGTCCACTCGTTCACCTCCTTCGGGGTATCCTTCCTCCAGAGTCTCCCCTGCGCCCCACTCGCCATACCTCCGTTCACCTTCTGCTCCTCCTCCTACTTCATTTTCGCCTCGTTATTTCTTACAGTCGCAGGGTTCAGCTCTCCACCCAACTGATTCTCCACAGGGTGTCAAGTCCCCCGAGAATTACAACCATAGAATGTTGTCGACACGGATGCGCCCTCATACTGTTCCCCCCTTATCGGGTTTTCTCTCTCCAATACGAGGATTCCCATTCCAGGGCTTTGATTTGGGATCAACTCCTGTACCGACAACCGCAGTTGTTCCTAGTCCTTCAGAGTTGAATAGGACAAACATACCGAGTGGTCGACGGCAAGAACAACCTGAACAGGATACTTTGACAGCGCAGTCCAGTCTGTTGACTGCATCTTGTAGCATTGTGAAATACTCTCCTGAATCACAAGACCCAATATTCGAGGAAATAAACTATCGTGCAACTGGTGTGTGTCCATTTTGAACCTTTCATAGGGTTTTGCTAAGGTATCACAATAAAGTGGATCCCACTTTAGCTTACGACTTTCTGGATTTCGTTGGAAATTCCCCGATGGGCGTATGGATGCTTACCGAACCACCTGAATCCCTAAAGGAGCTATACTATAATCAACTTGTTGTCGGCATCGTCACGTCGCCATTCACATACGGGGTAATAGTTGAGAAGGTAGTGCTAAGATTTTCCACGAGAGGAACTTTTCCTTGGACGATCACTGTGAAAAATGATCTAGGTGTTACTGTTGGGGACGTGGTGCGAGAGTTGGCCAGAACACTCAACAAACAACTGACTGATGATGAGTTGAAGTAAGGTCTCGATGACGAATTTCCGCAATTGCTGACCTATCAATCTGATAGGATTATGCAAGAAATGGTACAACAGAGAAGAACACCGTTGCCTGAGACGTGGAAATTATATGAAGGAACACAGCGGATTGATTGCTTGGGAGCATATACCCGTTTTCGCGGTCTCAGTTTTCAAGACATTGAATTACGACCCGCATGCGCTCGCGAACCTCGAACCTCTCCCGATGCAATGAAAGAACCCGATACTTCTGGACTGGCAGCAACATGTTGTCTCGTCTTGCATACGGCAGTGCACAATAACCTATATGAAAATCGGCAAATCATGGACGAGGGAACTGTTGGACCAGGACCAGATTTCTCACCTTCCTGAAATTCGTCGAGGAGAGAATCTTCGCGATGGATAATGTGGTAGATTGTCTGGATTATGTATAGTACTTTGTTCCCATTTTATTAACGCAGTTCCGCCAGATTTGTGGGCAACTGGGAGAGTCATATACGGGAGCGGACATTTGCGTGCGAAACATCGGTCATGCTAAATAGCCACCAGACAGTCTAGCAGTGAGTGGACAAAACTACCGGAACTGGGAGCTAGTTTTGGGGTATATTGAAGTTCTAACAAGTGGCACCTCGGCGTACGGCGTGCCAAACGAATTGATGTTTTCGTGCAGTGACGGTTAGGTGGTGCGTATTTCATATGGAAAACGCGTCAATCAGGGTTCTCATGTATAGCTTGTGGTACTAATGGAATACATAAATATCAGATTTCCTTTGAATCTGTGAACGAAGACGATTGGTAGACTTCGCGCAGAATAAGTATTGAATAGGCTGTATAATTGCCAAGTCACTACGGTGGCAACCCAATTGTAGCCCTATTTGCATATATTTGGGTCTATTAGGTCTTAAGGCCCTTGATAAACAGATGTACAGAAAAGGACGACTGCTTTTATCCTCAGACTGTGTCGTGTCTTTCATTACGGAACTCGCGCTGCATAAGGGAAAACTGCGCATAATGTTATCTTGCATACAGGTTTCGACGAAACTTGCGGCCGGTTCCTGAATCGTTCTTTCGATTTCCGGGCTTGGTGGTCGAATTATGAGGTTGATGACCTCGGTCATTGAACTCTGTCGTAATGTAAGTTCCTGTGTGTTGTCAGAATACCGAGTTACTATTGTGTCTGCCTCACGCAGATCTAATTACCAAGGCGAAGCTTGAGGTCTGTGTTTAGTGAGTGCTCATGTCTTCATTCCTTTGTTCATGCAGTGTCCGTCGAGTCCGAGTTGCAGAGCGTTCGCGTTGATCGTTGTCATGATGCGTTGCGAGGGACTGACACTTTGGAATGACGTGCCAGATCTCAAGGTGGGCCGCCGGATTTGGATGACCTCTGAGCACGCCACAGTTATCATTCATCGGCTGCGCCTCATTTGGAACGCCAGTGAGCTTCTTTTCGTTGCATTTTTCATGTGAACTGCGCCGTATCATGCCATGTACTTTCATTATATCGTTGGAGGCTTTTTTTCGCCTGTGGTTATTGATGATAATTCATCTGCAACGTTTACATATAAAGTTTGACATTTCCACTTTCAGGTCTGTCTACTTCTCCGCACCGACGACAATGACTGGAACTCACTGGAACACTCTACTTGTCAGGGTCGTAACACTAACATGAGGCGAAACCATGGTAACGACCGGGTTTCTGAATGAGCCAGCATTCTTTTTTGTCGATTTTATCACGTCTTTCACTGGCGTTATAATTATTGTTATTACTCCTTGAGTCACACCGATACTCTAATGGAATTTATCGTCTTGTGCTGATGTGCGTTGGCCTCTAGAACTATACCTTGGGTTATGGTTTCTTCTACCGTATAAAGAGGCATGATGCATGAAGTACTACCTTGTAGCGCCATCCCTACCTGACAAGATGATACGTCAGCCCCACTCGTCGCGTCTCCCTACGTCGGAACTGCCGCCGCCTTATGATAGCGTTGTGGCAACAAATCCCCAAGTGAACCGCATGCCTGCAGGAAAACAGCGATTCAGCCAGATGATCCGACGCGACAAGAACCCTCACCTCAGCAACCAGCATCAGTTCTACAAGAGTTTAAGTGGTGTTGGGGAGATGGTATGTGAATTGAGAGTGTATGGTGTCATTGCTTGCACTAAACAAACATCTGTAGTCGTTCCATTTGAAATGTCATACCCCACCAAGATTGACCCGGTTATAGACTGCAATAATTATGACCTGCAGGGCGGGTTCATTGATGTCATAAACGATGCCCCCCCTTGGTCGGTAGTCGATGACCTGGATGAATTGCCGCAGAATGAGAAGCCATTCCTCTATCGCCACAGGAAAAGACTCGCCACTGACCCTCCCGTCCGCCAATTAGCACTTTTTCACCCTTACCTCCCACGGTCCATAGTCGTACAATCGAACACACGTCAAGATATCACTGTCGGCACAATAATGAAAGCTATCTATTGTGCCCTACGTGAACTATGTCAGCCGTTAGTGATCTTTCATTTCTGGTCGGCGAGTGTGATAGAACTGATGAATGTCATAGGATCTTTGAGTCAATTGTGGACAAACGCGACTGCGAACATTCAACAGTATGGTCTGAACCTGATGAAGGAATGCTCAGTTCCAAGTATCTAGGGGATTGCACACAGTTCAGAGGTCTCATCGCGTGCCATACTATACGTGGCATCATGACTGCGAGGATTTCATTGCGGGATAGGGCCGGGAACGCGTTTTGTTGCTCAAAGTCGCAGTATTTTCCGGGAACGGCCAAGCCCTAGTGCACCTTGTGACAAATTTGATGATCTGGTGCATAAACTCGGAAAGTGGTTACGTGGTATGGAGAGTCACTTGACATAGAACGCGAAGTCCTGTACAAGTTCAAGCAGGGTTATGTGAAATGAGAATTGTTGCATCCTGAATGCCTGCCGGGTGCTTCAATGACAGTCTTTGGAGAATCACACTGGCAGTCCTTTACCAGTTGCTTCGTATATTGATTCTCCGTTAGCAGGGAACGTCCCCTCGCACCGTGAGCCAAATAAGCAAACTATCAAGACACCGGCCATCTCTCGTGTTTGTTTCCCTCTTTCCGCGACATCATCCATTCCCCCAAATAGCAGTCATTCCTCTGGTGTTTACATTATCTCTACCAGCCTAAAATGCCATATTCAATCTCTCTTTGATTGCAGCTGCAAAATATTTTTGCCGTTTCTTTCCTCCTACATACTCCCCCCTTCACCGTCTAACCAGTACTCATCCGCCATGATTCCCATCGAAAGAGCAAGCTCTTGCACACTCAATTATAGTGCTTAACAAGCCCCCCATGAATATACTCCTCCTCAACATTACCCTCCGCCTTCTTCAACTCCGACTTCCCATACGCCACGATGCGTCCCTTGCGCCACTGTTCCATAATCGGTGATTCCTCATCGCTGAACCTTCTCTGCACGCCCTCCCTCTGCAGCACCGGACTCTCAGTGAGCGGGACGAGCTTGACATTGTCGTCGGGCATGGAGAAGTAAGAGACACCGAGACGGGTAAACCCGCGTTGGTCCAGGGGAGGCTGGACAACACGGTGGATAGTGGCGCGGTAGTACCCTCCGGAGAGGAATTCCAAGGCGTCGCCGACATTGATGACCTGAATTTATCATAATAGAATATAGTTGAAGAGAGCTCGATGAAGAGTGGAATGGGCTTACGAGTGAGTTATCGATATGTTTGACCCAGCGCCATTTGCCGTCAGGTAAGAGGATCTGAAGGGCGGAGACGGGTTGAGACCAGAGGATGGTGATACCACCAAGGTCTAGCGAAATGAAATGCATACATGTTGCAGTCATTTTAGACCACGATCACATACCAGTGTGTCCCTTGAACCAGACATTCTTGGCTTTCCCTTCGTCTTCCTCGGAGCGAGAGAAGCTATGCACAAATACGTCTATACGGGAATTGAAAGTCACGGAATCCGTGCTCACTATTTCATAAATGTCACTGGGAAGGAACAGATCAGTCAGAAAACGACCATAAAGCTGTCAAACCTCGGAGTGAACTTACCAGACGACTCGCCACAAGCGTCATAGTTGAACAGATTGATGAATGTTTCCTCTGGAAGTTCAAGACCAAGGGCTAGAAGCCTGAGACACCATTTCTTCAACTACTCACCATAAACTATGTACCGAAAAGCGTACCTGAGAATCAGATGGCAGACGTTGAAATGGTTGTGCTTTCCGAACTCGCTGATTTCGGGAAGCAGAGGTCGAAGAAGTTCAGGATGTTCACGTAAGGTGACGTTGCGATTGACTGATGGGTGAAACATGTTAGTCTTGTACCAAATCGGAAAGACGCCACACGTACTGTTGTACTGCTCGATTCTGTCTAGAACACCATTGTCGATGTGCTATGGTGTTAAATGGTCCAACTCCAGATCGCAGAATGAACGTCAACCTTGATGACTTACCCAGAACTGGGGCGGCTTGTAGCCTTGATAAGATCCAGTTTCAAGTACCTTTGCCTCGTACTTCAGCTTATCTTCATCACTAACGTGTGTGATGGTGTAATCTGCGATATCGAAGATCCTATCTCGCTATAAAGGTGTGTACGTGAGTGCTCGTTGGATGGTAACCCATACTTGGCACTTACCTGTTCCTGAGTGTATCCGTGGTTGATGACTACAAGAAAGCCAATATCTCTCATAGCATCGCGGACTTGGGTAGCCAATTGAGCACGACCTTCAGGAGTTGCTGCCTTGGACAGATCAACGATAGCCAGATCAACATATTCAACTGCAAATCAGTCAGTTTGTTGCATGTATATTGCCTCACAGGAGGAATCAGGCGAAGGTCACCTACGTTCTTCCTTTGTCGGAGGAGCTGGGACATGACACGGTACATGGGGAACAGGCGTTGAAGTGGTGCAGGACATATTCGGAAGATGAGAACAGAGACAAGAAGGGACAAGGAGAAGGAGAAGCAGAGAGAGATACCTTGCGTCCCCGGATATAAGGATCGCAGGTTCCCCTCATGTTCATGAGGGTAATTACTCGCTCCAAGCTAAAGTTCTGGGGTCAGTCCTCGTGATGACAAGGCATGCACGAAAAGCATGGAAGAGGAAATAAGATGGCAGAGTTTGACAGAAGTCGACGCAACCTTCAATTAGCTGGACAGTTGAGTACGTAGTATGACCAGAGTCTAAGCTAAAAAGGGACGCAGCGGGAGTTGGTTTTCCATACAGAGCTCAGAAGAACTCTTCGTCAAGGAATGCCAGAGTATAGTTTGGGAATGCTGGGGCATGCGCGGATGCTAAATACTGCAACGGCCGAAATACAGAGAGCTTTTACTTGTCGCTTTGCTATCGTATGTGCGCCTCTACGAGAGGAACAAATTTGAAACTTGACATCCTATGCCGAGGAGTCTCCACAACGTGAGCAAGCAGAGCAGGAATACCGCCGTACAGGTAGAGGAGGAATGTTACGAACCATCAACACGACTGGACAGCCTCGAGTACAGAAAAATGGGAGATAACACGTTCTTATCTCGGCGGAGAAGGTCGAGAACCCAAAAAACACAAAAAGGGAGAGGACTTAACAAAGAAAGGTAGTTCTTTAGAACTGGTTCTGATTGACGGCGAAAGGTGGGGCGCGCATTGGAGGTGCTGAGATGCGAACGCCGAAGGAATGACTGCCTCTGCGTCGCTGAAGCAGGAAATAATATTGACACAAGATGATATACTGGACCACACGATTGCTGTTCCTAGACACCCTGAGAACATGGAAGTCGCGAGTTCATTCAGAACATGTTCCTGCCTCGCCAATGAGATGTCACTTACGAGATTCAGGTGTTCTGAGGTACCACCTGACAGACGCAGGGATTCTATGAAAGGGTGGGTAGTTCCCCGAATATCCTTGCTCAACGTTCAGCTAGAGACGCTTCCCCCCAAAATACTCGAAGAACCTTTGAAACCGGCAGTGCAAAGAAAGGTGTGAATTAAGCACCTTAAAAGAAACACTTCTAGAGAGAGGGAAGATAGACTTGCCGCTTCTGTAGATACGTCGTAGTGTCGACGCAGTTGAATGATCTAATGTTAGGGTTTCGAGAGCATTTTGACACAATGATTGAATGTTGCAGTTTGTCCTAAATAGGAATCGCAACTTGTAGTATCATCCTGAACATGTAGAATGACATCCACCGACGCAACTGACTCTGGGAGGTGTTGTGTTTGGGATAAGTGGCAGATACATACAATATAAGTAAAAGCAAGCTACGTAGTAGACGTAGTAAATCGAAGGTCTTCTTCCTGGGACAAATACTGTAGACGGTGAGACACAGAGATGGGTGGATTCCGCTTGGAGAGAGTCCAAGGAGAGCAAATTGAGGATTCCGAGTCAGCACTCGGCTCTTGCCACGTGCCAGAAAAGAGTCACGTACTTCGACGTTCAACAATGCTCAAACATTGTTACATATACACGCAGAAGGGACACTGTGTGCTAGAACATACATATCCAACGAAAACGGGAATGTAATGAGTATCGATGGTATGCAGTTCTTGTCTCAGTAGTTCAGACATTCATATTGTCCCAAGTACTTGTGGCAGCAAGGGAAATCGAGAGCAGCAAATTAGAGAGAAATTTCTACGGCGTAGAGGTGAAGGAGAAGGGAGATAAAAAAGTGTTCCGCATTACGAAAGGTATTATAAATTTGGGGTATTACTAATCATTTCAACTCGAAGCTGCAATGCATCCTCATTATCGATCTTAACAAAACCGCCGAAACGGGGCATACTACCGAAGAGGTCGACTCGCAGCAACATCTGTGTCGAGAATGGATGCAATCCTCGGCGTCCATGTATATCATCTACGGCAGGATGCAGACCTCTATAAGGAAGATCGGATGGCAGAGTTCCTGACAGTCTGGCATTGTTTGCGTCCCTTTGAGATTCCTGTAAAAGGGGCGAGGGAGTCACCATTAGGTCAAACCTGAATTCTGGGGGTGTTCATCATGTGTCGAGTCAAATATTAAAGGAACTTACTCGACATCTTGCATGTATGCGTCGTTACACATTTCCACGAAATTAGAGTCACCCCCCGCCCGGCGGATTCTATCATAATGCTCCTGCGATTCATGTTCAAGGACAGTGTTACTCGAGCCGCGATATTGGAGTTGCATATCGCTTCGAAGGTCTTTCATAGATTGGGCGGTCAGCGGGACATCATTCCATCGAACCCGGTTGGGATACATCTTGCTTGAAAGCGCCGTAAACAGGATAGGGACTGACCGGTGTGGTGAAGCGAATAAGCAAGGCAAGCAGAGTAAGGGAGATGCGCTTGTGGACGGCTCACTACTGGGAATCAGAAAAACTCACAGGATGACTTCACTTTTAAGTGACTCCATTTACAAAATTTCGAGTTTCGCAAAGCAAGATTCATGATCGTTGCTCGAATTCTCCATGAAACAAGGCGCAAACAACACCATAAGCGAGAAGAACATCAAAGTCGAGTGATGGCGGTGAACGGATTGACGACGCTTGGTACTCCGGCGAAGCAAGTATTCATCTCAAATACAATCCAGATCCAAATGCAGGATGGCGTGTATCCATGCGAGTGCAAGATGCTGAGGTTATTGTACACCGCATGCATGACACTGGCATCCATCAAGAGACGTCAGAAACGTAGGTCGCAACATGGAGGTAGAAAAATGCATACCATATCGAGTCTGTTGTATATGTCAACAGAAAGAAAAAGAGTGTTTCAAAGAGGAGAAACTCTGGTTCTCATCGTCGCATCTATGATAGCAATTGTCGGCTGTGGTGCCTTCGCGAGGATGACGTGCAAAGAAATCACAGCCGGATTACGGTTAGAACCTAGAACCTCTTCAATTTACGCCTGCTCCTCAATATGAGACAATATGTATGAGGCACAAGAGCACTACACACCAATTAGAAAGCATTACGGTGGAGATGGCAGGGAGCAACCTTGTTTTCGGTGAGAACCATGACAGCCTGGGCGACGAGTGTCTGCCAGATAAGATAAGATAATTGAACAGCCATCGAGAGCCTTCAGGAGAGTGCACGACTGGTTTTGAGATGGTATATTGAGACTGGAATGAGCCAGCGGGTAGGTATATACAGGAATATAAACTAGGACCAAGTAGCTATAGGCGAACACTATTAGTAGTCGATTTGTATCTCTAGCCCAGAAGCTCGGAAAGCGAGGCGCATCTAAGTAGTACAGATACAGATGACCAGACGATATGAAGCATGAGCTCCGAAACTTTGAGGGGAGGGAGAGGGGGTACACGAAGGATCAAAGCAACGGTGAGCGAGATATTCATACAGCAACAAGATCAAAGACTGACAGCCAGGGAGGAAGAGTGGGGATACAACGCGATGAGTGAGACTAGCGACGGTGGTAGAAATGAGCTCTAAGGGAAAATGGCAGAGACCAAGAATGGAGGGGCATAGATGATGAGAACGCAGACGAGGGACGAGACATAAGGGTATGAAGCATTAGAGGAATAGAGTGCTGGTGATGTTAGATCGCATCGACGGCCAGAGCATAGAGATGGCGACGAAGCTTATAGTGCAAAGGATGCGTGTGAAGTGAATAGAGGCGACGTCGAAGGAACGATCCGAGGAACAGCCGGTTGAACAGATAGATGGAAGGGGGTGATCAGACATCAGCTGTGTGAAGAGAGATGAGGCGATCGTCCGAGTCTATGACACTGAGGCCCCTAAAGAGAGTCCTCCCGCGAAGCAGGTCAACCAGCTTCTGGGTCGACCCGCCGTGCTCTTGCTTGAAGTACGTCTGTTCAGCGGGGGTAAGGTCCCGCTGAAGCTGAGTATAGATGGTGCGGAAAACGTCTCCAACAGTGAGATGCTGTTTCCACCCGCCCTGTGCATCAGATGGCTCGATTGATATTGTGAAGGACACGAATTTGAGTCGAAGTTTGTCGACCACGGGAGTCGTTGCGGGTGATGAGTAGACGACACCATCAATCTCAGCCGCAGGGACTTGGAGATACTGGGAGAATTCTCTCGACCAGGTGACGGGATAAACGTGAGTGGCGAGGTTCCACTCGCATGGTTGAGAGTGGGGAGTGTAGCTCTCTGCCTGAAGGCAGGAATGGAGGTGCAATTGAGGGGAATTAACTCTAGAGTACCCAGTGAGTTCATTGCGGACTCTAAAGAGTGTCTTGCAACTCACAATGGCACAATAGGAATATTTTCTTCTGGCTCGGCGACGAAGATGAAAGGCCTTGAATATTCTGACGTTTGCTCCAGAGGGTCTTCCGCAAACCGAGTCTGACGAGATGTCATGGTGACAAATGGTGCTGAGCGATGATCTCTGGTGGAAGGTGCTATGAAGAGGGAGAATAGACGGATGAAGAAGGGTCGTATGCGTAGGATAATTGGAAAGAGTGGGTCGCAGAGTGCGCAGAGAGTGCGCAATAAAGACAATAATAAAGAGGAGGCTGTATGAACCGTAGAATAGCGAGTCCACTAGCCAAGGGTCGAACTGGAGAAGCAGGAGAGGACATTCCACTGTATTTATATTCGCAGGAGCAGGGTTTGAGTTCAGAACGTTGCATTTGGATCGTTATCCGTCGTAAGCAGAAGGATGCAAAGACAATTAGGACGGAGGAGAGGACGGCAGGAGCACTGCTTGGATGGCCACGAGTCAAGCAATAGGATAGGTGAGGGATCGCGACAGAAGAGTCAAGCGCTGAAGGACCTGATCCCGTCCCATGTTATTCGTGTTTCGGGGGGTGGAAAAAGAATCTTCACCCACCCCCACCCTCCGGAGAGTCCCTAGAAACAGATTTGTTGCGGGTCAAAGGAAATCCAGTGGACGGGGGCATGATATTGTCCACTCAATGGATTCCGATTGAGTTTGAAAATACACATGATGCATTTTAGGAAAAATTCTCTAGAGTACTGCATTAAAGCCATATTTCAGTTTCTATGGTACGTGCGAATGGGAAGAACATACTCGCAATCTCAGGATGAGGGACAGCTGGGACAGCTCAACAAGAAACCTGTGATGTGCCGATCGGCCCAACGATCAATCCTAGGCGAGTTCTGCATATAATATTACAGTGTGGAGTAGCCTGTTGCCTTTGCGTTGAGATGTATGATTGAGGATGAAGGAGGCATAGTTGCGTTTGAGTGCAACCTTGTATTCAACGAGTCGAGAGAGATTATGATAAGGATTCCCACGATCGAGCAGCAAACATCATTAGGCCCGAAAGGGCTTGTTAACGTTCTGAACGATGATCACGATTTACAAGCTCCCATTTTTTAACGTCGAAACAAAATCGTGTTTGCATAATCTACTCCAGGAAGTCTCAAGAATATATAATGCGAGCGTACTTGGCTGAGAGATATGCGTATATTTGGAAGGGGAAGTCCCATACTACGGAATTTCCTTCTCAAGCCACTCGCGACAGAAAGACAGACACGGCAGTGGGTCTGCTTGATCTTCAAATTGCACGCCAATAATACAACGGAATGCCCGCAGTATAAGAGAGTGGAAATAACTACAGGATTATGGCATCTTTAATACTTCGCGGCAGAAGCAGGCCAGCGGAATGCTTTTCACGAGCTTTCTAATCCATCGGTACGATGTCAGGAACTCCTAAGGAAAACCAGGAAATATTTATCGTCCACAGGGATGCTGAACAACAGGCAGATGTTGTGAAGTTGAATAAACCACCGAGTGGGAAACACTATCCGAGTGTTCGATAATGCGGAATCTGGGAGGGCGAGTTTTCATGCGGGGGGACTCTTTTGAAACGATGGCTCCGCAGGTAGTGAATATCGTGAGACCAGCCCGAAGAACAAAGAATCTTCCATCACATCATCGGTGGTCAAACGTGGACTCCGAAACTTGAAATCTTCAAGGCTCGGAAACCTTCCGCTTCCCTGGAATGAGCTTGCTTTCCTTCATTTACCAGTACACCACTCTTCGGGCTCATGTCCCCTGCGTAGAAACCGTTGTTGTATCTGAAGGCAGTATGCCCTAGACCACACCTCCATAGATGGCTAGACCAGTACAGGCGCGTCGCCCAAGAAGCAGAACTCTGCGCCCAAGAACTCCGAGGGGTTCCCAAGATGCACACCTTGCAAAGTCAGCTCGCTGCCCCACAGCTAGTACCGACAGCAGTGATGGTGTCGCCACAAGATTTGACGTGGAGAACTTATTGTCAATCTCTGAATAGCAAGTAGTAGATTTGATGTGGACGTCAGGGTTCCGGCCGAGGAGAACGTGCAGGAAGGGCAGGATGCCAACTTGGTGCTATTGACTTCGATTACGATGACCTACGGAAGACTTGACAATGGCTCCGTTGGTTGGAATTGCAATTGGCTCTGACAGAACAATTCATGAGCATGTGTCCGAGTCGTAGACACGAACCATCCAGTATAACGTTGACTATTCTTACCTTTGCTTCATGTCAATGTTGTCGTTGTCATCATCGCTGTTGGCGTGAAGAAGAGTCTGTGTCACCATTGAGGCAGTGCCGTCTACCTATTTGGCAACTTATGAATTCCAGCGGAAAGAAAGTGAATAAATGGCGGAGTGGGGGTGTTATATTCAAGGCTTGAAAACCGGAGACATAATCGCTACATGTTATGTACAGTAAAAGCTATGATACAAGAAGGTGAAGAGTTAGTCATCAGGGTCATCTACCATATCCCAAAGTTGTTAATAGTCGTGTAGTTATCGTGAGGTTAGGAGGGGAGAGTACGGTAGATAAAATCAGTTTAAAGGAGTGTAGTGGGCCCATTACCCAAAGAACGAATATGGGAGGTGCATTAGCCGGCACAATCACGGCAGTCAAGAATGATGTAGTCATTAGGAGGAAGGGGGAAGAAGCGTCTTCACAACGACCCGTCCTTATTGCTATTTGGACAGCATCGTCAGTAACATATAAGGCGCATAGTACTGATACGTACCGAAGAACAAGGACCAAACCATCACTTTCAGGATCAGCTTCAAACCCTCCGAAAAGTTTGGTAGAGCCCAAGAGGTCTACTCTCTTAATGCCTTCAGCCTTCTTCTCGTTATCGCTGCCACAATGCTTTAAGCGTGCTTGAACAGCGATGTTTCGCCATTCGGGCGGCATGCGCTGCCACTCTGATGATGCAACCTTCGAATTGAAGTAGTCGTAAACGACTCGAAAGAGGCTTTGTCCTCGCTCCCAAACGAAGGGCGGGAAGAGGTTGACATAGGAGGTGGTGGGGACCTTGGCAAGGAAGGAAGGGGTACTGACGGTGACTTCAATGGCGTCGTCTGCATTGCTATGACACAACTTGTCGAGAATGCTGGCCTGAATGACAGCTGAGGTCCACTGTATGTTCGACAAGGGAGGCGGAGTGGATACGTCCCAGCGAATGGGTGATGCCTGAGGGGTGTCGGGAGTAGCAGAGTAGGACGACGCACGAAGATCGCAGACCTCAATTAAAGACCTAAGAGAAGAATTGGTGGTGATGGGTTCGGCGGCGGGTTTGTCATCGGAAGAACTGGGGGTGCAGTCGGTAAGTGATACGAATGACAGTATTACAGACTTCCACGACGTACATTATAAAGACGGTCACATTAGGGTTGAACTGTACGTGACGGGAATTGGAAGGCATGTTGAAAACGCGGAAGGGAAAAAATTTAATGAATAGATAGGGTAGGGAGGAAATGGCCTTAGGGAGGCCCTTGGAGGAGACCAGTCAGAGTCTTCTCGCCCTTTTATCATTGCATGTGAGGCACTTGGACAGAACAAGGGTAGAAATCTATGTTGCTATAAGTCCGGATGACCTTGTACGACCACAGCCATGGTGGTAGAAGCCATATGTCAACATGGAATGAACGTGGTGTGCGAGAAGAAGGTTGTCAGCCGTTCACAGCCTCTCGAATTAAAAGGATAGACCATGAAGGAAGACCGAGTGGATGAGTAGCCGGTCATAAAGTTGAACAACTACAGTACCTGGCAGAATCGGAAAACATTTTTGAGCTCAGGAACTCGGGGCGGAGGCAGTGAGGAGCAATGTATTTAGCATCAGCAGGTATGATCTCTTCAGAAATGCACCAGAAAATGTGGAAAATGCGAGTTTCGCTATTACATGGAAAGACACGGATTACCATTCTTCAGAGGAGATTCGTGATTACCATTGCTGAACGGCAATACAATAAAACTAAACCAGAAACAACATGAATAGGACGTTAACCTGGAAACGAAATGAGACATACCTTCCTCGACATTCAACTATCCATGCATTCATAACGTGAAGGTCGTTAGAGTGACGGTGCAACCTTGTCCGACCCTGGCGATAGACGCGTTGACCTAGAAAATAGATAAGATTAGATGATTCGACATCGCACTCAAGTCACCCACTGCTCTAAATTCGTACTTGACCAGAACCACCACCACGACTCGAAAGCTCACTGTGGCTTTCGCAGATCACCAGTTTTCCTGCTCCATGTAGCTGGCTTGTGTTGTGGCTACCCCCTTGTGGTTGTCCACAAGCTCAGACGTCCCGAGCGATATGCCTCTCGACTGCCTTGGCGTCGCAGATCATGTTCTCGTCATCGTCAGACTGTTGAGCTATTTGTGCTTTCACGAAGGCTGTGCGGTGCAGTATGTGCATGGTACTCTGTCCCCATCGACGCTCTCTGTGTTGATGGTACTGAGGGAATGCGTCTGCATAGTCTGCTGGATGTGATACGCCTTATCCGCTCGCATGTCCCCGAGCCCGCTCCTGCCAGCTCTCTCCATCACTGAGCAGTTCACCTCTCCCTGCTTCTATCCTCGTCCCTGCCAGATGTCCCCTTTGCATGGGGCTATTTTTCACGCTTTTGTATTCAATCAAGGTCCTCAGATTTCTACTGTGTATCAGATTCCCCGTCTCCACTGTACTCGATTCCACAAGGCCAGACTGTTCTACAATCTATACGGTGCGTCAGATTGAACGTATCAGCTACATGTATTTTGCTTATCACCAAATGCATCAGGTGCTTGCCGGACGCTTATAGCAATCATCACATTTATCGAGGACGGGACTCGCTTAATACATGCGGTTCTCTTCACAATTACCGCCCTCGATCGGATCCTATTTACGATCGCGAAGCAACTTCAAGCCTCGTCCCGATCGCATGTTGACGACAATAGATTGCTGTGGTCACTGCGCTTCCTTTCTTGGCGACGCAATTTCAACTATATCAGGGTTAGCCGTTGCCAATAGAGTGGAGTACCCCTATCCTGGTCTCCTATCATTTCCTTGTGCTACGTTCCTCCGCGAGTCTCCAATTTTTTGCGCACCGATGATTCGCTACAAGCTCAGACCTGTAGCAATTGGTCGAGGCTCGAAATAACGAGTCTCAAGCGGTGTCACGATTTTACGCCACATCGTCATGCTAAAATCTAACAACCGCGTCGGGAAGACAGACTAGCAGGCGAACTTAAAGGTCTACACTACCAATGAGAATGCAGCGCCACAGTCCCCTTATTGCGAAGGAATCACTTGTGGCGCAACTCACCTCGAAGACGCCATGGCGCCTTTTTACACTGTTCGATCCCTACCCCAACTCAAGAGCGAACCCCGCCTGTTTTACAAGTCTGACTACGCTTCGTCGGCAGTTTGAGATTCCTTGTCTCATGATCAATCTTGAGCAACGAATCACATCGGGCCTGGTCTTACTTGACCTTCCTGTGGAGCCGGTCACCCGGTTATGGCAGGCATTAAACTTCTGAAAGACTCACTTCAAGCTTCTTGCGGACTCAACGAGAATGTGTCCAATGTATTGACTCTTTGTGCGCTCTATCTCTGAGGCTGGATTTTCCTCATCTGCGGCGTCCTGGGCTTTTTTTCCATACTCTCTACGGCGCGTCGTGACCAATGAGGCGTAGACGCCACATCTCACCCCATTGGACGTTGTTCCAAGTGGACAAAGCGCTGCTTGGAGGCTTTAAGATGGTCATGGTGATGGAATGCACTTGTGAGGCAAATAAGCCCGCAGCGTCTTAATCAAAAGAGAGCACGACAGCACTGAAACAACGAAAGTCCTAGGAGAATCGGCCGCATCCTTGGTTTCCGTGACATCAGCCACAACAAAGGCTCTTGACATCTCTTTTATGATTGTACACTGCCTTCCTCCGGGACATGCGCGTGTTACGTTGGGTTCGGGCGGGGTACCGGTGGCGTATTCTCTATCTGGTGCTACAGCATCTGTCCGCCTGCGGGACACAGTCCTACCAGTCCGTCTCCATTCTGCTCAGCCTCCTGTGGAAGAACAACTGTCAGTTGGACCTCGCAGGGAATCACTGCAACTGGAGCATTCATATTAACCGGCAGACCTAGGAGGCTACTATGAGAGGAAACGGGAAAGAGTTCGGGCTATGCCCTCTGGACCTCGGGGAGCTCTCGTACAGCATCAATGTACAGCCATTTCAAATCCTTTGCGAACCATTCGCAAGTATCGAATGACTGTACACTGACGTTCGTTCGTGAAGGTCCCCGTGAACTGCGCATTCAAGTTGAGACGGTCTCAGAGGTTCAACTGTCAGCTTCCGACCTCTACGAGACGCATGAGCATGTAGTATCTCAGAAAAATATGTTTGGTTACCGTTCGCTGGTGTGGACGCGATACATGACTCCAAGCTGTTTTCGAGGTTACGTTTGTCAAGTCCAGGCCTGTCCTCCGGCGTCTAAATAATTCACTAGCTTCGCATTGAACGTCCTACAACTTGGAAAAATGACTCTCTTACCTCAGTCTAAAAACACCTCCAGCTATGGACAGGTACTGTCTTCCGAACGAGATGCAACTTTATACGTGAAACCTATTGTCAGCTGGACGACGAGACCGTCGGGAGTGCCGGGTTGTGCATTACTATTCTATTCTTTTCCATTAGCAGTGGTAGCACAACTGGTGTTCTGCTTGTGATTGATCTTTTGGGGAATTGGAAGGTTATCTTCGTTCTCAGTGAGTTACCGAGGTCCTTTTTGTATCACCTATTGTTTGAGTTATTATTTCCCGACGCCGCTCAGAATGGTTAATTGTCTGCGCCTCGTCTACCTCCCCTACAGTTCCCTTGCCAAAACGCTTGACGTCTTGATCCATATGCAGGGATGGAGGAAATCTGCGTGGCCGATCTCTCAGCGGTTACGTCAACGCTATGTTCATCCCTATAAAAGCTGCACCATATTGGCGGTTAATCTACCAAATCAAATTTCTCTCTTCACGGCCTTTCCTCCTCGCCACACGAAGCTGTTACTAGATGTCGTCAACTAGAAGTGATGAAGCAGAACATACGCGTTGCTACTTGACTAAAGTGTCCCCCTCTCCTCCTCAGACACCCACTTCGGAAACTGGATCGAGAGGCGCACAGAACGAGGTTATCTCTCAGCATCCTTTTGAATCTACTGGAACAGGGAATATCAGGTCCTCGCCACCAGCAATCCAAGAGGACGCGCCGGTTGAAGATGACTTTGGGTATGCTTGATTTGATTGTAACTCGTATCCTCTCTGATAGCCACTTCTCCTTAGCCGGCCGTCATCAGTCCTTAGGATCAGAGACCCCACTGTCGTCACCTCACCCCACATCCAAGATTCTCTTCCTATTGTGTCGCGGCGCGTACATGAGGACCAAGATCCTTCCAGGATTTCTCCTGCTGATGATAATGTGGAACCCTTCATTCCCCCTCCATTGTCGCCGTCGTCTACAGAGTCTAGATCTTCGTCACCTATCTTGGCTCCATTCTCACCTCTTCCATCGCGCCTAGCTGTTGAAGATCGATCACACCCATTCTCAGACTTTGCTGATCTTGCACCGTACCTTCGGGCGCAGGAGTACGCTGTACTCGGTATGGACCCCATTACCTGGGATGTTAGTTGTCATCCTAGCTCTGCGGCATGGAAATGGCCTCTTGGAGACTCGGGCTTCTATGATCCGGAAAGTTGGCTTAATCAAACGCTTTTCGAGCGGGACGACACGACGGAAGTGGAATTATTCTATCGATTGCCTTCAAATTTTATCTATTCAACTCATCATCTATATGACTGGTCTTGGTTTTCTGTACGCCACTTCGCGGTTCGGTCATTGGACGCCACAAAGCCTCTGAGAGTCAAGGACCTTCTGGAAGCAATTTACGAGGAGTTTCAGCAGGAGGTTTTCATGAACTTTGCGAATGACACCCTCTATCCTCTGACGGAGGTACAATACATGGGTGCGTGTGAAACCTCCCGGGATCGCATCCGGAATGGTGGATACACAGGTGGGCCTCCCAATGTGACTGTACGTCGTGTCGACTGTTTGGGAAAAATCAACAAGTTTGCCGGAATCCTTTACAATGATACTGGCAGGCTCGTCTTACAATTCCAGTACGTTGTGACTGTTTTTGCTTCTGCATCTCGTCGTTGATGCTGTCTTGTCTCGTTGACCAGCGGATGATCCTGACAAATAGCAGAGGTGTTTCTTAACAGCAGTATAGAGTCGGGACGTCGACCGGTATCTTTTAGGCATGTATAAGTAGTAGTCTTTGTGTTGACCGTTCTCTGTGGTCCGAAATTCGCACATTTTTGCAACTATCCCTCCTTTATGGGGAGGATGGCTGACTTGTCAAGCGACTCAGCACTAGGTGAGCTTACCATCTATTCATACTTGCTATATACTTTCAACGAGTCTGTGTCCAATCAGGTTATTGACTGAAAGTAGTTACCAATACTGTATCGGAGGTAAAGCGCACCAATGACGTACGTGACATTGGGCCATGTTTGCGTGGGAAAGCATCAGGTTGTTGTTCTAAATGTATGATAGAACCCGAAGAAGGGTTCCCATCTAACCACCACCTCGTTTGTCGGTGTCGCCGATGTTGCGACGCTTTCCCTCTCTCGGCGTGCAAACCCTCCGAGTGGGGAACTTGGGACAGACGTTGGAGAGTCTTTGGCGGTGTAAGTCGCAAATTATACTGGATCCAAGTAGCCGTGGACTTCAACTCACATATCCGACAGTAATGAGGATATCAGGACCCTAGCATTGGTGAGCTCTTAATTGCGGCGTGCATAGCTTCTACAGTATGCGTTTGGTAGGCTCCCTACTTCTTTGTGGCTTTTTGCAAAGGGCTATATGTCTAATTACGCCCGATTGACTTTCAAGTATCGCAGTTAGTGCCCAAGAGTGTGATGCTTAGTCCTCTGTGGGATGTGTCCCGTATTGAAGATGATCTTCGCATGTTTTGTTTGTTTGTTTTTTCCATTCGCCTGTTCCGGTCAATGTATCGAATGAAGTGGGGCAGCAGGCGGCATGGAGGAACGAATTCTCCTTTAATTTACGGTTTCAACATTACTGTGGTTTGGTGAGTGTATCTGTTGCTGCCTTTTGAGTTTGACATTCCTTACCCGAGATTCCTTTTTTTTCCAATCCAGAAGGTTCCATCTATATCCACAGCCTTCGGGGTTCTGGGGTACGAGTTCTGCCCTGATTTGTGAAGAGTACTGAAATCAATTTCTATGCCCGAATGTACAGGAATAGGGTGCGCTGCGTGCCATGCACCTCTGAGGGTATTGTTTGGGATCAGAATTACTACTGTTCTGTCTCTTGCTGTGCGCGGAAATGGTTCTCTAATGCTGTTTTGCACGTTGATGTTCTGCGAAAGTGTTTAATTACAACGAATGCCTAGATTTAGCAAAGATCCTTGCTATCGTGCTCCGATGGGGTTAGAAAACGAGGGCTATCACGACTGCAGCAATCCACTAGCTGGGAGTCGTGCATTGGAAAATCACGCTTTGGCGGCTTCACAAAGGTGGAATATTAATTCAACTCAATGCAAGTCTTTGGTCGTTCTCAAAGAATGACTGGGAACAATTCGGGAGGGTCAGGTGGCAGATTTTCTCAGCGCCCAGTTGAGCATTTCTCCTCCCTCCCCTACCTTTCCCCCCAACCACCATAGCCTTCATTAATTGTACTTCACTGTGCCGACTACGAATGCAGCACCTTGTCCTCATGTTGGGATGTACATGAAGGTCCTTGGACCGTTTGTTCTTAGGGCTGACTGAATGGTCTATCGGATAGTCCTGTCAGTCAACGCACCGCTGTCATCGCCCCCGCCGTTGAAGACCTTTGCGATGCTATAAAGCCAAGTGCGCCCATCCGACCTCCACTTTCATCGGCCCCAACCACCGGTTGGCGTGTTGGTGGTGCTGATTTCTTCATTGTAGCTATTGGTCCCTATATCTTTGTTCATACTAGTGCATGGTCGTTGGGACGTTCAAGGCACCGTCTGGCACCCGCCACGGAAACAAGAAGGCTTTGTGTATTGGCATCGACTACTCGCTGTTGATACAACCCGAATGCCCCCAGTTGGTGGGACCACACAACGACGCGAGGGATTTCGGAGTATTTCTCGAGCGTACGTTTTGTCTTCCATCTAAGCACCCCCGATTGATTCAATCATCTGGTTCAGAATCCCGGGGTTATCAGCATGTTGTTGTCATGGTAGACGATCCAGACATCCCAGAGCATCTCCATCCCACCCGCGATAACATTGTGCGTAGGAGCAACTTACATCATTCTGTCGGGTGCCGTCATTCACCTCGACTCAATTGCTAGGTTCGGGAGATGGGGAGTCTTGTTCATGACGCTGGTCCGAATGATAGTCTCGTCTTCGTGTGTGCGTACTGTATCATTTGGATGAGACGTACAAGTCCTAATTGAGCTGCGACAGATGCCGGCCATATCGATCAGGTCAAAGCGAAGGTCGACAAGAACGAGGCAGATGGTATGGATGAGGGTGCGTAGTTGATTCGCCGATAATCCACACTTATTTATAATGCTTCTAGCGATAGTACCAATGGATCATACACACGACCAGTCTCGATTGTTATTGGACGATGTATGTAATCTCTTATGATGTCATGATATCGTTCGAACTAAAAATGCGAAGGACGTTCGGAGGCTCATCGTCAACCCGCTCCTTGACAAAGGTGCTAGATTGACGGCAAGTCTAGACTTCACATCTCGCTTGGTTGATAACTCATGATTCCTGCAGGCTATCATTGATAGTTGCCATTCTGGAACTTTGTTGGGTAAGTCGCATCCAAGCCTCCCCGCAGTTAGAGTTCGAGACTACTAATTGAACTTGCATAGATCTTGATCACGACAAATGCAACAACATGGCAATTGCACAGGCTTATAAAGCTCGAGCCCGCTGGATTCGTGCCGGTGAGCGTGTTCCCTGTATCTATATCCTTCGGACACTGAATGCATGATTTGGATGGCCTAGCTCGCATGCTTCACTACGGTGCGCTTACATCATGGGACGTTTCGGAGTCCGATTATGACTGATGCTATCTCCTTAGTGACCGTCTTCTTTCGTGGTCGTTTCATCCAAGGGGAACAGATAGAGGGGCGAACTGTCATGGCTCGTGAAATTGCCATATATGTGGGTCCGTCAGAGCCAGGCTCTTCCAGCACTGTCACCCTCAAGAGCAAGGTGCCAGCGTTTCCTTCGGCCCACTTTCAACCTATTACACCTCTTCCCGACAAGTCTCTACCGCAGACCACAATGACACTGTACCGTCCGCAGGTGATATCAGCGGTCCTACCTCCCTTTCAACCACTCTACCTAAGTAATCCTTCTCAACCTGGTACCTGCTCCGGTCATTGTGTCGGCTGTTCGATGACTGAACCGAATGTGGTGAGTCTAGCTGTCCCGACTTGTGAGTCTTCAGTAATATTGCTTATGCACCACTCCATAATACAGGTCTCGATAAGTGCGTGCCATGATGGAGAAATAATTTTTGAAGATGCAAAAGGACGGTCGCTATGTCAGGTAAATCATCATTCTTACTCTAATACGTCATACTAGAGAGTGAGTATCTGCAACTTTCAGGCTTTACTCAAGATCCTTCGTGCGTCGAAGTTTGTCTGGGACCGTAACATATCAGCTGACACCATTTGTCAAGATGAAACACCGGAGCTCTCTTACTATGAACTCATAGCTTCCCTTCGGTAGGTGGGTGTGCCTAGAATGCTTGTCATCTCTACTGACTGCTTTCCCGCCATTTTAGGTATCGTGTCCGCCGGACCGTTTCCAAGCTTCATGAATTTCATCATGCTAATGGCACTTGTGCGGAGATACTTTCTCGCAGATCGTCTGGAAAAGAAAATGAATCCCGTGAGGAGGTCTTCACCCCCAGTCGATGCAGAGCATCGACAATGGAGGCCTGCTTTTGGGATCCTCAGGTGGGCCTAAGAGTACTTAATGGCCTTTCGACAAAACTGAATATTTCTATCACGCAGATATGCAGTCAGACACCAGTAGTTCGTGTGATCATACATGTTGAGTCCATTCTGATATACTGATGGCACGATCACCATCAGGACGTGAAGGCGACATTCCGCCTCTGACGCCTCTGACGACGCCGTGCGCCATTCAAGACATATACCTAGTACTGGATGATACCCACTTTTTTTCTCTGCTTTCGTGTAGGCTTGCGCATGTGCTTTTCATTGTTCTTCAGCTGTCTTCTCTCGATTTTCTCGATTTTCTCAACATTCTTCAATCCGGCCCAATTGAGCGCTAATATCCTCGCTTCGGACGCTTAATGTCAATTCTGTCTGTTCTTCCTGCTTAGATATCTGTCATGACGAACCCTTCATGGTCTCTTTTATTCAGTGGCTCGTACCTTGCACTACATGCTCTATGATTTCGCTAACGCCCTATTACCAATCTTGTATTCTCATGGACAAAACATCTTTTGGAATATATCGCATGAAATATCTATGTAATAACTGAGCACCTACTATTGCCGCAGTGACCAGCGTCAAGAACGTTTTGGTTGTGCTTTTACTGGGGCTGACTCCAATATAAAGAATCTTTGTGGCCTGTCCTTGTCAACTATCATCTCCGCTTCAGTACGGCAGCTACGACCATCGACTTGATTCCTCTGATAGATACCGAAAAGCTACACGGAATAACGCATGGCAATGATGATTCCGTCAGGGTCACTAAAGCTTCTTTACAGGACTTCATTGCATTAGCAATGTCACGTTGCCCATATGATAGGTGCGAAACATTTCTAGAAGCCCTTTCCGGTTTCTAGTCTATACACCCAGGGTTCAACTGAATTGTACTAGGCAGTGCAACAGATTTCGATGTGCTTTTTGTTCCCACCGTACGAGACACTTCGTACTATAACTGCCTGGAATCATCTCTTTTGAGGTCCCGCACAATATTCCCGCATATCCCTCTCTGAGAGTCAAGAGGATCAGCCTATCAGCACTTCAAACGTTACATGGTATACAAGGTACTCAGCAAGAGGCGGAATCACGATGTAGGCTTTGATCTAGCAACGCACCAAGATCCTTTTGCGGTCCTCGCCAAAATCGTTCATGGACTCCTCGGTATACCAGGTACGCATTCATATCCTCTTTTTTGATATCCGGCTCTCAACTGACGTTGACTGGCTCTTGGGTAGGAGATCCCAACAAAGGAAAGCCTCTTACAGGAGAACAAAGGGCGCTGCTCGTTGGAATATGCTACAACACCAGTACTCCCGATGAAGACTATGAACCCATGGTCAGAACTCACGACGATGTCAAGAAGATGGCGCTGTATCTCATACGTATGTTCTCTTCATTCTTTCCGCACTACTGGCCCTTTCATCTTGCACGGCCTTTTTCCTGCAGGTGACTGTTACTTCCAAGCAGAGAATATTGTTGTGATGCTTGACACGCCGGTTACACCGGAAATGTTGAGGCCAACCAAGCGGAACATTGTAAACTCATGCTTCCCTTACACTCTCAGCCTGTTTAACAGTCTTGATGCTTTGTCCCAGGAAAGAGAGATGAAGAAGCTTTGCAAGGATGTTCGTATAGGGGATAGCATTGTCTTCCACTGTAAGCGGCCTTCGACACTCTTACCAATTGGATGAATTGTGATCGTGTCGCAGACGCGGGCCACGGCGATCAGGTTCCCGCAAATTGCGACAAGAACGAGATTGACGGTTTGGACGAATGTGAGCATACGCTCATGTTGTCTTCTCTGTACAGTATTGCTCATGCCTTTGTTGAAGGTATCGTGCCTTTGGATCACGGTTGTGGCGGAAATTTGCTTCTCGATGACGTGTGTTACTCACCTCTACTCTGGTTGATGCTTTGCGTTAAATGAACTCTAGGTTATACACGAATGCTTGGTGTCAAAGTTTCCAGTTGGCGCCAAGCTCACCGTGAGGCTGAATGCCCCAATTTTCTATGTTATTGATCACGTGTTTTTCAGATGCTCTTCGACTGCTGCCATTCCCAGTCAATGGCAGGTTAGTGTTTCGCATAGAAAACTATGGCATGAATCGAAATCGTATACCGGCAGACCTCAAGCACAACCTTTGCAATCGGGCTTATTTTCTGTTTTCAAAGCTATTGGTCATTTGTACGAACTTTTCTCTATGTCGTCCCAGAGAAGGGATTTTAACGCATTCTACTTCCTCAGTAAATGTTTTCATGCACTGTAAGTTTCTATCCTCAATACCAGACAGACCGATGAAATCGCGATATACAGTTCGGGCTATCGTCCGAAAGGCTCGTGAAGGTCTGCATATAAGACGTCATATGGCAACTCTCTCACATGAATAACTCACTTATTCCTGTGCAGGCATCCGTGACCGTCTCATCAATGGAGTAAAGAAAGCGTACAAATCAAAGCAGATGGCCATCAAATGCCTTATCAAGAAGCCACAGTCCATGCTCAAGGCTCGTGTTGAGGTGGTAAGATGTGATGGTTTGTGTAGGCGTCATTTGAAGCCCGAACAAGACGTGGTGAGTTTCTTATTTCACGCCTTCCCCGCTGAATTGTAAGTTAGTGATTTCAGATGTCACTTTCGGCATGTCGTGATCACGAAATCACATATGAGACTGAGATGCAAGATGGCTCTTTCACTCAGGTTTGCGTCTGGCATATTTGAGCATTCCTCTCTGTCTAGGTTGTTATAAGAGTCCTGCGTGAGTTTAGCTTGTGGTGTTAGAGCTCCAGAGCTAAGACAAGGCAACCCAAACAGGCGACCAGCCGATCATAACACATAACAAACTGATTCACGAACTTGAGTAAGCTACCAGGGAGTATTTAATTCTGGACGTTTCTTAATTCCGTTGCAGCCGGGAGGTTTACAATAGTTTCAAAGAAATACATCGGTGGAAGCATGACTATCGTCAGAATTCCTTACCTCAGGAGTGTAAGAGTTCAAGCCTCCCTAATCCGGTTTCGGGTAACCTCCCGTCATGCACGTCAGCAGCGATGAAAGCATTTGGTTGGAGGCCGCAGGTAAGGACATCTTCTTCATGACAATATCTTCATTCCTCACTGCTATCTTTTCTTTTCCATTGCAGCTTTCAAGTCAGGAACCTCTCGTACGATGTTTGCTATCGTTGTGGGACTGATTCCGACTGATACATGCATAGGATATGAACATGAACTTCTCTTTTCGCCTCTGGAACTAGAGGGCATAGCGTATATCATGCAATCCGCTTTCGCAATTCTTTGATATTCTGTATCGTTGCCCTCACATCTTCATGCCGGGGACATCATCCTTGGATCGTATTTCTCAATAAAAACATTTGTATCTCTAAAGTTGTCCAAGTCGTCGGGGCCCAGCGTGCAACGTGGGAATTGAATGTTGATCGATGATATTGATCGCGCGCTCAAGTCACTGTACAGTACGTTCGCACATGCATGCTACGATCTTGAGTTCCTATGTAACCGCCATCTCCCCGGACTGGCATGCCTGACGGTCGCACAGATGTTGTAATGTTTCTACTCTTCCTGATGGACTGTTTGAGTGCCCAAGAACCACGGCAGTGCAAATGGTGAAGCTATCTAACCCAATTGTTCGCACATCAACTGACTACATCTACGGCTGATGTGTCTCGTAGCCTCAATATCGCCATTCATCGCTACTGATGCGTATTGAATTTCCGGTTTGAGTTTGAGTTGGGAACCAATTTTCGGTATCATTAGGACGTGAGGGTGAGAGTCTCCGTTCTATCTTCTGCTGCGTCCGATTTAGTTACTAGTCGATCCGAACCCGTAGTTCTCGTATTTGAATCGGAGTCTCTCTGTTTCTCGGTGAACTTCATTTCTTTATAGCAGCTGACCGTTATTTATAGCAGCTGACCATTATTTATAGACTTCCGTATGCGTCCTGTGCATCCACCCATCCAGCGGGCAACGATATCGTGTTTTGCTGGCAATGGAATCTGCTTTACGGTGATACTCTCGCGTCGTCGGGGTTTTAGCACCCCGAAAGCTTAACTTAGAACGACAACTGAGATGAATGGAAGTATGATTGTAGGCAATAACAGGGATCCGATCGGTGCCAGCCTGATACGATCATCGAAGTACCGCAGAGTGAATGCAGTCAAGGCTTCTTGATTTCACATTCATGCCTTGGGATGCCTTTAATACTGCGACTGTCATCACCAAATCCCTCCTCTCTGCGCCATTGCATTCACTGTCTCTCGCAAGGACTGAAAGTGCGGTGGACATTTTCCTGCCGCTCGATATCTACCTCCCTCGATATGTCATCCCATAACTGTTCCCTTAGGCCGGGCTCCGGTATGAAGACTTCCACACTTTTTCTAGTTTACCGACATCTGAACACGACTTTCTCTCTTAGGGCATGCTACAGGCAGAAAGATGGCTCTACTGATTGGGATTCCCTACGACATGCACGAATACCCAAGCCCCCAATTCCCCCAATTGTCTCAGAGCACAAGGATGTCGAGGCTGTCAAGGAATATCTTGAAGGTAGCGTAGAATCTATTTTGCACTTACCGCAACTTCTCTCAGCCGCGTTCTCTCTACATAGGCAATTGTGGCTTTCATTCCAATGACATCATAATGATGCGTGATAAACCAGGCACGGATCGTGGCCTTTTACCCTTGCATGATAATATTGTAGGTTACTTAGTTGATATATGGGCGGTCATCCCATCTGACGAAATCTAATGGCATATTCTTAGGTTGAACAGGTGTGCAAGTCAGGAGCTGCTGTTCGTCCGGGGGATAGCGTTGTTTTGCACTGTACGTGATTCATGCTTCCTTTCATTGTTATAAATGGCTAACGATGGAGCGTGATTCGCTAGACGCGGGTCATGGCGACCAACTGAATGCACATCCTGACAGCGAGGAGTCAGACGGCATGGATGAGAATATGGTTCCCATGGACCACGGCGGTTGCCAAGACAGATTCCTCCGCGATAATGTATGTAGTCTCCGTTATGGCTTGTCAACTTCACCGCATTAATGCCCGTAATATACAGTGGTTGAAGAAATCCTTGGTTGCGAAGATTCCAACTGGAGCCAAGCTGACCGTATGCCATTCTATACATATCTGATGGTCTCACAAGCAACTGAGGTTCACCTAGATGATTTTTGACTGTTGTCATTCTGGGACAATGGCAGGTGAATGCTTCGCCTCCGTAATATGTCATCTACATGAACTGATGACGATTTGCTCAGACCTCAAACATCGGACTTGCAACAGGGTTCGACTTTGGAAGTTGACTAATGTCGGTATGTAAGCTTCTCTGCATACAATCACGCGCCTCAGTTGATATTTTATCTATTTATTCTAAGCTTCTGCTTTGAAGACGTGTTAGAACATCAGGGAACACCGGCTTGTCTATGAAGTGCTCCTGTAGCCTACATTGCAGCTGTAGCGCCGTAGACAAGTAGTCGCCTCTGTTGATGGTCGTAGCACCCGTAGCACTCTGTAGCATCTAGTGTATGCACTGTAGCACTCTCATAGTGTTACATACCTTAGGTATGGTACTCCATTGCAGTCTCGGAGCACCCCATAGCTTCCTGTAGCTCACCATAGCTATGCTGGAGAGCTACTGCAAGCAGCAGAACAGCTTATTCACACCTCAAAAGCAAAATAATACAGGCAATAAATATATTTGTGAACTGGTATACTACATGGTACATACACCATAGCTACATCGCCCCAGGCAACTCCCACAGTAGTGAAGCAAGAGACACACTTGGAGCAGATCTACAATGACATCATAGTCAGCATCAACTTGGGTGGTAAACATGAGATAGCACAGACCTACATCCTCAATGATAACACCGATCACTGCCGTCTTACACTCTACGTACCTTTGCTGTAGATAGCAGCTACTATAGAGACATCAAGAATCGCTGCTGAAATGACTGTTAGCTAATAAGGACAAGGAAAGAAGAATGGTCGGCAATGTACAAGTTCACATAGGGTGTGACAACAAAGGCATAGCTAGTTACCAACAAGAATCTGACGGCGCCCAAGGGGCTGTAGTTATCTGCTCTACTGAGAAGACAGGCTTTAAGAGAACGAATATGGGTCAATCAATGTCAAGCATCAAGAATCAAATACGTACCATGCGAGAGTCACCTCGACGTCGAAGCTATTAGGTATCGCGAATGATGCCGTCGAGACTACGTGTAAAAATGAGAGGCGTATAGTGACGACGTGTGTTGAACATTTAGCGTTCGACACGAGGTTGGATGGTCAATGACTCACCTTGGGTATCGTACCTGGGCGAGGTACACCACTGGACAAGCTACCTGAAGTGACCTTGAGCATGATACACTAGGAGACGACGACTTAGCCCGTCACACAGCAGCGAAGCTAACAGGAATGCATACCTTACAAGGAAATTATACTAACATCTCCAGAATCCACTGAGTGACCACATAGGGTCGGTGAAAGTGAGCCGTACAAGAGACGACGGCAGAAGTGGTGAAGGAAAGAGGAAGAGTCGAGGACGACATTGCTGCTGGCAGTTGGAGCGCTTTGTACCATCACCCGAAACCGGTAAGTCCCGTTGACAAACAAGTGCAAACATGGCACTTAGCAATTTCTCGCTGAATCAAACTTGCTGCTGTGAACGTTGCTGCTGAATTCTGCACTCAACGTCACCAATTCCAACTTGCTTATATGGACACGCCACCGAACCAACTAGCGAGCCCGTCTTTCTTACTAGTTGCCCACAACTTTGGTACTTGTCGGCCTCTCAGTCAGATCAGTTAGTAATACTACTGTGTACAATATCACCGGCACCGCTGCGGCTACTATACACCACTTTTCTTCATCCCCTTATTCTTGTAGTGCATTGCCACGGGTTCTCCATGCCCTTTACAAGGTACTGGATTGAATTTGGAAATATTGCATATGTCACATACTATGAAGAACTACTGACATCTCTGTAGCATGTGCTCCATGCTACAGACTGCTACAGACTGCTACAGAGATGCAGGTGACTGCTACAGCACTCTCCGGAGGCTACCGCCGCTTCAGAGCATGTAGGCGCGGCTATAGAGGATAAGTGTGTTTCCTGATGTATCATCGTTCCTGCTGCACGTCCTACTCAGTATTGATGAGGGTGCCCTAGTCACTCCCGGTTCGAGCAAAGCGCGCCGCGCTCGCATTGCTGCATCCCGTTGGAAAATACTTCGCGCAGGTATGATCTACGAATTTTTACGATAACTTAGCTGAGTAGCGCACGCATTGAATTCTGAAGTCCACAAAGGTAAGTGCGCAGTCGTCCTAACCCATTCATCAAGTACTAATTTTATATCTACAGTTATGACAGTTTCCCATGAAGGGGCTGGGAAAATCACCACCAAGAACGCTGTTTCAACCGGAACTTCTTTGGCTCCGCTGTCTCTATCAAAATTCTCCCCCATATTCAAACCCACAACGAATGCACGCAAGATTTCACCATCGATTCATGATCCTGTGATAAACCAAATTGCCAATATTCCGAAGTTGCAGCGCTCAAGATCCACTTTTTCTCGTCGGCAGAAGTGGCCAAAGTGTAGAGGCTCCTGCAGCCCGAGAACGGTTCGCAAACAGGACGTGGTGAGCCTTCTTCATTCCGTTACAATTTAATGTTGCAGCTCATCTGACACATTAATTTAGATCTCGTTGTCAGCATGTCGTGATCATGAACAGACGATGGAAAACGACGCGGGATTGTCGCTCTCACAGGTACTCTTTCTCTGCATTGATACGCTCGTAACCCTTCTGACTTTGTGGTTCCGCCAGGTCTCGATCAGGATCCTACGTGAGTCATAGAGCGCAACCTTCGACCAACAAGACATCATACTGACGGACACTCTTGACCCAGGGAATCAACCAGATATTACTTACAAGCAGCTCATGCGCCAAATTATGTATGTGATCCGTCTCATATGCAACCACTACTGATATGACATTGGCGTTCATTGTAGCTGCGAGGTCTACAAGGTTGTTGATGTAATCCACGATTTCAAACACGGTTTGACCCCTAGTCGACAAAACTCGTTACCTGACGAATGCAAGGACTCTATTCGTAACGGTTCCGGCCCTCGAGGTACTATTAGTTGCACGACGGCTGCGAGACGCGTCTATGGTTGGCGGCCACAGGTACGAAATGCCCCTTTGACGAGACGTTTATGATGAACTCATTTAAAATCTCTCTGCTATCCAAATTAGCTCGCCAGCCAGGAACCCGTGGTGCGTTTTAAAAATACTCAGCGATGGTGATTGACTTTCCATCTATGCAGGATATGAACAAGCCGTTCTCTCTGCTAGTTGATGGGTCCTCGCGCCCTACCTATTGAGCATTGCGTCTGATGTTATGCCTTTCGTATTATTTTGTTTACAACGTTGGATACCGTACGCCGTATGTTGCTCTTCGTTCTCTTCCACCGCCGCCCTGTCCCGATTCGTCTATCTGTCTCAGTTGTGTTCGGGTTTTGTTCTATGATGATAGTTGCTTGAATCCACACAGCCATCATACGCGTATGTATATTGTTGTTCATAATCTATAAGTATCTGGAAGTCTCATTTTAAGGAGACGAAGTCGCGACTTTGACTTATTGGCGTCTATCCTCCCGACGGTGGCTACCATTCTGGGCAACTGTCGGGATAGTCGTTCGGATCGGCGCCAATGGTAAATTTGCTCTTTCCCTTCCACGACGACCACGATATCACGGATATAACTACAACATCTCCTGAATTCTGTGTCCTTGTTTTGAAATCTATGCGACTGCATGAGTCTCAATACACTTGACTCGAGGTATCTGCCACGAGTTCCTGAGCTGCTCCTCGTCGACCGCAAAACCTATGTCTTTAGATCCAACACACAACTTACTACTGGCAGATTTGTTCTACTCACGCGCGGTCCAGAAACTATTCCATTCTTCGTTTCGTTGACATTGATCCATTTTTCTTAGTAGCATTGCCTTCCACAGCTCTGCTCTGCCGTTGTCTTCCTATTTTCCTTTCTTACGATGAATGCTGGATGCATATGATGAGATAGTTGCACTCAGTATGCACATGTTGTAGAAGATTCTTTATTGCTGTATTTCCGTCATTATCGGACTATCCGTTTCTCGGCTCATGGCGAGTCTAAGGAGTATCTGAAGAGACTACACTTGCTAGTCGTTCACAACGGACCGTCCGAAAGTCTACATACGACCACTATATTGTGTTCGCCTACTTACTTTTCCCAGTGGCAAGAGACTTCCGTTTATCATAATGTTTGGAACGCCCAGCCGTGCTGTGTTCGCCATGCCTTACGATTATTATTGCTCCCGCGCGCGTGTTGTCCTCCCCTCTCCCTTCCGGCTAGCGCCTGGTTGCACTTGCTTTAAATCATACTGTCCAACACTTTACTTTGCGCTATTGTCTGTTCGAATTTACGCTTGAAGGTTCCCTTTCAACCTTCAGATAGTGTTCCTCGAAATTGATAGAAGTGCTTCAGCGCGCACGCCATCGTTGATGTATCATTCCGAGTGGATTTGATCCACGTTCTAGACCTCATCAATGTTTTGAAGATCATGAGTTTTGAACTCGTCCATAATTGCTAATTTATGGCAGTGTCCTAACACCTGTTGGCTCACCTTCTCATGGACGGCGGCGGTACTGCCTCTATTCTGTTAGAATGGTGCCAACCTGCCTGGTGAACTCCACACTTCTATAGGAATAACCAAGACCACTGGCAGTATCAGTAGTGGTGGCGGAAACGTACACCGCCCGACAATATCTCCCGGTGCATAAATAGCCCCGGAGGTGTCATTCCTCCCTTACTCTAGTCTATCCTGCCTCTTCACACTCAAGGTCGCTCGCCTTCCCTCTCTCGTCACCCCCATCATGCCTTCGAGGCCTCTCCTCGATACATGGCACCGTATCATCGACTACCTTCTCGCTCAGAGGAGGTCACTCTTCGAACTCGTCTATCAATACCCTCGCGTTCTTGGACATACGCCTAAATCCGATCGAGATGTCGATCACAATGCTGGATCGAGTTCGAGTCATCCCCATCATGCAGGGAAGAGAAAAGCGTTGCTAGTCGGAATCAGCTACGAGTCCCGGGAAGATGAGGTCTTTAGGCAGCTGGATGGGCCTCATACGGATATTGAAATGATGAGAGCGTACTTGAAGGGTATGTACATGTCTCCTTCTGATGTCTTCCTCCTTTCACTGACATTGCATATGCAGAACATGATTTCGACGTTGTAGTAATGACCGATACACCTGGTGCTGGTGACCTTGCCCCAACCAGAGCCAATATGGTGCGTTCTATCACTCGGCGTTCCATACACCAATCATTCCAACGAGGTCGGATACAATCAGATACGAGAGATGAAGAATCTGGTCGCCGGCGCCGGACGACGGGATAGTTTCGTGTTCCACTGTAGGCTGGTTCCCGAACTTTTTTAATTATTTCAGCATTGATTGTCCATGCACGTAACACAGACGCTGGGCACTCGGACCAGGTAGTAGCGCTCTGGGACCGCAATGAAGATGATGGCATGGACGAAGGTAATGATCATCCCGAAATTCCTATGATAAAGTATATCTTTACGACTCCATTGCAGTACTGGTCCCTGTTGATCATAATGGCCTGGAAGATCGAGAGAAGCTGATCATCGACGACGTAAACTAACATCCCTATATTCAGTATTTGCTGGTACTGAACTCAATATAGGAGCTCCGCAAGCTTTTAGTCGAACCTCTCCCGATTGGCGCAAAACTTACCGTACGTACATCGCTTTGCTCTGCACACCCACAAATATTTGTTGACGTTATGATATATTTAGGCCATCTTCGACAGCTGCCATTCAGGCACACTATTAGGTATGTCACCGTAACTCTTGTTTGCCCTCCAGTTGGCAGATATGCTAATCTTCGTTGCAGATCTCGACCACGACAAGTGCAACGATCTCGATCCTAAGGACAAGTTGTTTCGCGTTGGTATGTGTACTGTAGTATCGTGATAGGTATTTGTTGTGCCTGATTTTGACGCATCTCATGGACTACAGTCAGAACTGCAACGCTCGGTGAGTATTTAGCGCTTCATCGCCCTTGTCATCGATATTTACGTTATATCTGTAGTCTCAGTCTTCCGTCGTCGCATCTACACCACAACCCGTATCAACACTCACCATGTCCAGATTCGTCGTTTATCCGTCGAGCTCAAACCAGAAAAGAATGGTTCTCCTAGCAAACAACTCATCCTGGAGAGTCGAATCTCCACCTTCCACTCTGAGCCGAATCTAGTGCCGTCGATGTCACCGATGGACCCAATTGCTCACCGTCTGGTTACAAGGAGTCAAAGGCCGTCGACTAGAACAGTGCAACTGGGAATCTCGAAACTGAACACTCAGAAGGTCCCCCGAAGGAAATGTACAGGGATGTGTCCGATAAGCCCGACCCCAAGGCAGAATGCTGTAAGGACATGTTGCATGGCTATCCTTCAAGGTTTCCTAACTTCATATGATTGCATGTTCTCAGGTGTCGATATCTGCCTGTCGTGATGGGCAGTTCACCTTCGAGGATGAGAATGGGTGTTCCCTGTCTCAGGTAAAATATCTACAGTTCTCACAAACTCTCGATCGTGAATTTGACATCAGACGTGTCTTGAGCAGGCTCTGGTCGCTGTCCTTAGACAGAACCCGGAACTGACGCACGCTGAACTCCTCGCACAACTCAGGTCAGTTTAGTTTACACATCGTTCCATGACCTTAAACATTGAACTTGGGCGTCCTCATAGATGTCGCGTGAATGAGACAGCTATCAGGATGCATGACTGGTATCATGAAAACGGACGTAATTGTAGTGGTGTTCTCATTACCAGCCCATCTGGTACCGTAGCTCCAAGGAAATGTTCTGCTGTCCAAAGGTTATTCTACACTTGGCAGCCACAGGTGAGGACTATTATCTCACCCTCGTGTATTCAGGATTTGATTCATATTCTTTTGAGTATAGCTTGCGAGCCAGAAACGTTTGGTAAGCTCTGAAATTTCTGCACTGTCTCACGCTAGATGCTGATTGTCGTTCCTAGAACATGCAAGACCGGTTTTCGCTAATATGTTGATTACTGCAAGCAATTGTAGCTCCTTGTATCGTTATCTTTCTTCGACTTCTAAACATCTTCACTCCACTTGCTCGCATTTTATGAACACTTTCAACATTTCCAGCCACGGCTGAATTCATGATGTTTCCGGTCTAGTTACCACTCAACCTATTGCTATGACAGGTTTTCTTAGTTACTTACTTGTAGTTTTCGCACACTTGATACTTATATTGATCTCCTTCGTGTACTTGGTCCTCCGCACATGCTAACAAGCGAGAAATTTGTGAGAGTTCTGAAATGAACGTCAAGAGTGTTTCGGTTTCTGGTAAGGTTAGGGTTTGATTATTAGACTCGAAATTCTTCATCCTTGCACTTTGTCTGTTGAACTCATTTCCGTCAAAACATACGTATAACTCGAGGATACCCCTCATGTTTCGCAACCACATGCGTGTGTGTAGCAGCCTCGTTGTCACTTAAAGATCACGGCTACCCACTAACAGGATGAAAGCTATGAGCAGTGGCCGCTGCTAGCATAGCAAAGAATATATTCCCTAGGACCCTCACCAGCCTCCCATCGTTTCCTAACCATGCCCATCTTCCAGGCTACCTTTGGTTCCTTTGGGGATATTGTGACCATCGTACAACTGGCTTTGTCAATAAAGCAAGCGTTGGACGATAGTCGAGGTTCAGCTGCTGAGTTTCAGGCACTGTCATCGTATCTGGAAACCTTCACTCAGCATCTAGACTGCACGCGGAAACCTCTTCTCGCTGCTCAATTACCTGATACTACAGTGTCTGGCATACCTATCGCGCCTATCGAAGCTGCTCTTCGTGCATGCGAGAGGCACTTGACCGAGTTCCAGAGACGGATGCGTAAATACATTCCAAGCCTGCGACCTGGAGGCTCTGGCTCGCGAGTTGTCGATGGATATAGAAAGCTTCAATGGGCAATATATGGAAGGCCGTTCGCGAAAGAGCTTCGTCAGTCCCTTATGGAAGAGTCGATCCTAATCAATGACATATATACCGCATTACAACGTACGGTTTCACTTTGCTTCTCCATATGTCTAATCTTAAATCTCCTTCGACATATATAGTCGAAGAATCTCTATGATGCAACCTTATAGCGCAGTCGGTATGTTGACAAAGGCTCCTCATGCAGTTCGAGCGCAGGGACACATTGTTCTTGTCGACTTGATTGATGAAGTCAGGCAGATACCAATCGAAGTGTGTAGCAGTAAAGCGGTAAGTGAAAATATAGGGCTATGGGGATAGCAACTTACTCCGAGACAGGTATTTCACGGATTTCTGGCGTTCTACTACAGCAAACGGGTGGGGGAGAACCTTCGTTCATACCAAACGATATACCCTTCTGTCCGACACAGGCTCTGTCATCGACGACTTTACGTGGAACTCGATGGTGCGGCCCGGATCCACTCTCAGCATGAGTGCGCTTGTGCTTGTTGAACAATCATCTATGAGACTCTGTCCGCGCTGCAAATTTGAAAATGTGTTTTCAGATGATGAACTGGAGAACCGTGATCTTAAATGGTGCGTAATATTTCAGAGATTCTTTGAAATACTGCTATTAAATGTTTCTGAAGTCGACGTTGTCAATGCACTCTGCAGTTGATCATCTTAGAGGCCGGGCGTAAGCAGCCAGCTCCCGCACCCGTGTCGCAGGTCAACATCTTTCGGCATGCGAGACCGTGTCACGTTTACGAAGATGAAATACAATTGATTACGCGCATTTCGATGGTCTTCAGACCTCCAAGGAACAATGCCTTGTGCATCGGGATTGAGGCCACGGAAATTTTGTCCGGCTTCATCAAGGGTATTGCCATTTCTCTATATTGTATATATTCTATCTATTAATCAAACTCTCCGCTATGCGCAGATGAATTAGGGTTCGAGAACGTAGTTCTCATGGTTGATGAACCGGGTGTGAGTTTACCTGCCCCAGCCCGCGATAGAATCGAGCTCTCAGATCTATCACAATGCTTATCAACAGTATGTGGCAGATTCGTGAGATACAGGCTCTCGTGATAGATATCTCGCCAAAAGATCTTCTTGTCTTCCATTGTGAGTACACCTCCCCCAACATAAGTTACAATAATAACCCGTATTCCAGTCTCTGGATGTGATATTCGACTTACGAATCATGATAAAACAGAAGATGGAATAGGTGAAGGTATAGTATCGGTTATTGCCCTACAATGTCCAGCACCGAGTCAATCACACGCATTGATAGTGCTTCTTCCTGTGGATTATAGTGATTCCGGTGTAAGCAGTTTATCTGACGAAGTATGTTCTAAGTGTTCCATGCCGCTAAGACTCTCAAAGTCTGTACTGACCATATATATAGAAACTTCGCTGTTTCATGATTGATCCACTTCCTGCGGGTTTCAAATTGACAGCAAGTCATTATCTTTATCGTTATTGCCCGGATGACCTGATGTTGCGTTAAATAGGCCATTTTCCATACTTACATCTCTACCTTAGGTGCGTTGACTGAGCATCAAACCACCAATAATTTCATTGAATATGCCTGTGCAGATATTCCCTTTATCGCGTCCTCTCCCGTTATCGGTGATGCGTCTGAAAGGTTATCAACTCACTCTGAAAAAGCGACTCGAATTACGAAGGGCGCTGATATGGCCGACATGCCTGATGATACACCATTGCACACGTCTTATGATCTCATGGCATCTGTCGTATGTGGCAAAGATCATCATGCTCCTCGTAGGACAGCCATTGATCAGTAATCTCCAGTTGTCTATCCCTTCCACTCAGTGGAACGATTTTGCTAACCGTCATTGTGAGAGACATTCAATGACACAGGTGAGTCTCAAACAGGTAACTCAGTTACCCGTCTGAATCGTTGTTGACTGTCCGATAGAGCATGATGGCTCTTTTGCGTGCGTATTTCACATTTCACATCATTTTGCCGGATGACAATTCGTCTCTCCGTCATACTGCTGCAGGATCAAGGCCTGAAGCTACATTTCGTGACCTTATACAGTACGCTACTGCTTTGCATCTGAAGTACACTGACCGAAACCGATCCAGCTCAAACCGGTATTCGTACAATTTCTGGAGAAGCACGCAAACATAATTTCTTTCATAAAATGTTTGCTGATGATCTGTCGCGCAACCCACATCCTCAGGTAAGTTGTGACTGCGACTTCCGCCTTACCTATCAGCTGGTTGAATGTTAGTATAGGTGTCGAGTATGAGACCTCTTGTGCGTACTTGCCTTTGATCGCAAGTTCGGCATTCTCAGCTGACCAGCACTCAATTCAGGACTCAACAGAACGATCCATTCTGTAAGGTGGCGGTCACGTTCGCATCAGATTGATGGCGACCAGGCATCGAAATATTGTACGTTCCGACACATGCAACGATGGTAAGTATATTGCCAATATGTGCCTTTTCTCCTAAATACGCCTCTGTTCGAGACACTGAGAAGGTACATCGGAGTACTGGAAGAAGTATTCGACGGGATGTACTAACGGGTGATACGCAGTGAAAGAATGCAGTGCAGGTGTTCGTCACTATCACCATCCAAGTGCCGCAGTCGTCTCGGTAATCCATCCCAGGATATGCTGGAATCGAACTTCTGTCGCCTCCGAAGGACATGTTCGATGGTTTTCCAGCACTTGAGCTAATAAACTCATGTCTTGTGCAGATTCCGAGCTGGCTTCATCACGATCGCAGCATTCATTATCGCTCATCGCGATATCCTCGTCCTCGTTGGCGCCAAGTGCATCACTCCATGACGGTGCATGAAGGTATTTGTATCGTCCAGACTCATGCGTAGAACGAGTGGGGGTAGGGAACCCTCCTTTGCCAGAATCAGTGTCATCTTGCATGATGTCTGAGTTACGGGCTTCACGTTCTGATTCGACATCGGAGGCTTGTGGAGCTTCTGAAGCGCAATCGGCGTGCTGGCTGTCATCGTCGTATCCCCACGTTGCTTCAAGTGAGGACTCTACTGTGCACTTCCCGATGGCATGTGCGTTGACATCGATGTGCTCAAGACTTTACAGAGGTGTAGATCAATAAGGATGTGAAGGTAGAAACAAAGGTAAGTTAACATACGACTCATGCTCCCCATGTGAATTGCCGTCAAGGCTTTGCCAGTTTGGTTGAAGTTCGCCTCGCGGATCTTGTGAATCTGTATAGGAAGACCAGTTGACCAGCGCAGTACGTTCCTCATCCATTTATCACTTTAAAACCTTACGCAATGAACTTCAAGCTGATAAAGATGATTTCGACGTACAGTCGATGTGCAGGTCAGCTGAGTGGATTGTTAGGTTAGTGGGAAGGGTGCAAGTAACTCCCCATCAAGATATCGTCCCAATTTATATACTGGATTAGACAGTCTTCATGACAAGAGTAAAGAGCACAAAGACGTCCGTGAAAGTACTAGAATACAACAAATCACGGTCCCCAATTAGTTTCTATGATACTCGTGGCACTGTCATGATACGTTCAAGTTACCATATTCTGTAGAAGAAGGAAGACTATACATGGTAACCTTTCTAATCGAATCGTAAGAGCTATTCAAATTTCTGTGGTAGTGAATTTGAGGATTTGCCTATTATTGTCGTGTGCTCGTAATGGTTGCGTGAACTACTGTACTACGTAAGGGTTGCTAATTTCGTACCTACTACATTCAAATCGTATATCTATGGTAAATTGTCGTGTTCCAGTATCGTGAAATGAATAGCATTCCTTACAAAAACCACTAGCTAGTCAGAATCTACACAAGTAGGTGATCAGCTGGTTAGTTTCAAGTCCAACGTCCAGGTACAACCAGGGTGATATTCGACTCCCAGTCCGTTAAACATTCTGTTATCACCTAAACAGTCCACTCGTTTGAAGCCTTGCCTCCAAACATGTTGATATAATTGACCCGAATTCTGACAACGCCTTATCATTGCGTCTCGGAGCCAATGAAAGTTGTCAGGATCCTCATCCCGTATTCGATTGACTTCACCTTGCGTCAGGAATCGGTCAAAATAGTCATAGACAGCGTCAAGAACATTTTCTACTGTGACGGGAGAACCTTGTACTTCAATTTCAGGCCAATACTCGTTGACGACACCCACACGACACGTGATGAGGACCATGTTGGATGGAGGTGTTGTTGCAGGGGTATTGAAGTCCGCCTCGGCTAATTTGAAGACGTTGCCGAGGTGATTACGACGTGTTGCAGTAGAAGGCAATCGCGAGACATCCCACCGCAACGCAGACGGATTTGGGTGCCACGCAACGAAAAGATCACATACTCGCACAACTCTAGCCCGCATACCCGACCCTGGAGGCCATTCTATACCCTCTTGCCAAACATGTGGTATTCGCGTATAATTGGGTGTAACAGCCGGAAGAGGACGAGAAGATCTTGCGGAAGAAGTGGGAGTCACTGTAGGAACAATGGCTGGAAAGACCAATGGCGTCGCAACGGTGCCATTGCGGTTGTATAATGTGCCTGGTGCAACGGCGCTAGGCACCCAGTAAGATCCATCCTAAGAATGCATCGGCATTTGCTACGGCAGACTGAAAGGATGTGACTTACTGGAAAGTAATAAGCAGGAGGTCGTACAGTGCCAGGAGCAAAATAGGCTGGAGTAACAGGCATATTCTGCCCCGGTGTGCGCAGTGAATGCCTGCGTCCCGGAGACGCTAGAAGAAGTATGGTTAAGGAGAGCTGAGATATTGGGAATGACTACGTACCACGCGTACCCGGATTCTGAGGTGCCTGGTACGGAGTATAAGGCCTTGCAGATTGTGGCGCGTTGCTTCGATTTGAGTTTCGCAGAATGCCTCGGTTGGGACGAGCCCCCCGATGGTTTGGCTGATGAGGAGGAGGACATCGCGGACGACGACAGGCATAACATTGACATCTATAGGGCTGCATGTAGGATCGATCTGAACAATGATGTAAATCCGTCATGTAAGCCTCGTCAGCTTGTTCGTGTCTACCGCTGTCTCGATGTCATGTTCACGGTGGTTTGCTGAACAGAATAAGTTGCCAAAAAGCCGAGCAAGTGTGCTGGTCATATGGGTGAGCGATACAGTAGAGTTATGTCCAGCAATGCGGCGGTAGAGTGTTCGGCAAAATTTCTATCGGTGATTGATCTATGTACCAATGGAAGTATGTCTTGACCTATGAATGAACGCAAAAGAGCAGGTGTATAGCTGGTCGGACAACAGTGGAATCAAGTTGTTGCTATCCTCGTCAGAGAGCATTAAGTAGCGGCATCGTCGGTACGCCACATCAACCGAGCGCCGATAATCGAAAGTGTAACTGCCAATTCGGAGACCGTCAATTCGGTAGGGCGTCGCCAGGAGGTCTTTTTGTTTTCACGGCAAATGTTTCGTAGGTATTGTAGACCATGAAGTAGAAGAACAAAAGTCGTCAACAGGAAAGCAACGAAGATCAGAATGCGATGGATACATCGATGAAGAACAAGATCATGCCGACCCAACCAGATTAGACGCCTGAGGGGCGGAAGTATCTTGCGAAAGTTCTTGTATTTCTGACAAGCGGCAAACACAGAATAGACAACATAGAACGCATAAATCCCGACAGCGGATCGCGTTCTGTCGTTGAAGAGGCAGTTCACCTAAATCCGAAAGGGTGCTGATTAACCATACCAGAAAACGCGGAGGTTATTGCACGAAGTTACTCAAATAGTACCCCAAGTCAAATGTGTGTCTTTCGGAGGTTGTCTTTGGCCATTGAATTCAAAGTCACCGCAAGGATACATCACTGGCAGTTACTCGTTGTCGACGGGAGCATACGACCGAAGATGATGGCGAGCAGATAAGCATATGCCAAACCAGACGAGGTCGAATAGATGCAGGGGATACGCGGACCTGGATGGGTACATGCCGGGCGAATACCAAATAAGCCTTCGTCTTCAGGAATGCTTTATCTGAGTCAAATCGGAGACCATGTAGACAAAATGGTTATGCCCAATCCTGTTGTTGATTAAAGTTTGAAGATCGAAGGTTCTTGAAGATGCTCTGAGTCCATCCTCTACCAGGAAAGGCGAACCGGAAGACTCGAGCGCTCCTCCGGGGAACACGACAGAAGCTTGCAGCTAATCAAATTCTTCACGGAAAGTGGGACAGTCGGTATTCAAGCGCTTTACCCCGAAGTTGGTGGGCCGATGTGTCCCTTCACGAAGAATGGGACGACGAGAGGCTACCCCTCAAGATGAGATGTTAGCAAGTTGTCAAGAAGGCAAACTCTTCAGCAGGCATACCGTAGAGTAATCGTTTGCATGTCGCATTTAGCGAATTTGCAGATGTACCTGTAATCAGAAAACAAGAGAAAAGAGGGCATGTTAAATTGCCTGTGCTATATGAACGAATAATGGGTTAAGTCAATGAAAGCCACTTACTAGGGGGATCATTGAAGGTGTGTTGACATGTGGTCCGCTGTCCAAATCGGTCCAGCTATGACTCTGCCATATTCCGACATCCAGAGAGAAAGATTTGTCATGAAAAAATGTAGTTAATGCTTGAATGCTTTCCTTAGCGATACCAAAAGTAAAAAGGATAGCCAAGAGGAAGAAGAACATCTTAACGCTAAGTTGATTGTAGACGTCCAATTCGAAAAGGTACCAGGAATGCGGCCCGGCATTGCCCCACCTAAGTTTAGCGTCTTTATGTATGTATTCTGGTTTCTTGACTTCCTTGATCATTAGTGTTTATGATACCGTACTTTAAATCTTTCATCCGTTCGTATACTCTCAGCTCTATCCGAACCCGTAATGGGTTCTGGTGGTAATGCTCTGTAGGGAAGTACATGAGATCTACAACTGACTTGACGAATGACGAATGAACTGACGTGCCAATTGCAATAAGGAATTTGCGAAGTTGATGTTCTCTGCTAACTGAGAATAATCTGCGGCCATCCAGATGTGACGTTCTGCATTGGAGTGGAATATTCTTCGTTCGTCACATTCGGAGTACTACGATCTACACGATCTCAGTCTGACGCTCTTCTAGCTGAGGTAAATGCGGGCGCTGTTCATCTCTGTCTGGACTCTCATCCGCATACAAAAAAAACGCCCTCCAAGGGTAGATATGCCGTATTTGCTTCGTCATCTGATATTGGGCTGACCAGCCGATTGTAAGGACCTTACAGCAATTGCGATCACCCCGTCCGTGATGATATCGCTCAAGGCGCTTTGAGACCTATTATATAACCCCCTGGTCGAGGATGCGTTATCTGTCCCCAATTCTAACATGAGTTCGTATAGCGTATGACTGTCCTGCATCTTCCTCCTTTGTATCTTGCCTTACGCTTTAATATTTGGTTCAGTCAGAACAGCCTTCGCAACAAGGGCAGTCCTCAGGAGACTACATTCCACCACGAAGAACTCCAATGGCATGTCAGTTCTGTAGAGGTATGTGTAATGAAAGGCAGTTGACAAAGGCTCACCATTGCCATTTGCTTCCCTATCGAACAGCTCGGAAATTGAAATGCGACGGACGGCCAACGTGCGGAAATTGCTCGAAGAGAGCCATCGCCTGTCATTATGTCCCAGTGTAGGTATCTTTCTAGTACTTTTCTATATTGCCTAGTACATCCTGATCGTATGTGCTTCTAGCTCAGCGCAGGGCTCAGCCGGAACACCGAGTTAGGACTCTGGAACGTTTATCGAGCAGAACACTTCTTCCGCCATTACGCAATGCACTTCCGTCATGTATAATTTCTGTCTTTCTGTTGTCATCACCATTATCTTGGATCCATCGCTGTTGTCAAACGCACAACATTTGTGTCGTGACCACACTCATCAGCAATCACTTTGGTCCCGTGCAGTGTTGACCCGGAAGTCTGACGCTGGTTCAGGGACAGAAGTTCATCATACAAGTCTAACCCGCTTCGTACGCACTCCGGCGATCGCATTTGCGAACTTTCTTATCCGCACCCAAGCGTTGAACGTATGGAATTACGGCCCGTTCAGCGTCCATGGGGTATAAACGAACATCTAACTGACATAAGTGGCAGCCACTTTCGCAAGACGCCAAGGAGGCCTTCTGAATGATTGTCACCTGTTCACGAGAGGTTCGCAATTTGGCTAGTCCGCACATACAGTATTCGGATCTGCCAATGGTTGAATCTACATTGTGGTCCTGGTTACTACACATAATAGGTGTTCTAGGCCGTATTCTTTGCCCGAAACGAATTACTGTGCAGACACGGTAGAATCGCATGTTGTAACAAGCTCATCCAGGTCATAGGGTTTTGTCTCTCACTGTCATCTTGGAGTCTGATATCTACCGCAATAGGTCTGGCCGAAACCGGTACACAACGTCATACAGCCAATCTAGACCAGACTTCCTGGAGTTTTCCGTGCAATGAAGGTTTAAACCTTAACGCATGAGTCGGCGGCCAGGTCTAACGGTATCTTCTCCCAATCTTCTCCGGTCCCGGACTGTGAACATAGCGATAGGGAAAATTAGCGTGTATTCAGGTAACAATTGAGTACTGAGGTACACTGGCTGGAAATAGCATTACTAAGAGAAATCCTATATATAGAGGAGCCAGTGATGTGAATTCATTAGTCATACGCAGAAAAGGGACGCATTATGTGTAGCAAAGCGTAGAGATCCAGAGTTCTTCGATCTTCCAAGTAGACCGGCCCTGAAGTCAGTAGATCTAAAACGAGGCTGTACAAGTAGCGTCAGAATAAACATACCGAAACCCTTTCACACTTTGTTTACGTACTTGTGAGGACAAGGCTGGTATCGATCCCGATTTAAAGCGTTCGGGATAGGTCATACCGACAGACGTCATGGTATCGAAGGGTAACGCTTTGAAGCCTGCAGGTGGTCGCACGGTACAAGCATTCACATTCGCTTGTCGCATGTGCGGAGAGTCATCCGTAGCCACTCTCGAAAAGGGACTTGTGGCTCTTATGATGTGCTTCCAATCCATGTTCAGAAGATGGTTTTGCCCTCGCTACGCGCTCCTTGTTTGATGAACAAGTTGCTATACAGGTATTTCAGCACCAATGAAAAAACATGCAGCTCACTTCGGCGTCACTGGGTGCCGTGTTGAGTTCCAAGTAGTACTTTCAAGTGCCGCGGTCGCAGTTGGTCGCTTTAGAACCACAGTCAGCCTCCGTGAGGCGGGACAACCTCGCTTGTATCATATGAAGGCTCCTGGGAATCTTCGAATGCGTCCGACTGTAACGGAAAAGAAAGCGGCCTGAAAGCTCAGGAGAAAGTTCGCTAGGCAAGTGCGTTGAAATCCTTGCGATATGGAGCCCAACCCCTTCCAGTCAGGTAGATGGTGCTGAATGGCCTTGACCACATGAGTACAATCGGAAGTAAACATGCCGGTCCTTGAGCGGTTACATATACCCAGTCTTGTTGATTGTCCACACGTAGGGAGAGTCAGACACATATCACCCTGACATCGGGGAGATTTCAGACCCTCGCGCGACAAAGGGCGAATTATTACATACGAGCAACCTGGGTCCAAAATTTGCCGCACGGAGAGGTGTTGGTGGAAGGAAGGCGCAAGCGGTAGATCTGTCACTGCATGGTCATTACGAGATCCGAAAGGCATCGTTCACGGCAGATGGTGCGGGACGGGAGATTACTCATATGTGTAGACACCAGGAAGCGAAGGGGAGGAGGAGCTAGCTCTGAGGAAGTGCTTCAGTGACTGTTTCGCCATTACAAGGTTCGACTTACGTTGATATGATCATTCAGTGGAGCTGCGCATGCCTTACCATCAGCACAATTGACATGACATCTCAGTCTTTTCCCGGGTGGCACCCGATACCAGTGGTGTCGCATGTCACGCCTGTTTTGGTATCCTCACATTTTTCCCTTTGAAGTTTGATCCTTGGACCCGCCAACAAATGTTGCCATCCAAATGCTTGCTGCCCATGCTCAGGTCTGATTCGGAGATGCCGTGCGGGGTTATCCATGACAAAATCACTGTCGAAGAGTGATGCACAGGGGGAGAAACTTGTTCACACGAAATATCTTGGGTCGGGGAAGCAACGCGACGGCTGTGAGAACACTAAGGCATGCAAACTAGATTCACAGGATGATCAAATTGAAAATCCAGTTGGTGATAGATGGTGAAGATGCGATACGACGGAGATAATGACCGATAATGCCTTGTGAAGCACTTGCGCGGCACTAACGACGAAAAGCAATGCGAGTTTGACTGGCTGCGGGTACCTGGAGGCTGGGAGGTATTCGGAGGATGGTGCTCCTGCTGCTAGCGCAAGCTAAGAATGCTGGTACTTGAGGAGCTGCATTTACTATGACTGGCACCCGCGTCAATTTGTTCTGAGGACGAAAATAAATTTTATTCAACCGGATAGTCCTGAGACCCGAAAGCGCACCACTATAGCAGGTATGACATGCTGAACATTTCCGTAGGCTCAATCATGAACTGTGTTCGAAACAGTAACTTACATCGGACGTGTTTGGCACCGGGCAAGAGAAGACCGATGGAAGTAAGGGATCTGCCGGTAGGGATAGCTTCAGGGTAACGGCAATGAGGAAGCCGAAGGAACATACTCCCAATTAGGGTACAATCGCGACTGCCCGGTATACTAAATACTTACAAATGGTTTGTTGACAGCGACACCCCCAGCATGAAGAATGGAAGCCAGGAACCTGCGCTTTCATAAGGGCCAGACACGGGAAGAACATTTCAAACAAGCATCGGCCACATACACCAGATGAACAACATAATCGCCCTGTACACCGCGTCAGACAGCGAAAAGAGGCCGGAGCACATTGTTTGCGTACCAGTATTGACGTTATCAGGAAAGGTACGGTGCACGATACTAGGACAGCTGTACGGTATTAACCGAGAAGCACAATATACATAGTTCCAGAAGACGTCCCAGCCTTTGTGACAGTAATATTCCGGTCGGGAAAGAAAAGAGTTCCGCATAGCACCAAGGGTATCACGGCACTTTACCGTATTCATTGGTCAATATACAGTTCAACGAAGAGCTGCAGACTCACATATAACTGTTGTTGAGGGGAAATGTTCCTTTACCGTATGATTCAACGCATCATATATGGTTGTGGAGAACCAGAAGCAACAGAACTTTCAGAAGCACCGTCATGCAAACACCGTGTGATAGAAGATCTCCTCATGATCAACACATTCGGAGAATAGCGTAGCGGGGTGACATGCAGAGCCCTAGAGCAGCGTTGATTTTTCAGAAGAGTATTCATGTTCCCTCATCGACGACAACGATACAGCTTGGCTGGATCATCCGAGTCCAGTTCCCGATTGTCATGGTGAATGACGCTGACGCTCAGTAAACCTGATGCTGTTTCTCGAGTGAATCGCCTTCTATTTAGCCCATTACTGCTAGAGGGTGTAAACTACACGCGCTTTTCGTTGTCGTCACGACATTTCTTGTCAAAGTACAACTTATTCCTTGCAAGGGTGGATGTTTGGGAGCCACGCGGCCGAAGGCGCCCAGGTACAGCTTTGGCAGTGGCAAGAAGTTGAACACAGTTGGTTAACGTCGTTTCCCGAAAATCAACCAGTACCAGATGCAAAAGTTTACTCAAAGACTCGCAGTAAGGAATATACATCACGTAACGGTTCCTTAACCGCAGTATATGCCACTGATAATATAGAGTATAGGGCCCCCCATATTCCCGGCCACCGCGCCTAATAATACCACTGCCGCAGACTTTGTACATATCCTGTCCGCCACTGCCTGGCGTCGGGAAATTGAGTAGTCGGTGCCGTGTGATAATGCCACATATGCACACTAGTACGCATCAAGAAGCATCGTCATGGACAATACCGCAAATGTCCATTTCCGTATAAAAGGCCTAGCAATGCATTGGTTCCATTCCGTCAAACCATTGCTTCATTCCAATCATCCACCCCAGTTCACCACTCGATCTTTTTACCTGGGAGAGCCGCTTGGTAGGCTCTTATTCTTTCAAAGATGTCTTCAACGAGTGGCAGGGTGCACTTTCCACCCGACCTCAATTTTCATGGTCGCTCTTCAGGCGATGACCCTTCTGGAATGTCGACTCCGCGTCGACAGACCCCTCCGAATGTTTCTCCCGACCTCTACGTATCAATGGCGCTCACTCCGTCTCCGACGCGAAGTGATGCATCCACTGAGCTCTTTGGGGGTCAGTCGGACTCCCCAACCTCACCTACGACGACCGGTGTCCCCACTAAAGTGGCGGTACATCTCACCCTTGCATCGGTCAAGCACGCAGATCCAGCCGAGCGTCCTTTCATATGGGACCTCACAACACATCCAAACAATATTCGTGGACCTAAAATATATGGTCCTGCACTACCATCTCCTTATATTATACCTCGCGAGCTCCGATCGCAGCCCGCGTTGACTCCTATCCAAACTAGGATCACTATCTCATGCCAGCGGCTTCCCTGGAAAATCAAGGTGGAAGCACCTGAGGATCAGCCTTATGTGACTGTAGAGCATGTGCTGCAGTCCATATACAGCTTCCTACGCTTGTCAGTACAAGAGGCAGAGCTGCATAGCCTGCCTGGATGGGGGCCCCGCTCTGAACTCGAAACTATGGTGACGGAGGCATATAATCTACGCCTTGCTCATGTACCTGAAGCCGATCGTCCGAGGGAGGAAGCGAGGGGCATTAGGCGGGTCGACTTGCTCACAGATACTACGCAGTTTGCTGGACTGTCTCCAGGGGCGGAGGAGGACCAGCTGTTCATGCACATCGTTCCGTTGGCGCCATGATCATCAGTCCTCCATTTCCCTCGTTCCCGTCTGCTTCTTTCAAATGCTTCACTGGTCTGACTGATTTATCTCTAACATACTGGACTATTCCGGCTCCAGCCTTCTCCTTGCTTCACGAGACTTTCTGTTTGGGGATTGGACCATCTATCTCGTTATCTATGGAATGGTATTTCTCTATGCCCCTATTATATTTAGGTGTTCATTCTTAGAGTAATCCCATGCCCCGTAATCACCGTAGCGATCCCTGTATATCCATAGTATCTTGTACGATAGTATGACATTATGCTTTACCACGACGTGTACGGCAAAGAGTGAGAAAAGACTAGGACATGTGTCGACTGTCGATTCTATTGAAATGGTGGGAGAAGACAAAAATCAGACTAACGCCGAACTCCTATTATAGTTTGGAGATCATTGAAAGCCGCAATGGTGCCCTGAGAAAACCCGTGTTCTGAAGCCACAAGATCATGAGAAACTGTCACAAGGTGCAAAGCGACAAGATATATACTAACCGAATTCCCAAAGGGCATTTCCCCCACCCTTCTCTTGAACATGCTGTTCAAGGCGTCTTTTTGTCCAGGGACCCTTAAATCCTAGTTCAGGAACAGGGGAGGAAGGCGGTAGACTCTCTACCGAGCTGAAAAACATCCACGCATCGTCCCATCCCAAGGTAAATCCGTCTCCGAATCTCCAGTGCTCATACTTTCCAGGAAACTGAGACCAATAGGAGCTATGTTCGCCTGTAGGAAAGTGGAAAGATAAGTAACAAGTTCGAAGTGAATATTGGCACGATCATACCTAATGCCTTATCCTTGGCTGTTTCCCTTCGGGCTTGTCTTTCTGGATCGTTATGAAATAGCTCAGGCTTGCATTTCAGCCCAGTGGCCGACGGGAATACGCCAGCAGCGACGGCATCTCTGAAAGACCATCCTTTATCGCCTGAACGTTCCTTCTTATATGTCCAGAAGTACCATCCTGCGCAATAACGTTCGTACAGGGCCAACTGTGCGCCAACAAACCTTCTGCGTACTTCGATATCGTTTCCGACACCATGAAGGGATCCCGGGTTCAGTGCTCCAGACCATTCGCCCACGACTAATGCACCACCGGCACCGGCGAGCTTTTGAGACACTCTGGCGAACATCTGGGGAGTGCCCGCATTCGGATCTGAGAGATGGTTGACGTGTTGCTCGGCCGAGGTCTTTCCATCTCCCTGAGTGAAACATCGGTAAAGATGGTGATCAAGGACCAGGAATGGGATGGAGTTTGCTTGACGTTCGATGAAGCCAGCATACTGGTCCGTCATCCATGAGTCACCAATGTAGATGGGAATCTGTGCGTCGATGCGATGCAGGGCGCGACTTGTGTCAATGTACCACTTCTCCAATGCAGAATTATTGCTGCCCGGAGCTGGCTCGTTCAAGAGCTCGATGCCAACCAGGTTGTGAAGCGAAGGATCGTGTGACTGAGCAAAGCGAGTGAGATGCTCAAGGAGGACGACCAAGACATCAGTGGTGTGCTTCATGTTTGACTTTGTGAAGAACTGGGTCTCGTGTGACGATGTACCAGAGTGTGCATCACGATTTTGCTTGCCCGGAGCAGCATGTAGATCTAAACGGCACAAGTCAATAAGATACTCATAATGGAATAGCAAGTTTGATATACCTACGAGTACGCCAAGGCCATACCGATTTGCCGTAGCGATTGCGCTCGTGATTCTGTTCCATGCTCCTTCGAATACGTGCTGGAAGTCTCCGAAGTCTGTGCCTCGAAGAACTGATGGTTCTGCACCACAGATGTGGTGGTAGCCAATCTAAAGAATAGTAAGACTCAAACCAAAATGCTCGGACTGCAGTGTTTAGACCCACAGGAATCCTAACCGTATTGATACCCCGAGCAGCAATCCACTGCCAGTCTTGCTCGGTGATCCAATTGTCCCAGTGTCTCTCTAAGACATCCTTTGCGTACGAACCTCTGGCGACATCGAGGTCGCTCTGAGCAGGTTCCTTGGCAAAGCGGAACGGTGCTTCCGTTATCCATCGTTCGAGCACGAACCACGAACCTAACGATCGAACACGCGAATCAGTCTTCCAACGATAGAAAGCAGTTGTGATGATTAAAGGTCCTACCGAGGTTGACACCACGTTGTTTTCGGTATCTGAAAAGATCTGATTGCGAAGGGAATGGCGATCCTAGAGACAATGGCTTTTGTAATTTTCCTGACTCGTTTTGACGAGAGAAATGAGCATCATGCTTGAACAAATTGGATAACTTGTGCATATGTGATACTTTGTTGTTGTCAACTTATTCGCAATGAGGACTTTGATGTAGTTCTGTCGAAACCGTAGAGGAATATGTCCCATGACGTTGAATCCGCATGACCATCTCGTGACTGCGCAGTGTAGATTTGATGATCGTGGCGATCGTGTCGTTCGCGGATGCTGCGCGGAATGTAATGTCAGTCTAGTATCTTCCCCTATGCTCTAGGCAAGCAGAATCTTCCTGGAATATTGCAAAGAACAATGGTCAATCCATATTCACTTGAAACCAAAGCGAATCACTCGCCAGGGCCCGATGCTCGGACGGCCTTGACTCTCTGGGTGGAAATCCTGGATTTTAATCCAGATATTGTGAAAGTTTGCCGAGTAGACCCATTGTTCCCTCTCTTCCAAGCCAATGAAGTAGTAAATGCCGAACGTACCATGAGCATGCATGTGGAGGACTTATAACAATAATCCCCGTGGGAATTCCACGTGGCTAGGCCGTCGTCGACAACGGGGTCAGCTTGAAGCCTCTTGGATATTTCATCCTTACGACGACCATCGACGTAACGAACATTTTCACCATGCAACGATATCGAATGTAGAGGGGCCAAATTCGTACGGATTCGAGCTTAGGAGGTCTGTTTGTGACAAGGACATGGGTTAGCCATTCGGTAAATGATTATTCTGACCCCAGAATTCGCCCAATTCACTGCGTGTTTTCTGTGGTCAATTTTAGGTGCATTCTCAGCCTTGCGGCACTCTCTGATACGCATGGCTACTTAAATACACGAATCATGCTCGCTTATGACGGTGTTCGGTTCAGAACGTGTTCTGCTGTTGTGCGGCAAATGATCCTAATTCCGCCTGGTATGTTATTTCTGATGTGGCATTGCAGTCTGGACGAATGGAGTTCTCAGTAATATTAGAGCGTTGCAGATCAATGGCCGACTCCAACTTAGAATAGAGGTCTCGTACCTCGACCGCCAGACGTGTTGCCGAAGTCACCTTCATTACCGCTTGTGCTCCTGCGTTCGCTAGATTGTTGCTCCACTGCTGAGGTCCAGGCCTTTCTACACTGATGGTCCCATCCGGCGCGGCGTCTTGACGACTAGGACCGTGACCGACTCGGGTGTTTGCTTTGTATTCAAGAGATTGCTCTCCCCCGAGTCCCGACCAGAGGTTACGGATGTAGTGGAGAAAGATCCACGCCGAACCCAGTCCCGCCCTTTCCACATCTGTGACGACGCAAGAAGCCGTCGCTTTATTTTGCAATCTTCCGCTTTGGTTAATCCCGAGTCATTCATATTCCCCGGAACTCTAGTCCTGTTGTCACCTCATTTGCGCATAGTAGGCCAACTCACATCGTCTCCCAACGGCCGTTGTCCTCATGCAACAGGACGTGCTTACCTGCAAGTGACATCGTCAAAGGTCCTGCTCCCTGTCACGGTCGCGGTCTACGGTCGCATGTAAATCGCCAACCTAATGTCTTCACCGGCAGAACTCGAGCTTTGTTTGAGGGCGTGTAGGTGGCGGCGCAGTTCTCGGTTTTGGTAGGTTGACTCCGTTTTGGCCCATCACTTGTCCTAATTCACGAGGGTTCAGGAATTATCTACTCATCCGACGACTTCTTAATTAGTCTCGACTCGTTTCCTGGAACGGTGAGGAGTGCATTATGAATGACTGGCTCAACATTGGAGCTTGGAGCCTTTTAGCTTCCTCATCCACTGGATCCGCTCGGTCGTACATATGGTCATAGGACGCTTTGACTTAATACGTTGGCCTGCTGGACTTGAGCTAACTTACATAGGCACTTCGTAATATGGCCGAGATGCTGAGGTTATTTTGCCATGGTCTACCTGTTCTACTCACTGCTCTGGACAATTACAATGATGGGCCGCTACATATAGGGACAATGTCTTCTCGAAGAGATCGCTGTGGCGTATCATCTGCACTGATGAACAGTCGTCTATGAATTTACAAGGCAATCCCGACACCTTCGACTTGGACGTCGTACGACGGGTTGTTGCGATGGCAGGTCAACCTGTCAACCATCCAGACCGATTGTCATCGGGAGAGCAATGGAGCCCAGACTTGTTTCGAAGGTACCCTGGTTCTGTGGATGCGCGAACTGCTTAAACCTAAATATCTCCGGCCACGACGATCTACATGGCTTCCCAGACGAGTACTCGACTCTCCAACCAAGTCTTTGTCAACATTTGTGCCGACCAGGACATTACGTCTGGACCTTAGATTCGCTACTTTGGTACAGGAGCGACATTTGAGGACAGCGGTCTACTCTGACTTGTGCATATGATATTGCTCAGTCTCCCACATCGGGCTTTCCTACGTCTTGCTGGATTCCCTTCAACCGATCCCCCTTCGTTTTGCGGTTGGAAACATTCCTGGAATTCTGCTCTACTCTGCGGCATTACTCTGAAGGCATCTATTTTCGTCGGCGGCTCGTAACAGGGTCATTATTAATAATTTGGTATCTTTCGCTTGAATTCTCGTCGGCAAATCATGCTTCCTCGTGTGAGGACCTAGCTCGTTGGAATTGCAAGCGTTCTCATGATCGTCTTGAATCAACACACATATCGTTCCTGGTACTGCATGTCCAAATCTGGATGCATGCTGGAAGCACGCCATCATGAACCTAGCACTCGATCTTCTGTCACCTCGTGCCTTGGGCCAATTCTTCCTGGAAATGACCTTTCCTCATCAACAAATTCGTTGGTCCGGACAGCCTACACCTCCCGTATACTGTCACGTTCTGTGGCTCTTGGCTTGTGTGTCCACAGAACCCACTCACGCATCATACGGTTATCGTAGAGATTGGAGTGTGATATCACTTATGAAGTAGTACACCCACACCTTGTATTCCTGTACAGCATTTCGCCTACTGCCGCCGGAGGACCTTTATTCCCGAATCAGTGTTCTCAGTCTCCCATCTTCAACCGCAACGTTCTCAGGATGGCTGACTGTTTCACCGACTATTCATGGAATGTGCGTCATCTTGGAAGTCGCTCCGGTATCCTATCTGCTCGGTCGTCCTCAAGCCTTCATCTCGCACGATACGATTAAGAACGGAGGGTGTGAGGTGGGCTATTTTGCCTTCAACCTGTGCGCGCAGTCGCAGATCATGTTCTTTTGTCGCTTTGGTACTCATATCATGGTTCCTCGGCTACTCGATTACTTCCTGACGTCTTTTATCGTGGCCCAGACTGCATCAGAATGGACGCATTTGCCAATCACGAAACGAGTCAGCAGAAGCATGCGTGTACCTGCTGTCAGCTATCTTCAACAACTATGACATCTGTTACGAGAAGTGATGCCACAATCGCAACGAACGTTCAGCAATCCAGCGTAACGCTAGCAAAGCGTATCTGACCGTGTCGGTCTTGCCTGTTCTTGATCACGCAGATCCTCAAACCCTTTCCCTGATCGATAACTGGCGAACAAGCTACGCACCTTCAGCAATCGCAGGAAAATGGCAATGCGTGGGCGTAAGAATGGCCCGGGACTGACACGTGTAGCCATAAATTTACTAATTTTCTGTATAGATTTAGTCACAGGCCAGCACCGAGCCTGCAGGTGGGCGGGCAAAGTCTACGCCAGGGCGGACGACAGAGAAGGAGATTTGGCGGGGCGCTTAGGTGCGCCTGTCCCTAGAATGGACAACATGAGGTTTGCACGCTGCGATCCAAAGCATTCTGGAAATCAAAGCGACTGCTTCTGTGGTTTCTGGGAAAATAAATCCGCGCTTATCATTGTTCGTTTACCTCAACAACACCAGATACCCATTCGTCCGGCTTCGCTGTCTTCCGTTCATTGGGCCAATGTGACCGGAGAGTCACTGGCAGGCGTAATGCCTTACCTGCGTTCCGCATCTCGGGGTTTACGGACGGCTATGCATATGGACTAAATGTGGTCGCTTGCGTACAGTATCTCTCGGTTCGTGTTGTGGGCGTTGAATTCCACTCTTGTTCAAGGCCATCATTCGGGGGTGGATTGCAATTTCACAGCTCGACGTGGCCCAGAATCCAAAAGACCGTTCCTTCGACTAACTCCCCCATTTCTGGAACGCTGGACAGCATCTGACAGTAATTGCTCTCCTGGTATATAAAGATCGTGTCTCAAGCTGATCTCTCCCCACTGCAGCTCAGACAGCGGGTACACTGTTCGGTATACCTCCCAATCGTCACCTGCTAGTGACCCATACCTCTTTACGCCGTATACCCTGTTAACGATCACGACCCTTTGCGATGCCTTCTGTCTTCCGAAACATCTTTGGTGGTTCCAACCACAACCAGCCTTCATCTGGCTCACGCTCTTCCTCCAAGTCTCACAGTCATTCTCATTCCGGTTCTCACATCTACACGTCTTCATCTCCGTCTGCTAATCCCAATGTTCAACGAAGCCAAAGTTACTCAGCAACTCGCGCGACAGCTCCCTCACCACTTCGGTTTGCAACAGGCACCGATACAAGGACAGCTTATGGCTACGGACGTCGAGCCCAAAGTTACAACTCCCGTACGCCTTCCGAATCTCGTCCGCAGGTACTCAGAAGAACAAGCCACAACTCACGTGAGACTGGTGAGTGCTTGGTTTTCATACATTTCCTCGTTTGCAACTAACACGCTGACAATCGCTGATAGGATCTCATGTGCATTCATCTTCTCATCACACTCCTACCAGCTCACGCTCGAACTCGAATTCCTCGATGTTCACTAGCATGGGCTCGGTTCCCTTTATGTCTTCGCATTCGGAAAGTGGTCACCACCATGGTTCCCATCATGGTGTCCGGCCACCATTGAGGTCTAACCACACATGGCACCCCGGCAGTAGTGCAGGGAGTGCTTCTTCTCGTACGTATCTGCCTGCATCTGCCCCTTTTACTATAGCTAATCAATTTGTATTGCAGTTGGCTCATCGCATGCTCATTCTTCTTATTCACACGCTTCCTATGCCCAGCCTCGTCAGGGTCCCCTCCATATGCATCCTCTTCTGGCACACTCACGGCTTCATCGCGCACCTATAACATACGATGTTATGTTCACACCCTCGGCCCGCAGTGTCCTCGACCGAGCAACCCATTCTCCTATTCCTTCTGTTACGCTCTCGCAACCAGCAACCGATCCTGCAATTTCGTCCTCCTCACGCCTTGTGCTTCGTTCACACAAGTTCCCCTGGCCCGTCATCGTCGGACCATCTGGTCCTCGCTTCACGATCGGCCCTTCAAAGCACAGTCGCAGTGATGTCAGCGCTATTACGAACTTGGACGTCCTCTATGCTGTTCATACTACGTTGTTGACACCCGTCACTCCTGAGGAATGGGAGTCTTTGGGTCATGGTAGTCGTGCACAGCACAAGGTCACTAAGGCGTATGAGAAGCGATGCACTCGGATGGGTGGGGGTTGGGAGGGCGGTGTGAGGCGGATTGATTGGCTTGGTTCGAAGACGAGACTCGTTGGCGTCGAAGTCGATAAAAGTTCTGGACGCGGCGGTGTTGGAAAATTGGTCTTTGGAAAGGCCTAAGAGACAATCAGTGCCTCTTCCCTCGCTCGTAAAGCGCTGTACTATTCACGGACTGCATTTGTTTTGGGTTTTTGTTGGTTTTTGTCGACGCTCACTCGCGGTGCGAGTGTATTCTAAAAATGTTTGCGTCTTTGGTTGCTCTGATTGCTATCCTGTTGTTGTTCTTTCTCTGATACCCTCGCACGATGTACTATTATCGCGGACACTTGACCTGCGACGGTGTATTCTAGTGTATCTTACTCAGCGTTTCTTCCTATGCAATATGTAGCCTATGTCATCGTCTTCCTCGTCCTTGTATGCGTACCAAACTTATGTCTAGCACTATTCAAGCTGTATGGATCCATGAGGGACTGGATTGAATAAACATTGATTTATGATAAGAAGCATCGGCTGCACTGATATCCTTTAGTTCAGTTGGTAGAGCGCATCACTGGCGATGACGAGGTCAGTCGTTCGAATCTGTTTTTGACAGACCAAAGATCATTCAAATCCGTTTGTACAACCCTGACGATCTCAGTTCCTTTTCTCTGTGCATTGAAGAAATTTTGTATTGTGGTCTTGTTTGGCCAATATTGCATCGTAGGTCAAACCGGTCTGATCCCCAACCTGGACCTAGCATACAAGATGCACTTGGAATCTGAGTAACAAGCAAGGTCTACTAGCTGTAAACAATGCCCATAGTGCGTTGCTCGCGCCTAAAATTCAAAAGCCTAAAGCTTTAAGCTTCAGTACATATCTAAGCTTTAAACTTAACTAGGATACAGCGACGTCAGTTGTTTCCATGGAGCTACTAAAGAAGCTTCGTAAAATGAAAAACACGATATAGGTCTCTGGGCATGCCAGATTAAGCCATTTAATGATTTAACAGCATACAATAGGCACGATGATCAAACGACGATGCTTGAAAGTCGAACGTTGAACATCACGTCAATTCGCCCCACGCGAGAAACGATGAGAGGAGATTGAATAGATAACAATATGTAAGATACATGACATCAGGAGGGGAGTTACTAAAGATAGAGAAATGAAGCTTGAACGATAGCGACACAGCAATGAGACAAAGCAAGACTAGAAGTACATGGAGAATTCGAGTTCAAGTCCACGGTAGAGATGGGAGAGTGGAGGTTGAATGCGTAGCGATACAATGAGAGAAGCCTGATGATACAACAGAATAAGACAGAATAGAATAGAGTGTTCATGGTTAGGCCGTCTAGCAATAGGCTCTAGACCAGTCAGCGGGTCCGTTGACCAAAGACAAACGTCCAAAGCGCCTGGAACCAAAAGTCCAATTTTGAGGGAAGGAGAGTAGTGGTAATGATCGTCCGAAGTCACCGAAGGATGGGGATGTCAAGCACCATGAGACTTACGGCCACAGCTGCATGATAGCACTGTATGGACTAGTAGTCACAAGCCCGCCAAATTTAAAACATGGGAGAACATCGATTCTTCTAGTTTGTCCAGGGACGATACGGACGTGGGTACCCCTGCGAGTGACCTTGCCGATCTCTTCTTGGGAAAGAGGGTACAAAAGCCCATTGGAAATTCCATCGATGACCTCTCGAACAGTGAGACCTCCGTTACGACTGAAGACGTCAACAACGAAGATATCCCAGACGAGAATAGATATTTGCGCTACGCGCTGGTGGTGATAAATTTCTGCATCCAGTCCATATTGTCCTGCCGCGACACGGACACTTTGAGACCCGTAGCGAACGTCGAAGGCAAGCTGGTAAGCGTTTTCAGCGAGGAGAGCGTTTATGTAACTTTTGCTGAGTGGTTTGTGTGAGCCTGCTGGTGGAGTGAACGATCCAACTAAGATGCAGCGGCGTCAATGAGGCATTGCAATATTTATATTACTATGAACATACTTGTATCTCCGCGCAAAGTCGGCGAGGTCGCGGTCGACTTATAGCTGCGGCCGCCCGGAGTACCCACCAGGGTCTCGCTACCTCCGGACGGGGTCGGCGAAGGCTGATGATGACCCGACCATTGAGAGGATCTCTGTGAACTGGACATAGTGTAGAGGAGTTTGAATAACGGAGGGTGGTAAAGCAGTAAGCCGAAGAGGCGGGGATGCGGGCTGAGGGCGGGGCGGGGGCGGGAGAGCGTCGGTGCTGTCCATGATGAGGCCGCCGACAAGCCATTATATAGGCGGGGTGTTTGTCACCCCCCAAGGACCGTCAACAGAGTCCGACAATGGACCAGCCACTGTTTGTACACGCCGAAGCCGCGAGTCAGAGATTGCCGCCCCCCGACGTCGACGAGAACGATGATGGATGCCATTGATAGCGCCCCAAGCGCCGGCATGCGCGACACTAGTGTCCTCATGGCTGTCGGGAATTTCCATATATGGTTATAAGGCGCCTCCCAACATACCGACGCCTGCCTAATGAGGTATAATGGGGGCGGGCTCGTGTGAGCCATCATGCACGATGGATACGATAACGTCGGCGGCCATCCCGACTTTGTTTGTTCTGGGCACAGGTTTGCCACTCCGACGAGGATTCTTAGGACTTCGTCTGATGTATTGTTTGGAACAATCGTCGGGCCCTCCGTCATGGGGCGGCGGGAGCGGCACAATGGGCCCAGCAGCGTCGGTGGCGCACTGACATCTACCGGCCGACAACAATGTTAATGACGCTCGGGTCGTCAGGGGGGTTCTTGAACGCTCAAACATGACTCTGATTGGATTGAGAACAATGAAGAGGATCTTAGGTGCCGATGTGGTGACAGATATGACCAGTTGAATGACCAGTTCAACAATGCAAAGTAAATCATAAGGTCGTTGGATGACCTCGAGATAGAAATGAATTAGAAGTATACGAATTATACGGGTAATGTAGAACTACACAACGATTGGGGGGGTTCTTACAGGTATATGAGCAATAAGTTAAATGACGAAGAGGTAACCTATCAGGGAGAATCAGTCAGGCCTCGAGAACAAAAAAGAAAGCAGAAAACGCACGAGTGGTGAGAAAATAGGCAGAAAAGCTCAGGCAAGAGGTTCCGTTCGTAGCAACTCGTCAACGGTGCAGTCCCAGTCGACGCCTTCGCCCGATCCAACGGTCCTTGACTTCTTGCTGGGCCGACCACCTCGCTTTCGGCTAGTCCCCGCACTTAGCTCAACATCGAACTTCCTTCCTGAAGCCTGTTGGGCTAAGTGTTTGACTTCGGCGAAGTCTGACGTCGCCTGGGCACGAAGCCAGGCAGCATTACTAGCACGATGTTTCAGACAGTCAGGCTCTTTGTAAGTTTCGAGAGTCCCGCCACACTCCGAGCGATCATCCTCCATAGATGAACCGTCAGGCCATAGTGAGCCGCCATTGGTCTTTTCCAATACTTTCGCGATATCGAGGCTTTCACCAGGAGGTATGGGGACCGGTTGTGAAGGGGTGACACATGGCATGTCTACTTCCTTGCGAAGGACGTGATCGACATCGACAGCAGAAAAGAAGGCTACGCCCTGTGGAAGATCGTCCATGCCAAGTTTGTAGGCGAACAGGCTGCGGGTCCAAACATTTGCGATTTGAAGAGCCAAAGCAGCACGATAACGATCTTCTTCCTTCACTAGGTATCGCACTTCGTCATGAACGGAAATGAGGTACCGAGCTTGGATGTTGTACTTGGTAATGAGATGATCCATAGAGACGATGAGCAAATGGAGATAGTCTACTCCTGATGACTGAACGACCCAGTTGATGCGGGAGGTCATGTAATCCGAGCCAAACTCGGTGGGCAGATACTCCTTTGACAGCGCGTACGTTATGCCGCAACCAAGCGCAGGGGTTTGAGGTTTATCTGACAATGCGATTTCTTCTAGCTTGTTAAAGACGAAACTTTCTGTGCCGCCGAACCAAAATTTGCGACCGAAAAGGTCACTTCTATGGGTATTCTTGCCCTTGGTCGATGCGTAAAGGTTTTCGGCCAACTTTTGTGCTTGCTCCGGAAGCATACCAGCATTCGACTGTAAGAGAAGCAAGACGGCATGCCGCATTCCGGCACCATAGATACGGGAGTAGTTAAAGACCTTTGCTTGATCCCTAGAGATTCCAAGGATACTCGCAGTCTTCGAATGAAGGTCCGTTCCCGCAGCTTTCGTGCCCTCCAAGGTCATCCAACCAATAGCAGTAGCGCCATGTAGACCAAATTGAGCATCACCCATGGCACTAGAAATCCACAACTCCTCCGAGTCGACATCAGCGCCGACGATGGCATAACCAGGAGGAGCGCGAACCATAGCCTTCAGCTCAGAACCCACTCGATTCTTCTTGGCATTGCTAGCTGTGAGCCACGTTTTCTCAATAGCGCGACGAGTAACTGTGCCCATCGTGATGACCTGCGGCAGGATCATGCCCCACTTCTGCGAGCCGTCTTGGGCATGCGTCTGAGGGAATCCCATGTTGAGATGTTTATCCTGCCATACTACCACCTGTTTCATCACTCGGTCTCTAGCACTGATCCAGTAACTGCACTGAGCGTTCATGTCAAGCGCGTCCTTCGCCTCGTCACCTGGACTAGTTAGCGTCCCGTCCTGAGCGTACTTGATGAAATTCTTTCCAAGCGGACTACCCACGTTCGCTTTCTCTCCATCCTTATGCGGAAGCTTGTAGAAAGTATAGCCACGTCGATGAACAAGCTCTTGTAATCGCTCGTCAGCGGGATCGTAGAACGTCAATGGTGTAAGATGCGTCTTGTAATCCGTGTCAGGCGACACGCGGAACGTCCAGCCGTGTTCACGAGAATGATATAGCGGCCAACCTTGCCAGGATAACCTCAAAAGAAGAGGTGCAAAGCGATTGCGCACGGTAAGGTCTAGGGTACCCGGTGGTGTATCCTTATTTGGCTTAGCCAGATCCCAGTACCACTTTGGCCAGTATACAGGCGGTGGTTTGAGCACAGTCACTTTCTTCGGTTTAGATGGTTCTGTCTTTGGTTTTGGTGAAGGCGTGTCGGTAGCTGGAAGTTGCTTCAGTTTCCAATCTAGTTGTTTGAGCCATGGATCTTGCTCGACTTCGCGTTGGCTCCTCTGAAGCGTCTCCGTAGCCAAGTTAAGGATACGTTTTGCTACATTAGGTGACAGGTCTCCAGACGCGATAGCCATGGAAAGCTCTGGATCGCTGGACTGCATCCTCCCGCTCCGCAAGTTCGGAACGCCGTGCGTCGCACCTAACAAAGACATGGTTTTCGTCGTTGCAGTAGGCGGACGAAGAATTTTGCCGTCCGACACATAATGAAAGCGCTCCGCACTGGAATACTGAACCGGATGTCCATCGATGGATAGGCGAAGCAAAAACGGGAGGATGCGATTGACTACCGATACACTCAGCGGCCCAGAAGCAAGAAGTTGCTTATACCAACCAGGAACTTTGTCCCGTGGAACGGTAGTAGGTTGTGCAGGGACTGGTTCTGGACTGGGTGCGATCGTCTGTTCAGCCTGAAAGCCCTAGCATGTCAACATCACTCACAAAGTCACCAGGTGTAAGGTGCAAACTTACCTCTGGAGGAAAAACGCCTCTGGATTTGCCTGCAACCTTAGGCGTCCAGTCAAGTTGACTGAGCCAGACATCGTCCTTCCATTTGTCACCTTCCATGAGATCTTTCGCCTCATGGGCCAAATCAATCAGCCGCCTGCGCACTTTGTCCTCTAGCTCTCGGTACGTCCGTTCCGCATTTGCGATGTATTTTTCCCATTCCTCGTTGACAGTTAGAAAGGCGGAACCCATGGTGAGGATCCCGGCGAACGAGACGGGGCTAGGGCACGATTGGAGAAAGGCCGGGAATGCCTTCGAATAGACAGCATGAGTGACAGCGACGTCAGTAGAACAATAGTTCAGATAATCCTGAATGTTCTCTCGAATCTCAGCAGGCGTGTGCGTCATAAAGTCACTTCTTGCCTCCTTGTCCATAGATATGCCGCAATGAAGTTTTGCGACATCGGCAAGCGAGTTTGCAGAGGTGAGATCTTCCCAGCGCTTTGACGACAGATCAGCTTCAGCCTCCAAGTCATCTTCCGCTTGCAGTTGAGGCAGACTTTCCTCCATTTCCTGCCGCACCCGACGAAGTTCATCCTTTTTTGCAGCGTCAAGCTCCTCCTGCTGAAGACGCTCGTTCTCCCGCATCATCTCCAGTACTGCATCAACGGCCTCTTCCTTTTGCACCTTTTCATCTTGCTTCTCCTGCTGCTTCTGCTTACGATACTTCATCCATGCAGGACGTTGATGGGATGAAATGCCCTTGACAGCAACGTGAAGCGCCATGGTGTCTAAGAAGCGAGTCTTGGTCCCGGAAACATTATATTCCTCCAATATACGACCGCGATCATACGAGACGTTATGTCCTACTATGATCCGGGGCACAGCAGAGTCGCCGACTGGGATGAGATGTTGAGGATCGGTTGATTCCTCGAGCAGCCAAGGCGATATCCAAGAATACCAGGCGTTCTTCGACGCACAAGTCGCCATGATGGCGTACGGACTGTATGCCGGCATGGTTTCGACGTCAAAGACAAGGATCTGCTCGGCGACACCTTCATGCGCGGGGTATTCGACTGGTATGCAGTAGCTAGAGCCGTCTGCATGATATAGATATTTCGTCCATCCTGATTGGACTTGCCATATTTCGGGAGCGGGCGGCAATTCCGTCGTTGTGAACTCCTTGGCAAATGTAAGCCATGGCTCAGCCGCGCATGAACCAATGCGATGGAAGTGTTCATCAAGCGTACGCCCTTGCAGCGGTGGGAGGGTAAAGGTAATGTCTGGAAGTACAGAACCCTGTGATGGGTCGAGACCGTGCATTTTGAGGTGTTCCTTTGCGATCTGCACGAACCTCCTATCGGGGACTGGGAAGGAGACGTTGCGAAAGATTTGCTCGTGGACCTTTCGCGACAGCATTTGTACTCCAAGCTCATTCCGTTTGACTATCATGCTGTCAGAGTGTTACAGGAAGAGTACAAGAATGAGTAACATACCAAATGGCACCCTTGGTTTTTTCGGTGCCGCGGTGGTTCTGCCGTCATGCTTCGTACTTCTCTCCGTTGGGCGGACCTGAGTGGTACTTTTTGGTGGCAATACCTTTCTCTGGACGACCAGACTACTTGCAGAGCCGTGAAATAGTCGTGAAGAGCAAGATAGGAGAGATGATTTTTTGTACATGCGCCAGTTTCCGTCATGCGGTCGAACTCAAACCTGTCGCTGGCCACTATCCTTTCTTATAACAGAAGGTATAATGACTCTGAAAGCATCCAGAAAGAGAACTAATCAAAGCAATTGACTGCTAAAGACTCGAAGTCGTGGATGAGTTTGTAAAGCGGAAGCGCTTGCCAAATTCAGAACTTTTGTAGTAGGCGCCGATATTTCAAAGTTGAACACGGCTCGGCAGTCGGAGCTCTGTGTATTTGAATCCAGAGTTACAGTCTCTATGCCTCTATCTAATCTAATGCGGGTTCATCGGTAGAATTAACAAGTACTCGTGTCGTTGAGGTAGTTTTCCCAAACGCCATCTACCTGAATTAATGTACGTTTCCAAAGCTGCTTCGGGCTCGCCATGATCAACGGGAAAATCAGTATCAAGAGTGGATATGACTCCTTCGTCCGGGCAATCTTGGAATAGAGCACCTCGTTGCTTAGCAGACTGGACGTATCTGACCGGCGATACTGAGAGAATGGACGGGCCATGCTCTCGTATAAATTCGAGATCAACTTCGCCAATTGGTGTGCCTATCCGTAAAGTGTCCTTGAGTTTATCTGATCGGAGCACCAGTTCCACAAGCTTACCAGCTAAACTTGCCACTGCGTTACAGGTAGCCGGATGAGTGGAAGTTACACCGATAATCGTGACGGATGAGAATAATCGGTGACTTCTCACTCTTTGGAGGAGACATGTCGCGATTCGACGCCTACGATAGTCTCTGTGGACAACGAGCTGCGTAATCCATCCCACAATATCTAAGAATGCACAGTGAGCCTCCTACGATGTCGTTAAGTCAGCGTGGACCGACCTTCACCAACTTTCCAAGTAGCAGCAAAAGCTTGCCCGATAAGGTTGTCACCAATGCTACAAGTCACTAGGACAGTTCTATCTGGATCACTTAGACATTCCTGCCTCAACTTCCGGAGGGTCATCCGGACTCTGGCATCTGGTGGGCATACATCTTTATTGTGGATTCACGTTGAGATTAATATGTACTCACTGGGTTTAAAGCTTGGATCCCAAACGCCGTAATGGTCGCTGAATAACTGGGCAGAAGCTTCAAGCTGTTCGTCACTGACGGACGTTCCGTCGATTATGTTGAAGGTAGCGGATTCTACGTCTGACATCACTGTGCATAAATCCAAAGAAGTAGAGCCTGAGTCGAGTGATAACCTCTATATGCCAGACAACCGGGCAGTCGAGCGCAAACGGCGTGGCCTCTGCACCATGTAGTTTTACGTGTTCAGTGATACCAGGTGTACAATTGCGACTTGTATGTGGTATATTGATGGACCATACACATTACCAGCTCCAATGATGAACGGAAACCTGAACTTCCGAACCTGATTGAAAACAGATACTCAGGTTGGTAAGTAAAGTAGTATGTACAAAATGAGGCCTAAATACTATAAAGTACATACCCTGATTCGGTACTAAAGTCATAATATACTTTCCCACGTGCCAAGAGTCGGTCTTGGCTTACCGTTACTACTGTATGACCTGACGAACCTGAGCGACGAGCTCTTGCTATCAGACTCTTCCACCATCGCCTCTCATTTAGATGAACAATCCCTGGATGGTTAAGTAAGAGCGAGTGCACGATATTCAAAGCGCAGGTCGACCGCTCAGGCCGAATTTCAAGTTGGCTGTGCATTGACGATTGGAGACGCCTAAGGAGACATTGGGACAAAGCCTCAGGCCTCCTCTCTTCAACAACATTACTACCATTCGAGTATGATTGTCACGGAATCTGAGTTCGAGTATAACCAAGGGCCTCCCGAGGAAGCTCAGCAAAACGAGTCTGCTCAATCTGTTCAACCTTCTCCAAGCACTGGCATGCTTGAACCTCCGAGGTTTGTGCAAGAAAAGACATTTCCTACACTGTGTACTGATACTTTCTCAGTTATATTGATGTGATCGGAACACGTTCCTCTGCCAGCCGCCGCCATCCCGGTCATTCCAGAGATCGAAGTCAGGCTCCTTCCACCTCACATGCCAGCGCAGGCGGTGCGAGTGGATCAGCCCAAGAGTAAGCGTTGTACACGGTCCTTCTCATTTGCTTGCCTGATACTTTGAGAAGTCATTGGAACTCTGCTGCTCAGGGTCCTATCACCTATAAATTTGTCACTCAGTCGTTCAACTCAATGCTGCTCAAGTATGAGCCAGCGGATCTCCCGCTTTACCACATCTCAACCTATATGAATTGCTTCATCCCTTCATCTTACATAACTGTCATCCGACGTGGCGATAGCGAGGCTGGCGATTTCGTTGGTCAATTTGAGTAAGTAAGTCATGCCGAGTTTCCTCCATGACCATCGCTAAGGTAGAGGTGATAGAATGGGTATATCAGTCAAGAAAAGTACAATCATGATTGGAGGCAAGGAAAAAGTTACGGATGCCGTTCTATCAAAGAATCAACATAAAGCGGTCGTGAGTATGCAGAGCGATATCTGATAACGGAGCGCTGTGTTCGGAATGTTGATCGGCACCCTATTGTATAGCGCACTTGGTTGTGGCGCTGGCACAACGACGAGAACACTCATCTAAGCTGGACTTACGACAGCCCTGTCAAATATGTAAGCGGTGACCATATCCCAATTTTCGCAATGTTTTATTCACCAATTATTAGTGCTATAGGCGTGCTAAGCCTGGTAGCCCGGAACCGCCTTTACTTGCGTCGTATACCCCACCCCCTTTAGTACCGCGAGATGGCAGACCTTCACCAGCACCTTCACTTAAGGTATATCCCGATGGACAGCCATTATTCGATCACATCCTAGTGTCAGCTCTGGTGATTGAGCGGAAGCGATTGACACCTAGTTCAGCTGGCCCGCTGATGTCCTGGTCGGTTTGACCAATTCATCCGTACGTCGTACGTTTTCTTAATGGACATCCGATTTCTCCACGGGTATCTACCTGGACACTTTCAATCCCGAATCATTGCCGCGGTAATCATTGTTCTTCCGGACTGTCAGCATTCATTCGCGATGTTGTGTCAATATATGTTGTTTTCCTGTCCAGAGCGTATGATGTTTCTAGGCTTCTGTACCTAGTGTTCAACCAGATCTGGCGTGACTCAAGGCTATTTGATCCATATGACATCCGACATCTTTGATTTCGTAAGTAGTCCTCGCACGAACAGGGATCGATACTGGTAACTAACATTCAACGTTTCCTATAGATTCCACATTTCCTTTGCAGTACTCAAAAATCGGATATGTCTTACATCGTCGGTATGCTGGTCTGGAAGAGACCTCGAAATGTCGTCGCATTGATTGGCGGTGTGCCCCTTAAAAGCTACCCGCAGCGAAGAATGCGCCGTCTTTCTCAACTATATCAGCGTGTCATAAGTTGGGTCATGCCTTTCCAGACCGTCCAGGTTCTTGTTTTGTAACTGCACCAACTGACACTCGTTCTTTGCACACGTGTTCGGTCAGCTTTATGCAGAGGTGGGCGATCCGCATACCACGCATTACCTGGTACTAAACGTGGTTATTCGGGCGGTTTCTCTCTGTGTTGTAATTCCATAATCGCCCCCTGTCGAAAGGTATAAAGGATGGAAAAGATGACCCTCCAGCTCCAAGCCCTCAGCTTCATAACAACGCTAACTCATCCACTCCAGTCAGAGACTTCAGTCCACATCGGCTCGTCATCGTCATCATGTTCCGTAACATTGTCACTGCTATCGTCCTCGCTTCCGCGTACATCGGTTCTGCCGTTGCGTTCACGGGTGATGGTGAGGAACATTCAAGTTGCATCCTGATCATCGATTGAAATCTCTCGTTATTTAGCCACCTTCTTCGACCCTGGCTTGGGTGCTTGCGGAGCCATCAACAATGCCAACGACTTCATAGTAGCTCTAAGCCCTTCGGAGTACGCTGGCGGTGCTCACTGCTTCCAGCGTATCTTTGTAACCTGTGCGTCCATCTCACATTATTTTGCCCATGACACTGGCCTTAATTCGGACGATCTAGATCAAGGAAGGTCTGTCGACGCTACCGTCGTTGACCTCTGCCCTGGCTGCGGCCCCGGCAGCATCGATCTTTCACCTGCAGCCTTCTCTCAATTGGCGAGCTTGGATGTTGGTCGTATTCATGGCGTCAACTGGAACTTCGAGTAATTGTCGAGTGCATACAGAGCACACAAAGAATTAGTACAAATGAAGAATTGAATACAGAGTTTCAGTAGTCTGTCTTGGAGTATCTCGGTGTACAAATAGTGTTGTATTAGTATGAAATACACGCATTGAATACGTCAATGGATAGAGCGTCCGATTTCCTCGTAAGCTTTAGAGTGACACTAACGGTATGCCCCAAAAGCCTGGTCAGAAATCCTGCATTCTTCACAGTTTCCTTTCTGAGTTAACCAAGAGTCAACTGTGGACTTTGCCGCCCTCGAGCGCTTGAGCTGCACCATGCCAAGCCTCAAAGTCACGCCGAATAGTTTTCATTGCTCCCGCAAGATTTCTGACTTGCAGCGTGAACCACAGGCACGAGACGTGTCAGGAAAGTTGAAAACTTATCCTCATCCTTTGGTGTATCATTCTCTTGTCGGAACATGGAACCGCGGACCCGGTGCCGTTCACATTTTCCGTTCTCCAGCAAGGTTCTTGCTGACGGGAAGGAATTTCAAAATCTCGTTTGCATCGCTCTGGCGCGGTGCAAACACTAGATGACTGCGTGGTTTATGGGGTCAATTCATTGACGGAGCGCTGCGTCTAGAACGCTCATCGGCACAATAACGTCCCACCGGTAGTTTAGCATAGCTGCCGCTAGTAACTTAGAACACTGACAATACCAGCGATCGCGCAAGACGACTACATGACATTCTGTTCAAAGTGAGTAAAGAGCTCTATGAATTTCAGCTGTAGGAAGCTTACTCGTGATCCTAACAAATGCGAACCAAAAGCCGAATGTCCTCCCGCTTTCTGGGAAACGCTCTGACCGTCACCGCACATCGACCCTGTAAACACGGATGGTTGCTGTGCATAGCTAACAGAAGACTTTCACCGTTCTATAGCTGCAAAGCACAAAGATCATAATCTCCTGACCAAGTTGGTATCCGCCTCAGTCGATGGTTATATTCACTCGGCCTGTTTCTTTGAGAGTTGCACGTTTGTTGTGCCGCTCACCTTCTCTAACTTGGTAAGTAGCCCCATTTACTGATGAACGTGCCCTAACCGCGATAGACGCGGTACTTATTTGAATAGTCCCCGTAAATCAGCGATCAAGAGGAGGCCTTCTCTGGTACCGTTTAAGCTTCACAAGCGGCTTGCGCCGTTGATGTTTACGCCTTTTTCAATACTCCATATGGTCCTTCGTGCAAGACGTTTTCCGTCTCGGAACGCCATCCTACGGCACTGCTTTCATGGCAGCCGTCGTTCTTTGTGAAGTTGCGTATATTTCGTACTTGATTTTCTGGCTTTTCTTGAATGTGCATATGGAGGGGTAAGCAATTCAACAGGAGGGACTGTCTTGACGTTTTTCACGCGCCGTCTTTGACCTTTGACTGCAGGCATTCGTAAATCATCATACATCATACACCGGGTGTGTAGAGGTCCCGATCCTGACCTACATGGATGCCTCGTGACAAACAATCGTTTGTCTATGCGGCAGAGTGTCTCTAACAGTCGGCCATGGTGTCCGACTTCAATGACGAAGGTATTTTCACTTCTCCAGCCACTGCGTCTTTCCTTGTTCACGTGTTCGATGAGCTTGGCGGGAGCAGCGAAAGATTTGACAAACGACCCGCTGTCAACCTTTGCGGATGGTTTGCCTCCATAATCCGACCCGGATGTTCAGGCGACCACAACGAGGCATCCTGCGCTTCAGTCCCTCACGAATGCATAAAAGACCAGAAGAGCTCACCAAGAGACCTCAAGCAGACAACCACACGTTGAACAGCTTACCCAACTCTCTTCGCACTTAGACCATTCAAATAACTTCTCTCAGATTTCCCTCTTGCTCACCATGTTCCGCTCTACTCTCACCGCTATCGTTCTCGCCGCTACATACTTCGGCACTGCTTCCGCCTTCACTGGGGACGGTAAACATCCTGATGTCTCTACCTGTCGTATTGTACTGAAACGGTATCCTTAGCCACCTGGTTTCACCCCGGCTTAGGTGCTTGCGGCGCTGTTAGCGTTGACTCCGACCTCGTTGTGGCATTGAGCCCTTCTCAGTATGCCAACGGTGCTCACTGCTTCCAACACATCTTGGTCCAAGGTAGGGTCAACCTCATTCCCAGTACTGAACATTTGAGTTCTGACGATTCGATCCAGTTAATGGGAAGTCAGTCGACGCTACCGTTGTCGACCTTTGCCCCGGTTGCGCTTCTGGTAGCATCGACTTATCCCCCTCCGCCTTCCAGCGTCTTGCTAGCTTGGACGTTGGTCGCATTCACAACGTCAACTGGAACTTCGAGTGAATGTCAAGCGCGAGCGTAATAAGGAGGAAACATTTGGAATAAACCGTGTACTACTACTAAAGCGCTGGCATCTTGGTGCTTTTGTATTTCTATTAGTTCGCTCCTTCTGTATCACGCCGTTCCCTAAATTTGGTATTGATTTGTAACGATGTGTATGTACAGTAGTGTTGTACAATATGTATATGTGCCATGCATTACCGTGTCCTTTCTCGGTACGAGGAAATAAGAGCTCCCATAATCAACCCCCCTCTGTGGTCCGGTTACTAGTTGGGCAATCTCGAAGCTGTTGTCTCAGGAGGATGAGTCTATTTTTCGTTGACGTTTTTCCTTGCTGTAAAATGCAATCCCAAAGATATAAAAGTTAACCCTCAAAAGGGTAAATGCTCTCCAGCCGAGGGTTTATGAGGTTCAATGTACGCCCCATGGTTCTTGTGTAATACTGTCAACACACTTGTACTGCTGGTAAGTTCACGTAATTAGATTCTGTTACAATGTATGAGGTCCATGTAAAAATAGCACACTCCAAATTTAGACCACGTTGTTCGTTGTGGTGGTGCTGGACACCGCTCATGCTTCTGCACGTCTGGAAATTTAATAGTAAGCCCTTCCTGAGTACTCTAAGGAGTCCTAAGTATCGATTAAAGTTCTGCCGAATCATTTGTTCAAGCTCAAGTCCCAGTGATCAACTTGAACAATCGGCAGCTTGTCGATCGAGAGGGCGCGTTCATTGATCGACAAACGTGATGGCGGGATTCGCTTAAACGGTCAATGCAGCTGCAGGCCCTATACCGCATGTCCGAAGCCTCACCATCGTGGAGATAACCTTTTCATGGCCAGTTCCATTCTTAAACCTGTCAAACTAATGTCGAGTAAGACTCTCCCTTAAGCGACTTCATTCCACCCACTGACCACGGCGACCATACCTTGGCTCGTCACGTTTTTCATACTTCAGCGTCACTTTGGTCTTTCGACTGGTCTCACGTCGGGATCATCACTTCATTCTAACGAAATAAAACACATAGGTACACCTAAAACGCTCCAGTGCGACAAGTAGCCATGGAGCCTACGGTTGCTAACCGGGACTTCATGTTTGCTGGTCCTCCACTTCTTGTCAAACCGTTCGTGTCGAGGGTGCTCGAAAAGCTTCGCCGGACTGATGTAGATGCTGATTTTGCGAACGAGTATGTGGTACGTATCTATGTTGAGAGAAGCTGGACATAAACGGAGTGTATTCACCATTGAACTTGAAGCATTGCCTTCGCAATACCTGGCTTCGTCAAGGGAATATCCTGAGGGGTCAAGGGTTCACCGACCTTCAACGTACATTTGTCGAATGCGGTGTAGTAGAGACCTTTTTATACTTCACGCAGAATCCACGGTCTACCTCCGATCTTGCAATCGCAACGTACCTCGCTATGGACACCTTTCAATACTTGGTCAGAGCTGCAAACCTAGATCAACGTCGAAAACTGCACGATCAACTTATGCAGCATAGCGCTTTGGAAATCGCCATTGATGTAAAGTCACACATCGTCTCTGCTTGGATGTCATCTAACGTCCGTTTCTTAGAAAGTAGACAATCACGAGCTGTGTCTGCATCGAACAGTGGGAAAGGGCACCATCCGCATTCTTAGCCAGGCCCTTTTCCTGGGAGAGACCATGTCTTCACGACGCGCAGCTGACCTAATTGAGAAGCTCTGTAAATGGACACTGGAAGGACCTGACCGTGATTCTCAAGAACTTCTTGAACCAGACAAGACCTGGCAATCGCAAATGATGGTCGGCCTCTTCAACGTAAGTGATGATTTCATTCGCGGTTAGGAAACTCGCTAAATCCCCCATACTAGATGCCCGGTTCCGTGGTACCCCGAGTCGCAGATTGACGCCATTGCGTTTGAAGTGTTGGGTCTCTTAACGCAGTTCCCGCTCGATGGTGTACCGGGCTTCCAAGTCCCACTAGAAGGAAAACAGAAGGATGACTATGAGGCGGAGTATGATGCCACCATCGAAACCATAGAAATAGTCATCTCTAGTCCTGATTGGTCAAGGAAGCTGGTGGACGTTTGGACGAAGCTTGAAAATGAGAAGCCTTCAGATATCAAAAGGTAAGGCACATGAGCTTGGGCTATGCCTCAGTGATACTGATATAATGGTTGTAGAGTTTTTGGGAAGGTTGCTACAGATTATTATGCCGTTGAGCCATCCGAGGAATCGACACTTCGTTCTGCATTTTCATACCGAGGTAAGGCCGGACTTCCTTCAGCACCCCGCTCACAAGTCACTTACGTTCTCGTCCTCAGGACATGTGCGATTAGGCATTCTCCGTCTCATCGCTAGCTCGACTTACGTTGATACCGTCAAAGATACTGACCTCCTCTCTTTCCTTCGAGTGGCGTATCTCGGATCCCAAAAATTCAAATCCCCTGCCGAGATCGAACGAAGCGGCCAGCCATCCGACAGGCATGTTTGGGTGGAGCGTAACGAAGAGATCTCCCGTGTTCCTTTTTGGGCAGCCGAAATTGGTGCCACTGTCGACTTTGTCGCTTTCATTGCCCGAGAATCCGTCACAGGTCCCATTGCCTTTGTTCGTCTCTTCACGAAGTTGATTGAGCGTGGATTATTGGAGCAATCACAATCGTGGACCACATTACCAGAAGGAATCCTTCCTTCTACTACACTCAAACAAGTAAAGCAGATCTTGAGCCCGGAGATCGTGAAGAAAGTGTTGTCCTTGGCTATGAAACGAATCACCGCATACCGTGAAGTCGGTCGTGACTTCGTACAAATGGAGAAAAACAACAGAATAGCTTATTTGGTCTACCTCCATGGTGCAGAACTCGGTTGGGATCTCCTGGAGTTGAATCGTACTTCCGGAGGGAAGTATACTACAGATATCCGTGGTGCTCGCAAGGAATTAGTATTGTGTCTTGGCAATGCCGCTGAGATGTGCATACGGTTATCGAAATTCAGGCGAGCGTTGGTATCTGCTACTGCGGTTAATCAGGTTATACAGGATGCTTCGCAGGACGAAGGCATCACGACTGATCTTGCGGAGAAGAACAAGAGACGGTTGGCAGAGGCTAAGCGCAAAATTGACGAGTTGGGCATCTAGCATCATTCCGTCACCGACATTTTCTGCTGAAGGTATTAGAACATCGAGGTTTTTGAGAATTTAACTGCTGTATTTTTGCTATCAGACTGTCATCTTGCCAGTGCTGCAGTCATATCGACACCACATGCGATATATTAAATGCCGCCATATCCCACTGTCAAACACAGTGGTATACATGGTTACCTGCGGTTGCGACTCTGTCCAGATTGACCAGCAGGCCCAGCTGCGGCGCCTTTCCTCATTTCTTCCTCGTCGAGACCCGCTTCAGCCAAGATCTTCTCGACTTCCTCCAAAATTGGTTTGTACTCCGCTAGAGATGATAGTCAGTATTCATTGAAATCTTGAGTAGACTGGTACGTAACATACCATATCGTTCTTGTGCTCTCGCAAAGCCATCACGACGAAGTGCCTTACCACGATTATCACTCGATGCATGGGCTTTCTGGGCCCAGTATTCACCTAAAGGCATTGTATCAAATTATAAGGGAGTTATTCCCGATATACAAAAGGGTACTCACGAGAACGAGCGTAGAACATCGCGAGAGTCTCTCCCGGAAGTGGAGTGCTGATGACATCCTCAGCAGAACGAGTGGTGTCTTTGGCTACACCCAGAAATGCAGCAGCCTTGGAGTGAAGAGCGTCCTGAAAACCATCAATGAGACGTGCATACACTTCTTATGCAGTAGCGAGGACTTACTTGATCTGGAGTCTCAGGCTGAACCTCTGGCGGCTCATCTTCGATCACCTCCTCTACGACTACTTCCACTTTCTTCGTCCTCTTCAGATTCTCCCTGTTCTGACGTTCTTGCGCTTCCCGTTCTCGCCCTTCATCATCTCCTTCACTATCTTCATCATCTTCGTCGTCATCGTCACCCTCATCTTCATCACTACTCTCATCTTCTCCTTCGGCAGGGATTACCACGCCACTATGCCTCAAGCAGGTATACCGATCTAGCTTGTCTAGTTGAAGAGAATGGAAATCATCTAACGTGTATTCCCGAGAGCCTCGTTCGAAGATACCACCATATCTGTACATTGCGTAAAACTTCAGTCAGAGTTGCGGTCAAAGGATAAGAGATGGACAAACATGTATAATGTATTCCGAAGCACTGCAAGCATGGCATTGTAGCGTGGTAGCGGGAGCGTTGAATTCGGATCGTCGGGATCGACTTCTGGGTCAATACTTGGCGGAGGTCGGGGCACGGGTTTCTTCTGGGACCTTTTGATCTAGAGAAGGAAAGGAGAAATATTCAATCAACGATCGTTCGCTTCCAACAGACAGCCGCGAACCTCTTGATCACCGCCCTCCTCATCCTCATCTTCCGAGTTAGGAGGCTCAGATTCTTCATCGCTGGGCACATATTTCTTCGGCTGAAGCGCGGGTTTCTTAGTTTTCGCTCCACCTTTCTTCTTGGGCTTTTTCAATGCGAGCGAAACCCACCGCCCATTTCCAGCGATCTGGTACCCATACCTGAACACGCCATTCAGCCTTTCTCATTCAAAAAACATATAGAAAGGAGGTACCCACAAGTCATTATGAAACACGCTTTCCATGGTCTCCTCATCCGTATCCTCATCCGTCACGCCACCAAACAGGATCCCCATGTTCTTCGCACCCCATAAAGTCATCGTACACCCCGATCGGAGAGAAGGTGCGAATGCCGTTGAAGGTCGTTTTCGCCGCTCCCATTTGACTGTCAATGGATTCGCTGCTGCTTTACCGGTTTCTGATACTGGGTTTAAGGTCATCCTGCAGAAATTCAGTAATCAAGAATTAGGGCAGCATGGGAAGAAGGAGGTCGTACGGAAGGAACCAGGTATCGTCAAGCATGACCCCGACTGGCCGGCTGCCTTTGACATATTCCTTGCAATAACCTCCATGTAGCAGGATGCCGTCTGCGGATGATAGGAATGAAAACCCGCTACGAGGACTACAAGCACAATGTCAAAAAATGTAGATTATGAGTACTCAGAAGACGCACGAAGGGTTTCGCTCATTCTCCTTGAACTCGACATGTCTCCACTTGTACTCTTGCGTGTCAAATAGCCAGAGGTCATTTAGATAGTTAGCTGCAAGGACAATGAGAGGGTCTGTGCTCAAACATGACTAGTTTTCCACTTACTGCGAATGCCGGGGTCGTAGAACCCGCCAAACAACACGATATAGTGTTTCCATATCGCCATTCTGAATCAGAGGCTTAGTCAAACTCGAATCTGTATGGCAGCAGGTACTCACCGATGCCCTGACCGCGCAGAAGGACGAACCTTGGTGTCGATGCGATCCCATGAATGAGTAGCGATGTCGAAACACCAGAAGTCCCGGTAGTGATGAAACGAGTTCTGGTACAACGATGAAAATTCTCCGCCTGCAAGAGTGTGATTAGGTGGCTGGCTTCTGTTGGCCAAGTGACATACCGAAAAGGAAGAGTTTCCCGCCACCGACTGGCGATGCGACTACGGCATGTGCAGAACGCGGTCCTGGGCATGTTGGTGACACAAACTTCCGCCATTCATCCTACAAAGCGTCCGAATGAGTTCACAAGTATCATGGCAAAGAATAGGCGACACACTTTTTCAGGCGAATATCTGAATACATCGTTGTAAAAGTGCTGGTCAAGTAGAAGACTGGGTTAACGGATGCTGAACAGTGTCGGGAAGGATCAGACGGAGCTGCGGGCACAACGCCGTTGAATTCTTCCAAACACGATAGCGATGACATGCTTACCGCTTTCCCGTCATCGCTGAAATATTCGCCTCCGATGCACCACAGATGGTTGCCATTCGGACAAGCGGTCAGCGTCGCGTTTGCTCTCCGGCTCGGTGGCCCTTCGACCAGTTCTTCGGTTACTCTGTGAGCATCTTCCCATTCCCTTCGCATCTACTATTCCCACAAGCAGGTCAGTTTCCATGTTGATTTTTGTAAGCATCCATCTTACCTTGTCAAGAATCCCTTCCAGGTCCTGATCGTCATCTTCCTCATCGCGCTGCTTGCCTGTCTTCTTCTTCTCTTTGCGTTCCACTTTCTGCGCTGCTTTTGCCTTCTTCGCAGCTTTGGCAGCCGCTTTTGAGTCTAAGGTTGTTACTTTTTTCTTTGCCATGTCAACTTTTATGAGTAACGGTAAGTTAAAACCAATCACATCTTTAGTAAGTCATATTGACCGAGCGCCTTTTCCACGTGCATTTGTTATTGGTATTTGCCGATATGTGTTAAACGCGTTGTTCGACCTGCCATGATGCGCGCGAGCAGATATTGTTCCAAAATGCCTCAATTCCCATCTTCTGCCGCTACCGCGTCTTCCCTTGTTTTTCTTGCTATTTACATGCTTATGCCGCCTGCGTTCCCATTTCCACCTATTACCGTCTTTCAAGCACATCTTCTCGCTGCATTCTTCACTTTCTCTTATGTCGGATCACTGTACATTTCCAAGAATGCGAGACTTAGGTTCTCTTCGAAAGCTGTTGATACATCAGGCGAGATGCCACGTACAAGGGAGGAGGAGGAACGATGGAGAGATGACCCAGATGTTATAAAAGCGCGATTGCTTGCGGCCAGCTTAAGCACCTTCGTTGATTGTGCTGCAGTATTTCTGCTATTCTGGCACCTTGATGGAGGACGAAAAGCGGTATGTGGATGTGGGATGATGTACCATGCTTTGCTGACCGTGGTTCTAAATACTCCAGTTAATTCGGGGGTCATTGTCCGGAGTACTCATTCGACTGGGCTTCCGGTCATCCAAAGATGCGGCCGAAGCCCTTCTTCCATGTCTAACCGCACCAGCACTCTTCATTGGACCTATATACGTCTGCTTTCTTTCAAGTACTTTGCCGTTCCAGAGCGAATGGAGCGTCAGAGGTACTCTCCTACCCATCATCTGGTCATGGCAGGGCTGGAGGAATTACTTTGTCGTAGGTGAATAAACCGCAAAGTCAAACATAGGCTATGAACGCACTTCGTACAGGGTCCGATTACCGAGGAAATCGTCTTTCGGGCATGCATCCTCGCCGTCTATCACGCCGCCGGTGCGTCACGATTCAAAATGATATTTCTATCTCCACTGTGGTTCGGCGTGGGTAAGTGTTCTGACGTGACTGCTGCGGTTCATCTGACAAATCGTCTTTTTGATGCAGCGCACCTGCACCATGCTTGGGACGTCTACAACCGCTACGGCCAGACGTCGGCCGCTCTCAAGCGAGCAGCGCTGACTACATGCAAGTGACGTTCGTGTAAATAAATCAACATTATGCTAACGCCATTTGTACCTTGCAGTATTCCAGCTGGCCTACACTACGCTCTTTGGCTTTCATTGCGCATTCCTATTCCTACGCACAGGATCTTTGATTCCACCGATCTTGTCACATATTTTCTGCAACATCATGGGTTTGCCTGGATTCGGTCAAGATCTTACACACTTCCCACATAGACGATACCGTAAGTGTCTTCTCCTATCTTCTTCTCTTTTACTCACTCCTAATGTGTTGTCTCCCGAATAGCTATCATCATTGCGTATATCCTCGGTGTTGGCGCGTACGTCTATACCATCACCAACTGGACGAATGTAAAGCATACCATGTATTGGCCTATTTTTAATCATGCTGCACCGTATTGATACCGATGGATTCACGATATCACGACCAAACTATGTGTACAGTACATATTTCTGATGTTACACAGTGCTATTGATTTGCACCATTTCGATACAGGATCGATGTCCCTTCGCCAAAAAGGGAAACCAGCGAGACGGCGATGTAAAGACATGAAATGAACCGCGCTTTTTGTTTTTATCTTTCATTTTCTCCTTGACCTCTACGGAAAGGATCGATGAGCCTCCTAGCCCTTGCAGCTCATGAAGACGAACGAGTTACTCACACTCTCGGCCCGAAGACGCCTTGCATGCCACTTACGTACAAATACACAAACCAGATGGGAACGTCTATACGCGCGACTAGTTCAATAGAATCCAGCCTTCTTGAGCGCGGGCCAATCAGTAGCAACATCCTTCAGCGTACTCCCGTCCACAACCGTGTCACCACCTTGCCCTGAAACAGTCGACGTCAGCCCAAACGATGGAATCATATAGTTTGGCGGATTACTGGCGGATTACTGGCGGATTACTGGCGGATTACTTACCTGGCACAATGGCCGTGACACGGACATATTTGTCTCCTTTGAAGAAGTAGGCGTCCGTCGGGGCACCTGGGACAGGCAGCACCACATCAAACGAGTCGTTCAACCCCACGCTCTTCAGGGATCGCCAGTTGTCAGCGATAGATAGTGCTCTACCGTCAGTGGCAGCAGGATCAACATACGCCCACAAGTACTTCCCCTTCCTGAAGAAATAGGCCTTGCCCGAATCTATAGGAAGAGGCTCGACGTTCTCTACATCATCATACCCAGCATTCTTCAACGCAACCCATTCAGAAATAGGTCTAGGGCGGACTGCAGGTCCGTTCTCGGAAGCGAGGGGAGGCTGGACTCTGATAAGAACGTATTGGCCGTTGGAGAAGAAATAGGCTGTGTCGCGGTCTTTGGGGTTGGGAACGACTGCGTCGACGGTGTAGAACCCTGCCTTCCTCAAAGCAGGCCAATCGAAGGCGATGGGCCTTGGACCCCATACGAGAGTACTCTTCTTCGTGTCGGGCTTCACGTCGATGATGGCGTATTGGTCGTCGAAGAAGAAGAATGCGAGCCCGGGTGAGCTGGGGTGTATGAATGCAGCACGAGATTTGTAAGATGTTTGCTGGCAAGACATGTCGGATACGTTTGCTGATGCTTCTCCGGTAGCAGAGGTGGGATAGCTTTACTAGCTATCAAGGGAGGAGAAACGTTGTTTGCTGTCGACTGGAAAGCAGACACCTTCCGCTTTATAAAGACGACTCCCTAGGTAACCCTGGCCCCCAGCGATTTCCGTGTACCCTGAGGCAGCGATCTATACCTGGACGTAAGGTTGCCCTTTTCTTCCATTTACTGTGCACACTTTGACATCTCCTCATGTCTATAGACGTCTATTTCCCAGAAAAGTTGTCTGGCTTGCCTTCATTCACGGAGACGAACAAGTCATCTGGACGGCTCTGAAATGCCGCGGCGAAGACACCTTACCTGATGTATGATTCCGCCCTCTTTGAGGTATCTCTTATGACTCACAGACAGGCACTCTCAGCTATATAGGACATACAGATACTCTTTGGAACCATGTGTAGTACTTGTTTTGACAATATGAAGCGTTGAACGTTTGAAGATCGAAGCGGTTGGATGAATACAATTAGATGAATGACTATCACGTTCGATCTCTTTTCTCTACACACTCAGTACGTACTCGCCAGACTGCAACTTCCTGACGTTCTCACAATCGCTCACTCGGGGCTCTCTCTCCCCGAACCCCACAGGCATTTCTTCACGAGAGGCCAATGTTGTCATTTTCAGAGGTTGACTTTACCTCTCAAGTCGCTGGTATATCATGAATAACAAAGGCGTCGAACAATAGTTGAATGTAGATACATGTCCGGTAAATCTACATGTTAACGATACGTTTCAGCTCAGCCAATCTTTTCTTATTCTTTTCCTTCATGTCAGTCGTAATTCCCTCCTCTGCTGATGCGTGTTGGCCATACCGCTCAGCAGCAGCCGCAAGGAGAAGAGCGCCTTCGTATCGCTTTTTACGTCGGCACACAGTCGCAGCGTTGCCTAGACATAGAACAAGCTCTTTTTGGGCTCCGCGCGTTTGAGCAGCGTATTTCCTATCAGCTACACGGTTCAGCTCTAGCAAACTCAAAGCTAGCTCGGAAGCGGGAGTATATGCCAGTAAAGCACGATGGTCGTGACCTTCTTGAACACGTTCATGTCCTATCTCTCGGTATGCTGAGACGCGTTTTAGCGCTGTGGACAAGATTTTCTTCACCACAACGGGACTCAGGATTTGTTGCACTTGTTTCAGCATTATGGATGGTACAGTTCCCTCGGGTAGCGTCGTCCAGGATTGCGATTGGTCGACTAAGCCACGTTCAGTAAGCCTAATTAGAAGACGAACAAGAGCAATAGGCCCCATTGTTGCTTCACGAGGAAGAGTGGCGACCTCGTCGAAATCATCACCAGCATCTGCAGCCCAGAGCGGTACACGCAGGACCTCCTCGTTATGTTCGACCCAGGTAGCAACTTCAAAGGGATCATGGCTCCTCACGACTTCTTCACGGGACTTGGATTTCTGTGTCCCGAGATAGGCGATACGGAGGACAGAGAGAAGATCGACATCTCGGATGCTGTCTACGTATGTTGCGCTCGCGATAAGTCTGAGTGTGGCAATCCTGACTTGACCTATTCGCGATGGTTATGAGAGGGTACAGGTATGTAGGGAGGCCAACGAAAAGTACCTCGATATTCCATGGAATGAATCAATGTTTCATCGTTAGGTGGCGCAGCTGCATACCAGTCTGAAGACACTCGATCAAGCATCCTACGAAGGATTAGTTATACCTCGATTGATTAAACCTTTGGTAAGCTCCAGCACACCTTTGAATATCGACCGGCTTCTCTCTCTCGAGCTTCGACCAGATGTCTACCAGCTTCTGCGCCCAACCGGGACGTGAGACAAAGATTTCCATTATTTTGACTGAGGCGTCGAAGTCAACTTGATACTCATCCTTGGCCTTGCCTTCTAAAGGAATATCAAGGCCGGGTACCATAGCATGCGGAAATTGAAGAAGAAGAGCCAAAGTCTCCATAGCCAGTTCATCCACTTGCGACTCCGGGAACCACGGCGGCCTGGCTTCGAGAGCACATTCCAAAAGCAAGTCAATGATAGCAGGTTTGTGTTGAAGTACTTCTAGCGTGAACTTGCGCGACGGTTGAGGAACTCGACAAACAAGGGCGTGTGCAGTGAACATGAAATGCTCCGCAGTCATACCAAACCATCTTTTGCCGTACTTATGTGCAGCATACGTCGGCATCTGATCGTGATATGATTAGCATTGTCGACAGCATCCTTAGTATTAGGCTCAAAACATACTGGACGCCCAACCATCACTTGGGTTTGCCACACTTTGTTGTCGTCCAGTAGCTCATCAGAATCGCGATCCGGACCAGCTAGGGTCCACCGACAACATCTTTCAAGGAGATCTGCTGTTTGTTGTGGAGACAGCGCCTCTCCGAGAAACAAGTTAGCTGCGACAACGCGCAGCGTGTTTGCTGCAGCATTCCGATGTATAAGCAAAGGGTGGTTGTCCAATTTCTGAAATGAAAAGCATAGCATTCGCATTTGAATTCAATGTTATATGAAACATGTAGCTCACGTCAGTACAAATCTCGAGCACATTGCTTTGCATCAACTGCTGGAAGATTTGCCGACGTTGCCTCATCGTAGCAGGCATAACAAGGAACTGGATGCAATCAAGGGCAAGGTAGCCAGCAGTGTCTCGTCGACGACTGAAGCTTGGTGCCCGAGTGAATTTGAGAATGTTTTCTACAATTCCATTTTCGATACAAATTTCTTGCACCTTGGTCCATCCCCCGCGTCGACTGCGGTCGACTGTTTCGTGAATCCACGTACGACGCATATTTTGCCATTCAAATCATGTAGATCGTTTGTTGAATACAATAGTCAAGTGCTTACGAAGTAATCATGCGCAAATTGGTCGGAAACATTAGGTTCCTGCAGTTTGCTGATAACTTTGGCGATGAAAGGTTTCACCAGAGATGGAGGGCCGTTGAACATGAAGTCTTTGTTCGCGACAGTAGGTTCCATAGCAGTGTAGAGTTTTTTTGTATAGTTAGTTAGTGATGTAATTGGGTGGTTCAGCAGCAAGATCTTCATGCACATGCTTCGCACAGGGAGCGGTCGTCCAAAAGCGGTTCTTCCCGCCATCACGATCAGTTTGATGATCGGCGGTTGATCGGCGGTCAATGAAGTTCAATAGTGAGTATTTCTGAGTTTGGATCTTGACCATGCTCAAGCTTCAAAGCTTGTAGCTAACTTAGTGCTGGAAGTCATTCTCTTCTACCATGCTGAATCGCACGAGGCCGTACCCCCCTGCAATTTTGTAAGGAGATCGCTTGTATAGTATTCAAAGCATCATTGCCGCGCAAATCTCGAACAGAAAACACATTTTCTTCTGTGACCATCACTTATGTATTCAATTCAACAACCCGAATTCATCCTCTCCCCATCCCAAGGCCCATCGTTTTCTCGTTTTGTGACCAGCTATAACTATGATGGCCAATCATATTGGACTCAAAGGCTCCGCTGAATGCGCCATGGTCCTCAAATTCCACCATTCCGTATCCTGTGGATGTGCCACGACGCGCGACCAGCCCTTATCTTCTCCTGTGAAAGCGATTGTCAACGCCGCTGCCTTCTCGGCCCATGTCTTAGCATTTTCTGCGTCGCCGAGGGCGAGATAGGCCTTGACGATGCGTTCAAAATACACCGGCCAGTAATTCTCATCGTACCAACCCTCCTGGTCCATCAAATCGAGCATCTTCTTGCACCTTTCGATGATCACATTATCAGGAGCGTTCATGTCCTTTATCCATGCCTTCAACTCTGTATCATCGCCGCTTTTGTTCTTCGTCGAGGCAATAACCAAAAGTCGGCGTCGAGCGTCACTGCGCCTCGATTCTTCTGCAGGTAAAGAACAAATGCGACAGGTACATTTAAACCCATAACTTTGCTCCAGGCTTGCCTGACGTTCACGATGGGGACATCTCAAAGGTGTGTAAGTGATGACGATTTCTTCGCCCTTGGCAATGGGTCGAATCGCTCGAAGTTCCTCGCTGAAGGATTGCAAATGCCAGTGGTATACAGCATTCGGGGAACAACTTCAATAACAGAGTTTATCACTTTACTCGGACAAATCAAGGGAACTAATTGGGCCTCACCTGTGGTTACAACGCGATATGTCCTTGCACACAGCTGCGCAGTCGTTTTCAAAGCCAGGAAGGGCTCCTATGCCAATGGCGTTGGTATCTATGATTCCTGCTGCTGGAAATGGAGCTTTGTCCCCTTTGCAATTATGCAGGGCGTAAAAGGCACTGCGATTCTCCTCGGATAGTGCAGTAATTGGCATCTCCGTCTGGATCCTTGCATACTCAGGATGTCGCTTATCGTATGGTATGCCTTGTACCATGATGATGAGGGGCCGTTCGCGAACAATTAGATCTCCCACTTCGATGTCCTGAGTGGCAACCATCCCCATTCCGGCACCGGGAATAGGTTTGATTTCGTACAGAACGCGAGGTGGCGGCACGAATCGCACAGGGAAACCTGGTAGAGCTAGGATCTTCTGTTTCTGGATTGGCCAGATCAAGCAGATCGACATGGGTTCTGGTCTGAGGAAATTCGGCATTGGTAAAGTCACGAGATTGAGATTGAGGCTGGCGATGTCGCCTTCGGGCATGGCGAGTTTAATTGGTGCATCATCTTCAGCGTTATGCAGAGACTCGGAGGGTACTTTGACAACGGTCTTCTTGGTTTGTTTCGCCTTTGTCTGCGGTGGCGCAGTAGGTGGCTTCGCAGTCACGGTCTTAGCGTACTCGTTTTTCAGGAATCCGCGACGCATGCTCGAAAAATATTGAGGATTTCAGGCTAAAACAAGATGGAACGCGTGGTCGTGGTTAGTGAAAGAGTTGTATTGGCCTCCAGATCCTTCGGGCGTTTGGAATTAAGGTCACACAGGAATACCTCACGTGTATAGTCTTCCCAACGCAGGGAAGCTTGGAATTGCGTATTGAAGCTCAAGGCTTGCTTCGAGAGCTATAAGTGCATACGCAGCATGAATTACCCTTTACTTCTTCATCCGATGTGAAGGATAATCCGTCATTGGTACGTTCGATTAGTACATAGGTCACTTCGATACGTACGGATGATCGGAGCGGGGTCGAAAGTGGCATACCGTTTCACATTCGAATCCAGTACAATCCGCGCCTGAATAACTTCAAAGCTGCAGGATACTTATCACCCTAAAGTTGACATCGAAATACTCAATGTTATGCCAAGACCGACATCCTCGCCTTCCTCCAAAATGATGTGTGTCTTGTAGAAACATACAGGAGAAGGCAGGTGAAGGAGAGTTCCTCTTCACCTATTTACCCTAAAGAACAGTCCGCTTTAATGCATTTCAAAGATAGTGAACGTAATCTGATCCTCGTCTCGCCGAACATAGGCTATAGCATTGGCTCTCCAGAGAAGCAGCAGTGTGAAAGTTCATGGTAGAACGTAAAGCCGAGTCTCGCTATTTCGGCCGTCACGGTCCTGGTATGTGCTCAGACGGGCATGGTTGCCTGCTCCTGCTAGACACTTGATATGTCGAAAGTATTCTAGGCGGCGTGATTGGCTGGATTGATGGTCAGTACCGACGTCATGAGCGCACCCTGAGAACGAAGCAACGAGTATCGTATATGAGCCATGCACTTCATATAATACTCTGTTGCAGATGACGTCTGGATACGGACATGACATCCACGACTATCACCAGTGTGCCAAGGATTAATCGCCCGCTAGCCGGGATGGCCATCAGACTCGAGTCATTGCGAAAGTAGGGGGTCAGAACCCTTCGATAGTCGTTTCTTGACAAGCTTGTCTTTGCACATGCATATGTAGTGCTTGAAGACCAATAAAGGCGCCTGGCCGTTGAGAAGGGCGATGGACCGGATAAGAAATTTCGAAAGCTGATGACCCTGAGAGTCCGCTATGAATATGGTTGAGACGGACCCTGAACACTAATGAACAAGAGCTTCTTGCAGTTGAGACGCTGCGGATTGGCGCGTCGAGTCATAGATTCCCTTACCCAGAGAACATCCCTGGATGAATACGGATATAAGGGATAGCTGGCTCAACAGCGTAATTGCAGGTGAAGAGAAGGGTGTTGCAGTGCGAGAATTCGAAGATGGTCGGCCAGAAGCACCATACTCGTCTGGTTCCTCCCAAGAGGTGCTTAAAAGCATCGACCGCGGACGGCGTCAGAAGTCAATGAACTACACTGGATACGGGCAATCTGCGGATCGGCGTAGCTCTTGCAGTACATAACCAGAGCAACGATTGACAAGTGACGGCTGGACATTATGAAAAGAGGCCTCGAGGACAATGAATGTGGTCACGACGTAGTTGAAGTGACATCGTAGCAGACACTGAACAAGCACATGATGGAAAACCGTGGAAAAGAGTAAAGGAACTTCTCCAGCAGCTAACGGAGCAACCACGTTTGGTATATGTCAGACAGAGTCGGAGAATGTACACCGCATCAAGTCTGGGAGTCCTCTAGTCGACAAGAGGTGCCAGTTACCCCAAACACATGGCTTTAGAAAGCAAATACGACGGAGCCCGAGGACCTTGAGCGCGGTGTCCCTCACGATGTCGGATGACTTCGCACAGTGTGTGCTGCCTGTGAAAGGGTTGGGCAGCCAAATGGGACTGCCATGGGTGCCTTTCTGTCATGCGACATGGATTTCCCCGATCAAAGCGACCGAGAAGAGCCTTTGGACAAAGTTTGGCGTTCATCTTGGGAGATTACATCCGGAGCTGCGGCCGGAGAACAATGAAAGCAAAGAGAGAGGTGCACAGATGAGGAACTGTGACTGAGGTCGATGTATGAGGCCATGAAGACAATTGAGAGGAAGAAGTAAGCCAGACGACACTTCAGTACAGGCCGCGGAGCTCAATAAATGACCTTCCGACCGATATTGTGGCGTGCGAACTGCTACCTATGCAGGAAAAGACTGTCGGCTCCGTACGGCTTGTGATCGGAGGTCGTAAACTCATCAACTGCTTATGGCATGCGACTAAATGTGATTCTCGCCGGTGGCTGGAACAAGTTACTGGAGCAGAGTCCGGCCTCACGAAGAACACGTTCCCTTGAGATTATCTGGAACGATGGGTTTCTCTGCGCTTTATGTATTCCACGGCCATCTGAGCTGTACTGATGACCTCAGGATTCCCCTCCAACTACGTTTCTTAACCCGCTTACTCGTCCCCAAGCGAGAAGGTTTTAGCACTTCCGCTCTCTCACTCTTTTCCCTCTTCTCTTCTGTCTCTTTTTTTTTATACGACTTACCCTTCGTAACCTTTAGATCGCTCTTACTGTGCCCTACGCGGCCTATCTAAACAATGACTGAATACTCTATGTCCTCAGAGGCCCTGCGTGAGTTCAGGTCTACCCAGGAACGTACAGCGTATTGGGTCGACCAGTACACTCGATATGGTGCGGAGGAAGAATGTTTGTCCCCTTCTGCACCACCCTCAGTTATCAGTGACGTGGAAAGCCCCAGCAGCGGGTCCAGCGACTCTGATAACTGGAGCAGGGATTCGATCCCTCCCCGCATGGTGCTGCACTTCGAGGATGGCAGACCAGACATACCCATTTCTCACGATTACCCACGTCCATCGCGGATGCGTCCAAGGGTGCCGGTACCTGAGTCCGATCATCAGGCTGTTCCTCACTCTTCATCGCGACATGGACCTTCGAGGTCAGGTTCGCAACATCTACCGGTTGTATCTGTACCATCGAGTCGTACCCGCCATGGACAAACGTTATCTTACGTAACGGTTCCTCCTGCTCAGTCGGAGACTCCACGTCCTCGCATTACACCTCCTCCATTACCGGAGAACATTGTTGTATTGCCTTCGCGCGAGTCCGAGCAGTCTGACCATTCCCCGACACCTATCGTGTCTCGTGCTATTGATCCTTCGCATCATGGAGATGGAAGTCACTCACGTTCTCCCACCTCCCACTCTTCACAGAATCCTCATCGGAACGCCAATGCAGGTCCACCACCACACCGCTCCCTATCTTCGCCCATCGCATCACCGAGTCCTCGACATGCCTATCCCCCAACACAAGTTTTACCGCGAAATCATTCTCCTGCGATGATGTATTCCCAATCCCAACCCCTTCCGTTGTCCACAAACGGAGGTGTGCAATATTTGGAACAACAAGCGGCTGCACAATCGCGACCGGGGTCGCGGCTACCGTACAACTACTCTCCACCGGCAATCATTTACGCTCCCTCCTCTAAACACTCCAGACCACGTTACGCTCCGCCTCCCATCGTTTATTCGCCTCCCAACGGATCTCACGGTCTAGCCGGTCGATACCCCGCTCCATCGATGGTGCACAGTCAATCTGCTCCTGTGCCTCAACCAGGGGTAGCTTATCCTCCTCCTCCGCAGGGATCGAACCACCGCTCGCATCATTCACATTCACATTCACACTCACATCCCCCTCATCAATCGCACCATTCGTCATCTCATTCACATGAAAACTCGAGTCACAGTCGAAGCCTGAGTCGTGGACGCGCTCGGGAGATGATGGCAGCTGACCGACCTCACTCATCTCACGCACGTTCACATTCACATAAGAGCGTTAGCCGACATCGTACTCGGACTCCTTCCCGGTCACGTTCGCCCTCAGACAGCGACAGCGAAGCCGGCAGTATCAGCTCAAACGGGACGTATTACATCTTACCCACTCCCGGACAAAAAGTGCAGATCATAGTCAGTATTCTTCATTTCTTTCGGACCTGTAGGACGTCCATTCACGTTGCGTTACTTGAACCTTTCTTTCGACTAGGTGCCAAATTCGTCGTCGGTGTATACCGCAACGTCTACCACGAAATCGGCCCATTCGCCGAATTCCGCTCACTCTGGCGGGTACAAAAAGCCTTTCTTCCAGAGAATCTTCCATATGCCAAAGTTCTCTGCGCCGTCTGTGGACTCGAGAGGTTCTGGCGGATCCAGGGGCAGTGGAAGAAGGTTACAGCGACGTCATACTATCGGGGGAGCTCGCATTCAACCTCCCGTCCATTAACGCTTGGGTCGCAGTCGCAGTTGCAATTAAAAAACAAAGTGACGCAGTTTGGAACATTTGAACGCTGTGTCAACGGGACATTCGTGACCATTGGTGATAGGCGATTACCATAAGGGTGAATTTAGATGTCCTTTTAGTTCTTTCTTTCTTTCTCAGCTTCAGTCTCGCATCTTGAAGGCCTTGTCATGGCTAGTGTCCGTTCTTGCTCGTCACCATACGCATCTCCTTACCTTCTGTGTCTCTCGAAATCTCTTTTCAATTGGTATAATACTTGTGTCTTTGCTCTGTAGTCTTGTCTCGTTTTCGTTTTTCTGCTTTCAATCTCTTTAGCATCACATTGTATCCAGTTATAGTAGCATGTGTCAATAGACTGTATGAATATGCTCGCTGTCGGTCAAAAGCAACAGCCTCAAAAGCCGAACTTTCTAACGCAAGTATGGGATCTTGCGCTGCTTCAGCGGTATTAAAAGAAGTAGCCGACCTCGCAATACAACCAGTTAGCTAGAGATTCTTAGCGATTGCACCGCACTCCACGAATCTCCTCGCCGCGCATCATCGGAGTCCTTTATCGCCATCGAGCTATCAGGAACAGGAACAACGGCGTAACAACTTCTAGGACGTCTATAACACGTCCATCAAGAAATAGGCCAAGGTGACGCCGAAGTAACTAGATCGCTCCTGCATTCGTGGACCTGAAATATCCTGGGTGGGGAGTACCCTGGGTTGATCAGCGTATGTCCACGTACGACGGTGTGCCAGCCGAGAAACAATTTGAAGTTTGCATTTGCTCGGGCATACCTGTGACAGGCCAGCATCTTGGTAAATGGGCTTTAAGGTCGTCCAACGTGCTATGCAGTTCAATCGGCATTGTAAGTAGAAGCGGAGACGGAATGACGTGCAAAACTTACTCGGTTCGATTACTCATCCCAATGCATCGCCGACGGTACCCAATATGCAACGCCATTAACCTCATCCTGATCATCCAGCCAACAAAGACCGTCTCGCAGTAGCATATTCTCGAGAGCGGCCTTGGCACGCTCTGGCATCCAAGCCTTCCTGGAAACGAGGAGCTGTTCAGAGACTCGACCCCCTTCCTGGTTAGCGATAGCGAGGACGACGGCCTGATCTTCATCCAGCTGCATCGGTACGCTTCGGACCATCTTCTTGCCACTACCAACGTCTATGACTTCGTAACCTGCACCAAGAGGTTTCAAAGTCTTGATGCTTCTGATCACGTCGTCCTCTGCGATCACACCACCAGCCACGCCCCGAAGCTTACTGACGAGTCTGACAAGCTCACCCATCTCGATCAAGCCTCCGTTCCTCTCTCTTGTGCTGACACAAACGTCAACTATCTGGACACCAAGTTCGTATTGCCAGTCGCCGAGGTTGAGGATCTCCGCCCACCAGCCCCCCTTGCGAGGCCCAGCGAGGGGATCGACTCCAATCTTGGCGCACATTTGTTGGAAGGCATGACGGAAATTCGGATCGCGTCGAATAGAGTCCCTGTGGGTGGATGCAAAGCGTACGAGAGCGGTACGGAATTGATCAAGCTGGGCGTGTAGCAAGTCAACTTGGGCCTGTGAGAGCTCAGACGAGAGTTCCGCAAAGGATCTCTGCGAGAGCTGTTGCCGATCAAAAGCGGCAAGGCCGACGCCTCCTAGTCGATGCATGGTAATGCTATGTTATGCAGATGGAAAAGTGAACCTGTAGAATGGTGGTGAGTACCGCGTTTTATGGACTATTCGGAATCTGTACTTCTCTGGCGTCCCGAGGTCGGGGAAACCGTAGGTTTATCCACAAAATAGCGCTTGCAAGCAATTCGCCACAGACTAGTCAAAGTCTCATGGAATGGCAGCCGCAAGACTATAAGCACTAGAAAAGTATGTATTACGATCTAATGTATCGAGGAGTGCCAGTAGATGACATGAAGGAGAGGAATAACCTTTAATTATAATCTGATAAGTCCTTATGGTGTGATGCTAAGGGTCTTTGCGTGCTTACATGTCATCAGGGTTAGTAACACCGTTACGAATGAACACAGCTCTGCATCTTACCACCACGATGTCTGACATGCTGAAAGCGTCTACGAACCTCCCAACAACCTTCCTGAAGATAGAGCGATGTCGAAGAGTTGCCCCGGGATTTTTCGTCCCAAGCCTCAAATTTAATGGATGCTACAGAGACGCCGGTTCCCTATATTTAGCGATGCCGTCTGTGGGATACCCAGGACCTTCTACCTCCGCAGAGGGTCCATGAGCTTTGAAGCCTAACTAGATTGCACTTTGACCACCATGACCGTTCTTCGATTGGGAAGCACTGCTCCTGACTTTGAAGCGGATACCACCGAGGGCCCGATAAAGTTTCACGAATGGATAGGCAACTCATGGGTGTGTCTTTCTGCTCGTTCAACAGATCATATCAGCCGACCAGAAACTGATGACCCTTTGGACGTTGAACATGCATAGGTTATGCTGTTCTCACACCCGGGCGACTTCACGCCTGTGTGCACAACTGAGCTTGCAGACATCTCTCATCGGTAAATAGGTTCGATTGGCTCAGTAGCGACTGTTGCTTAGATCCACTACTGCGCTTGTTAGATTGCCGCAGTTTGTGAGCCGCAACGTGAAGATTATTGGCATATCCACGGATAATGTCCAATCGCACCATGAGTGGATAGAGGACATTATAGAAATCGGCAACAAAACGGCACCCACCTGCGTTGAATATCCCATTGTGAGCCCTGCAACAACTGTCGGTTCTCTTTCAGACTAACTTATACCATTTGTGATAAAGATTGCGGACCCAGAGCGAAACATATCGCGTTTGTACGAGATGCTTGATGAACAGGATGAGACAAACGTCGACGGAGAAGGCTTGCCTTACACTGTTAGCTTCTACCATTATTCCCTTTGTGTACGGGCTGACAGCTGACTCTTATTTCAGATTCGCACCGTGTTCATCATCGACCCTCGCAAGAAAATTCGTACCATGTTGCACTACCCTGCCTCTGTCGGTCGAGATTTCGACGAAGTCGTTCGGTACGATATATCCGCTTTTACTTCTATTAATGAACATTGCCTCCTAAATGATTCACGCCCTTACAGCATTATTGATGGTATGCCAAACCATCTGCTTCTCGTTCACAAGGCATTCATGTCTGACCCCTCATTCTAGCGCTGCAACTTAGCGAACAGCACAAAGTCATGACGCCGTGCAATTGGAGGAAAGGGGACGATGTCGTCGTGCATCCAAGTCTATCCGATGAAGAGGCAAGGAAGCTTTTCCCTTCTTATAAGACTCAGTTGGTGAGCCTTTTTGTTCTACTAGTGATCCACCCTCTTCATGGCAAGTCTTCAACAGCCCTATCTTCGCACAACGTCGCTGGATAATCAATAGCAGCTATGAACTCCTTGTCCTCATTCCTTGTTGTATTTTATATGTACTTTCTAGACTTTTCGCTATCGTCTCGTCGATCTTGCTCTTATCATCTACTGTATGACTTATCGTTCATATTGTATCTCATTGCTCCCGTTCTTACATTCCTCCGTTCTATCCCCTTTTAACTCTGCCCTAGAAGCCCCGTCCTAGGTGAGACGCTCGTCCTCAACTCGGTGCTATCTTCCTCCTATCTTTGACAACCGTTTCGCCGCTTCTCGGAAGTACTTCGTCTTGAGATTGATGTTGTACAGCAAGTCATTCATCGATGTTGTATCCCCATTCTCTCTCGCCTTTCGTTGTAATGTTGAGTTAGCTCAAGGATTCATACGCAAAAAGTACCGTGTTTCTCGGGGCTATCATGACGGTACAAGCATTATCGGCACCGGTGATTCTCATAGGAAGCAAGCAGGATGTTTGTCCTGCTCTGTCTAGTAGATACCATGCAACACGTCGTGACATTCATAATAAACGCCTACCGTAACCCGAGCTTCGATCCTACACTCAAGTAAGTCTCCTTCCTATGCATACAGTAACGACTGCCTTGTTCACGCAATGGACTTCGAGTAACTATTCAGATCCCCCAAATGTGAGTCCAGTATGATCGGCCATTTATACTGACCCTAGCCATCCTTCGGCCCACCGATACACTGCCAGTGCCTAGCGTAAAGCCAAACCTCGTTACAGGAACGAATATGCTTCTCTCCCCTGGTTTGAGCAACATGTTTCGCTTTGACCACAGCCGAGTGGGAGGTGGGATTTATCCTAGTGGCTGGTGACTGGTGACGAAGCTCGAGGAAAGTCAGGTTCTCCTACTGCCTCTAATGACATGTTAATAGGTGGAGCCGTGCTCGTACTGCGGGTAACGTCCCCGCTAGTTGCTACGATCATTGGCAGTGCATACCGCAAGAGGTGTTAGCGTCATGCACAATTGACAGTAGTGACTGATAGATACAGGTACGTGTAAAGAGCTGATTCAGTCCGGAGAGCTCTCCTCGACGTCAACTGCGGGCAGATATTTTGCTTATGCTGCCATCATGATTCATTGTTTAACCACCTTATGATCTATCACGTAGATGTGTTCTACCTCAACTCCATCTCAATTATGGCAACCACTGAGTTTCTATCCTGCTAGATAATCATAACTAAGCCATCTATCCGTCGGGCGGTCGATCTGTGCTCGTCGACATCACGCCTTCAGCACAGAAGAACAACAATGTTGTCATCTTCGGGCCATTGTCGATATACGACTGACGGGTTTTGAAGAAGCTGTTATCAAGTACGTCGACCCGGTTATTGACAGGATGGAAAAGGGTTATTGCATCGTCCATATGTGGGCTCATTTCCAGACCGGATTTACCAGGGTCCTGGATACGATTAGACCTGTACCTGGCGATGAAGCAAGTACCTTTTCACTGGAGGATCGAAATGCGATGAGGTTTGTGCATCTTCTACACTGCTTATGATTCTTATATCAGGAAAACTGCAACAATCGTATTATGGACGGCGATGCTCCTCAGGATGTGACAGGGAAGTCCTTCGGAAGGGCCTGTTACTGCTAGGACAGCCTTCAAGTTTCTATGTGCCTGTGCCTTTACCATCTTGATGTTATGTCTACTTAGTGGTCATCACTTGTGCCAGTATTTCGGTCAAGTATTCTGCCATATCACTACATCAGACGAGAAACAATATGCAATCAGGAACATAACACTGTATGGGTTTTTGGATTCAACCTACTGTACAGTAGGTTATGTACATCTATGATACTTTGACTATTATTACATGCAAGGTATAAGTGCCAGGGGTGCTCAGACCAGTGAGCAGGGATTTGAGATGTCTAAGTAAAGAGAAAGGAGAAACGAAAATGAAAATAAGGAGTGTGTGAGTTGACGAGGCGTCGACAGATGATGAAGAATGTCTTTGCAAAACATATAACTTGGAGACCATCGGCATCTATCTGATGATTGAAACAATGCTGGCCGGTAGACCCCGACAAACGCCACGATCCTTTTCAACGTCAGTACGAGACCCTCCGGTCTCTGCGAGACGAACTGCTGCTACCCTTGTCCGCTGACGAACCGAGCGTGAGTAGCCGCTTCAACAGTGGCTTGCCCGTTTTCTTCGTTGGGCTCCGGGAGGTCCGTGATGATCTAGAGCCAGAGGCAGGATCATACTATGAAAAAGACAAAACAAAGTTTAGTTCAATCATCATCAAAAGTTTCGCCACACTTACCACGACTTCTACCTTGCGCCCCGCCGGTGGAACGATGACATATGTCTCGCCAGGTCTCACGGGAGGCAAGACGAGTTGAGCGTTCGGATCGAGAGTGTACGTCTTGTACGACGCGCCATGTCCGAGTCCGCGTGATACCGGAGCAGCATATGACACAGGCGAAGTATTTTGGTAATAGACCTGTTGATACGCGGGCTGCGACGGCGGAGCATGCGACTGCGAACGAGTCGGATGTCGAGACGAAGATGAATGAGAAGTCTTTTGGGCTATACCAGCATGGTTCGCAGGAAGAGTGACTGATCGATGAACGGTCGGATGAGACGAGGAATAATGAGAAGGACTTGCATGACGAGAAGATGAGGACGGGTGGTCTCGGGTAGGGTCCCTGTAGTGATGACGGGCGACGGCGGCGGTTGGAGGGGTCGATGTAGAGCGGGGGACGAAGGGGCTGGAGTACTCTCTGGCATGGACAGCCTGGTTGTACACCCAGTTCGAGACCCGGTTTTGGGTAGCGGCATAACGCTCATAGGCGGCGGGGGAATAGTCGTATTCTGTCATGGGGACAGGTGGACAACGTGAAGAGTGAGGACCAGAGAATTAGGGCACCTGTGCTTATAAGCCTCGAGCGAGTATTGACCTGAGTACAATAGAGGCCAAGTGGAAGCAACGGCCGTGATGGTGAGGCCAGGAGTCTATGGAGATCTAAACAAAGCAGAAAGCGGAACGAGGAATTGGGGAAAAGTGACAGGGTATTAGCAGCAAGTGGTATATATGAAGTGTCTGTCCGTCTATGTTCAACGTGCACCGTGGTTCGTGCGTGCAAAGCACGAGAGGGTTGGTTGCCTCAAGGCTTGCACTGAAAAGTAAATGGAGGAGGCTGAAAGCGTCTATGTTCGGAAGTTGACTGAAGTTGGGCGGCAATACCATGATCCTTGATATCCATGTTCCGAAAGAAGACAACTGTGTCCTTTTGTCTTGCCTCCCTACATAAGGAGGATCGTCAAAGCTTTTAACAAGCCTTATCGGTATGTCTTTGACATTTCTCTTTGATTTATTGTTCCTTCAGGGATATCACTATGAACGCGCTTTGGCTCAGGGTCCCTTTTGTCTCCAGTCGGGAAGTTCAGGGTCGAATGACATTGAGTTATTACACTCGCTCCACACCCTGTCTACCGTGGCCAGGATGTTCGGAAAATGATGAAAGAACAGAACGAGAGCTTTCCTACTGCGCTTGAAGACATCTCCAGTGCTGCGCGATTCAGCATGTTGGGTCACGATCCTGGTCAGTTGACTTTATCGACGTGCCTCGAACGCTTTGCGGTCGTTAACTTCAGTGCAAGGAATCTATCTTCCTTCTCATGAGCTTGAGAACTAACGCTGCCTCGCCTGTGCAATATGAACAGCGTCTGTCATATCTGTGTACAATTCCAGGGATCGTCGTCTTCGGAGAAGTCTGATATAGAGTTGGTGAGTGAAAGATAGAAATAAATCGAGGGCGTGATCAGGTCAGTGCCAAAGTGATGCTTCTTCTATGTCTTACAATCGCTCCTATACCATCTCAGTCGCATACCCTCATGAAACGGTCTTCGGGCCTGGTACACTGCCATCCTCAAATCCAAAGGCAGGAAAGTGTGCTTCACATTCCGAATCTATGAAATTATATATCGATCGGTATATGCTTTTGAACGCTGGCATTGCAATGTGTTGCGGAACCGTGGCTTGAAGAAGTCGCTCCCTTCTCACAGATCGGATCCTGTTTGCATTACGACGATATCTGTCGTACCACTGATGATTCTTTAATGACGCCTCCTTCATCAGGGTCTTGAGGGTCCCTACAAGGTTTCCGACGTCCATGCCTTGCCATTGATGTACTTATGCCAAGGAAAGCATAGAGGAAGGAACTCAATTTCACGATGAAGACCCAAGTTGTTTTACGTGTTCGACGTCTATGTGGGGTCGATATGCGTCATTGGGGTGCCGTAAACTTTGAATTTGACCCCAGCACCCTCCACATGCCCTTTGACTTCTGCTCGTCATTGAATTTTTGTACCTGCTGGCCTGAACCACGAACAACGTTAGAGAATCCAAATACGTTCATGCTCACTGTGTTTTGATCGTATCGGCGATCACGATTACTTACGGAAAGTTGACTCGACCGAAGCAGATTTTAACGTAGGTAGTACAGACCACACAAATCCGGTGCTTTCCAAATACAATATGTGAACTACTTTCGTATGCCGTCTACGATCACATCGAGTTCCGACTACTTACCAGGATTCGAAGTGTACAGGCCCCGGATGATCACCAAATAATTACACACCGGCGTCACCAAACAGACTAAAATGGGATCGTAGAGCCTCGTGGCGTGTTGTAGCTTTCATGCTTTACTTATAACTACACTCTCATACTTTTCATCACTGATCCTAGGACCACGTAGGCATGGACGGCCCACCCCCGCTCGTCGATCGACCTGATGACTATGACCACGGTTATCCAGCAGGTTTTGGAGGAATCTCACATCAATGGTCTCGACCATCTGACGGATGGCCTCCTACGCAGCCCATAGGTTCACCATGGGGGTCTCAAGCACCTTCAGAGATTACTGCAGGCCCTTCGTATTTCAATCCTAACACAACCGCAGCAATGCAACAACAATGGCCACCAGTTGGTGCGGCTGGCTTCGCGCCATCTACCCAGCCACAATTTTCCGCCTTTCCTCCACCGCCTCCAGCACCTGCGATGGCGAGCTGGGGTGCACCAATGGGCATGACGCCTATGATGTTAGGTCCACAGCCAGTACAAAGTACGCGCGAGGACGATTGGGTCGATGTATCGAATGACAGACCGAATTGGGAGCAGGCATGGCCCCAAGGAGGGTTTCCTACACAGTCGGGGCGACTTGCGCCACGTCCGTTGTCCCGAGCGACATCGCAAGCGTCGCGAATGTCGGGACGTCAACGCTCGGCCTCGCATTCTTCGAATACGAGTCCGAGGTCCAGTAATAGCGCTATGTTAGCGCGTCATGAGAGAGCGTTTGAGGATGAGAAGCGACCACCGAGAGAATGGCGTGCCGATTTCTCGATGACGAGGCCTTCGGTTCTCGCCTCTGCCTTGGGTGCGATGTTGTCACCTGCTCGTCAAGGCTCAATCAGGAGAAGGAGTGAGTCTTTCGCGTTGTCATGAAGCCATATCTCTTCGTTGACGGTTTAAATCATAGATTCAGATTCTTCTAGACACCCCAAAATCGAATTGCATCCTTATATTCGATACAACAATGCTTCTCCTCCCATGACTCTTGATCTTCGTGATAATCCGGCTGAGATCACTTTTCGTGCTCTTAACCGACGGATAAACGCCTGGGACCTCACTCGCTTCGCATGCGAACCTCCCGTCCGCCGAATCGAACTCTGGAATCCATACTATCCTTGGCTGATCGAGGTCGAATCTCAGAATCCTGCTGGTGTGACTTTGCACGAATTGCTGGGTGCAATCTGGACATCGATGATGACACCGATATCTACCGCGGACTATTACAATAACGAGATGAATGAGAATATCAGGTCTAAAGTCGCGATGGCGTTTAATATCCGCGTGGAAGAGAATGAGAAGGAAAGAGGGTTAGGCGTGCGTAGGGTCGATTTCCTGATGGATCGCATCTGGCTAGAAGGGTTTGTCAAAGGGAGGGATAGTCGACAATGGGAGATGAAGATTAAGAAAGTCTAACGGGTATGGATCACATTGACTCGTGTGTATTGTTTAAAGAATGGCGTGCCTTCATGTTTTAGTAGATCGCTTCTCTCTTGTTGTATTTCTTGCCCCTCATTCATGGTCGTTATTTATCATGTGCTTTTATGTATCTACAACTAAATACCCTGTTGCATCATACATGTACTCATTATAACTTGCACATACAAATAGATTCTCATACGCAACTGCCTTAACTGTTGAACTGGTCCTGGATGCAATTTTTTTGGCCATCGTCAATTGACAGGGAAGCAACGCAAGCCAGGGTGTCGGTGGGTCCCTTTACTCCGCTGCACTTGAAACCATCCTTCTAATGCCATCTGATGGCTGGTACATACGCTGCAGATCGAAAGCAGTTCAAAGAAACCGGACGAGTCCAAAACGATCGGACAGGGCAGGAAGTACTGGTTCAAGGAAGCCAATTCCGTACAGGAGAGTATACCATACTGTACAAGTCCACAACGGCTACCCAACCAGGAAAGGTATGTATAACGCGAATAAAGGAATACGAAGAACAAAAAAACAATCACAGACAGCAAAGAACATATCGAAATCACAAGCCTATGAATCCACGTCCATAACGCTAACCCCTTCCGTCGGTTCCTCTTCATGGGTACCTTCTTCTCTTGGTCTGCTTCGACTCCTCTCTTGGGACGGCTGTCGGCCCGTGTTATCGTCTGAACTCTCTCGACTGAGAGATTTGCCCAAAGGTGGCGCGGAGGGACCATCTACTGGCGAGCGTGTAGCAGATTGAGACGACCGACTTGCAGCTGCAGCTGCAGCGCGCGCTTGTCGCATTTCTCGGGCGGACGGGTTGAAGTGACCACATTTAGGACAAACGTATCCTGTAGGTAACCCAAAGAGGCATCAGCAAACTTGTTCCGAAACATCATTGCGGATGACGATAGCAAGGGGGCATTCGAACGTTCGACTAAAGCGTTCCTTGACGGATCAAGAGAAGTGGTAGATAAGGAAGCACAAGAGCAGAAACGTCGAAATGGGAGAATACAAGAACGAAGATGTACCCACGTATGTCTTCCCATTCGCTTTCCTTTACTAGGCCATTGTGCGAGAAACACCTCTGGCAGATCAGGGCATAGCGAGATGCTGCGGCGCTCACGGAGGACGCATCGTCATCGCCTAAAATAGCGTCAGCTAGCTTATCATACCACTGTTTGCGAGGCGGCGGCATCGGCCGCTGTGGCGACGCTAGAGAAATAAGACGTCAATGATTCCTGTCAGTAAATACGTATGGAACACCATACGAGAGAGCCGCTGCTGGAGATTCGCAGAGACCGGGGCCGGTGTTTGGGGTAGCTGCAGTGGCAGTTGTGGTTGTACCTGTGCCGAGCGTTGTGGAGTAACGGGTGCAGCGACAGGAGTCGGAGGTTGGACGGCAATACGTCTTTGTAAAGGGGTGGTAGGTCCTGGAGTTTCGTCGTATCTCTCAAGGAGATTCCTAGTGGTATAATAATTGGTTTGTTTCTTGATCTGCTCAATCTTCTCTCGCTGCTGTTTTCGCAGAGCAATAAGTTGCTTCTCTGTGTAGAATGCGTATCGTGAGCGCCCCTGTATCGTGCACCAACAGATTCACTGACCTTCAGCATTTCCTATACGCGTGTACCATATTTGTACAATACGCCGTATAAATAGAATTCTGTGCATCCGTTAAGATTAATTTTTCGACGTGTAGGGAAAAATGAGGCATACACAATTGGACCTAGGAACACCGGTATCCCTCGTGCGGTGCGTTCGTATTGAGATCCCCACGAGTGAGTGGTTAGCTTGGGAAGCCACTCTTTCCACCAAAGGCTAACATAGGCTCCCCATAACGCAATAGCATAGATAGAGAAAAGGAGTGTAGAGCGTCGTTCTCGGAGTCGTATTTCCGAGAGATGCGTTTGTCGTTTGTGAATATCAGAAGCTAAGGATTCGAGGACTTGTTCATAATCCTCTGGTTGGCTCTACAGGTAATTTTGTGAATTTCTGAATGATAAAGTGTGCATTCTTGGAATGTTTTATACCTTTGAGAACCATTTGGAAAAGAAACCCATTGTAAAGTTGAAGATACTGGATGAACTGTTTGAATGAACTTGGACACGCGTTGGCCCCTGCTACGTCACACATCACGCGACACCCACGTGTCACGCGCGTCGAACATATGTTCGCACTTCTTGCAGTTGCAGATGTAGCGCTGACAGTTAGTTCCAACCTTCATGTCAACGAAGTGCTTAACCTTTTCTTTCCAAGTCTCGTATCCTACTGCGGAAAAGGAGACTGAAGTTCAATGTGGACCATGGTCGTTGTGAATATCAGAAGACCAAGATCCTTGGGCAGTGGAAGTCAACTCGAGTCACTGACGTCGGACCGGAAAAATATCTGACTGGACTTTCAACAACCTTCACGCACAGCGCTGAGGAACTACACATGAGCAGCCCGTCTGACAAGGTATCCATTAACGAGCTATGTGAGTTTTTTTTTTGTTCCTATACTGTTGCGGACACTAAACAGTTGACCATCAGGACCGAAGCCATGTCACTCACTAGATTCCAAACAGAGAATCCTTATGAGAAGCTCTGGGGATATTCTCGTGTGACCCGTCGTGGGCCCTTTATATTTGTATCAGGTACAACGGCGGTCGATCTTGCTACTGGTGCCATCCCAGCTAGCTTGTCGGCGTACGATCAAGCGCTAGTGGCGTTCGAGGAGATTTGCAAGGCTGTAATAGGCCTCGGTGGGAGGAAGGGAGATGTTGCACGAGTTCGGATGTTTGTCACGAACGAAGACGACTTTCCGGATGTTGGACGAGCGTTGAAGCAGGTTTTCGGGGATGTCGGGCCTGCTGCCACTGGAATCACTGGTGCCCGTTTTGTTTCTCCCGATATGAAGGTAGAAATTGAGGCCGATGCTCTTGTATTGGATTGGTGAGTTGTCCGGCTACTCTGGATTTTTGAGACGAGACTTAACAACTATTGTATCCGCTACTCTCGGCGTAGACTGTAGGACTTGTCAAAGAACAAGATACATTGTTCTTCATTTCAGACAACTATTTCAAAATCGTTGTTGTGAATTGTCTTTCAACATAAGCTTCGAAATTCAACGAGTGGAAGTACGTCAGCTCTCGTCGGCTCTCAATGCATCACGCTTCTTCTGGTGAATCGGCGGAGGTAGACGACCCACTACGTGGCAATGTTACGTTCATCGATTCTGTAGCAGCCTGTCGATTCGCAAGATCTGCTTCGTTACCAGAAGGCATAAGCTGCCCGGACGCTGGTTCGTCGCCGCACCTATTAGTATCAATCCCAGAACAACTTATTTGTATTGACAATATTTCAAACCAGGAACATCTATCAGCGTTTGAACATGTTGTTCTTCTGCTATCGGCTATTTTTCCATAGCAACTTCGCAGATCATTGCTCATACAAGTCTATCACTAGTCACTTGGTTCTAGTTCTAGCATTTTTCATTTCCCTGGCTGGTTCATGTGTTGGTGAGTTATGCAATGTCCCATTATGCCCTCATGTATGCAATGCCAAACCTTCCTGAATCAATGGTTTCAGCCTACTAACTCAACGTCAAGCTTTACAGAAGTCATGCGCCACGGCCTGATATACTCTCTGGTCTACTCCCTTTTGTACAATCGAGCAGATATATTCCACATGCTTGTACGGCGCGAAAAGTCGGAAATGAAATCGGCGCCCTGGCCGACGTACCTCACTATCGCGCCTTTCTTCTTTGCTGTGGCGCCGCACACCAGACCAAAAATCCTTTCCGTTCGTGCGACTCCGAGTAGCGACACGAAACGAGCGTTCAGAAGCTATGTGCGGCGAAGCGAGCAAACCATGTCGGCGGAGTATGCAACTTCTTGAACGCATGGTTTAGCGGTCTGAACGCCACCCTCAACCTCATCGCCGAGGCACCTGTTCTCTTTCGTTACACGTGCCGGTGACACCCTATCCGGGACCGGCAATACCTATAGTCGGATTTGCATGGACGTTTTGGGAGTAGGTAATTTTGAACTCTGTTCGACGGAGTGACAGGATGTCACGAACTTGGCGGGGCCGGTCACTTGTTCCGTTGTCCAATCCCACTTTGCTCTCCGTGCGAGATAAAACTCGTGTTTCAGCACCCTCTCGAAGATCGCAACGGAGAAGCTACTAGCCATCTTCGAACTCGTATCCAGGGCTTGTCTTTGGAGTTCCGGATCAGCACATCGTAAACCATGAGAATGCTGTACGAAGGATGGCTGAAAGAACCTTCGGAATACAAGAGTTGACTGATTCGACTGGCCTCACGGAGATTCCAACACTCCCGAGGAGCCATAAGACGAGCCCTATCATGTGGACCGAACTCTGATATCATTTGAACAATATTCCAATGTTCTAGGTAGAACTCCTCAATTACATGGTTTACTCTATGTGAAGGTTGGTCTCTCGGTCCACAAGCTTCGGAATGCAGTCTCGAGTGAACACAAATCACTTGCGAGGTATGTCTCCACCCGTGTAACGGAGAAATTATGTTCTCTTAAGTCCATCCTTGTGGGGAAGTGCGATGACTCAAGATGAACTTTAAACGTTAGCCACGATAACGATCTGCAAACCATCGCGGAACCAAATGCTGATCGTCTAGGCTCTATTTGTTAGGCTCTCATTGATGATATCACGAATACAAGGCTTTCCTTCTCATTAGCCAGTCATCCAGGGTTTTTCTATGAATCTATGGGACCGCAGGAGACCGAACGGGTTTCTAGAGCAGAACAAGGAAGTGATCATCGTAGCTAGGCCCTGTCCAGCTTTTTCTCAACTGGCAGAGAGATATCAAACTTGAGACCGATGCGGCATCCTCACAAATGTGGCGCAGGTTGCAATCAAGTTCGCAATGCCTGGATTCTTGGCCTGCAGCTCATCCCTGGGTGGTGCAATGTTTTGGGGGCGCATTCCAGGGCGAAAATTGCGACAACATTGAAGCGAAACCTGATATGACCTCCGTTCAATCGTCCACACGGGCTCTAACTCATGTCCGCCAACTTTTCTGGTATACTTCTTAAACTCATCACGATCACTGGTCTGATTTGGGCGAGATGCTTCCATGTCATAATGTATTTGTTCCGTGTCTATCCTGATTTCAGTTCCCTCCGCCTTGGCAGCGAGTGCAAATGGTATTTGCGTTCTTACTAGTTCTTGTTGTTGACTCAACATCGACTCAGTCTGACGATGAGCCTCGTCGCAGTATGGCAAAGGAATTGGCGGAAATACAACGTACGTTGAAATAACCGGGACGCCCAAGCCGGAATAAGGTTGGGAGTTTACGTGAAGAAACACGTTTCTCATGATAGCCACGCTCAGTTTGCAAGCCGGCGTCAGAAAATATACGAATGACCTTGTTTCTTCTTTACCAGTACATCCTCTCTTTATGATCGTTCTACGCAGCCAACAACTATGCCAACAACATTTGAGACTTTCATACGTTACAACTGCAGCCCACAACTCCGATTCAGGCGAGACAACAACCAAGGCAAAAATTAAAACCCTCATATAGGCGGTTAACGGAGGCATTTTAGTGGACAGATGACCGCTCGGCTCGAATGTTCCAATCCTTTGGACTGGAATTCCTTCTTTCTGTAGATTACTCTCATCAAGACGATCTCTTTGATGAGATCTTAGGACCGGGGATTCCCCTGTTCGTTCAAGTACCTACCAAGAGAGGGTAAGACCTCCGCAAAGTTCACACTGCGGCATGATATCTATAAACCATGGTATAAATCGTTTGGTAATCTCCCATACGGCCCTGTTTGCGATACCCTTCCTTCCCCCTGCATCAATTCACCTCGTCCTCGCGCTGTAGGCGTTCCTCCACTTAGTACATTACAGAACTGTAGGATATGCCTGCTGAACGCACCCGAGGCTCTAAGCGCAAAGCTGAGGGTAAGATAACAGTCGATCCTCTCCCGAAGTGCTCTGACAATTTGCCACGCTTTAGACGTAGATCCTACCTGGACGACTTCGATCGACGCGTCGAAGCCTCAGAACATTGCATTCGCCCCGAATGTCACGCCTGGGACGTTCAACGATCCTCCTTCACCGGTGGATCCCCCTCCCGAATCAATGCTCTTTCCACCTACACCCGACTCTCCGACCGGTCGGCGACAAGCACACGGGAAGAAAAAACCGGAGAACCACATTCCTCGTCCTCCGAATGCCTTCATCCTGTTCCGCTCGTCATTCATCAATAACAAGCATGTCTCCTCTGACGTCGAGACGAACCACAGCACGTTGTCGAAGATCATCGGACTTACCTGGCATAATCTCCCTCACGAGGAGCGTCAGATCTGGCACACCAAAGCCAAGATCGCTCTGGAGGAGCATCGCCGGAAGTACCCCCAATATGCCTTCCGTCCTCTGCACGCCAAAGCCAAAGGTGGCGGAGAGAAGCGGAAGGTGAGAGAGGTGGGTCCGAAGGACATGAAACGCTGTGCCCGAATTGCAGAGCTTCTTGCGGAAGGCAAGAAGGGTGAGGAACTCAACGCCGCGATCGCTGAATTCGATCGTAATCACGTACCAGAGATCGTCACCCGGTTCGAGGCACCCATCACAGCGCGTACATACCGACGGTCCTCTTCAGCGCCCATCCCCGACACTGAGCATTCGAAGCCAGCGTTCCTCCAAGAGCCGTCTTCCAAGCCTCGCGCATCGAGTATCGAGCCAGGGACCGCCACTCAGGAAGCGTACTCGGACTGCGAGAGTCCGAGTTCATCTCAGGCTGATGTGGAAGCAAGCGAGTATCAGTATGAGTTGCCTGCGTCCCCCGTTGATGCTACACCAACATACACGCTCCCTGAACCCAATCCTTCTTTTGTAAGTTTGTGTTCATCATGTTTCAGTTATTGTCGCTGATCGATCGCTGGCACTGTAGGACTTTAACACATTCTCTTTCAACACTTCCACAGCACCTACGACTTTTGAAACTTACGACCCTCTTTTCAGCAATTCCCAGGAGAGCGTCTTCGACGGATATTCGCCACAAGATACGAACGCGCCTTGCACGCCTCACGCCGATGCATTCGTGGCGTCCGGTTTGACCATCGACACGTCTTTCCTGAACGCCTATCCACCTTCTTCCCCGTTCTCCAGCATGCCGAGCACGCCTCAGACATATCCACAAGCACAGAGTCCTGCAATGTCAATGATGAATTCGGAGATCATGTCGATGCCTTACGATGCCTCGTACGACTTCTTCCCCGATTTGTCAAATTACACCACGGACGTTGCGCCCAACTGCATGCCAGCAACACCAATGTCATTTGCTACACACGAGTACAGCATGGGTCCCAAGGCTGACTTTGCGTCGTTCTACGACAAGTCAAGCTTCGTACCAATGGAGCACGGCTTCGCCTCGTCATATCTGACTGCAGTTCCCGCATACGGAATGTAACGGACCTTTTTTTGCTTACCATCCTTTTCTTGGTTATTGTTCTTGAATTAACTGAACTTGTCGATGTTGTACTTCGGCGGTGCCAGGGTTGTCTTTCTCTGCATCTGTTGTATCATTATCTCTGCGTCGACGCACCGTTATCTGTATCAATATCCTGCGACACCTGAGCGACTCGCCGTCGCAATCAGCCTCTCCACTCTCACACTTTGGACTCCGTTTACTCACCGGTCGACGTTATTTCCACTTCTTTATTTGTAATTTGTATATAGTTCCACAAACACGCCGACCTACTTCTGGGAGCGTCCAATAGATGTTTCTGATACCAGTTAGTGTCTTTGCTTCTGAGCCATAAAGTTCCAACCCCGTTCATCCGTGTGCCATGTGGGGATCAGCAGCAGCCACTGTCCGTGGAACTCTATCCCATGTTGTATTCGTGCCACGTTTGGCAGTCCTTGAAAGCTTGAGAGCCTAGTGTACCTCGAAGGACAAACAATTTAGTTGAAATGTCCGAATGTGCGGGTCTTGTCTTCTAATCAACGCCATCGGCATCGAAAGGTGCCGAAAAGCTGGGAAACCAGAGGGAGTAAAGGCGGGGGATATTAGTCATGATGCTTGCTAGACGCAGAGAACGACGGCGTACGGCATCCTGTGATAGGGCGTGATGCATGATGGTCGGAGGCCTGCATGATAGCCTCATTGTAGAGAGATCATGTGGATCATGTAGGACTCCCAACGAGACGGAGAGTGAAGAAGTCAAGGAAATCTGTAGTCGATGTGTAAAGCAGGTGTCTAGGCTCTCGATGACCGTAAGGCCTGTTTCCTATTCGAAAGATGGCGTAATAATTGAGACCCGTATATTGGGTGCATAGAAATTGGTCTAGAGGCGAGGTCAATGTTGTCGGAGGCACCTCGGAAAGTCATTAAATTCGCTGTAGACAAGCAAAATAGAAATAAAACGCACCAGCAGACATAACGGTGAGTCTTCGACATGTTCGGGAGTCCACCCAAACCTTGCACTACGATACACCTCCTCCGTGCTTGCTCACATGACCTAACGAAGAGAAGCGACTTAGGAACTCGCACATAAAGACTCGGCATTTAAATATTCACTACTCACCCCGAAAGAAGCAAGAGGTTAGACTCAGCGACAAGACAATGGCATCCCCAATCTGACGGAAGGTCGCGCCCCAATCTTCATCAGCAAGGAAGCGCTGTTGGATACAAGTTCTTGGGTACAGGGCAAACATCTTAAAGAGGCGGTCCGTATGACCCGCTAGAAGGACTTTGAATCGAGTGAAACGAACAGATCAAAGCGAGTATGCGCAGGAAAGGAAAGTGTAGTTGGTGGACGCAACCAAAAGTGCTTTGAGCTTTGCGACGAAAGCAGCCCGGAGTACGTCAGGTTAGTAAATATTGATGATGACCGTCGTAGTCATTGCCGATAGTGCGAGTCAACCAGTCGACAATATACTTCGGCCTGGTGGCAACAGTGGCGCAAAGTACTGCTCGACGAACAATGCAAGCACATTCTGAAAGGCCTTAGGTCTGTAAGTAGACATTGACTGTCATCCGTAGCGGCTTAGAAGGGAAGAGACGTTTAAAAAGGAGTCAAGTAGAGAGGGGGGGCCAGGCAAGAGACCAAGATTGACCAGAGGCAAGCATATGTATACGATATCTTCTGCCTGCAGGCATTGAACCGAGGCGCTCATCACCAAAGGTACAAGGGCTGAAACATAGAAGGAAGGTGGGCACCATGGGCTTGACAAAACGAGGCAGTTTGTGGGTCCACATCGGCGTTCAGATAATTCATGTTCACCGTAAACTGCCAAGCTGATATGATTCCATTGCCGCAGAATGTGTCGAGTTCGAGTATAAGAGCACGCTTGCTAACGAGACGCCAACTTGATAGCCTTCCGCTGCGATAATGTGCTGCTGCGGTAGGCAACTGTGACGTCGGAAACCAAGACAGATGGTCACGACGACCGGAAGCTTCTAGATGACGGATGTCCGGCGAAGGTCTCAAGCGATTCGGATGCGCCTTGGAATGAATAAAAATGAACGTTCAATCAAAGGGCATCCTCTACCGCGAAAAGGAGGGAAGACGGTGTACTTACAGACCGAGCATATTTGTACTTTGACAGAGCGCTACATCGTGGGCGGCAGTAAAGCAACGAGGCAGAGAACGAGGTGATAGAGCTGATGAGCTGTCGTGACAAGGAAAGCAGCACGACTCCTGTATCACAGATGTCGTCAAACTCCGTGGGTCCAAGTAACCAGAAGGAGGTCGCTCACCGGTGTAGCCGCTGCCTTAGGAGTATATATGTGACGACTATGCGGAGACATTAGTACGTTCGATACCATTTTGAGCATATTGACTCATTGTGCATAAGAGGGAATAGCGAAAGCAGCAAAGAAATACCACGACTCGGTGTCACTCGGATGAAGCGTGCACAAGCGGATGTGGGGTATGCGACTTCTTGGACTAAATGTATGTTGCTAAGAGACGATATATATCTTCCCGTAAAGAACGTCTATGATTGTTTCAGCAACTTGCACAGGAAAAACTCTTCGACACACCTGATATGCACGTGACGTAAAAACAAACGAATGAATGAATGTAAGGATGCAATGGTTCCAGATGTGATAAGAAGCGAGAGAAGGAATACCATGTGTTAACATCCGGGCGCATCAGACAAAGCTGCGACTCTGACAAGTTGGAAAGTTGGAGGTTAGGTCCTTGCAAACACATGAAGAGATGATATCCTGTGTGATGGGATTCGGAAGCTACATCTGAAGGGCATCGCATGATAGTCAAAAGGCTATGAGACAGACACTGGCTGTTTCACACTGAACATTGAGTAAGGTTGCGTATATACGCCCACTTCTGCTTAAAGTGACATCAGGGGAATGTCTGGACAGCGCCCCTTACAGCGGGGCTGTCGCGCGATAACAGAACGTGAGTTGGAGGAAAGAAGGGGAAGTGAGGAATGCAAGATGAAGTAGGATTATATACCCCGTAGAATGTAGCTGGGAACAGCCGAAGCCTAATAGTTATTGACGCCATGGCGATAGTCGGGAGCCAGTAATGCTTCCGATATAAACTTATTCAGCATCCTAACATTTACTAGAGAGTTAGTAAGAATTCGACAGCATACATTGAGACCGTATATGCACTTACACGTCTATGTCGACGGGAGAAGGCAACAGGCGGTCATTAGGCGTAGCGCCTTCATCCCGAATGCTAGACATCTATCAGCAATGAAGGTCATAACTTTGAGGCCTACAAAGGACCTTTAGGCCTGGGGGTGAGGATGCAGACGTGGAAGGTTGTAGACAACAAGAAAGACACCAAGAAAGACACTTTGCGAAAGTCTCAGGGGAAAGTGAGACATTCTCTGACATTCTGATATTGTGTGGAAGCCGGTCCGGAGGCCGCCAGGTTCGAGGTGAGAAGACCAAAGTCAGAAGAGAACGAACGTCACGTTCGCGGTACAATGTTATCGGTGTTGGGTGTATTAGGATCTTTGCTTCACCTGAAATGAGGTATCAATGCATGCTGATACTGTATATGCGACAACGCGGTAACGTGGGTTGGTACATCGAGGCTAATTACAGTTTGGGTGAACATTCTAGGTCAAATGGCATTAAGCAAGACTAGAATGCTAAGCGGCCTAAGGAACTCACCTAAGATATTTCCATCTTTTCGTCATCAGACTCAGTCTCTACCTTGACTGCCGCTTTCTTGCTTTCTCCCGGCGCTTGTGAAACACTCGTAGGTTTCTTCTCGATCGTAGCAAGACTCTCCTTCATGCATAACCAAATTTCCGCAGCAGCTCTGGCTCCAAGTTTGGTGGCATGGGTAAGGTCATTTTCATCAAAGGGAGTCCCATTGACTGAACCAAAGTTAGTCCATATGAGCGAAGAGGGCGGAACCACCGACTTCAAAGAGCCGGATTGCGGAGGGAGTGTGGAAGAGAACATGAAGGCAAAACAGCCACTTGAAGTTAATGAGGGAAGCTCAACTTCCGAAGGATCGACCACAAAAATACGGTCGTTTGTCGAAGGTTCGCCGATAGTGCCAACAGCAACAGCGCAGACGGTACCCTTCATTGGTACCGAGCTTGCGTTCACCAACGCCGCTGTGGTCGCATTTATCAATGTTGCAATGAGACTTGAGTTCCATCCCCGTCCGGCACTGCCTGTCCCACTCCCAGTCTCGCTCCCACACAAGGCTTGTGCAACAAGTTGTATCAACGTCCGAGGATGTTGTGAGAGCAATAGTGCAGGCGTAAAAATGGATTTGAGGGTATTGGATATTGACTTAGCATCGGTTCCAGGTAATGAGGCAAGAGGTCGGATGAAGATATCGAGTGTTGCTTGCGACGGGTTTTCGGACGCAGGTCGGACTTCCACCGGCCCAGAGACAGAGACTATGGATTCGGTTTGACCTAACGATGTTAAGAGACTTTTAGTAAATGTCAGTTATACGTGAACGTCCAATAATGAAGACAGCTTACCGAAAGCAAATCTCGCTGAACCGTCTACACGGTCCAACCCTTCATAAACAATTTCGACCTTGCGAAACTCGTGTTCACTTCTTCCGTCGTTTCGTATCATATCTAGGTCGTATCCTTTTTGAAAGCAAACGCAACAGGTGAGTGCGAATACCCAGATGTCAATTTGACCTGGACGTCAATACTGTATTGATGGTCAGGGAAAGCAGTCTTTATGGGCGCTCAATGTTGTTATGTTGACGTCTAGCGCTCGTCAACACCGAAAAGATCTGTAGCATGAAATCCAGTCTTCAAACCTTCACGTTCCAGTTATTGCGGTGACAAAGTTCAAGATAATAGGTACGGGGTGCAAAACTATACAAGGGTATCAAGGCATAGGCAGTAGCGCAGGGAATCGAGACAGAGACTAGAAGTGAAAAGAGAAAAAGAAAACAGGAAAAAACGAGTGTGTCCGATGTCATGATACTGAAGTCATCGATAAAATAATAGAAAAAGAGCGGGAAAACGAGAGAAAAGAGGAATGTTACTCATGATTGCCTTGCATCAGCACCCATACCAGCCGCCATTCCAACAGCCATAGCATTGCCCACTTGAGCACCAATACCTTCCGTCGGGACGAAAACGGTCCTGGAACCGAAGGCCCTAACCCTGCTCACATCAATTCTCTTCAACTCCATCTCTCTAGCGAAACGATCGGTGACTTGAGCATCAGCAGCGGCCTTGACCTTGACAGCTTCTGCTTCTGCCTCTGCAGCGAGACGAGTTGCTTTGGCTTGGGCCTCCGCCTCAATTTGCAGTCTCTGCGCTTGTGCACGTGCCGCCGCAACAATGCTGTAGGCATCGGCATCGGATTTGGTCTAAATCGAAAGATGTTAGAAAAAAATAACCGGGAGAAGGCCTGACGAAGTCTGACATTTTGAGTCTGCGCCTTAACGCGTGCAACAGCGAGAGCGCCCTCCTCTTGTTTGATCTTGTTACTGTTCTCTCGGTCGACATTCTGTAAGATCTAGTCAGAAGCGATCCTGGGACATCGAGAGGATGCGAAACTTACGGCAGCCTCGACTTGTGCTTGCAGAGCCCTTGTGGTCAGTTTGTCCATCGTTGAAGCGATATCACCTGTGCAGGCAATGAGCAAAACGTACAGCGAGCAGCAATGGAAACGCACCCTTGAACTGCCTGTCAATAACTGCGAGGTCTTTCAAGTGAATACCGTATTCAAGGGCAGCTTCGTGCAGGTCATCCATCGCATGCGTACGAAGAGCATCGAGGAAAGCTGATGAGTCGGTGCCATCTTCCATTTCCGGAGCAATTGAGCGCTGCTTAACCATTGAACTATAATCCACTACAGAGGGGGTCAGCGAATATCAGCATCACAAAGTACTCTCGTCTTACAGTGCGCCACAATCTGAGTGAGAATAGACTGGGTCTTATCCCGGAGCGCATCATAAGGAGTGTTGTAGCCATGGGTTGCCAACTGCAAAAGAGTCAAATGAGAACAGTTCCAAGCAGAATGAACTAGTTGTGTACCTTGAGTGGTTCAGTCAGTTGCCATTTCAAGTAGAGAGTCAAGCTGACGGGGACCTGATCCCTCGTAAAGCTACGAGAACATCAGTAAACTGGCATCTTAGGATGTATGACTGCGATGCTCACATATCCTTGGTAGGCATCTCAATCTGGTTTTCACCGAGAGTATAGAGACCACGAAGAGTGACATTCGGGTTCGTAATGTAATGTTGACCTGCGGGAAGCAACTCAAGATCATCGCCTTTCTGTAAAATGGCACAGTTGTTGGCAGGGATGTTCAGGCTACGAAGAGACTTCAGATACATGCAACACGTGATACCAGGACGAACTCACAATAGAGCTACGATGAAGTCCTTGTTCTTCCCACCACCAGTTCTGCTGGACATGGTGACCTCATGCGTCCTACATATACGTCAGATGCGACCCCTTGAGCCTAAGACAAGGAGCATACCATCCAAGAATGCTCTTCGTAATATGATCAGTGACCTTGGTAGGCAGATGAGTCTGATCAACGATAGAGAGGACATTGTAGGAACCCTCAATGGCGTAAGCCACGAAGCCCGAATTCTTGATGACGAAAATATGGTTCTAAGCAGAAGGTTAGGCCAAGGCCCTTGTTGCTCAGAAACGATACTCGAGTACGTACCTGAGGGTCTGAAACTACAGCAGCCTGCATGAAGCTTTCTCAGCGACCATTCACCACCAGAGGTATGCAATACACAACTCACTTGGTTCTGCGACACCTGAATGACAGTTAAGCCTTGGAATTCAATCACGGTGTCCGACACTGTCGAAATAATGAGCAATGTCAATGACACCCGGTCGAATCAACTCACATCCTTTAGTGCCCTGCCACGTCCTGGCCCACCAATTTCGCAAAGGAAATCCTGGGTAACGACCAGGCTTTGTGAGGATCTTAGGGAGTCCACCATGGTTGATGAAGCCGATTTGGCCAGGAGTGATTTCCTTGCCAATCCAGTCCGTCGGACTCTGGAAGAGAAGAAGACATCAGAAGTGGGGCTTAACACAGTGTCGTGGATAGAGCAGCGGCTTACCTTGGAGGATAATATATGGTTTCGACCGGACTATACGCGAAGCAACTCAACAGCGATTCGGTCTTCATGTCGTGATTGTACACTCACGTTTTTGAGTTGCCTGTCCAATTTCTGAAGTGCAGCAATCAACCCATCTTTTCCAATCTTGACGAAAAACGGTCGTTCTTCTTCAAGGTAATCGACTGTTTGTACGAATGTGCTTGAGGCAGGTGGTACTGAGAATGCAGCCTTCTTTGGGTTGTTTCCAGACTTGCCATTCTCGTATGAGTTTGAATCTGGGCCTCTGACGGAGGAGGGTCCCCCGACGACTGTGGTTGCGTCTCCTACGCTGCGTGCGTCCATGATGAATGTCCGTAGGGAAAGGGATAGTAGATAGAAGCACTACGGTGTCAAGATGTGATAAGTTAGTCCTGATCGTTAGGTGGGGACTCACATTTTATACACGGGCAATGGACTCAGTGCCTTTATAGCAGATCTAAATTACCAAACACCGCCTCTTTGGTTACCTGGATCGAGATGTGCCGAAGGTGAGTCGAGTTGGCCTCGCTAAGCAGCAACTACGCTGTGCTGGGAACAATACGTACCATTGAACTTTATTCGGTTTCTCGGCTCACAGGTCTTCTGACAAGTTGAGTATGTCCGTGTCCCAATATACCTGTGCACTTATATTTGCATTCGGGGATGTTCGTTTGGATCCGTTTCTTCGGCGCATCGGCACCAAATCCCAGGGTTGTCTTCATATCCGTATTCGATACTGTCGAGTACCGTTCAACGCATTGTGTACTTAGGCATTCCTTGGAGGCATGACAACGGAAAAGACAGGGTGCATGACATAGGAATATATCAAATCAAGTCGGTGTGAAACGAAATCAACGCTGCCTAACGTCCCAAAACTAAGGGTACACAGCCACAGCCACACAACGTTCCTAGTATGCTTTCCAATTCAAGAATTTCCTGTATTGCTCCTGTATTCTCCATCTATCTCGGGTAAACAATGGGTTTGCGACACATTCAGATTTAGCAGACGTACAGCAAGAATATTTTATGCACACGGTGAAGTCAACACACACCTTCGGGCCGGTCAGCGCTCCGACCTCCTAGGTTTCCCGAATGATCTCCAAGCAATATACAGCGTATTCGGCAAGCAATGTGCCAATTTCATAGCATTTATTCCTGCTTATCGATGTCTTCTTTAATCTCAATATCCTGGTCAATATGTTTTCGTTGTACGGTTCGGCCGCCAGGACTGGTCCAAACGCCGCCAGTGATACCGCCTTTATCGAAAATATGATCGACGTCCTCTAGTTCAAGCCCTTTCGTTTCAGGGAAGAATGCATAGACTAATGGAACCCATAACGCATTGAAGATAGCAAAAATGATGAAGACCCACCAGCTGATGTTAGCAATAGCTAACGAGGAACGCTTCGTGTCAGTTTGCAGTAGTAATGATTGGCACTGGGCGAAATATGGACGATACCTATGGGTATAATTTCCACCACTGTAAAGACGCACATCTAGTTGAAAAATGATGAGATGGCAGAGCCCCTGGCTCGAATTCGTGTGGTGGTGATCTAGGGCCGAACATTAGTCGGGAGTTTTTGGATTCGAGCGCTCTGAACCCACCTCGGCGAGGTACAGCCATGGCAATGAAAGAATATTAAGCATGCCAAAATTCCAATTCTTGCCAACCATATAATGTATGGCTACTCACTATTGGAAGGTATCCTGTACCTGAAAGTATTTGGAAGATGAAAACCATGGCTGTGGCACCAAAGCCGCTGGTCGGATTCCAGTTGAGAACAGTGCAGCGGCAAGAATGAAGCATAAGTGCAAGCCAGAAGCTGAGATCATGAGTAAGGTACGTCTGCCGTACCTGTCAACTGTCTATACGTCTTCGGTGTCAGCGGGAAGGATGTGATTATAATTGTAAGAACGAACCCAAAGGGGGATAAGGGAGGCGATCACGTACGTGCAAGCAGTTGCACCGCCCAGGATAAGGATAGGTTTCGAGACAGCCCCATTGTATTCTGATAAACAACAGGTGCGAGGTAGCTGGCAGGGCCCGGTCAGTATATGGGTATACGAGTAGAGGGTGACTTTACTTGATCATGTTCGTCCCAGTAAACTGCTGCATGACACTGACACCGATGCAAAGACACATCCTCCGGAAATTGACTATCCTTCCGCCTTGGATCAACTCTCGATACTTGAAAGGACCTGTGATATGGAACCACGGCAGAATAGAGTGAACATTTGACAGGGTGTTTACAAGGACATTCTTACCACCCGCACTCTCCTGAGCTAAAGACGCTTCCATCTCCTTCCTTTTCATCAACACATCAGGATGGTTGGCACCCAGATTCTCAAGCTGCGCGAGGATTCGGACTCCTTCATCTTTAAGACCATGTGCCATGCACTAGCGTGGACTATGCGGAAGCATAGCAACCTGCACCAGCAGACAGAGCGCAAACACTGCTTGGAAACCTATCGCAGTAGCAAATGAGTCTCACCGAAAACCCAAGTCCACCTAAAGGAAGACGCCACTGGGCTGGCCTATCCACGAAGGACATTCTGAATCCGTACTCGAGTCAATATGCCTAGTTACCAGAATCAGGTCGTCGAGAAGGAAGCCAATGGAGTTCGTACTTACGATTACAAGCCCAATGATGGTAACGGTTGAATTGAGACACACGAGCCACGAGCGCTCCTCGAATTTCTCCACCACATGTTTCGGACTGGTATAGAGGAATCGAAGATGAATCAAAACCGTTGCCCTAGAAGTAAACTTGTTAACAGGGACGCATCGGATATAAACAACCTAGCTGACGATGCCGGTAGCAACACTCCCTACGATCAACTGTGCAAGCGTCGTGGAGCTGGTGAGGATTGCCTGAGGTACCAACTTGAAGGTGAGTGGCTTTGGCTTCGAAACTATTCAAGTTGTGCAGGGGGGTCATACCGTTCCAACCAACATAGTCAATGCTTCAGCCATGATCATACGTTTACGCCCGATGCCTTTCCCCCAGAAGAACACGATCAAACTTCCGACAGCGCAACCTATATCCTGTTATACATTATTTCCTTAGTTCAATCGAGCGAAGGCGAACCTGAAGGAACGTACATATATGGCAACCTGATCCAGGGCAAAGGTCGACATTTGTCACAGCAATCCAGACCAGAGAGAAGCTTACAATCGTGACTTGTTGTGTTGGACCGGGATGATTGAAGTCGCGTCCGAACTGGTTGTCAGCTCCAATCTGTCCACTTAAACTCGCATACTAGGCAACAATGATATGTCAGAATGTTGGCTGCGTACAATTCCTGACATATGCATGACCCCTTGGTCATAACCCAGGAGCAGAAAACCTTGACAACAGCATGCTGTCGAAAGAGGAGCCGAAAGGTGGGTTAAAAATTGGTGCATCTAAATCTCTGCCTCGTTGACGTACCTGCGATAGCCCAAACGAGATACTTCCCTCGCAATGGAAGCATCCACATCTTCAAGGAGAGTCAGCGTTGGAAGGATACACGTCTCCCAAATACTCATATTTGTGGGGCGAACCTGCAGGATATCGCGTATAATCCTGTCCTCAGGCGACATCCTCATGACGTTGGCAGCGATATGAATAGCAAAAACGTCTGCTGATACCGTACCGCAACGGTCCGAGAAAGGACATACTGCTGAAGAACAAGGAGCTCGGAAGGTTTGAACGCTACGCGTATCGCACCTGTGATATAATGTGGGAGCTTTGCGATTGCATGTGACTGACCTAGGCGCACAGTGTTCTCCGGCGTGCTATGTAACGACGAACGTTAAGAGAAACACGACAGACACCATGGGTTCAGAATGACTCTCAGGTCTCAACGTCTTAGCGTCTCGGTGCACGCATATTGCGACGACTTATTATCACGAGAGGCATATCAACCTAAGAGTCTAAGGAAAAACGTTAGCCCACACAATAAACAGTTTCGAAAATGAGTGAATCTCACCTCTATTGAATTAGGCCAAAATGAAATCAATGAGTCAAATCACAAGTTGACACGAGAGTGGGTCGCAGAGCAAGACGACTGTGGTTATTAGCATTACGATGATAACTTGTAAGCTATCGCGTTCTTGCAAACAGCGAAGCCATTGGCATTTACTCTTCCTTCCCATCATCTTCTTTCACTTCAATGTCCTGGTCGACGCGCTTCCGCTGTATCGTGCGACCACCAGGGCTAGACCAAACACCTCCAGTGATACTACCTTGGTCGAAGATATGGTCTATATCCTCTAGTTCAAGGCCCTTCGTCTCGGGGAAGAAGGTATAGACAATCGGGACCCATAGAGCATTCAGGATGGCGAAGATGACGAAGACTCGCCAACCGATATTCGCAATTGCTACCACCCAAATACCAAACGTCAGTATGAGACAAGGCGCAAGATGTAAATACTGCTACGCCACCTATAGGTGTGATCTCAACAATGATGAAAGTTGACATCCAATTCGAAAAGGCAGAGACTGCTGCGCCTCGAGCACGAATCCTCGTAGTCGAGATCTACAGCAGACCGTCAGTGATCAGCAATAGTAGATGTTCCACGTAACAAGCTTACCTCAGCTGGATACAACCATGGCTGGCAATGATGGATGAGAACAACAACCTGCCAAGCATATTCAGGACTCACAATAGGCAGGAACCCAATGCCCAAGAATATCTGGAACAGAAAAATCATAGCTGTGGCTCCGAAAGCGGCTGGTCGGGTGCCAGTTGATAACAACGCTGAAGTGAGGATGAAACATAGGGATAGACCCGCAGCGGAGATCATCAGTAGAGCTCTTCGTCCATAATGGTCAACGGTCTATGCGAAATTTGAAATCAGCATAATGGTTTGGATATAAGAGTCAACTGACGAACCCAGAGAGGAATAAAGGAGGCGAGCATGAACGTGCAAGCGGTTGCACCGCCCAAGATCAAAGAAAGATTTCGAGACATGCCCATCGTGTTCTGATAAACAACGGGTGCAAGATAACTGAGTACGTGTGGTTAGTTGAACAATCGATGCGGAAAACTTGATTTTTACTTGATCATGTTCGCGCCACTAAATTGTTGCATTACTTGGACTCCGCTGCAGAGGCATATTCTTCGAAAGTTTCCAATCTTTCCGCCTTGTAGCAATTCTCGATACCTGAATGGACCTGTTGCCAGTTAAGAGGCGTTTGAGAAACATGTGAAGGAAGGATCGTGGACGCCTGACCTCCAGCACTCTCCTGAGCTAACGAGACCTCTATCTCCTTTTTCTTTAACACAACATCGGGATGATCGGGCGAATCTTTGTCCTCGAGTCGAGCGAGTATATGAGCTCCTTCGGCCTCAAAACCGTGCGCCATACACCAGCGAGGACTATCCGGGAGCATGGAGACCTGTATCAGAAGACAGAGGGCAAACACGGCCTGAAAGCCTAAGAACAAGTTTCAGTGCAACCACGACTCGAGATGGACGGCGGACTCACCTATTGGAAGACGCCATTGAACTGGTCCTTCGACAAATGACATTCCGTAGTCCAGCCAGTAGGCCTGATTGTCGAAAATGAGTCAAGGCCCGGATATATGTGTTGAGTTTACGTACGAATACGAGTCCTATAATCGTGACAGCTGAATTTAGACAGACGAGAGTTCCTCGCACCTCCCCTCCACAGGTCTCCGATTGATACACAGGAATGGACGATGAGTTACAGCCATTTCCCTAAACGATGTGCATGCGTCAGATCCACAAAGCGCCACGATCATAAGTCTTTACGACTAACAATACCGGTCACAATCCTTCCAACAATTAACTGCGCAAACGTTGTCGAACTGGTAAGGATGGCCTGCGAAGACAATGTAAAGATGGTTGCAAAGAACTGATACATTGCGTACTGTACCGTTCCAAGCAACATGATCGATGCGCCGGTCATAATCATGCGTTTACGACCAATGCTTTCTCCCAAGAAGAAAGCGAACAAACTGCCAACAGCGCATCCTATATCCTACAGAATCGTCTTCAGGTTGACATAAGACATGGCAATGCTTTGATAACGTACGTAAATCGCTACCTGGTTGAAAGATACGCGTTTTCAGGAGTGGCGTTAGGCTTAGGATGAAATAGACATAACGTACAATGGTGCCCTGCCTACCGGGATCAGGGTGGTTGAAGTCCCGTCCAAACTGATTGTCTGCTCCAATCTATCTCGAGCCTTTAGCTCCATGTTGACAACAGAATTGCTGAAACGATGCTGACAATTCCGGACATTACACCTTGATCGTATCCCTGAAGAAGGAACCCTTGACAGCAGCATGCTATGGAAGTATCAAGTGTTAGATGATATGCCCTCACAGAAGTCGCAAAGACATACCTGTGATGGTCCAGACGAGATACTTCCCTCGCAGTGGGACAGACCACATCCTTGACACGGGTAAGAAGAAGTCGAGCTGGGATAGAAAGTGTATCTCCCAATAGATCCTGCACTCTGTTTGAAAGCATCGTCACGAGTCAAATAGCCATCTCTCAGGTGACGTCCGGCAAAAAGGCATGGGTATCGCCAATAGTAAGACCTTCTCTAAACCTTACTAAACAAGCGCGATACGATGAAGAAGCGTCCAACGCTCATGTGACCTCCTCCGAACTGTTCACGGGGCTTTGCTCCTCGAAAGAAAGATCACCGAATGGGGATTGCTGAATATAAAACATAAAGCGCTGGTAATACACCAATTGAATTCCCGTTCTGATTCCACACGTAGCTGAGAATGATAGCTGTCTCAAATTTGAGATCGAACGTCTTCGCGGCTTCTAGGAATTCATATGCATTACTATCCTGCACCAAAATCAGAACCCACGTCTCGAACAGATCAAATAGAACCAACCTCAAAGGTCGTGGGTCTTCCTTGTGTCACCGGCGTACTTCTTGATTTCCCCCCAGGACAGTGTAGACCATTCCATCGGATTAGCACTGGCATCGACAAAATCTCTCATAGCCAAGGCCATCTGCTGGGCATAGCGAGCAGCAGAGACTAATCCAACTCCTGTGGCTAGCCCGGTCATGACAACAGTCTTGATTCTTCGACCTTTCGTACCACTAGACTTGTCATTTACATCGGAATTATGATTGGATATGGTGGTTAGGAGTGACCAGATACAGTTGTATACGATCTCCTTGTTCCAAGTCACAATTTCGGGCGTTCGCATGGTCGGGCAAAGCGCGATGTAGGCGCAGTCATGTTTGTTGTGCTCGCAAGATGTGCCTTTTAGAGAAACGAGAGTGCATGTTCCAGGGGGTGCATATCCTCTCCATTTCTTATACAGGGTGGACTGTGCAAGTCGCGTTGGGGCATCTATGTCACCCGCAGGCGCAAGCGCTTCAGATAGGTAGTAGTCAAAGCTTCAAGAACACGTCATGTGCTTTAAATGATCATCAACAGTGCACAAATAATTTCGAAGGCTCACCCGCCATCTAGACGACCGTAAGAGTTAGCAGGTGAGACGATACAGTCGAATTTATTGCACGGCGGCCCCAGCTCAGCCAACGTGGTCTGGCAAATGGTGACATGGTGACGAAGGAGGTTAGGGATGTGTTCTCCTATTGCCTTTTGTAATTCAGGCGTGAGCGATTTACCAGGGTCTAATATTGTGAATTGAAGGTCGTCCATGATCCTACTAGCAAGTCAAAGTAAATAACCTCGACAGCAGTGGGAGAGAGGGGCACCGCTTGTGCTTGTGCTTATTTGGCAAAGGCTTCGTGCCGTATTTCGACTCACGTCGACCTCTGACGAGCCTTACACTTCAAATGGAAGAATGTAGTCCATAGACGAATATTGATATCCAAATTCGTAGTTTCTAGCCTTTTTCTGCATTTTATATCCATATCACAGTTCCTCCAACATCTTATCGTGACTGGCCATCCCTGCCCTTACCCATTTTAGGGTTATACCAGGCTCAGGACGAGACATATCCTCCTCATAGAACACCTAAAAACATACAGGTCAGATCAACATCTTGTCTTTTTCTCGAGAAAACGCGTCGCTCCCGTACCTCGTACGACCAAGGACCATCCCACCCCGTCGCTAGCACAGCCCTCACGACCTCAGCGACAGGGAGGAAACCTCCATAGTCCACTTTCTCTTCAGAATTCACAGGTATCTTATCCATAAATGGTAACGGTCTCCAGGCCTTACTCCAAGCATAGAGTGGATGGATGGATTGGGCTTTGGCTCGCTGAGCTAGTTCATGCGACGAGATCTACACGAAGGAAGGGTATCGCATGAGCTCCAGGGCATAGATCGGGGTAAGTGCGTGCTAGTTCACACCTTATTGGAGCCATCACTGATCTGGAGGTAGAAGATCTTCTCAGGTGAGACCGTGTTGATCAAGTTGTTCATCGACTGACTGAACTTCTCGAACGGTGCAGACGGATCATAGAGGTGGGGCGGAGATGTCGGAGAGACGTATGTCCTAGCTGTCGAGTATAACGAGAATAATATTCAGTGGGTCTTTGTAACATGTTTTTCCTTGACGGAATGACTCACCGCAGATCTGAAACGTGTCAAGACAGAGTCCAAAGTTAGGCCTGTCAACGCGCTTGCATATTTCCCAGGTTTGTTCCCAAGTGTTTCTATCATGAAATGCTGTACTGAGGTTCAAGGTGCAACAGGCATGAACCGAAGGAGACGTACACGTGCACACCCCAAGCCCAATTTTCATATGCTCTAGGACAAACGGCTTGTCATTAGTTGCGCTGCATCAGATGCCATCTCACACAAACAACGAGGCTCACATGGAGATGGGTGGGTCCTGTTCTGCAGCCAAATCAGCAAGTTCTTGAAAGTCCCGCACGATGACATCCAGATCTGGACTGGAAGCAGGGTCATCAGAGGATCCGACCTGGAGAAGGTCACACTCTAGAGTCTACAATGATGAAATGGGGAATTCGATGGTAAGTCTTGTCGAGTTGTTGTTGTTTGAACTATGATATCGACAACTTACGCTTAGAACGTGGAACCAGAGCCGCGCCCTCTCAAAGTTCATCCCTCTCTTCGCGGGATCGGTATATCCTTCAAATCGGGACAACCTGCAACCGATTAGTTTCGCGCATCCAATTACATATGATTCGCGACTCACGTATGTACAGCCAATATCCCAATCTCCAGGTCGTTACACAACGTTCTGACGTCCTTTGCTGCTTTCACCAACCTCTCTTCGTCGCTACCTGCCAAACCTGCGCTCTTCACATACGCTTCCAGATCCGACCAACCAAGCTCAATGTGGGTGTATTTTGTTCTGGAAATGATGCGTATCTTGTTTAGGAGCGTGTGCGCTTGTTGGTTCATCCCTGCTGAATCCGTGCAATAGGCAACAACGGATGGAGGCTTGGGGGGTGGAGCCATCTGGGGTAACATTTTGCTCGGGGCTGAAAATAATCCAGGATGTGAATCCGTAAGCTTTCCTACTCTGGTTTCTGACGAACGAAGTCGCAGCTCAAGTCAGATTCACTCCTTTACTTAGTGGGTCATCCAGAGTACATATGACGTCATGATCTACGGCGGTCCGTTTTAAATAGGAGAGGGGATTCCCAGAATGGCAATGGCATGAAGACTACTGCCAATCATGCGCAAATAGTATTCCCCTTCTGCAGGACCGTCAGATCTTCAGAGTCCATCACCTTCGCACAACGCATGAATCGAACCCCTTCTCTTGCCACTTTACTAGTCAGCACTATACCGGCACCTGCATGCCAGTATTGAAGAACATCCAGGCCTAGGCATATTCATAACATGCAATGACCTATTATCCAAACAATTGTTCGTACGTAGCCTCATGATTGCCTCCTTTACAGATGAATTTCCTTTGTATGGGATCGTCCTTCCATCCATAACCTGCACCACATGTTAGATCTAACGAGACCAGCCTCTGCGCAATCCACTCTTCTTTCTCCTTTCAAGTGTTCCATCTTCCCGCGCCGTATGACTCAATGGAATTTTCCACGTCGTCGGGTTCTTCAAGCTCATTCTCGCTCTCGTGACGTCTCTGTACACTGATGGCCTCTTCAATTTCCTCACCCTCTGCCATATCCTCAGCATCGTAAACCTCACGAGCTGCCCTGTTCGCAATCCGGTTGGGGAGGATCGTGGTGTTATACCCTCCCCTGCCAAATCGTGATACACTGAGCTCGATGTCATTCGTGATACGCAAAGCGATTGATCCTCCAGGATACTCCGACGCAGTTTGATACAAATTTGTGTCGGAGGGCTGCTGGGGCTGCATTTGAAATTGGTGAATCGGTATAGGTTCAGTTGACTGGATAAGACGGGGGGCTTCCGAAAGTCTGTCGAAGCGAGTGTTGGACGTTGGCTCTGATAAGGGCATGTATGTAGCCATATTAGGTATGGGGATTGCACATAAAGCTCGAGATGTTGTGGTCGAAACACGAAGATGGTAGTCGCGTGTTTTTGGAAAACGATAGTTGGGTTGTGGCGAGAACAACACAGAGTATGTATGTGGTTTACGGCTCTTTGCACCTCTTTATGCAGTGGAGCTTCCGGCACGGTCGATAATTCCATGATGACAGGGATTGGAATGTTTCATTCGTTTGACATCACGCTTCAGTGCTCAGGACTCCTTCCCAGGCGTTGTGGTTCAAAGCAAGGTTCAGATGTCAGTATGTCTAATGTCCGAGTTATACTGAGAATATGTGAGTATGTCGCCGTATTCGCCGATCATCTTCGATGCTACTGCCACGACATTTTTATTTATACTACAGGGCATATTTCTCCATATTTGTCATCTTGCTTGATGATCTCACATCGTCTTCGGTTGCTTCAACAAGACTACGTCAATGCATCGCCTTTATCCATGAGCACGGTATGCAAGGTATGCTGAAGCGACAACCAAAAGAACATTGCTGTATATACAGTATACTGATGTTCGCTTCCGGACGTACCAACTGGGTATCATGCATTTCGGCGTACTCCACAGGTTCTCCAATAGGGATGTGCAAGCCAGCTACCGACATCAGACATTCAAATCGCCCTCTCGTCTTCTCGGACTTTGGAAGTCTGATTCTACCAATGGACTCGGCATTCCTTGGTCACCAGTGCAATAGAGTTCACGCCCGATACTCCTGCGCCAGAAGTTTGTTGAGGTCGCTCAACGATACTTTCGAGGCGTTGTATATGGGAAGTTTGTTGCGGCCCATATCAGTGGGAACGGGATAACAGTGAAATAGTATCTTTCCTCAACATGAAGCCAACCTATACGCAGAGGCCGGTATAGAATGGTGACATTGAAGAAGTAGTTCTCTCCGGGGAGCCATTCAACCCTCCATCTTGCTCTGATGATTACGACTACGATTCTTGTGCAGGAGACGAGAAGACCATCGTATCTTATGTTCAACAGGACTCTGTCGGTGTGGATGTCACAGTTGGGCCCGAGTAAATGTCTCCACACGCGTCTCTGTAGAACATCTATTTCTGCTTATATTTCATCTGTCCGTAGCCGGGGACATTGTTCCAACTCGTTATCCGTTTCTTCAAGTAAAAATGGGCATACATATTCTAAGGTTTTATTCACGACAAACAGGCCTATGAGTAATGTATGCGAGTATCCATAACAAATCTAACGCCCCGTATGACTGTTGCGCAAAGTAGAAGATTTACGCTTCTTACCTTCTCCCGAGGCATCTCCAGTCGAATGGACAGATTTCCGCTTGCTGTGACTAACTTCCCGACTAGGCGTACACGCTCCTTTGCCTGTTTCCGGAGCTGGCCCCCCATAGGGGAGACCAATGAACTGGTCTGGCATCTTGTCGTTTGGTGGCCAGTTGTTCATGTTCAATGCTATAGCAAAAACACTTTCAATGTGCTCGTGAGTATCGAGAAGCTTCTTTGGTGGTTCAGTGGGTGGTTGAGGTTGCGGTTCAAGAGCCTGTTGAGGCTGTGCTTCATCCTCTTCTGGGATTGTGGGAACCAGTGCGATCCTTTTGGGAACGGGAAATGCTGTCCTACTTTTAGGGACACGAGGGCGAGGATCACTCAGTTCGACGGGTTCAGGAACATCCTCCTTTACAGCATACTTGGCGAGACCGTCCCAGTCCAGAGCGGCGTAGTGTTCCTGGCACATCTTCATCAAGCCTTCCACCAGAATCGACATATTGCTGTGGACGGTGATCGTGTAGGGTGGTACGCCGCTCTTCATTTGGGTTAGTTTGTCCTTGCTGCCCATGTGGAATCCTTGTACGACCTTGGTTTTCTGATAGACGTGGAAGAGGTGATCTGAAAGATCACTTTTGTCCTCCTTGCATGGACTCTTGTCGTGATGCCTGAAGCGGAGGTTCTGCATATTGATTACATGCACGAAGGACTCCAGATCGTCGGAAAGTTCGTATGGTTTCTTGGGATAGTTCAAGAGAAGTCCGGAGAGATAGTACCATGTGCCCTGGACAACCCGTCAGTTCGAGATTGCAGATATCAAAGGATCTCCTACTCACCGAACGTTCATGTTGAGTAGGCATCATCTTCAATTGTTCCACCGTCTTTGCCAAATCCCAATCGATTAGTATACCTTTAGATTTCTGCGGATCTTCGTCATTGGGATTGATAAGGATGTTACCTGGGCTGATGTCACGATGCAGGGTACCAGCTTTCTCGTAAGCTTGCTTGTGAGCTGGTCCAACATTAGCGAAGACATGCATGGATATGTCGCAATTGACGCACCCAATATACAGTAGTAAACTGCTAGACTCAACTCCTCCCCCCGGACATGTTCCTCCAGAGGAAGGCCGATCTCCTCGAGAACAATTCGATAATGAATACGAGCTGCGAACGTTACCTCGGAGCTTGCAGTGAGTAGAGATTGAGATACTGTTCTTTGAACCGGCGTTCCGACATCACCTCCACAGACGACTGTGGGCACATGTTCGACATGGTTCTTCTCCAGTTGAGCATAGATGTCCATCTCGGAAGTGACATCGTCGGAATCGATTCGCCAGCCTTCCTTGACGAAGACGAAGCGCGGTTTCTGTAGATCAAATGCAATGTACCCTTTGGTACCACGCCCCGTTGGGTATCGGCTTCCTGCACGAAGCTTACCGACGAGAAACCTTTGCGCGTTCCCTCCGTTCTTGCCAGGAACAGTAATTTTGTGAATACGTGACTCTGAAGAGAGCGCGTTCCGTATGTGTGTGGCCAGTCGAGTTTGGTCGGTTTGCGGAGGCAGATGATTCTTCATGAGTTCGACTTCCGCACCTGAGGCCAACACCACGTTGTCGTCGAAACCACGTTCAGAAGGGGACATCCTGCCGAGCCGAAAAACAAAGTTGAGCAACTTCATCGGTTCAGTAACGAGGTTGAAAAAGTCGGAGACAATGGCGCCAGCGCGGTCGAATCGGACCAGACGAGCTGTGTCTTGGTACACGAATATCATGAAGACATGCGTACGATGCTGTTGAAGGAGAATTTCTGCTGCATACTCCGCAATCTGGCCTCGCATGCTAGTGGCATCAACAGAAGAAGGCAAGAAGGGTCGAGATGGTTTCATCCCGAAGATATCTACGGTGACCTTTGCTTCTAAGAAGGCAACGACTTCAGTCCAGGCAACCCGGCCCATGTTGGCAAGGCGATCTGTATCTGTGACTGTAGTGGTAGTTGGATTAACGGCTACCGCATCGAGGACTGCTTGGTTATCCTCGTAGAAGCAGATATCAATCTTCTTGCCACTGGGCCTATCGCCTGTCCAATGTGCAGAAGTGGACGCGGGGGCCGACTCATCAGCCCAATCACCCGTATCCTTGCATACCAGAGTTCCCTCGGGTAAAGCCGATTGCATGACCTTACACTAAGGATTCACATGTGGTCAGAATGTTTCACGAGCATTATAGAGATGACATACCAAAGGAGCATAGATATCCGTTTCTTTCGTGACGTTGAGATCATCAGCGGTGAATTTCAAGAACTCAGCAGCCTCTTCAGCGGTTGGGTTGCGGCCAGAAACATACTTGGTGTCCATGAACTGGTCATATGAGGTTTGTACCCAGCGATCATGCATCTCTCGAGCAACGTCGCGACGATGGTGTTTGTGTGTAGGTTTGCGTTCTGGCCTCGGTTGTATGGGTGTCGAGTGCGTGCCCTCTGAAGGCTTAGAGGCTGGTGGGGTAACAGGTCTGCGTTGTTTGGCTGGGGGTACGATAGGGTCAGGGTAAGTAGACATGATGGGAAAAGTCGAAATGAAAGCGTACAGAGAGTGAAGGCGACTGCTGATATTTATACAGCTCCCAACAATCACAATGGCGAGAACCACACTGAAAGAAACCACACTGAAAGATGCCATTGTTTACTGCCTAATTAAGAGTGTGTGTGGACCATGCATACCTTTGGCCACTCGGCAGAATGTCAACCCGATACTGTGACGGTAGGTCAGCATGCGGAAATGAATGAAGACCAGACTTATACTCACAACAAAGATAAAGAAACCAAGGGTCAAGGCGTAATTATATTGTTCTCGGTTACCTCGCCGTTCAAGTGTGACGCGGCGTCACTTGTCTTCAACCAACTACTAAGCGATGCCACGTGACGATTAACGTCTGTCTGAAGTACTTGAAAAAAACAGTGGTGAGTATCATATGTTTTGAAGGCTAAGTCAAAGCATGTAAAAGATGCAGACAGTATAGTCACAATTTTCCACTCAGAAACCGTCGCATTGGGAAATGAGTAGACAAAGGCTCAAGGACTTATTCCTCAGTGGTAATATGTATCAATCTAGATGACGTACCGGGTGTGAGTATAAAGCGATACGACAGCCTGCTAAAACGTCCTAATCCAACGCAATGGTGGTTTCAACTCAACTTCAACTGTAGGTAGGTACTGATCCAAAGGGTGTTGATGCTTGTCGTGCAAAGGCTTCCTTCCTGTTGCCGTATTTGGTCATTATGTGATAGCATCTGCGTTTGATTTTCGATGCTCTCTGTCTTTATATCGATTGTATTCTCTCACTCCCTTATGTAGAGGTTAGAATCTTCTCCTCACGTTTTCATCATGCTGTCAAAATCTTTGATACACAGAGTCTACTACTAATACCAGTGTTCTCCAGATGCTGTCGGAAGTTTTTTGTGAGTAGGAGTCCGTTTCCTCTTCTCTCATCAATTGAATTCCGTCTTGATGAATATGAGGAAGGAACACGGGTGCTATGGACGAAAATGTGGCCGACACACGTTCCTGCGCAATGGCGTTGGAGACCTCGCAATCAGGACGGCCTGGCTCGATGCAGAGGACATACCTTCGCTTGGCCATATCGACCAAATTTCGGGCTTATTCTTGAGCGGCTCGGGTAAGTCTCGTGCTGTTATTGACAAACTACATGTTCCATTGTTTTGATTTCCGCGTTCTTGAGACGATAATGTTCCAACTTTTTGGATGGCCTGACCTCACTCAAGGAAACCATTCCCAGATTTGCCACTCAGTACCAAAGTATATGCAATCGTAATTTCTCGCTCGAGCTCGATCGTATGGAGCTTTCTCCTGCGAACCCTGCTTTGAACGATTGCATGTTCATCGGTGAAATTCGATTGTGAGCTACTGTGGGGGAAACACGACCACCTCCTCCTTCACGGGGAAATTCGTCACAGACACCCCACAACGTCCTTGACATACTGAGATATCTTCTTCTTGAGGGCAAACTCTCGGGCGTCCTATCGCTACCGAAGACTCTTCATTCCCTCACAGCTCAGTATTTGCCTCGCCTGCGATCGCTATTCAGCCGTCGCCAACATACTGAAGAGGTACTCGCACAATAACATCCATCCCTTAGCCGATCTTCTAATTTCAGTATCATGGCCTGTGTTCAATATGTGTCTCACCTTTCAACTTCCCTGTGGACTCTTCTATTCTCAGCATCCTTTATCATGACATTCAGCGCTCTGTCCTTCTCTGTTCCTGCACAGCTCTCCAACATTCACTTACCCATCTCATACGCAGCAATACCAATCACCTCACATCCAAATCTTTCGAGGACCTAATTCGTCACACTTGCAATATCATTGGGGGGTTAGTTTTTAATAAATGTGGAAACCCGTACAAAGCAGAGGAAGGCTGACGAGGAACTTCCCAGATGACACATTTCGGGCGCGTCGCTGTTAAGATCATTACCATTTCAAGAGCATACATACATACAATGTATGCAACCGAACATTCCACGGGCAAGTGCGCCGCGGGTGACTCCAAGTATGAACGACCTCGCAAGGAAGAACGAGACATCGCTATCTCTATCTGAATATTATTCGTATATTCAGAAGAAAATCAAAGAACACCGTTCACTCATCCCCATCTTCCTTCTCAGCTCCAGAAGATGCTGCGCCATCATCGTCTTTGTTTTCTCTCGTAGCAGAGGAACTATTGCCACCAGCAACATTGGCACGGGTCTTATCACTTTCGCCAGATTCTTTGACGAGGACCTCGAGTTGCGAGTGGGTGACACTAGCCCTGAACAACGCTATCAAGAGTTCTTTCTTCTTCCGCAAGTGAAGTATCTCCGCCGCTTTCTCTCCCTCTTCCAAGGTGATCCTTTCCAATTGCTTGGTCAGGTCGGCCAATTTGTTGTCCTTCTTCACGGGACCCACCCCACCCCATCTGCTTAGTGCAATCGCGGACACCTGGCTGGTGCTCGTTCCAATGCTTTGTCCTAAACCGTGGTGGAACCCCTGTCCTATTTCCACGCTGTCAACCCCTGGCCCGCTGATTCCCCCACCAATATCCGGCTCAGCAAGACCAACACCCTTTCCAAAACCACCCCCGCCAATCCCAGCGCCGTCTCCAATACGAGGGAGACCGAGACCAGGGCCCCCAATTCCTTCAGATCCCCCATGGTGGTAGCCTTGATACCCGCGACGATCGTGGTTATCGTTCGGCCGTCCGACTTCGATCTGGTTGTGGATCTTTACTATGTAGCGATCATCATCGTGTTTGTCGTTGCCATGATGGTAAGACAGAGGAAGATGATGGGGATGGGGATGGGGATTGAACAGCTATTTACGAACAGTGAGCAACAAGCCCATGGACGTCTCGTCATGAAAAGATTTGACGTGAGTACTACTCACAGCACCTCCACCAATAGGGAGTCCTTGGTTGTCAGCGGACATGATTGCGCGATGTTGAGCGAGAAGAGTTTGATTAAATTTGCAGGTGGCTGTTGAAGAATATGCTTGCTGACGACGGCGGAGATGTCATTACGCTTCCCATGTTGGCTCGACTTTATAGGCAGGGAGAGGTATGGCATCTTCGAGGAATGTGTGTGTATAACATGTCACTCAAATGTTCCCTACAGAAAACATTCTTCCGTCCGGACAACATTGTAAAGCCGTAGTGTCCAAACATTTCGGAAATAAGAAAGCTCCGGAGCATGGTACTCATTTATGAATGTGCTGACATCCACAGGTTGCGTCCCAAATGATTCTCGACATGTTTTAATATGGTCCATTCCGTTCCTGATTATGCTGATAGACTTTGGAAGTTTGATCTTCACCGTCTCCCGGGAAGTGCACCCAGGAGTACTCGAGCGATCCAAGCTTGGAGAATAATATGGAACCCTGTCATCCGAGCTTCCAAATTATAGCAGCAGCCCCGGCTTCCGCGCTCACCTGTTGCATCGCCGTTGTTTCTAATATTTCTGGCCTTGTGCGGTCAGAGACGTTTATGGCGATCAACATCGTTGCTGCCGTCCTCACCTTGTATACGGCGCAATCAAGTCTTCATGCTGGCCTTCGGATCGTAACTTACACCACGACCCTATTAAGACAACTACGCGTCTATGGAATCTGATGGATTGTTCCAAGGCGTCCGCCATACGAATGAACGATGACGGTGCCCACGACTTGGAATCCATATATCATTGCGACCATCTTCGCCTTCATGATTTGGAATCATGGACCGTGGTCAAGCGAACCGAGTATCCTACGTATATGCTCAGTCACTGTTCCATTGAATTCTTCTATTGTTACGGGTCCGAAATATGTGAGCGATATTCTAGTTTTATCTCGCTTCGTGACGTATGGCTTATTACCTCTGCTCTCAAGGACTTTCCCAAACACGCTTGCAAACTCATTTGACCACAAGGTAGAAGTACATCCAGTCTTCCACATCCTTTTACGCTCATTCGGTTCCCTCCGGAGCATTTGGATCCTAGGTACGCATGTACCCTGTAACTTCACAGACATAGCTTATTGGCGTTCTCATGCTCTTTAGACTCAATCATCCTCAGCCGACAACATGCCGTAGTCGAATTCAAAGCACTGGACACCGTGTGATGCAGGGGTCCCGAAAGGAAAGCAGCCTCAAATAAGCTCAAAAGAAGAGTTTATGCTCTAGTTGACGTGAGAATGATGACGTTATTGAGATAAGAACGATTCGAGAATCAAAGGGAATCCTCGATAACCATTCCTAATGCTGGGATATTGGGTAGGTCCTTCTCCTACCTGTATGTCTACGTAGTACGAGTGACTCAACTTATTCCGTTATCTTCTCTAGTCATATATACGACGTCGTCACTGGTCCAATTTTCAAGCTTCGTCCTGGTCAGAAACTTTACGTGTTGTTCCACTGCAATCATGAGGCACGCGAAAAGCTTATTTCTGAAGTGTTCTCCACACCTCCACCTTGGCATCGGTGCGTGTGACCTGGTGCATTCACATTCTGATGTGAGATTGATACATAGATGTACTAGCCGTCCACTGGCAGAGGTACATGACAACTTTATAACCCCGTACTTTGGGCAGGCCTATAGAATATCGATGCGTGGACTTCCATGAACCCGAGAATGGGTTCAACCTACCTCGTCTCCGGTCTTTCGATGCCATCTTCAAATTGGCCAGGCGGTTGAATGCACCGAAAGATCTGTAGCATGCTGCAAGATGCTGCTGAGATCCTGTAGAGATTTCACGAGCAAGGATTCGATTTTTCACAGCGGTATAAAGTGGATGCGTCACATAGCTCTGCTTCTTGCTACTTCTATTAAAGACTCCAGACAACACACTCGCTATACTATCTGAAAAGTAAACGTGGGTGGTCAGAAGTGGTCGAAGGTAAGCTACTCATATGGACAAATGCCTAAGGTACTCGTTATTCAATTCTTCAGGATTTTTTGCTCCAGATTCATCAGAAAAACCTCGTGCCGCGTTCATACACCCCATCTGACCCGGGCTTTTCCTCCGGTCACCGACGTGGTATTATCGACATAAAGAACGGAATGAAGAACAGTACCCTCATTTGCGGCCCGAGGCCCATTATCCTACCTTAGCGAAGGATACTACATAACACGGCATACTTCTCCATGGGTCAATAAGCACTTATCGGGAACGGACCTCCAGGTCAGGAATCCACCAGACTACATGATTGCGATATTCGGGCTCATAACACTGCTTCAGGACAAGATGATGACGAGGTTCTCTATGGGAACATTCTCAAGGATATTACTACCGATTGGCCCGCGCTCGAATGTGCTGGACTCTATTGAATCATGCGTTTGTCGTGTGTTATAGGTCCTTATTGAAATTTCGATTTGATTTGTGCTAATACCAGGACTGCATGCGTGCAGTCCCAGAAACTATGTTCCTTTGCTTGGATAAATGACGTGACGCATATATTCGAGCAAGGCAATACAGTTTCTCAAAATAGCGTCACTGTACGTACGCACTCAAATGACTGCAAAGTCTGAGCGAAACTACACAATCGGATTTTACTGCATTATGCAAGGCGTTATGTAACACGAATTCTATACATGAAACTTGCGACGGAAAAGCTAAAAGATACGGTGGAAACGAGAGTATCTAATCCGAACTTGAATACACGATAAGAAGGAAGAAATCCGAGAGAGGAGGGCTTCGCCGGAGCGGGTATTGCCATGAGTGGCTGCATAAAGGAGATCGAGAGAAAGGGCCAGTATACAGATAACGAAAGAGTGAGGAGAGAGCGTCTAGAATCTACCGGAGTCGTGAACAACATCATGCAAAAGACCCGAAAACCGAAGCCAGAAATCCTACGTGTGACCATTGCTGTCAGCAATAGTAGCCGCACCATTCGCCGCTGCGTCCTGAACCTGATCAGACTTCTCAGAGGCCTTACCAAGAAGAACGTTGAGTATTTCCTGAACGCGGACGGCGGAGGCCTCGAGGACGGGCTCGACGCGACCTTGGACGGTGTCACGTACACGGTGGACTTTGTCCGGAATCGGGTCGGAAGACGTAAGGATGGCAGAGAGTTCCCCAATGGTATTGGCCAGACTAGCGGAAAGGTCACGAAACGATGATTGGACTGCGGCAGGGAGTTTCGCGGTGGATGCCTACAACCCCAGTCAGTTTCAAATGTCGAATCGAATGGGGTAACGAGATTAGCATACCTGGACCCTCTGCAGCTCCTGAAGCATGACGTCGCTAAGGGCGTGCACCCTCTCCTGAGCAGCACCATAACTAGTCGATGCAATCTCGCTGACCTTCTGGGCAGCATCCGCTGCGCGTTGAACGAGGACACTCTGAGCCTTGATCTGGTTGATCTGCTCAGTCGAGTAATTGAGCAAGTCCGCGGATAGGTCCTTAGAGAGTGCAACGGCGCGTTGATACTGGAACTTTGGGGCTTCCCCAGCGGGATGCTCGGTAGGAGTCCCGGAAGCGGAGTGAACCTTGTTCACGGCCACCTCAAAGTAATCCACAATAGGGGCAAATTTCTAAAAACGAACGATCAGAAATAGGGTTAATGTGTGGCGTATGCACTAAAGCACACCTGATCGATGCCCTGTGCGACATTGTAAGCCGGGCTCTTGACCCTTTCGTCGATAGTCTTGTTTGCGACATTTTTAGCAGAATCACTGCGGCCCTTGAGGTCATTTATGATATCTTCCGTGGGCGTCTTGAAGGGATAGGGGTATCGTGATTCGACTACGTCCAAACCCTTGTTCGCGTACTCGTCTGCCCGCACCAGGATCGGCGCAAGACGTTTCTGGATGGGCTCAGTGTAGCTAAGGGCAGTCTTGGATATATCCTTTGCGTGTGCGTAGGGCGAGCGGATATATGCGTTCGAGGAGAGCGTCGAGTCGACCGCTCCTATGGAAGAAGCAATGAGCGGGATCGACACTACACGCTGGAGAATGGTGATTTCGGGAGCGGCTTGGACCGGAGCCTCAGTCTGAGTAGCCATTGTCGTGGACAGTGAGTAGGAGAGGGGGGAATGGTGGGGGTATGGAGGAAAGATAAAGAGGAGTTGAATCTCGACGCGACACTATTTATTCCAAAAGTAAATGGAAGCTTAATTCGCATGTGATTTCACCCCATAAGCGCGCACGAGAATCCTCGAATTCTGGATTAGGAAGGTGGTGCCCGTCTGAGGGCGAAAATACGTGGCGATTTGTTTTGCGATCCATTCAAAACTTTCATCCTTGTAGCAACAATCACAAGCATTGGTCTCCAGAATCGCCAGAAAGCGTCACACGTATCCGTAGTGATATTGTAGCGATGGCAAAATAATTTGATTAGATGAGGACAAAGATCGACACCCAGACCGATCCTAGCAAGTCTCCAGACTCGCTGAGCATGTCGGAAAAATATCGACGGCTCTCACGAGCCATTCCGGATGGATCCATCGGTCTTGTACTCAAGCGGACAGTTACGCTTCAGCAGCGCGATTACTTCTTCACCGACAAGTCCAGGCATCCGCGAATTCAGGTCTTCTGCGGCCACCAGAGCTCGCTGTACGTCCCAGCTAATTGTGGTATTCTTTTCGGCATCAAATTCTGCCACGACGTGCGATGCTTGTATCATTGATACGAGCGAGCCATTGAACTTGGCCAGGTCCTGAATGCATTCCTGCAGAGTTTGGGCCGGTGTGCGACCAAGATGCTCGAAGACGGCGCGTGCGAGGGAGAAACCGCGAGGACTCTCGGACATGTCACCATTAAAGGAATGTGTTAAGGTGCTAGCAGCGTCTAACAAACTCTTCACAGCTAAGTAACAAGTCAGATTGAATGTAGACAAACGCACACAATCACATACCATTCTTAGACTCATAGTCATTCCCTTGGATCATGATATTCGGACAGTCTATCATAAGCTTCAGCAACTCTCGCGCGCCAGAATCCTGCTGACCTGGTGACATGTTTGAGCTGGGCTCGAGAAAAACGTCTGGAAGTGAACCACTGGTGATCACGCTGGTCACGCGCGGCCACGTATGCAGGTACATAGACCGTTTTGACTTTACCGAATGATCGACTAAAGTGTAGAAACAGGAAACAAGCTCAATGAGATCGTCCTGTTGATTTTTGCTCTTGCTAGGCGGTGCATCGTCCGGAGCAGGGCCAATGAGCCCATCGTTCTTGACGTGCTCGCTGATAGAGTCACATAGGATATTAAACAGGACATCCAACACCAGTCTTGGAATGGACGTGAAGTCATCCGACTTGACTTGCTTCAAATTGGTGATTGGGCGTTCAAGCCGATGCGCGATCAATTGCCTTGTAAATTTGAGGGTACTTTTCAAGCCAGATGACTGCGCGCAAACTTGAAGTGTTTGCTCCAGTATCGCGTTATCATTGAGCGAAGCATCCGCACCAATAACGGCCTCCACATTCAATCGTTGTTCTCGACGAATTCCTCGTTCATCTCCAGGAAAACGATAGTAAGGATTCTCATATCCCAGTTTCTGTCTCCAAACCGGGCCATAACGAAGTTGGATAAGCAGACCTCTAAGGTACTCCGCTGTCTGCTTGAAGAACGCGAGTTGATAAGGACATGTTGCCGAAAAGAAGGGCATAATGATGATGAACGCTAAAGCAGCAACCCAGATAATCGTGCCCACTATCATAATCCAGCCTACGATGATGTTGATAGGTCGAAGGAACAAAGCGAGTCCAATAAGGAAGAGGAGTAATCCCAGTTGTAGCAGAAGAGGTAGGAATGCTGCCAGTTCAAAGACTCTCCACCGAACGAGTGCCTCATGGCGAACCTGCCTCACTCGTATCCGTTCCTCGGCAGAAGAACAGTTTAGATTGAGGTAATCGCGCAGCCACGTCTTCATAAAGATGCCTATGGATGCCGTCATAAGCGTACATAACAGGCTGACGAACCAGAAGGAGTTCACAAGGACGTCTAATGATGCTGCTTCTGATAAGAGCGGGGACGGTGAAAAACCTGTTGCTTCAAGTGCTGCGGTACCATTAAAGTGGAGGACCAGTTGTGCAAGAAGCGTGGCGGAGGCAGGAGATGGGTCTGGTTGTAGGTTCTTGTATGATTCGATCGTGAACGCTGCAACAATAGCAGAAAATAGACCAGTCTATATTCAAGCAAACAGGTCCAGCTATCTGAAAAGCACTGATGACCTGACACTTACAAGAATCAAGAGCGAGTCTATATCATTGTTACAACTCTCGACCTTCGCTTGATCATGATCCTTCAACAAACCCGCCAACCCATCCCATTCAATCCCATTCATCCCTCGATCCCCATATGCATGACGGAACCCAGCATATGCATGCGGAACGGCATATGATGGACCCCATGCAGCACCATCGTTCCAATACGATGCGGGATTTGTATCTCCCCGGTAGTCACCAGCTCGACGTGAAGAAGAAGGATTGGGAACGGGAGCGATGAAAGGTATTGGTCGAGGAGGACTTGCTGGGCGAAACCCGGGGTCGTATGATGGATTTTGTGAGGTAGTTGAGGTACTACGTTGAGATGGAACAATATAGACAACTGATGGTTGTTCTGACGCAGGCTGAGACCTTGACCGAACAGACTCTTGCTCGGGAATGGAGGCCAGTCCAGTTTGTTCACTGGCAAAATGAACATTGGAGGGTGTAGCTTGCCGACCTGGTTCACTCTCAACGTGGGTCTACATTTGAGAATAATGATTCAGCTGGTTGTGGTAAATGCCAGGACCTGGGACATACATTTGGGTCAACCTGTTTCTCCATGGTTGTCATAACGAAATCTGGCACCGAATTCTGCGACTTTTGAGAGGTCGACGTGACGCATCCTCATATTGATATTTGAGCGTCCCGCTGTCATGCAACTAGTGGCAGGTCATCAGTATGCAAGTTTGATCCGGCAAGTACTGTATGTACGATCACATATGATCGCTCCGGGACTAAAATCCTTTCGTGATCGTCGTCGTAATCGTACTGAGGTCTCGAAACCAGACGCAGTGATACTATCTAAGTCTTATCATTAAATTGCTGCCTAAAGCAGAAAAGTTGCAGAAATTCCTGAAACACGCTGCAGTATACTCTCCGCAATCGACACCGACCCGCCATGATCCATTACCAAGTGCGCGAATCCGAAGGTGATGAGAAACTGAAGTAAAGTTTCCAGAGAAACACCTGTTGTCCATTCGGAGAAGGCAACGAACAGCCTCGATACCAGAGACACCTCGAGTGCCTGAGGAAATGACTAGACCCAGCGGGAAGTGGATAGGCCCCTAATTCGCTCCTTGAACGGTGGACTGATTGCTGCCTTTGCGTTTGACTCTTTGACGGCTTCGTCCACAGGAGTATAGTTTCTGCTCAAAATATTCATCATCTCCGCACTGATAATGCTTGGACCAGGGCCTCGGAAGTGTTCATTCAACTTCTCGGCTGCAGCCAACGCGCGTCGAGTGTCGTCGACTAAATGTACTTGATCCACCGTCAACGCGGTGATCGCTTGGAGCCAGCGCGAAAGAGAGTGAACCAATGTTGAAAGCTCAGAAAAACAGGCTTGCAATACTGAGTTAGACACAGGCTCCATATACTCGAACACCGCACGTGTTATCGAGAACGGATGGAAATCATGATCTTGGGGGCCGTCCACAAGAGACCGGGCTGCTCTGATGAGGTTCTTCAGCGCTGAGGATAAGGTTAGACACTAAACACAATTCCTAAGAGAAATCAAGAGGCCTACAATGTTCCGAACTATGTCTGCTCGCGCGGAATGGCTCTGCTGATCGAAGAAGTAGGAGTTTCATGAAAACCTCTGCGCCGCCAGTGGTCGATACTTTAAACCTCGGGGGATCGAGAAACAGGGAGTGCAGAGGATCCCAGGTGAGAAGTTCATTGACCCTGAATATCGATGGGATTCCTCGTGAATTCTTATTTTCGTAGTCAGCGATGGCGTGGAAGCACGTAGCCATCTCTATTACTGCATCATGTCGACCTTTCGCCCTGCTTAGGTTCATTCCTTCGCAGGAATTGGCGCAGTAGTAGAGGACATCACATAAAAGGTTGAAAAGCACGTCCAGAACCTGTGTTGGCATATGACTATAATCTTCGGGATCAAGCTCGACGAGGGACTGCACCTCGCGATCAAGCCGATGGGACAACATTCGGCGAGTGAATTTGAGGGATGCCTGCACGCCAAAGGACTTCGCACACTTCGCAAGTGTTTGCTCTAGAATCAGATCGTCCTTCAGTGAGGCGTCTGCACCAATGACGGCTTCGACGCCCAGTGCAGGTTCTCGTCGTATGCCTCGCTCGTCTCCCGGAAAGCGGTAGTACTTGTTCGAATACTTTAGCTTCGTCCGCCAACCCGCTCCGTACCATGCTCGCACCAACGTCAGTCTAAAGACCTGCGCAGCTGACTGGAAGATAGAGTTCCGATAAGGGCAATTTGCGGATAGGAATGGTGCCACCCCAAAGACGATCAGGACGATCACCCATATGATCAACCCAACTGAAACTGCCCAGGCGACAACGGCATTGAGAGGGTGGAGGAATAGAGCAAGTCCGACGAGGAAAAGTAGGATGGCAAGCTGGAGGAGGACAGGAAGAAATGCACAAATCCCAAAGATCCTCCACTGAAGCAGACCCTCATAACGGAAATGCCGAACACGAATACGCTCTTGAGAAGAGGAACAGTCCCAGTCGAGGTAGTCGCGGACCCATTGTTTGATGAATATTCCCAGCGATGCTGTCACAAGAGCGCATGATAAGCTGGTAAACCACAGAACGTTGACCACAATATCGTTGGTCGAAGGTTGTGTACTTGTGCTCGAGGTAGACCATCCGGCCGCTTGTACGGCTTCAGTACCATTCAGATGAAGTACTATCTGTGCGAGGAGATTCGCAGAAAGCGATGCTGGATCCGGTTGCAAACTTTTGTATGAATCAATCACAAAAGCGGCAACAACCGCAGAAAAGAGACCAGTCTTCAATGTCAGAGTTAGGTCACGGTCATGTAGAAGATGTTCAAATCAGACCCACAAGAATAAGTAGCGAATCTATGTCGCCGTTCACCTTCTTGGCCTTGGCACGGTCATGCATCTGTAACATATTCGCTACCCGGTCCCATTCATCCTCTTTACCGGGTGACGCACTTTCAGAACCGCTTGATCCTGAATTATCAGGCGACGGAGGAGGTTGAGCAATTGTAGAATACTGCTGAGGGACGAATCCAGCAGGTAAAACTGTTATCTGGGCTCCATGACCACGAGGGGCTTCCGACATGTCCGAGGACGATTGTGAGCTAGAAGGAGAGGTATAGATTATGTTGGATAGAATGCCTCGGTGCTCTTCATCTTGGTGTCCGTGCGTGTGACTGGGATAGATACGATGGCGGGTCCTGTGTTGTGTCTGGGGTTGGTTTCTACTATATGGCATTATCTAAGTAGATCATCTGTGAGATATCCTTCAGAATTCTGTCAATAAGAACAACCTACCCCGAAAGAGCCGTCTCGATTCGCCATACTCATCCTTTAGGTGATGACTTTCCGGGGTATGTGGAATGAACTGGTAAGGATATCTGGCGGGGGTTCAACTTGGGCTCAAACCAACACAGCTGATATGGGGAGTGGGTACTCTTATATACTTGCCATGGGGAGGTCCCGACGCTACGAGCGGTTGCGTATATGATAGGAGCCAGCCAGAAAATTCACTTTCTGACAGTTCTGCGGAATCATCAGAAATACATATATCTGTATCTGCTGATTCGTCAATCTTCTAGTGCGCCTTGATCATTCATAGGATCCAGCATGAGAAGGCCGACTTTCTACCGGCCCATCTTCACGATTACCCTCGATAACGCCTTCGCGTTTGCGAATTAATTGGCGCAAAGGCGTCTGCAGCTGCACTATGTGCGCCAAAAATGACAGAATCCTGGGATGGTTGCGGCATGGAGAAGGCCATGTCGGAAATAAAAGGGCTAGGAGGATTCAGTCATTCACGGGCTGTCCATACATCAAATTGGAATTCAGTTGCAATGTGCATGCTATGCAGTCATGAAGCTTTGAAGCTTAGCCGAACTCCGAGCTATAGTACAACAATGATCAAGGCTACTGCCGTTCCCAACGGTCTATGTTTGATTAGCCCGTGGTTGTAGGCATTGATCTTCGGCAAAGGGGCCACGTCAAAACCTTCCGAGAAGGAAGGCAAAGCAGGAACTAGATCGTTTTAATCTTTGATTTGGGAACGTACAGTATAACTGTTGGCAGTGAGAGGTCAAGAGGATCATTAACAAGCGCCCCGAAAGTATTCAATTCTCGTGACAAATTAGACGACAAAATCAACGTTCGAGCCGCGTAACTGGCAAGTCCTCATCCGTTCCCTAATCCACCATCATTCAACAATTGGCTGTTATCTTTGGTTATTCTCAACGACTGCATACGGCTACACACCAGTATCTTGTATGAAGAGCTCTACATCTCGCTCTAATGTCCTTGTCTTGGGTTCCAATGCTGTCTATTCACTATTACCTTCCACGCTCATAGCGCAAGTGGAAGCCCTTCTGGATGCACACAGAATTGAGGATGCTGTTGACATGGCGGACCAGCAGAGAAGAAAGGTTGAAGCACAGCTGACAGTGGACGAGGAAGAAGTGCGTAAACTTTTGTTCTCAATTACTTCATGTTCGAGCTGGCTCTGCGTCTTAAGCCTTTCTCATGACATGTCCTATAGGCTGATGAACTTCGCTATGTCTATCAACGAATAGGATTTCAATGTTTTGCAGAAACTCTCTTCGATGATGCCGGCCGACATCTATTTCACGGTGAACTGGATCCTCGGGCTCTCATAAGCTACTATCCTGAATATTACGACTCGCTGTTCCATCTCGACGAGTCTATCGACCTGTTTTCCGGCGTTGCGGAACGCATGCCAACTGAAGAATCTATTGACGATATAAGTGAGTCCTATATGCATATTATTTATTTCCTGGCCATCGCACCCTACTATTCGTTCTCTCGAAGACGCCTCGTTATTTGTTTATACTTCAGACTGCGTCCGGTCACTCTCCCCTCCCCTGCCATTTTGTTCCCCATTGACGTCTTTTCCCCCCCGCTGCCTCGTCGGGACTGATCGCAGTTGCGGCAAATCTAGTCAGGAACTATTCCCCACACCTTGCTCCGAATACCCGAACAGCGCCTCCTGCTGTAGAACTTCGTGCTGTATTGAAGATGGCTGCAACGGATATGCTGCGATCGTTCTTACGGAAGTGGAGACGAAAGCGAAGGTTGGATGATCCCGGTGGGACAATCAAACCGAAAGCATTGTATCAGGTGCGAATAATCATTTGGTCATGCACAAGTACTTGTTAACTTTGGCATTAGGCTGTTGACACCGTGTTGGCCAGGTTATACGTTGAATCAGATGAAAAGTCCGAGTTGTTGATTCTCATCCATGAGCCTAACGATATCCTTATGTCCGAAGTCGAGCCAGCACTCGTCACCGCTAAATGGTTCAACGCGCTCTGTCAACTCTACCAAATACGAGGCGAAGATGCTAAGTTGCTCGACGTCTGGTCACGGTTTGTTTCTATCGTTATGCGTGTATTCGTGGTTTGCTCAGAGTTTGGTCCTTCAGACTCGCTGCAGGCGAGTGGATAGACCCCGAAGTCGAAGACCCACTTTCAAACATGTTCACTTTCCTAAATGAGAAGAAGGACCGCGCACTGATACGACAGTGGGGTGTCTGGTTAACCAAACAAGATTCGGAACGCGCCATCAAGTTGCTCACCTCAGGTCGAAAGCACAATCGACAAGAAGATGATTTTGCACTTCTGCAACAGATCCAGGAGAGCAATCCTGCAGCTGCTCTTCAGTTTCTAGAGCATCTTGTGCTACGGAAACGAAGTCAGGTAAGGTGACTTGAGTCTAAATCCGCCATTGCGTGCTCACGAAGGTGTTTGGCAGAACGCAGCCCTGCATGTACAACTTGCCACGCTCTACGTTGATCAACTACTATCGTGTGTTTCTGATGAAGCGACATCGAAACTTTGGCGAGCCAAAGGTCCGTGTCTCGATGATTGCAGAATTGCATAATATCCTGACACACTTACTTTCCATTCAGTTTCTTCCTATTCCTCCAGTCAAACAAACGTTCCTTTCCTCTCATACTTTGCTTCCACCACCCCTGACTCGGACTCGAAACGAACACGACTAAAAACGATTCTATTCCTCCAAGCATCAGAACTTTATGACGTCGAACCAATACGAACACGGCTACAGGACTATGAGAAGCTCCTCAGTCTTGAGCTCTCCATTGTCGAAGGCAAGGTAATAAGCTCGCAAGTCTAATATGCATCAACAGTATAACTCACATCAGCATACATAGCTTGGTCATGATAGATCAGCACTCTCAATCCTTGTGCACACTCTTCACGACTCCTCATCAGCAGAAGCGTACTGCACACTCGGTGGTGAGGTAGTACCTGCGAAGACAGCCCAGTCGCTAGGCGAGAGGTTCAGTCTTCAATCGTGGGCGGCTTTGTTCGTGCCTCCAGTTTCAGCCGGAAAGGCGAAGTCGTCTGCTGCATTTATGAAGAGACAGAAGAGTGTGAGTGAAGAACGTAAGAGAGAGTTGACGAGGATACTGTTGGAAGTATATATGAGTGGCGGGTGCGTACGCTCAGCAGCATCCTAACGACATATGACAGGATGCTGATAGTCTCAATATTATAGGGAGGCTATGTCTGGTAGGACAGCTCAGCTCCTGGCTGCACAAGGTATGAATCTGGACGTGGTCGATGTGAGTGCCAACTCTATGCTTTCGTTTCCTCAATTGAACGTTCTTCCAGGTCTTATCTCTCATACCACCCGAATGGCCACTCCGAGTCCTCTCAAGCTTCCTCGAACGTTCATTCCGTCGCACCCTCCATACCCGTCACGAAGGCCAAATCATCAAGTCCATCGCGGCAAGCGAGAATCTCGCCGTCGCCGAGCGGACTTGGCTCATATTACGAGAGCAAGGTGCTATCGTCGAGGAGGCGGTTGATGATGATGGAGAGGATGACGAGAAGTCGGGTTCTGAGAAGGCCGTGGGACTTGGCTTGGAGCTGGATGAGAAGACTGCACTGCTGAATGCTCGAGTTGAAGAAGGAAAAGTGAGAGAAAATGTCGTGGATGTTGAACCAGAAGGAAGGATGTTTTACAGTGATAATTCAGGACTTACATGAGCATTTGTATTATGTTCTTCATTTCTCTCGATTCTGGATTCGCGTTGTTTGGATGTACAGTACTTGGCGACAGCCTTAACGCGGTTACCATATACGGATGAGGACCTGCCTATTTCGTTGACTGCAGCCGTCTCGCCTACGGTGCAGCGACGAAATGGGCACAGTTGATGACATACAAGGTTCGTGTATGATCTAAACCTATCATAGACAGTAAGGCGCTAGTAATACAAGTGACTAACTGCAACATTAAACCATCAATTATGGTACATGGTTCGAAGTTGAGATCTCATAATGTTACAGCAAAAGTACACTTCAGATACGCAGCCAGTTACACCTGCAGAAGATGTCACCAACGAAAAGTGAAAATATGATATTGGTACATTCTATGGCCGTGGAACCCTTTCCGCCCACTGGAACGAATCCAGGCTCGACACGGAATTCCTCAAACTATTCGTGCCCGCAGGAACACGTCCAAGACTTGTCCTACTGCTCGATCGTGAGCGCAGAAAGCTGTGTTCTGGGGAGCGTCCGGAAGGAGGGGAAGATGAAGTAGACGTGGATGATGCCCGGCGATGCCGCATTCGGGTTGGGTCGACATCAGGGATATTGGCAACACGGGCAAATAGGGACAATACTACGAACGGTAATTCATTGAGATAAACCTTGGGGCAGGGTGAAGGTGAACATACTGTCGACTATGGAAACAATTCCACAGAGGGTTGTTGTCGGGCTTGGGGCAAAGTATGGAGACTGAACTTGCGATTCGTCGGTTACGAATAGTCGATGTGAGTCCGCTGAGAATGACAGAAATTGAGACTGTATTCTGGGCATTATGGAGTAGATGGAACATACTTGCAATCAACTTCTGCATGGTATAAAGTAGTGTGCTGCTAGGAAGCACGCTGTATACTGAACGACCATGTTCAGTCTCGGACTGACGAGAGATCAGAACGAAACCTACCGGGGTACCTGTCTGCGCCATCAGTTGATCCAACCGGCTCCTACACCAGTTGTGAATGAATCCCTTCAACTTCATGTGCATTAATAAGAACACACCTTGATCATTGAAATGAATTGCTTCAGTGGGGTTGACAAGATCTGATTACTCTGAGATGGAACCACGACCTGCCGCTGGAATATCAGACAATGTTCACAAAAGGAAGGAAACATGCTCAGACCTTTCCTACATCTGTGACGCTAACAGCGCTCAACAGCCCGCCCGTCTCTTCTTCGATCACAGCTATACTGCTCACTCCCTGATCACTCATCAACTTCATGGCATCGAGCACGCTCTCACTGGCCTTGGCCGCGACCACAGCGGAGTAAATATACAATGAAGGAAGATTGAGAGAACTGAGTGAGTTGGAGAGGAAGGTATGAAGTGTTGAAGTCTCATGTGCTTGATTGGTGAACCATGAGAGCAGACTGCGATCGGAGACGAAACCTGCAAAGTCGGTGGAAGGAGGCGTCGCTCGTAAGACGACTGTTGACGTGATAAGTGAGATTGAGCTTTAAGAGACAGCGATAGACTGCGTACCACGGTGTGTTCCGGTAGAGAACACAGATAAAAGAGAAACAATGGCAGCATTGTGAGGCAGGATCACTAGAGGGTTCTTCTCTGACAAATCTATCGGGGTATTGTGCGAATGAGTGAACCTCAACTGATATCATAGACGGCCGAAATGAACATACTGCTGACGAGGTGCACTGGGACCTTGCCTGCCTTAGCGGCCGTAAATATCTCGTCTATTCGCGGATTCTCCCGTAGCTCTTCTGCAGACCATCTATGTCTGGTAGCTGCCAGAGTCAAGAAAGCATTCACATCCGAGAACTGTACCCAAGTCGGTCGAATCGGCGTCAAACATTGGGAAATCAGAATCAAATTGACGTACGTCAAAGAGTCCGTCGAACGGCGAACCACCTGGGACGCTGGTCGGTCTGTTGTTTATTGCAAGACATACTAAGTCTTTCGATAGTAGTAACTGCCCGTGCAAGATTATTGACCTATAGATAAGGACATTACATCGTAAGCACGAACCTCGCAAGCATCCTCAACGGTTGTCTCCGCATCCACAGATACCACGGGTGAGTCAATCAAGTCTAAGAATTATATAAGTTTAGCAATTCAAGGCAGATATTACATGTTCCCAGACCTCTCGCTAGCGTCGTTTGCCACGTCTTTGTCCATTCTTCGGCATCGGCGTTGGGTGCTGCTGCAAATACCAAGGGAGATTCGCTCCTTATGCTAGAGACTGAAAGTCGTTTGCTTAGAGACATAACGGAATTGGATGCTCAGTTGAGTTATCCAGAGAGGAACTAGGTGGCTACATGCCAGGGGTGCGCTTCGAGATACGGAACCTGCGCCAAGTTATGCAAGAACTCGAATGCGGGGACGTGATACAGACGTAAGAGATTAGATTAGATCTTCTTTCTATAGTTTCGATCATTAAGATGAGATTTGAAGTTAATAATGTTTATCCATTCCGATTGACTCCAAACTCTTACACAACTCCCTACCTTTCCTACAAAATTGTTGCTGGCTACAGCTGCTGCATCTATTTACGATACACACTCTTGTTCGCAGTCCTGCATTGTCTGCATTGCAAACAATTGTGTCATGTGAGTTTGAACGTGTTTGATGCAGCCATAAAAATGTGTCACTCATCCACGTAAAGTCCATCCACTTGCAGGTTGCGTCGAGCCATTAGTATAAGTGCAAGAACCTTCGCTTTCACTCTTTAACTGTCTCCACTATTTGATAGCTTAAGGTGTCGCAATGGCGTCGACGTTGGGCTCAGCAGTCCCTCCATTCACCCCTCACGCGATCTCCGTTTCATTGCCGACTTGGAAAGATACTGTTGGGTACGAAACGGGCGAGAAACGGGTGGTTGATGCCATGGTATCTGGTTATCCTCGCTTCTTCCTCCATCTCGCGATTCAAAAAGTAAGTCCGCATTGAAGTTTGAACATTGGCAATATAATGTTCACGGTCTGCAGCTCGCCAGGGTCTGTGAACTGAAGTTCGGCACACCAGGCGAACTCTGCATGTTATTCCCTACACGCAAGATTGCGGAGGCCTGCAGGAATTTCATGGTGGATCGATCATCTCAATCTGGGAAGCCGGTTCCAGTACGGCTTGTTCAGTACGTGATCTGCCCAGAGGACAGCTCTTCAGGGAAATCTTGCGCTGAACTGCACATCGTACTCTTCCCTGGAGATGCTTTCCCCCTTGCAAAACAATTCTGGCAACACACAGGTCTCGGCGTTTCCAGTCGCTTGGCGGAACGATGTCTTTCCATGCTTCCCTCCGAGGAACCAAAACCATCGTCACCAACCTCACCCCGACTTCCACTCAAGGCAAGCAATAGGCATTACTCTGCAAAACCTTCTTGGTCTTCTCCTGCCGTTAATCCGGTGGAAGATTTGGACAAAGATCATTCGACGTACTTGGAAGAGCGCTATGGGCGCAACCTTCCTCAGGGTGCCGCGGCCGGAGCTAAGCGCGCCATGAGGAGACGTATTGCTGGAGTTCTCGTCCACGACACACCGAATGATTGGTGTCAGGCCGGGAAGCACGACACTGAAGTTGGACCGAGTACGAGAGGGATCAAGGAAGTCTCAGAGGATGACGTCTACCTCTTTCCAACTGGTATGGCTGCTATTTGGAATGCGCATCAGCTGGTGCTTGGTGTTAGACCTTTGGCAAAGAGTGTATGCTTCGGGTAGGTGTTAGCATACTTTGACACGATCGTCGTATTGACCTTGAGTTTCTTTGCAGGTTCCCGTACACAGACACTTTGAAGATATTGGAGAAATGGGGTCCAGGCTGTTTCTTCCTAGGCAATGGAATAGATCAAGAAATTGACGAGCTCGAAAGGATACTCGAGCAGGAGTCTGCCGAACATCCCGATCGACCTCCAATCCTTGCTCTCTTCACTGAGTTCCCATCGAACCCACTCCTTCGATGCGCCGATTTACCTCGCCTTCGTGCGCTTGCAGACCAATATGACTTCCTCATTGTCGTCGATGAAACGCTTGGAAACTTCGTGAACGTGGAGGTTCTTCCATACTCTGATGTCGTTGTCAGCAGTTTGTCAAAAGTCTTTAGTGGTGACGCCAACGCCATGGGTGGCAGGTATGTTTATTTCATATCGATAGGTCCTCAATAGGTGTTGATTATATTCTATAGTCTCGTTCTCAATCCCAAGGGACGCCATTACTCTGCTCTGAAAGAACATATCACAAAGACTTTCGAAGACACTTTCTTCGACGAAGATGCCATCTACATGGAACGTAACTCTCGGGATTTCCGTCGGCGCATTCGTGTCATTGACCAGAACACAGAAGCCGTCTGCGATTTCCTTCGCTCTCGATCCCTCGCATTTTCCCCATCCTCGACCGACGTCGTCATCAAGGAGATCTTTTATCCAAAGTACACTACACCCGAACATTACAATCGTTGTAAAGTATCCGACCCTGAAGCAGGCTATGGAGGACTATTCTCGTTGACATTTGTCACTCAAGAAGCAGCACGAGCGTTCTTTGATACCCTTTCATGTTACAAAGGGCCTAGTCTTGGAACAAACTTCACTCTGGCTTGTCCATATGCCATCTTAGCGCATTACGTGGAGTTGGATTGGGCGGCAAAGTACGGGATCGAGGAAAGCCTAGTGAGAGTTAGCATTGGAATGGAAGGCAGACAGGCTTTGCTCGAAGATTTCGACAAGGCTTTGAAGGCTGCGGAGGCTACGCTTTCTAACTCAGATGCTTGAGTGTGTCGAGTTGTTATCTTGGATGAGATTGCGGAATGTATGTAAAATATCCAGGCCAGCTGCTTTCAGTCGTGACATAGAGGAACATGTATGTAGATGACAGTCCCAAGAATGCGACAATAATTACTTAATCGGAGAGATTAATGGGCCAACTGCTCATGTTTTGTTATGAACACAAGACCTTGGTGAGGTGAATTTCAAAGATGTGCAATCTAATCTAATCTGATATGATGGCTCCAAATCGGCTCAACTCCAAGTTGGAGCTTGACATTCGACGTCCATACTCAATACCATTCTTTTCAGCTTGATCTTCACTATAAGGCTCATTTGTGAGCATTCTTACCGTATTGAAGTACTAATGGTGTTAAAATAAGAATAGGCACTTCTGTACGGCATTCTCTTCTCGATGACATCTGCTCCCACCAGACCTGTCGATGTACCACCATATCAGTTGCAACCCCTCATTTCCAACGTGCTTGATGAAGCGATTCGTATGTTTATTTTAGCTCATTTCGTCCATCGTTATGCTCACATTGATGTTGGATGCGCAGGAATATCCGGGGCCAACGTCGAGATTCGCTGTGCCCAAGCATTAGGTAAGTCGTACGACCGACAAGCAACGTCTTGTCTTATATATACACCACATCATTACTTTTAGGTTCAGAGATTTATGTTGGCTGCTCCAACGGTGAACTCCTACGTTTTGCCCTTCAAGGAGGCCCAAGCTCAGTAGGTGGCCAAGTGTCATTACGTTTATTTGGACTGAAGCAGACTTTCAGCCAGCGTCGTACACTTTGCTGTCGAGGCAAACTTTACCTAATGATAAGCCAATTGACGAAATAGTCCTGACGCCGAGTATCTCTCGAGCATTGATCCTGTCAGGTATGTACATTTCTCTTGAGAATTTGCGTTGTATGAATCCGTGTGTCACAAAGACCATCAGATCCATTTCTACACTTTGCCCGCATTGGATCCTGTTGGGCCGCAGATCATTAAGCCGATACGAAACGTGATAACATTTGCTGTGGATGAGCAGCATCTTCTTCGACCACCACTCTCGGCCAACGATCCACAGCAAAAGGTTGAACCGGTCGAATTCTGCGTCATCAAACGCACCACCATCGCCCTATATAGTCTTCGAGAAAGATTGTTCTTCCAGAAGGTCCTCTTTCCAGATTCACATAGAACCAAAGCTAATACTCTATCAACAGGAGATTCCTCTTCCCAACGGCGGCATGCTTGCGCGTCGGACGGGAAAATATCTTTGTGTAGCTGACAGGGAAAACTACAATATCATCAATTTGGAGTCTGCCGAAATGCTCCCGTTACTTCCGTTGTCACAGGCATTCGATTCCCCTGCAATAGTAAAACCTTTGATCACAGTAATCAGTGACACCGAGTTTCTTATCCTTTCTTGGACCGGAACGGCATCCCTTGGGCTATTCATCACTGGTGAAGGCGAACCTGTTCGTGGCACTTTGGAATGGCCTAGTCACCCGGAGTCTCTCGGTGAGTACCATGACACACTCCGACCGTTGGATGAAGGCTTATATACCCTTAGCTCTTGACTACCCCTACATCACGACTCTGCTTCCCAACAGAACTATTGAAATACATAACATCGAAAACCAGTCCATTGTTCAGGTTGTTTCAGCTCCATCTACAGCAGAGGACAGGCGGAAGCTTGTATGCAGTCCGAGCGGGTTCTTGGTACCCTCTTCACAGGGATCCACAAAACTCCAGCGTGTTTCAGTACCCCTTCGAAGAGAGGGACGCACAGGGCCTAATATAGAACCCAATGCAGGAGCATCAAATTCACCAGAACCATCAGAACCTACGCATCTGGACATCGAGGCGTAGTTAACAGCACCAAGGCACCTCGGCTTTTTCATTCTTTATCTTAGTTACTGTTGATGAATGTACATAGTAGACTTAATTATGACACAGACACAACTCTGAATATATCGTAACTTCGCGTACGTGACTGCAAGAAGTTGAACGTACTATACCATTTCTGGCTCACGTGTCAAAGTGACTCGACGCGCTCGTTGCTTTTGCTCCGGCCGACGCGTCTTACCTGGTGAACAGGTATGTATCTTGACTACGCCCCATCACCTTCATTGTGCTAGGGTGAGGGGTGCCCAACATGCCATCTTCGAGGACCGCGCTGCGGCGTATGCAGCGTTGGAATAGCACTAGACAAATGAAGAGCGCTCAAGCACTCTCTGTTCGATTCTACCATGACCATTCCTACGGCTATAGGGAGCCTCGGAAGTTCACTTTACCTGACTGTCAGTCTTCTCTTGATAAGACCGAAACGGCTCTAATAATGTCGCTTGGGTCATACAGACAGCCCGTCTCAACTCGAGAATCGTACTGTCAATGCACCTCTATTGCGTTATGTTGACTCGTTACGCACCCATGGCCACCGTGCAGCTCGCATAGATCCTCTCGATCTCCTCCAGCGAGAGGAAATTGCTGCGCTAGACCCGACGCGATACGGGCTGGTTGATCAAGGCAGAAAATATAATATCAACGGTATCGTTTGGACTCAACCTGTCGGTGTGGATACTGAAACGCCTGTGGAATGGACCTTGGAGAATATTACACGTCACTTGAGGACCGTCTATGTCGGTCGTATTGCTTACGAGTATATGCACTCGCCTTCAAAGACTGAGCGACTCTGGTTCTCTCACCTTCTGGAGTCCGAGATTGCATCTTCAGAAGCTACGGACAGAAATCACAAGGCGAAGGAGAGGATACATGGGCTCCTAGCTCGAAGTGAGACTTTTGACCAATTCCTTCAGCTCAAGTTCCCGAATTTGAAGCGCTACGGGCTCGAGGGTGGGGAATCTATGCTGCCTGCTTTGGATGCCCTCTTTTGTATCTCGGCTCGGGCTGGTGTGGAACATATCATTATAGGAATGCCTCATCGAGGAAGATTAAACTTACTCACCGGACTTCTTGAATACCCACCTCGCGCGCTATTCCATAAGATCAAGGGCAACTACGAGATTCCGGAACAGCTTGGTGCATCTGGAGACGTTATCAGTCATCTCGGTATATGAAATCGTGCCTAGATAACAATGTTTTCTCTTACCTGTTACATCTCTAGTTTCGTCGCCTAGCCTGACCTATGAAGGAGCGAAGCAACCTGTCAAAGTGTCGCTCCTTCCGAATCCATCACATCTGGAAGCCATAAGCCCAGTTGCGCTTGGAAAGACTCGCGCGAAACAATTCTCTTTGCTCAAGACAGTATCGGATCCTAATGACTGCTTCCCCGGAGACAAGGTTATGTGCGTTCAACTACATGGTGATGCGAGCTTCACAGGTCAAGGTGTCGTCATGGAGGGTTTGGGCCTCAGTAAGACGAATGAGCAGTCGCGTTTCTCTTGACAAGACTTATGCATGTCTATAGGTAACTTGCCACATTATACGGTAGGTGGGAGCGTACATATCGTGGTCAAGTGTGTTTGAGTCTTTTTGATGCGGTTCGTTACCAGAACTGAAATTCATTTCTTAGTAATAGGTAAGGATTGAAGAGATAAATGTCGTATGGCGATAAGTGCTGATACTCGAGCAGCATCGGTTATACCACTCCGGCTTCGGGTGCTCGCTCGTCTTTGTACTGCTCGGATATTGGCAAGATGATCAATGCACCTGTTCTTCACGTAAATGGTGATTACCCTGAAGGTGTGTATGCATATAAAGTCGACCAGACCTATGTCAGAGGATCATCTCAACCATGGATTCTAGATGTCGCAAGGGCCGTCGAAGTTGCATTCAAATACCGGAACTACTTCCGCAAGGTTTGACGGATTTCCATTCTTTTCCCGCTATTCTGAATGTTCATTTTACCTTTCTAGGACGTGATTATCGACTTGATCGTCTACCGTCGCTGGTATGACGAATACTCACCTCTATCCGGTAACTGGATTTGATCCCGTGTATCTTCTATAGGGGACATAATGAACTCGATGAACCGGCGTTCACTCAACCTCTGATGTACGAGAAGATTCGGTCACGTCGTTCTGTTCCTTCCCTCTATGAAGAACAATTGATCGTAAGTATATTTACTCTTGTGGTCCTGTTCCAAAGTACTTCATATTCCGAAAACAGAACGAGAACATCATCACGGCAGAGTCTGCTACCTCCCTCCGCTCATCCTACAAGGCTTTCCTCAACGATGAACTCTCCGAGGCGGATTCATACGTCCCAAAGGCGTCGATGCTGGAGAAGCAATGGAACGGTATCGTCTGGCCTGCAACCCCCGAGGCTGTGAGAAACCCAGATACCGGTGTTGATATCCAAACGTTGAAGGATATTGGCAAAGCCAGTATTTACTTCCCTGAAAGCTTTGTGCGTATGTCTTGCCATATTTCGGGTTCTTTTGGCTGACAGAGGAAGCAGGAAATTCATTCTCGCTTGACAAGACATGTGAATAACCGACTCAAGGCTGTGGAATCAGGACGAAACATTGACTGGGCAACTGCAGAAGTTAGTAATCTGTTGATCTGAGTCGGAACTATGTTTAATGGCTTGTTTGCGCGGTCAGGCCTTGGCATTTGGCTCTTTGATGCTGGAAGGTCATGACGTACGGATATCCGGTCAAGACGTAGGCAGGGGCACGTTCAGCCAAAGGTAGGTTTCCACACCTCCTAAAATTCCTTGGTTGACTGACCATCTCAATGTACCAGACACGCAATGCTTGTTGACCAACGCACTGAGAAGGTTATTGTTCCATTGAATTCCGCCTTAGAGTCTGAAGGAAAACTCGAATTGGCTAACAGTGAGTCTTGGTACTACACTAAGAAATTGCATGCAGCTGATCATTATAACAGGCTCGCTAAGTGAAATGGGCATTCTTGGTGTAAGTATGTCCTTATATGTTACCTTTACTTGCACTCAGACCCATTTAGTTCGAGTATGGCGTTAGCTGGGAGAAACCCAACATCTTACCTATATGGGAGGCGCAGGTACGTTTCCTCTCAATATTGAACGGATGCCACTGCTGAACTTCCTGCAGTTTGGCGACTTCTTCAATGGGGCCCAGGTTATCATCGATACATTCATATCCTCCGCAGAAAGTAAGACGATCTCTGCGGCTGCTGTGCTCGTTTATAATTCTGACTTCTTCTCATAGCTAAATGGTTAAAGCAAAGTGGAATTGTTATGCTGTTGCCACATGGGTGGGTCATTGCTGAGGCGGCTCTTGCTTCGAAATCTCTCTGACATGGGTACAGACTTGACGGCGCAGGCCCTGAACATTCCTCTTCGCATTTTGAACGTTTCCTTCAGGTGAGAGGTCCCCAAATAAGCGGATGACGCGAATCTTATGAGATGCATTCCGCCTGTTAGCTTTCCAACGATGGCTTTGAGTTCACTAAACATAGCCGTGATGTCAACGTACATATCGTTTTCCCGACGACCCCCGCTCAGTACTTCCATCTACTCAGAAGACAAATGAAACGTAACTTCCGAAAACCGCTCATTGTCGCAGGACCAAAGGGATTGCTTAGGCTTCCCGTATGTTTCGTCACCTAGCAGTTCCACATATGGACCACTAACGTTAGTTTTCATAGGCGGCGAGCTCGTTATTGGAGGATATGACCCCGGGCACGCAATTCCAGTCAGTGTTGGACGATACCAGTGTGGCACCCGAAGGTGTAAAGCGTGTCGTCCTACTAACAGGCAAGCTGTATTATGATCTTATAAAGGAACGGGCGGACCGGCAGAACGTTGGAAGCTCCATTGCTTTCATTCGTATCGAGGAGCTTAGTCCATTCCCCTTTGCTACTCTGGCAAAGATTCTGTCAAAGTACGCCAATGCCTCAGAAGTCGTCTGGGCACAAGAGGAGCCACGCAATCAGGGAGCTTTCCCTCATGTTCAGGAGCGAATTAATGCCGTCTTGGGTCACTTGGAGTTCCGCGGTAGAGTGGGGTACAGAGGTCGCAAGGAGGACTCCGTCCCTGCTCCGGGTGTAGTCAAGCTATATGCAGAACAGCAGAAGAAGGTGATCGCAGCTGTGTTTGAAGATGTGTACTAAGGATTATACAGGGTGTAATAGCTGGCTGTGCACAGAATAGGGTCTAAGGTAATCTTGGAATGCGAGCACTGTGCAAATCCTACGGATACAGTTCAATGTAATGGAATGAGTATCAACCCAGTTCAGATGCAGATTACGGTCAGTTGCGGTTTGTATCTGGAACAGAACCAGTAGTTGTGGAGGGGAAAGGTGGTATCATGATCACTGAACTGAACATTGCGGAGGATTGTGAGGCGGAGGTAGGAGTGAAGGTATTTGAGATGGGTGGTACGCTGCCAGGCAATGGATCTGGTGCTTTAAACGACATGAAGTCATAGAGTGGATGCCTTTTGAGATTCACGTTATCTGTAGAATATTTCAGACACAGCTGGACACTGTCAAAGAAGCAAATTTACCGATCTCAATGATAGCAAAACCATTATCCGCCAGTGTGGTCTTCCGGGGACATCGACGACGTCGCCACTGACAGACAGCCAGAACAGTCACCAACGCCAAAAACAGAACACTTCCGACCACAATCCCAGCTATCGCGCCGACAGGAAGTGGTCGCACGCTTGAATCTGTACTTTGACCCTGTCCGACAGAGTCAAAGTCTCTATGATTCAAGCAGGACATAAATTTATCTACTGGTCGGCCAGTTATCTCCCCGCTGGTCGCGACCACGAAATGGCTGAGGATGAACGGTTGGCCTTCATCCATAGCTGTGACCGTCAACTGGTGTTCGCTGTTGTCGACATTCTGAGAAGGATATAAGGGAAGAGAAGTATTCGACGGTGGTGGCAATTTTGGAGTTGACGAGTTAGTACAGTCAAGCTGGTAAGTTGCTTGACCTGATGAAATATTCACGATGCCGTAGGCAACTATTAAGGTACCTTCTGTATAGTTAGTATCCAGAGATCTACGATGAGCAGTCTCAACAGACTCACCATTAAAAGTGAGCGACGCTGTTGCGTTCGCCTTCGTCGTATATCGTGAGCTTGAGTTTTCCACTGGCCATGGGTGCCAGACCCCTCTGTCATAAATGACTCTCGGGTCATCTGCAGGAATCTGCGTCAACACGACGGGTTCAGTCATGAGCAGTCAGAGACTGCAACAGGTGTCGTGAGCAACATGTTGGGATGTGATATAAATAAGCTTGTACTTTCTCGTCATCCATTCTCGCTCGACTGCTAATTGCCGGTCATCATACGAGCGGGCTATGTAGTACATGATCAGCTTGGATAACAAGCCAGTGTTCCCGCGTTATCAATGGAGCACCGGACACAACGTTTTTACATCTCTAATAGATGCAGGGTTCACAGAATTATGCACCCCAGCAGTAGAATAGCAACCGTGATTGCATCATTTAATCTTCTCGGCATGGTATCAGAGTTTCTAAGAATGCGGAACATTGTGAATAGGATGAAGTACAATCGTAAAGACTGACCGTTAGTCATTTGAACTACATGTAAACTTTCTGTTAGTACGATGTCACTCCTTAACCGGGTGGCAGAACGGAGACGTCAGTTCACTGATCAAACATATGTTCTCTATGACACGAAACAGAAGAACTGGAGAAAGATTATCAAGGAATGGTTGTAGGCGAAACCCGACAATGCTGATCATCAATTTGTCTGAGCGCCGACGGGTAGGGTAGAACGTACTAGATTTTGAAGATGCGCTGTGAACACAGGCATCATCAGGTAACGATTGCTTACTCTTCATTCCATGAGCAGGGCCACACATGTTGATACACGGGTCGTCGAAGGGTTCACAGCGCTGCAATGAAGCTCCATCGCGGCTGACTACCATCTGCATCGCACCCCGGCTGTTATGAAATAGGGCTGTGAAAGCACAGGAATAGCTTTGAGCGATAAAAACAAGTACAAAAAAATGAAGTAGCACCTCAGCATGCGCAAGTTGCCCTCAAGCAGGCGGTTATTAACGAAGAGTCGAAGGTGGCGAATGTTGTTGTATTCGCTTTTGTTGTGTGTCGTAAACTGCTCATGTATTGCATACAAAAGAATGAAGTGCATAGAACGATATCTTGCAGTGGAATATGATCATGAAGAGAAAACCTTGTGGTTTGAAACCAACCATTCTTGCCTTTGCTATAGCCGAGATTAACAACCAAATCTTACGAAGGAGCCTTGCATTCACATGATATCATTCTGAAGTTCAATTTGGTAGCAGAATATACGATACTTGAAGCTTGAACATGAGCAACTCACTGACCATCGCACTTCCTCCCAAACATGAAACAGAAACACGAATAAGATCAAAGAATAAAGAAAGAGCCAAGAAAAAACCGAACACTGCATATAATCAGTTGGTCTGGGCGCCAACGGTCTGAAGAGACCATCAAGTTCAGTGTGGTAACATCTAGGGGTGTGTATCGAAGGACTTACCAAACGTTTCAGATGTTCCATGAATACTTGCAAGCTAACGTCGTCCGTAAAGATCGCTTGGCCATTGCCAGCTCCAGGCGTCGTTCCATACATGCTTGTCGACATGTGGGTTGTCGACGGATTCAACTTGGACAACAGGAAACGAGCCTGACTGCCGCCCTGATCACAAACAATATATCGCGGGATGGGGAATCGGTCAGCCAGGAGGTCCTGTGAAGCAACAGAAATAGAGCATGAGCAATGAACGCAGGAGGTCCGAATTGCAACAATCCGAAAACAGTACCTGAGCATCAGCGACGGGCATCTCCAGCAATTCGTTGAAGTTTTCATAGCCTTCTTGATCCTGGTAACCAGCTTTACGCCACTGCGCGATGGTCTCACCATGGAAGATGAGGATATGGAAGAAGGTATCCAGGAGCAAAATGACATCAGGCTTGATCGAAACACTGTCAAGGAGGACAGGCTGAGGAGGGGTGTCGAAAGTGTACGACATAAGCGTGGGCTGAATCATGATGAGCGAGTTGTTGACATCTTCCTCGCTCAGAACATGTCTAAAATAATATGCCGTTAGCAACACGACCTCTGATACGTATGATAGGGTCCTCACCTGTAGAACGCGGTCTCGTCCGGACTGTTATTAAACACCTGCAGGAATTGGCTTCTTCGAAGGTGGAACATGAACTGCGGATAGATGCTGAAGTTATCCGTCAAACGGAAGCTCGTAGGGTCCTCCTTCCTATAATCCGCGAACTTCTGGCACAGGCGAATTAACATCCTGTCCAACCATCGTAACACATCGGGGCTATCATCGATCTCTGCCTTGAAGACAGCGATGCGCGCCATGAGAACAGCGGCAGCCTCCTGGTCAAAGCTAGCCGCGATACTCGGGCTTCCGGCTTCGGCGAAGTTCCTCGCGATTGTGGTGACACGTAGTCGCATTTGTCCGGACGAGTGTTGATAATGCGTGACAAACTGAATGAGGCCACGCGAGCCCGGTTGGAGCGGCTGCCCAGCGGGCGTAACTACCTCGAAATAAACCGCAGCCGCAGTTCGAGGGACGACACAGTTGATCTTCCATGCCGAAGTTTGGCCAATACCGATTTCAGTCTCGCCTACGCATGCACTCTTCTTTCCGGCAGAGATACCATGACCAATCATACCGGACACTTTAAGTTCTTTCGTAGTCTGGACGTCAAAGGTCCCGTTGAAGCCCATTTCCAGGTTACCCTGTTCATCTTTGTTGAACACCCGCAAGAAGGACTGCTTGAAGATGGAAGTGGCGAACGAATCGGCAAGGACGATGGTGCCGTTTGTGGAGTTCGGTAGAGACTTCATTTCAAGTAGACCAGTCTGGTCCAGACAACCAGCGAAAAGATCGACCACGTGGCCATTGTTAGAAACGCGTTTGGCGAGACCCTCGTAGAACTTTATGCATGAAGGTAAGACGACAACAAAGTGGAAGAAGTAACAAACGTCGAACCTTCGAAGCACGCTTGAAGTGTTTCGCACTGTCCCGATCAATGTCATGGTGCGATCGGATAGGCTCTTTCAGCTCGTTAGTGACGACCATTCCAGGTCCCTCGGTGGCCGGGCCACCAGAGAATACCATGATACGGGCACCAGTGTTCGGGAAAGTCGTCTACAAAAGTCTCCTGGATTAATTCATTTTCAACTTGAAACAGTTGTCTATACAATACCTCAAGCAGGCCAACTGCTACACTAAGAGCAACACCGGTACACCTCAGAGCCCTCTTGTCATTAGCGACAGGCCATGGATCCCTAGTGAGTGTCTCCAGGATTCCAGTGAGTTGGAATTCGCATTGCTGTACTGGCATGAGGAAACGCGCAGCGCCGAAGGTTTGCTGAGGCATTGGTTGACCAGGGCGTGGTGCAGCACGGTTCTGTGCACTTAGACCTAGCATATCCTGAATCTGCTTTGGCGAATACTCCTTCCCTCCTCTGAAAACGTAAGACTTGCTGCATTCCGCGTATCCGAGTTCGTGTACTTGAGTCTATTCAATGGTCAGGACCTTCGCGCGCATTATTAAAAATTTCAGCTCACCATTGTGCCGTAGGTAATGAGACCAACGAGAGCGTATGGCGGAATTAGTGACAAGCTGACCACGAGAGCGTCACGCAAAGCTTTGAGGTCTTCCTCGTCCAGGCAGGTGTCGACCACAAACAGAAATATCGGTGGAACTTGAGCGGGTCGCGAGAGCGTATATTCAATGGTGGTGTATTTCGGAAGCAACTCAGCAGGAAGGTTCGTATTCGATATATCCTTGTAATGCGGTGGAAACGCGTTCCTTTGCAGACAGAATGGACATATCCATAGTTTGCCTCGGATATCAATTTGACTATAAAATTCATTAGCTACACTCTGCACACAGATGCACATCGTGCGCACCAGTAAGGATTCAGGACGGCTCGACATGGTGGTTTACACGTCACCGGCTCATACAATACAGGCGGTAGGTCTTCACGTTGCTTGAGAGGCGTGTACAATGCGGATATCGGTACAACGGTTCTCGTTGCTTCTATCTTCGACGACGGCCAGACATTCCACGACAAACGTACGCCTGTTTAATACTTGAGTTTAGAGGTTTAGACACGTATTCTCGAGACTCGGATACCCACCGTCTCGCTCCTCGACGTCTTCAAAGTTCAGCATATTTAACAACGCGATCCCCTCTTCCTACCCTCCGACTCAGAAATGGATAGAAAGTAAGATGTGAAGAAACGGAGGTGGAACGATGTAGTTGAAAGTCAAGCTGGTCTGTCAGAACCTTGGTGTCGATTTCCACGACATCGAAATCTTTGAAAAGAAATTATTAATCAAATATTTGTAAGCCTCTCTGCTCAAGTGGTTAGAACTTTTCACCATGCGGATCTGTTGTCGCCAGTTCGACTCCCAGAAGTGTCGTTCTTTCTTAATTGAATTTCAGGCTTCTTCATTATTAAATAGTCACAGCTCCCCGAACGCTGTACAGCGCAGCAACCCTGGGACGCTTTCATTTTGATTCGTAATTTCCCAGGTATGTATGTAAGCCTTGAATGCACCCAGAATATATCTAAAAGGTAAGCCTTCTAGTACTATCATGATGTGATCACCGTTTCCTTAATTCTCACATCGAAGATCTTTGCTCGCTGCGATTAGTATGGATACTGTGGCAGGCCGTCGCTGCATCCGAGAGGGTGCGGGGTGCGACGTCGCAAGTCAAAGTCAATAATTTCAATGGGCGGCGGGTAACGACTCTGTCAAAGGAAACAGGCACGGAACACTTTACCAAAAATTATGTCCTCCTGTTGACACGCTCTACGTAACAGCCTAGAACTTGTGGATCTGATCCCTGCACAGGTTGAATATCCACGGTACACACATTCGACCCTAACGGCGTCCAGATGGGAATGAACAGCTTAGCCGGACACATCAGCGTCAAGACGAAATGATATACCACTGCTCGCATCCCAGATGGCGACTCTTTGCGGGCTACTGCCGTCTGCCCTGGGTCTACCTCTCCATTCCGGTTTTTCTTTCTTTTTTGCAGCCTCTGGAGTGCTGTCACGATGTCGCAGGCCGACACTGGTATGAGCGATGTAGAGTTCCTCGCGCTAGTCGCGGAGAAGGTCTTCGAAATGTGAGTCTCTGACGCAAGGCAGGGGACGTCAATTCACGCAAACCTTGCAGGCGGATTGCCAACACCTTCGCCGTAGCGGCAACTAGTGAGATGCTACCTTCTCTTCTCCAATTCGCCCTGTATTAACCTACATATTATTCTATAGCACTCCTTATTTTCGATTACCTTTTGACTCTGTCTGAAGAGATCAAGTGCATCTGGAAACGCAAGTTTACAGGTGTCACTATACTCTTCTTTATTAATCGATATGTGACGCTAATGTATCGGATCCTCATGATTGTCCAAATGGTCTCGTTTGACAACCAAACGGAAAGCACGGCGAACGCGGTATGTAGCAAATGCTTACATCTGGCCTAGATTACTAATCATGGCGTACAGATGTGAGTGAGAGTTGGTAGGGTTGGTATCAGTATCTCATATTTATTTGCAGTTGTGCAAGTGTCCTGCGTTTCTGCGAAGGACTGGTAATAATTCTTGAAGTGACTGCTGCTGGTTAGTACACCTTATATTCATCATGCATGAGAAGCACTAAAGGCAGCGTCCGCGTAGCGTTCATGGCGATACGTATGTATGCTATATGGAACGGCGACCGTAGGGTGTTCGCCGTCGTTTTCATCCTCGGTCTTGTCACACCTGCAATCAATATAGTGCGTGTACTCGTGGATCACTGCACAGTTACTCATATTCTTTGCAGTATTATTATACCACACTTTCCGTCATCGCACTACCACAGCCTCTCGTTGGTTGTGGAGAGGAAGTTGACTTGCATACTCCGATAGCTAGTTTGTAAGTCCTCTGTTATTCCCATTCACTCAATAGATTGACCATTTCTTTCTATAGCCGTAAGCCCGATTTGAAAATACAGACGCATTTAATCTGAAGCCTCATATTCAACAGTCAGCGTTTTCAATCGAGTGTTTGCCATTGGCCTTGATGCTTTCATTCTCATTCTCACTTGGGCGAAGACGGCTGGAATTATGAGGAGCTTAGCGTCCGTTCATATCAGAACATCTCTGACTACCATGCTACTTAGAGATGGTGAGTTGCTCCGATCTGATATCTACCCTTGATATTTACTTTCTACTGTAGGAACTGTGTACTTTGCGTGTGTTTTACCGCATTTGTCCTATTGGCTAGGCTTAACAATTGCATATTGTGCCCAGATTTCTCTTGGTTCTCAACGTCGCCAATCTTGTCGCCATTAGCTACAACGTCAGTCTCAGGATCGCTGCCTTCTTTATGATGTTCCTAATTGGACCCGTCTACAGATCTTTGGGGCACTACCCGCTTTGACCGATGTGTACGTTCTGCATCTTCTCTCTGCAACTATGTTTATTTGATCCTCTTATCAACATCCTTGTCATTTAGCGTCACGTCCATCTTGATCACGCGGTTCCTGCTCAATCTTCGAGGGGTTTACTCTTCTAACGGAGCCACTACCTCGTTCGACTTCGACAAGTCGATGAGTGACGTCCGTTTCGCAAACGCAAGCGATGTCGTTGGCAATTTGGGTGCTCCACTTAATTCGGTGTTGGATAACGAGGAGGATGAGAGGTATTTCGTCGCTGAGGACCCTCTTCTCGCTGGGCTCCCGACGAGTACATTGCCTACCGAAAATGAGGTGGATACAGTAGTTGACGACTTTGATGACGCGTCAGTCATTGACATCAAGGCTGACTATGACCAGTAAGTCTACTTGCTGGTTTCCTTTTTGTTTCACTGGGGTGCTGAATTTCTATTTGATATAGTGTATGATAGAAGGGAACTTAGGACATTGTACTTGTATAAACGGACAATTTTTGAAATGAACATTTGGTGTAATTATCCATAATTTATGACTTGTATCCCTGCGACATTTAGCGCATCCTTTCATATCTCATCCGTTTTAGCACGATCGTCACGCAGGAGATAGTAGTCTAGTATCGACCAGTGAACGATATTCTTCACAACACCGGAATCTACTATGTCCCTATATGAGACGACAAGCCTACTAGGCCAGAGCTACACATAGATCGACTAACTAGATACAAGACCTACATCGATAGACAGACCACGACTACATGGATTACTGTTCCTATGCCCACATAGCCTTGAACTTCTCCTCAAACTCATTCGTAACGGCATCCACAATCTCGAACACCCTCCAATCACGATCGCTCACACCTCTTGGACGTTTCACGACCGTTTCAGAATCAACCCTGGTGCGATCATCGTCGGAATCATCATCTCTCTCAGCTGGATCTACGGCAGTGACACTTCCTTCCAGATCCTCGTCACCTTCCGCATTTCCTTTAGACACGCCTAACAGAAGCTCCTCCAAGCTTGACCGCACGGCTTTGAGAGCAAGTGTGAAGTCTTGCAAAAGATACCACAAGTCTCCCCTCCTGATGCCATTGGCAACAACCAATGGTTGCGTTTGTCCATGAATATAGAAGTCCAGTAGATAGGCATTCAAAGCGAACGTGAGATCTCCGTCCGAACCTAGCGTAGTGAACGAGTGCATGGTTGGAATTGCATGGTCGTTGAGATGGAGACCTGTCCTTGCTGTTTGGCTGAGCTCAGAGACGCTTTCAAAGCAATCCGTGTGCCCGGAATTGGCGACGAAAACGGATCGTAGTTTGACACGAACAGCAGTTGTTCGTAGATCAGCTTGAAACTGATTCGTGGATTTGCCGGCCACATCCGGAACAGGATAGGTTTTGCTGCTGAATGGAAGAGTGTGATCGCTCCCTAAGTCCTTTTGATAGTGTGTCGCAAATGCTTTTGCATAGCCTGAGAAGACCTGCAGGATCTCCTCGTCATGTTGCACCAGTACCTCCCTAGCGCGATCGGGAAGAGGAGGAAGAATAACCATCGAAGGAGATTTCCTGATTTGCTCTTTTATGTTCGCTGCGGATGTGTAGACTTTAGGTATCTTCTGGCGATTGAAGAGATGAGCCATGAGAAGGAAAAAATCCCTCTTTGCATTAATCATACTGGGTTGTCCACAGATACGGTGAATGACACCCTTGCGGAAAAGCGCAACCAATGCCAAGTTGCTCGGCTCCGTGTAATACAAGTGAGCCGCAATACCGAACAGGTCGATTGGATTACCGGATGCATCCAGCAGACCTGCTCGTCGCAGGTAGTCAATGCTGAATCGGATATGATGCAACAATTGGTGTTTCCCTGTGTCTGATATGAAACTGACATGTGGAAGTGTCAATAATCGCTGAATAGCAGTCACCGCTGTAGGTGCGTAGTTTGATCCTTGGAGAAGGTTGAACAACCGAAGCACCATTGTTGACGTCAAGGGGAAATTTCCGCCCAGAGATGGTAATTTGGATAGAACCAATCGTTGGGCTCGATCCATCGCCAGACCATAAAATACGACTTTACCCAAGAGATCAAAACCTCGCCTGCCAGCTGTGTAGCGGTCAGTGAGCGAGAGACTGGTACGCAAATCACAATCACTGACCTCGTCCTGCGCATTGTCGAAACTGATTGATAAGGTCCAAACAGTCAGACGCCGTATAACCTGAATACAATGGCAACACACCTGAAGCGCTGTAAGGAAGGGAGAATCGCCACAGAATACAGATGTCTTTGCGGGCGCGTTTATACCCAGGGCCAGTGTTCCTGCAAGAGATGGTCAGTACCAAAGAACTTGAGATTTACGTAGTATACTCACCAGTTGCAATAACAACTCGAACATAGCCTAGACGGAAGAGACTGAAAAAAAAACATGATTATGCTGAGAGGCTATGTATGGAAGTGTGCTTTTACCTCTCTATTAACGTCCTGTAATGCTTGTTCATCCCGGCATGATGGACAGCTATTCCTCTCCGCAGGCAATTCAATGCCCATAAGGGTATATTTACCCATCGAATATCTTCCAAGTCGGCCATTAAATCCGTTTTTGTGTAAGAGCCTTTGGCCGAAGCGAATGAAAATTGAGGAGATGGGTCATCTGGGTCAAATGTCTCCTCCCACGACCTGGTCGATTCAACATGCTCTTCATCTTTGTTCTTCTTATCCCGCTTTGCAGCCTTCTGGGCTTGACGTTGGCGATCTTTTACTTTCATCTGCCATCGTTCCCACTGGCGCAATTTTTCTTGCCATTCCGGCCCTTTTCGCCATTCTTGCTCAGCGGCTTCGAGTGCGTTTACGATATGTATGGCCATTTTCTCGCAGGCTGTACGATCAAAATTGAACAAAATCGCGGGCTATATAAACAGTCATTAATTGTCGCGTCATCCCACACAGTGATGAAATAACAATCTCACCAAGTCTCCCTTAGAGTGCAGGTCGGCGACGAAGGGAAGCAAGTTGTCGAAGAACGCCTGCTTAGAAGGTAGAGCGTTCTGCTGAGCAATAGATAAACGAGAAATAGCGGGATCTTGTACGTGCTGGGCGACTCGTTGAAGAGGAGATTCGGGGTCTTGTGGATCCGAAATAGATATGATGTTGTTGAGAACGTCTTTCAGGTTTTCTTCATATTGGATGATATCCTTCTGACGCAGAAGAGTATTCCGGTGGAAGTAGGTGGAAGGATCGAGAGACTGAATTTTATCGTTGTCGCCGACATTGAGAGACGTCAATGCACGGTACAGTGAAAGGCAGTCAGACGCCTCCAATGCGAAGTCAGGGGGTAAATCGCGTACACCGAAGGATAGCATAGACACGGGGTGAAGGAACCTGAGCCTATCAGTGTCGCGGTAGCCGTTAAGCCCAAGAGCAAGAGAGCTTGCGGTTTTCGCCTTCTCGGAGAAAAGGTAAAAGAACTTGCGCAAGTGCGAATATCGATGAGGATGTTGTATGAAAGAATGTTTGAACCCATGTGCAGTCTGTACGGACTCGAGCCAAGTGTTGAATTGCTCCGGGTTTCCGACGGTAGCGGAAAGGCCACTATGAGAGGGTTCGGATAGGATGTGTATAGTTCAAATAGCGTACGTACATGATAGGGCATGGCGCCAGCAAAATGATCTGTTCCCAGACTGCTCCCCCTTCCTGCTGACCGATTGAATGGATTTCATCCAGAATGATTCTACTGTACGATTAGAATCGTAACGAAATAGAGAGTCTTACCCTACCGTTTGATCCTCGGTGTCCAAACGTTCGCCAATGGGGGAGATAACAGAAGACTTGCTAGTACTTCAGGCACGGTAACGAGGATTTGACAGTTTATAGGATCATTAATACGGTAGTCCCGAGTATGAATGGCCCAGCAGCTGCCTGCTTAAGCGGTCAGAAAATGCACATCAGACAATAAAGAAATGCACTCACGACCGGTCTTGTATGACTTGCTGAACCTTGCACAAACCTCAGCAGCAATCTGCGCCACAAGTGCTTTGGTAGGTGCCACGTAAACCAAGAGATCATCGTCGTTGGATCGTAATACCTTCTCCATAGCATAATACGAAATGAATGTCTTACCCGCACTCGTGGGTGCTAAACGACTTGGTCAGATAAATTGGTAAGTATGGTTTGATTACGTACCGACGACTAAAACCGAATGGCCTTCATCGTCCAAGCAATCTAGAACTTTGCGCTGCCATGCATCGGGCTCGAAAGAAACCCGAGGATCTGGCTGGCTATCCATACTTCTGTCCATGTACTCCCCAAAGAGGCGAAGCTGCCATATGACTGGGTCTTCAGTGATACGCATGAACTTGTGGATAGGCGAGCCAGACTTGGACTTGATGAGTTTGACGAACTCGAAATTAAGACGTCGTTTGTCATCATCTCTAGCATTCGGTGACGAGTCAACCAGTTCGGCCAGAAGTTCAGTCAATCCGAGAGCAACCAGCACCGAAGCGATGGCTTTGGACGCGGCATAGAAAAGTCCCCCATTTTCGGACATAGTTTTCACCTTGCGCATGATGGAGACTGTGTAGTCATCTCGCAAGCGTGAAGCATGAGACGTACTGTCATGATCCGGATGTTCGAGCCAACTGAGGATTTCCAGGTTTAACTCGTACAGCCGCATCTCGACAGCCAACCATCCATTTCCATTTGCACGTTTGGAGTTACGCAGCATATTCTCGATGTGAACGACCTTTTGGGAAAGCGGCATCGAAGATAGGCGTTGTAGTTCATTTGTCCACCACTTTTGATTAGACTCGTCTTCCTCAGCTTGCTTCTTCTCCGCGTGTTCACGTCGTATGCGCTGGGCTGCGGACTCCTTCACAGCTTTGGCTTGTTTCCGGGATGGTGCCTGCAAGTTCCTGTCAGCGCCATCGATAGATAGAAAATGTATCTCGGCAGCATACCTGAGCATGCTGCTCATTGCGACGGTTGGTGGAATCAGAGGATCCTGTGATCGTTAAGCGTTGAAGCGTCTTCCCAAACGCACCAGTGAGTGTATTTGCCTGCCGTTCCAACTGGGCCATGAAATTTTGGTTGCGACGAAGCTGACGCATGCGTTGCCACTGGTTGGCCGGTTTTGGATTGTCACCACCAAGATGTTTGGGCAACACAGGCCGACGATGATTATGCCAATGATGCAAATCGACGAATGCCTGTGAGAACTCAAGTTGAGCTGCTCCACTTTGTTCCTCCTGCTCATCGACTTCCACGTAGACGTCAGAGAGCAGGTCGTCGAAAACAGCATTGTGGAAGGGGAGAACACCGAAAGTTTCTGGCTCCTCTGAATCTCGTGCTTCAGGTGCCGGATGTGGGTAACGAGGAGCCAAGCTGGCGAAGTTCGCGGAAGGAAGTTTATGCAACTTCCATAGCATGGTCAGCTGGTTAGCGACCTCCTCGCCAACAGCCTCGGAGAGCGGCATGTCAGGATGTTGCATAAGGAACAGAAGGAGTTCGATAAATACACGGCCATCAATGTCGAGCGGATGGTCTGTAGCCTGAACAGTCTCAACAGCAGTGAAGATAAGTGGAAGGAACTTGGAAAGCAAGCGTTCATTCAAAGAGTCGCCCAGGTTCGGAGTTGGCCTTGCTCGGTCTTGAATAGGAAGCTCAGGTAGAAGCAAGAGATGTGCAACGAAGGCGAAAAGGAGTTCAGGGGTCCCCACCTCTCGGCGAGGCTTCAGAGCCAGGAATGCAGAGAGCACATTAGATACTACAGTTTCTATAGTTCCTTGTTGCGTTGGCGTAGAAAAGTGGTGGAGAGAAATTGGAAGAGAGCCACCGCGAATCCTTGTTTCTTCAGAGTTGAGGGCTACCAATGCTTGTTCGACTCTTTGCCAATGTTTAGCTTTGAGTTGTCCTCGAGCATCGACGCCCTGCCGTTGCTCGATGACGAGAGACGATATCTAAGGAAATAATCATATTACATGCTCCTACACTCGAAAGAAAGGACCAACCTTCGAATCTCTAAACTCCGCGCCCTCCAGAAGCGCTACCGAAACGCCTTGCGAGATGAGATCGAATATAAGGGTCCGCTGTTGCAGCACACACTCCGCTTCTAGAGGACTATCTGTAGCTTCGACGGGACCTCCATCATTCAGCAAAGCAAACATAGGCTGCGGACTCATCAGGAAAGAGTAGTATGCGATGCTGTCTCTACTCACTCTGTGGACTTTTAGATAGGAAATCCAGCGAGGGTCCGATGTATTATCAAAGGAGTGCACGGAAATGTCCAGTGTCTTAAGGTGTTGGTACAAGATGGCGCGCGCCAAAGATCGCGATCTGAGCACGAAAGGGTGTCCACCTGTGCCAAGGGTACGATGACGGGTGTCTAATTCACCCGTGAGTTGTGACGAAATTAATACATGAATAGGACGAACCGTTGAAAAAGACGACATCAAAGACAGCTGATCTTTTGCGAAAATCATTGAGAGTACATTCAAGGGCGTAAAGGGCGTGTAAGATTTGGAAGCTGGGATCTAACCAAGAAAAATTATAAATATTGGCGTACGTAGGAAATCAATACCGTACCTTCTTCATCTGCCAAAGCTAGCAGATGATCGTCCAACACGTTCTGGAAGAGGGATTCGCCTGAAGCAATCACCTTTGAGTGCGCACTCATCTCCAATGCGACAGGAAGAAACGTACCATCAATAATGAACAACTCATTACCACCATAGTCGCCTATGAGATCCATGACACGGCCCCTGCGGGAAGTGAACGAGTACCACACCGCATCGAAATATTCCAAAGCACTTGAGGCATCATCGCTAGTTCCCAAATCAATCGTTGTGTCCTTATTCTGGGCATTTTGAATTTGCTCGAAATCATCCAAATCCATGGCGAAAACGAGGGTGGATATCTCGGAGGTGGGTGACTTGACGTCCTGTACGAAGTGACGCTGGGCACTATATGTATGAAATCAAAAACATTTTCCTCGACGGCAAATAGAAGCCTGATAAGAATCGCCTTGAGGTCGCCTCAAGGCGCTGAACTCTCCTTGAAACGCTCCCCCGCGCGACGATCGTTCATTGAACACATTGAACATATACTGATTTCGACTCGTAACGAAGCTTAGAGTACATCTATGCGCGAGTTCACATGTTAGTATCAGGCTGCTAACGGTTGTTGTTGATATGATCAGCAGAACGTAGCAATCAATTCTATAACGCAGTCGATTCACTTCTGATAAAGCCGGTATTAAAGGAAGAAGTACTGGCGGATATTCGTCGAATGACGGACGTTGCATTGAAAGAAATGAGGTCGCCATTTGTAAATTTGCTGTCGTACCTGGGTCTCGAACTTGCCAGCGCTAGCGCGTGACGCAATATTCACACGCGCCGGACGCGTCCCCGACGCGTAGAGTGATCGAGCGCTTGGACCTTAACCTCAACATCAAGGTCCTGGTCGTCCGTCCTTCTGTCAATATACCGGTAATATTGGTCTGCTTAAAGGATTAAACCTCAAAACACCATCAACTCTCACAAAACTTTCGACGTGACCTGTTATCTCCTGCACGAGGCCGCTTACAGTCGAATTGTGGTCTCAACTGTGTGCAAGCTGCGGTTAGTTTACACGAAGTAAACAAAGTTGAGACCTCCCGCCTGCTTCGTTATTCAGTCAGATAATAAGGGTATGTAAATTTCCGCTTGATATGCAAAGGCTAACATCAATGCTCACAGTATGATTGAAGAGGTGTCCACGTCCAGAGGCTTGCAGGTTCCTCAATGGTACCGAAGACAAGCGTCATTCTGGACGCCTTGCCGGACCACATTTCGAATGTCTTCGATCAATCGCAATTGTCTGTAGTCAATCATCGAAAGAACTGCGTCGCTTTGCACAAGCTTCACGCCCGAGCCGCTTCTGTTACTCAGCCGACGAAAGATGGCGGAGTGCAACTCATAGGAGAGCGACTCTTTAGCAACGCCTTCATTGATATGGTCACTCGTGTTCTCGTAATTAAAAAGGGTTCTGTGCCGGCCGACCGGGTGGTTAAGTTCATTGGTGCTTATGTTCGGTTCCTCACAGAGAAAGGTAAGTCTAGGCCTTGCAACTGCAGTACTGGGCTGACTGGGGTTTAGCGCTACAACCTAACACGAAGGGACGATCTGGCGCAGCAGTTTCTCAGCAATCAGATGTTGACGACGAAGATACGCCTCACTCGCGCTTCGTCGCCCTTTTGCTGTCGTACCTGCTTAAAGGGTTTGAAGCAAAAGACAAGACAGTTCGATTCAGAGTTGTCAATATCGTGACGGAGTTGGTCTCCCATCTGGGCGAGTTAGAGTACGTCAGATTCATATCTATTTCGACCGATTCTGACAGTGACGTGCAGCGAAGATGTTTATGAGATGCTACGCAGTAGTCTCATGGCGCGTGCACGAGATAAGGAATCGCTCGTTCGTGCACATGCTGTTACTGCATTGTCGAAGCTTCTTAGCGGAGAAGACCCAGATGATCTTGAGGAAGGCGAACCAAGTATCCTTGATACGATGCTGGACAGCATGTGTTACGACCCTTCTGGGTAAGCCCATCGCATTTTCGTTTTCACGTATACTGACCTTAGATGAAGGGAGGTCCGACGATTTGCACTTCTGAACACCCCATTAACACCAGTGACCCTTCCCTCTATTTTGACACGCACCCGTGACGTCGATAATTCTGTTCGAACGTACCTCTACGCAGTGATCCTACTTCCCCCATCTCCATCTACTCCCCCTTCTGCCAGTGCAACTCGCCAACCTTCTCATTCTCCTACGCGCTTGAACCACCCCCGTCAGCTGACGATTGCTCAGAGGGAACGTGTTGTCAAAGATGGCCTGGGCGATAGAGAGGACAAAGTTCGCGCTGCGGCAGGGAAAATGTTAGGCGCTTGGTTCGACCAGGTGGCCGATGAAGTGAAGATGACAGATGGCGAAGATAAACAAGTCACTTCGCTCGTAGCTTTCTTGAAGCTTTTCGATGTCGCGAGCGTTGAAGGTGGATCTCTTGCGTCGGATGCTCTCAATTCGGTGTTTATGACGAGGCCGCAGGTGTTGAATGCTATTGTATTCCAAGGTAAATCCGCTTCCCTAATACAAATTCCACTCCGTTGATTAAAAATCTACAGACACATTCTGGAAGGAACTTACACCAGAGAGTATTCTGCTTGCTCGGGTATACATCGAACATGTTTCCTCTAGAGACGATGCAACCAGGCGTCTTGAAGTAGCTTCATTGCCAGTTGTAACTGCATTCGCCTTCTATACCCAAGAAGCCTGCAATGCAATATTCGACACTATGGAACAACTGGAAGAGGCCCGATCAGCTGCAATTGATGTTGATGAAGATGCCGAGATCGACGAATTGGACGCACAATTAATCGACAGAGTGTTCGTTCTCGGAGAGGTGCTCAAGATTGCAGCAAAGCTGGACTATACGGACGAAATCGGGAGAAGAAAAATGTTCCAAGTCATCCGTGAGCCTTCCATAGTCTTCTATCCAAAGGACGGACAATTGCTAATCATCTCACTACAGGTGATATCCTTGCACATGAGCTGTTCCCCGAAAGCCTCATGGACCCATGTTTGGATATACTCAAGACCACTACTCCAAGCGAGAAAGAAATTATCCGCATCATAGTCGAGATTATCACTGAACTTCGTGACAGTGTCTTCGAAGGAGGAGTTGAATCATTAGTGTGTTGCCTTTTACGCTTCTCGGCTAGTTGTATTCGCTGATATGTCGACAATAGGCCGTTACGGAAGAAGGTCTGAACACTACACAGAGCGGTGTCTATTCTCGTTCTAGTAGACGCGATAGAACTATGGCCGAAATGACTCCCGAGGAGCGGATTCGCTCAGATGAAACGGATATCAGGTGTCTGAGCTTATGTATCGCCACTCTTAAACGGGTGAATGGGGTATGGACTGGAAAGTTGTCGTACAAGGTTGAATTTCACTGATTGGTCATGTCGTTTCAGAGCTTCGAGGAGAACTCGACCCTTGAAGGCATCCTAACCGATCTCATTATTCCGGCTGTGAAACGCAAGGAACTGGCTCTTCGTGAGCGCGGTCTCGTCAGTCTTGGATTGTGCTGTCTCATAGCCAAGGTGCCTATTCAATCACATTATCCTCCAGCTTGTTGTAACTGATCGGTTGAACAGAACATGGCCATGAGCTCGTTCCAGTTGTTTCTTAGTCAAGTGCAGAGTTCCTCGGAAGACCTCAAGCTCAAGGTTCTTCAAGTTGTCTTTGACATTCTAATGATTTATGAGGAAGATCTTTTGCGTCGGTCCAAGGACATTGTGAGAATTCAGTCTATTCTGTGGATTTGTTCTTCTGACTGTTAACATTTATAGGCGGAGCGGATTATCGCTTTTCTCCTTCAAACGCTTGAAGTTGAAGAATCTCAGGCAGTTCAAGCACTTCTATGCATTGGAATATCGAAGCTCATGCTGAACGGATTAGTTACAGACGAACGCGTGAATATTTCTTTCGACCTTGCTTGTGCATGCTCGTTGCACCGCTGACCCAACGAGCACAGGTGTTGACGAGTCTCGTCCTTGCCTATGTCTCTCCCGTTACTGCGGATAATCAAGAACTGCGTCAATGCCTATCTTATTTCCTTCCCGTTTATTCTTATTCTTCATTTATAAACCAAGATCGCATGCGATCAGTAAGTGAATCAGTCTTTCGAAACAACGTGTCTGACTGTGTCCTAGGTATTCCTTACAGCATACGATCTCGTCGCAGCTGTGTATGAGGATCTGGACGGCGACCAAGACATGATAACACCATCGCAATTTGGAACTTTATTCGTCGACTGGACGAATCCCAAGAAAAACGCCGCTTCGTAAGTGGATTTTATAACCTTTTTTTGAATAGTGTTCACATCTGGAAGATAGGGAATCCTCCGGTGTTGAATCGAAAGACACCCATGTAGAATTTGCTATCGATCTTCTCATGGCATTATATGCGAAGGACCGCGCAGGTGCATTGAACTGTTGACGTGATTGAAGTGTGATTCTTATATCTACATTGTAGGGGACGACAAGAGAGTATTCTGTCAAATACTCGGCAAACTTTACTTCCCCGATCATCCTCAACCCGATCACCTTGCATGCATCGACACTTTACTGCAGCACATCGATGACGTGAGTTGTAGCACTGTGACGAGGACCATATACTGATTACATGCCTTGTTTAGCATCTTCCTGCCGATGACATTCCCACTCAAAAACTCCTGGACCGTTTCGCGGCACGCTTCAGGAAACAATTTTGGAGGCAGGTAGAACGCATGGATCGCTCTCCTTTAAAGCGGTCTCAGGACTACCGCGATGTCTGCGAACTTGTTGGTCTCGACATGTCCGAGGAGGAAGCAGAAGGGGAACATGAAGCCGACGGTTCTGATGTTGATCTAGAGACAGTTTCTGCTCCAGACAGAGACGCTGATTCCGGCGTCGACCAAGATGACGAGAGACAGGGTTCTGAACCTCCGTCCTCAAGATCAGTGTCGAGGTATACCATGTTCTACCGATCGTGTTGTCTCGATGCTAAGCTGTTGCTGTGAGATAGGTCACCAGCCCCGCCTCCCTCTCCAAGCAGGAACAAGCCCGCTAATCGCAGGGTCTCGAAGAAGAACCATAGTCCTGCATCGGACAGTCCTTCAATGTGAGCAATACCAAGGTCTAGGATAGCGTATCTCTGTTTGACCCTCTTGAACTTTCTAGTTCCGGGTCGTATGATGAAAATTCGCTGATCGGCTCCTCACCCAGTCCTGTAGTCGTGACCCCGAAACGCCGCCAGATAGCAAAGTGGGTATTCTATGTTGTACCCATATTCCAAATTGCTAATGTCTAGGTTATTTAGACGATTTCGCACTCCTGGCACACCTAGTACACTTTCACCTGCGCACAAGCGAACTGACAATCGAAAAACACCTCAGTATGTGTCTAATATCTTCTTCTGCTAGTTTACTCAGGCTGCGACAACAGACGTCGTGCGAAACCGCTTGGTGGAGATCCTTTCGTGGATACCACGAATCAACGCAGAGCCAAACGGCGGACCCGCCATCAGGCTGCTTACGAGAGCGAAGAAAATCAGTCAGACTCGAGTGACGATGATAGCGGCGAGGAGAGTCCCGTCCGCGTCTCTGTTGCACGACGACTGAGTGCAAGATGCCAATCACCAATGTCTTCGGAGCCTTAGTTAATATCGCATCACCACTACTTTTCTCTGAGTTGTGGCGTTGTTTGCCAATTGTACACTACATTCACATAAGTATAGCACTAAGGATACAGTTGAAATGGATACTGAAGATGATGACGAAGGTAGGATCGTTATGTTGGAAGCCCCTGCCAGTGGTATAACACTACACCCTATGGAAGGCATTAGTATCGATGACTTCACTTCAAACAGCAAATTGCTTCGTACTGTACTATTGTCCTTCCTCACAATTTTCCTATTCACCAACGCGATCAGACATTTGTTTACCCGAGCCTGACTGACATCGGGTTTCACCAGCTCCAAGACTGAAAGAGAACCGGATCGTAAACCGAGAGGCCAAACAACGCTGATAAACAACTTACTTCCGACGCCTCTCCCTTCACGATCTAACAGACCTTCAATGACGGTTTCGGCATGGCTTCGCAACTTCGGATCGTTGCCTCTGAACTCGAGAGGCAATGCTGAAATGACCTTATCGATCGCCAGGGCACGTTCACGTTTCTCCCTCACCGTCATCTTTGGTTTCCCTTTCTTCTTCGTAATGCCTTTCGCAGGTTGACCAGAGGCATTCGTGTTCGAGGTGGTGGCGGTGGTGTTCGCTGCGAACGTGGTGTCATTTCCAAGCTCAGAGGTGACGTGTGTTTGATCAACGGCTGGCTCGGGTGGCGGAGGTGACGCCTGAGCCGCTTTCAGGGCAGCCATAGCAGCCAGTGCATCCTCCTCTATAGTGTGTCAGAGCCATTCGACCGAGGTTAGGGAGCACACCATCACCATACCTGCTCTTCTGGCTGCCAGTTCATACGATGCATCTGTGGGCGCTTGTGGCCAGTCGGTGGTCAAAGCGTTCATGTTCATTACATAGAGCCAGCTAGCAAAACTTTCATTGAAAGTCCCAAGAGCATTACTTAGCCCTCGTAGACCCTCTATGTTTGTATGCAGGGTCTCTACTTCATCAAGCAGTTCGCTAAGCGCGGGTTCGAGGAACCCAAGACCATGAGGCGCATCCGGATACGCTCCGGAACGAGATAATCGGAAAAGTGAGCCTTGCGAGAGGCGTCGAAGAGGCGTACGATGAGGAGTGGGGACTGTCGTCATAATGTCCTTTCAATATCGTCTAATAAACAGGATAAACATTAGCAAAGATGTTCGCTGAGATATTTACAGACAACGTGGACCTTGGACTCACGAAAGCATAGACTCAATGGTGCGTTAAGTGCCGACTTCCCGTGATCTTAACAGTACACTACTAATTATGCAGGTTCATGACAGTCTGAACACGACGCGTCTGTGGCCGATTTCGCATGATCGGGCTCCGTTTTAAATAGATACTCAGCGGTGCGACTGACTTTGATACTTTATTGATTGCCGCCAGAAGTCCGACAGTATGTTATAAACGGTAATATTGTTTGCTTTTCAGTCAATCCGATCCCGTCGTGAGCTTGAAATCCTTAAACTTCAAGTTTAAGGAAGCTTGGAACTTCAAAGCTTCTCCCTTCATTCTTAATTCTCATATACTACGAGGATATTATAGCGTGCGTTCTTTAATTTCTGGAATATTCAGCTTAGCTTGGTGGACGCGAAACGGTCCAGTCGTCCTTTAAACTTGGTTCGCGTGGAGTAGTTTTCAAGTTTCCACGAGTACGAACTGTGCTCCTCAAGAGATGTATTTCACCAGTTTTTGAGAGCAGGAAACTGATACTCTTTAGCTATAGGTTATTAACAAGCACGCGTCGTGCACGAGGCTCTCCTTCGCGTGCCTGCTCTCGGTTGGAGCCGGAGTGCTTGTATGAGCGTTCATACGTAGAAGTGAAGTTTGTCTTCTACTCATTCGTTGACACCAAGATCTCATCTCATCACGGACTTTCATGATCGACAATCCGTCATACGAAGACTATATGAAATGCCACACAGATCCCCCTTTTCATCCGGAGAGTGGTCTTCTCCCCAATCCTCGGTTCGGACACTCTTTGTGCAGCTCTCAAAGAACGGCATGTCAGTGGCTGGCGATCTGCTCTGCTCGCCAGGATATCGGCTATGCTACTTGGCTCTGGACTCAATGAAGTATTGAGATCAGATCGTATCGCCGCAACTTCAAGCATTGTGCGATAGAAAGTCGACAATGAAGATGCGCATGCGGCCGGACGATTCTTGCCTCATGTTAACACTGACTCAATGACCACTATGGACTTCAATGAAGACAGCCACACTCGGCTAATACTGCAGTGGTCTCTTAGCTTTCAGCAAAGAGCTCTTTCTTTCCATTGTGGGTCTCTGACTATTTAAGACCTCGGTGAGTGATGTTGCTCCTTACCAAGTCGTCCTCTCCAATCCCTTGCTACACCGTTTGATACGGTCCCTTGCTATCCTTCACATTTCCAATCATTTAAAATATCTGGTTGTATCCACTAATTCCTTATACATTACAATGGCCGCCATTTTCTCTTCTACGAACGCGCCTTTGCCGCATCATTTCCACCGCCTTCCACAACAATTCAACTACCCAGCCAATCCTCAGCCGTCCAAAGTCATTCCTTTCCATCCGGTTGGAGGTAATCCAGCTGTTGGAGTCCGGGTCAGCCCCAGTATCGATACCGTTTCGATAGACAACCCAGATGGAGCTCTCGGCCTCGATCTAAAGCCTAAATACACGTTGCGCGTCAACGTGAGTTGACTAGATTTCCCTATCCATGAGCACGTCGTTACTAACGTGCACTCTAGTGGCTGGGATGTGGGCCTGCATTTGATGTTCATTTTTCCCTCAAAAAAGGCACCAGGAAAGAGCTACTCTGCAAAACTTCCGATGCCCTGCAGCAGTGGATTGGAGTGAGCGTTTTGTGACGTATTCAGGGGATGGTGTTAACGTGATGCTTCAATGCCCTGCCAGAAAGCCCTGAAGGAACGCCAAGGTGCTGTACCTCCTCAGTACAAGCTAGCTCTGGTGGAAAACCTCGTCCACATCGCATCGGCGTACATTTACCAAGGCACGATCGTTCACCTGGAGATCATCATTGGCCCTGTATAATCGACTTGCTGGTTCAAGTTCTGGGATACGACCTTTGGAGTGCTGGCTCACTCCTACAAGATCTGGGATCTACTTACACTCACTTCGCTCAACCACTCTCTCGGATTTGCTGCTTGGTTTCTCGCAGACTCTCCGTCTCTGTTCCTCACACGCTCTTTCTGTCTGTCTCTCTTTGTCTCTCGCTGTATCGTTAGCATCGCCCTGCTCTCGTGTTATGTGTAGCCTGTCGACTCTGTGCTCGCCTCCCACCCTAGTAGTATCGTAACATCTCTGTAATGTCCTGCACAATGTGATAGTGTTCCTTCCTGTTAATACAATCCTTATGAGTTACCAGTGAGATCGGACTTTGTTCATTTGCATCTATAAGTACCGCATGGACATTTGTCTTGCGCAAGTGTGCATAGGTCCTTGTATACTGGATTTTCCGTACAGACATCGTCACCAACGCGCAATAATATTGAATAAAGCGCCCTCAGTACAAAAACAACATGCAGAAGATACAACACAGGTGTGCACGCGGTATACGAAGCTTAGCCCCAAATACTATCCAGTAGCCGCTCTCCAGCACCTACGAACAAGGCCCCAATAAACTTCGTGACAGTCCTCCATTCCCTATGACCCGGTCGATGTGAATCCCCAATGCCGCCTCCACGGAAGCCTCCAGTACCATATACAGCCACAGCAATGCCCAGGACCAACACCGCACTAGCCACCATAGCTTTCCTACGACTAGGTACCAGACGATGAGGCTTGCGAAGACGACGTCTGCGGCGTTTCTCTCCCCTATGTTCGCCTTCTTTCTCCTTGCCTTCCTCTTCTTCTTCGGATTCCTCTTTGACGGGATGGACGACTAAGTCTGGCTTCGTAGCCATCAACTCCGCCTCATCGTCTTGCGGAAGTTGCGAGGGGTTCTCGGACCAGGTGAACATAACACTTTGAGGCCCTAGAATGGTATCGAGTGCTATGGAAGGATGTGAAGGTGGATAAAGCTCGTAGAGTAAGTCTGCTTGTTGGAGCAATGAGATAAGGGACATTCGGGGTCGGGGTGGAGGAGGAGTTGGTGGGGTTGGTGGACGAGAATCTTGTGTATCCTCTGAGAGCTGCTGAGAGAAAAGCGGCTCTTGAGGTTGCTCGTCTAGGTACGCATCTGAGCTGCCAGGAGCCTCGTCGGATGGAATGTTATTCAGATCTGGGGAAAACGAAACTTCAGCTAAAGCCGAAGTCTCTGCTGCAGCGTAGTCGGATCTGGATGAAGCTGAATCGAAGGTATCGGGAAGGTCTTGCACAGTAGTTAACACCTTCTTAATGGATACTTCCATCTCAATTGATACAGCCTCTGCCTGACTTTCTCTTTCACCTGCGGGTTCTGATGAACTGATATCCCTCATCATCTCTTCCAGTACAGGGCCAAGAATATCCTCATCTTCGGATGCCTCCCCATTGTCTTCGTCCGAGTCGAACAAGTCGGGGAGGCTACAAAGCAGAGAATGAATCATACCATCCTCGCCTTCTTGTTCTAGTAGTTCAACTTCGGCCTTCCGAGAAAGTAACATCTGCAAGAACTAGAAGTAAGCGTCTTATGACATGTATCAAGAAAAAGACATACGGCTGCTGCCAGATACACGGCTGCGATCGGTGGTCGTGAAAGCAGGTAATCGAATGCGTGTTGTGCCAAGGAAAGAGTAGGCAAGTCATGAGAGAATAAAGTCAACAGGTTGGATAGTGCGTAGTATGGGAGTGGAGAGGTTCTTATCACTACGTATCAGATGAAGTTGGATTAAACGTAAGAAACTGCATACCGCTGTAGGATTTCGGCAAAATTAGGGTCGGCCAGTGACAGTAGTCGTTGAAGCACTCTACAGATTTCGTCAATTCGACGGGAATGACTTGATATGAAACAAACTAACCTGACAAGGGCGATAACAGGCTCTAAATTTGAACCCATAGAGTCGCGCAATCTATGTAGACTCATCTTCTCCGCAGATGCCAATAGTATGTCTTCTGGTAATGTCAAAAACAACACTGATATTATATCATGGTATCCCTTGAAATAACAAGAGGAAGTCAATTTAGCGAGTCAGTATGGAATTCAGGTGATTTACCTGGAAATAACTTAGGTGCCGTCTCTTGCGAAACAGTGCGACAATTAAGTCGTGTAATTGAGCCTGTAACTGTTCTTTACTTTTCACTTCCTCTAACAATGAGTTAACAGGAGTCACGGATATGCTTTAAAGCAATGGTTTCACCTACTGGGTACAAGACAAAACTTCGGTCGGTGTCCAGCTTAATTTGCCGTTCGTCCGCATGTTCTTCCACAGAGTCGATGCTAAGCCCAGCAACGGAATCAGCCCTCCATCCAGACAAGTATACGGTAGAGTTCCTGTCTTCATAATCTGGAACATTCAGCAACGACTTCCTGTGAAGGCATGTCAATCGAGACCCGTCACGTTCAGACACACCGAACTCACCACAATGCCACACGGTCCTGACCAAAACCGCCTGGAAGCAGGCTCCTTCTCCTGGCGTCCTCCCAATCCAGTGTTCGTCTCTCGCCCACATTCTCTTCGTCGCTCATGCGGGCGGATATGGTAGCTCGAGGTCAACGTCTAGCAGTGATCGGCACCAACCAGTGCCGGAGGTGCAGTCGCTTACAGTCGGCGCTCTTAGCGGCTATTACCGAGGATTCGGATATGGGAGGAAGTTTAACTTTGCACAATCCCCCCTTACCTGGACAACTACTATAGAGATACTGTATGCCAAGATATCATGAAGCAGAGCCGTAGCTATTGCAGGTATTCCATTTCACCATGGTACGGTTTCTTTGCACAGGCCCCCCACAAAGTGATATGATGTGAATTGATTCTACGACCGTGACAGGATTGTCGCCACTCTGAATTCCCTTCTCCGAAATGTCAATCTCATCCTACCCTCTCTCCCATCCCGTTGCTCCTTGATTATATCAACAAGGTACAGTCCATCCTCATCTCTTCCTACCACAATTCCCGACACCTCCTCACCCGCAATTCTGCTGAGGACCCATGTCCCCTACCATCGATTTCCACTGAGCATCTGTACGACGCAAGAATGCATAGAAGCATGCTCACCGGACTGACGTCATCATCGCTTTGCATTTATGGTAACACTGTTTGAATATTGACGACGCGAAGTAGGAGCTCCTAGGTGACGACTGGTTTCAGCGAATTATCCACGGAAGCAATCGAGGTACGTGCCAATTCAACAACTCGGCATGCAAGACTTGCAATGTCAAGAGACCCCTGAACCTATTTATATAGTCGTCTTGCCTGCCGAATTTACCCGTAATACTGGGCTCCGAAGCTCGAAAATGGCAGGTGAGATCCGCACCAGCTCAACTAAGTGATCAGATACATGATAACGCATTCTGATCCCAGGGATCTTGCCTTGGCATTGGACGTAATGTCTTCAGGTTACAGCATGCATTCATGACCGTAAATAGGTGCAAAGTAGCCCGAATCTAAGCCGGTATAGTAGCGCGTAATAGCGCGTTATAAATTGAATTGATAATCTACTTCTTCGAACAGATACTAAAGGTACACCGCTGACACCAAGTAAAGAATCGATATCGCAAACATGACAAGAGTCATCACCATCACGAGGTCTTCTGCAAAAGAGAGTCTATAGTGCCAGTAATTCGCTGAAAACTACTTCTTATCGGTCACATCGTTACATTGTTCTCTGAAAGTAAGCATTGCGACTAAGATCAACGGGACTACTCAGCTGACTAGCATGTGCAGAGATACCGCCGGATAATCACTGTCTGACGTGACTTCCAACCTTGTCGACAATGCACTAAAGTCAACAGATTCTGTCCGGCATGAAATTGCGTGTTGAGGTTCTTCCGGGTTTTCATCGATTTGAAGGCTGATTTCCACGGGATCTTCGTCCCTTGGGCTCGGAAACAAAGCAATATACGGTTCGCAAAGCATGTTTGGTCCTACTACGCAAGATACTATCTCCAACGATGCGAAAATTTCTTTGGCTATAGTCTGAGCATTTGGCGCGCCGGTAAACAGAATTGAACCGTTCTCCTGAAGTCACTTTGTTCGGTCAATGGACCTGATTCCTCTTTCTGGTTATGCTTCATGCTGTTCCACGGACCCGGGCACTAGGAGATACACGGGTCCTCATCCCTGTAGCGAAGCAATATATTCAAGGAGCATACATGTCTTTTCATCTGAGCCACATCGACGTCTTCACCTCTGATTTTACTTCTCATTTCCCATTCAACAGATCATTCCTTACTTTATTCAGTGTGGCGCACGCAACAAGATCCTCGCCGTACTTCACTCGAAATGGATGAACTTCTCGCAACTGAGCATATGGCCGAACCCATTCCCTGGATACTGTTGCAAAGTCCAGAACACCTTTCGGTTACACATCGTGATCCTTGGCCAGGTGTCGATCAACGACAATTCGCCCTTGCAGATGAACTCATCGTGAAATTATTCGCAGATGTAGCCGGGCCCGATGGTGGATCCGGACGACATCAATTGGAAGTGTGACACATTAAGCCCTTCAAATATTGCCTGCCAGTGGACTCCTGCGCAGGGTGCCTCACGTTATCCTGGACTCTATTTGTACTATGGATTTCAGCCAAGCTATGCTTCTTAGACGATCTGTCACAGCACTGTTCCTGAATGGTCCGAGGAGATTGCACATCTAGGAAGCTACATTCATTCACCAACCTCAACCGAAGCCTTCCAAAACGCATTAATAGACAAAGTTCGCAGTGGAACTAGCGACAGAAAGCACCTGGCGCGAAAGCTTCATTGCGGGAGGATAGTAGATAACGTGTCACATGGAAGAGAGAATATCACGAAATTGCGGAGAGAATATCAAAGGAGAGCGACAATGATAAGTCATCCTAAAGTGCAGTTATTACACACATCAATTCCTCTACACATTGTCTATCCTCAATGACCAAATAACAGAAGGTGGAAAGGGTTTCAACGATGACCGTAAGGTACAAACATGGGAACTTCAGTCTAATCAGAAAGCTAGGTCTACATTGTATGTGGGGACAACAAAGACTCGGAAGGAAATTACTCCCAGGGCTCCATGGCATCACCGTAAGGGATGCCGTTCAAAAGAGCAGATAAATATTCGACGTGGTAGCAATAGGAGTGCGCTGCTGTCCGGTTGGTCTTGTAAGATCTGTCGAAGTCTACCAGTCGCCACTTGTACTTCCGACCAGTAAAAGGTGACGGTAAGCTTGGCAACGTAGATGGAGAACGCGGCACACTGAGAATATTCTGCCATCGGATATCGACATGGTCGACACCAAGCTCAGCGATATCATGATACAAACCATAGATATGTTGTCTGAAAAGCAAAACGAAATTGGATCGTCAGAATATACAGGGCATGACAGGCAATGACTTACTTGAAACCCTTCGGAAGCGGCTGTCCTAGGGGTACACGTTCACCCAACCGTTCAAGTATGAGAATGGCAAGTGGCGTGTCGACGGGGACTGGCGTTTCCTCATCGTCACTGTCAAAATAGTCATCGTTATCCATCTCATCCTCCACTCGCTCCGCATCCTTTGTCTCCGTATCTAGAGTTTGCTCCTTCTTCTCCTTCTTATCATGTTCTTCATCTTCATCTTCGTCGGACTCGTAGTCGGAGTATTGATCAGGTCTATAGTCATCAGATTCGGAGTCCTCGCATTCAGAATCCGAAATGTCGCTATCAGACTTGTATTGGCGCTTCGACGCGTCCAGAGGATCACTTTTCCAGGGCAAGAAATCCCAGTCGGCAGGAACAATTGTCTCGTAAACACCATAGCATCGCGCAATAGCAACGCCTTGGAGGCATTCCATCTCCTGGTAGTAATAGGCTTCGCGCGCTAGCTTCTTGCTGTCTTGTCGACGGGATATCTTGAGGACTAGTTCAGGAAGTACCATACCAGCCAGCTCTGCGCTCGAATTATCGGTAACAACTGAGGCTTCATATACACGGCCAACACGACCGCGACCAATTTTGGGACCAACCTTGAGGTGGAGCGTCAAGTTACCAGGAGGTGGCAATTGAGATGGAGGTGGTGTTGGAGGCTTTGGAGGTCGACCACGCTCCTTGACAATAAAAGGCTTGTTAGCGCGAGGAGTGCCCCGATTCAGTTGCACATCAATTTCCTCTGAGTTATGCTTTGCAACACCTGAGAGAATGATGGACGAGAAGGCATTTGAAGGCTAATTATGCGTTAGAGAGACGGGGGACGCGATGAGTCGCAAGATAAACTCACTAGTACGTGAGTTGCAGAATCTTGAGGACGGCTCTTGTTGTTGTTGGACATTGTTGGCCACACTGTGCAGTTCCAAGTGGGTTGAGTGAAAGATACAAGGCTGGCCACCGTGTCCACCCATACCATTTATGTTCCGCAATTCGAGCGCTCAAATGTGTCTGGACGGAATCTTTACTTTTATCTGATCTTTCTGGGTTTTCCGTGCCTTCGTTCTGCAGTGACTAAACAACGAGCATCGTTAACTTCTAGATTTGTGAATTACATTAGCTATAAGGTACAAAATACGGGAATTCAGAGCGTTCAGAAAGACAGGATTACATTGCATGCGTGACAACAAAGAGACGATTCGGGTGGAAGTTACTCCCATGGCTCCATTGCATCTCCATACGGGATGCCATCCAGTAGAGCGGATAGTATTCCGATGTGGTAGCCATAGGAAAATGCCGGAGTTCGGTTAGTCTTGTAAGACCTATCGAAGTCTACCAGTCGCCACTTGAACGTTCGACCGGTGAAGGGCGACGGTAAGCTCGGGAGTGCAGAAGGAGAATTCCCCACACTGAGAATGTTTTGCCATCTTATGTCGACATGGTCGATCCCAAGCTCAGCTATATCATGATACAGCCCGAAAATCTCTTTCCTGTAACATGATAGCGTCAATTGAGCGAATCAGTATAGTGGGACAGAAACCAACTTACCTGAAACCTTTAGGAAGCGAACAGCCCAGAGGCACGCGTTCACCTAGTCGCTCGAGTATAATAATGGTAACCGGCGTGTCGACAGGGAGAAGTTGCTCCTCCTCGTCACTATCAGAATACTCATCGTTCGCGAAGTTCACCACTTCACCCTCATCGGAGGCTTGGTCTGTTGCTGTTGCTGCTGCTGTCACTTTGCGTTCTTCATCGTCACTAGACTGAGAGTCAAGCTCATCCTCGGTGTATACTTGATCGTCTTCCCATTCATCCTGACATTCAGAATCTGAAATGTCACTGTCGTACGTGTACTGACGTTTCGAAGGATCTAATGGATCACTTCTCCAGGGCAGAAAGTCCCGATCAGCGGGAACAATAGTCTCGTAAAGACCATAGTATCGCGCGACTGCTACGCCTTGGAGACACTCCATTTCCTGATAGTAATAGGCTTCACGCGTCAGTTTCTTGCTATCTTGTCGACGCGATATTTTCACGACCAAATCTGGAAGCTTCATTTCCGCGAGCTCAGGACTTGAGCCGGAAACGACAACGGAGGCTTCGTAGACGCGACCAACCCTACCACGACCGATTTTTGGACCGATGTCAAGGTGAAGTGTGAAGTTGCCCGGGGGTGGGAGTTGGGAGGGGGGTGGCGAAGGAGGCAGTGGAGGACGTCCGCGTTCTTTCAACACAAAAGGCTTGTTGGGCCGGGGAGTACCGCGTTGCAATGTAACATCGATAGCCTTCGAAGCATGCTCAGCAACTCCGGACAGGATTATCGACGAAAAGGCATTGGAGGGCTACATTTCACTCATGAGAAATATACGAGACAGGTAAATGATGCAACAACTTACGACGAGAGGTAAAACTTGATTGACTGTATCGTCTTGAGACATCTTCAATTCGGATTCGGATTCAATCAGATGAGGTTAACGTATGAGTTGGGTGTCGATGCTCAAGATGCACGGGGGATTATATATTGCGACCACTCGGTAAAGGCCGAATGTTGAACGTTGAACAATAGATGCACCGTGTGACCGTTGTGGTGGACGCTGAGTTGGAAACTGTTTAACGCGAGTCATGCAACGTCAACGCCAATTCTAGGTACATGACATTTGCCTGTGGTTCCGGGGCCAATCACGGAAAATATTTTTGACTAAATGCACAGGTGCTCCGTACAATGGTATTTACCATATACAACAATGGATCCAAAATAGCCGATGCGACGCCGTGTGGATTAGGACCACTGTACCACAAAGTTGAGTCGGTAATCTCAGACTGTGGTTCCACATACTGTACCCAATGCACAATAAGTCGTTAACCGAGCTACCTTCTAGAACCTATATATAGACCTTGCATGGTGCTGCCTTGCAACCCAGGTACTCTTCCCCCATCCCCGCAACATAGTCATGAGCACCCCGTCAATCAACCGTGCCCAACCAGGAAAACGTCAAATCTTTCTACCAGATCGTCTCTTCACTAGTTCTACTAACAAGCTCGATGCTTCCTCGTCTCCTGTCGCTAGTAACCTTGGCCCTCAGCTTCCGCTAAACGACCCGCCCAGACGAAATCACGCACCACCTTTCTCTACCAAATGCAAACGGTTACATCGTGCGCCGCTGTGTACAAAGAGCGAGGGCATTACGAGGACTCCCCAGTCTATCCTCAATATCTCGAATAGCTATCAGCTCAAGAGTGTCAAACGATCCAAGAATCTCTGGAAGAATCTGAAGGCCTACGTTGACGCTGGAATACCCAAGGGTAGAAAGAAGGATCAATATCTTACCACCTGGTCCGCGAATGGAGCGCCTGAGCTGGCTGATGCTAAACAACAAGCTGATGCCGTATACGCTCTTGGAGGATGGGCTGCCTTGCAAGCTGGCAGACCTGAAGGTTTAGTCAACTCTGAAATGGCGGTTGAAGACCAAGTTTGCTCTCAGCTAATCGAGCCACTTGATCTCATGATGAGAGTGAGTATATTCAGGCATCTCTTTTCCTTCTATTATTAACTCTTTTTCTTTTTTCTCTTTGGTTTCGATAGACTCGATACAGAAACACCGTTACTAACCCTCTCGTGAAAACGAAAGAAACTTGGATAGATCACCGTACGAAAGAGAAGATGGCCGCACCTGAGGATGCTTGCACGCCACAATGGGGTCGACCTGTGCCGGCTTCGCATGTGGTCAAGATGAAATCCAAGGCAAGCAGAAAAAAAGCCGGGTATCCCGATCTCATCACCTACAAGAGCCCTGATTATCAAGATCATGGCGCCATCATTGAAATTAAAAGCTTCCTGGCCTTTACGGATGCTGCTTTTGACACATTTTTTACCATTCCCGTGTTTGCTAAAGACAACTCCGGTCTCTTCGCTTGGCATGAGATAGGAAAGATGCATAAGCTCGTGCGCCAGGTACGCTGTATTACATGTTTGGCGATCGTAGTCTGATTTATTTGGACCGTAGATCTGGGGTGAATTGCATTCCTTCAAGGCTAGATGGGGTTTTGTCACCAACGGAAGCAAGATCATTGTCTTCGTCAAAACTGGACGCAATGAACTTACATTTTCTGAGGTCCAAGACTGGGAACAGGACGACGTTTTGCATGCTTTGACTGGACTGACTTTTGCTGCCATTGATAGTCTGACGGTAAACACACTGATCTCCAAGATTTGCCCCGCTGCAGATCGCGACACTGACTTCCAACGTGCCCTTGCTACCGTGGCTGAGGAGGAAGAACCTGCCGCTGAGGAAGAGGAAGAGGATGCCGACTCTGATGACGCCGAGGACTCTGCATGACGCTGCATGTTTACTACAACGAATATGTCACAGAACTAATGTTTTTTTATTTAATATCATGTTGTTACTTACTACCTCGAAGGAACTCTGCTAAAGTTTTGTACCGCAAATATACTCAATAAAATACTAGTCTTTCTGAAATGAAATCTACTACAGGGCATGATCCAGTCGCTGCCGATGGCCCGACTGATTCTTTGTCTGTCCATACCTTCATTACACGTTAGGCAAAGTATAGTATGTAACGTTGGTCAGACACGCACTCGGAAGCAAGGCGGACAAGCCTGTGGATCGGTTCAATGTAATATATAAATGACCCATTTGATACCCTTCTCGCAGTCCAAAAGTGAATGGCTTCAGGCAAGGCTTGTTTTGGTGGATGACCGTGAGTCTATGTCTGCTACACACAATGATTGAACAATCTAAGAACCTAGATTTGGTGGACATCCCTGCGCAACTGCCACATCGTGATACTTATGTTCATCACAGGGAGGCAGTCCTAAGATTTCGGATGCTCGGGCAGCCTGAGGAAGCTCGTATGGTTTGAGCAATGACAGCAACCGCGCCCAACCGCGGCCAGATAAGTTCTAGATTCAGATAATGCCTCCTTCGCAAAAAGGCCTGACACAAATATGATGGAAACAAACTGATTCAACGATTGCGGTCTTGGACGTCTTCATTTTCTTGCTTGCATTCAAGCTCAAGTTCCAATACAATCGTGTCATCGAGTGGCTCAAATCAAAAACCTACAGTAAGGAGTGTTTGCAACCACTGGGCGAACCAAACATAGAAAGTTGAGTTCTATGAATGGTGGTAGCCTTGATCTTTTTTTGTACCAAGTTTGGAATTCGGCTATGGTTCGTGAATCGTGATTATGCAGTATGCACATGGTCGCAGTAAGGCCGACTTCCTACCGCTGCATCTTCACGATTACCATCTCGAGAACGCCTTTGAGTTTGCGAACTATGCGCGCCAGAAATGACTGGATTCTGAGATGGTTGCGGCAATGGAAGAGCTGTGTTGGAGAGAAAAGCGCTGGGAGGAGCCGGTCATTCATGGGCTGTTCATACGTCAGATTAACGTGTACTCATGGCGGATCCTGTCACTATTTGAGGCGCACTGGAGGAGTGACGAATTAACAGCTACAGATGCAGATGTTCTGGTAACTCCACGGGACTGTCAGAAAGTGAATGTTCTGGCTCCTATCAAACTCGCAACCACTCGTAGTGTTGGGACCCCCCCCAATGACAGATACATAGGAACACCCACCTTTGAATCAGGTGTAACGGCTTGAACCTAATTCGAGCTTCCGCGAGATATCTTCACCAGTTCGTTCTGTGTAGAGACAGCACTTAAGGATGAGCACGGTCAATCGAGACGCCTCTTTCGGGGTAAGTCATTCTTATTGACAGAATTCGGAAGTATATCTCAGATAATCCACTTACGTAGTTGCATGATAGCGGGATGCTCAGATACCAGTACGATCATGCACCGACCTCCCAGAAACCGCATGACTCGACATGGGATCGTCCGAGCACGATTATACAAAATGCGGACGACATATACTCGGTGCATGGTTCAGATGCAAAGAATGTGGTTGGCAAGGTGTACCTGTTGACCAAGTTAACAGAACAAGCACCGCGGTGATGTATTGCGGATCTCGAGAACTGTTAATCATGGGCGAAGGACCTGGAGCTTGGCCCATACAAAACGTGATTTTCTACCGTAAACCAGAGAGTCGCTGTCTCGCAGTGGTCACATACCTTGAATGGCCGGCGATGTGCTATCGGTTTGCAACCTCCTGAGATTGATGAGTTGGAGGCTTGGAGTTGATCGACTTACTGTACTACGATCCTTTTGCCATGTGGCAATATGGGCGCTTGTCATGTCGAGTAAACATCGTGAGCGGTCCGATTGGCTTCTTGCCGGTTTATATTCACCTCGGAAACTGTTGAGCTTGAATTGTTCTCCTGTTATCTTGTCAAGGACTAGTCTGAACTAAACAGAGTCTGGGTTCAATAAAACAATCAACATTTCCTACAACGGTGCGAATCACAATCAATTCTTGCAGAATATTCTTGCCATAACTTACACTGGACACGCAGGCTTGACCCTCCGTAAGGCCTGTCCAATTTCCACTGCAAATCTACACCTACTGCTTGCAACGTGTCGTATGTTGAAAGAGCAGGTCTGAAGGGATCGGCTCAGTCAGGTGAGTTTCATTTCACGTAACGTGGCGGATGATCGACACGTCGTTCGTATACACGAGTCTCACTGTCCGGTTATGGGCGCCAACGGCTCCAGGGTTTTTCTAGCACCTCTGTAAGGTGGCCTAGGATTGAATACTACCACACATGAAGAGGACCGTCTTCATAAGTCTTGCTATAGCGAGCAGCTATGCGGCTAGCCCTCCTGTCCAAGTCGAATTACGGACCTCATGGCCAGCCCCTCCTTCCACACTAGAAATCTTGTGAGTAGTGTTCCGCGATATGTAGTGTTCTGTTGCTAACTGTAGCTAGAGAGGCTGTTGCGATTGAACGACCGGATTCGTTCTACAACCTGTTAGATATTGTAACAAATCCAGAAGTCATACCGGATCCTCCTCCTTCAACCCCTCAGGCTCTTCACAACTTCATTCTTAATGCTGCTATCGATGAGGGCTATCTCTCAGGTCCCGGGCTTTTGTCGTCTGTTCAAAGGGGACTCGGCCTCCATACGGCCTCACCCAAACTAGAGACTTACTATCAGTTCTATGCTGACCGGATTACTTCTCGTGAAACTGCCACTGTATGCGAGTCTTGGGTCGACTGGTACGGAGATGTCATCTGTGACGTCGAAACGCTCGCAAGTATCTTGGATGTTGAGACAATCGACCCTCCAGACCATAGATTGTAAGGGAATAAACATTGCGCCTAAAATGTAGATTCTTACATGATCTTCAGGACTCAGTCAAGACCTCAGCTCCTCCCTTTCGATCGCGTTCAGCCAGATCCTTCAAGCACGCTTGAGCGACCTCCTCACACCGCCATTCTTTATAGTTCAATCACCTCTCCGAGTTTCCGCACCTTGCACGAGTTGCTGTATCGCAAGTCAACTGGACCTTCTCCTCACATCGAATACGTCTTCCGACCTATTCCTGAGCCTACCCGAAACACATCCACTAGGAGCTACCTATCTGGCTATGGTGTTGCACTTGATTTGAAAAAGATGGAATATCTTGCCCTGGATGATCGCGGCCAAAGTATGCTTTCGACCACCCTCATAAATACAACACTGACCACTTGGCGCAGGTACAGGCCATGAAGACGTCCGTGCGGAAGAGGGCGTCGAATCAGTTGCTGAATCGGAACCTATCGTTTCCCTTCTACAACAGTATCCCGAGAACTCCACAGCCGATCACACTGCTGCACTGACACCTGAAGAATTACTTCAGATTGGCCTCCAAGTGACTCAACTAATTTACGATTCCGAGGAGCCACTGAGCACTCTCAAGCAACTCTCGCAGAGCTTCCCTAAGTATGCCTCTAGCGTCGCGCGTCGTGTTACGGTGGATACCAACTTACAGGACGAAGTATCTTCCAACCAACTGAAGGCTCAGGGAGGGATCAGTATGGCTTGGCTGAACGGAGCTGTCATTCCGGAGAAGGACATGAACCCATTCACACTCCTACGCCTCCTTCGCAAAGAGCGAAGTGTGATGTCATCTCTAGGCTCCTTAGGTCTCTCACCCAATCAATCCATCACCCTCCTCACTCACAATGCGGTCAGTCTTGCCCAAGCCGACAGCGGCGTCCTTGACGGGATCTTTGACGCGAGTGACAGACCAGAGGGCGGCGATGTGATCGTCTGGTGGAATGACTTTGAACAGGACTCGAGGTATGCACGATGGGGATCCTCAATTCACCTTTTGCTGCGACCGATGTATCCGGGTCAGTTCCCCAACATCAAGCGGAATTTGTTCAATATTGTCCTCGCTGTGGATTTGTCCCAGTCGAGCAGCCTCAATTTCATCGCTGGCGCTGTTTCGAATATCATCAATCGCAACCTGCCCTTCCGATTCGGTGTGGTGCCACTTGTTGAGACGGATGATGGTAAGCACGCTTTCAGCATCTGACTTTGTTTCTAGCTCATTAGTACACTCAGGAACGCGTATGGCAAGGCTATTCTATTGGCTTATCGAACACGTCGGCCGAGCAAAAACGATGGAATTCATTCAACGAATCGCTCAATTACAAAGGCCCGCTTATCTCATTACGCCTTTTGTGGACTGGGACCTTGTACGCTCGGAATTCAAGGCTTTAGTGTCAGAAATCCCAGAAGCATCTGAAGCTGTCGCGAAGGCCGACTTAGGCTTGATATTAGACACCGATGCTGAGGAAATTTCTGCTACGTTGGAAAAGGCTCGAACGTACGCTCGTCGCTTGGGTGCGGATTTGGCATCTGCGCCACAAGGACATACATTCGTGAATGGGAAGCATTTTGATCTCGACGATGTAGGATTGCATGCCGTATTGTATTGGTGCGATGACGATCTGAATCATTGTGTGCTAGAATTTCTTGCGGTACATGCAAGGCGAAGTTGGACAGCAGATGCAATACCTACAAGAGCAGGTGCGTTCTCACTAAATCTATCACACTTTCTTGACACATAAAGCTGACTTTGTTAGATATATACTGGTGCCATCAATGATGCTCAAGCTGAGAATATCGCGACATACTTCTACGATCTCCCGGAAGCGAGCAAGCGTCGAAACAAACACATTTACCCATCCGGCCAAAACGGTGGTTTGCGGGTACTGAGTTTGCTAGAATTACATGAAAGATCTGGGTTCCCTCGTCAGACTGGATCCTTTATATATCCTCGTAAGTGATTATCGTCTTAATGTCTACTGTCCTGAGGTTCGGATGGTTTGACCCATCTAATTATCTTTTGTTCAGCCGGAGACGACCAAGTACCATTGACGACATATGTCGTTGCTGATCTGGATAGTGAGGCCGGTTTGTCTCTGGTGAAGGAAGCGTTAAAGTCCATCGTAAGTAGCCCCAGGTCCTAGGCAGGTAGTTCCATTCAATCTCACGACGGACTTGACTAGACTGCTGGCGGAGCATCAAGAGTGACTTTCATTCACAATCCTTCCTCTGATGCTTCCAAGGACTTCAAGCCTGAGCGTCAAGCCTCCATAGGCCTGGGTCACTTGATTGTCAAGGGCCTGCTAGACAAAGTACCACCTGCGCGATTGTTGAAAGTTCTGGGCCTCGATCATGAAACTACTAATGTCCCATCTGAACAACACGTCATCGCATTCTATGCCGCTCTGGATGATCTTTTCTCTGAAGGTTTTTTCGAAGGACGGGAAAAGTGCTACAGAGAGTATCTCACTGCCAGTCACTTCGTGACTCGAGATTTGAAGATTCTCCCGGGGCAGAACGCGCTGATTGTGAATGGCAGGGTACGTGGTATACAGTCATCCAGGAGAATAGTCTTAACTTGTCGAGCTTGTAGGTGTTGGGCCCACTTGCCCCGAACGACTTTTTGGCAGACGACATCAATGCTTTGGTAAAGTATGAATTACGGAAACGTGTACAGCCCGTCGTAGCAGCTTTGGAGGATATACTTGAAGCACTTGCACCATCTGATCGGTATGTGGATCAATGGGTTGCTCGCTTTCAAGATGTGCTGATTCGGTTGCAGAGCTTCATTCGCTGAATTGATCACCATGGCTTCCTCTGTCGTTGCGTCAACTCAGCAACCAGACCCAAGCGAAGCAGGCCTATTCAATGCACCTCAGAAGCCGAGACGGAGGAACTACCAGCTCCTGCAAGGCGATTTCACGTAAGTTACTTCATTGCGCCCCAGAGTAGCTCCTGACTTGCGTTGCACGATAGCAAGTTTGCTTTTGGAGATAATTCTACTGCTCTGTTCCATGTCGGTATTCTGCTGGATCCTGTCAGTGAGGCTGCGCAAAAATGGTCAAACATTCTCGAAGTGCGTTTCGTCTGCTACTATCTGATGCAGTGCTGATCCTCTCCTAGTGGTTACTCACAGATCCAGCTGTTTACCTCGAACTTCATATCAATCCTGCTCGGTATCGCGAGGTTTGTAGCATTCTAAATCGACATGGCACGAAATTCACCTTCCCCGTAGCTTCCTCTCAAGCGCTTCTACCGATATAACCTGCCTTCAGCTCTAGTATACGATGACCTAGGGTAAGTCACAGATTCGGTGTGCATAGTAGAAACAGGAATTGACTCCATTGTAGCAACGAGCTTAACTCTAAGGTCACATTCCGTGACCTTCCTGTGGAGCCCATCTATACGCTTGCCATGGACGTTCCCCAGTCTTGGCTTGCTCGACCACGAGAAGCACTGTATGATCTCGACAATATCCAGTTGGGTGTCCTATCGGGACCAGAAAAAGCCAAAGGTGTACATGCGGTCTTCGATCTTGACTATTTGGTCATCGAAGGACATGCCCGTGATATTGCCACCAATGCCCCACCTCGAGGATTGCAACTGCAACTCACCAAGACTGATGGAACTGCTATAGCAGATACTTTGGTTGTAGCAAACCTGGGATATCTCCAATTTCGCACCAAGCCGGGTGTCTTCCGACTTGAAATTCGACCAGGACGAGGTCGTGAAATCTTCAAAATGGATAGCGCAGGCAACGAAGGTTGGGATAGTCCAAGCGTTGAGGAAGTCGGAGATGAGATCACTCTGACCAGCTTCGAGGGTCTTACGCTTTATCCACGCGTATCACGTCTTCCTGAAATGGAGTCAGTCGATGTCCTCGCTGCTACGGAGGCGGCTGACAATTCTCAAGGGATCATTAGTGATGTCGTCTCAAAGTACGTGCTAAATCTCTTTCGGGTCAGAACATTGTCTAACCTATGTCTAGATTATCTTCGTTCTTCTCATCGAACCCTCAAGCGCAAACCGAGATCGCAATATCAAGCAGTTGTCACGCTGACATCAATATCTTTACTGTTGCCTCCGGTCTTCTATACGAGGTAAGTCTCCAATGATCGCATATAGTTCATCGATTGACTTGTGACATACAGCGTTTCGCCTCCATCATGATTCTCAGTGTGCTTCGGAATACGAAGAGCTCCGTCAAATTCTGGTTCATCGAGAATTTCCTGTCTCCAGCATTCTTGGTGCGCTACTTCATGTTTGCACTCAGTCAGATACTTATAATGCGGAACAGGAATTCATACCCCATTTTGCCGAGGCTTATGGCTTCCAGTATGAGCTTGTCACTTACAAATGGCCATCGTGGTTGCGTCAACAGAAAGAGAAGCAACGTATCATCTGGGCCTACAAGATTCTCTTCCTGGATGTTCTCTTCCCCATGGACTTGAAGAAGGTCATATTCGTTGATGCGGACCAAATCGTTCGAACCGACCTTATCGAGTTGGTCAATCTTGATCTACACGGGGCACCTTATGGGTATACTCCCATGGGTGATGACAATGTCGAGATGGAAGGATTCAGGTTCTGGAAGACTGGCTACTGGAAAGATTTCTTGCAAGGTTTGCCGTACCACATCAGGTGCGTAACTTCACTATTCCCAGTTGTGTACACCACTAAATAGTGTTCCAGTGCATTATACGTGGTAGATTTGGTCCGATTCCGTCAGGTACGTCATTGATATCGTTTTTTATTACCTAGCACTGACTGTTTTGTTACCGTGAAGATGGCAGCAGGAGTGCGTGCATCATCATCAAACCTATCAATTATGTTTTAACTTTAACGCTTTAGGACATTTTGAGGTCGCATTATCAGCAACTCTCAGCTGATCCTCACTCCCTTGCGAATCTTGACCAAGGTTGGTATTTCTCTAAAGCTATCGTATACATTTGCTGATTAGATCTCGACAGATTTACCCAACAATCTGCAGCGCGAAGTGCCCATTGTACGTGATGAGCCTTTGAGGGGGTTTCATTGGCGTGTGTACTAATGTATCTTTGACTCCAGTACTCTTTGCCCGAAGACTGGCTCTGGGTACGTGTCATACTTCATCACACCGAGCGTGATGCCTAACGACTCTTACTTTTCTATAGTGCGAGACTTGGTGTACGTATTTTGAACATGTTACTGAATGAGAACTCACCGAGACCGCACATCTTCATAGGCAGCAAAGACAGACTTCATAGAGCCAAGACCATCGATCTCTGCCAGAATCCGCTTACCGTACGTCCACCTTGAGCGCCGCCATTCCATGCGACTAATGACTATTTATATATAGAAAGAGCCAAAGCTTGCGCGTGCTCGCCAAATACCGGAATGGTCTACGTACGACGCAGGGATATCCCAGTTTGCCCGCTCACTGGCAGACAAAGGCCTCATACGTGCTGGTATTGTGGCAGCAGATGCAAACGTCCTGGCAGAGGGAGGCGTTGGAAAGGACAGTAAGAGCGAGACTGCTAGTGACAATGTTGAGGGTGGAGGTGGACGACTTAAAGACGAGTTGTGATCCAGGTTGGAGGATGCGTATGGACCTAATTTATTCTATCCATTTTGCATATCAGACTTTAGTGTGACAGGAACAGCCAGCAGTCCTAGCGTCTGGTTTGTCCTTCGCCTTCTTCACTCCCAACGGTGACAGAGAGGATTTTGACTTCAGTTCATTCAATCTCTCACGTGTAATCAGTACTTTGCAAGCCATGAAGGTGATATCTGGTACCACGTATAAGGTTGGAAGGCGGAGAGCTGGTGCTGGAGTTTGGAGAAAGAGGACACGAGAATCGGCGAAAACAAATAATTCGTCTCTTCTCAGTATATAAAACGGCCCTCACTGTTCTTCGAAAAGATGTGCGACTATGACAGAATACTACTATACTAGCACTGAATACGGTTCATACGGCCCGCAAGTTCCGCTCCTTATTCAGACGCCTGCAAGGTTTTCTTCTCCCTGAAGTACAAAGCCCATCTCTAGCTATAGAATGAATCGTTATCTTCTACAGGAGCCTAATCAGATTTCGGAATATCCGTGCACTTAAGTTTCTTCCTCTGCCAGCATGACTGCGTTGTCAAAGGTACCCAATAATCCATGGCTATCCTAGTTGCCCCGCCCCGCCCCAACCTGGTTAGCATCAGAGAGACTGAACGTTTCGCCTTACGCCTAGGTGGTGGTTTCTCGCAACGTGTACCGTACTTGCGATGAGGGTAGCTGCGATCATAAAAGTTCACTGTACCATGTGAACATTACCTTCGAATAGGTTATCAACCAAGGCAAGTCAACGTGTACTTATCACCAAGTTCATACTTATCTAGAAATGCTGGAGGCCATTACATCTACATTTCTAGTTACCTATCTTTTTGATACCGCAGAGGCTGTTTCCCGTTCATAGTAAAGCAAGTGCGGTTAGGTACGGATCAACAAATAGAACAAGTCTCGAATGAAGCCAATCAAGACAGTGGACGATAGCTCTGCATAACACGGGCATAACCCTTCAACTTTACCCATGGACCATATTTGTGCGTGTTCTACTATGACTCTCATATACTACGCGCCAACCACGAGTAAGGTCAAATCTTTGGCGCCTGGGCGCGATTGTTCCTAGAGACGGCCCAAACTGGAAATACCGACTGTATAAAGGAATTTCGGGGTTTTGCGCACCTTTATTCTTCCCTTCTTTCAGTGTACCACTGCTTGGACCTCCACTGGGTCCTACACAGCTTCAACTTTGCTTCGCTACCTGCAATACATATGAATAGTCTTCACAACCGCTTTCGTTCTTCAAACCTCGCTCCCAGGCAAACGATCCTGGTGGCGCCACAGGTATAGGCAAGCCTGAGCAGAAGCAAATAGCCACTACAAACTTATCTCCCCAGTCATCCCGAATGCCAAGCGATTGGCACGGGCCGTCTACTCAGTACGGTGGCTTCAACATTGTCTTTCATTAGCCTACACACTGAATTGACGACTAGACAAATGGAACGCCCCATTGAAAGCTTTCCATCTATTCCTCAAGTTATGACCAGAACTCAGGCTAGTTCTGCTCTTCAGCCTATTGCGTGCGTATGCGTGTCGTTTTACGAGCTTCAAGCGTCGCTAACGTCCTCTCGCCACATTGATTCTCGCCACAACAGGGATGCTACTACAGAGCCAGAACGGTCTGAATTTCGACAGATTTACATCACTACTGGTGGCTCGCCGCTTCGTCAGACCAGCGACGTCCCTTCCGTTATTTCCTCGACTGTTGCAGGCACATCGGGTGATATTATGGCCAACGCGCGCTCGCCGTCTTCAGTTAAGACCAGTCTATCCTCGGAATCAGCGCCTCAGAACATCAACCGCCTTGGCGGCGACGTTCTCGGATCGTCTTCCAATGCAAATGATGATGCTGCTTCAGAGGTACCTACGGAACCAAACTCTCCTCAAATTCCAGAGCGCCAGAATACTGAAGTCGGACCTGAGTCCTCTCAACCTCCTCAATCCCTTCCTGCCATGAAGAGTGCGCCTTCCGAATCAGTTCAAAGCACCCCGCCAGAGCCTAATTCTGATGTTCGACGAGATTCTTCGTTGCTCCATATGCAAGCCAGACAGAGCATCCACGACGACGACGAAATGGACTCCGATGACGATGATGGTATACCTATCGTACGGCCAACCCGGGGCCTTTGGAGGAGCAGGCCTCTCATCGTCGAGAGTCGCCTCTACCCCAATAGGAATCATCCGAGAGCGCAAACGAAGCGTGAACACAGATATATTAATCCAACGGTCGAGAGCCTTACTCCCGACGAACGGGTGCAATTCGACCGTATGTACCAGCGGTATAGGAAGCGTCGAGCCCCAGATGGTTCGGGACCGCGCCAATCTTATTCGGACTTCAGTCGTAAGACCATAGCACGAATTAGATCCACACCTCCTAGACCGACCGCTTCCAGGAGATCTCAATGGCTGACTGAGAACCCATTTGAGTATCTGGCGCAACGACAACGGACTCGCGCGCAGTCAATGGATGTAGATACAATTCTACCCAGTGCTACAAACTCAAATAATGACTGCGATGATGCGATGGATGGCTCGTTTTCTAGTTTCGACGAGGACGTGCCTATGGACGACGCAGAGAAAGATGACGGGGATGCCGAAATGGAGGATGCGAGCGCAAAACCAGTCCCTGCAGGCAAGGTATTCCCCTTCAGTGTAAACTCTACTATCACACCTCCGAGTCAAGCTCAAGACCAGTCAGCTGGAAAGCCATCCAAGGGCGATACTCTCGACGAGACATCCCTGTCGAATAAGTCTGTTTCCGAAGTCAAGGCTGCTGAAGAGGTTAAAGCAGTCGAAGGTTGCAAGGCAGCCGAAGGAGATAAAGCTGTCTCTAGCGCAGCTTCGCGTAGTATTCCTATTTCGACCTCAGCAGCTTCCGATCCACCCAAGACTGAAACTCGGGATTCAAATGGTCTTTCTTCTGCTGCAACTAGCGGGTGTTCAAGAGATGATCCTAACGCAGCTTTGAACACTACAACACCACAAGGCGAACCACGAAAGCCTAAAGCTGCGGATGAGTCCTCGCCTGCCATCACGATGTCGTCAGATTCACTCGCAACGAGAACTGTGAGTACCACTCCAACCGGCATCACTGAGACTTCAAGCATGGGTGGTACACGAACGCTTCGCGTTCTCCATGAGCCCGATGATGCCGGCCTCTCCGGTATTCCACCTCCTTCACGTAACAACGAGGATAATCTACAAGGAGAGCTGCTGACCAAACAGTTGAACGAATGGGAGCAAGAGACCAGGACAGCTCAAGCACGAAGAAAGGCTAAAGGCAAATGCAAAGCAATTGACGAAGAACCTGCTCAGAAGGGAAGAGTATTCGCGTTGCAACAGGTAAGCCATATTGGGTTTTATATTTGCGCTGATGTTCAGCTTGCTCGTCTTAGCAGAATGGGACATCACCACCCTCAACATCCATGGTAGTACCCCCAGTCGCCTCTCCAGGTAGTGCTGCCACCACAAATGGTCCCGCTCGCCCTCCCGCGACGCCTAAGAACTGGACTCTTGCCGACAGGTTGGCCTGGGATCCAAACTTGCTGAGAAGGCAGCAGGTGCTCCAGCGATTGGAACAGCAATTTGGACTGAAGTCCTTGCTGAGCATAACGGACGATTGCAGTGTACCTGGAACCTCAAAGGCCGGCGAAGGGAGTCTCTCCGCTGTTACGGCGTCGCAGGTTACCGCAGATGTGAGATCTCCCGTGATTCTGGAGATAACGTTGCTGAAACGAAATTTAGGTGGTAGCCAGAAACGCAATGCGCGTTGTGCCTTCGACAACAGCGCATACCGCAACTACCGCAGGTCCTGATGGTCGTACTGGGTACTCCAACACTGTAAGTGTAACACGGTTTGGTTGATAATCATGAACTAATGCCCTGCAGACACAAACTAGCCCCTCAGCGCCCCTCCCTTCTGCCTCCCGGTCCTACCTGGAGGATATGAAAGAGATAAATCCCTACGTGCCAGTGAGTTCTTCTTGGTTTGCGGGGTCGTTGAACTTATTTTAGTATCCCTCAAGGTTATTGAGGTCGCCGATCGGGATAATGACAAACAGAGCCCATCCACGAGTTCGCCATTTGCGGAGAGACGTGCTTCGAATGTTGTTAATGCGGCTGAATCAACAGATGTTACTCCGGGGCACTCTGTTAATTCAGTCGCACCGTCTGAGCCTTTCGGAACGCATGGCACTGTTCCAACTATTGTGGTGACACCAGCCGATGACAAGTCAGAACAGCTAGGTTACTCCGAGTCAGCGCCCGTCCTTACGTCTCCTCTGCATCTGTCTCCGTTTGGCTGGAATAACCCAGTATCTAGGACGCCAGGACTTCGACTTCCATTCTCGCTGCCACCCGCCTTGAATGTACCACCCACTCTGAATGTACCTGCAGCCCGCTTTTTCTTGACACCATCACCTCTCAGGGGAGACATTGACAATCAAATTAGGTCGTCAAGTCGCATGGCAGTTAGGCCTGATCAGACTGGGCGTAACTCACCTGGCTTGTCGACACGGAATCATATCAGCGTTCTTGGAAATGACAATATGGACAGATCTGCTGAGCTCCCTCCAACACCCACCGCACCCCCAACCTCGATATTTACACATCCTCCCGCTCTAAGCACCTCTCTTGCATCCTCCTCGTCTGTTTCCGCAACCTTGCCGCCATCCGAAGAGCCTGGAGATAATTCTATTGACACATCTGCCACAGCAAACTCTTCTCTGAGCAGTACAAATACGACCGATGGCCACATGGGACCTCTGTTCTCGGGTTTCTGGAACAGTCGCCCTTCCTCGAATCGCTACAGAGCTTCCAACGAGAATGTCTTGATGCGGCCTCCTCCTCTCGACTTGCTTAATCCTTCGTCATTTGACGATCCATGGCAACATTTCAGGATATCATTTATGTCTGAACTAAGGGACGCCCAGAGGGAGGAGTTTGAAGAGCGGCAAGCACGGTTAGCGGCACGCCCTCGTCTGATATTACCACATGAAAGCACTAGCGGTCGCGCATCATACAGCTCGAGCGATGGTGTTTCTCGATTGATGAATCACCCCACAAGAAAGAAGACGAAAACTAACGTAAGCGTCGTTCATTGTCAGAGGATCAGGTTCTCGACTGAATACCGTGCTTTCAGAGTAAGGCAGCTACGAGGGTCAACAATCGTACAGCGTATCTCGATTCTCCGCGCGAGACCCACACATTTGTGCAGCAACAAGTGGAATGCGCGTCGTTGTCGCAGGGACCTGCGAACGAAGTAAGAGTCGCTACGCCATACAACTTTGCCCCTGGTCGTCTATGGCCACTTGAGTTCATTGGTTCCTGTTTCATCCTTTTCCTGTTATTCTTTCATATCTAATCCGGACTTTTCCCTTCTGAACCATCTGTATGATATTGCCTGTATCTATCTTGTACGTTTACCTCGGCAATCCCGAAGCTCCTCTTCACCGACTTTCAAAACAATTCAAATTGACGAGATCATCGCAGGTCAAGACATCGGCCATGGAGTCCTGTTATGTAATGGATGCACCGTTGCGCTTATAAGGACTCCTGGATTGTTCATCTCCTTTTGAAGACGTTCAAGCCGGTCGGTCGAATTAGCAATGAGTCGGGTACAGTCAAGGTACAGTGTGGTGCAGTGAAAGGCGCTCATCCCTTCTTCTGAAAACCATATCGAACCACTGGACTCATTAACTATGGCTTACCACTGTTCCAATCGCTCGACTTTAAGCTATTCTCTCAATAGGAATATTGCTTCTCCAGGAACCATGCTGCTACTATGTATCGTACGCATTGCCTCGTTCATGGACTCCTCGTCGCCTCTGGAGTCTGGTTAAAGCTATCGAGTACCTATACCTGCTTACAATGAGCCATGATCCCAGCTCGATTCACGATTTCTGCATGAGAACTCGCTGATTCTGGATCTTGAACTGATTATAATTCCTGTTTCTCCGCAATCACTATATCAACTGGAGACGTTGACGTCTCTTCGTTCTAGGATCCATATAAAAAGGGCTCTTCGCCTCCCCCTTGTTTCCACAGAGCTCATCGAGGTTTCACCAGGCAATGCTTCTAATACACCTTCCCGCAGAATTGTTGCTCGACATTTTCGCCCTTGCATGTAACGACGCTCGTTACACCGGATGTTCGTTGGTAGCTGTCTCGCAACATTTCCGCGCGCTTTGCCTAAACAGCGGAGTGGACATTCGGAATGTTGCTGTCCATGGAGTTGACAACATGAAGAAGTTCGTAACGATGCTTGAGGGGAGGGGAAGACCCTCAAGGCGCATCAAACATCTCTTCCTGACCGACCGTGCCCATTCAGGTGGGGTCCACGAGGTCACAGCCACCCCTGCAGCCATCTTTACGAATAACGCAGCTGCATTTGCGGGAAGAATCCTACGAATCATTTCTCCACATGACCTTTGTACCCTTTCCATTGTTCTCCCTCGACAGCGCCTCGCCACTCCTGCTAGCCCGTCAATCCTCACGTATCCATTTACATCGTTGACCGATCTCACTCTTCACGGTGCCCTCGACCCACCCTTCTTCGATGCCTGTCATCCATTTCCGGGCTTGAGGCGATTGCACATCGCTGCCTACCATCAATTACCAGAGGACCTGGGTTCCGTCATCTCCAAAATGGTGCCAAATCTCTCACACTTCAAGCTTACCGGAATCGGTGGCTTGTCTCTCTCCGGAAACCTCCTCGAAGTGCTACAAGCATACACCAATGTCGACGACTCAAATGAAGCCTCAGTAATAGTTCAGAAGCTTCCCCCCAGCATCCACACCGTCATTATCGGATTCGCTACCTTGCTTCAATCTGCTGCGATACGGTCAGCAGGAAGGCAGCAGATAAGCTATTTGCAAATGGCCCAGTCAATAAATCAGTTGGCAGAGGAGCATGATCTTAGGTCTACCGATGGGCGAAGGCTAATCGTGTGGCCACCCCCTGCTATGCGCTCTGAAAGTGACCTTCAGGAGGTAGCTCAGGAGTCATACGATAAACTGCGAATAGAATGGGAGGATGGAGTTGCAGGCAGAGACACCGGTTGGAATGATGTCTGGTTGTAAACCGCATTACGACATTTGACCGGTATGGTTCCTCTCTGAACCTCTTTCCAGGCGATTGATGGTACAGTTTCCAGGTCGATTTAGAGCCGGATTCTTCTTTCGCGCCTCGGCGAAAAAAAACCAATCCTTTGGGGTTATCCATATTTCCTAGTATACGTCAGGATTTTGTTCTATAGATGGGTGGTATAGATCGGGATGCGAGTCAGTCACAAGAACGCAAAATGAATTCTGAACTACACAACGATGTCTATGGCATGTTAGCTCCTCTCCAGTTATTCATCCTCAATACGTTCATATTTCTCGCGATCCTGGAAACACGCATCGGCGGCAGATGCACCACAAGCCCTCAGTTCTTCAGCGAGGGGTCAGACTGTATCTCCGTCGCAGTATTTGTGGTTTCCTATACGAACAGTATTTATCTCTGCCTCCCAAAACATAAAGGAGGTACTCGATGCAAAGATGTTCGATTTGCCCAGGTCCCAGCAATCCCGTTCCAACCTGCGTATTCCGGATTCACAGAATACGCCGAACATCTGACATCTGAGATATATAGCATTCGGTGCCACAACAAGGACGATACAACGAATGATGAGGCATACTCCATTCAGGACCCAACCATCATGAAGTGAATGAGTGAGAAGAATGTAATCAGGAGCAACGATCTGAGTCCCTCTCTGGTCAAGAATCGAAAGACGAAGGAATATGGAGAAATAGCAGAGAGCATCTGCCCTTCTGCATGACGACGCACAATATCCGACAGAAGCAAGGATTCGACTCTCTTCTAGAAAGCAACATCTCGGCGCAGAGGGGAAGGTTCGATCGGAAGAACATGAAGGACGTGGTTGGTGAGTCTGCTACGTCGCTAGTTTGAAGCCAAACCAAATACTGCAAAGAGAACAGACACCTTCAATCATTTCTTACATCGCAGCTGTTCGATACGATGGTCCGGAATGATCAAAACGGAACAAGAAGGCCACGGTTGACTGGGAGAAGCGTGAAATCATAACATCATCGTAGATCGATCGATCAACGGTCAAAACCAACAAAAAATACAACAAGCTCAAAAAGGCAACTGTTGTTGTACAACATACGTCTAAAAGTCTAGCTTCGGGAACATCAGTCAAGGGAAAACGCAAGTTATGCGCATTACCAGTAATAGTACTACATCTATCTTGTCCGATGATGTCCGAAGGAGTGACTGAAAATGAGCGTAGAAGTTGATGTGTAAATAATATGTTCAACAAAGAAAGGCCCGTCATTGGTGGAAGTACCGAAAGTAACCTGGAAGTGCGTTTGCTGCAGAAAGCCAGACCTAATAACATTGGATCAGCGAAATAGAATATTAGCATTCAAACAACCACTCACGTTGTACCAATAGTACGAAACTTGGTCATGGTGAACCTTGGTTAGCGCGATATAACGATAGCCAACATACGAAGCAAGTGCGACGAATGCACATCCTAGTAGCATGTCCAGTTGCCAAACGTACCACAACACACATGACCATATCAGCAGCGGTACAATCACTGTATACCGAGCAGTCTTAGGGTATATGATAGGAAGCGTTCGGCGACCGACCATAGCGTCACCCTCCACATCCTTGAAGTCTTGAGCTTGGATGGTGGTAGCGAAGAGGCCAGAGCTGAGACAAATAGCGACGATAGCAGTAGTATCCAAGTAGTGGCGACTGCTGGCTGTAAAGGTCGGTCAGCATGGTCAAAGAATACTTGTTACATGGAAACACGTACATGCCACCAAAGTCGTACCTAACTCAAAGGAGGCAACGCCGAGGCCGTTCAAGACATTTCTCGTGAGCCACTGTCCATGAGCACCCAGCTCATTATAGACGATCGTCGCAGCTATCATGCCAAGGCTTGCACATAGAACCTCAACGCTGTACAACAGGGAGTACAGCCAACAAATAGGCACAAGTGACCAGCGAAGGATTTGTGCAGTCTTGAGGGAGATACGGCCTGACGGAAGTGGGCGGTCACGCTTATTGAACTGGTCTTCTTCGGGATCCATTGTCTGATTAGAGACGTTGAATTGGAGAAGGTGCAACCATAGCCAGATCACCGCTTCAGGCATATACGACAGCCTTAAACTCGGAGCCGCAGCCAAAGCGAAGAATGACTAGGTAACAACATTCAGGCTCGAAATTGGATGATAACAATAGTTAAAAACGCACGACCGGAACGAGAGTTGTCTTGATATCGCTCTTTGTGAATAGAAAGAGCGTGTAGACCCATTGTCCGACGACCGTGAACGCTTGTTCAAATGTGGTGGCTGCGTAATTGGATATTTCTGGTCAGTGGATGACGGCACACGGAGATGGGTGAAACGCACAGGGAGTCAGAGGCTTCGCCATGGGAACGAAAGCGGGAAGTAATGACGGAGGATATGTTGGGCGTGAGGGAAGAGCCCTTCAAGTCGCATTAAATGGATATGTTCTGTGCTGCGACCATCCGGTTTAATGAACTCCGACAACTGCATGCGACCCATATATCACTCTATGTTTACGGCAGCGCATGGCAGAAAATTCTTTGCATGATTGCTATTTGCGTCGGATGTAAGGTCGCGATGTTCTCAAGAAGCCGTTACGTGGGTTTCTGATCTCCTTCAAACATCGCAAATCTTCAGAACGTGTCTGAAATCTTAGATCACCGAGTAGTTGAGTACCCAGATAGCGAATATCGAACTAAACCTTGATTCGCGTTCTGCTACAATATTGCGAGAATTATAGAACAGCTAGAACACACTGCTTCATGTAATATCGTGACGAGGCGTTCCAAAGACGACACTCACGGGCGTGTTCACATAACGAGCCCTGCATAAGCCCAGGCTTCTGGTGGGACACATACCAATGATCCGCTTATTTAGCGTGAACATGGTCGGCGCCGAATGTCGGTTAGCCAGTGGATTCCGAGATACAGTTTCTGTAAGGAACTCACACGTCGATCAGAAGCCTGCCCACGCCTAGCCGGTCATATAACTTTGTGTGCCCTGGTTTGCCATCAAAAGAATTTGGTACGTTGAGCGACCGGGTTACAGTAGTACGCCCAACGATTTTACTGTTCCCTGCACGCCAGCGGATGTGAATGGTACAAGCAATAATCGGCTATACAAAGGAATGGACATGGAAGAGCTCAGTCTTCGATTAAGGAAAGGTTTCCGACGTGTACGTCTATCGATAAGCAAGCACATCCGAAAGTAGCGTAGTAGGAAGACGTTAGGATGAAAACCTGCTCATATCTCTCGTATCGATCATAGACGCAATACCGAGAAGATTGAGCAAGGCTGTGGGCGCTCCGTGAGCAAAAGACTTTGGAACATCAGATTCGAACAATCGCGTACCTTAGCAATGGACACAATTGCAGAAAACGTCAGGTTGCATGAACAGCCTTGACATCGTCATCACTATACTGGTTCTGGTCGAATCGAATAACACCCTTGTTCCCATCCGGGGTCGTCGAAGGCAAGTAAGTCTCATCAACAGCAACGAACGTTTCCATCTGTGGGACATAACGAATCAGTAGACGGGGGATTAGAAGTTGTTCAACGAACCTGAACATGAACGCCTCCTTCTGTCCGAGACCTTTGGTGCGTGGGCAATGCCAGGACTTGAGCACTTTGTTGCTTGTTCGGTCCATTAGAGCCGTCTCCACTCGTTGGCAAATCAGCGTGGGTGTAACTCAAGTTGTAAACTGAGATGAGTTACTTCCTTACGGCCAAAAAATAAATTCAACTGACAAGATGTGAGGGCCTTCACTAGTCCATCGTGTTAGCTTTCGCACTGCTCTCGTGGCAGCGATCTAACAAATCGCAAAAATCAGTGGTGATCAGACTACATGACATCAAGACTTACAGCAGAAATCGCCGCAGCTGGGATGTTGAATATAACGCTCATAATAGGACTGAGGTTCAATATCATGAAAACCGTTGCAATGACGTTGCCGCATACTCTGCGAGAATCAGGATATCAGTATAAGGCTAAGAGCAATTGAATACTCACGATGACGCGAAGAAGATCAATCCATCCTGAATAATCAAACCACCGAGCGATTTTCGACTCTTATTACGCAGCCTGAAGGTTTTCCAACTCGTCAAAGCGAGCACGATGAAGTCGATTACCATGGAGTAGATCAGGTTGGCGGTAAGAATTGTATTATTAATGTGTGAGATGGCACAGCCTTGGTCCGGCACATACACGCCTTCGATGAGGATACCTGGATGAGAATGGTGTTAGAAGGCATACATGTGCTCGACCGCAGAACTGACCATGCAAAATCAGTGACCAGTGGCCCATAATGAGTGCGGTCAGAATAACGCAGATGATCCAATTCCTACGCCAGAGAGCAATTCTGCACCTTCATTAGTCCCTTGCATTCTCATCAAGGATGAAAATTCTAATTACGTTCTCAACGCAAAATTTATGGTGGCGAATCCTCCAACGGCACTGCCAGTAAACTGGAAGACGTTAGGTTGTGGCGTTAGTAATCCATGAGACGCACCTGGAAAACTGCAAGCACCGCTCTGCAGTTGATTTTGCTGTGGACAGATTCAGCACGGAAGTGGTCGGCGACATTCACCACTTACGTTTTGACATCGAACACGATAAGACTGTGGGAGGTGTCAGTGTTATTTCCGATTTAGTAGAGTATTTGACTGACGATGTTATGAACGCGGCAAGTGCGGTATATCGAACCAGGAAATAGAAGATCTAATTGTAAAGTTAGCAAACCAGTTGGCACATTCAATGAGACCGGAGAGATATAATACCATGACCCATTTGAACTTCCGCTTCCCTGACAAGAACGACCAGTCGAAATCCAACGACTGGGCAAACTCCCATCTAAACGCAGATCAGGTTGAAGAATTGAGCAACAGGAATAAAACTGCTGACAGGTATACACCGACAACGGCATGAGTCAACTTGACGAGTACATCTAGAGTTCAGATATCAGCCAGAGGTTGAGGACGCTAGCAAATTTGGCAAACCCGATGAAAGTGCTGCCTGCTCAGGTGAATTCCAATCCGGCATAGTATCGTCTTCAAAGAGAACGTTGCAGCGATGAACGAGAAGAGGTCAACGAGCGTGAAGTTGGCCAAAAGGCGGGTGGAGGAAATAGAATGAAAATGAAACGATCATATTATTATAGCAGCGGAAGGGTTGTAGCGAAAGTATGGCGCAGCGAGCCCTCGGCCTTACGCACCGTCCAGTGATGCGCTGAAGACACAAAGAAATGTCATTTCGCTAAGTGACAAATGGATACCCGATATCGTACCTCGGAGCAACTTGTACACGAGCCGACGGGCCTGAGGCTCAGCAGCGGGCTGCAAGGGCATGCGTTCGGCTCGGATTGAAACGTCCAATCCCGACACTACCACGGCCCCCGTTCGAAGATTGAGAAAAAACTAGCTAGAATTGGACAGAGATACTGTTTACAGTCTATACTCAGGCCACATATCGATTAGAGAAGCCTGTCAGAAAAAAAGGAAACAAAATTAACTAACGACAATCATCAATGGCAGGATATGAAACTTACTGCCAGACGCCTATTCGGATTGCGACGGTTCACGACTTACGTGTGAGTGGCGATGATTTGAGACGGGGCCGTTCTAGTGTAGCGACTCCATGCTCAGGATTCGTCTCCACCGAGGGCCAAGTCGAACGAGAAAATAGTGAGTATCTTGTTTCTTACAACATTGGTGAGTGCAGAGATTCGATGACAAAGTGGTCATAACTCAAGAACATGATTGAACACTACACATTCCGATCAATTGCAATATGGAAGGTGAGAGAGAAGTTGAACACGGCTATTATTTCGGTCTTGGAACGCGGGACCTTCACAGTCATCGGAAGTCCGGCCCGGCCCGTGGTGGTAAGTGTATAAGTTGGTTAAAGTGTGGTTCCTTATAAGTATGTTTAGAAAGCGGTAAGTACGCTGTTCTACATAGTAGAAAGTAAGAGTTTAAGAAGCCCAACTGTATCGACTATGGACATATGCCTTGAAATTTGTTTGTATCCAGGATAATCTCAGTCATCTCGTATTGTGAAACGCACGTACCGGTAGTCATCATACATCCGCAGCGCCGTAAGAGACAGCAGCGAACTTGAACGAACGTTACTGACATTTGTCGTTTGGCTAGGGAAATCAAAGGACACCACGAGGTCGAGATGGTCGCAAGAATAAAAAGATACCTAACGCCAGCAACTAGCAAGCACACATCTGTCGCAAGGAAACGTACCAAGGCATCAGAAAGATGCAACCGCTGGAGGAAAGGACCTTTTTCTGGTTCTCAGGATCTCTATATTTTCGAGCAGTTCAGTTGCCAGTGGGAGGGTGCATGAAACGACGTCCTGTATGTGCAAAGGATTAGAAGGTTAATAAGAGTCCTAGGGGGGAGACCATTCCTACAGTGAGGAAAGAGCACCAGTACTGTACATTCGCTTGCACCTTGCCTGACTATGTTTGAACCATTTCCAATTAGCCGATATCTTGACAGGAAACGTCACGCTTTGAACTATACCATGCCAAGTATGGTGGCGCTCGCTTACAAGCACATTGAGATTCGTGCCTATCTGTTCAACTCGTTAAGTGGCAACCCTGACGAAAGCATGCCTGTAAGTCCAACTCACCCGGATTGTGGTGTTCGAACATGATCATGAAGACTTCTCTTGTCCTACTCGGCAGCAATAGAAGGTACATACCATGCGTCATGATGCAACGATAACGGTCTATCAACGTAGACCCTATCAACGTGAGCTTGGGACATAATACGTTAGGCTCCTCATTTCTTCCATCAGCTCGACGGAGATTTGAGGAAGGTATCGTCAACTGGGCTTACTCGAATGAGCCAAGAGTCATTCTTAGGAACCCAACTACCATGATCGGAACAAGTGAAGAAGCAATGTTATGGTCCGAATGGGGCTGAGACGGACGTAATGCACCGCGAGGTATCGATGAATGGCCAGGTACTGGAAGGCATGGAATCCAGCGTGTTACAGAGAGATGCGGGTCTTGAACGGGATACTGTTGAGCTCTTGAGTCAACGAAGATTCATAACAATGATGTCATCTAATCGAAGACGGTCTCATTAATGTGGCTTGATCGAAGGTTGTAACGCGGGAATTTGGAGCATACAAGGTTTGTGAGAGTTAATTAAGACAAGGTGCATGTCGAAGAACGGGGTGATGGTAATAACATCACGGCTTTGAGGACTACCAGAACTGATCCCAGTGTTGGCGAATGGCCATACAAATGCCTGGGGGTAACGGCACTATCTCCACAGAGCTACCTCAACTTCCCTACGAAGCTCGGTAACAGAGTTCGGGCCGAGTTGAACACCGTCGCGCAGGGTCTCATTGCAGTCAGGGAGCACGACGACGAGGAAGGCAAGTAGAATTTGGAGATAACGCTTGTGAGGTGAATGGCGAAACTATTTTAATAAGAACTCGCTATGAAGCAGCGAGACGAAATCAATACTTTGTGTCCAAGCTCTGAAAAGTACTTGCCAGCTGAGCCGCGAAGGTCAGAACACTTAGTTAGGAAACAGCCGCGACTATCAAGGAGACAGAGTACCTCTGACAAGCCCGTCAATGCAAAAAGCTACCGGTACCTGGTCTGCGTGTATAATGGAGGTACTGCAAGTAGCACGTGGGACGTAGGAGGACGTTACACGTCTGAAACATTGAGAGAGAAAGCTCCATATGCAGGTCCGCCTGGAACTTCCCGCCTACAACTTCGTGCCAAACAGCAGTAGAAGAATGTGCGGCGTTTGCTGGCAAAGGCCCGTTGGTCTATGACGGCAGCCTGGTATGCCACAATCGGCTAGTGAGAGATGAATCTATGATGGTCGTCTTAGGAGAGTTAGAGTTGGAAGAAGTCGGCTGCTGAAGAAACATCCACCTTGATTGTGACTGCCAGCTTTATGGAGACCATTCAACAGAAATGTAATAGCGAAGACATGTCCCGAGGGTGAGATTCCAACTCCGGCTCAAGCTGCATTAGCCGACGTTGACTTTGCATGACTCAGACAGGGATTGTCCAGGAACGCTAATCCTTGAGTGTTGTAGGACATCAACTGTTGGGCGTTGAATATCCATTGAGGGCAGCGACGGAAAACAGGCTATTTGTATTTACGAATGGTGTTGGGGGCGGGGTTCGAAGTTCAAACACAGCCGCGGTCGTCATTCTTTTCAACTTCTCAATGACTCTTTGGGACTCTCCTCCGGAAGTAAACGTATCTGTTTCGATGTGTTTCTTCATGTCGAACGTCGCCGTCTTCGAGACACGACTCGTTGCCGAAGTCGAACCTTGTAAGACGAGGAGTCAGATCAAGAAATTGACTTTGTAGGACCAGTGCTGGTGCTGAATGCGATGCGTGACGGTATGTCTACGCTTCCTTGTCTGATTGTCACTCACGCAAAATTATCTATAGGGATCATTGTAAGCATCGAGGAGTAAATCTCAGGCACAGCATGTGCAAGGATCACGAGGACTAAGACCTAACGATTGACATTCCACCACCATGGAAAGTGTAGTTGAAATTCCTATTCGCAAACGAGCCTTGTAGGTCCGCATTACTAGCACCAACTTAAGTCATTTAAAGACGATGCATTGTAACTTTACTTCTGCACTAAACCTTTCATCACACAGAGCAACTTTATCGCTGCCTTTAGATCACCTATGTTAACTCTAACAGTAAAGATCGGCTCGCCCGACAATTGTCGGGCGAAAGTCAGCGATATATACGCTATCGTGAGTTTCTTTTATCAAATTTTTTCTCTTCCGCATTCAAGATTGATGTGGTTGCAATCCTTAGGTTCAAAGCTTTATATTACTAGTATTCTCTGGAATCATGGAATAACCGAAAGAGTATAGGTTCATTGCTCTCTATCTTGAGGCGCTATAACAGTCGTAGCTGCCTCTCACCGGCGAAGCTAGGCATGATAATGCTTAGACAGCTATCTCCTCCGCTTGGGCGCCGCCACCACATCTATACCTTGACCCCCCCCCCCAACCGGAGCGGCCAAGCCTTCCCTTCGTCCTTTCGCACTATCCGAGCACTGTAGGACTTGCTGGTATGTGATTTAAGTCAAAATATTTCAACAGTTTCAACATTGCTATCGCTAGAGGCATTAAGCTCACATTTCGAGTCGTATCTGCCAAAGTCTCAAACCCGATACAGTTTAATCTGATTCCAGTCACGTATCCGACACCATGATGCCAATCGCGCTCGCGGACCTCCCTGCGGAGGTATTGATCGATATCCTCAGCGACGCATGCACGGATTCGGGTCTAACGGGTTGCTCGCTGACCTTAGTCTCAAGGGATTTCCGCGCCTTATGTTTCCGGAGCGGCATTGATATTCAATGTGCCGCCGTTTATGGCTTGAAGAGGATGCGCAAGTTTCTTGTAATGATCGAGAGGAGAGATCGGGATGCGAGAAGGTTCAAACACCTTTTTCTTTACAGATCGAATCAGCGCGGACGATGGGTCTCTACTTAGTGACTCGAGCTTCGCCATGGAGCGGGCTACCACCAACCCCGACGAATTTCCCGCCTCCAGGCTCAATCGAATTTTGCGCGCCATCTCGCCGTACCACCTAAAGACGTTGACCATCATCACACCACACACTTTCCTGGCGACGTCCACCAGCCCCTCTATATTCACCTTCCCATTTCCCTCTCTCTCAGAACTCACGCTCTATGCTTGCATAGCGCCGAGCTTCTTCGATCACTCTCCTGCCACACCGAGCCTAAAACTATTTCATATAGCTGCCTTTAAACAACTTCCAAACGACATTGGTAGTTCGATTTCGAAAGTCCCCCCGAATTTGACACATTTACGGATCTCTGAGGTGACTAATCGTCTCTTGTACGGGAACTTGCCAGAAGTTCTGAGGGATTATGTCCCAGAAGAATCTTCCACATATTCTCCCGTGATCCCCAAACCTCTGGATGATGCGTTACCTAGTACCTCTCCCTCGGATACCTTGCCACGGGGCAGGTTGCCTCCAAGACTACATAATGTCGTCATCGGATTTGCCCCCCTCTACCGATTGTCAGGGGGGAACTCTGCGAGCCGGATGATTGCGCATTTCCAGACTGTGGAGGAGTTGAAACGAATTATGCCACCAGATGAACCTAATTCAACGAAGGGGAACAAACTGGTGATATTGGATCCACCACCAGTTGCTGAGGAATATGAGAGAGATGGCGTTATGCGGGAGAGATATAAGTTGATTCGAACGGAGTGGGAGGAGAGGATACCTGGTGAGGAAGGATGTTGGAAGGTGGCATAGGATTTGAATGAGATTCATTTGATCTCATTCAGTTTTCTCTCGGTGAGAGTCACACCGTGTACATTCAAGTATGTCCAATGCTGAAGTCAACAATCTTGTATTATAGTCGGACTCATTGCAGGATCACATTCTGTAGACTATCTAGGTTCCGAGATACTCATTCCAAATAGAATCGCTCCTTTGTCTCATTTGAAGCCAGTCATGCTCACTCTAGAACTCTTAGCGACGACGATCACGAAGCAAAACCAATCTAGTTTGCGCCACGATGTCAAACAGACAACTATCATCAGCATTTGCACTCTGTTACTCCAGGAGTAGAATGTTCCGAATGCATAGCGTACTCCATGACCATACCGCTCGTTTCGCGCACAAATTCCATTTGACATTGCTCCCGGTTTCTCATGCCCCTCAGCGACACGTCCATTCACAAGTTCTCTTATCCCGTCATCCACATCTCTACATCTACAAACGTCTTATACTATCGCTACATACGCTGCGAATACTGTGTCCGAACCCGACCCAACCCCCTACCGCATTCATCTACTTGACCATCTATCAAGCATGTCATTCGTACCGCCCGTCGACGATCTGTTGACATGTTCTCACGACTTCTCCCAGATGCATACTGTATACTGTACATGACACCATCCGAGAAATTGACGTCAGAACTGAAATATTGGTGGAGACATTCTCCCTTGTCTTCTGCACTCTACCCAAACCCTGCAGTAGACGCACCTGGTTTCGCGTGCTTACAGGTCTACGTGCCTGTGACTTTTGGAGGGCGTCGACATTGCTGGATGTACCATTCTCTCCATATCTTGTTGCGCGCGGTAATGGATAACGGATCGTACGTGGTGGCGTTGCCTGTCAGTGACTCCATATACCTTCATATTCTTGACTGCTTTCTCGGACTATGGGCTAAAGCAAGCAAACGTTTGTTGGTCAGGAATCGCTCTCCCCAAATTGAAGGACACGCTCAGCTGAAGACTCAACCGAGCTGGCGTTGTTCGCCCAAGTGTAAGGCCTATCAGAAGTGGTGGGCTAAAGGAGGCGAATACTTCCCACTACGAAACCTACCGACATAGCTTATTTGAGCGAGTCAACGCATTCAATCGACAGCAGTCTTGCAGAGGTTTAACGATGGTACAGGAAACATGTCTATTAGTTTTGTGTGTTCCGGTAAAATATTAGTGTAAGGATCGTCTTGCGGTTGCCTGTGCTACGCGCTACTGATGGTCATGGTAAATACGAGAGTGAAGAAACGCATACCCAAGGTCGTAAACACGTCAAAACGTAAAACAAAATCGAAGAATATATGTATAGAAGTCTATTATGATGGGAGCGAGCGAACCTGACAAGACGACCAGAACGCCAACCTACTCTTGCTCTTGCAGAACTAACACGATACGGTAAAGGCTGACACTGACAAGCGAGTGGGTATCCAGGTGTAAGCTACAACAAGCGGAGGGAAATTACGAGACAAAGGTACAAATAGGGAGTGTTGGACACCAGGCTGCTGCATCGAGTCTTGAGATATCATGAAATTGAGGGAGAAGGTGAAGGCGTATGGGGCCGGATCGTCTATTACGCTGCACTGTCTATGCTGCCTGAGCAGTTCTAGAGGGGTGACGAGCGAGCGTGGCGCCAGTGCGTGCTGCCTGGATGCTGCTGAATCGTTGCAGCTCCTCAGGCCTGACGGACACCTTTTGACCAAACCCAACCTTGCGTGCTGCGCGACGAATGAAGGACACACGATTCCTGTAAAGGCTCTCATTGATCGACGCCACGCGAGACTGAGTGCGAACGATGGGGACACCTTCCGCAGTCTCCTTCGCGAGAGCCTTGATGTGACGTTCACGGAGGTACTTGATGATCGTGGCCTTCATCCCGAACTTAACAAGGTCGAGGGGAAGGAACCATACAATGTTCTGCATAAAAGAGTTAGCCTGACATCAGGACAACAGCGGCTTTTACGTACCCAAACCCAGACGATACCAATCCAGCCACCAGAGATACTGTGAATCTGGGTGAAGCCCCAGTCACCGTATGCAGCAATAATGGAGGAAACGAGTTGAGCCAGACCGAACGCGAACATCAGGGCGAAGGAAGGGCGCTCCATGAAGAAGAAGCTATGCGAACGGGTGATGAAGATGAGAGCCTGCGAGATAATGGCAACTTGGAGGTAGACGACCATGTGAAGTTGAGGGTCATTGTGATTGCCGGCAGCGGACGTGGCACCGTTCGTGAGGGTAACGCCAAAGGCATCGAAGAACCATGTCGTGCGGATGGCAATGGCGACAAGTGCAATGCTACAATTGACAAGTCAGCACTATGAACGAGAGATAGAGACACGATGACATACGTAGACAAGGTGAGATAGATGCCATACGCAACAGCGTAGGCGAAGATCTCTGCCAAATCCCAACTGTCTGGAGTGCTCGATGGCAAGACGCGATCGACGGACAAGGTCATGATGGTACCGTCGTTGAGAAGAGCGACGATCAGGATCATGAATGGAGGGAAATCGAACTTGAAAGCGAACGCGAGGATAGCAAAGCAGACAACGATACGGATGGTGACAGCGCAAGCGTAGATTGAATAATTACGCATACGCTGGAAGATGATACGAGAACCGCGGATGGCGTGGACAATAGTGGAAAGACCGGGCTCAGTCAAGACAATGTCTGCGGCACCACGAGCAGCGTCGGTAGCACCCTCGACGGCGATACCGACGTTGGCACGGGACAAGGCAGGAGCGTCATTGGCACCATCACCAGTCATGGCGCAAAGGTGACCAAGACCCTGCAGACGCTTGACGATCTCGTACTTGTGCTCGGGGAAGACTCCAGCAAAACCGTCAGCATCGAGGATCATGTCGTCAAGAGACCTGAACTTCGAGTCAGGGGATGGGCCTTCCTTGAGAACCTTGGCAGGATACATATGGTCACCGAGACCAAGACGACGGCCTGTCTCCTTTGCGATAGCAAGCTGGTCACCAGTCACCATCTTGACCTTAACACCGAGTGCCATAGCGTCATCGATCGTCTGCTTGGTATCCTCACGGGGAGGGTCGAAGATGGCAAGAAGACCAATAAGCTCGAAGCCATTACCTTCGCCCTCGGGATCATCACCGTCGACCTCCTCGTAGGCGACTGCGAGAGCACGGAGACCGCGCTGAGCGAACTCCTCGACGTCGGCCTCGAGACGGTTCTCGATTTCCTCGGTCTTGTTTCGCGTGCAGAGCTCGATAATGATACCGGTCATACCCTTGGTCACACGCTTAAGCTTGCCAGTCGCCTCCTCACGGTAGGTGATCTCGGTACGCTTGTCGACAGGGTTGAAGGGCTTGAAGTCGAGGAGCTTGATACCAGCACGAGCGCGAGCAGTGTCACCGAGGGCACCAACGACACACTGATCGATGGCATCCTGGTTCTCGGTACGGGAAGCATAGGCGGCGAGGAGAATAACATCCTCAGCGGAGAAGGGTCCGTAAGTGCGGACGGTGTTGCGATCGATGGTAAGCTTGTTAGTGGTGAGTGTACCGGTCTTATCAGAGCAAAGGATGGTGACAGCAGCCAACTCCTCAATGGCGGTGATACGAGTGACGATAGCCTTGTACTTGGCCAATTGCTGGGCACCGACGGCGAGAGTGACGGACAAAACAGTGGGCATAGCAATGGGGATACCACCGATCAAGAGCACGAGGATGTTGTCAAGACCACGACGGTACCTGTAACGGAAACCGGCGTACAAGACGAAGATCTCAGCGATGACGAAGATACCGATGGCGACCAAGCAGAAGGATCCGATTTGAGCAAGAATCTTTTGCAAGTGACCAGTAGTGTCGTCATCCTGACCGACGAGCGAGGCGGCACGACCGAAGAAAGTGTTAGGGCCGGTGGAGATGACAACGCCCTCGGCCTCACCCTGCTTACAGGTAGAGCCACTGCGCAAGGGGACATGAGCTATCGAGAGATAGAACGAAAAAGTCGCAGAATTGACTTACGAGAAACATTGGTCACCAGTCTTCTTGCTCTGAGGCAAGGACTCTCCAGTCAAAGCAGCCTGATCGATGGAGACGTTGATGGCCTCGGTAAGACGAGAGTCGGCGGGGACGATATCACCGATCTTAAAAGAGATCATGTCACCGGGAACAAGCTCAGCAGACTCGATCTCCTGCCACTTTCCGTCACGCTTGACTTTGGCCTTGGGGGCGAGGGAATCCATAAGAGCCTTGACAGCATTGCCAGCATTGCGCTCCTCGTAGAAACCGATGGCAGAGTTGATGAACAAAAGGAGGACGATACCGACGAAATCTTCCCAGTCAGGGGCGCGACCCTCACCGTTGGAGAGAGCGATGGCAACCAGAGCGGCGGCTTCCATGACCCAGGACAGAGGATTCCACATGAAACTGAGGAACTAGGAAAAGACATTAGCAACCGCAACAGCAAATTAGGCACAAATGTGATGAGCTAGGCGGCGCATAGAGGCGATGGCACAAGTGAAACAAGGCAAATGGCGAAATGCCAGCCAACTCAACACGTTCATACGTGGAGAACACATCAACACTTTCCATACGAGCAACTGTCATTGTAAAGCCCCCGCAGCGCTCCGAACGTAACCGCCCAGCATGAGAGAAAACATGACGTCAAATGTGCTACATACCTGAAGGAAAGGGTTCTGTTCCTCGGCCTCAAGTCTGTTAGGACCGAAAATCTCAAGACGACGCTGGGCTTCCTCAGTAGTGAGCCCATTCTCGTCAGTCTGAAGCAGTTTGAAGACATCGTCGACGACGATAGTTTCTAGGTCGACCTTTTCCTTGTCGTAGAGATCCTCGGCCTTGAGTTGGATCTGGGGGTAGTTCAAGTAAAAATCAAATGTTATTCAAGCGACGTTTCTTGTCATGCGAACCTTTTCCATATCCACCTTAGCATCTGGAAGCGATAACAGAGATGAGCTCCCGGCTGTCTGGGAAAAGCGCATATACTCACGAGTAGGGCCTTCTTCTTCATGACCAAAGTCCTTGTACTCCCTCTTCCTCTTCTCGGGCTCTTGAGAGTCTACTACAGGGCTGGACTCCTGAGGGGGGCCCGCCTCTTTCTCGACGTTGTTGTCCGACATGAAGTTGATTGTTCGCACTGGGCGAGGGAGATGGGGGAAAGACCCAAAAGGGCTAGTTTAGGCGGGGGGTCGCAAAAGAGCGAGGGCGGCGACGACGATGGCAGCGAGGTGATGGAGGGGAAGAAAGGGTGAGCGACGGAGAGCGTCCTCGTCTGTCTTTATATTCGAACCCTCCAGCGCGTTAGATCAGACCGTACAAACACCCACAAACAAGTCAGCCTTCCTCGCTGATCCGGGCAAATTGTTTTTCTGGCCAATCATCTTTTTGGGCTCATGTTTTACTCCAAAATCTCCGCGCATCCATTCGCCGGTGCCGTGAATGCCGTCCTCTCTGCCGCCCCCCGCCGCCTCTCGCTCCTGGTCCCCTCTAACGCCGGCGAGCAGAACTGGCGGTCGGGCGACCACGGTCCTCAGTCCATCGCGCGCCTTCCCGCCACTGTCTTGGCCGGGGTCCGGTATCGATGTCCACATCGACGCAGGCGACATAACCGTTGCCATCCCGACCGAGTCCAACAGATTGCCACTTTTCTCAGGGCTTTCCAACTTCACACCTTCACTTTTGACGTTCATTCGATGGTGTCTGTGCTTGGTCTCGTTGAACAAGAGCTAGCCAAGTTGCTTGTCTGATAGATAGGTCTAGGGTCGTATACAGTTCCCCCAGAAATTTATCGCCCACCAGCGTTGTTGTAGCAAGGCCTTCCCTATCCGACTTCGGTCTCTACCTTCCACAGTACACCTTCGCGATGGTCGTGCGATCTGACCGAGCCAATGATGTGACCCGCTTTACTTGTTCACATATTGATGTGTTATTAGTCTGAATATCACGCCTAAGCACCCAGTCATGAAATGCCTCCACCTTAGTTCCGCCATTCCATAAATCTCGCTCCAGCTACATCCGCATAGCGTGTCTAAGTATATCCATCCTATCTCTTTGCACACGAGCCTTTGAAGACGAATTCCACCCGCGCGCAAGTCCGCAGAAATCCTTACCCTCCTACACCTCAACCCCATTCTTGTTCGCTTAACTCCTCCTCCGAAACCTCGCCAACGTTCTAGACAATCGTCGTGTATCACCTTTCATAACACCTTTCATCGATGGTCGAAGAGTCTCCAAAAGAGACATTTATGTACAACAACAGCAAACCTCTCGACAAGACGCCTTTCATCATCTGAAATGACTTCGGTCCGATCTTATAATAGAGGATTGTATGCAGCATGTCCGCCTTGAGGTACACCTTTCTGCTGACGGAGTGTCCGACAGGAACGTCCCCTACACTCGGACGTTTGAGACTTGATTCACCCTAGTTAAGTGTCGCCACATCGGCTCCCCGTCACTGAGGCACTACAAACCCTGTAGTACTTTCCATAAGTACTACTACGCGATACAACTCTTGCGTTGCATCATTACAGCTATCACTTATCTATCATTCCGTCGGTATGTTCTGCCTCGGGTATAGCGAAAAACCCTCAGCATACCGTGTTTTCCCTTATCGGCGCCGTCGAGCACATCGGCCGACTCGTGCGAGTTGCACACTCACCGATCCGCTCGACTTGCATCCCTGCAAATGCACCCGACATACCACGAGCCCAGATACTTCTCGGAAACCCGCTGAAACCCGTTGCTCAAACATCCTCGAGGGCTTTAATGGAGTAGTAAGTTTTCTAGCCCGATCTCGATGAGCCCTCGAGGCTCGACGACCGAGGGAAACGGAAGAAATTCTCTCGTTTTAGTCACAATCTGTCCAAAAACATAAACATACTTCCCAAATTGGTACTTTCGGCAGAGACCTGCCGCCAAACCCCTATTGGCTTTGCCTCAATGCCTGCATTTTTATGTACTTACATCAGCAGCTAATCACAAATACCTTCCGATGCCGGCGGCATCGTTTTCATTTGTATCGTTCCGTTCGGGTGAACTTGACGTCGGAAAGTTGAGTGTCGAGGACGAAATGAGCGAGGACTATATCGTCGACGAAGATCATCGCCAGGACTCGGGTTGTGGGTGCGAGTGTATTCATTCTATCTGCTGCCATACGGGTTGCTTTTGCCAAGGACTTCTTGTAGTCAGGCAGTCCTGAATCATTTCCCAGGTTGTCTTCCAATTTGCACGATTTAGAGTACTGTTACCCTTCAATCTGAGACGCGACTCATTCCTCAATATCCCGATCAGAAGCAAGTAGTAGTGGGGCAATCGCAAAGGTCACTGTCATGAGATCCGCACGCCTTCCCGCTGGCGAACTTTGTACAGGGGTACAGCTGACAGCTGGAAGCTATTATTGGTGTTGACATCATGCAGGAAATGCACCGCCCCCGTCGTAATTCCGTCAATACTGAATGACGGTGAGAGTCAAGTGAGAGCAGTGAATATGTCACAGAGAATGTAGCCCAGTCTCGAACAATCGAGTATTATACTGAGTTCATGGATATATCGGTCAGTCATCGTTAGCGGAATAGCAAGATGGAGGGGTACAGCTAATGATACAGTAGCAACGTTATAGCAAAGTCGGGGTCCCGTAGAAATAGCATTTGACATGAAGAAAGCAATTCAGAAAGCGATGATGGGAACCGAAGAAAGCCTGTCTGTGAGCTGGAAGTGACAGGATACCGAAAAGGTCGGAATCGGTGAACAGATACCGGTGAGTGTATTAAACTGCCTGGCTTGGCACATGTTCAGAAGACAGTAACGAATGATCCAGAAGTCCCCCCTCCAGGGAAGATCGGGCATGTATGGGCAGAATTGTCAATTCGGCCGAACAGTACACCGGTGGAGACCGGTGTCGAAGTCTTGTGGACGATGCTCTTTTGATCGACGATTTGCTTTTGAGTGATTGTGAGGAGAGGTACTTCCCAAGCTCGAGCATGCCCGGCGTTGCCTTGGGATCTGCATGCGTTTCATGAAACGGTCAGACTCCACAGTGGCTGAGCTTAGTGGCACGACTTACCCTTCACGATGCCACTGTCAATCAACGCTTGATATGATATTTGCCCCATTTGAGCTAGCAGTTGTGTGGAGGCGTCCGTTGCAGGCAGTGCCCGGTACGTGTCTACCGTATTATCGAGAAATGGTCCCTCAATAAGTCGTACGGCGTAGCCCGGAAAGTTATTACTGCAATCTGCCTGGAGATGAATCAGTATGCAAAGGGGCACGAATCGGGAGTATATGACTTACTTCAGTGCTGTCATAATCTCGATGTAGTATTGAGAGTACGTCGGCTTCCCCACGATACCAAACGGGAACAAGTCTCTGTACTCCACGAATTGGTATGTGTGTATCAACAGGTGTCAAAACTGACCGCTAAGAGAAGACAGCCAATGTTATGAATACTCCAAGATGGACGGTATGAAGGGGCAGTACTAACCCATGAATTGAGCAACTGGAGGGCTTCGTCAAACCTCAACATAGGTTTGGGTCCGCCTTCAGGATAAAGTTGGCCTAGTGCAGGAAGAACCCACGAGCGCTCCGTGGATGGAGGTAAGAATCGTCCGTCTTCCAAGTATCGGCCATCAATACGTTGGCCAACCAGGTATCGGCGTAGTTGGTGGCCACTCTGTTCGTAGCAACATAAGAAAAAGCTGAAAGACTTGAGGTAAGACACATACCGGCAATGTAACATGATCAGTGCCTAGGAGTATGCCAGATTTCCATGCACCCCATCGTTTCTGCTTGTGGCTCATGGTTCGGAATTGGCACCTATCGTAGACCTGTGGGTACATTGATAAGAGGTGAGTAAAAGATATAAAGAACAAGACATACCTTTAGTGATGGAATGTCATCATGCCTCAAATATATAGGATTAGGTAGTATGCGGTCGGGGAAGAAAGATCGTGGAGTGAATAGACAGTGTGGGCCAACTAGAAAGTCCTTCAACAGTTCAGAGTGGGATACGGCGACCGGCATTTTTGGAGGATGGACCTTCAAAGGGCGATAAAAAGAATGATGTGAAGCGTGAAAGGGTGAGTTGCGTTGACGTATCCGGAAGTCTTCGCCACTCCTTTCGCCTTTCGTTGATTGAGCCACTCGGCGATCTACCCGATTAAGCGCGAGTGCAATGAGTCACTCAACTGCAACGTTCGTTGTATGTCGCGTTCAGGCAAATGAGTTCAGTATGCTCGATAGCGAATCAAAGCATTTCGGGTCAGAAGTCCTCAAGAACAGAATGATAGGATCCAATTCCAATGATCTGGGAAAGCCAGTAAACCGAACGGTACACCAGAGAGCTCGGAGTTAATGTTGTCCTCAGTGTCTTATGGTGCTTGCATTCCAACAGCGTCAATGTTAAAAGAAGAAAGTAGGTAGCATAAGCAGACAGAATTTGGCTCAGAATGTAACAATGTAAAGTCAAAGTCCTTGACAGAAAATACTGCGGCGGGGCCAGGGTTCTGTTTGCGCTTGTTGTGCAATAGCCTTAATGGATTGCTATTTTAGGCGTCCCAGTTATCGCCACTCTCCGGGCCGTGGAATTCGAACCTTTGGCTTCGGTCGAGCTTGCCTCTCAACTTCAGAGACACCAACATACTCACAGCTAGTACTAACAGCTAGTATCTGCAAAACGAAGGCATGCACCCTTGGAATATTAGGACCTCTCAACATACAAAGATAATTTTTCTAACTTCTTGCGAGATCGCTTAGCTAGACATGCACTACGAGCCTCTACATGGGATACTTCTTGGTATGCTGTCCATTATTGTCACCATCTATCTGTCTTGTTGCTCATATGCACATCACTGGTACTTCCTGTAACCGCATCGCCGTCACCATCTGTCGAATCCAGTGATTCCTGATATCACGTCTATTCCTGTGCTGTGATTTCCCCCGTGATACTCACGATTTGAGTTTTCACATGGCGTGAACTGTACCAACCAATAACCTTTACTGTCAATAGCTGTCCTTGATGATTATATCTCTTACCCATGATCGTAACAGGGATAATTCAATTTCTCACAGAGCCCCCAAGAAGCTTGCATGTTGATATAAACCAGCCTTCGTCTGTAAGTTTGTCCACTTTCTCTTCTGCCATGTTTCCAATCACTACGGTTATCATTTTCCTTTCGTCTTTATTTATTTTACCTTCCGGGGCAGATGTTACAGGGTCGATTTCACCGCTCAATCCTGGCGCCGTCCCACTTGCCGTTCGCTCACCGTATCTATCGTGCTGGTTAGCACAAGGGGGAGGGAATGCTCTAAACACTGCTTGGACGACTATGTATACCGGAACTGTGCGTTCACCCCTGATCAATATTCTTGGTGCCTACGAGTTAACCTTCTTTGCAAAAGATCTTGGGGTGGGTTGGTTATGTGAAAGTCGACGGAAAAACTTTCAAATTTCTCGGAAACGATGGAAAAGTGCCTGTTGACCAGGCCGTACAGAAGAACTTGCAGGTGAACATTCTTTTCCTTCACATCGATGGTCTTTACTAAACTCCATGTCTACGCAGATTACTTCGACACAAAGCACATTCACCTTGACTGCAGGATCTGTGGACCTAACTGTGAACTTTCTAAGCCCGGTGGAGGTACGCTCTATGCACATTCAAGATATTCGTGGGTCTGGATGCTTATGTTTGACAGCCCGACAATCTCGTCAATCACTCTTTTCCATTCTCATATCTCGCCGTGACGGCTACGTCCAATGATGGACAATCTCATTCAGTTCAGGTGTATACTGACATCAGTGCGGAATGGGTAACTGGAAATGTCAGCCAGATTGTCAGCTGGAGTACAAGTGCTGGAGATATGATCACCCATCAAGCTCAACTTGTCGACCAGACTCCATTTGTAGAGGTCGGTGATCGTATTCAATGTAAGCGCCACTCCCTATGCATTATTTCTGAGGTGTTCTGTCAACACTGACTTGAATTTAGATGGCTCTGTTTATTACGCTACTTCAAATGTAAGCTTCTTCTTGGTTCTTTAGCTCCTTGTGTTTGCTGATGAACGTACAGACGCAAGGGACTACATATCAATCGGGTGAAGATGAGGTAGTACGTTCACAATTCGTGAACAACACCACTCTTTTGAATACTCAGGATACACAATTCCGAGCCGTCTCCGACCGCTGGCCTGTTTTCGGCATGGCCCACGACCTAGGACAAGTCTCGTCAACCTCAGCACCTGTGGTCTGGTCTGTTGGACACGTTCGAGATCCAGCCGTGGAGTATATCGTACAAGGAGGATTTCAAAATCGAAGTTTATACTTCTGGAGTCAATACCTCAACATTTCTGATGCTGTGAGTCCAAAACACATTTTCAGGCTGAGCGGTGGAAACTAAAGCTTTCGAAGATATCTGCCTTCCACGACGATTACCCTCCCGCACTTATGAGAGCCAATAGTTTCGACCAGCAAGTCAAGAGGGACGCACAGGCTATCTCAAATGACTACGCAGATCTCGTAGCTTTATCGATACGCCAGTCATTCGCCGCAAGCGAAATCACCATCTCAAAGAACGGTGATGGTATATTTGACACGTCTGATGTACTTATGTTTTTGAAAGGTGAACAAACGTTGTCATTGATACGCTCCCGTACTAAGCTTCGTTTTGCACCTCAGAGATTTCCAGCGATGGCGTAAGCAATATTCTTCTTGGATTGAAATAGCCGTTGAAACGTGTTCGTATCAGGATGTCAGTACGGTGGACGTTATCTTCCCGACATGGCCTCTCTATCTTTACACCAGCCCGGCTCTCGGAAAGTACACTTTGCTGCCACTTTTCGAATATCAAGCCACGGGACAGTACTCCAACCAATGGAGCATCCATGACTTAGGTGAGCGAACTCATTTCACTCTGTTGTTCTTGGCGTCTAAATCATACCTCCAGGTGACAGAAGCTATCCGAAGGCTGTCGGCCACAATGACGGTATGAGTTGATGCTAGGCCTACGACTCTTCCTTGTTTGACCAACAAAATTCCATAGGGAAGGATGAAGCCATGCCGGTCGAAGGTACGTGTCCTTCTACTATGAATGAAGACATCGGCCCTCAACACATTTTGACGTATCAGAATGCGGGAACATGCTCATCATGACATTGAGCTATACGCAACGCACCGGAGACAAATCTCTAATTTCTACTTACGTTCGTACCCCTCCACATGCAAGGCTGAAAGGAGCCTAATTGACTCGACTTTAGTATAGCCTCCTTGATCAATGGGCTCAGTTCTTGATCACGGATAGTTTGATCCCCGCCAATCAACTCAGTACAGATAACTTCGCTAGAAGCCTGACCAACCAGACGAACCTTGCAATCAAGGGTATCATAGGAATCAAAGCGATGTCTGAGATTGCTTCACTCATGGGCGACGGTGCAAGGAGTTCAAACTATAGTGTGAGTCACTTTGAATGTCTGAATTAAGAACTTTTCTGTGACATTGTGATCATTTTGTAGTCGATCGCTTCGTCCTATGTTGATCAGTTCATGGGTTTGGCTATGTCCTCTGACAGCAAACATCTGACTCTCAATGTAAGTAGTCGTAATGCTTAAGTTTAGGATGATGCATTTTAACCGTGCATCACCCTACCAGTACGGAAACGAAACTAGGTTGGTTGTCTTGGTCAATGGCTCTGTGCAGAGATTGAAGGTGCATCAGTTGGGGCTTGAGCTATAACCTATACGCAGACAAGCTTCTCGGGACGAACTTGTTCCCGGATTCTCTATACCAAACGCGTGAGTTCTACTATGCAACTGCTAGTCATTAGTTTCAGCTAAATGTTTCACTAGAAACGAGCTGGTATAGCAACCTGGTCAGTAAGTAGGCTTGCCTTCCGCCATATCTTCGGAACTAATGCTACGTTTCGCTGGATAGACGAGTTTGGTCTTCCATTGGATACACGGTATGTCCTCAGAATCACTTTTCATGACCTTCGCTCATGGTCTATATCCAAGCAACACGTTCACGCTCTCGGGTGAGTTACATCGGGCGTCCCACTTTAGCCTCTGATCCGACAATCATTCGTCACAGGGTGGGAAATATGGACTGCAGCGATCGTAAAGTCGACGTCACTGCGTGACCACCTCATATTCTCCGTTCATCAGTACGCTGCCAACGGAAACAGTGATCGGCCGTTCACCGATTGGTATGACACCAAAGATGGGAAATCCATCCTCTTCACAGCTCGTCCTGTCGTAGGTGCTCACTTGGCTTTCGTGAGTTACTCTTATCAGGCTTTCCTATAAAACCTACTGAATTATATCGTGCGTGAAGCTTGTATTGTCGAATGCTACCGATACCACTACAACCGGTTCTAGCTCTGCGACTCCACTAGGCCCGACTAGTGGGGGAGGGTCTAGCGGAAGTACCGGAGGTAGCAATAACAATAATGAAGGAGGCAGCAATTCTGCGGCGAACCGAGTGATGGCTAGCTGGTTTACGCTGTCGATTCCTTTCGCCTTTGTGGTTCTTGGGAATATGGTAATGTTCGCCTCTTAGCAGACCCAGTGAATAGCAGAACGAGGAGTCGTATGTTGTGCTTGATATGTCTAGGCGTCGGGTAGGAAAATATATACTTTCGACATCGAGCGTACCAGACTCGGGCTTAGTCTAAAAGCTCTCTACAGAGTGCATTGGGCCGTAATTGAAGATAAAATGGATGAGACGATGGCAGAAAGTGCTAAAGATCTTCCATAGTCCTCGTCAAGTTGCGACCTATAGGTTAGCGCTTGTGGGTATTCTGAACTCTGACATCTGCCAGTCTTTTGGTCGTCTGCAATTCGTTTCGAACATACGTATGTTTTGCCTCGCCTCATACTTTGATCAGTTCTGTGTTTTTCTCGGGGAATGAGAGTCTATGTGTGAAACATTACAACCTTGCTAAAAACAGGTCTAAACGGCATACGGTCTTCCGTATCCCTCAGGCTGCGTTATTGAGTTACTTATCTTGTCGCGATCCATCGCAGATTCAGACATTCAGTATGGCAACAAGGCATCTACAAGAGGAGCTGCTCGCTTCATCCGATCCTATTAGTGTGCCTACGAGGTATGGTCCTGTAACGGGAGGACGTGCTCTCAATGGAGCGAGAGTGTTCTTAGGTGAGTATCATGGCCTATCCCTAGACCAAATATCATACGGAGACTTGAATCTGTTCATTTAAACACTACTTAGAGGTACCATACGGCATACCACCAAAGCGATTTCAGGATCCTGAACCACTTCCTGAAGATTACCATTACGAGGCCAAGGAGTTTATATACGAGAGTGCATGTGCGTGTCACCATGGTTTCGACAATATATCAATTCTTCTGCCATCCAACATCATATCTTTCCAGATGCCGTGCAACCGAATAATGACGGCCAGGCCGCAAGTATGTTTGTAGCAATCGTTATGACCCTCCCCGTCCTGATAGTTGCCAAAAAGGTGTACCTATCCAAGACAAGCTGGGCTTCGGGGAAGCAACAGAGAACCCGTGGGTGATATGTTCACAATCGTCCACTCCCTCGCACTGAACGGCAGTAATAGTCTCTTTGTGAACATTGTCACTCCTCCAAATATCTCCACTGATACGAAGTTTCCCGTTAAAGTGTATATACACGGAGGGTGAGTCAATGCTCGGAGCAAAACCTGCCATTGTTCTCACTCTGGAGGCTGCCCGCGTAGGTTTCTGCAATTTGGTTCGCCTCACGGCCTGAGCTCCCAAGCTCAATATGTGTCAATACATCGCTCAGAGGTCTGGGTGAACGTCGGATACCGCCTTTCCGCCTTCGGTTTTCTTGCGTGCGATGAACCCAAAGTCGAAGGAAACTTTGGTTTCAAGGATCAGTGGCTAGCATTACTATGGGTCCGGGATAACATAGCGGCTTTCGGTGGTAGGAGCCTTTGTGTCAATGTTAATAATGAGCCTGCATTTGACGTATATTGAAGGCGATCCAGATGATATTCAAATCAGCGGGCTCTCTGCCGGTTGGTTGTTCACTTCTTCAGCGTATACTCTATTCACATATTTCCGTGATCAGGAGCCCACTCGGTGCACCAACTTCTCCAGCATGCCTCTCACCTACCAGAGGGCGTATCCGCTCCATTTCAGTCTGCGATCCTACAGTCTAATTCAATAGTGTGAGTACTGTTTGATTATGTCTTGCGATCGTTTTTTGATTATGCATCTTCGCAGTATTGCCCCGAAAACACCCGCCGAATTACGACCTCAGTTTGAGGCGCTGTGTCGCGCCCTCGGGCTGGATCCATCTTCTCCTGATGTCCTCACCAAACTTCGCGACCCCGATATAACGCCGTGGTCAACAATCACTCAAGCCATCGAAACTGACGCTCTAGGTATCCAATTTGGTACCTTCCGAGGATGTCTGGACGGTGACTGGCTTCCCTCTGACCCTATGGAATGGCAACGTTCTGGCAACTTCGCTCGTTCATTGAAAAAGAAAGGTGTTCGCAGTATTGTTGTCGGTGACTTAACAGAGGAATGGTACCTCTACTCCATCGCCCATCCAGTCAGCAGTATGAAGGACATCGAGCTGAACCTGGAAAGATATTATCAGGACGAGATGGTCAAGAAGGTTATGGGGTTGTACAGGACTATCCCAAAGGATGCTCCTGTCCCAGAGTTTAAGAAACTTTTCGGTGAGATTCTGAGCGAAGGACAAGTACACCTACCTGTGCGGATCCTTGCTAGGGATCTGGTCAATGGTGGGTTCCCTGTACTGCGATATGAAATACAGTGGACGCCCGAGCAACATCGACCTTTCGGTGAGCACAGAAGCTAGTTTGTATGTCAGTCCTCTGACTTGCCGTCGCAGGTTTTGTCACTCATGCGACCGATCGCACACTATGGGCACTTCGGATTCCTTCACTAGAGCCGGATCAGAGAAAGGTTGCTGTTGCTTGGCTGGATATCATTGCTGCCGAGGTAAAGAAGCTGGAGCAGGGACAGGAGCCATCGCGACGTTCAGTCAAGGATATACTGGCGTTGAAGGCGGATCGTTCGATTGGATGGATAACTGATGGGAAATGGGATGAGATCATGAAACTTGCTACGGTTCTTCCCGGTGAGTCAGCCTGAGTGGTAGAGGCTGAATGTATGCACTGTATGTACGGTACTCGTGAATGCTGTATCTTGGATGCTAGAATTCATTCTAGTTTCAACATGGCTATTCATCTCCTCAAGTAGTTTGAGACAAGAATAGATGGGCCTCAACTCCCAATAAAAGAAGGCGTCGAGAACAGATTCTTCACCTGGGTACGAAGAATCTGGTCTGGATACTTCCCAACTGATCCTCGCAGCGGAAGAAGGCCTCAGGTGATTGGTAGAAGCGAGTCTCGTGGAGCATAATAATATCATATCGTATTGAACCGTCAAAAATCAGGATGCCGTGGTGAATCGGGGAATATCGCGTCATCTGGACAGCGAGCCTGCTGTTGGGCAGGTTTAGGTGCGAGGCATCAGAGTGACCCTAACTAAGAGGTTGATATTTGTTCGATGTAACAATAGGGCCACGTTTGTTTATGGAATCGTATAGATATGTGGTTTAGCCACCCATTCAAACATGGCTTCTTGCGGTGCAGGGGAGTAGGTGACTAGAAGACAACCGATGTGTGAAGATCAGTACATGACACGTCAGTTAAATCTCCAGATTCGATGCAGAATGCGTTGTAAACCAATGGTTGTTCTGCAACAGTGAGCAATTCGTCCAGAGTCGTCTCTTCTGCTCAGCGAAAGTAGTGATAGCAATATTTGAATTCAATTCATCTCCTCCGAATTGGGACTTAGCAAAGTCCCAGACTGGTCGATGAGTCTGTCCATAGAGTATCCATTATCAACAGTCCGTCGTCGCCTAAGCCAGATCAGCCGTCTTCTAGTTTGAGTAAAACCTGATGCATACCTCCTTGTCACCGCATCCTGTAAATCCAGAGTCAATCTTCGACCAGTATTGGTGGAGCCCCTGCTCCTCGTCGTAATCAACTCCTCCGCGGGCGTAAACTCCAAATCATCATCGTCAAAATTGGCGAAACTAACTGGATCGCCTAAGTCGCCTAGGATACCTGTGGAGAGTTCCCATTCGCGCTGTGGAAGTGGGTCGGAGAGGCTGCGTAAGGAGAGAATGAAGCGAGACAGCATTATGCTACGCATTCTGTAGACAGCGGCAATAAGCGAAAAGTGAAGAATGAAACACAGCAACAGAACGAGCTATTGTGACGGTGACCTACACATTCACGAAGAAAGTGGCAGGGTTGGCGAACTGCATATACATCAGGTCAATCGTGGATAAGGTACGAAGACGTACGAACCATATGGATGTAATCAAAAATGATGTTTACAACATTGACACCCAAAAGGGCTCTGCATCCCAAACGTTCTGTCAACGTCACGACCTCTGGGCTTTCACAAATGCAACGTACAACCACCAGACGGATCCTGAGGAAAAACGTTATATAACGCTTAGACGGAAAATGTTCCAGGTAGGCAGGTGCTCACCATCACGAATAAGCAATGTCGTTAGTTTCGCCGGAATGCCAACCTTCACCGCCTCTCGTTTAATTCTAAATGTCTTCATGAGAGTCGCCCCTATTATTAGAGTGTCGGCGAATATTGAACAGACGCGAGCAGCGATAGTCACTACGATTAATAGCGTGAATTCAGTTCAGGTGCAAGAAGCACAAATTGGTAGCACGCACGTCTATAATTCATGGCTCATCAGCACTCAAAGCCACGAGTTGGGGGAGAAAACGAAGTTTACCTAAATTGTAAAGCCGTAGAAAAACTTGCGTTCCAAATACACCCTCCGTATGGTGTCTGTACACTGGACAGTGTGATAAAACGGATAGTAGCAATTCGATACTTAACAGCGGTGATTAGCACGAGGACGGGACTAACAAATAACAGGGTACTTACGATGTTAATGCAGGGTGCCGCCAGGCAAGCACAGAAAATAATACTGAATGCTGTCCAATTGCGGCCCCATATGGCCCATATCCTGAAAGCACTAAAGACTATCAAAATAAAATGAAGGTTAGATGGTGAGATGGATAGAATCAAGCCTAACATGCTCACCGACAGAGTTCAAATCGAATGCGACTAGGAGGACACCTGAAATTATGGTGATAGATTTACAGCTACATGTATATTAGTGTCGGACATTGGCGACCCAAGAGAATGCACGGCATACTATTCCTGTATTCATTAGCCTGAATGTGAGTTTATGGGATTGGAAAAATGACGCAATACTTACTACAGAAGTTTGTACAGGAGGAAAGAATTTTAACAAATCTACGACGGAGAGTGCGACGTAGAGGTAACGGTTGAGGAGAAACAGGAGGGTTGCCACAGTAAACCTGCGTTTCCAAATGTGACTGACTTCGCCATCGAGTGTTATCAAGTTGTCATAGAAGAACAACACTGCAAAAACTGTGAGCAACTCTCTCGAGACTTGAGAACAGCTCTCGCGTACCAGCAGAAGCCAGCATGCAATACAGGTAGATAGTCCTGACGAAAGATAAGTAAAATAAACATAAAACTCAACACCGCGGGTGCGACATGTAAAATAATAACTCACGATGCTTCTGCGCCCACCGCATCTATAGCAGCATCCATCTCAGCATCCATGTCTGTGCGACGCCTCCCAGGGCTCGCACGGACTTGCCACCAAAGTTAAACTTGCAGTGTCGGAAGGTCGTTTACAGTAACAAACTGCTTAACGTTGAGTGACATAGAAGAGGACACGTAGATCCTGGCTGATTTCGGAGGCCGTCAACTTTATGAATCAGTTGAGGAGATGAAAGACCAGATCAACTGGCCATGGACCATAGTAATATCAAGAATGATGATGGCTTTCTCAGGTGTCCGTGTCGGACGTAGACGTGAACATTAGATAGCCACGGCCCACGCGCTGGGCGTTCAGTGACTGAACGCCAAGCGCGTATCTTCTTCTTAACCCTCATGTCACATTGAATGTAACATGAAATTTGACTGAGCATACCTTGGGATACTATCCTCTCTTCGTGTTATTCGTATCTGAGCTTCAATGTCTACAAGGCCTCCTCTTCACGGAATTAAAGTCGTCGAGTTTGGAGGTCTTGCACCGGGACCATTCGCCGGTCTTGTCCTTGCAGACTGGGGCGCCGATGTCATTAGAATTGACCGCCCAATCTCACATCCAAACGATAAGGTTACGGAAGATGTTCTTGCGCGACACAAACGCTCAATCGCTGTTGACACCAAGGTCTGTGTTCAAACTCGAATGCCTCCGATACGCAGCTGGTCTAATCTAGCTACGGACCACTGATTTAGATCCCGAGTGGACGCGCAGTTGTGAAAAGACTGGTAGAACGCGCGGACGTGCTTATAGACCCATTTCGACCTGGAGTCCTTGAAAGGTTAGGATTGGGCCCGGAGGTCTTCTTGGGCGAGAAAGGCACCAACAAGAAACTAATTTATGCACGACTGATCGGGTAAGCTTGAGAGCCGTAACGCTATGTACAGTATATCAACTGTAACAATGTTCTTAGGTTCCCCCGTACAGGTAATTCACATAGTCGGCCGTGGCATTGACTTGGGGTAATGATTCTCCTACAGGTCAGTACAGCAACCTCGCAGGTAAGATAGAAGTGGCATCAGCAACATAGGATTCGCTGTCAGTACTAAGGGAGCGCGTGCGATAGGACATGATTTGAATTATCTCGCTCTCAGTGGCGTCCTTTCCGTATGACCTCCGCTACGCCGTAGTGGACAGGATCTAACGCAATGACAGCTTCTGCCAGGTAGCCCGTCACGACCAACGTTCCCACTTAACATTCTTGCCGACTTCGCTGGCGGTGGCCTCATGTGTGCCTTAGGCATAATGATTGCCCTCTTCGAACGAAGCAACAATGGGGGTCTTGGGCAAGTTGTCGATAATGATATGGTATGAACGTTGGTTTCGTGTTCTATTTCGCTGCAGCCTCTGATTCAAATGGTCGCATAGGTTTCAGGTACAAGATATCTTTCAACCTTCCCACTCCTGGGATCTTTCGCTCATTCGCTGATCCCGAGCCCGCTCTTCGCTGACCGTGATGCTACAACTTCAACCCGGATGCAGAACACACTTGACGATGGAGCCCCCTTTTACGCCGTCTACACGTGTGCGGATGGTAAATGGATGAGTGTGGCTTGTATTGAGCCGAAGTTCTACAAGATATTCTTGGAGAAATTCCTCGACGCTCTACCTTCAGAGTTTGTGCAGCAAAAGGGTTGGTGCCCGAAAGTTGAAGAACAGTTCGTTCGCACGAAATGGCCTGCAATGAAGCAGTTCTTTGAGGAAGGGTTCAAATCGTTCGATAGGCACTACTGGGCGGAAGTATTTAATGGTGATGATTCGTTCTTCGTATCTGAATAGCGAAGATTCTCATTACTGTGACTCTCTAGGGTCTGACTCGTGTGCATTTCCAGTTCTAAGCCCTCGAGAAGCATATCTACTAGCTTCCACTGATGCGGCACCGAAGGCTCATCCTAACCTCTCTCGGACAACCCCCGTACCATTGTCGACTAACTCATCACACACCTACCTTCTTCGGCCAGGTGAACATACAGACGAGATCTTAGAAGAGATCGGAATAGGTAAAGAAGAGAAAAAGAATCTGGCAAAGGATGGTGCGCTGGGGATAGTTCAGCTGGGGACGAAGTTATGAGGCACATTATCTGGTATGACGATTCCATTCTGCACCGCTCTGCATGTATACCACGGTTGCTATCATATACCTAGCATCCATCTAGGTCGTGAATATACGGATCGCAGCATGAACGCTTCTGATACTCCCACTTCTCAGGCTTCCACCCGGCAATGGCAGGTTATCATGAAGGAACTTGACTATCATTTTCTTGACCGACATGCGGAGACCAGATGTATGTTGGATCACAATAATTCTCTCTTCGGGCTAGCACTGGTTTTTAGGTCCTTGGCTCTCTAATGACCCGATTGCGCTGCCAACCTATCTGCCCATGTCCACGCAATCCAGCCTGCCTTTGTCTGACGTTGCCTCACTCAGCCACGAAATCTCGACGTGCGTTGGAGGATGCGAGATTACCCCGTTTCTCATGTAGATCCTCTCGGCTTTCGACTCGCGTTACTTGTGATTTTTTGAGTTTTGATCTGGAAAATCAGCGTCTTGCAATACTGTATCAGCTTCTGGCTTTGCGATACCGTATTGGGCCTGGCCTGAAGTACTAAGACTGGGCACATTCTGTCAGAACAAGCTGGAAGAACACGCTGGAACTTATTGAACGCGTCGAGGAAGAAACTTGAAGAAACGCGTTGATTCTTATCATCACATTAGTCAATTGATAGGCGCCAGTCCGAAAGCCTCGACTTCCAAGTTCCAACGCACGGAAGCAAATTTGAAGTTATCGAACGAACTTCTTGAAGTCCTTCAAAGCAGAAGCAGCAACTAAACTCCATGGCCACGACATTTTATTTCTAAGTTATTAATTCACGCATTCGCGAGATTATGCTGAAATAATTTATCGTTATCCTTCAAGAAGGAGGAGGCGGACATCACCTTGAGGCAGATTGATGGGACCTTAGGCGACCATCTGGGATTACAAGACAAGGGTGACAAAGCTTATGGCTCGCACTGGCTCGCACCTGTCATACATTCTAGACAGAATCTTTTTCGACCCTCGAACATTGTTAAATCATCCTGTCGCTTCCATGGCGTATATATGGTCGGAAAGGAAACTGAATTACGATGTGAGTGTTATGTAATATTGGCATTGAGCTTTTCCGTTGCAGTGACTGACAAGAGTGATGCTGGAATGAATGAACTTTCACTGAGTTCTCTTTTTATCCACATATCGAGCTACTGAATGAGTAGTGAGCTCAAGAGCAGCTCGTTTTCACAGGATGCCAACCATCAGGTCCCAAAAAAAAACGCATGGTGGAAAGCTCAGGTAGGTTTCAAATGTCATTGTTAGCATTAGAGATAATCGTGGCTCATCCATTGTTCCTCTGTCCAAGGCTACCTGGAAGTGAGTAATGATATAATCAATTTACAGACGGCTGTTTAATGATAATGATGTAGCCGCCCCTTCTACGTGCCCATTGGCCAGACTCACCACAGGTCCGACTGTCCGAGACGTCGGTTCGTGCACCAACCCTCAAAATATCGCGTACCTATTCATTGTTGGCAAGGTGAGAAGTCTTTGTATACGCCCATGTCCTCAGCGCTATTGACCGAATTGACAGATAGTGTATGTCCGGAGCGAACCACACCATACCTACCTTCGGTACAACTCACCAACACCGCTGTTATAATGCAACGTGTTTCATGTAGATTCGAGCCCCTCCATCCGTTGCTTTTTAGCCAACTCCACGCTCGTTGACCTTCCGCTCGTTCTTTTGTTCTCGGAGACGATTATGCCGGATTGGACATCGCCTGAGCAGCTAGCTTTGTCATCAGGCTCGTCCATTACACTCTGGAATCTTATTCATAGTCTTATTTAATCCCCAGACGTTCTTGTCAAGTTGACTCACGCAGTCGTCGGCGTGTACCTGTGCGTGTATATGCTCATCATACCAGGCTTTCAACCTGAGAGACTCTCAGATGGGAATTCCTCCAATCGTTAGATTTTGATTGGTCGTTTTTGTCGGGGAAACGGAAGTTCAAATGGGTCATGGTATTGCATCTCTGTTGCCTCTCCAGGCTTACTGCATGGATTGATAACGACTTTAGACATTCTATTTCCTCGTCCGATACACAGCACTTGCGGCGTTTCTCACATCGTAGGTTTGTTCTCCTACATTCTAACAGTTATGCTTACAATCTCAAAGACTTGTAGTTTTTGATGTCAAAACGTACGCGTCTCCCGTTGCCGACCATCTATTTGCTGATGTCCTTTTTTGTAGCGAAATCAATTGCAAAGCAGTCCTTGCAGTCTTCCAGGTAAGTTTCATGCTTGCTAACAAAATACTTACGGCCTAACAAATTCACTCTCATCCGCCAGTTTACTGGCAGCGCTGTTGGCGGATTCTCCAGCATAAATTTCGCATTGAGAACGTATGTATGGATCTTATGTACGTTTAGAACATGCCTGATTGATGCGCAAACGTAGGATCGCTCTTTGGCAAAGACATTGGACCATTTGCATCCTGATGACCCTGCTTATATTGGGTCACTGGTCACTGATTTTGCACGGTTAGTCTTACGGCCGATTGTATCAGTGCCTGCTGACGTCTCGCACTCAGGCCTTCTCATTGAGGGCGTGTATGTGCCAGGACAAGGCTGCGTTATCACGAATATACACAACACTGTTCTTACCGCCAACCTCATATACTCAATGGTTCTCGACTTCATTGTACTTGCTTTGACGAGCTGGAAGACCATTAAGCTTAGGAACAAAAGCCGAAAGTCTCTTGGTGGTTTGATCATTCAGGACGGGCTGATATTCTTCGCCTCATCGTAAGAATCCATTCGTTATGTGTTTAACGTCTCTCATTGTCTCTGCGCAGAGTTTGTGGCAATGTCATTGCAGCGGTGTTCATGATATTGAACCTGAGCCCCGTTATGAGCGTTATATTCAACATTCCGGCAGCAGCCATATCAGCAGTATGTTTCGACCTTATGTTATCGCCTTCAGTGATTGATATAAAGGTTATTAGATTGCGGCCACAAGAGCGGTGCGAAAGCTAACCAGATGGACTCACGATGGACCTCACATTTTGTCAGTGCGATTTCGTTATCGTTAGCTAGCTACTGATCTCAGTTCTCATAATCAGCTATACTCAAGCCAATTTACCAACGGGTGGAGATGCAGAGGGGCTATCATCTAAGGAACAAGGTGCTCAGATCCTAGCCTTGCCTACCCATCAGAGGAGTCGGACAGACGGAGGGGTTCATGTACAGGTGCGTCGAGCAGCTTCTTTTCGCCATGGTGGTCTCACGCTGTGCAGATGGAAACTTTCGTTGCCGTCGACCGCTCAACTCTGCCGGACGAGGATAAGGGTGTAATTCGGTTCGACCATGACCCGTATACTGAGGACGACATCAAGCCCGTCCACACAACCTGATACTCCATATGAGGCCGCCAGGTACACTCATATTCGAATCTACTGTTCAAGAATTGCTACTCACGGAGATAAAACAGCACTCGCCAAGCCGTGCGTAATGTTGTCTCATATTTCGTTCATCGACACAAGTATGATTTTGTTTACAACCCTTCTGATTTCCCACCGCTATTTCTTGGGACACTGCTGTTTCTTGATAGATGTACTTTCCTTAACTGAAGACTGGGTTCTCTGTCGTTCATTCTCGTCTATTGACAGTGGCTGGTCCCACACATCGATGTTCCTGATTAAGCAAAGGGCATCTCGCCGGCCATCCTGTTATCTCGTGGCTTAGCCATTCCGAGTCTCCTTGACGTCAAACCACGTCACACAAAGTTCCATGATCATTTAGTGCGTAGAGGAAACTTCTGATCGACCATTGAGTTTTTTATGATAGTTGGGTTCCAGAGCAGAATCTTGGCGGAATAACCGACATTCGATACCCTTCTATTCAGATAAAGTGATTAGGCGAATCAGTGGTTTGCGGACCTCGTCTCGGAAATCTCAGATTCTATAATGCACCGTTCATTGTATCATCATGCCTATGGATTTCCGGTCTGGGATGGCGTAGCGGTCGATATATGAAGCTGCGTGGCCTAGACGTGTATGCAATTTTTCCAATCTAATTGCAATACGCGAATCAATGTTTTAGTTCAATGGGGCTAATTCAATTATTCAACGAACTAGGGTCTCTGGTTTTCGTCCCGGAGATGTTCAATGTTGAAAATCAGAAACACGTTTAACTGCATCTCGAGAGCAGCGCAGTCCGACATCCGACGCTGCAAGGCCCTCCTGCCCTTATCGATGTTTATTGCAACCAACGAGGCCTACCGCAATTCAAAACATGTCCATTTAATGGGACTTGTCGGACCTTTCACTCACTTCCAACAAACCTTGCACATAACCCTGCCGTTCCGCTCAGGTTTCCATGGTGAAGCCTTTGACCTTTTGTATGTTCCAGTACTTTTCGTATTTGTTATTACACTCATCATCCGATTGCTCAGCCACCACCCTTGACCATGCGTTCACGGTCGTTGGACAATGGGTCTACACGCTCTTTCTGTTCACAAAGAGTGATATTAAAACGACCCTCATTCCGGTCGTACGTTTTCTGTGCTTCCCATCTCCTCGATCATAGTTTAATTTGACTACCGTCATGCAGTCCTGCTTCGCTTTGGCCGCGGCTCCGAATTTGAAGCTGTCATACATGCCTGAAGCGGTGATTTGGTTATGGCTGCATCTTCTCCAATTCAATGTCTCCAATCAGACAATGGATCCGGAAGAAGACCAAGTGAACAAACGTGATCGCCCCCTTCCATCAGGCCGTATTTCATTCCAGGCCGCACAAATCCTTCGTTGGACACTTGTGCCTATTTGCTTGCTATATTCACTTTTGTACAGCGTTGAGGTGTTCTATTCGAGTGTTGTTATGATAGCATCGACGCTAATCTACAATGAATTGGGTGCTCATGGGCAATGGCTCACGCGAAATCTCTTGAACGGGCTTGGAGTTGCAGCGTTCGAGCTGGGCACGACGTTGGTAGCATGTGAGCTCTCTTTACACAACTATCCTGCTCCAACTATTGTTGACCAGTCTTTACAGCCAAAAGCCGACATTACTTAGACACTACTGCCATAGTCGCTATTTGTCTTAGCTCTGGCCTATTCGCTACTACTATACAAGCCCAAGACTTCAAAGACGTGGAGGGCGACTCCATGGTCGGTCGCCGAACACTTCCCATTATATACCCTGGGATCTCCCGGTATGCAGTGATTATACCGCTGTTGATATGGTCCTGTATACTTTGGCACGTCTGGAAACTCGACGTGCTTCTGGCGAGCGTATTTGTCGCACTCGCCTCGTACGTTGGGTATCGCTATCTCGCGTTGACTACCGTTCATCACGACCAAGTCTCCTACTACTGGTACAACGTGAGTCATTAGTTCAATACGCACATTCTGTCCGACTGAATCTTTCATAGGTTTGGCTCTCCACAGCTAACGCATTGCCAGGTTACTATCGATACTTCCATCAATAATGGGTTATTCTGAACTCCTTCCTAACATATGGGCTCTTCTATTCGTTCCTTTTTTGTTTCTCAGTCACTCCTTCGGAAATCTTCGGACAGGTTAGATAAAGTTATTGCTGGCAATGCGCATTATCTGCGTTTTCCTTGACCGATGTTCCGAAACCAGACCGTCAGACCAGTATGTTGTACAACAGCGACTGCCTTTCTGAGCTTGTTGTAGTATCTGTAGTTTTGATGGTTGATCGATCCCCAACGCCATGTCATGACCTTATGTGTTCTCAAATGTCACTTTCTGTTCTTACGTTCTAACCCTCCCATCACAAGCTTCCAGTTTACGTTTAAAAGGTCACATTTGGCTCTTTTTATTCGGTTTCAATCTGATCGTATATCGTCATATAACTCTGATAACCATCCTCGAATCGTAGGATGCCACCATGCCTTCTCAATATTCCCAATGAACTCTTACTCCAGATATTTCAGAATGCATGCACAGACTGTGGCCAGACAGGTACCTCCATCGTCATGGTATACAAACTCTTCCGAAAGCTTTGTTTCGAAACGGGAGTGGACATTCAGAGCGTAGCAGTGGACGGCGCCGGAATTTGCTTTCCTTCTTGGATACCCTCAGAAACGACAGGAAACTTCGAGAAGAATCAAGTCCTTGTTCCTTTCAGACGTTGCATCATTCACAGAAGGAGTTAGGAGACGAGGGTGAGAGTGAGAGTGCAGAATCGGCTTCTATATCTCTATCTCTATGCCAACGAATTCTCTCCTCCATTACTCCGGGTTCTTTATTATCCCTTTCCATCTGCCTTGCGATTCTGGAGGGCTCGAACGGAATCAGTAGCTTACCCCCCATTGCTTTTAAATCACTCACTCATTTCACCCTGTACGATCCCGAGCTGGGTTCTGAATCGATGACGCACATGCACCCAATGCCGGCGTTGAGAACACTTCATCTTGTATGGCAAAATGACAGGATTTCTCCAGCGTTCTCGTCAATAGCCTTGTCACCAGAGTCTCCAACGTTTCCCACCTCAAACTATCCAATGTTATGGAAGATAGAGGTCTTCTAGGTCTCCTACGACCATACACCCAACACGGTCCTGGTCAAATGGCTGATGGGTCGAAACACGACAAGAATGTCTTACCCGCGAAAGTGGAATGTCTTAACATCGAGTTTGGTGTTCACTTTACATCTCGGCGTCCCACCTGCGGCAATAATAAAATGGCGTACTTGTCATTTATAACGAAAGTTATTGAGGCGAAGTTACAAGCTGACGATTTGGGCTTGAAGGAGAGGAGGCTGGAGGTACTTCCGCCCCCCGAAATACGTTACCTGGATGAACGCGATGAAGTTACGAGAGAGATGTTTTGAGCGTCTTCGAGAGGAGTGATTGGAGAGAAACCAGAGTATCTTTGTTTGTGATCGTCGTAGCCCAAAGTTCGGGAGAGAACAAACTGACCATGAGATCCACGTGAATCCCATCCAAATCCTACGCTACCTTCCAACACCCTTCGTCCCCAAGTATCCTCTCCTCCCACTCCATTCGAATCAACTTATATCTCTCCCGTAGGACATCATCCCTCTCATCTTCCTCAGTAACCGGTGGTGGGTCCAACACTACCAACCTCTTCTCCCTCGTTGTATTAGGTTCATCTGGTGGCATAATTCGCTTCAACTCCTTGGCAGTCTGAAAATACGCAATCTTCCGTCTCTCAAAGTTCCTCACTGCTAATTGGTAGAAGGGCGCAAATCCGATGATAACATCGTGCAGGCTTGGAGGCAAACTGCCTGGCAGCGATGTATCCAAGGGGGAGGGAATGGGGAATGCGCTTGGAGGTTTGGAGATCACGGGGGAAGGCGGGGAAGGCTCCTCTGGGACGTACTCCCTCAAAACTTCTGGCAAGTTTCCGTACCATAGAGGGTTAGTGACCCCAGAGATCCTTAGATGTGTCAAGGTCGGAGCGACCTTAGATATCGAACTACCAATGTCGCCTGGAAGCTCACGAAAAGCGGCTATATGAAGTCGTTTCAGACTCGATATGGCGGAAAAGTCATCGAAGAAACACGGTCCTACAGAAACGTGAAGCGTGAGTTCTGAAAGGGAGGGAAATGGGATGGAGAATATGGAGGGGGCGGTAACCGTCGTCAGGAGGGCACATGGCATGAGGATGGTCAGTGTCTTGAGGTGGTACGGTGAGATGGCATGTAATATGCGGTTGAGCCAGCAGGCGGGAAGTTTGTCGAGGTCGGTAGTAAGCCGCTCCATGTCAAAGCATGAATCGCTAGGTAGAAATCCATCATCTACACTGACTCGATCTGTAAGAAAGAGATGCTTGACTCTTCTCGCGTCCCGATCTCTCCTCTCGATCATTACAAGAAACTTGCGCATCCTCTCCAAACCATAAACGGCGGCACATTGGATATCAACGCCGCTCCAAAGACATAAGGCTCGGAAGTCTCTCGAGACTGAAGTCAGCGAGCAACCTGTTAGACCCGAATCCGTGCATGCGTCGCTGAGGATATCGATCAACACCTCCGCAGGTAGGTCCGCGAGCGCGATTGACATCACAGTGTTGGGGTATATGGAGTATGCTGGAACCGAATTAAACTATCTCGAGAGATTGGCAGATGCAACTTTAAAGCTTCTAGACACAACAATGTTAAGACTGTTTACAAAGTTTTGACTCAATTAACATACCAGCGGGTCCTCGAGTGCTCTGATAGCAAAGCTGTAGGAATGAAGGGAATGTCTGACGTCTCCGGTGGAGAGTCAGTGTATACATATGGTAGCGGCGCCCAAGTGGAGTATTCTTGACGGCTGGTCCGAAACGGTTTCTTCATAGGTAAGTAGGTATGACTGTAATGACATCCCCGAGGCAGCGAGCATGGATCCACACGCATTCGATTATTCCAAGGTTTCCAGGCAAGGGGTAGCGTGTACGCGTTGAATTGAGGAACCAATCAGATCAGCCTCGAATGCGAAAGGAAAGCAACATGGCGGAGAACGGCCATAAGGATCCCAACTGATCCTGGGAGAACGGATATTAGCGAAAGTTTCTTTAACAGAAGGCTAAATCTGGTTCTGACTTCTGCCCGAAGGACGTACAGGGAAAACGTAGTGTTGCGACGTCCACTACGTGATATACACCGCGGCGTCGGTCTCGGCTATCAAAGAGTACGAAATACTTGCAGACTTTCCACCAGCTTTTGCCATTCTCTATCCATTTATATCGAATACTTGACGTGACGCCAATCGCAGTGTGTAATCGGACAGTACACACTGTGCAAGCGCTGGACGAGAACAGACAGACGAAGCTCACTTCGGTACAACCCAAGAAGGTGATGTATCGATGCCCGAGCCCGAGGGGAGGAAATACAACAGAGTTCACAAAGCCTATACTGTACAATACAATACCAGTATGCCCGCAGATCGAAGCCGAGGGACAAGAATAATTCAAGCTATAAGTTACGAGACCACTTCCCAGGATCGTCGCACATCGCGATATAGCAAGGCCTGGTGAACAGGTTCCACTGATTCCACAAAAGATTATTGAATTAGAGGTTTTCAAAAACCATGCAAACAACAAATCAAACCTACCACTTAAACGCCGCGAGTATTTGGTATTTGAGGTCATGAAATCGACTGATGCATAACATCCCAACCAGCCTCCCTTCCCGCAACTCTCTCTTCCCACTCCATCCGCAGTCGTGTGTAACATTCTCTCGCGTCCTCCTCGATGTCACCCTGGGAACGAATCGCGGGAGTAGGACACACCACCAGCTTCCGTCCACCCGCGTTCGCAATACTAACAGGAGGCTTGTGATTACTCGAATCAGCCAGCTGACGCAGTGCCTGAGTCGTCTGCAAGTAGTTGATCTGCTCTCTCCCTAAGCGGCGCGCGACACAAGACTGGAAAAATGTGATAAACCCGATGATCAATGTATGAACACTAGAAGGTAGCTCGTGATTGATAGGAATGGCATCGTTGTTCGTATTCGCAATCGAATCGACAAGGCGGTTATCCTTAGCGTTGATAGTGGCATTGTGAATTGTATCAACTGGGTTAGAGTACGCGCGGAGGACTTCAGGTAGGTTACCGGACGTTGAAAGGCTGCGAACAGCAGACAACCTGAGATGGGTGAGATGAGGGGCAATCCTGTTGATTGAGCCCCCAAAGTCCTTTGGCAGTTGGTTGTGAGCGGCAATGTGTAGACGCTTCAGGCTCGGACACGGGTAGAAGGCTTCGAAGAAGCGGAAATCGAGTGCTGCGTAGAGTGTGAGGTCGGTTAGTGAGGGAAAGGGTGTCGAGAACACCGAGGGACTGGTTGGTATTGCGAGGCGGTAATGGGGGAGGTGGATAGTTAGGATACGGAGATCGTGTTCCGAGACGCTACGAAGGATCTGGTCCAAAAGTAAAACGGGAGAAGTCGTGCAGGTTTCTGAAGAAGTGGATGCGACGCAGTGATTCCCTCCAGCACCCGTATCCTCAATTCCAACGCGATCTGTGAGCAAGAGATTTTTAACCCGTCTGGCTCGTTTCTCCCTTCGCTCTAAAACCGCCAAGAACCCCTCCATCTTCTCGACTCCATTCACAACAACATTCTCGATATCGACACCGCTACCGGTACAGAGGGCCCGAAAACGTTGCGAAACAGCTGTCAAGCAGCAGCCGGTATACCCTGTATCAGTGCATGCGATTGCGAAGATGTCGAGCAACAACTCTGCAGGAAGACTTGCTATAGTAGTGGGCATCACGTTACAATAGGTCGTGAAGAGCGACGACAAACGAGGAAAGCCAGGTAGAGAAGCAGCGTTCGAGTCTCGAGATCCGAACCAAAGCCCTCAGCCACTATAAGTACCGCCTAGAAACACGACACAGATCTAGACATATGTAGGTCAGTTGAAACAATGATCATGCATTGCAATCACTTGCTCCGAGTCTCAAGGAGACTGTATCAGGGCCGAAGCCTGCCATTGTCGGAATTAAACCGTTCACGATGTTTGAACGTTGAACCGTAGCACCGAAATCGAGACAGCAGGCTGAAAACATATGCGCACGGGGACAAATATGTCGTACAGCAGTCAAGACTCAAGGCGGCCGTTTTGGCTCCGTTAGACTTGTTCCGCTAGCCTAAGGGCGTTTGACAAGAGGTCCAGGTCAGCAGGTACAGAATGTTCTTGATTCAGGACTTCGGTTCATAGGGTCTGCAGAAACCTGAGGAAAGCCCAGTCGGTATAATACTGTCGAAAGAGAAGTTGGGCATTTGGAGCTTGAAGCATGCACATATCGGTGCTGTTGGGGAGGATCGAGGAAAGAAACAAGGGAAATTGGGCCTACCCAAATGGGGTTCGTTTGAACAGCCATGAACAGCCACGAACAAGTTCAGTGCGCTATCCAGAAATTCAGGATCATTTCATGTTCGGTGTTTAAACGACTAGACAACTTGGATCCAAAGACAACGTTTCATTCTTATCCTGTCAACCTTGCTGAAATCGGGACGAAGAAATCTAATAATACGTACAATAAGCTAGGGATAACAGATGCAAGGTCAAATTTGAAACAACAAAAAAAGCACGACAACAATGTTGAAATGGCAAGCATAATGATACAGATAGAAGGCACTGAAGGCAAATTACAAGATCCAAGAGGCGATCCAGGCAAGAGGTATAGCGACGCTCAAACCGATGAGAGCGCCCTGAAGCAAGGAGGGTAAGGGGAAGACACCTCTGTCTTCATCATCTTCGTCATCCCACATGGAATAATGTCTAACATCACCGTCGATAGTCGTTTGGGTTGCCGTGGAGGTAGTGAGTGGCGGGCTTTCTTGATGTGATCCGTGGGTTGCTTGAGTTGTGGAACCCAGGGCTGAGGATGTCCCTATGTCTTGAGACGATACGGTGCTTGACGGTAGAGTAGATGTCACATCAGTACTTGTGGTAGAACCCTGCGCAAGGGAAAATATAGTCAGCATCAATGACATTCGTACAACATTGATGGTGAAACTCACCTCATTTCCGGAGACAGATTGCTGGACAAGGCAGGTGTCGACGGCTTCTAGCGTTCTCGATGGAGAAAGCGAGCTCGATGACGCTGATTCCTGGACCGGTGCAGTCGTGTTCCCAGAGTGCTCTACTTTGCCGACCTCAGATGAGATATCGGCACAGCACCTCGAAGGACCTGGCTGCACGGTTTCCGTAGGCTTCGCATCCTACACAATACAAGAATGATCCAATCAGTATCACAGGGCTCAACGTCAAAACATCAAGTCGCTTACATCATTCTTCACCTGACTCTGGTCTGTCTTGAGGTCTCTGACTGTTCTTCTCCGAAGGCGAGTACCATCCGGCCCATATAACGGTCGGGGTGGTGTAGATGACATAGGCGGTGGGACGTATCTGGGCGTCCGGCGACGGGGGAGACGTAGGCCTAACTCAGGGGGCGTCGTCAGCGATGCACCCCCGCCGTATGAGTACCATCTTGGTGTGGCGTTTGCAAAGCGTAACGCGAGGGATAGATCTTCCCTTGAGAGAGCCGGGATTGGTCTCGCTGTGGACGTAGACACTGTGGCTTGATGAATAACTGGACTGCTAATCGGAGGCTCTGTAGGCGAGGGTGTCGCAGTGGATGCTTCAGGCAGGGCCGGGCTAGGTTCGACTCTGACCGGCGTTGAGGACGTCGAGGATGTAGGAGAGTCGCCTGAAGGTCGATCGCATACTACGTCGTCGTACAAGTCGCTGGTGGCCCACCAGGGGGTGATTAACTCAGGTATAATGGGTAACGGCGGCAAACGTCCAGTAGTGGGGGTTACGAATTCCGGCGATGGCAATGGATCGGACATTGGCTGCGTTGAAGGTGACAAGGTGTTTGCTTCAGGCTCGGCAGTCTCGAATGTAATCGCCTGGGTGACCTGGTCGTGTAGTCCGTCCGAAATTGTTGGCTGAGTGACCAAAGCCTCTTCTGCCTCTACGTTGGAGGTTGGTGTGACGTCCTTAGGCTGCACTAGAAGTGCTTCTTCCCATTGCACATCGACCGTGACAGATGCCGCACTAACGTCCTCATGAAGGCTGTGAGGCGCTACAAAAGGATCCAATGGGTGATCATCCACAGGATGGAGCGCCAGAGGTTCTTCATGAACAGGTTCAGTATCAGTGACTGGAAGAGGAATGGAAAAGTTGAATGTAAATGGAACATGTGGTTCGTCATTGATGAGGGCGACAGGGGAAGACCAACTCAGAGAAGAGTATGAAGAAGTGGGTTCGATGTCGACCAGCAAGGGAATGGCGTCGGTAGAATGGCTAGGTTCGCACGGCTCGACCGATGCGGCTGAGATCACAGAGTGCTCCGGAGCTTCCTCTGTAACCTCAGTCGCATCAGGAGCGGCGACATGAACCTCTTCATGGACGACCGTGCTGTCTTCCGTAAAATCGGCTGATTCTGCGGGGAATTCAGATTCGCCTGACGGGAGCATATATCCCTCCAGCTGTAGGGCGAATGCCTCCAGTCGAGGTGAGAGGTGTATATCAGTCGGCTCTGGTACGTAAGATGAGATAGCGTGTGTTTCTTCAGGTGGTGCCACTGAGGGAAGGGAGAAAGCGAAGTCGAAATTGAAGGATGAAGAAGAAGGGATGTTGGCAGACACAGTTGGCGTCGGTTCATATTGCACGGGGATCGAGTATCCAGTTGAATCGCTGCCTTGCCAGTTCAACGACGCATCCTCCTGGATGCCGTTCATTGAAGTCGGCTCTTGTGAATAGGACGGCTCTGCGAATATATGATTATCTTGTGCGGCGGCTGGTGGAGCTCCTGGTGAGTCATCCGGCGCGAACGTTGTTGTAATTAAATAATCCCAGCGTGCGCTCAGGGCTTCATAGTCCACCTTCATGTTCCGTCAACACGTATCCCGTTACACTTGAGAGCCAAAATACTCACGGTCGAAAAGTCGACATCGTCTTGTACCCCGACATAGTCATTACGTTCAGGTTCGTTGTACTCCCGCCCAGCTGTTTCTTCATACACCACTTGAGTTGCGTTGCCTGGTACTTGTGTCGAGAGCAGAATTTCGTATCCTAGGGCCCCCGATAAAGACGACGGCGTTGGTTCACTGATTTGGGCCGTAACAATAGTTGAGCCATCAGCTTCATAACCTACGTCAGCCTGCGCTTGTGCATCAACGAAGTAATCTCGCGAGGTTCCAGCATCTGGGTTAAGAGCGTCCGCTAATGAATAAGTGGATGTGTTGTTTTGCACCATGCCATCTTGCGAGGGTGGTGCGTTCATAAGGGCAGCGAAGTCCTGGGCCTGATTATATTCATCCTGTGTCTGTGACGCTCCAAATTCCCCAGGGTCGGTATACGGCGCGATATCACCCCACAGCCACTAGAGAGCGCAATTCAAAAAATGACAAAAGATGCATAGTGTCTACTCTTACCTCGTCAATGGGCGGCATCGAGACCATGGTGGGTTGTCCATGTCGCTTAGGCAATGGTTTCATTACTCTATCAGGAATAGAACCTGAAGTGTCGGTGCTCTGAGGAGTAGGTTCAGAGTCATAAGCTGGGAGTGCCGACGACGACGAATCGCCTTCGGTCGATTGTTGAAGCTCAGGATCCAGTAGCAATGTAGCGTCTTCGGAGAGGACTGTTGGACAGGCCGTAGGAGGGGTCAAATCTTGGATGTCGAAGATATCGCTTGCCACCTGCAACAATTATTTAACTAACCCCATAGGACGAGTTTCAATCGAAGACTTACATCTGCCACCACGTGTGATGCACTCGCAACTTGATTTTCATTTACTTGCTGGTCGTTAAGGGCATCCCCCAATGAATAACTGAACGTGTTGTTTTGTACGGCGCCATTTTGCAAGTCGTAGAACGATGGTGCGTTCATAAGGGCAGCGAAGTCCTGGGCCTGATTGTATTCGTCCTGCGTCTCTGACACTCCAAATTCCCCAAGGTCGATAGACGGTATGGTATCATCCCAATGCCACTAGAGGGCAAGATGAGAAAAATGATCCAAAGATGGGTAACGTCCATTCTTACCTCTTCAATGGGCGGCATCGGGGACATGATAGGTTGTCCATGTCGCTTAGGCAATGACTTGATTACTCTACCAGGAATAGAACCTGAAGTATCGGCACCCTGAGAAGTAGGATCAGAGTCGTTAGCCGGGAGTGCCGACGACGACGAATCCCATTCCGTCGATTGTTGAAGCTGAGGATCCAGTAATAATGTAGCGTCTTCAGCGTGGACTGTTGGATAGGTGGTAGGAGGGGCCAAATCCTGAATATCAAAGACAGTGCTTGTCGCCTGTAATAATTACTTAAGTAACACCGTAGGACAAGTTTTAGTCGAAGACTTACATCTGCCGTCACATGTGTTGCACTCGCAACCTGATTTTCATTTACTTGCTGGTCGTTAAGAGCGCCCGCCAAAGAATAACTGAATGCGTTGTTTTGCACTGCGCCATCTTGCGAATCGTAGAATGATGATCCTTGCATAAAGGCGGCGAAGTCATCCACTTGACTGTTTGTGTCCTGCGTCTGTGACACTCCAAATTCTCCAGGGTCGGTATACGGTACGGTATCATCCCAGAACCACTAGAGGGCAAAATAAGAAAAATGACCCAGAGATGCATAGTGTCCACTCTTACCTCTTCGAGGGGTGGCATCGGGGCCATGATGGGTTGTTCACATCGCTTAGGCAATGGCTTGATCACTCTACCGGGAATAGAACCTGAAGTGTCGGTACCCTGAGGAGTAGGTTCGGAGTCATTAACCGGGAGTGCCGGCGACGACGAATCCTCTTGCGCCGGTTGTTGAATATCCGGCAACGATGTAGCATCCTCAGCGACTGTTGGAGAGATAGTAGGAGGGGTCAAATCCTGGAAATCGAAGATAGTGCTTGTCACCTGAAATAATTACTTAACCAACACGACAATACAATTTTCATAATCAAAGACTTACATCTGCCGACACGCCTGACGCGCTCGCAACTTGATTTTCGTTTACTTGCTGGTCCGAGTCGAAGAACATGTGAAAGGCTCCCACTGTACCGTAAAGACTTTCGAGTTGGTCGAATCTGGTTTGCAGGAGACTAAATTCCGGTAGCGGGTTATACAATATGTCAGATCCGGGGGCTCGCCCCAGGATATCATCGAGGGTCAATGGTGCGGTGTCGGTGTTGTCAAGAGAAGGTGCTTCTGAGACATTTGCGGCGGGAGAAATCAAGAGGTTATTGTCAGGGTGGGGCACCTGATGAGATGGTCAAAGCATTAGGATACTAACATTAAGACAGTGGTTCGGGTACTTGCCTGTACGGTACTTTCTGGCTTCCGCTCTTCAGAGTCTTCACTGTTAACCACGATCTCTCTGAACTTGCCCTTTTCCTGTCGCCTTTTTTCCGCCTCTTCCTCTGACTCGCTTTCCGGTTCGTCTGGCTGTTGTTCCTCATCCTGGTTGGCAGGGCTCAAAACCACATGAGAAATTTCCGCGGGCGCGATCTCCTCAGGCTCAGGTTCGTGCCCGGCCAATGGAGCGGTCTCGACGATGGATTCCGTGACGTTGTCTTGGTTAGCATGATCTTGTGAGAGGTCGACATCGGGGACCACGGGGGCAAGATTATTCGACAGTTCTACAACAGGTAAAAATTGGGACATCTCCGGATCCGCGTCATGTTGTAGGAGCGCCGGCGTAGTCTGAGGGATAGGGCGCAACACATTCATAATGACCTGAGTCTGCTCCAGAAGATGAGGTTCTTCGGCAAGAGGGCCAGGGTCCAGTGTCATGAGAGACAGACGCTGGGCCAAAGCGTCCACCTCGGGGTCTTGAACTTGTGTGGCCACATCAACAACGGTCTCGTCCATGACTTCGTCGGAGCCCTCAACGTCGAGAGTAATAACCATGGTTTGCGGCTCTCGTTCGACGGTCATTTCAACCGATTGTGTTGCCTTGGATGTAGGCGCGAGATTGGGTTCAACCGGCGTAGTCCAAATGTCCGCAACGAGCTCCATTTCTTCTTCCTCGTCGTCGTCATCATCGTCCCATATAACAGGCTGAGGACCAGATGCCTCCATCGCAGAAGCATTCATGAACTCGTTGACTTCCCTATTAACTTCGGAGGCAAGAGTATCCGTGTCGTCTTCTCCAATCAAGGCCTCCATTTCAGCAACAAGATGTTCATCGACTTTGTCAACCGTTCTACGATTTCCATACTTGTCGATGGCCGATTTGACGTTGTTACCGAAAGCTTGTTTAAGAGACTCTTGCAATTTCGCGACCATGGAACCGGTACCAGCGACAGGTGTGCTAGAGCTTGCGCCTGCCTGCTGGCGCTTTCTCAGCTCCCTCAGTTTCTGCCCGCGTTCACGTTGTGAGGTCGGAAGAGTGGCGTTACGAGAAGGGGACGTTGAGGAAGATGGTCGGACGGAGTTGTGAATGTGTTCGGCGGGTGCGATGACGGTTTGGGGAGCATAGCTGGAGACCACCTGCACATCCTGTCGGGGAGAGAAAACGACAGAAGCATCGCTAGTGAGCATCGGGACTGACTGAGGGCCCGGCTCTTCGACTCCGTCATGCAATAGAGACGGGGTGGCACCATTGGTTGCGACCTGGTCGATTTCGCCGGAAGGTGCAAGATGGGCGAGGTTGCCACCACGCGGGAGTGTTTCGACAGGCGCAGAGGCGGGCTCAGTCGACGGTTGTTCCGACAATACAGAGGAGGAATTCTCATTTGCGATATCCGAGGCAGTCGCAGAGGTGGCGCACCCATGATCAACTGTGGGTGGCGTCGAGTCCACGTTCTGCGCTACGTCCAATGAGTGCGATGAGTGCGATGGTGAAAGAGAAGGGATAGAGTCTGAGGCGGGAGCGGGGATCGAGTATGAGATGGGTGACCGAGGTGAAGTGGAGGCACGGTCGGATGGAGATAATTCCTGTGATGTCTCACGTCCTCCCTGTGTTGCTTGGGACGGGGAAATTGAAGCGTTCGAAGAAATACTGCGCGCTTGAGGGCTGGTGCTTAGATTTCTACGGGAAATGTGCCTCGCCACTCGTGTGGCGCAGGCGTCCACGACAGTGTGCGGCGCAGAAACAGCGACAATTGGGGAGCCTGGAGTCTCCCAGAAACGGTAGGTCGGGTTGAGGAGGTTAATATCGGGTAAAGGCAGGTTCAGTAAGTCATCCGCAGTGCTGGGGGAATATTTCTCAGGTGTGGCAATGAAACATAATTGAAGTGGAAAGTGACTTACGCTTCAGCTATCTTGATAGAAGCACGCATAGAAAGGCTGTATATCTTGTATGGAGCATACCAGCGAGCATGGACCTCTGAAGTTGATTTTGTACGGTGTGGCGTAACGAGTGGCGTAAGTGTCGATTCGGAATAAACAAGTAGAAAACGCATACTGACCGCGAGGCAAATTGGACAACACCATACAGAAAAGTATGGTGAAGCTCCAAAGCATGGAGCAGGGAGGGAGGAATTGCTAGAGGGAGGGAAGTGGAGGAGGAGGATGAGGAGAATGAGAACGGGAAATCCCCGTAAATCCCTTTATGATTGGTTTCCTATTTTGGATGGTCTTCTTAGGGACCATCGCCACAGCGTTTAGCCGTTGCGTATCGTTCGGACGGACGGTAGGGGTGTAACGGCTCTTGCAATGCTCGCTCAATGGACAACAACCGTCATTTTCAAACTCATGATTCACTCTGCACCTGTAGTGAACATAAAATGCCATTCTGAACTGGCCAAACGCCTCTGTGTACACTCATTTGGAGTGTAAATCGACATGATACGGAACTTACCGAAAAACTTTATAAGGCATGCATTGTGGTTTCGAGTCAGCGAGTGGCTTGATTTGGGCACTTACCGACGGAACGGCTGGACATCACCGGAACGGAACGTAGGAGTACTCGGTGATCTTCTAGCGACGGCGCAAGATACATGTGCTCATGAAAACCTCCATGATGATCAGGCGTTCCGCTGCGATACTGTTTACCGACGGACGTTTCGGAACGGAGAGTCGTAAACTTTGAACGGGCAGACCGAAGGCATTGGTGTTACCCACACCACAGAGTTGTCTCTTCTATCCCAACTTACTGCGGGTATATGCCGAGGGTTCTCTAGAAGAGGGAATGAGCAATTACGAACGCAATGCATGGTCAGAATGCACTTATTCGGGACAGATATCGCTTACCATAAGAAAATCGGAATGACGTATCGATCATCAGGATGCCGTAGCCGTACACATTTCTGGACTGTGAATCGAGGCGTCCGCAAGGGCGCAATCAAAAATATAGACTTCAGTGAACCGAGAGAGCCGTCAAGAGAGAGCCAAGCAAGTAGAAAAATGAAAAGCATGTTTTCATCGAGGGCTCGAGAACAATGTGTCATAAGAATGTCATCGACCTAGACAAGAGCGTGCAATGTGATAAGAACACATCGGAGGTCAGCCGCGCATCGAAGGCTGCGAAAAGCAACAGGAATCAGACCAAGGGGAAGTAACGCAGCACGTTCTATGCAATGTAAAAGGTGAGCTTATTGCCGACCAACGGGTATACTGTAATACACACCACGTTCTCCGACGGTTATAAGCAAGCGAGAGCTTATCAGATAAGCAGATGAGACACAATGTGCAGCAAACGGACGGATGATATTCCTTAAGCATCTGCTTGTGCTCGCAAGAGATTAAGCATTTGCGCACGGTGTACGAGCAAGCACTGTGTGAGGCGATGCGATTGAAGACAAAGACGACGGGCGCCTACACGGTCACGTTGGTGGAACGCAGCGACGCGACTCTTGTTGCCACGTGTGATTATGTCAGCGTCGGCTAACACGCGGTGGCCATGCAAAGTTGAACTTGGTCGTGAAACGTTTCAACTTCAGCCAACCGTCCTCTTTTCTCGTTTCCTCCTCGACATCGACGGTGTTAGGCCTACAAGATGTCGACAAATATTTACAACGGAATGCCTCCACCTCCTCGACGACACCCTCTCGGAAACGCGGGAAATAACTATCCCAACCAACCCCGTCAGTTCGTACCGGGAACTCCACCGAAACCTCTGCCTCAACCACCGGCTCAAGAGAAAGCGAAACAACCACCGGAACCACCTTTACCTCGGCAGAATGCAAAGGTGACACCCCCGTCACCACCCAGGGTCATTGCAGACAAGACCCGAACATTGGAGTTCGTTCGAGTCGGAATGCTCGGAGAGGTTAGTAGTTCTCTGCGTAACTTTCAAATCATGCTGGTCATGGCATGGCTACCATTATTCTGGGCCTCTTTGGTCTATCTGTATGAAAAGAGGATCTTCAGTCTTATGCAGACTATGAAGATGATCTATGAATCGTCGACAATGATGCTGTGCCATTGCTGTGGTGAAGAACTCCATAGCGCCTTTGTATCATCTTTGCCTGCTGATATAAATATTCTTGAACAATTACTTATCGCTTACATTTCTATAGGGTGGCTTTGCTCGTGTATACGAAGTAAAGGACCGTTGGGGTGTGCGCGCCGCTTGCAAGGTCGTCACGAAATTGTCACTCAAGACCAAGAAAGCGAAAACGAAGGTGGGTCATAGCTTGTGTGTTAACGAACTCGGTAACTGAGACCATCATTCCAAGCTCTACGCAGAAATCAAGATTCATCGCTCACTGGAACACCCCAACATTGTTCGATTTCAAGATTGTTTCGAAGACGATGAGAACGTCTACATGACACTGGAGTTGTGCCATAATGGCTCTCTCATGGACATGCTGCGTCGGCGACGCCGATTCACCGAACCTGAAGCTCGTTTCTTCATGGTCCAACTCATTGGCGCGTGTCAATACATGCACACTCACCAGGTCATCCATCGCGACCTCAAGCTGGGCAACATCTTCCTGGACCAGGGTATGAACGTCAAGGTCGGCGACTTTGGCTTGGCAGCTCTTATCGAGAATCCTGGCGAGCGCAAGAAGACGATTTGTGGCACGCCAAATTACATTGCTCCCGAGGTTCTGTTCGACACGGCTAACGGTCATAGCTTCGAAGTGGATACTTGGTCTATTGGTGTAATCCTTTACACGCTTGTAGTTGGTCGTCCTCCATTCCAGACCAAGGATGTGAAAGCTATCTATAAGTGAGTTTTAAGCAGTGCTATAATAACTGTCGCTGAACCCGCTTTAGGCGTATTCGTGACAACGAGTATGAGTTCCCGGCGGATAAGCTTGTGTCATTCGAGGTGCAAGAGCTTGTACAACAGATCCTCACGCCGGATCCTCAGCAGCGACCTACTCTGCAGGAGATCGTAGACCACGCGTTCTTCACACGTGGTATCGTGCCCGACAAGATCCCTACCTCAGCCCACGACGCCGCGCCAAGTTTCAGCCACATCACTCGTCCTATTTCACAGGCCAATCTTGCTCGACTTCGTAAGGATGCATTGCTTGATGCCGAGGTTACCAGTATCGCCGTGCCCTCTGCGCCACCAGCGAATTCGTCGAGCAAGATGAAGAACCCGACTTCGACTCTCGCCCAGCAGGAGAAGGAGTTCCAGAAGGCCGTTCAACCTGGAAGCCCAATTTCCGCGCTGCTGGGTGCTGCAAGACAACCACTCATGGTTGCCCCTGGGACCAATCGTGGTGAGCAACCGTTGATTAGGAAGTTGCAAGCTGCGAGAGAGGCAAAGTCCCCTGGAAGACCTATTCGAGAGGCCCGCACAGGCGGGTTACAGAATATCGATGAGGAGAACCAGGAAGAGGTCAAACAGCAGGATCAGAGACGGAAGGAGCTGGAGGCTCAGAAGGCGAGGATCGTCGCGCAGATGGTACCCGGAAGTAGACCTGGTTCAGCTACAGGGCAAGCCAATCAAGAGAACCTTCCGCCAGTGGATGATTTTCAGAATCGTCGCAGAGTACCTGAGCCAGTCCGGGCAAAGGAGAAAGCAAGGGAAGTTGTTGCTCAACCCGAACCCTCGCCAGCGTCTGGATCTGGTGCTTCTATCAAGCCCAATGGCTTCGACGCAGCTGCGCAGACATTGACTGCGGCATTCGATGCCAAGGCGAGGGGACGTCTGTTCCGCGATCCTCGAGATGATGTTGCACTCCCTGACGCCAAGGTGTTCATCGTTTCGTGGGTGGACTATTGCAACAAGTACGGGATGGGATATGCCTTGACAGACGGGTCGATTGGTGTGCATTTCAACGATAGCACTACCATCGTACTTTCACCTGACAAGCAGTAAGTTTGTCATCCTCTCACGCTGGTCTTACCATTGTTGACTTTGAATTTATCAGTCACTTTGACTATGTGACCTCCAGGCGTCAGGGATCTGTGTATGTTCGCAAGAACTACACGGTAGAGGATTACCCTGAGGATATCGCAAGCAAGGTATATTTGTTGAAACACTTTGAGCGGTATATTGTGGAACGGCTCTATGATGAACGGGAGTATACCTTTGTTGATCTCGAGCGAACCAAGGGCATGGACTTTGTGCAGAAGTACCTTCGCATGAAGCATGTGATTGTGTTCAAGATGAGCCACGACGTTTTGCAGGTATGTCTCTGTCGTAAAAGCTCTACGCGTCCTCTGAACTTATGGATTCTTTTGTTGTAGTTCAACTTCTATGATCACACGAAAGTCGTCTTATCATCACAAGGACTCGTGGTCACTCACATAAACAAGAACTACGAAGCGACACGGATGTCGCTGAGCGAAATCATGGCGCAATCCCTTCGTCCACCTGTTGCAGATCACGAACATGCAAAGTTCAACCAACGCCTCGTAGACAAGCTCAAGTACTGCAAAGAAGTCTTGGTCTCCATCCGTAATGTCAGTTCAAACCCTGACGCTGCAGCTGGCCTTGCAGACGTCGATCCTGTTGGTATTCCATCGAGGGCAACGTCCAAAACCTCCCTTCGCTGATTGGCCGTCTTTATTATTCATGCCCTTCACGACATCACACGAGGTTGCCACATCTTTTGAACTGAAATATATATCTTCTTTCTCATCGGTATCGACGATGTTAGGTCGTCGAGGAGAGCTTGATCGTACGTTAGGTGATCTTGCTCTTTTTTTTGGTTCTGCATATCCGTTGTATACCCCCCGCTTCATGACCATCATCAGTATTCTTTTCATGTCCTGTTCACGCATTTCTTTGTCCTGCATTGACGTATAATCTTTATACAACCTATCTTGCATTCTTCTATATATCGCAGGTCGTGTAGTAGCTGCTCCGCAATACAGCAAAGGTCATAAAGATTGTTGTCGTTTGAAGATAGCTCGGCGGGTGTGGCAAATCGACGTGAGCATTGGACTTTCTTTGGCTTCCCCATGTAATGTATCGATAGTTGTCGGGTAAGAGGAGGCTGACTGTAATCTTGAGACTCCCGAGCAAGCAGTTGATATTCTAACTTGAGAAAAAGCACCGTACATGATATACTGCACAAAGGTCCAGTGAAAAACAGAGAAGAGCAAAAACATGCAGAAACAAAATGGAACAAAGAAAAAAAGTCTATGGAGGTTTGCAGAAATGGTATCGTAACTACCCAGGTCTTGTTAAACGGCTATGCAGTACGACCGTTTAACGTCATACTCTGTGTCCACGCAGCCCGGTATTGACCTTCGAATGCGTTAGGCTGTGGCTTGACCTTGGAATCAAAGAGAGACTCCCCGGATGTTGGTGACACAGCAGGAGCTTCCGCTAGCTCCTGTTGCGTCACCCACTAAGGAACCTCCTAAACTCGATGGTGGCATAGGCAGCAGCGTCGATAGCTGTATCGAATGGAGAGGCGAGGACAGGTAGCTTCTGCCCTAAGATGAAGCATTTCAAGTTGAAGTATGATTAACCAACTTTGATTGTTGCAGGCACTGTGACCGTCAAATACTGGGCCCAGTATTCGACGGTCACAGTGCCTGCAACAATCAAAGCCAGTCGACGATACTCGGTATTATTGACTCGTCGTCCTGTGTCCTTTTTTTTCCGATGAGGCTCCCCTCGAGGATGACGGCTTGACAGCCTGAGAAGCGACCTATAAAGACTTGTGAGCTTCCGGAAATCACACATCATCTAGTATACTCACCTGCGTGGACGAGTGGGCTTGTGTAATGTTAGATGGGATGTCTTCAGAACCACCCCTCTACACTGCAATAGCCGGACCGTTCGGTGCTCTGGCGACCCAGTCATTGGAAGTCGCTACGGCATCACCTTCCATGGCTACATCTTCGTCACGCATCCAATAGAAATCACCTCCCTCTGACGCTGGAAATGACGGGACTCCTACGAAGTCGTCGGAAGAGGAACGCATCGATGCATTCGAGAGCAACCGCTGAATAGGAAGGTGAGGAGCGGGGTGTCCATAGAACTGCTGCACTTCAGACACCTCACTAGCGGTTTCCATGTCGACATCCGAGTCCAGGCGGTCGACGCCGACGGCACAAGGTAGAGTTGAAAGTCGCACAGGCATGGCACCCTGAAATAAGCTCTTCTCTTTCGGATTCAGCAGGCGGTTGGGAATCTTAGCCATAAGGTTATATACGAACAAATCTCCAGACCTATGAAGCCGGCTTCGAACTGAGGAGTTGGGCTTTTTGAATCCGCATCGCCGTATGAAGGCCTTCGTCTTCATGAGTCTCCCTCTAGTGGAATCACCGAGGGGGTTTCCTGGTTGGTTCGTGGGGGAGGCATGGCGGTGTCGTGAGAGGCCCAACATGATCCTCTTCTGTTTCGACAAATAGTGAGTCCGCCTCGTCCGCTTCGTAGGGGACGGAAGGACGTGGCGCGGTGGGGCAACAGCGACGGTGAAGGTGGGCGAAGATAGTTGGACGGCGGATGACGATGGTTGGATAGTGCCTCCAGATTCCGAGTCGGCCTCATATCCCTTTCTATCTGATTCAGTGATGGTGGGGGCAGGAGGAACGGTCTGTAACAGGGGGTTGACTGAGTATGAATTCGAGAAATGTCATCTGGACACATACCTGAGGCGTACTTAACCATGGTGCCTGGTCAGAGATTGATGTGATCCTTTCTTCGAACCGGTCCAGAAACTCCTGGGACGAGTAAGATACCTTGGATTCTTCTACATGGGTGGCCGTAGTCGAGAGATTATTCGTACCCGATGCCTGGTCAACTGCGCGTATCGAAGAGGGCGATTTATCGCGTGTTTCTGGCTGTTGTCGGGCAGAGGGAGTAGCTTGGACCTCAGTAGGGGCCATATTTTCGTTAGAACGTCGAGTGGTCTTCTTCGTCGACGATCTAGTCTTCCTTCGCGTGGTGTCGTCGGGTGTGCCAGGTTGTGGCGATCTGCGATGTAGAGGCGGAATAATGATTACGAGCTTTCCTTTCTTCTTGGAAGAAGACTCCGACTCTTCTTTGCGAGATTCTGGTCTTGAATAGGGCGACGACGACTTGCGAGTCTTCCGTCGTGTCCGGGGTGTCTTGCCAGATGCCCTCAATGGCGCCGTCGGACAAAACTCCACCTCGTCAAGTGCAGCAGCGACGTCAGAGAAGTCATCAATGGGTTTCGGTCGACAATGTGGCGTGAACACTGGAGGCACATATGGTAGAGGGTCATCCGAACGCCTCTCCAACGTCGTTCCGAGTGCTGCCATGGCATACCGTGAGGGTGGAGGCACCCTTGGGTGTAAGTCATTGATTTGTTTTAGTGACCCATGTTGAGGTTCACTGGTAGCAGGGGAATGTTCTGTTGCGGGTGCCACTTGTGGCGCAGGCGCGCAGGCGTCTTGAGTAGAGAACCTGTCTCTGCTCTCTCGCGCCACATCGGCGGGCCTGAATACCAGTGAGTGTACGTCCTAAGAGAGACTGACAAGACAAACATACCGTCGTGATTGAGACGATGAGTGGACTTTGGCCTTCCGGGTTTTGGCCTTCGATGGCTCTGGTGTGGCGTCGATGATATTTTGTTCGGCTAGAGAGAGGCTCGAAAAGCTATCGGCCAAACTGACACGCGACGTCAAATATATGTGAAATGTGAGATGCAAAGCAGCCCACCTTTTGAATTTTGACGACACGGTTCGTGCGACTCTGCGGAGGGAAGTCATTCTGGTTAGCTTGGGTAGAAAACTTGTTGGCGTGGTAGAGATAAAAGCAGTCAGATTGACTATGCAGAAGGGTGTAGCAAGCAGGGAGATTGTGATGTAATTGGCAAGAGGTGGCGAGGAAGCTGGTGGTAGGAGGAAAGTGGGCCTGGACGGGAATTTACCGAGATATCAGCTTGTTGAGGGCTTACCATATTGGGTGGGATATGGGAGAAGCCCTTGGGAATTCTCACCGTCACACCATCTATTGTTCTCCGAAAAGGAAGTTACCATTCGGCCCCTACTTAGACAACCGGCTTACTTATGGCCAGTTTTTATTCACATTCTACATAAGACAGGACAGATGAAAGGCGACGGCCAAATTGCGAGCAGAGATGGCAAGAAGTTGGCCGATGGTCGACTGAACAGTGAAGTTTCTGCAGATCTGATCCGCGCCTTGTTGTGTTAACCGAGCCTATAAAGAGGGATCGATTGAGATCGACGTCTCCACACTGTCTGACAAGTCTATAAGTTAGATATATGCTTCATTTTTGCTGTACATGATGTCGATAAATGGGCCCTAGCTGAACATCAGTGCACCTTATCATCGAAATGAATTGAACGTGTTCCGAAAGAGCTCACCAGCAACCCAATCACGCCTCCTAAAAGGTACTGTTCTCCAGCCAAGCTATTGCACTTCCACCGTCCAGGGTGGCGGGACAGACTATTTAACATTCTTCAAACAATGCTTTTGCTGTCATTGGAGGTACTCTAAACAAGCTCAACTTAATTTTGGGAGACTGTCGTGATCGGCGGCATCTCGGCGCGTATCCAGACACGTGGCGTACGTAGAGCGGAAACTGCTCTTGGACCAGAGATATTTTGCACATAGAAACACGTAGGAATCATTTTGATTCTACAATATTTCCAGCCGTACATACGTCAGTTCATAGCTTCTTTGTTCACATTCCGACGATGTCCTTCAGCGAGTGGATACCGTAAGTATTGTCACAATTGCATTCCACCATGCATGCACGAGTGGCAATCGCATCAGAAGACTGACATTCAAAAAATTTTTAACATTTCTTTTGCAACTGGTATCGATGTCCTGGATGTTACTATCGTCATTAGGTTAGTTTCCGCCGTACTTGAGACATCAGGACGTAACCTCGTAACTGACAAACCAACATTGTAGTAGATATCTGAGCCTTTCTCCCGCTCTCTACCTGTCCAGTAAAACTCAAAAGGGTGTGAATTTACGGCAGCAGTCCCCCACTTGCTGCGTCTGCTAACTTAGCTGTAGTGAGAAATTCCGCCATTCGGAGGATCAGAATATGATGCCGTATAAGGTGAAGGCCCATCCAAATGTGGACATATAGTGCTACAAAAGGCAAGTGCACCCTTAACGGATGATTTACTGAATCATTGTGTAGTTTGTGTGCAGTAGTAACCATGACGCTAGCGAGGGGTTCACCCTTGGCTGGGTTGTTGGTGAGGTAACATTTGTTTGACTTATAAAGTAGTGCGATGCGAAATAAACAGGTTCGTGTGGTGCTCATAACTGACAACAAGGCGACGTTGAGCAGTAGATCTTGCATCCCTCTCTCTTTACGGGTCAGACTTTTCAGGAAGGCGAAAGGACAACCATCACTCCAACTCGGACTTTCAACGGGCTCTACGGGAACGAAAGGTCGTTATTCCCTTCCAACAGAATATTGGTGTTCATACTGAGCTTAGCAAATGTATCGGTAGTGTATGCTTCCACAAATATCATCGCAGGCTCTTGTTGTTCTGGAAGTCCAAGACAGCTGCGAAACCTCACTCATCATTTTCATCGTTTGTCCAGGATCCACTGAGACTGACGATGCGCATCCGTCGCTCATGATTGTACCTGTTACTTAGGAATTCAGATTTAGGCATGGGTGGCGAAGATGCACCCTCGGATTCCCAGAACACCATTGCTGGCATATTGAAATTTGTACCACCGAGCATACTGGGAGCTTCTGGCGATTCACTGGGGAAGAGGCACGTGAGTTTTTTATATTGAGATACAGCGAGAATACAGAAAAGTTCATTCGTAGAGATGCGGGACTAGATATGCACAATAATTTAGTAACAAATACGAGAACCTCAGATGTTACAGAAGATTGTTAACTTCCTCGTCTTCATAGTCCTCCTCTTCCAACGTGGTATCCATGATAGAATCATGAGGTATTTCGTCTTCTTGTTCAGCCAGATCTTTCTCATCTATGCGCGCCGCCTCCATCGCCTTTTGCACCTTCTTCAAACTGTCTGCTACGTCAGTCCCGCGCCATCGGTAGGTATGATATAACGTACTTCGAGGTAGGCTTCCGTGAAGGTGTCTCCTCAATATCCTCTTCTGAGTCGCTTCCTACTAAGTTGATCACCTTTGACACAGCTGCCCTTGTCTTGGCCGCGCTGTAAATCACAAGTTAATACTTGAATAAACCTGCAAAAGGCAGTCCCACTTACGCTGATCGTTTCGGCATGACCCGGGTAGGTGGCTTCACGGTCTGAGGAGAATCCATCTTCTCAGTCTCAGTATCCTCGTCTTCGTCATCAGACGTTGAAAGGCGTCTACGCCTGAAGCCCCATGTCAGCCATTAGTATCTGATACCAGTACGCGTTGAAGCAGACCTACTTTGCCTTGCCTTTTCCCTTGGTCCTCGAAGCGACGGATGAAGTAGTCGAGAAAGGTGTATTTGAGCGATCATCACCAGAAGGGGCGCCCTGAGATGTGGCATCCGTGACAATGCTGTCAGACCTCCTATGCGGGGGTCTCAGAAAGCTTAGAGCGAAACAAGTAATTCACTCTCACCTTTTCCGACTTCCTCTCTTCTTGGGTGCTTCCATCATTTCGTCAACATCATCAATATCCGGGATGATATCGTCCAAGAATTCGAAAAGCTCCTGCAGATGCTCCAGCTTGCGATACTCCTCTTCGTTGAAGTCTTCCAACTGTTTCTCAAATTTCTTCGATATTGCGGTTTCGAACTTCACGAAGGCATTCTTGGAGGCAAGATCTCTCAAGGGTCGGCGCTATACATGTTCATTAATTGGGAGTAAGATATAAACGTAACAGCCTGACACCTACCGCCCGGATATTGTGCATAAGAAGCTTGAGTGTACGAATCTTGTCATCATCGATCGTGTCGGGAATGTAAAGTTTGCCAAGTAAAAGACACAGCGCCTTCCTATCGTCCTCTGTGAAGCGTTTATGAGTACCATGAGCCAGCATGTTAATGTCAATATCATACGTACTACGCATGTCATCGTCGAACAGCTCCTTAACAATGTCTGTAGCAAGGTCGATGTGGATGGACTCATCGACTTCTCGCCCAGGAACACCCTTTGCAACGACACTCATAGTCAAGGCACGTTAGTAAATGCAGGTCAAGGAGTTGAATGGAGCACATACGTTGCTTTCTGAGGATCAGTCCAATCCGCGAAAAGCAGCCCCACTTGGGCCGGTGAGATGAGGTCAATGTCTTCATCCTCCGACTGTTGATGTATCTCGCAGAGTTGTTTGAATACGGTTATAAAGATCTGCGCCACAGCCATGAAAATGAGAACAAACAAACGCTGAAGTATCGGAAAAAGGATGTTCACCTTCTGCATACGCCTTTGATTAGCAGCCGAAGAGTAGCAGTAAACCGGAAAGAAATAGGACAGGCATTGGCGTAGTTCGAGATTGTCGGCAGTTTCAGGCGAAATGTAAGCGATCACTAGACTTCGCAACACCTAGACGTAATATTCAAAGATCAACTAACGGGGCAGCGTATCGTTGAATGGACGTAACATACCCTCTCATCCGTGATGAATCCAGAAAGCATGAGCTTGGCCATGCCTTTACAAAGCAGTGCCTGGACCTCATCCAATTCCGAGTTCTCAAATACATGCATGAGGAACTCTACAATTCGATCGCCCTATGGCCAGTAGAACTTAATATGTAAGCCTAGATGAAACAAATGACAACCAGGCTTACATTTGGACTTGTAGGACCCAAAAAGTGGCCCTCGTGTACCATCAGGATATCAAAGACAATCTTCAGCACCGGGATCTTGTGCTTTTCTGGTGTCGATTGAAGTTGATTCAGGAAGAGTTGGAAAGAATTCAAGGCCATTCGCTGCAAGGAACTCAAGTTAGAGCCATCTCGGCAACATGTCAAGAGAAACCTTACGCGAGCGATCAGACAGCAAAGACCTAAACTAACCAAACCCTTCTCTCTCAATGCCGCCTCTTTTCGCTTGACGGCGGGAATGATAAGTTCACCAAGTAGACCTTCGAGGGTGGAGTTCTCTTCGAATGTCTACAAAGTGTCAGTCGTTACGCAGCCCTTATGGCGACGAATCGACATACCCCATTTACTCGCTCTAGCATACCAATGCAAAGTGATAGACAACGCATATCCATCGCATCAGCTCGAGCTCGTTCTTCCTCTGTCATTTCAGCAGGAGGTTTTGGTGGCGCTCGCGCTGTCTTTACTGTAGCAGGTGTCTCGCCGAAGGTTGTTTCCCCATCGTCAGCACGATTCGGGTCCTATGAGTGGTTCCACTGAGATAAAAGACATAACAGACAGATTTCAAGATCACTTACCGCTTGCTCTTCGTCGTCGTTACGGTCACGGAGGTCGTGAACGACTTCGACGACTACTCGAATGAGATCCCGTTCGCTCGATGAGAGTTTACGAAGTACATCCAAACAGCGTGCCACGAGTGATTCGGGAAGATCTTCCTCGGAGATCATGTCCTCTTTGCAGAACGTCAGTATCTATCGCGATGTTGCAAGACGATATACTCACTGACGAGTTGGAACATCTTCCTCCTCCCGATTTCATCCGCATAATCCAGGTTCACAGACAACTTGAGCATCTCGCCGATCACGAACTCCCGGTCTGTCCTTTCCTCCTCGACCATCTGTCTGCGCTCATCCTCTTCCTCATCCTCAATGCCTTCTTTCAAAAAGTCATCCATAGTCTGGTCTGCTAGGAATGCATTGAGATCGTTGTACGCCTCTTGTATCTTAAATGCGAGCATTGTGACGACCGGAAGTGCGGATTCGAGACGCACGTCGTCCTTGGTGGCAACGCAGTGGTCGACAAAGACTCGTGCCAGGAAAGCTCTCTCGGGCGAGAGATCTGTCCAATAGTCATCTGCAAAGACATTAGTGCGAGCAAAATGGACACCTCCGTGATGCACACCTCCGAAAGTCAACGAATCAAGAATATCCACTCTCGTCTTGAACACACTCGACAACGCATCCTCAGCAATCGTGCCTTCGTGTACTAAGTCAAACAACCTCAAGAACGCGATAACGTCAGGTTCCTCTCTCTCACTTTTGACCTTCTCTATCTGCACGATATCCACCCACGTCGCGATCAACTTCGCCACTGCCGCTTTCACGGCTTCTTCTCTGTCTCCCAGCCCGTTCTTTACGATTCGTTCTCGGTCGGCGATCTTCAGCGCGCGGGGGTGAGTCACGTCGATCGCATCTGGATCTGCTGTAGCTTTGTCTGGATTAAGGACTGAGGCGTACACGGCTTTTCGGACTGATGGGTCGACATCGCGCATTCGGGAGAGAGCTGTTTGATACGTGAGTAAGCCCAAAGGGAGATTCAGGAGAGCGGCACGTCGGACTTCGCTGCATGGAGGGTGAGTAAGGGAACATCCCAGAGAAGAGGAGGACGTACGCGGAAGGATCATATTGGACTGTCTCTTGGAGGACGTCAATGATCGTTGGCTTCTCATCTTCCTCATCTGCGCCACAAATACGCGAAAGTGCAATAGTGGCTTGAACACGAATGGGGACTTCTTTATCCTTCACCCGCTCGATGAGCGTTTCTCGCAGGAGTTTGTACAAGTCTTCGCTGTAAGATGACGACTTCAGTGTAGGATTCAACTTCAGCAGACTAAACATACTCGATTTCCCCTAGATGCGAGATCATTTCCGCGATGCATTGCATGACGCGGTAACGGACGACCTTGTCTTTTGCGACGCTGCCTTTGAACAAGAATCGAAGCACCCTGGATATGAATCGGGCGGCGGTTGTGTCGAAGTCTTCCGCGTCGTCATCGTCGCCTCGCTTGTTGGCCTCTTCCATTGCTGTGAATAGAGTGAACGTTAGCAAGGGTTTAGAACTCAGGGAGGAAGGCTAGGTCAGGACACTGGTGCTAAGGGTTGTCAGTCAAAACGTGGGGAAAACTTTCAACCTCTGGAAGTTTCTGCAGGAACTGTAATTCGGAGCACTTGAATACAAATCTTTCTATCGCCCTGCCGTCTTGACTGCAAGAGAACATAACCGTTGGTCGAGGGCAGAATACGAAAGCCCGTATGATGTACACTCATTGGATACGAACTCTCGTTCAGCGAATAGCTGTTACTATGATATTGAATTCATACTGTGCCGTAGTTTGCAGAGCATTGACACCGTATGCAGACAGAACAATTGAAGAGGCTTTATTGGAAATGCCAATAATCATGCCTCCACAGCCGGCTGTAAGGGGAAAGCCAAAGCACAGACTGTGAAATGCGAGAAGTTGAAGCCAAATGATATCCGTCCACCAGTGAGGTTCTAGCTCATACTGTGGTCGTAAACCGATTTGTACCTTCCAAGTTGTACACCACCAGCCAGGTACATAGGCGACAGTGAAAGATATAAATACGGTTGGAAGGACAGGCTTACCTCGTTCATTCATATACTTTGTATATCCACCGATGAACCTCATGAGCCTATCAGCCACAGGGTTTCCTTTCTTGACCGGTAGAACATGACCGAGCATGTTCAAGAAGGCATGCTCAAAAGCACGTTCCCCTGCGGACCCGTGGTGAGAGGCGGTCTCGGTGTGTAGTTTATGAAGAGCGACAAAGTTCTTTTGGTGGTTAGCTGTGGTATTCTGGGCTTGATCAAAGATCTTGCCGACCGTTTGAGGGAGATTCTCAAGAGATATGACCGTCCTAGCAGGCATTGTCGCGCATTCGTAGCGTTGGATTGGTATACTAGGGACGTGAAAGAAAGCTAGAGCAAGTGATAGTAACGCAGGAAGGGACGAACATGAAGGCGCGAACCTGCGCGACGCGTTCCAGTCACGTGTGTGTAGACGCGGTGGGATGGAGCCTCGAGGAGGAGTGCTGCTTTTGGCCCTTCCGTGCATGGGCCAATTGAGGAGGGGGTTATGGCACTCGAGCAGCATCTCTACTGGCATTCACCATGGCACCCTCCCCCGATAATTTATCTTCTCCTCAGGGTAGAGCAGATCCCTCTCGTATCGCTCCCTACCTCACCCATGTCGTCAGTCACCATGGTCAATTGACTTTGATCCCTCCTCAAAACGCAGGTCGCATCCGAAAATCCAAGAACAAACCGGTGAGATCAGACAGGCGGCGGGAGAATCCAGAACCTCGCTTCAATATTGCCGCACCGGCACCCTCTCGCAGAGCCCATACGACGTCAGGTCGTTTGCAAAGACCTATACAACAGTCGAGGCTGCCTAGAGGTATGTCTTCCATGGCACTTCACCGTAAAAAAAATAAGAACCTGATCTCTGTAGATGCAGACCCGGATATTCCAGACGAACCTCCTCCGTCATTTGAGGAAGCTATATCCACTCCCCCGTATACTCCGCCGCAGGTGAACGTTGCGTCGAGCACTGTTTCGAATGCAGAGACACAATCTCACGTACATCATACACCAACGTCATCGGATAGTCCCCGATCATCTTTTGAACAGCAGGATTTAGACGACAGTGAACGAGCCAGTGCATTGGCACATGAACGCTCAGGCTCGAGGGGTGAGCCCTTGTCGAGTATCGTATCAACTCCTTCTTATCCAGAACCGATGAACGTCCCTGCAATCTCGAGACGACACCAAGATCTGCTGTCAATAGCACCTGCTTCATCCCTACCCGATATTCGACAAGCATCGCAGGACTTCCTTATACCGAATGGACATTCTTCGCATAACCGCCGTCAGGCTTCTCCGTCCCCAACTTTACCTCCCCGCTCACCTCTATCGCAGTCTGATTCAAATTCACGATCTGCCTCAAACTCAAACTCTAGTTCGTCCAATTCAGACATTAACCATGACTCTCGTTTCAGCATGGAATTTCTGGAACCAGAGAGTTCATGGTCGGCAGATCTGGCCGGTGGTTTGACCTTGACACAAAGGGTTGAGAGAGAGCGTGTGAGGATACAAGCTGCGGAGTCGACGGCTGCTTTGGTACCTACGCCGCGAGCTCTGACTAGCCAGCTTCCGGAGGTTTCTTCCACTCCGAACTCGAACACAACACCGGAGAGTGCGCCATGCACCGGTCGGACCACTCTGCAACCTTTGCGTCCTCTATCCCCAAAGACTCATGATCCTCATGATCGGAATACAACCCAATCTCCGTCCTCGAGCGCGGCCGACGATGACGACTCACCAGCAGAGTCCGAGTTGTGGGTCCCCATTCCTAGTTCACCTCGTTCGCATCATCCGTTGAGACGACTTTTCTCACCTTCCAAATACCACTTACCTTCATCGGGTTCAGTGTCACCAGTGTCTTCAAGTCCGCAGACGATGAGTCCTCATACGAGCCCGTTTGCGAGTGCTCGGCCTTGGGAGGGAACGAAGCCGTGGGAGAGCACCATGACACTTTCATCGAGTGTTTCGGCGTCGCCGACAAAGAAGTCTGCGCTTTCTTTGGGCTTGGCGATCAAACGAAAAGAGAGTGTGGTGTTTCAGAAGCTGTTCAAATCAAAGGGCAGGGAAAGAGAGACGTCGCCTGCATCGGATAGTACAGGCACAGAGGAGGATATTGATTCTTGGGAGGTTGTGGAGAAGGGGGCACTTCTAGATGAAGGGCCTGTAAGCAACAGAACGGAAAAAGGGAAGGGAAAAGAAAGTCCCTCGCCTCCATCGAGATCTCCTCTACGACACTTGCACACCTCAGCACCGGCGTTCTTGAATCGGCCAGTGAGACATGCCACTTCGCCGCCGTCCTCGTCCTCCTCTCCATCTTTCCCCATCCTTCCATTCAACACATCTCGAGCAACGCTGACTCCGGATTCCCCAAGCGGATCATCCGAACAATCTGGACACAGCCAACCTGAGCCCGGTTCAAGTCAGAGTCAGAGTCAGAGTCCAGAGAAGAAAGCTAGGAGACCGCCTCCGCCGGTCCCTCCGAGACGACATAAACCGTCTTTGGGTCAATCTCCGAATGTCGTGTGGAAGGCTTCACCAAACACTGCAGGAGCTAGTTCTCCTATGGCCTCTCGTCGACCACCGCCTCCACCTCCACCTCCACCTCCACCAGCTGGTAGGCCCGATTCACCGGTTTTACCAGCTGAGCGACCACCACCGCCAATTCCTCCCCGACCATCTATGCCTCTTCGTTCTGTAGCCTCTTTGTCTTCGTGGAATATGCCGACACATGTTGTGTCTTCCTCGCAGCAGCCAGCTCCGCCTAGATCATCAGAAAGAGCTGTACCTGCTGCACCTGTTGTGACCTCGGTCTCTGCTGCATCAGCCGCTTCGGATGCCCAGTTACCGTCTCATGTCGCGTCTACGCCGGTCGTAGCACGGCAAGAAACCCAATACCCTATGGCTATGTCCAGTTCCAGAAACCGGCCGACTAACCGACTTGCACCTATTTCTGTCCCTCCAGCATCAGTCTACGAAGACGAATCTGATATCGTTCCCCCACGTCGATTGAGTGTGGACTCTACTTCGTCGGATTCAGAAACGCTATCCTATGGCTCTTTGACATATACCTCGAATACCCCTAATTATTCTCCTGCTGTCCTACCCTCGCCGTTCTCGAATCCTACTTTGAATTCCTTTACGCCGCCTAGGACGCCTACGACCCCGACGAGACATTATCCTGGAAGGCCCTTGCCTCAACCTCCGCAGGAATATTCACCACTTCCACTTGGGAGGCCTCTGCAGATGATGACTTCTGTACCTAGCACGCCTCAGACACGTGGGACAGGTGTGCTCGGGGCGGAGCACGTCCAGGTCCAGGGTCATGGTCATGGTCATGTCCAGAGGATACCCTCGCCTTCACCGAGTACTTCCAGACGAGTATCCCCGCCTGTTCCCATGACTCGGGGGGTTGTTGGTGTTGTTCCGGAATATTCCCAATATACGGATTTGGACTTGCTGGTGTCGAGGTTGGAGGAGGGGAATAACAATGATGGTCGGAATTACGAGGCATGATGACCTACATATCTATTCAATCAAGGCAAACTCCGCTTATGCGTTCGTTCGTTTTTTGTCCTATAGGACCTTCTGCTTGTCTCCGAAATCGTAGGACCTGCGCTGCCGTCCCCCAATGTTGGCTCTGCTGCACCTAAGACTGAACCTGAGGGACCGCTAGTGGGGTCTATCGAGGTTGCTCGTCGCCGGGTCACCAAGGACGGCCGTGTGAAGCTGAAGCTCGTCTTGCTCGGCGTGGCTGTGGATAAATGTGGGATTTGTCTTTCGCAGTTCAAGGAGAATGAAATGGCGGGTTTGTTGCCTGGATGTCAACATGCGTGAGTAGTCCTAGTCTCTCATCGTTGGGATCGTGTGGAGTGTTGAGTTGGTTTGGTCTGATTGCATTTTTTTTTTGGGTCGTAGATTTCATGAACGTTGTCTGAGACGCTGGTTGGCTCAGAAACGTGTTTGTCCTATGTGTCGTTCACAGCTCTAGAGGGATTTGATTTTCGTAACGCGAACTTTCGTTCCATGGGGTTTTGTTTTTTGGTTTTTTTTGCGCATATGTGTATTGTATTGGGTCAATCCCACCCCCATCCCCCACCCCCTTCACGTTGATATGAATACCGCACTATCTTGTAGCGTTACTTTTTGTTCTGTGTACTTTTTGTCTTGTATGTATTTCATCTGTAGTCCTATTGCTGTCTTTACGTGCTCTCGCTTGTTGAATGTATGCGAATGATTCTGCATTACTTGAGATTGTCTCTTGTCTTCATCGGGTTTACTGGTCTAATTCCACACCAATAAACCTTCAAATTCCATCGTGCTCTGGAGTAGGAGATACATGTACAGCATATTTGTAAATCTTCGTCATCGTTTCTATATCGCTACGGGTGGAGATAACAAACTTGACGTGGAACTGTGGCAACTCTTTGGTGATCTCGAGTCCTAGTATAAAACATGACAACGACATATTACACGATGCAGTTGGAGAATGAATCTGCATAAAGTAGATCCATTCACTCACCAAGTTGACGGTGAAAGGACAACATTCATGGTCATCGATCAGTACACCTGGCAGAGGTCTAGGACGGAGTATATTTCCCTTTCTAGCACACTATGTCCCCATTTGGATACGATCCTACCTTATATGGCCAGTGGCAGAAGACACGATCGCGTCCTCGTATTCCTCCGAAGCCTAGTGTGTATCCTATGGTTCTTGGTGTTCAAAATACACTGAAACAAGTATGATAAGTGTGTATTAGCGGGTAACGAAATTGATCCTGGAAGTTATACCATTCTGTCGAATGGTCCCGCTGATGGAGGCCTTTGCTTTGGACGAGTTCGACCGAGTCGCTGGTAGTCCTGGACTGGCCACTGCGTGAAAGGGGTTGTGTTCAACTCTACATTCCGATTGAAACCAGAACTCCACTTCACTCAATCACTTAGTATACCGATTTGAAAGATTTTTGTCGCGACCGACTTACGCCACGTTATAGCGTCGATACTGAAAAATCGATACTGATTGGACAGTGCATGGAGAATGGTTATTAAAAATATCTCCAAGGACATCTAAGAGCTTGAAGGAGGCAGTACAGAGGTATTCTCACTGCGACCAGGACGCTGATTCTTAGTGTAGGTAATCGCCGAAATGAGCAGCCAACACGAAGTTGTAAAGGTGGTAGAAGCCATTGCGTCACCCACGAGATGAAAGATGCAGTCCAGAAACGAGCGACCATGTACAACAGCTTTGAGACCGAACCTTTGAAAAGTCGTAGTGAGTTCTCACAAAATCAGTAGAAAATGCCGTCAAGAAGTCGAGACTCGACTCGTACTTACAGCGGAAGAACAGTTGGAAAACGTAAGTGAAGCAAGTGAAGTGACATGAAAGCCGACAATGCTGCTCCATACTTATACTTATCCTCATACGCTAAACAGATTCTCTAGTGAGTATAAATGACTGTTGTCAAGTATCAATGGATGCCAACGGAAGGAGGATCATGATCAAGCCTAATGGCAGGTGCAAGTTGCCGATGGTATGCCGAGTTGCCGACAATGACAGACCTCCCAAACATCGAAGATCAATTAAGGTTGCAGGATCTTCAGTGACGACCAGTAGACTTACATACTCACCTGCGTCCCCGAGTCGAGATGGATGGCCTATAACCTTCGCGTGTTTTGGTCAACATCACTGAGTCGACGGTGAGCTCTTTCCGTATGTTTAAGTGATATTTATTTCGTATGATGAGTTCGAGGGTAAGTATTCAGCCAAAAAGCTAATGACGCATAGGACTAACAGGGAATGTCTTGATTACCGAGAGTGTTCTGGAGATATTGAACTGTCTTTCCCGAATATGGATGGGCTCGGTTAATACAACAAGGCGCGTATCGGAACTTTACTGTTCAACGGACCACTGTGATCCTTTCCTGCTTACCCTGTCTTTGTTCAGAAGTTGGTCTTTGCGTGTCCACTGCTGTCTTTTTAATACATGAACAGAATGCGACTATAAGTTGGCATAAGTAAGGCGGTTGTTGAAGTATGGGCCGAATGGTAACTTCCTTTTCGGAGAACAATAGATGGTGTGACGGTGAGAATTCCCAAGGGCTTCTCCCATATCACACCCAATATGGTAAGCCCTCAACAAGGATATATCGGTAAATTCCCGTCCAGGCCCACTTTCCTCCTACCACCAGCTTCCTCGCCACCTCTTGCCAATTACATCACAATCTCCCTACTTGCTACACCCTCCTGCATAGTCAATCTGACTGCTTTTATCTCTACCACACCAACAAGTTTTCTATCCAAGCTAACCAGAATGAGTTCCCTCCGCAGAGTCGCACGAACCGTGTCGTCAAAATTCAAAAGGTAGGCTCCTTGTATCTCACATTTCACATATATTTGACGTCGCGTGTCAGTTTGGCCGACAGCTTTTCGAGCCTCTCTCTAGCCGACCAAAATATCATCGACGCCACACCAGAGCCATCGAAGGCCAAAACCCGGAAGGCCAAAGTCCACCCACCGTCTCAATCACGACGGTATGTTTGTCTTGTCAGTCTCTCTTAGGGCGTACACTCACTGGTATTCAGGCCCGCCGATGTGGCGCGAGAGAGCAGAGACAGGCTCTCTACTCAAGAGGCCTACACGCCTGCGCCACAAGTGGCACCCGCAACAGAACATTCCCCTGCTACCGGTGAACCTCAACATGGGTCACTAAAACAAATCAATGACTTACACCCAAGGGTGCCTCCACCCTCACGGTACGCAATGGCGGCACTCGGAACGACATTGGAGAGGCGTTCGAATGGACCCCTGCCATATGTCCCTCCGGTGTTCACGCCACATTGTCGACCGAAACCCATTGATGACTTCTCAGATGTCGCTGCTGCACTTGACGCGGTGGAACTTTGCCCGACGGCGCCATTGAGGGCATCTGGCAAGACACCCCGGACGCGACGGAAGACTCGCAAGTCGTCGTCTCCCTATGCAAGACCAGAATCTCGCAAAGAAGAGTCAGAGTCACTTTCCAAGGCGATAGGAAGGCTCACAATCACTATTCCGCCTCTACACCGTGGATCACAACAACCGCCACAACTTGGCACGCCCAGTGACAACACGCGACGGAAGACCAGGTCGTCGACGAAGAAGGCTACTCGGCGTTCGAAGGAAAATATGACGCCAACAGAGATTGAACCTACTCCCTCTGTCCGGCAACAACCAGAAACAAACAATGACTTTGCCTCTTCGATACGCGCAGTTCGCCAGACATCAGGCACGAATATTATCTCAACTACGGCAGCTCACGTAGAAGAATCCAAGGTTCCTTTCTCATCCCAGGAGTTTATGGATCAGGCTGTGGAGACTGTCACACCATTTTCTGAGCATCCTCCGCGGCGATTGAGTACGCCTCAGGTATGTGCCCAGGCGCTATTTCTTGAATTCATACTGAGTCAACCTCTGTTATAGACCATCCCTCCTACCCTCACCGTCAATAAATCCGAAGGCAATGGCTATGAGGCCGACTCGGAGTGTGGAGGCTCTACCCAATCGTCCTCACCCGTCGTCCAACTATCCCGACCCACCGTCACCGTCACCGTCGCCTCACCGCGCCACATCCTTCCGTCCCCCACGAGGAGAACATGGCGGACCCATTACTTGTCGAAACAGAAGGGGGCTCTGATGGGCATCTCCCGGCACCGTCGCCGTCTTTTTACTACGAACCAACCACTGGCAGAGCATCCCCCGGGTAATTATACGAGGGGTAGACTCACGAAGACGATGGCCTTGATACGACGATGCAGATTCAAGGAGCCCAACCCCTCAGTTCGAAGCCGGCTTCGTAGGTCTGGAAACTTGTTCATATATAACCTTATGGCTACCATGCCCAACCGCCTGCTGAATCCGAAAGAGAAGAGCTCACTCCAGGGTGCTATGTCTGTGCAACCCTCAACTCCATCTTGTGCCATCGGTGTCGACCGCCTCGATTCAGACATTGACATGGACACTGCTAGTGAAGTGTCTGGAGTGCAACAGTTCTACGGACACCCTGCTCCACCCCTTCAGCAGACCTTTTCCGATGTATCGATGCATTCCTCTTCCAACGACTTCGTAGGAGTCCCGTCGTTTCCAGCCTCAGAGGGAGGTGATTTCTATTGGATGCGCGACGAAGATGTAGCTATGGAAGGTGATGCTGTAGTGACTTCCAATGGCTGGGCTGCTACAGCACCGAATAGCCCAATTGTTGCCGCACAAAGGAGCGGTCCTGAGGACATTCCGTCTGACATCACACAGGCTCTTTCCTCCACGCAGGTAAGTATGCTACATGATGTGTTTTTTTCCAAAAGCTCACAAGTCTTTACAGGTCGCTTCTGAGGCTGTCAAGCCGTCACCCTCGAGAACGATCCCATCGCCATTGTCGGAAACAAAGGACGCAGAGGACAATGAGTCGATAATACCTAGTATTCGACGGCCACAGCACTTGCATCGATCAAGTTCGGCGGACAACACTTCGAAAAATGCCTCGCCGTCGACGCCGGAATCGCCTTCGGAGCCACGCCCATCGTCGCCTCTTCGTATCTCTTCCATACAACTACCAAGGCTTCTGCCTTCGGCACCATCGAGTTCGGGAGGCTCCTTGGCGGGTGTCGCAACAGGAGCTCTTCCGGAAGCTTCTGTTGTGTCATCTACACCCAGGGAGTCTCCTGCTGATTGCAAGGTGACGCCGCAGCCTAGTGCATCCGAAGTTCGACGTTGGACTGCGTGGGTGAATAGTATGTCGTTGAACAGTCGTGCTCGTTTGACCTGGAATGGTCAAACACTTCAGCCAAAGCCGTCTAATGGCATTGCTGCTCAAAGAAGTATGAACACTGAGACGACTTCAAAGGTATGTGATGTGCCGTCGTTTGTGCTACATCCAGTATATTTATGGTTCATTTTCAGGGGGTTCAGAATCCTCGTCGATCGACAACAGATCACGATGGAGCATCTGGAGGGGAGTCGGAATCATCCCTGGACTAATCTTACTGTTATCTCTGCAAACTTGTATACTATCTTTGTGTTATCGTGTTTTCCATTTGCTTTCTCAGTCGCATACTCGTCTTGCTTTTATCTTTGTATACCCTACTCCCTGATATTCTGTTCATCTAGTGTACTTTAGAGCACAGTGTATCAATTCCAATAAGTGACAGTCCTTTTTTTTGGCGTATGATTATCTTTCAAGTGCATGTACCCAACAGTATAAGTACACGAGGCTCTACAGTGCCGACACGAAATTTACTCTTCACGATCAGCAATCGCCATCTCGTCAAAGTCCTCCAAGAGCTCATCCAACTTGATCTCCGGGAAATCAGCTTCTTCCTCTTCCTCAGTATCCTCCGTCCCATCTTGAGCAGGCTCGGCAGCACGCTGTTGCGTTTCATCCACCTCCATATCAAATTGGCCTTTCCTTCTCGTCTTCCCTCCAGCCAACCCACTTCCAGAACCGGGTGCATCGTTCTTAGCCCTATAAAGGTTGACGGCTCCACGCATTTCCTCGTCCTCCTCCAAATCACGCAAGAACAATTCATAGTCTTCTTCCACTTTCTTCTGGTCTCGTCCGCCCAGACGACCCACCACACCTCTTCCTCCGCCTGTCTCGCCCTCCTCCCCTGCCTCCTTGCCAATAGAACGCAATTTCCAAGCTCTCGTCCTGTTCTTCTTACGCCTGTTCGGATATGCTTTCTTCACGAGGATGATATCAGGAACGCGATGATGCGGCAAAGCAGCGAAGTCATCAGAGTTGAAGTTGCTATGAGTGATGTAGTATCCCAGAGCGGTGTCTCCTGGTTGGAGGATACCCCCTAGGTGGGTACGGGTGTGGAAGATTTGGTTTGTGAGGGTTGAGGATTCGTAGTCCATCATCCCGTCGTCTTCGTGTGTCCCTGTTGATTTAAACGCACCCGACAGAGCCACTTGGGCATCTGCGAGAACGAATTTACCCTTTGTCATACCGGAAGGCTCGATATCGAGTACGGTAAACTCCACCAAGTCGGAGACACTTGCGAGAGATTCGAAAGGCGTTCGCCAGTATATCGCTGCTGTGATTTCGGCAGATTGAAGTGTGGATGGGTCGAGCAGGTGGATGGAGTTTCCGACGCGGGAGACTAAGGTGAGAGGATTAATGTTGCTTAATTGGCGTGCCAGCCTTGGGGGAACACAGGTGAAATCATCTTTGCAAAGGGGAATGATCTCGACGGAGTAGGTATATTTGAAATTGGCAGTGTTCGTATGTGTGTCCGAGGATAGCAATTGCTCTGAGGCTTTTGATCTAATTTACCAATGCTTGTCAGTTCTGGTTGGATTGGGTAGATAACTTCGATACGTACCGTATTGGTACAACACCACCGAGGAAGTCAACCATTTTAAGCGCATGACTTCGTTGAGCATAGAAGAAGTCCAGTCCGTCCCTGACTTCTTTCACCGAAATCGTATCCTTTTGCGCCCCGTGCTTGAGGATAAGCTGTTCCAAAAACAAGAACGTACGCTTGTGCGGAACCTTCTGTCGAACTTGGACAAGGGCTTTCCATGTATTTTTAGCAGCAAGTTTGGTGCAGTCTGGACACTGTCCATGTTGTACGAGGTACTCGATCTCGAATATTTGCTCGAGAATAGTCGAAGTGAGAACCTCCTTTTGGATCGTGAGTGATACTCGGAGTCGCTTTGAGTGAGGTTCTGTCCAGATGAAGTGTGCCTCGGTAAGCCGGACTTTGTTAAGTCCCTTTAGTTTTCGGAGGCAGATCGCAAGTAGTTCTTGAGATTCTGGCTGAGCGATCGTCCATGCAGTCGGTGGTGAGAGGAAACGTTCGCAATTCCTGCAAAATGAAACAGATGCTACACAGGACTTAGAGCATACCTAGATAAATATCGACGAAGAAACTCACCTTGCTTAGGTATACCCTCCGTAATATCCACCGAATTTCTCAGACACGCAACACAGAGATTGGCAGAATTGGGAACGATCGGTGTACCACAGTCGGCACAAAGGACCCTATGAACCGGTGCAGATGGCACAAACTCCATAATATAAGAGTCCACTATCGCAAAGGAGGGAAAAGATATCAAGTAGGGCTACAACAAGGAGTAAGCTGATACAAAAGTGACTGCTGACTGAAGCTGGACTGAAGGAAAACCGGAAAAATATGGTCGGCACCGATCATAGACGATCTAATCTAATCTATGTAGATGATGCAATAGACGCCTGACTCATCAAGCCAGGGAATTGAAGCTCCTAAGTAGCCTGTTGCATGAGTAATTCTCGAGTCTGTGCTTGTAGAGTCTTAGCTTTATGTACCGGCCGTATAACACGCATTGTACTCGAGGTCGTATTGGCAATGTGGTAGCGTTTCGACTATTTGGGCTGAGGCCCCTCTAGCCAAATCCATGCCGATTCCTGGCCAAAGGCTGTGGTCGCCGACGGATTAATGTCCTGCAACATAAAGGTGCGGTCACGCTGGTGCGTTCGACACATTGTTTTACCTCTTACGGTCATCTGCACTTCTTTGATGTTCGCTCTCTTTGCTCAATACTCCTGACATGAGCTATACACATCCCCCGGTCACAGACAGCGAGATCATTCAATACCTTTATATTCTGCGCTACTTCGGACACAGTCTTCAGGATATTTACCCACTTTATCCCCATCCTCGAGTCCCTCTAGAGAAAGGTCCTATAGCAGCGACGCTTGATGCGCTAGCTGCAGCATGCACCCTTCAAGCAGATCAGGAAACTGCTCTCGCCATCGTACAAGAGCCAGGCCAAGCACTCCTCTATGTGTCCCAGACAGGCACGGTCGATCGTCGTCTAGCTTCTCATCTCAAGAGGCTTTGGGCGTTGCTGTACCAGTATAGAACCGTTCAGTTTACTGATAGTCCTAATGCCGACGATGAACGACGTTGTCTGCGACGACGAATATGCAGGTTTTTGTATCGGAGGTGTTTCCGACCATACCGCTTTTCCGAGCGCGAACGAGTGTCGTTTCGTACCTTCTCTGAGGTCATGAGGAATGCACAAGATGTGTATTTAGCCGGTGATCTCACCTACATTCTTGATGTGCTCGAGTCGCATTCGCGGTATGATTCGCACTGGGACGACGATACTTTATACCAGTTCGCGGTGTCAAACGCAAACGTCGCCCGGGACCTCGCAAAGTGTCCATTGTATAAGTGGGAGACTGCATTCAAATCATTGATAAGTACGTGCTGCGATGCTTTGAAAACAGTGCTTACTAACTATCATCATAGAAGATCGGTCAGACGTGTATCCAGAAATTAGGAATTTCTCGCTACGGAGATATGCAGAGAAGGCTCTTCTGTTTGACACTCATGTCAAACGCCTTCTTCACGTAGCAGAGCCCAAATCACCCACCGTCCGCCTCGGAGTGTTCCTAACTTTACCGCTACACCTCATCACAATATCGTCACATCCGTCGACTTCGATATCCGTCGATGTGTCTATCGATACCCTCCTCCCCCTGCTCAACCACGAGCTGGACCCTTCAGCGACCCCACTCACGGCAGATCTACTCCGACATCGTCGAGATGAATCGTGTCCAGAGATGTCGGGTGTAGACACCGTCGACCTTTCAGGAGTATGCCCGCATCCGGAACTTACACTCCTCGCCTATCTATACAACCATTGCAAAAGCGCCTTTCCATACATCGGACTATCAAGACCAACCTGCTACGCATGTTTCCGATGGTTTGACGCTTACAACGCGAGAGTGAATCCGAGTGGTGACATTCCATATCGTCTAGATGGTCCTGACCCAGAGTTTCGTCTTCCCTGGGTCTTACCACCACGTCTCCAGTTTGGGTGTGGAGTCTTTGGTCTTGGTGAGAGTGAAGGACTGAGAGGGAGTGGGTCTGGGGAAGTTAGTGGCGAATTGAATGGAGTGTTGTGGGAGATGTTCGCTAGGACTGTGAAGCAAGACGTGAGAGATTTGTGGATGCGAGCGGTGTCTTTTCAGAGAGTTTCTCATAAGAATGCGGAACTGCTAGGTAAGGATCGTCGTTTGTTTTGTATGGTACAATCAGCTGACGTTGGATTCAATTGGCAGAGAGGTTGAACCGGATAGCTGGGAAACACCAACTCGACGATGAAGAGGAGGCGAAGGAGGCACTTGTATCCGTTATGGAGGCTCTGCGAACTGAAGAAATTGCTATCCAGGTTTCCTCATGATACACGCCCCTCACGCTTTTGGACACTCTTATCACCCATGATATTTACTATCTTGGTCGTTGCTAATAGGGCGATTAGTCCTGGACTTTGAGAGAAGTTTTTTTGTTTTGACATTATCTACGTAGAACCATACATCTCCAATGAAAGGACTACTCAGTATATCATAGAACGTCATATCTGTACTACCTATTGTATTTTGTGTAGCATAGCGCAATCGAAATCAAAAACTGACATCATCCTGTCCTCGACCATGTACTTACCATTCGAGCTCTTCTCCGGTCCATCTCCAGTACCTGCCGGAATGTTCGGAAGTGGCAGATGATACAAACTTGAGCAGGGATGCCATCGTTACTTTCGGATCGAGAGGAGCATCCTCTCCGCCCAAGTCTAAATGTACGCCATGAATACTCCACATATTTTGGCTCCATGTGAGCGAGGCTTACCTGTCTTGCACCAACCGGGGCACATACAGAAGACGATCAAGTCCGGTCTTTCCGCTGCTTGTTTTGTGGTCTAAACCAGGTTAGCATTTGTACGAGACCATAACGAATCTGACTAGTAAGCTACTGACCATCATGTTCAGAGCGGCTTTGCAAGACGCATAGGTGGCATAAGGAGCCCCGAACCGCCAAGCCATACTACCGAGCTGACTGGACATGTTCAAGATAACTTTTCGTTTCCCTTTCTCCAGCAAAGGTAAGAACGCTCGTGTGATCATGGCGGGTGCGAGGACGTTAGTGTAGAAAGTGTCGATGTAACCTTGAGCATTAAAATTGAACGCCGTATCACGTTGCTCAGACTGTACACACGGAAAGAAATTATGTTGAGAAGTGAAGTTTCAGGGAGAGCATCCGCGAACTCACAATAGCTGCATTGTTCAAGAGATAGTCTAGACCGCGATCACCAAGTGCAATTTCCACCGCTTTCACGCACTCCTCGATGGAGGCTTGGTCCGTCACTTCGAGCTTGACGATGTGTAGGTTTCCAAGGAATCTGGTACGGAGGTCTTGTAAGGCGGTCGCTTTGTCTGGATTGCGACATGTGGCAATAACGGTGTGGGTCGGTGACTGGAGCAGTTGCTCGACCATCTCCAGGCCGAGACCTCGATTAGACCTGTTCGATGTTAGATATGAAATATTACAAAGTCTGCCATTACTGAAGCAAGCTGGTGGCGTACCCAGTGATCAACCACGTAAAGGTATTGAGCATTGTATGGGCTTTGGGAGAAGTGAATGTTAGAGGGCATTTTACATCTGGAGTTCTTCCCTTATATAAACCCTCGAGGTAGGCGTGAACATTCAGCCATGGAAGATGTAAAGCCTACTTAAAAGGATCCGGTGATTTGAATAGGGCTCTGTTTCCCTCTCTGATATAATTGTTCCCATGGCAGTGCGAAGGTTCTGAATGCGAATGAATACACAGACCATTGGCACGTATCTCTCTGTACATGCAGATCTACCACGCCAGAACTTCCCCATCATACCTAAAGAACTTGCCGGAACTTTGGGACGTAGCGTCAGCGACGATCTTAAGTACTTTAGAAACGCTCTCGTGCGGTTCTAAAGGTGCTTTTTCTCCGCCCATATCTATCCATCGAGATGGGTAAGTTTCGAGTACGCCCCACTCTTCAGATTGAGACCTACCAGTCTTCACCCATCCTGGATCAACGCAGAACACGATAAACTCCGGCTTTGCCTTTGCCTGTTTATACGTCTGGTAAAAATGAAGATGATGAGCCGGCTGGTTCGTTTAATTGAGAGCAGTAATCGTACAAGCATATTTAATGCCGTCTTGCTAATGCTGTAAACAGCAGCTATATCTCCGAAATCGAGGCCAATACTAGCGAGACCGCTCGAGATATTGACAAGGACCTTCCGATTCCCTTTCTCAAGTAAAGGTAAGAAAGTATCAGCAACGATGGCGGGTCCTATGACGTTGGTTTCCAAGGTCCTGCGGAAAGAAGGCACTGAGAAGCTGAATGCGGTCACATCATTACCACCCTCCAGCTGAAACATCACTGAGATGAACCTGACGAATGGTGGAAAGGACTTACGATTGCGGCATTGCTAATGAGATAATCCAGACCTCGCTCCCCGAGAATAGTCTTCACTATCGTGGAAGAGGCTCGAATGGACGCTTCGTCTGCGGTATCAATTTGTATGACATGCAGAGTACCCTTGGCATCCGTGTGGAGGGACTTTAGGACAGCTGCATTATCTGGGGTACGACACGCTGCAATGATTGTGTTGGAAGATGATTGAAGCAATTGCCGGACCATCTCGAGTCCAAGGCCTCGAGACGCTCTATACATGTAGAGTTTCAGATTGAGACAACACAAATATGTGGAAACAAATAAATCATACGTACCCGGTGATAAGCCAAGTGTAGGATTCAGACATTGCAAGGTTCTGCGAAGAGGTCGAGGATATGTGAAGGGCCAGTCATTTACATAGGCGGGGATATCTCGGCTCCGTTAGTGTCAACTTTCATGGACATATCGATGAAAGAGCAATCGCAAGACAGAAATAGATCAGGAGGACGCTCGCTGCGGCGGGGATCATGAGGCCTCTCAGATTTTTGGGGGGAGGGGGGGCATAGAGCGCACAGTGACAAGTACTGTCATAGTATAATATGTTCTCCGTATCCCGCGGGGGCGGGCGCTTGTTCGAACGATTCTGAACTACGTCAAGCAATTCACCTTTGTCCGCATACAAGTAGCATGACCTGGTGCACGCCAAACCAGCACGATATACTCTAAAGAGAATAAGGAGCAGCAGGAAATACCATGTCGCGTTCCCCCTTACGTCGAGTCACATATCATGATTGGAGTCCGGTGCTTAGGTTATTGGACAGAACCCTATTGAACTGAAAGGCACAGAAGTCTCTGATATATAATCAGAGCAGAAGTTGTCAGCGAACCGAAGAATCTGTATAAGCGTTTCAAATAGTAACTGACTGCCTCAGTACGCTTTGACAGGACACAGCCAATGGAATGGCCGACATATCGGTAAACCGCCAGACGGCGAATACAGTTGGATGTCGTATACCTGAATAATCCATTTTCGTCAGTATAAAGAGCAACATTTGATGAACGGATCAGTCAGTACCTCCCAGGAACTTTGCTCTACGAGAGCATCATGTCATTTCCAAAGGTTTGGTTTAGTGAGTTCTCCTTTTTTCCGCGATTTGAAAGAGGGGTCAAACTGGTAGATACACAGTTACTGGAGCTTCCTCCGGATTCGGTCGAGTCGCCACAGAAACCATTCTCAAGGAAGGACATATCGTTGTTGCAACGGCTCGAACACCAGAATCTCTCAATGACTTGACAGCAACCTATTCTGCAGACCGACTTCTAATTCTGAGAGTCGACGTGACAAAGCTACAAGATATCATAGATGCGTTCACCAAAGTGAAAGAGGTGTATGGTCGTCTGGATGTCGTCTTTAACAACGCTGGTAGTGGTGCTCTTGGGGAGCTGGAAGGTACACCTGACGAGGTTGCTCGTGCAATGTTCGAAACAAACTTTTGGGGGGCTGCCAACGTTAGTCGAGAAGCTGTCAAGTTCTTCCGGGACGTGAACAAGCCTGGCATCGGAGGTAGACTCTTGAATATGAGCTCTGGTGCAGGATTAGTTCCATTACCATGCTTCGGTTTCTACTGCGCGACGAAACACGGTAAGCACATTCCCACCTGAATGGCAGAACGGTAGAATTTTCATCGTCGCTCACGGATGACCATTCATAGCTTTGGAAGGGTTGACGCAGTCCCTAGCTCATGAATTGGATCCCGAGTGGAACATCAAGGTGCGTGTTGTCTCAGGCTGCTCGGAGACGTACCGATTGGACCATGTACGCAGGTCACATTGATAGAACCTGGTGACTTCCGCACAAGAGCTCACTATCAAAGTCTCGTCCGACTGGAGGCCCCTCCGGCGTATAGAAACCCGTCGCTCCCAAGCAAGGCCATCCGTGACGCGGAGAACAGTGACGTGTTGCATGGGTCGGATCCTCGGAAAGCCGTCAAGAAAATATACGAGCTTGCCTCACTTCCCGATCCTCCGCTTCGATTTATAGTGGGAAAGGACTGCATAGAGCTAATCAAAGGCCAATTGAAAGTAATCCAGGGTGATTTAGAGAGATATGAGAGCTGGTCGAATGACTTGGGATTTGATGAGTAATGCGAACGTGAAGAAACAGCGATTTTGATAACCACTTTCCCGTATAGCCTGTGCCCGTAAGAAGTAGACGGCGTGCAATATCTGTAGCAGTCTCCTATCGTATGTAGGTCAGGTTGCAGGTAACTCTAGGTGAACTGCTGGAGGCTGGAGCTGAGGGGTCCAGAATCCACGACATGTCATTTAAAGAACAGCACAGGAACGGAAAGAGTTTATGAGCGAAAGAGGGAGATCCGACTGCGAAAGGTCGCCATTGAGTCCCCGCAAGTAGTCCTGTAAGGGCCCTGTCGTAGATTGTACACGTTAAGGAGGGAAAGGATGCAGCAGAGCGCCTGTTGCACACGAAACATGCTCGACAGTCAACCACCACTATGCAGACGTCACTTTTGGGACTTCGGTTGCTGGACACAACTTGAAGGGAGTTTGAAGGCAAGTACATTGTTTGCCTACTGATAGAACCAATTTACACGGGTTATTGACTATCCCATTTCAGGCCATTGGTTCGTACATACCCAAGTAGTGTTCGACATCTCTTGGCAATGAAAAAGTAACAGGAGCAAAATGTGTGCCCATCGTTGAACTCATACCTTCAGAGTTGGAAGCCGCGAATAGCATGACGGTGTAACATATCGTGGATGACGGACTCTACTGCCACCCGTTCTCCTGGAGTAACGAATAAACGCTCAACGTCCAACGTCGATGTTAGGCTCAGCATGTTTTCTTCTCTAATATGGGACGCTGCTGAAATGACTTCATTTCGACTCTCTTCAGTTGCAGGTGCGTCTGGTTCAGACAGATTCGCGCACAGGCCTGAAGTCCTGGAAGCTTGATGATATATTCAACAACGCCAGCTGTGCAGCCCCTGCTGAAGCCTTTTAGGCCACCTTGCACTGATGAAGACGTCCTTCACATTGCGGTCGGTCTGGAAGCATTGGAAGCAATCCCATACCACCCATTCCACTCGCATCCTTGATGATATCCTTAGCGGTATCTCACATATTCAACATGCTGCAAACACTCAGCATTACTCCTTACAAGGCTTCAGTTCCTCCCCCGCTGAACAGTTGGGCCTCATGCCGCGAAGTCGGGGCTCCGGCAACGTCAAAACCATAGGTAAAACATTGGGAACGGAAGACGACGGTGAGCAGTCGACTTGACACTCATTTATGATCAACTGCAGGTGACGGATGGCGTGCCCCGTCTATCTACCCAGCGACTAAGCGCATTCAACCGATACTATTGGTCAAGTATGAGAGCTATTATACGGTAACTCGTGATCAAAGCCTTGCTGTACTAAAATCCTACATCCAGTGCAACTTAGGCGCTAGTTTGATCGTTTTCTCGAGCCTTCCCTGTCGAAGCGCAGCTCTCTGTTGCCTCATGGTCCGCATGACCAACGTGCTAATCTGTGTACATGCGTATAGTACATGCGCTGAATGTATATGAATAGAACGGGAGTTTGGTGTGGCTTGATTAGTTCCCCATTTCTTCACGATAACGGTAGCTTGTCCCAGAGTCTTCTTTGCATCGCTGATCGCTAAGTAAAGGAGTTCTTTATTCAGGCTCAAGCACTGAAAGTCTATGGGACGAAAAATCGAGATATATAATGAGCCTTTTTCGAAGCTTCGAAGAGACGGGCTGGATATCTCCGGTACTGCAACGCCGGGTCGTTATCGCTTTATGGACTGCGACACTTTCCTTTCAAAAAGACATCTGCGTATCGTGGAGTGCGAAGGCATCAGGCTCTCTTCCGACTCGTTCAGGTACTCTGTGATATCATACGTCTGGCGCGGTAACTCCGTCAGCTCCGATCCTGCTAGTCCTTGCTACTGGCAAGATAAACACGGCGTATTCAGCGTGAAGGGCGCCGAGGATGGAGACCCTATTAGTCTTGACGTCCTGTGGCATGCATGCACGGCTTCAGAGCTATCGTACGCCTGTCCTTTCGGATGTCGTTGGCTATGGTTGGACCGGATATGCATCTTACAGACAAGCAAGATGGACAAGGCATGGCAGATCAGTCAGATGTATGAGATCTACAGTCACAGTGATGCATGCATCATTCTTCCCGGCGGTGTCCGACGTTTAGTTAGCCTAGACGAGGAAACAAGCTGGATTCATCGTGCGTGGACTCTTCAAGAAGCCCTTACCCCTTGCCAGCCTTGGGTCTTGTACACATGGAAGCATGCACGTTGTGTGCTTCGTCTCAAAACTGGAGACTCGCACGGAACTTCATCGGTAGCCATCCAGTCAGTAATCGAAGGCCAATCTGCAATGTCACATCTTAAAGAACTCCTCGCTCTCAATGCGCACCCTGGCGGCGCTAGTACGTTCAAAGTGGCCGGGGTCGAACTAAAGGGACATGTCCGTCTATTCGGGACACCTAAGGTCGCAGACATGCTTAGGCGGAGCCTTGAAGACTCTTTCAGAGAGTCGTCCATTTGGTTTTCGTCTCTAATGAGGACATCATCGAGGCCGGTGGATATGATCTTTAGCATCATGCATTTCTTCGGTGTCAGTCTGGATCCGCGCATATTCGGGGAGAATGACAGGACGAAAGCCGCCATCGCACTCACCCAAGGGAGGACAAGCCAACTGGTTATGGACCACCTTTCACTTACCCTCAGATAACGACCTCTTGACGTTCCCACAATTTCCCGAGACGAGCGTATCTGGCCAAGCTTACCTTCGTACGTCTGGCGGTGAGATGCAGGCGATGACGAAGGTCGCAGAGACAATTGACTACTCGGAGTACATCAATGCGGTAGCATTTCCAACGGGGGGGGATGGAGGACGACGGGTCTTTAGTCATACGCAGTACAATAATCCCTCTGACCGACGGGCGAACTTTAGATGAGATAGCATCAGATTTGGACGAACATGTCAGAAATTGGTTTGATGAGCAGCAGCGGGTAAATAGAAAGGGCAAAAGGGCAGATCGGCGGCGACCTCTTGATATGATCCAGAAAAGCCCGACCGGCACATACTTGGTTCAAATAACGACTCCATTCCCATTCTCTCGTGGGCCCGACCTCAGATGGGTTGTGAAGAAGCTCTCGTGTGGATGCTTCTGTCGTTCAGGTATTGCTAATCTCGGTGTGCGAACGGGACCACCCCAGGATTTGTTTCCGATGCATGAACTTCGATTTCCTGCGGCAATGAGAAATGGACGGTATGTAGAAATTTCTGATCAGACTTTTCTTTTAGAAGATCTTACACGCTATGCTCTAGATGTTCAATACATCCGACGACTGCCGTAGATATCTGACGAGGGATTGGTAGGGTCAATGAAGACTGATTGACTGAAAATATGATGACAGAAGTAGAATTGCAGCTTGCAAGTATCAATGCCTTGAACGGCTTCCTTGCCTCTACACTGTTCTATCTCCAGTGCTCCTCTCAATCAATCCCCGCAATGTCCTTTCTGCCGTGTCTTTATGTGCTGCAACCAAGGGATCCTCGTGATGACTTTCTCTCATTGCCTTGATTTGGTGCCCCATGTGTGATGTAAATACAGTAAGCAGAGTGGTTCAAAAACTCTCAATAGCTAAGTGAACTAGAGCTTATAAGGATCCGAGGTGCATCAAAGTGGTGACTTTTTTTTACGAGGATGAGCATCGAAAGGAAGCACTGGGATAATGCTCGGTCAGGAAGAATCGAGAAGACTGTAGTGAAACTCAGAAACGTTGGTACCAAACATTACTGGGCGAGGAGGTTCTTCATTGAAGACAGCGTTGAAGCCAGTTCACCTGAACGATCGATCTTTATGACGTCACGCGTCATGTCTCAAGCAGATCTCGGGTCGGATGGGGTCGTCATGCGTCACGACGCGTTCTTCTACTGTAGACTCATGTTCTCACTTTACGCCACAAGCGCTCGTTAGGACAACGACTTCTGCCTTGGATCAAGTAAATATTGGCTCTTAGTTACTGCCCCCCTCTCGATACGTTGCATGACCATTGACTCGCGCCACGTCGAGGCTCTCAATATTCAATCCTGCCCAATTAACGAAACCTCATTAAACTCAATACGACAGAGTCGGACAGACATCGAAGTTGGCTCGCTTTATGATCAACTTTCATACATTATTTCAGCGATGAAAGTTAACAGCTTTTTATCCCCTTCGTAAGCCAATGAGGTCTGCAGCCTGCTACGCACCAAGCCTCCTACTGAAGCAAATAGACCTCATTTCCAGAATATTTTATTGGTCTTCCTTGAGGACGACATGTCTTTATTTCAATCGAAAAATTATCGCGTATGCTCTCAAGTATAAGGTCAATGCAAGGAAAATGCTGAAGAATGACGGATGACTACCTTTTCCTCAAGTCGCTTTTTTTAATTTCTGGGACGTGATTGAGGGACCTATGAAAACGGAGCGATCAGTTGACGACTATCTGTGTGTCCTCGCATTCCATACCTCATTTCATATACCTCATTGAATCTCCACTTTTATACAGATCCTCTGCCCGTACACAGTTCCTTTGGTCCCTGGCCCCACTATCAAGGAGACTGTTGTAAGAGACTTTTTTTTTACATTGACCTTCTTTTTAGCGACAATTCGTGTGAAGGATGGAAGCCCTGAACTGGGTCGTTGTTGGTTGGCCTGTTCCTCCCTACGATCACGAATGCATGCCGACTCTGTGGTATCAATGTTACCTGCTCGTCGAAGGATCACCGGACATAAGGCTATCCGAGTGGAAGACAATGGTCCGATAATAGGAATATTTACACAAGATATCGACACCTCTGGTAGAGGGGTAGATGAATGCACGCTAAACGAGACCGAGCGCCGTCTTCGCCACATCCGTGCAGTCATTTCGGCAACGTATCATACGTTGCCTAGGGACGAGACCATTCAGTCTACCCTCCTCCCGCTCCGTGCTTATTATACGAACAGGTGCACCGGCAGGCACGTTCTCGCGCGCGTTACTTGATCAAAAGGTGAAGTAACCGGCATGTTTTTCGATCGAAATGATAAGTTCAACTCTTGCTGCTCCCTTCGGATTGATTCATGACTAGATGTGTATCAAATTGCAGCTGTTCATCGCTATTCGAACAACATCCGTTTGTATTCCGGTGCCCAGTTGATCCAGGTATGTTGGCTGGTATGAATAACCTCAGATGCGCTATGCGATTAATGAACTACGCTACTCACGAGTTCTCGATTCCATCAATTAGTATGTAGGAACTAGATATCAACCCCCTGGATGCACATCGAGGCAACCTTTTCGCAGCTGGTACAGGGTTTCGATATTCCACATCTACCACCTGGATAGAAGTAAGAGCATCAAACCGACTGTCACAAAGTGCCTCATCCAGTAATGCCCAGGTGGAAGTCTGGACTTCTATGAATCCGTCGCACCCGAGAAGAATGATCTCCTGCAGGACGGGGGATGAAATAGTGGACAGAAGTTGCACGAGCCCGGTAACCTCTTCATCGAACGCGTTGTCTAGAAACAGTCCAAGCCGTCGAAGATTGGTGTTGTCATGCAAGCTGATAAGGCCTGAATAGATGTGAGCCCCAGGTGAGCGATCAGACTGGCAAACTCACGTGTTAACCCGGTATTCTCAATTTCATGAAAATAGAGGAATGCCTCCTCTAAAGAAGACTGAGCAGTGGATAGGAGCAGCGAAGACACCTCTGCATTTCTCTTGGTTTCACCTTCCCAACTTACGATCTCGATGTAAAGTCTCTTCAGGCTCGAGAACAGCTCTGGAGTTCGCAAGAAGGAATGGTACAGGCGGAGCCATCCAAGATGCCGCTCCACAAAGTTTCTGTTAAATCTCGGGTTTGGTACGCCGGGATATATGACCATTCTGAAAGTAGTGACGAACGAGGTCAAACGACAGCGGGGTGCATAGCGCATCTTATGGTATGCAGTGCTGTCTTCTGGCTCTAGGGGTGCAATGACGAGCTCCAGATATCGGACATTGGGCAGTGTATACAGGAGCCTATGAATCTCCGGAACCCCAATTTGTACGCAAAGTGTCAACATCGTGATCGTTGAGAAGGAAGAAAGCGCCATGTGGAAGCGTTTGTGAAGGAAGAGATCCTGGGCAACCACTATCCCTAAGGCGCGGATGTGAGGTAACCTTCCCACGAGACAAACAAATACTGAAGGAGGGTTGCAGATCCTAGAGCCAACCACGTGCAGTGCACGAATGTAATGAGCGAGGTGAGGACTTCCCTTCAGAATTTCGATGAAGTGTTCGTGTTTATCACCCAAGATCACCGAGCGATATAGGTTATATCGACTTCTAGGAAGTAGTGCCTTACAGGTAAGGGCACAACTTCTCAGTATTCTGTAGTACTGATGTCGACCGTCTGATAGTGTCGGATTGTGGTTGTACATAATCATATCGCCATAATGGTCGAGGAGTCGTTCAAGAAGTTCGATGGGGAGAGGAGGGTTTGGCATTACAAGCGTTGCAATAGTCCAATATCACAGACGAGCAGTGTAATCGGAAGAAAGAGCTCAGGCCGCGGGCTATACTAAAGATTCTGAAGCAAAAGCGTTCAAGGTATTGTGGGCTTCTCGATAGATTCATTACTGTAGGCTCCATATGCAGCTTAGGCTTCCATTTAACCCAAAGTTTAAACATCGCATTGACGCCGATCTGGACTTGACGGTCACGAAGAAAAGAATGATCAATTGGGTAAGTTCGTCCATTTACTGATCGAAAGGTGAGCAACTGGCATGTATTTTGATGAAAATGACAAGCTAAATTCTGCTAAATTCTTGCCCCTCCGTTCGGAACGAGTAGTAATAGAATGCATACCAAACCATAGCGATTCAATCAGACTTCAAACAACATCCGCTCGTATTCTGGTGCCCAGTTGACCCATCTATGACTGCTGTAGAATAATAACCTTCAGATGCACTGAACGACTAAATAGACATACTACTCACAAGGAACCAGTCGCGCTCGATATGTAAGAACTCGAAATAAGACCTCGTGAAGCACAACGGGGCAACCTTTCAACAGCTGGAACAGGGTTTTGATCTTCTACGTCCTCTATCACATGGATAGAGGTAAGAGCATCAAACCGACTGTCGCAAAGTGCCTCATCTAGCAATGTCCAGGTGGAACTCTGGACTTGCTTGAATCCGTCCCACCCGAAAAGCACAATCTCCTGCAGGACAGACGATGAAATAGTGGATAGAAGAGGCACGAGCCCAGTGACCTCTTCATCGAACGTGCTGTCTAGAAACAGTCCAAGGCGTCGAAGATTAGTGTTATCGCGGAGGCTGATAAGGTCTACAGAGGTGTAAGCCCCAGAAAAACGGTCAGACTGACAAAACTCACGCGTTAACCATGTTTTCTTCGAGTCAAGTTCCTGAAAATAGATGAAGGCCTCCTCCAGTGAAGCACCGGCAGCAGCAAGCAGCGATGATGTTATACTTGCATTTGTTTCAGTCCGACCTTCCCAACTTATGACCTCAATATAAAATCGTTTCATAGTGGAGATGAACTCCGGTGTCCGCAGCAAAGCCCGATAGAGTGCGAACCAATCAGGATTGGGTGGCTTGACAATTGTGCGGTCCCCCATGCTGGTCCTGATAAGGGTTGTCTCAAATCTGAGACTAGCGACGAACGACGTCAAACGACAGCGGGGTGGGCAGCATATCCTGCAGTGAGGGTTGCTGCCAGGCAAGATTATGGGCGGCTCCAGGAGTTCGAGATATTGCAGATTGGATAACGTGTGAAGAAGTCTCTGTATGTCGAAAATACCGAGACGTACAAGAAGGATCAACATCGTGATTGTGGAAAAAGAGGACAGGGCCTTATGTAGGTATTGGTGGGTGAAGATCTCGGGACATATGATTAGCTGTAGGACACGAACATTGGGTAGCTTTCCTGCGAGGTATATGAGTATTGAAGGTGGACGAGATAAGATATCGCCGAACAGGTGGAGCGCGCGAATGTAACTAGCCAGATAGGGATTATTCTCGAGGGTTCGGAGGAATTTTTCGTGCTGCTTTCCCCACAACATCACCGATCGATATAGATTGTATCTACATCGCGGTAGTAGAGCCTTACAGGTTAGAGCCCAGCTTCGCAGAGTTTTGTAGAGCCCAAACTTATCGCCTACTCCGCCAGGATCATGGTGATACAGTATAAGCATGTCGCCGTAGTGATCAAGGAGATGTTCGAGAATCTCGATGGGAAGCACAGGAGTAGAGGGAAGCTGGAGATCGAAAGAATCGGATATCATCTCGCGCACTCGAGCTACGACGCCAATTCAAAGATATATCAAGAGATTCGATTACTAGGAGCACTCAAGTTTCGTGGGCGTATCGATGATTAGTGACACGGTCTCCGTATCTGGCAAGTTTCTGACCCAGAGAGGAGCAACACAGATATAATCGGCAATGCCTGTTATCCTCAGTAAGGATTAGTGTATTATTGACAGGATAACGAGACAAGTCATTTGGGCTCGGGGGGATAGCAACCAAAGGCCATCAACGAGCTTCAATTTGCGCCTTGTCAATGATATCGCGAAGAGGATTGACTGCTGTAGTACACGAGATCCTTTTACAAGCTCTAGATGGTCGGGTTCTATGCCCTATAGAATACGAGCCAACGCCATAGATTCTCGCATGATGATGACAACGACGACGATGACACGCATGATTTAACACTAGTGTCGGTGGTGGGTAAGCACATTTGAAGTGAGACGTATCCAGGGCAAGATCTCAAGGCTTTGGTATTGCTACTACTGTGGCAAAGCCATGGGATGCGAAGAACTGGTCACGCAAGGTGGTGGCAATTCACTGTCGCCAGTAAGTGGAATGCCGAGATTGGTGGCGAGATTGCGAGCACAGGTATAATCTATCCATACGCCCCAAATGAAACATTCCTGTCAAAGGAAATTAATCGATAATAGTAGAAGCGAGAGTGTTCAGACGTACTTCATTCGATACCTCTGATGTCGAAGCAGTACTACGGGCAGGTGGTAGAGAAGGTGGCGAAGTGGAGGACTCCAGAGACACGACAGGCATTGGAGTATTGACGAGGGTATGAGGAGATAGGATGCGAAGAAACTTTCAGTTTCAGTGAGGAAGAGGAAACGGTGGCTAGCGAATGACATATTCGAGAGCAAGTTATAAGTCCAAGCTGCACAATAAGAAATGAAGACACATCAACAAATTTAAAGCCAACAGACGATAATAGGAATTGTACCAACAATCGCCACATCGAACACCCCCAACATAGTCAAGACCATCCCCCCACATCTCTCCTACAAAAGACTTGACAACATTTCGTAGCATCGAGTAGAGTTTGAATAATTGCAACGTGGAAACTGGGGAAGGATGCATTGTTCGGATTGGATTCCAACTATTGAAAACTGCGTTCAGTGCGTCAGATCTACTCAAGCACAGAGAGTCCGAAAAGATAGAAAAAATTCCGTCACCCAATGATTAATGCCTAAAAGCCTATAGTTCGCTTAGGTAGACGGGTTAGAAGCTTTGTAGTCCAGAAGAACGGTACATACCTCATGAGAGTGTGATTATGGACTAGTTCTCTGCCTGACTCTGCACTCGTGAGCCTTGGCGGCGGAAAGTTACTATTGGATCGTCCGCTAACTTGCCTGAAGGTGTTGGGATTACCTTATGACTGGAATCCGTGGAGAATTTACAGCAGGAAAATGAGGCGTAGATCCCTAACGTACGTGAATGCTGCAACGTGATAGCAATCTGTATGTTGTTGCTATATACGAGCCATAACGTAACAACGGACAGTAGACTGAGAGGCTTCCACAATCGTACAACTTTCAAAGCCCTGAAAAAGAGGTGCCAGAGATGCTTGAGGAAACGTGGCAGAACAAGGTGAGAGGTGAATGCAAGGCACAAGAGATAAAATGGTAAAGAACACACTAGCGTGTAGGGCTATTCATATCGCCTCCATTCATCGCCAGCCTTCCCGTATTCATGGGTGTGAGGTGATTATAAATGGCCAGTTGCGGACTAAGGGAAAAGGACTTGGACGTGCAAGAAGTGTGAGTGGAAGTCGGGACAAGTATGCAAGGGGCGATACACCAGCAGACTGAAAGTGAGAGGCTACACCTGAGCAAGAGAGGAATAAGTTTAGCTAGTAGTATACCGACCCGATAGAGAACCGTCAGTCATAATAGTGAGGTCTGAAGGGAAAACGATCAACGCCGATTGGTTGGAAAGAGATATAACGTTGAGGCAAGTTGCATCGCTCTCCCCATCGACTTCCACTGACTTGACGAAATGAAAGTGGCGGCGACTATACATCAGCAGTATGTTCCAAAGGAAAACTATGCAGCACTTGATAACACCAAAGAGTAGCCATGTAATATTAGGTATCGTCCCCGTCGGCACTGTACCGAAGAGCTCGGGAGAGGAGGTCGCAGTCAATGACATTCGCAACTGGGAAGGAATTTTACGTGGTGACCTTAATCAATACAAAGCTCAGCAAGATGAAAAGTTAAACTAGCCTGAGGAAAGAATGACAGCAAGCCGACGAACAGACTCGGTGAACGCGTCCAAGTTGTTGCAATCATTGATCGGTGTGACGTCACACATCACGCACATGTGCCCAGTTGCGTCGACGCATCTCTCAGACTAGCCACGGCCCACAAATCAACATCATTAATGTCTTGGACAGGCCAGCGACTTCCCTTATATACGTATATATATCTCTATCAATGATCCCGCAACATTGACTTACTCCCATTCATTCTCCTTAACGAATCACTCGCATCACATCGAACTCCTCGATCGCCTACATCAGGGAATACCGACCTACCTACAAAGTACTCTGTAGGCTATATTGCATCTGTAGCTTGGTAGGCAAGTACTTTGCGCTATTGATGGCACTAGCAGTGGTAGCACTCTGTAGCATCATGGTGTATGCACTGTAGCACTCTTGTAGCATTATGTAGCCTTAGGTATGGTACTCCATTGTAGTCTTAGAGCACTCCATAGCTCTCTGTAACTCACCATAGCTATGCTTCCAGAAGCAAAACAGCTTATTCACACCTCAAAAGCAAAATGATATAGACAAGAAATATATTTGTAAACTGGTATACTCTGTACATGGTACATACACAGTAGCTACATGGTCCCAGGCTACTCCCACAGTAGTGAAGCAAGACTCACACTTGGAGCAGATCTACAATCATATGGTAGTCAGTGTCAATAAGTGGTAAACACAGGATAATGCATACCTATAGAGTGTGACAACAAAGGCATAGCCAGTCGTCAATGACAAACCAATGGCACCCAAGGGGCAGTAGTTACCTGATCTACTCAGAAGACAGGCTGTAAGAGAAAGAATGCGAGTCAATCAATATCAGGCATCAAGAGTCAAATACGTACCACGCGATAGGCACCTGGATGTCGAAGCTATTAGGTGATGTGAACGTTGCTGTCGAGACTACGTGCGCGAGTCATAAAGATGAAAGGTGTATGGTGACCTGCGTTGAACGTTCAGCATTCAACACATAGCAATATATCCCTGCCCCAGGAATGATGACCGATGACTCACCTTGAAGAATACCCAGGTGAGATACATTGTCCTAGACAGAGTGCCTGAAGTGACCTTGAGTATGAGGCCATAGAAGATGATGACTTAGCAGGCCCATCACACGGACAGCGAGTCTAACACTGTTGCGTACCTTGCAAGGAAACCACACCAGTACTCAATCACCAGAATTCACTGAATAGCTGCATAGGGTCAGTGAAAGTGAGCCGTGTAAGAGACAATGGCAGGAGTGGTGAAGAAAAGAGGAAGAGTCGAGGACGATGTTGCTGCTGGCAGTTGGAGCGCTTTGTACCATCACGCAAAACTGGTAAGTCCCATTGACAAACATGTGCAAATATGAGACTTAGCAATTTCTCGCTGAATCGGACTTGCTCCTATGAACGTTGCTGCCGAAATCTGCACTCAACGCTGCCAGTTCCAATTTGTTTATGTGGACAATCCCTGAACCAACTAACAAGCCCGTCTCTCTTCTTAAGTCCCCACAGCTTTGGTACTTGTCGCCCCTCAGTCAGATGAGTTAGCAATACCACTGCGTAGAATATCATTGGCGCCACTGCAGCTACTGTATACCATGTTTCTTTATCCCCTTATTACTGTAGTGCATTGCCTGCGGCTTCTCCATCCCCTTTGCAAGGTATTGTATTGTATTTGGAAACATTGCATATGTGGCATACTATGAAGAAATACCGGCATATCTGTAGCATGTGCTCCAGGCTACAGACTGCTACATACCGCTACAGAGATGCAGGTGACTGCTACAGCACTATCTGGAGGCTACCGCCGCTTCAGAGCATGTAGGCGCTGCTACGGAGGATAAGTGTGTTTCCTGATGTATTTACTAACACTGAGTCTTACGATACGCTTCTCAAAATGGACATCCTTCAGATTGACATATTCTTTAAGCAGTGGATGGCATGAAACACAGATGCTGCTGAACCACACTCCCTTTATTTTTGCTCTACCTCTCTGAGCGATACTAAATGCACACCTGTCTCAGCATCAGCCTTGCCTGATCATTGCAGAATTTCTGGTCACAAGACTATCTGAGTTGCAGGTCGCCATATCCATGCTGTAGTTTCAGAAATGCAAACATTACCTGAAGACAACAACATTCAGGGTACCCTCTCTCATCCAGATACATAATATAAGCAGATGCAAGCACATTTTCACGTCCATTTCTGAAAACTGAAACAAAAGAGATAACTGGCATGTATCTTGACAGAAATAACAAGTTAAATCTTTCTCCCTCTGTTTGCCATGATTAGTGACTGGATGTGTACCAAATCACGGCGATTCAATCAATCTTCGAATAACATCCGTTCATATTCTGGTGCCCAGTGGATCCATCTATGGTCCCTATAACAGGATAGTCTTCAGACGTACTGTATGATTAAGCAACCTTACTACTCACAAGGAGCCAATTGTAGTGGATAGACAGGAGCTAGAGATGAGATCTCGTGAAGCACATTGGGGCAATCTTTCGACTGCTGATACAGGGTTTCGATATTCCACACTCTCCATCACCTGAATGGAAAGAAGTGCATCAAACCGACTGTCGCAGAGTGCCTCATCTAGCAATGCCCAGGTAGAACTCTGGACTTCTTGGAATCCGTCCCACCTGAAAATCACGATCTCCTGGAGAATAGGCGATGAAATGGTAGAGATAAGAGGCACGAGCCCAGCGAGTTCCTCATCGAATGCTCTGTCAAGAAAGAGCCCAAGATGTCGAAGATTGGTGTTATCATGAAGGCTGATAAGATCTATAGGGGTGTGAGCCTCGGATGAATGATCAGATGGGCGAAACTCACGTGTTGACCCAGTATTTTCAAGTTCATGAAAATAGAGGAATGCCTCCTCCAATGAAGTCCCGGCAGCAGCAAGCAACGACGAGGTTATGTGTGCATTTGTTTCAGTCAGATCTTCCCAACTCATGACCTGAATGTAGAATCTCCTCATAGTGGAGATGAACTCCGGCGTCTGCAGCAAGGCACGATAGAGTGAGAACCAACTAGCATTAAGTGGTTTAGTACTTCTGCGCACCCCCATATCAGGAATAGCACGTTGCACTTCAAGTCTGAGACTAGCGATGAATGACGTCAAATGGCAGCGGGGTGGAGAGCATATCCTACAATGAGGGTACCTGTTGTCAGGTGAATCTATGGGCAATTCCGCAAGCTCGAGATATTGCAGATTGGGTAACATGTGGAGAAGCCTCTGTATGTCGAAAGCACCAACACCTACGGCAAGGGTCAACATTGTGATTGTGGGAAAGCAGAACAGGGTCTTATGCAGCGATTGGTGAGTGAACATATTGGGGCATATAGTGAGCTGTAAGGCACGGACACAGAGTAGCTTCCCTGCAAGGTGTATGAGTATTGAAGGCGGTCGACATATGGCAAAGCCGAACAGGTGGAGCACGTGAATGTAACTAGCCAGATAGGGATTATTCTCGAGGGTCCTGAGGAATTTGGGATGTTGTTGCCTTCTCCACAACCTCACCGACCGATATAGATTATATCTAGATCGGGGTAGTAGAGCCTTACAGGTTAAAGCCCAGCTTTGCAGGGTTTCGTAGTACCTAAAATTATCGCCCATAGCTCTAAGATCATGATGATAGAGTATAATCACGTCGCCATAGTGGTCAAGTATGATGGGCCTGGCTGGACAATATTATGAATTTGGTGAGGGTGCAGAAATGTGGTTTGGGGCTGTGAGAAATCATGTCAGTGCGTACAAATTAAAGGAACTTTTGAATTTAGGGCATCTATGAACTTTTTGGCGGGCGTCACGGTCGGCAGGCTCCTTGCCGAGTGGAAGTCAACCTTGCATTGCCTTATCTGGCCATCTCACCCCATAAACAGAGGCTCATGACATTGAAGTACACAACCCGAGGCTCATCGGGGCTCAAACAGGTCTGCGGGCAGTCGTAGAATAACAGCTCTCTACTTTCAGCTGTACTGTCTATTTTTGGAAATGTTTTATGCCGGCCGAGAGGAACTGAGATAGCTTGCCAGGTGCCTAGGGACAGCCGAAATAGGAAGGATGGGCTGCCTAGCGAGCCCTAAAATTGGTATATGATTTGACCATAATGGTACACTTCCAAGCTCATGTAGTCTAGCTGTAAGAATGGACCATCCAGTGTCAATCTTTATGGCTGAGGTTGAGCCTCCCGGTTCAGTCCCTCTTTATAGCATTATTTTTTCTTATTTTCATACCCTCTTGGCATGACGCCCGTAAGGCGCCTAATGAATGTTCAAACATTGCAGACCAATTTGTACGCGCTATGGCGTTTTTTCACGACTTCACACAAAATTCAAATGCTACCTCAATTTCAAAGTTTTGTCCGGTACGGTCCCTGATAGTCAAGGAGACAATCTCGATAGGAAGCGCAGGGACAGAGGAAAGCTGAAGATTGAAAGAATCGGATACCATGGAACGCAATTGAGTTACGAAGTCGTTTCAAGTGACTGGATCTGTATCAAGAGTTTTGGTGACTGAGCATTCAAATTTCGTGGGAGTGTTGATGACTAGTGACACGGTCTCTACATCTGGCAAGCCTCTAACCCAAAGAAGAGCAAGACAGATATAATTGGCAATGCCAGTTACTTTCAGTACAGATTAGCAATGCTATTGACAAGGCTATGAGACAAAGCATCGAAGTCCGGGGTGATAGCGATCAATGACCATCAACGCGATTCAGTTTGCGCCTTGTCAATGGCATCTGCAAAGAGGATTGGCTCTTTCAGTATGCGAGATCATTTTACAGTTCTAGACGGTCAGATTTAATGCCCTCACAGTCTACCAGCCTGGTCCATAGTTTCGACCATCGGATGATTTGACGCTGGCAAGAGCGGTGGGAACCGCATCGGAGATGAGACAAATACCGTCGAAGGCGAGATTTGAAGGTTTTGATGTTGACACCACTGCGTCAATGCCATGAGATGCGAAGAACCAGTCACGAAAGGCAGTAAGCAAATCACTGTCGCTAGTAATTGGAATGTCGAGATTGCTGGCGAGACGGCGGGCCTGCATTACAATTCATCCATACGCACCAAATGAAATGCAGCCATCGCAGGAGCATTGAGGCGTACTTCATCCGCTATCTCTGATGGCGAAGCAGAACTATGGGCAGCTGGTAAAGCAGGTGACGAAGTGGGGACCTCCGCAGACACGATGGGCACTGAAGTACTGACTAGGATAGGAGAAAGCCTATTCGTGACTATAGGATGCGAAGATGCTTTCAGTTTCAGCAGGGGGTCGGAGCCTAGCAACCTGGGAGGTTTATAACTCCAAGCTGCACCCTATGAAAAGAAGACATTTCAACCGATGTGAGAACCACGCAGTGATCATCACAGTCATGTCACTCCGATGAAAGATTTGAGGACGATGTTTTGCAGCGACGTTTAGCCCTTGGATATGAACGCCGAAGCATGGAAGGATCTGTTTGTTAGATTGAGTTCCGACCTGAAGCAACTGGAGGATGGCAACACCGTAGAATCGAGACGGTTGTCCATACGAACAGAACGGCATTTCGTTGTAAATAAGGCTGCAGTATTCGATGACGACGTGGACCCCACATAAAGAACCAAACGTGGAGGTAAAACGGAGACGTAGTAGCATTCCGAGTGTAATATAATTGAGGTGTTTGTGAACTTGCCACCGAACGTCTGGATAAAGAAAGGTTCTTGTATGGAAAACAAGATTTTTCGAAAACAGAGTCATCTAACATACAATGAAAATGAGTGGCTGTTGACGATTAGCACCTGAATCAAGAATTCTGAGAAAGACTCGAGCGGAAGGAGAAACGGGGCTGACTCATCTTCTGGATGAACGTCTCCTACCACGCCGTCACTCTCAGGTATGATTTGCGAAAGTTCATTCGTTGATGAGTAGCCACGGACCCCGTGTATTATATCGTCTCACCATATGTGTACAACTTCCAAATGATAAGCATAACTAACAGTGTAGATAAGCATACCCTTGAGTAGGACGTCAAAGAACGGCGAGAATAAACCATTTTCTAATAACTCACAAGGCCCGGAGCCCTCCTGGTTCTTACAGTCAAGTGAATGGGCGTCGCATAGTGCTGTAAACAGGCCCGAGAAAATTGTAGAAATCAAACCGAGTTCTTGTTTGGGGCGTAGTGTCGTGTTACTATGCCATTGAATGTCGGTCAAACATGCTTGCCAGTTGCAGAGCAGATTTCCACTTGAACGATCGAGCTGTGTGACGTCACGTCTCACGATCACGTTCCCGATCGCGTCGCGTCGACGCGATCCTCTCTCGTTTTACTGTGATGCCACATTTGCCCCAGTTAGCCCTCGTTAGGCCAATTACTTCCGCGTTCTGTCAAGTAAATACAGTTGGCTCCCATTTTCTTCCGCTCTCGATCCGTCTCGTGATCAATCATGTCCATTAACAAATCCTCAAATGAGACGCTATATAGAGCATCGAAGTCAGCTCATTTTACTGGCGACTTTCATTCATTATTTCAGTTTTGAGACTCTTTATTTTTTTCTCCATCTCTTCCTGAGCCAATGGGATCGGCAATCTAAAAGTAACAGGCCACACCTGCCTCAAGCCTCTTGCTGAAACAAACTTGGGGAAACGACTGTTGCTTCGCTTCCGGAATAACCCACTCTATACTGTCTCGACGTCGGCATGCCTTATTTAAATCGAAAAGTTCTCGCATATGCTCTCCAGTTCAAGATCTATGCCAATGCGAGGAATAGGCCGAAGGAACGACGGACGATCACTTCATGTCGATTTATCTAATGGACGAACCAACTGTCTGAATTGCTAGGATGTGCTTAAGACCTCCTATAATGATCGCGCCAGAAATTGGAGCAACCACTCGATGATAATCTGTGTGTTCTCGCATTCCGTACCTCATTTCATATACCTCACTTAACCTCCACCTTTACGTACGACCTAACAATGCTCCTTTGGTCTCAGCCTTGGCCTCGACATCAAGAAAACTACTGTAAGGACGTTTTGACATTCTTAGCGACAGACAGCGTGAAGTATGGATGCTCCAAACTGGGGCCTCGTTTGTTGGCCTGTTCTGTATGTTTCGCGGATGCATGTTGTCTCTGCATCAGTGTTACCCGGTCGTCGAAATTACCGATCACAAGGCCGTAGAACACACTGGTCAGATAATAGGAATAGCTACACAAGGTATTGATACCTCTCGTAGTGCACGCTGGACGAGGCTAAGCGCCATATTCACCACAGTCATGCTGTCCTTTTGACGAAAATATTGCCTGCAGGTGACAAAATTCAGGCTACCCTCCTCCACCTCCACGCATATAATATAAGTGGGTGCAGCGCCTCCTTTCGCGCAGATTTCCCGATCGAAAGGTGAAGTGACCGGCCCATAGTTCGATAGAAATGATAAGTTTGACTCTTGCACGGCAGTTCATCTGTCTTCAAACAACATCCGCTGGTACTCTGGTGCCCAGGTGATCCATTTATGGTTGCTATAGTATAGTAATCTTCAGATGTGCTGTACGATTAAACAGCCATCCTACTCACAAGGAGCCAACTGCGCTCGATATGTAGGAGCTCGAAATAAGGCCTCGTGAAGCACAACGGGGCAACCTTTCAACGGCTGGGAGAGGGTTTTGATCTTCTACATCCTCTATCACCTGGATAGAGGTAAGAGCATCAAACCGACTGTCGCAAAGTGCCTCGTCTAGCAATGCCCAGGTGGAACTCTGCACTCGTTTGAATCCGTCCCACCCGAAAAGCACAATCTCCCGGAGGATGGATGATGAGATGGTCAACAGAAGAGGGACGAGCCCGACAACCTCTTCATCAAATGCGTTATCTAGAAACAGACCAAGGCGTCGAAGATTGGTGTTATCGTGGAGGCTAACAAGGCCTGAAAAGATGTGAGCCCCAGATAAGCGATCAGACTAGCAAACTCACGTGTTAACCCAGTATTCTCGGGTTCGTGAAAATATATGAACGCCTCCTCTAGAGAAGAATGAGCGGCGGAGAAGAGCAATGAAGACACCTCTGCGTTTCTCTCGGTTTCTCCTGCCCAACTCATGATCTCTATGTAAAATCTCTTCAGGCTCGAGAACAGCTCTGGAGTCTGCAAGAAGGAATAATACAGCGGGAGCCATCCAGGATGCGGATCCATGATCCTTCTATGAATCCCAATGTCTGGTATAGCGGGTTGTGTGACCATCCTGAGAGTAGTGACGAATGAGGTCAAACGACAGCGAGGTGCATGACATGTTTTCTGGTATGCACTGCTGTCCGCTGGTACGATGGGCGGAACGAGGAGCTCGAGATATCGGAGGTTGTACAACGTATGCAGCAGCCTTTGAATCTCCGGGACACCAATGCGTATGCAAAGTGTCAACATCGTGATCGTCGAGAAGGAAGAAAGCGCCATGTGGAGGTGTTTGTGAAGGAAGATATCCTCAGCAACCGCTATCTCTAGGGCATGGATATGGGGTAACCGGCCTGCGAGACAAAAAAATATTGAAGGAGGTTTGGATAGTTTATAGCTAACGATGTGCAGTACACGAATATAACGAGCAAGGTGAGGACTTCCCTTCAGAGTTTCGATGAAGTGTTTGTGTCTATTCTCCAAGATCACCGAGCGATATAGGTTATATCGACTTCTAGGAAGTAGCGCCTTACATGTGAGGGCGCGGCTTTTCAGGATTTCATAGTATTGGAGTCGATTGTCTGGTAGCGTCGGATTATGGTTATACACAAGCATGTCGCCATAATGGTCGAGGAGCTGCTCAAGAATCTCGATGGGAAGAGCAAGGCTTGGCATTACAAGGGTCGATGCCATTCAATATTACAGACGAGCAATGCAATCATGAGAATGAGATCAGGCCACAGGCTATACACAGAGATCTGACAGTGGGAGTATCGATAGATACATAATCTCCATATGCAGCAACCTTCCAGCCCAAAGAAGAACAACCCAGACGTAAATGGGTGACGCCATTCGTCACATTGACGCCGATCTGAACTTCAGTGATCGCGAAGAAAAGAACGTTAACTTGGGTCTGATTTCTTTGTCGGGTTTAGTTCGCAGGTTGGCAAAAGCAGGCGTGAGGGCGACTGAATTCCTCGCTACGCGTGAGCTGATTACATTGCGAAGGCTCGTTTCTTCGATGTTCTGGCGACATACCAGCCAAGTAGATAGCCGGAGGCTGCATATATTTGCCACTTTGCGAGACGGGCACAGCACAGAAGCTGAGGCACATTCCGGCAATGCTAGGATCTGAAGGACTGGTCATTTCCGCTACAGCCACAAGGGGCAAGGGCGTTTCATTGGGATGAGTAGAAAGCCAATCATGCAAGGCAAGGAACAACCCATTGTCAGTAGTGACAGTGATATCGAGATCTTCTGCGAGCTTGTAAGCTGAGGCACCATCGAACCAGATTCCCTATACCATATAATCCTGTCACAGAACGTCGGTTAATGCAAAGCGAAGCGAGCGAGACATTGAGCCTTCAGACGTACTTCATTTGATCCCTCCGATAGCGAAGCAGCACTGTGGGCAGGTGGTAGAGCAGGTGGCAAAGCGGAGGACTCCGGAGACACGACAGGCATTGGAGTATTGACGAGGGTAGGAGGAGATAGGATGTGAAAGAACTTTCAGTTTCGGTGAGGAAGAGGAAACGGAGGCTAGCGAATGTCATATTCGAGAGCAATTCTGAGGGTCTATAAATCCAGGCTGAACAATAATCAACGAATTCAAAGCCAATGGACGATAATAGGAATTGTACCAACGATCGCCACATCGAACCCCCAACATAGTCAAGACCATCCCCCACATCTCTCCTACGAAAGGCTTGATAACATTTCGTAGCAGCGAGTAGAGTTTGAATAATCGCAATACTGGAACTGGGGAAGGATGCGTTGTCCGGGTTGGATTCCAACTATTGAAAATTTCATTCAGCGGGTCAGATCTACTCGAGCGCAGAGAGTCCGAAAAGATAGAAAAAATTCCGTCACCCGACTATTAATTCCTGAAGGCCTATGGTTCGCTTAGGTAGACGGGTTAGAAGCTTTGTAGTCCAGAAGAACGGTACATACCTCATGAGAGTGTGATTATGGACTAGTTCTCTGCCTGACTCTGCACTCGTGAGCCTTGGCGGCGGAAAGTTACTATTGGATCGTCCGCTAACTTGCCTGAAGGTGTTGGGATTACCTTATGACTGGAATCCGTGGAGAATTTACAGCAGGAAAATGAGGCGTAGATCCCTAACGTACGTGAATGCTGCAACGTGATAGCAATCTGTATGTTGTTGCTATATACGAGCCATAACGTAACGGCGGACGGTAGACTGAGAGGCTTCCACGATCGTGCAAATTTCAAAGCCCTGAAAAAGAGGTGCCAGAGATGCTTGAGGAAACGTGGCAGAACAAGGTGAGAGGTGAATGCAAGGCACAAGAGATAAAATGGTAAAGAACACACTAGCGTGTAGGGCTATTCATATCGCCTCCATTCATCGCCAGCCTTCCCGTATTCATGGGTGTGAGGTGATTATAAATGGCCAGTTGCGGACTAAGGGAAAAGGACTTGGACGTGCAAGAAGTGTGAGTGGAAGTCGGGACAAGTATGCAAGGGGCGATACACCAGCAGACTGAAAGTGAGAGGCTACACCTGAGCAAGAGAGGAATAAGTTTAGCTAGTAGTATACCGACCCGATAGAGAACCGTCAGTCATAATAGTGAGGTCTGAAGGGAAAACGATCAACGCCGATTGGTTGGAAAGAGATATAACGTTGAGGCAAGTTGCATCGCTCTCCCCATCGACTTCCACTGACTTGATGAAATGAAAGCGGCAACGACTATATATCAGTAGTATATTCCAAAGGAAAACTATGCAGCAACCTGACAGCACCAAAGATAAGCCATGTAATATAGGTATCGTCCCATTTATGTCTCTGTCGGCAAGATTGCACTGAAGAGCTCGGGAGAGGAGGTCGCAGTCAATGCGATTCGCAACTGGAAAGAATTTCTACGTGGTGACCTTAATAAATGCAAAGCTCAGCAAGATGAAATGTTAAACTAGCATGAGCAAAGAAAGACAGCCAATAGCAAGCCGACGACAGACCCGGTGAACGCGTCCAATCATCGATCGGTGTGATGTCACGCATCACATACACGTGCCCAGTCGCGTCGACGCATCTCTAGAGGTTTAACCGAGAACGTTTACTCGAGGTATAGACACCTCTCGTAGAATGGTGTGCGCCCAACGCCGTACTCGCCACCTTTACGCTGTCGTTTCGAAAACGTAACAAACATCATCTAAAGAACACTCAGGGTACCCTCGTTCTTCCGCGCATATACCGTAGTTTGAACAGATGCAGACATGTTTCTGCGCCCCTTCCTTGATCGAAAGGTGAAGCAACTGGATGTATTTTGATGGAAATGACAAGTCAAATTCTTGCTCCTGCGTTTAGAATGACTAGTAACCGAATTTGTACCATACCATGGTTTAATCAGTCTTCGAACAACATCCGCTCGTATTCTGGTGCCCAGTTCATCCATCTATGGTCCCTGTAACATAATAAATTTCAAAGCACTACGATCTAACAGCCATACTACTCACAAGGAGTCAAGTGCACTGGATACGTAGGAGCTCGAGATAAGACCTCGTGAAGCACATCGAGGCAACCTTTTCGCAGGAGGAATCAGGTTTCGATCTTCGTCATCCTCTATCACCTGGATAGAGGTAAGGGTATCAAAACGACTGTCGCAAAGAGCCTCATCGAGTAATGCCCAGGTGGAACTCTGCACTCGTCTGAATCCGTCCCATCCAAAAAGCACTATCTCCTGGAGGATAGTCGATGATACGGTGGAGAGAAGAGGCACGAGCCCGCCAACCTCTTCATCGAACGTGTTGTCCAGAAATAGACCAAGGCGTCGAAGCTCGGTATTATCCTGGAGGGTGATAAGGTCTACAGGGGAGTGAGCCCCAGATGAGCGATTAGAATGACAAAACTCACGCGTTAACCCGGTATTCTCGCGCTCGTGAAAATATATGAAGGCTTCCTCTAGTGAAGCGCCGGCAGTAGAAAGCAGCGATGAAGTTATATTTGCGTTTGTTTCAGTCCGACCTTCCCAACTCATGACCTGAATGTATAACCGTCTCACAGTGGACATGAACTCCGGGGTCCGCAGTAACGCACGATAGAGTGTGAACCAACCAGAATTCGGTGGCCTGATCGTTCTTCGTACACCCATGCTGGGTATGGCAGATTGCGCGTCAAGCCTGAGACTAGCAATGAATGAAGTCAAATGGCAGCGGGGTGGAGAGCATGCCCTACAACGAGGGTTGCTGTTAGGAAAATCCATGGGTGAATCTGCAAGCTCGAGATATCGCAGATGGGCTAACGTGTGAAGAAGCCTCTGTACGTCGGGAACACCAATACGTACGGCAAGGATCAACATTGTGACTGTGGAAAACGACGACAAGGCCCTATGTAGAGATTGGTGGGCGAAGATACCGGGGCATATGGATAGCTGTAGGGCACGGACATGGGGTAGCTTCCCAGCGAGATATATGAGTATTGAAGGCGGTCGAGATATAGCACTGCCGAACAAGTGGAGTGCGCGAATGTAATTAGCCAGATAGGGATTATTCTCCAGGGTCCTGAGGAATTTGTCATGCTGTTGCTTTCCCCACAACAGCACCGACCGATATAGATTATATCTACATCGGGGTAGTAGAGCCTTGCAAGTTAGAGCCCAGCTTCGCAGGGGTTTATAGTACCCACACCTATCGCCTGTTGCATTGAGATCATGGTGATATAGTATAAGCATGCCGCCGTAGTGGTCAAGGAAACGTTCGAGAATCTCGATAGGAAGCGCAAGAGCACAGGGAAGCTGGACATCGAAAGAATCGGATACCATCTCATGCAATGGAGTTACAAAGTCGTCTTAAGTGTATGCAGAACTTTGATAACCGGGCGCATTCAAATTTCGTGGGACTATTGATCATGACTAGTGACACTGTCGCTATATCTGGTAAGCCTCTAACCCAAAGAAGAGCGAGACAGGAATAATTGGCAATGCCAATCAGTAAGGATTAGCATGCTATCCACGAGGTTATGAAACAAAGCATCCAACTCCGGGACGATAGCGAGCGACGACCATCAACGTGATTCGATTTGCGCCTTGTCAATAGCCTCCGCAAAGAGGATTGACTCTCTCAGTACGCGAGATCCGTTCACACGTTCCAGACAGTTCAAATCAATGCCTTCGCAGATTACAAGCTGGTCCCATAGAGTTTGGCGTAAAAACGAGCTGTTTGACTTAACACTAGTATCAGTGGTGGGAACCGCATCGGAAACGAGACAGATCCCGTCTCGCGCTCGATCTGAAGGACTTGGTATTGCCACCACGGCAGTGATGCCATGAGATGCAAAGAACCAGTCACGCAAGGTAGTAGGCAAATCACTGTCGTCAGTAAATGGAATGCCGAGATTGGTCGCGAGCTCGCGAGCATAGGTGTAATCCATCCATACGCCCCAAATGAAATACTCCTGTTAAAGGAAGTTAATCAATAACGGTGGAAGCGAGAGCATTCAGACGTACTTCATTCGATACCTCCGATGGCGAAGCAGTACTGCGGTTAGGTGGTAGGGCAGGTGGCGAAGCGGAAGATTCAGGAGACATGGCAGGCATTGGAGTATTGCCCAGGGTATGAGAAGATAGGATGCGAAGAAACTTTCAGTTTCGGTGAGGAAGAGGAAGTGGAGGCTAGCGAATGACATATTCGAGAGCAAGCCTGAGGCTTTATAAGTCCAGGCTCCACAATAAGAAGTGGAGGCAGCGAATTCAAAGCCAATGGAGGATAATAGGAATTGGACAAACGATGGCCACATCGAACGCCCCCAGCATAATCAAGACCATCTCCCACATCTTTCCTACGAAAGGCTTGACGACGGCATTCCGTAGCAACGAGTAGAGTCAGAGTATTCATAACGCGAACACTGGGGAAGGATGTGCTGTTTGTCCGGATTAGGTTCCAACTTGAAGCAACTGGAGGCCGGGAACGCAGTAGAACTGAGGCGTATGTCCATAAGAAGAAGACCGAGTTTCGTTGCGAAGGACGCTGAGATTTTCCATGACAACCACAGTTTCGGAGAATGAGCTAAAACGGGGAGCCAAAACGGAGACGTAGCAGTGTTCCGAGTATGCCATAATTGAGATGTTGCCAAACTCGCCACCGAGCTTCCATTTCCAGCAGACCTCGTGTGAGAATAATTATTCTGGCCAACACACCATCGTATAGACCATGGAAACCAGTATGATGCATGGAGACGGTACGTTGAATGGAGGATCCATGGCTCACTTGAAGAGGCGCGGAATCTTGGAGATGCGAAATTATGATTCGTTGCGTGCCTAGATATTCTTCCAACGGGATGAGTGGTGCCAATTGTACCATCAGAGAACAAATAGGAAGACCAGCAAATGTTCAGAATGGCGACCTTTGAAGAACTCACCAAGGGTACGTTTAACAGAATATTATACTTTTCCCTTCGAAGAATTGAGGCGTTCAGAAATATATCAGCTATCGGAAATACTCATCGCAAGAAGAGAAAAACAGGGGAACAGCATTAGACAATTCCTCGTGTATCTGTTGTAGACTGAGGCTGTGTGTGCAAGACGAGTAGAATATCGAGAGGAAACCGTCGAAGTTGGAACGGGCGCGGAAGAATCCATTTTAGGATGCAGCGGCGCTAACCTATTCTGGATAAGATACGATTTCGGCGGTCTATCTAAAGAGCGGGGGAAGTCACTGCGTTCCTGCGCCTGGCAAACAGTAGAGGAAACATACGCACCTACGTACAAAACGACAAAATGCAAGCTATTCCCTGTGCACATTGGGACCTCTGATAACGTGAGGCACAATGATTGTCTTCACGGATCCACAGCTACACCTACCCTGGAGCATTCTACTCGCAAAGATTAGAAACTTGTTGGGCGTACGTACCAAAGTGTCTTGAAGAATCTCATTCTAAGGGCAGTCAATCTCACCAAATAATGCCCCTTTTTAATTACCTACCTATCATGTACCCCCCGACACACAACGACACGACCTTGAAGTGAACTTGCGGATATCATCATCTCCAAACGGACTACATGTTCTCGCCATCCCTACCAGCCACATCAAAGTTACCATTCGTGACGTGCACGGGAGTCGCTTCGAGGTGATAATGGGGTAAACCAATGGTCACCACAAGTAATCTGTTCTTATTTATCAGAAATCCATGGACATACCTTATTTCGTGGATTGTCGCAACCACTACGCAGTTCGCCCGTTCGCAGAGTTTTCTGGTTGGAGCAGGCAAGGCAGGGACAGGTCTCTGAGGACCAACACTGCGTCGAGGGTAAATTACGTAGACGCTTTGCCGTGTATCAGACGACGTCGTTGGAATCAGCTGAAGTTGTGAGAGCGATTCTGTCCTACGTCGAGTCAAGACCGAATTTTGCGCCTCGTCGACGCACTAATGTGAAGTTAAACTCTAGTGTTGGTACAATTTGGCCTTGGTCCGGAAACGGCGTGATGTACTGTATATAGTACACCTGTTCAAAGGAGCAGTCGGGACGAGTTGGCCTGGAAATTAAGTGCACGTTGAGACTTACGAGTTGTTTCAACAGCTGGCGAAAGTCAAGAATCGTGGATTGGTGAAACATTAACGAAGAGACCGTCAAGTATATTCAAACACAGCAAGGAAACACGGATGAGAGGGACGGATACACGTACTTGAAGTTGATGAAGTGAATTCTAATTCATTAGAAGCTCGGAAACCCTTCGAAGTCGCCGGAGCTTCGAACAATGAGTACTGGTTATTCGAGGAGGGAAGGGGAGGGATTATCCGTTCGGTCGCGCTGCAATGGAAAGACAGGCTAGAGTAAGTGAGTGCGAAAGCGCGGATGAGTGCTAAACGTTGAATTCTTGAAGCTTCGGTGTTCTTGAGCTTGAAGCATTGAATATTGAGAGGGTGTCCGTCGACGTACTAGAGATTCGATGGAAGCCATTCGGTTAGACATTGTTTAAGTGAACGTAAAGATGACCTGATCTCGTTGAAAGTGAATTCTAACTGACCCCCGAACTGATATTGTGATGCCGGAGGCCCAATAGAAACAAGTCGGCAAGTGTATGGTGGCAGCGTCCAAATAAACACGCAGGTCAATTCGAGGTGGTCTCAAGGTGAACGTGGTTGGTGAAGCTTCAATATTCAATGCGCAAGTTAGAGCTGGGGCGGAGGACTGTGTGCGCAGATGTCTCATAGTATGTCGCCGAAACCTATGGGGACAAGGGTAAACAAGTTTCGGCACGGATCAGCTACTCCACGAATAGTACATAGAAACATTAAGATAATAATGTAAAGAAGGGAGCAGACGCACCTTGAATGCAAAATCGGCAGGTAATCTGGTATCCTCATCTTCTCATACACTCCCTACTACTCCGTGCATACAGGCCCTCGTGCGAAGACTACATTGTACCCCATATAGCGTCGAGACGTATCGAAGTGCCGCGGGACATCAATGAGTCATTCTCGTCGAGAGGGCGTAAGGGTAAACATGGTTATAAAGCGAGGTTCAGGTCAGATAGAGGACTCCTGCCCAGACCAATCGTAGTGGGTCGCCAAAGTCCGGAAACAAGGGAGAACAAATCCTGCAAGAGGATCATAATTCAAAACAAAAGAGAGGATGCACCTTGGAAATGCAACCTCGACCAATTGCAGAATACTGATCAACAGGATGCAGTTCGAGTGAGAAACGGCAGCCCGGTCAATCAAGTGGCTTTAGAGCTAATAAAGCCACCTGATCGACTGTGTCCTGCGGTCATGCACAGACTGAGCCGGTTCACATACCTGGTACTAAGTAACGTTAGACATAGACTCGATCCTGACGTGCCAACGGGAACGTGGATGTGCGTGTTGGCAGAGGATCGCGAGGCAACGTTGAATTCGAACGATCGAACCTTGTGACGTCACGGCTCACGGCCACGTGCTCGATCGCGTCGACGCGTCTGTGAATCGAGTTTGGATGTAGCTAGCTTGTTCTCTTGCAGCCAATGCAACATGCCTCCGAAACGCGAAACCACCTCTCGCACTCGATCAAAACCCTCCACCTCTTGCAATGACGTCGACGCGTTGGCAAAGCACCTGGCGTCAGGACTGACACTGAAGGGGAAGCAGAAGGCCGTCAACGCCGAGGACACCAGAGTAGCGGCGATGCGAACGGTGAACGCCGTCTCCAAACAGCTCTCTGCACTCTTAGACAAGCCGTCGAGTCGAGTGACGGTGAAGATCGGAGATGCTCGGAAGGGACTTCGGATGTTGAGGGAGGATGGACGATCGGGTGTGGACGTGGAGAGAGCCGCGTCCAGTCTGGTCGCAAAGCTCGTTGCCCTCAACAAGGTATGTCTCTCGCGTTTCTATTGTGTTGTATACACATCTCATTGGCATTAGCACAACGACGCGCTCTCTCTTCTCTCAGATATGCACCCTGCCCTTGTGGCGCTCTACCACCCTGGTCCCTGTCCATCCTCTCTTGCTTCTCTCCCTCTCCCTCCCCCGTCCGACTCGGATGTACTTCTCCCTCTGCTTGCCTCCTATCTCCTCCACTCTATTCAGCTATCCCCACAATCTATCCTCTCTGCCGACAATACTTTGTTCCACTGGATTCCGTACCTGCCGTCCAAACTACTCGACGGCATCCTCACCAAGGCTTATTCTGCCCTCTCCAAATCAAAGTCTCAGGCTCAAGATTCTGATGGCTTTACTGTCCGCATCTATGCACTCAAGTGCCTTTTGCATACCTCGATCGGCGTGCTCAGTGACCCTGCCAAATTCTGGTCTGAACTACTCAACGTCCTCTCTTCCTTCTCTCCATCTGTAGCGCCTTCCCTCGTTCTTTCTGCTCTCGGCGACATCGTTTCTCTTGTACAACAACGCTCAGATGCGCCAGCATTCTTCGCTGCGAGTACTTGGCCCAGAGTCGTCGATGGCTGGTGTTCCATGGCGAAGCAGGTAGGTCACCTTATTGCTATCTCTTCGTCTACTCATGCTGACTTGCATTTGTCTTTAGGCGGCGGATATGACGGCTCTCGCGCGTATGTCTGGTCTGCTTCCTTCCTCTTCGACCCCCTTCACACAGCACACGACACCTCCTCAACTCGAGGATGCACATGAAGCAACGGCGTCAAGCGAGGCAGAGAGTGCGAGGTTATGTACCCTCCTCGCTCGATTGGAAGTTTCGTTCTCGAGCGAGGGACATGATCTCCCACATGACCTTGGTACGTTCTCTATATGTACATATTATTTATTGTTCATTTTCTTTCGTTTAGACAGCAGCGAGGTGATCGTCCAAACGCGACCCTTCCTCTCCGCCAACACGAAATGGGCAGAGAAGGTCTACAGGGCTCTCGAACGCGTTCGTCGACTGGTGTGCAAATCGCTCGAGTCCAACCAGTCGCAAATGCACGCCAGTGCACTCGTCAAATGCATCGCAGACGTTCTGACCAGCATACCGGTAAGGTCTCTCCAATCACTCCTCTTCTGTCTGGAGTTCTAACGCAACGGCACCCTACAGAACCACGATTCAAGAATCAAGTCAAGTGCCCTCGACACATTCTTTACACTCGCACGCACCACGGCTACATCCGCGCTATCTGACCCCACGTCCACCTTTGACGAACCGTTCCACTTGCTTGACCGTGCCCGACGACTACTCTCTTCGTCATCGTCATCCGAAGAACTTCTCATTACAGATGATCCAAACTTGGACCCGGAGCACGTGCGAATGCTGGCCAATGCGTACTATGCACTCGCCGGGACGCTATACAAGGCGTCGAAATTCGACTTTGCGGTGAGGTTCTTGGAGCGCGCTTGTCGATGTTCCTCCGTCGCCCTCCGTCTTTTTGACTCCCGTCCACGCAAAGACGTCGATGCGGGTGAAGAGAATGAGAATGAGGGCGAGAGCGAGGGATGGAGGTTGTTGAGGGAGACATTGTATAAACGATATGAAGTCCTCGGGGTATGTCATTCCAAGACTGGAGACCGGAAGATGGCCTATGAGGCATTCGTGAACGCCATTGCCGCATTCCCCTACAACACTCGGGCTTCCGGGATGTTGTCGACGTCGACGTCGACGTCGGGATCGTTATTGTTGGATAGTCAAGTGGCGACGTTGGTGGATCGGGTGACGTATATGGGGACGTGTGAGTTGTTCTTGGAGCCAAAGGAGGTGTCGTTGAGAAGCCGCATGAACAATCATTGTCAACTGGCGATGATGTCTGCGTCTGCGACTCGGATGTCTCGTTCCAAACGGCCTCTGCAGGCACAGGCTACCAGTGTGACACGAGCTAAAGCAAAGGGCAGACCTGGCGCGAAACGCGCTGAAGCCGAACCCGAGAAGAGTGTTGTGGATGTGGACGATCAGAGGAGACTATACACAGGTGCGATACTGGAACGGCAGATGGACTCGCTCGATGCGAGTCGGTATAAGGGATTGGTGAGGAAGACGATTGGGGTGTTGATTGAGGAGGCGTTGGAGGTGTATTCGGGTGCGAGGGATGGTGTGAGGAGAGCTGGTGCGCTTGTGAGGTGGTTGGAACATCACTATTATTCACCGGCTGAAGAAGACGAAGAGGGAAGACGGGTGGAGGATGTGGTAAAGGAAGTTGAGACATTGCTCTCCGACTCGGTATTTTTTTTCCCTTCCTTCGTTCAAAGATCTTCACTGACTTCATCTTGCAGTCCCCACCGTCCGAACCGAACCCTGTCGTCCTTCAATATCTCGCTTCGGCACATTTATGGCACGCGCTACACACTCATAAACAAAATGACGCCACCCAGTTCCCTCGTGTCGTCGACCACGCAGAAGAAGCTTGCAAAGTCCTCAAGACCCTCCTCGCACAAACGCCTTTACAACCTCGACCCAGTCAAGCGCAGAGATTCTCCTTGCCCAGGGTCTCATTTGGCTCTGGTTCCGGCACGAAGAGGTCACCTGTGAATGGGAGAAAGGTAGCCGGCAGTGGATCACCATTAACAAGGAGAGTTGGACATTCGCCTGTGAGTAGGAAAGTCGTCGGGTCGCCTGCGTCCCCGAGAGTGAGGACAAGGGCTCAGTTGGTTGTGCCTGCTGCGCCGACGAAGAAGGGTAGGAGGAGCAGGATTGCTGTTAGTACTCGGAGTACGAAGGCTGCTGCTGCTGTTGCGACGTCTTCGAGAACGACGAGAGGTATGAGGAGTGGCAAGGCGGCTGAGGTTAACTCTGTTACGCCAAAAGCAAAGAATTGTGAGTATCCCTCGTTTCGATCTTTTGAATGCGTCGAATTAATCCTGACATTCGGCAGCTCTGGACCCGTCAATGTCCGCTCGACCTGTTGCTAACGAATTGAAGACATCACCCAAGACTACTACAAGCCTGGAGATATTACCGAAATTGTTAGATTTGCTTCGTGAGTAGTCCTCAGTTCGCGCCAGTAAGGCTGAACTGACATAAAATGAATCACATAGGTATGGTCTCAGAGCTCCTTGGTCTACTAGGCCATGTCATCACGCGAATCCATGTCCTCAGCGTCATTAGACGACTATCCGAAAGGAACTTGGCTTCTCAGCCTGATGGTTTGTCTCTTATACACGGCCCCGACCATAAGCAGGTCCTGACTTGCATTTTTGGAACAGACCACGTCCGGGCTTCGATCGACCTGGCGCATGAGTACGTCAAGCTCGGCAAGACTCAACGAGCTGCAAATGTTTATTCGCATGTATACAACGTCGCGAAGAATGCTCTCATACGGAACGAGACAAGAATTCTGTATTATTTGCGATATGCCGAGTTGTTTGGGACTGTTGGAAATGTTTTGAAGAGGTGCGCGGAGTTGGCTTGATTTGTGGACTAGTTCTTGACACTAACATCATTGTCTCTCTCATCAGCTCGAGTATTTACTGCGAAGCCACAGCTATGGCTGATAGACTTTTGACGTCAGAAAAAGGTTTGTCTACAGCGCAGAAGATCACGGCAAGGGTCTCGACGCTGGAACGTGCAGCAGTCGCAGCAAGCACATTCGCTGTCATCCAATATTCCAAGGTAAGAGTGGTTCTTTTTTCCGCTGTTTATGTGCAACCTGAGATAGATGGACATGAAGGACGACCCTACAACGTCCCTCAATGGCCTCCTGCAATCACTTCGACTATACCATCGTGCAATCGACACCCTCATCCGTCTTCTTCCGCCTCCGCCTACCTCTGCAAAAGACACTACAGACTCTTCCAATCCCTTCGACATGGCCTCTATGAAAGCCGCCTTACCATCCGCGGAGGAGACTGACAACTCTAAACCACCCCCGCTCGACCAACCACAGCAAAAACCTTTCCCACAGCGCAGCTCACTCTCCTCTCTCGAGCTCCGAATTTCCTCCGGTCTCCTCTCTACCCTATTCTCACTCACCCAGGCTTACTTTGCTCGCGGATCAGCACGAGAAGCCGAGTACTTTGCATCTCAGGCACGCGATCTCGCAGAATCGTTGCATGCACCAGCGATGATATGTCGTGCGCTCTCACGTATGGGCGAAATCAAGCTGAGGATGGGTAAAATCGATGAGGCCCATGAGTGTTTATCAGAAGCTGCGGCGCTGGTTAGTGACGTTGGAGTTGAAGCTGTAGATATTGCGCGTTTGAGAGGGGAGGTGGTGATGAAAGTTAGAATGGAGAGCGGTGATGAGGTCGATCAGGCCAAGGTTATGTACGAAGAAGCGATAAAGATGTTGGAGGAACTCGATCAGACGTTTTCTGCTCTGGACGGCTCGCCGGGGCATGTATTTTGTCCTTTGAGTCATGTTTGCTTGCTGACCGTAACTTAGACCTAGGAAATCTTTGGGTAACTCACCGCTTTCTCCCCGACAGGCCAGAGAGGAGGCTTTCGCGCCGTCGTTGCTCGTTGCTGTCCTTCGGCAGAACAGTAAGTATAACCTAGGTCTGCTTTACAGCCTTTTCGCTAACAGTTGGCCAGTTGCACTGCTTCATGACGCTGGAGAAGAATATAAGGCGTTGCTGGAGAGGCTCCGTTCTCTTCCGGCTACATCGGAGACAAAGGTACCGAACGGTTCTTCTACGTCCTATTCGATAGCTCATTTGACATATTCTAGGCGGAGGAGAATGCTCTGTTGGCGAAGTTAACGCTAGATGATGCCTATGCTCGATTCCGTGCCGATATGTTCCTCAGCTCGTTGGCCGAATCCCGTAAGAGTCTCTATTATCAACCATTGCTTCATGCGAACACTCAGATGATTTTTGTAATAGCTATTAGCGTACCCATGGGGATGACTGGCGGACGATTTGCGTCCTCGCCCACGACACAAGAAATCCTCGGCACTTTGAACGCTGCGGAGAAACTTTTCTGGTCCGATTTGGCCCTTGTCGCTCGCAGAGGGAACGTCTCACACGTACGGGATTCCGTGATATCGCTGGCCTTGATCAGAGCATTCCAGACTTCCTTGGGGAAGAGCGGAAAACAGGGTGCGACACTAGCTGCGCATTTGCTTGGTACCTTATCTTTTTTTCGAGCATGAACGATGTGTCACAGCACTGACTCGCTTTGCAGACTCCTCTGCTGCCATCACACTCGGGCGAGAGATACTAGAAGCCATTCAACACAAATTCCCAGGCGTATGGAACGATGACCTCCAATGGCCGTTGCTCACTCCGAACGGCACCGTTCTGCCACCTCCGGCGACACGCAAGACTAGAGTTCTCAGTTTCGATTCGGACGACGACGATGACAACATACCCGACGAGGCAGCGTCCAGCAAAGTGTACTGGGACTACATTGCATCCAGATATCAAGCCCAAATCTATGGTCCCGCCGCGCTCTCTTCCTCTCCAACTGATTCACTTCCGCCGAACTGGACTGTTGTCACCCTTAATCTGACGTCAGACGAGAATACTCTATTTCTCACTCGACAGCGTCCCAATTCGGAACCTCTTGTGTTCTGCGTGCCTCTCAAGAATCGTCGAGAGGCCGACGATGAGGAAGAAGACAAGTTGACCTTCCAAGATGCGATGAATGAGCTGCAGGAGATAATCAAACTCAGTGACGAAGGAACCAGGGACGCTGTCAAGGTCAAGCGTGATGACAAGAACGCCAGAGCGCAGTGGTGGGCGGTAAGAACAGAACTGGACAAGCGATTGAAGACGTTCCTGGAGAACCTGGAATTCTGCTGGTTAGGCGCGTTCAAGGTAAGCCCCAATACTGTTGGATGTGACATGAAGGAGCGCTGACATCCAGCGTCCCGATTCAGACGATCCTAAGTGAACCAACCACACTTTCCTCAGACGTCTTGTCGACATTCCGTGGTCGTGTCGAAAAGATCTTCAAGCACAGTCTTCTTCGGAACCAGCAGGACAAGAAGCAGCTAGCTGGGATTCGTCTCTCCAATACGCTGCTGGAATGCTTCAGTGCGCTCTCCCCTACTTGCGATTCTGAAGAACTTGAAGACATCGCATACTTTGTTCTCGATCTGTATCAATTTCACGGCGTGCCGGTTGCGTCGTCGGAGATTGACATAGATCACGTTACGGTTGAATTACGCTCCGCTCTCGAAGAACTCAATGCCATAAAGGCGAAGACGCAGACAGTCCAGAGGACCGACGAACATATGTTCTTAATTCTTGACAAAAACCTGCAAGGGATTCCTTGGGAAAGTATACCCATCCTCCGCGGGCGGAGTGTCAGTAGAATACCCTCTCTTTCTTTCCTTTTGGATCGTCTCGCGCTGGCCCGATTCCAGCGCGGGAAAGCACTCGACTCTCCTACTTCTGAACATCTCGATCGCATCCTCGTCAACCCGCGCAAGACGTATTTCATTCTGAACCCAAGCAGTGACCTGAAGAATACCGAAGGCCGTTTCGCACCGTGGTTGAAAGAAATGAAAAAAAGCGTCGGCTGGGACGGAATCATCGGTCGCGCCCCAAGTGAGCAGGAATTTGTGGATGCATTGAAACGAGAAGACTTGGTCATGTACGTGTAGCATTCATCGGCTTGCCTTTTTTTAACTGTTGACGCTCGATACATAGCTACTTCGGCCATGGCGGTGCGGAACAGTACATCCGCTCGCACAAGGTTCGCCACCTTCCACGCTGTGCTGCAACGATGCTCTGGGGTTGTTCGTCCGGCGCATTGAGGGACATGGGCGACTTCGATCGGGTTGGCACGCCGTACAACTACATGTTAGCCGGGTGGTAGGTGATAATGCTATCGTCGTGTGTTGATTATTAACGGTTGTTTCCCTTAGTCCCTCGCTGGTTGCCAACTTATGGGATGTGACTGATCGGGACATCGATAAATTCTCACAATCAGTCTTCGACAAGCTTCATATGACCGCTGATGAGATCCTTGCGAGTAAAACTGGCGAGGAGGAGTCGATTGTGAGGGCAATTGCGCAGTCGCGAGACTCGTGTAAGTTGAAGTATTTGACGGGGGCTGCGCCGGTCGTGTATGGCATTCCTTTCTATCTCTGAGCTACTTAGGAGAAGAAAGAGGATATTCGCATCTTATTTACTACTCGCATTTCTTGCTGTACGGTTGATAGTAGAAATTCGAGCAATTTTTGATTTTATTAAGATTTGTATTTATGGCCTGGTGGTCTAGTAGTATGATTCCTTCTTAGGGTTTGCCCATTTGGAGGAGGTCCCGGGTTCAATTCCCGGCCAGGCCCATTTGAAGTTGAGGTCGATTTTTCCCGGACTAACCGCTCAATCTAGTACTTGCAGATACTTCCCTGTAGGAGTGAACCGCTATCGAAGAAGTTTTCCCCATTCGCAACGCTGTACGCCAAACTAGGCTACCGTTCGTACTGTACATGCTAAAAAGCTAGGCTACATACATCGTCTGAGGACCAGACCAGTGAATGTTTCCGGGACTTAGTCTAAAGGGTTTGCACAACTTGAACCTCTTAGTCTCCTTATCATGATGGTGCGTATACCTTGTGAAGCTCATTCGAGCAATAACTCTTGGCGACCAGTGTTATTAAATAGACTAGGTTTCTTACCGGGTATAATCTGATATATCCTACCGGCGGGTTGGCCATAAGTAAGAATGCAAACGCGTCGTCCATGCTGAGTCGTTTCTGTTCAGCGTTTCCTCACCAAAGTCATCTGTGCCATTACAAGGCTCTCCATTCCTTATCGGTGCGTGGCTGTTTTCACCGTATCGACACGAGTCTCGCTTGACATAATGCATGTAGCGAGTCCGACTAGCAGGAAATGAAGAATGACTGTCAAGCTGCAAGCACGTTCTATTGTTTGTCAAGCGTGAGCTTGTAAGCTTGGTCGGCTCGTCGTCAAGCAAGTACCTCGAGCTCCGCCGTAGACAAAAAGCTTAAACTCTAAGTACTCGACTACTCCGAAATTTGAACTTGGATCGCTCCTCTCTCTCACCATCCACCCATCTGACAGCTTTGACCTCCACGACGTCATCGAAAACAATACGTGTTGTCGCTTGGCAAAACCACTCACTCTGTACACATGCCCCGCACTCGACGTCATACTTTCTATTGTCGGTCGTTCCGCCCTCTTAATCCGAATCCAAATCCGAGTTCCCGTATGCTTGCCTTTCTTGTCCGCACAGGTCCAAGCGACACTCGGTGGACTGCATTGCATCACGATGGACGTTCCAAGGGACTCCGAACATCATGATCAGCCATGCTACACGTCTGCTGCGCAGGTCTGACTCGGACGGAGGTTGAAACCCCGCTCAAGGCATTGCCTCCAGCTTATGCCGTGTCCCCGGTGTTGTTCTATAAACTGCATGTATCGACAAATGCAAATTGATGACAATTACTTACTTGCCATCGACATATGAGTTCTGGCGAAAGATCCGAACGCCACCGACAAAAGGTCAAACCAATGAATTGTCTGGAAAAACGATCCAAAGTTACGATGAGATGGCTAGGATACAACGTAATATGAAGGTATTGCAGTAAGGGGGGACGTAGCTCGAAGCAAAAGAAGTAAAGCAAAGCAAACGACGAGTACGGAAAATGATGAGTGAGAGACGGAGACGGAGACAGAGACAGAGTAGTAAGGTACCTGTGATCATGCATGCCCAACAGAAACGGGAAAAAAGTGAGACCGAAACCAATATCGATGCCCTATCAACCACTGGGATCAGAAAGACCGAGTAGAGGAAAGGGAAACGGGGCGGAACGGGATGTGAATGTGAAGAAGAGGACTGCAAAATGACCTCGTAACTGCTTCAGCGTCGTCATAGTGTCAATTGCGCATAAAGGGGGAAAGGCACAACGAACAGGAAGGTAATAAAAAGGGGGCCCACTCTCCGGAGAGAGCGGGTAAAATAAAGAAAGGTAAGACCTATGGAACACTGAATGGAAAATAAGGGCTGAGGGTTAGAAGCGGAAGAATAATAGTTGAGCTAAGAGTACAGAGTTACATTGATTGGGATGGTAGTTGCGTGATGGGGGTAACTTGGATGATTGTTCGGAGGGGTCGTTAACGGTCATGAAAGTGATAACGAACGAAACCCTGGCAAAAACAGAATGCCAACGTTCGTCCTGCCAAATTGCCGACAAGATGATGAGCTGACGCCCACATCTGACAGCGAACACACTCAGAAGCCGCCGAAGCAACCCATGTCAGGGACAGGCAGCGAACAGCCGTTGAGCATACTCTTTTCTGAGAACGTCTTATACCTTGGCTCGAGAGGGGAGACTAGGACGTCTCCTGAAGCAGCAGCAGACGCTGACGGTGGACTCGAAGAGGTTATTGGCGGATGTCCTCGAGTGCGTTTTGGACGGGTCGGTGAGAGATGTCTTCTGCTATTCGAGGAGGATGAAGGGATGGGACGTGGCGACGAAGAATTCGACGACGTCGGCGTTGTGGGCGACGTTGAGGGGTTGGAATTCGACGGAGGGTATGTTCGCGGGTGTGGCAAGAACGACGACTGTCTGCTGGATATCGGTGATATGCAAAGCGTTGAGAACTCTAGAGAGATAAGAAGACAAGCGTGAGAAGACGCGTCACAATTACGCGCTACTGCCAGTGCATACCTAGCGAAGCATCCGCCGACGGGGGACTTGTCGCGCCATCGGACTCCTCAGACTCTGACGACGAAGAGAGGTCAGGTATGAGTGGGGGAAGAGGATGGAAGTAGGCAGTAGGGGTCGCTTTGGGAGTCAGGTCATTATCTTCGTCGTCTTCGTCCTCATACGGATATGATGCCTGCACATCCATACGTGCGCGAGGGTGAAGATGCTTCCCAGTGTAGCCTCGACTAGAGGTTGATAGCCTGTGGGAGGAAGATGAAGAGGAGGTTGCAGAAGGTGCGCCCGGCAAATAGGTCCTGCCCGGACAACCTCGCTCAGGTAACGAACATTGATTTGGCGAGACGACGATAGGGGAGCGGTCGTATGTGGAGGGGGAGTGTGTCTTGAAGGTACGCGTGAGAGTCGGTGAAGGGGGGAAGCGGACAAGAGGGCTGAGGATAGAGGGGTCGATTGCAAGGAGCTGACCTGACTCGTCACGGGTGAGGGACACGGCGTACTCGTGCTGGTGGGGAGTGGTAGAGGACCGCTTGAGGATGGGCCGGGGACAGGGACAATATGTCTGAGGCATATTGGAGGCTGGCATAGTATGTTCGTAGACCTTTGGAGGACAGTAAGCGAGGAGGAGGGTATAGGACGTTGATTGAGGCGCAAGGGTAGAAGGAAAAGGAGATGAGACGGAGGCGAGTCTATATGCGAAGGCACGTAGAAGCGTGAGGCACTTCTGAGCCGGAGAAACCACCGAGGCTAGCAAAGGAGATCCATCTTGAAGCAATTAATAGCTGAGCAGAGGGCAACACACGAGAGCTGGTGATGGTCCAAGGGAAACCCCCAGCGCCACCTGTGAACTGCAATTTTAGACGCTCGGATGCTCTTTAGCCGCCCGCGACCCCTTCCGAAGGCTGAACTCATTTCACCGCCCGGCCTGCCTAATCCGGCCATTCCTCTGTGGGTGGCATAAACCACGCACGTCCGTTCCGGTCCCTCAACGCCTCTCCCGACGCTTTGCAGAGCGCTTTGCAGCCCCCCGACTTTGCTTCAGCCTCCATGCTCTTCACGCATGCCTCCCTCGAGACGGGCAGATGCCCGGCCTGTCGTGCCATTCAACCATCAGACACGAGTTCCCTGCCCGGCCGATAAATGACTGTCTATTTCCTTCTCCTATGCTTCGCAACATCTCGATTCAAGCTTCCACTTGCCAAACACACCTTTTTCGCCTGGGTATCTCTTGGCATTCGAACAACTTCGTTTTCGCTCTCGATGCTTTCCGCTCCTGTCTCGCGAAATTCGCGCATTCTAGATCCTATTCCAGCATGTTCGCCCCTCTGTGTCCTCCTATCTCACGTCCTCCCATTCCCTCGCAGACTCGCGTGTACGATGCCATAATCGAAGTATTCCTTTCCCCATATGTTTCTCATCGATTCATCACTTAGCTACAACTCTGCCTCCTGCCCTATGAGCTCATAGGCTTCCAAATGCTTTTCCCCCAAATCTTCTCGCGCGCGTTTACAATCGAATTTTCTATCGTATCAACACTATCGCGCTAGGCATTTCCCTTGCTCTCTCATGATACATCACTATAGAAAAACTTTACTTCCAAAACACTAATCTCTCTCTTACCGAGTCGTCATTGATAAGGCTTCACTCTCACACCTCCCATTCTCCGCCTAACATTAGTGTATGCATGTCATCTACAATTACACGCCTCATATCTCGCCATTGCACTTTCCCCGAGCGACCAACAGTCTTCCTGCTGCTCCGGTGCGGTTTGCTATTTGCCACCTCCGTTGTCGCCGGTCATTCTAATTGGTCCCTTCAGTCTTCTCTGACCTGGCAGTTATTAGCACAACCCGACCTGTTGTCGGAGTATTGACAATAGCAAGGCGTCTTCCTGGCACGTTTCTCAGCTCTATCTGTATTCCGCTGTCTATTTTCTGCAACTGGTGGGACCTATCAGTCATTCCATTCACATCTCTTCAACGTTTCTCTATCGAGGCGACTCTAGAATCGCTTTCCGTATTCAAACGCGCAGTCCAGCCGCGCGAAGTGCAAAGATTTCACTACGGCGCTGGAAAGGATCATTTGCTGCCGCGCTCGCTCGAAGGTTCAGTCAGAAGATACTACATGCTACATGCAACAGAAAGGCACACTGGTTTGATGAACTCTACTTGCATTGCTCTCAATGTGAGCGTATACCCAATTATGGGTAAACCGCGTTCGGTGCCTTTTCATTCCATGCCGGCAACTTTCAACCTGCGAAGGCGTTCATTCACTCTACTTAGGCGACCAACCTTCGCTTTCACGTTCTCGCTTTCATCAAAGCCTATCGTCACGTTTCGCCCTTCTGACCGTGCCCAAACGTTCACATACAACCCAAATCAAGCTCAACTGTCGGCATTCCCTTGGCAAGAACCCTTCATATCTTCATAACTCGCAGTCAACCGTCAATGCTTTTCATTAAACTCAATGGTGATTACTGATTCTTGGTCTCTTGACAGTTCATTTGCTTCGAACCGCCAAGCGTTTACCTGATCTACCCCAAGATGTCTATGCCTTGACAACTACCCTCTTTCGGACCATAACACAACTCTGGAGATAACAAGGTAACAAGCGGGATCTCTCATTCAAATACTTATAGCTCGTGTCTGATGACCTCGGAAACATCCCATCTGTCTCTTTAACTAAAACTTCCCTCCACTTTGCGGCGTTACTGGGCCTTACTCTCCCTCGTTCATTCAACTTTTGACCAGCTGGTCTGTCCTCTTGACTATATACTGCTCGTACGATCATGATCGACCGACTCAATCCCCAGATCTGTGGGTTGTACGGCTTTTTAGGATCTCTTTTTGGTCGCCGTGATCTCCACTCTCGACCTTCACGAGGTGTTAGAAGCTCCAAGTTCCGTTGCTATAGTAAGACACATCCTTCACTCTGACCTGTCTTATGAATATCCCGTGTTAACGCTGTTCCTGTAGATCGACACGCTCCTTCTCCTTATACTCCACTATGCCTACTTTCTGCTCTCTACCCTCCCATTTGGCCATGATGCCTTTCGATCCGCTTTTGGGGTATCGTAAGCTATTTGTCTCGCTCCTTGATCCTGCTTAGATGGGTAACCGGATGGTACGACGGCATTCAAGGTTCTCATGAAAGTCGTGACAGGTTGTCTTGGCCGCAGTCAGTCGTGAGTAAGCCTTCGTTATTGCAGCTTCGCCATTGCAAACATCCTTTCGGGCGTGTTTTCATATCCCACCGCTGGATCTCTCAACTAGCTTCAATCCGATCCCTCCGCCACTATCACTCGAACGCGCTCATGTCCTGCCTTCGGCACATTCAAGATATCAGCCTCCCCAACGCTTTCAGCTGACCTTCGAGCGTTGGACTCTGCGTCTCCGCTTCCTATACTATTCTCGGGAACTATTCAAACACTTTCCCCGTTCCGTCTGTCTCAATGGAATGGCCGTCCTACGATCGTGATCGAACTTCGGCCCTCGCTTCCTAGCGTTCGCACCCAATAGCGACCGACGACCCGTTTCTTCCACTTTGCTGCCCTTATCGGGAACCAGTCCAAGGTTTTGAGCTCCGGATCCATATCTCTGTCGTCTGGTCGAAGAAGTGGCTCCGAGGGTGGCGGCTCTACATCGTGGTTTCAAGCCTCTGGTAGATGGTACCTGTTCGCCTTTTGCTTTCGGAATCGTGTTAGGTGTGCTCAGGCTGGACGTGTTCCGGTCTGTTTCATCTTGTTCGCCCCGGTTGACAGTCGCGCTCGAGCTTCGTCTTCACTTGCGATGCTAGCCCCTCTGATACATGATCGTTTATCCGTACAAAGACGAACGTGCGCAAATATGGTCAAGCTCCACCACATTCAAACTCTCGTCTTCGGCATGGCATCTACTCAATAGTGCCATTTAATATCTCTAGTCTTCTGTTCCGCTCCATCGTATCTCTCATCTGAGATGGTAACTTATAGTGCTTCGACATCCTGCTCGTCCGCTCCCGCCCGACATGGACTTCGACGCGAAGCTGACTGTTGGTTACAATCACATGGAGTGTGTTCTTCGTCGCCATTGGAGGAAGAATCTCGGGAGAGATGATTGGGTTGGGGGGGAAGGCGGGGTCCTTTCATTCTACTGTACTGGAAGCAACGATGTATCGGAAGTCCCTAGGTTTCATACGATCCTCATTATGAATTGCCAGAAGCAAGCTGTTCCGTTCAGAGCCACCAATCATTCCTTCACACATTCTATACTCTAGTTATTCAAACTCAAAGCATATGCACCCATATGCTTCGCAATTCATACGCCACTTCTCGACGAACCCCGGTCCGGCTGTAACCCATGCCCTGCGAAGTTCATTCACTCAGTGTTTCCACCTCTCCTCCGTTAGTACTCAAATTCGTGCGTCCTTTCTCGCACTAATGCTCTTCCCCAACGTGCTCGTAAACTCAAGGCATTCCTACGTGCCGTCTCATGACCCTGTCACCATGGCTTGTATCTCATCGGGGGGCACGGGTATCTCCTGGCTTATCTTCGAAAGTGATATACACTGAACAGCTGACTGAGGGTCGCAATGGCCACGTTGCGAATGACAATCACGTCCTGAAAGCCTTTGTTGGATGGTGTGATGGAGGAAGGAAGCTCTAAGCGGGTCGGGTAGCCTGAACCCGGATTACCCACCTTCTCAGTTCTACTGCATTGTTCTGATTGGTCTGCGCTATAATAATGATAACATATGTTCTTACTTATGACGTCCGGCAGTTTCTCCCGATAGTCAAGAGAAATCGAACTCGTAGCTCACTCTTTGAAAGACGAAACTGCGCCGCTAGCGATAGTATAGCGGACTAGGCCACAAGATGGGGTTTCGGGCACGAGAAACAATAGTGTCCTACTCGCCCAAGACCATCCTGCGGGCCAAATTGAGTGAGACGTGTAGATTCTGAGTTGATAGTGAGTTAGAGATCTTGTGTACTAAAAGCCACACCTCAGTTAGTTCAGGCTGGATATTGAATATAGAGCTTGACACACGATAGATCTTGGAAAGATACCCTGGGGAACAAACTTGAGAGAGAAATCGAAGGCAAGATGAGGTACGTCTTCGATACCATGTCACAACTGAGCATGTCTCCCACAGCACACGAACGTCCTCATTATGGCACGACAAGTGGATTCGTATGCCGAAGTCATGAATGGCATTAAGGGAATGGCCCGAGAGATGATACACAATAATACAGAGGACGAAAGGACTACGCATAATTTGACTTGTCCTTCGTTCGCTCAGCAGCTATAAACATTCGATTCAGAACCTATGAGTAAGCATGATATGAACAATCACGCACGGTTATATTGCAACAACTTTTCGATCAAATCTACGTGAGTGAGGACCATCCGGCGACAGCAGTATCGTTTCAGTTGGAGTTGATCGAGTGCGTCTCTATTGAAAACAGAGACGAAAAACAGAGACGACAGTAATCAGTCAACTGGACATAGGGATGTGAGTGCAAAGAGTAGTACGAACCCCTCGGCAACATCAGCAGCGAGAAGTTGCAGGTATGTGTTCCATTTGTCGCCGACGACCTTTCCACATGAGAAGCACCGCACTGGAATAATCTAAAAACATGGTCTGTATAATCTTTGAAAGTGTTCTGTAGGACGTGCGTACCATTTTGGTGAAAGAGACCGTCGAAGTTGAGTGCTAAGGAAGGCAGTATTAGACGCTGAACCTTTTCGATCACTTGTCAGCGCTTATGGAGAGAACTCCAACGATCTTCAGCAGAGATCGCTGTCGCTGGTATTAATCTCAGCTTGACCATCTATAAGATTCATACGCCTGGCTATTGAAGGTAAGTCTGCCCTGGCTCCTATGGAGACCTCCTTAGAGACGGTGAATGTTTACGTTTTAACCGAGCTGTAACCTGTTGTCGATTTTCTAACAGTTCTCATTCAACTGAGGTTCCATTGCGTTGGTGACTATCTCGGCCATTGATTTTGTATTCATTTGATACAGTGTTGGAGGTTGCTTTGACACTCATATGTGAAAGAATGCGTGAAGCAGTATTTACAGTCTCAAGCCAGATTGTTTGCTCCCGGCATTCCCATATAGCGCCGTGATCCATCCCCCTGCACTGATGCTACATGCGAGGGACAGGGTCCTGCATATTCAGATGAGGAGCTGGATGACTGCACAAAGGTGTCGATAGTACTCAGATTACTCCGTCGCATGATCTGTCGATGAGATGTTTGCCCAACTGTCAAAAAAGAGTCTCGAAGCTTCATTTATTGAGTTTCGTGTAGGCTTCGGCAGGGGCCTGGCCGGGAATTGAACCCGGGACCTCCTCCAAATAGGTGGACCCTAAGAAGGAATCATACTACTAGACCACCAGGCCATCATGTTATAGGATAAATTTTTAATTCTCTTAATTAGAATTTCGTTCTCACGACCACGCTTCCATTGGTTTGACATAAGTGAGTTGCTGCAGTTAAGTTCTCTCTCGCATTTGATACTTTTAGTCCATTCGACAGTTGATTGTAGCGAGTGCCTATTGAAACATATCAGTAGGCATTTGACCCTCGCTATGTGTGTGGGAGTCCCGAGTATGAGGATCACTATAATAGCGTCAAAGGGGACACTCAAGAATGGTTCCGAGGAATGCTAACCACCAATCACTGAAATGGTCCATTAGCTCTAGAGCATAGCATTCTTTGCTACGACGATCCTCTCTTCGTAGGTGTTATACTCTTTGCGCTTGTTCTCTTCTTCGCCTTTTCATCTCTGCCAGGTACATTAATCTCCAATCTCGCATCGCTACTCAGGCCAATGTGTATCTCCTTGTCGACCGTTATACTCGTCGGAACTCAAACTTCAACTTCAAGTACACTAGGTTCACGACACCTCAGGTTGCCATGGTGCACCCCTTTCTCTAGTGTATCCTAAGTCTATATTATGCCCGCTGTCTCTACCACTGCCTCGGTTTTCAGACCGTCCTCTATAGGATTGACGTCGTCCATTCTCTCGGAAGTCCTCTCCGTCCACTCGCTAACTACAGTGCGATCCTCTTCGCCGCCTTCATTGTCTCCCGGTCCTTCCGTCACAGGTTGCCCCCATCTCGATGCATCGATTTCTAAGCCCTCAAATGTACCAGCGTATTATGTCAGTATTCAAGTATCTGCAACACCTACTGCGTCCCCAAAGGCGATTCATGTTGCGATTGCAATCGGCATAACTTGCGCCGTGATTTTCGTTGGCATCTGTGTATGGATGTATATTGTGCATGTACGTGTGAGAAGGTTGAGATATCACTCACCGCGTATGTGTTCCTGTCAGACCGGTCGACCATTCTTTACTTACTGTGGCAGCAAAATCAGATGGCGACATCGATCCATTTCTTGACCACACAGCGAATCATTGCCCCAAACCAAGTTCCATCGAGACAGCCCCTCTCTCGTCTACGTTCACGATAGACGGAGTGGCATTAGACGGCCTTAGCTCATTCTCAGCCCCGTCTGAGCATTTCGCTCAGCAATGTTGTTTATCACAACCAACATTGCCAAACATAGCTTCTTCTGCTTGCAATATCAATACCCCACCACCAGCGTACTGCGGCTGATAGCTGCATTCTCAACAGAGCGTCTTGCAGACGCTTTGCACGGCGAGTGAGTTCGTACTTCCCTCCATCGCGTTTGCCTAACTTTGAATCAAGCAATCTTAGGACGGGGCAGGATACCAATCGAAGCGTGAAATAACGCTCCGCGGTGCATTCGCTTTCTCGTTCACAGCCTTGAAATTATTCTAGTAGCCTCAATGTAAGATACGTCCAGCATATACCTTACGACTGCGTTGCGTGAAGGTATTCTATAAGCTACATGTTCAATAACCCAAAGGTCAAAACATCCGAACATGACATAACCTATGTGACAGTGATAGAATAAAAGAGAGTAGCAATGTGCATAGATAAGTCAGTAACCGAGTCCAAATATGTCCATTCTCTTTATTCGGAATCCAAGGAAGGGAAGAATTAGAGGTCCATATAATCATAGGATCGCTCGAACGGAACAAAATTTCCAGAGTCGCCATACGGTGAAGATTCAACACGCGAGGAGATGCGTTTTGAGTGCGGGTGTTCATCGGCAGCGGGGAAGATATCATCATCATCTTCGTCCGGGAGGAAGAACTTGGGTGACCTGGATCTTGAAACTGATCGCTCTTCCTTTACCTGGATAGAATCGGATTCCCAGTCCATATCGGTGAGACCAACTTCAGTAAGGAAGTCTTCCATTTGAATATCATCAGCCCTTTCCAGAAGGTCGAGAAGCATTTTCCAACGCGCGGGCCAGCTCACATCAAGGTCCTCAAAGACATGCTTCATTACCTGTTTTCCTTTTCGCTTGTGGCACGTATCTTCCAGAGCAATAGTGGATGTGGATGACGAGTCTGCTACCAACGTGTCTTCGTTGCCATACTCGTGTTCCTGAGCAGAGCTTTCCGAGCTAATAGCCTTCCCATCACTAAAGGGATCTTCGTTCTCGTTGTCGCAAAGCGCCAAGTCATGAAGGAGGAGCATTTTGGAGATAGTATAAAGGGGGATGTCGCCCAAGGCACGATCCAGTAGCACGGAGCGCAAGTTGTGAAGGTAGCGAAGGTTACCGATGCGTGGATAGATCGGCGCCGAGGAAATTAGAGAAGGAACATCAGGTGTATCTGGCGAATCTGGCACATCTGGCACATCTAACGTGACAGGTTCCGTAGTTTGAAGAGGACGCCAAGGATGGAAAGATTCAGGTGGAGGTGAGCGTATGATCCCATCGTAGGCCTGAGATGTGTTCTGAATGACGTTGTTCTGCCGTTCATAGTTCTGCCACTCCACCTGGCGGCTCATCCATAGCCCTTGGAGAAACCTCAGATGTCGCTCAGAAGGTCCCCGGTGGAACAGGTTCGCAAGAGAGGTGGCGGACGAAGTACATTCTTCCATAGGCTCTTCTTTAGTGTCTTGGATGCGCTCGCTACGGTCGGGTGGCTCCGGAGAGGCTGCACGCACATAGCTAGGAACTTTGATAGCTATCGTCTTAGTTGTCAGAGGAGGCTTCTCGTCTTGTAGCATGTCAGTGCTACGGTCCGTACGCGAACCAGAGTCGCCACTGTCGCCCGACGAAAAGTCGTTGACGATAGTACGTTCTAGTGCATCCACCCAAGTCTCGTCATCCATCGTCATTGATGCGGTCTGTACATCCTGCGTACCCGGGTTCCATCCGCGGACCCCATTGAGCTGACTTTGACGAACCAGAGTAGGTCGTGGAGACGAAGGACGCGGAGACGAAGGTCGCTCAGACGGCAGTGAAGACCCAGAAGACCCTCTGAAACGCGTATCCAACGCGCTGCGATACGTGATTACACGCATTCTGTCTATGTAGAGTGGGAATGAAATGACTAGGAGAGGTATATTGTGGTGTTAGTTGACAACCGTCTGAGGGGCAAAGGTTAGCGTGGCGAAAGAGGGGAGAGAAAGTTCGAACAACGGACCAAGATTGCGAATTTATGCAGGCGCATAAGGGAGTGTGGGTGTCCACAGACTTGTACAAGATGGAAATAGCATGTACGCGAACGTTTGACGTTTGACCTTGGCCAACACCCGACGCGTGAAGGCCAAACGCGTGCTGCACGTGGCACAAGCGCTCAAGTGGAATCAAAGTCGGCAAATCAGCTACGATCGTACTTCTAAGTAATGTAGCTTGTAATTCACCGATTGGTGACATCGATAGTTACTTCTACCCCGAAGGCCTGACAGCTTCTGACTACCTGGATCGATAGAGATACCACTCTAAGCTCAAGCCCGGTCGTTCAAAGCAGCTGGTCACGCAGACAAACGAAGTAAGTATCTTCGACTCATGGGTAGACTATACTACACATAGTAATATAGTATTGAAAGCCAACTTGAGAAAGGTTCAACCTGATACCAAGGAGCACAGTCAATGGGTGCGCGACTTTTTCTGTGAGACATTGCGCGTAGTTGATGCAGTCTCTACAGAAACTCGTTTCTTCGTTGACATCTGAGGCGACCGTGGTTCACTGTCATTTTTTGGCAGACAACTGTTATCGAGCAACAGCGGCATGCCGGTGATTCTCGCTGTTCCATATAAATAGGCCCTTTTACGGGATGAAGCACTCCTAGCTGCCGCCTGTGATCTCTTTTCAACAGAGAGCATGTTACGATGAGGTGGCTTCTCGAAGGTGGACAAAGCCTCGAATACACTACAGAAGGATCGCGTTACAAACCATCGACGAGACATCCAGGTACGTACTCTGATGTGGGTGTTGGATCGATTCCAAACCATGGATGTTGCAGTGCGTCCTTGGCAGTCAGTCGTTTGGTGGGGTCATAATCGAAGATCTCTGAGAGAAAAGCGAAGCTTCCACTATTTGGCATATAATGATTGCACCACTCCTCCAGACGAGGTCTCGTCGGAATACTGTTGATGGTTAGGCAACGCACCACTGGATAGAAGGAATGTTGACGCACGCTGGTTGCTTGAGAGCCGGGCGGGTGTTCGTTGGAGATCGTCGAGCCGGAGCGTACGATTTCACGAAGTGCTGCAGTCCTATCAGGTACTGCCAATTATGCGCTAAGCGTTGTAGAGCAGGTCGGTACTGAACTGTACAGAAATGTACTTCTGTCATGCTTACGTTGAGGGGTCCCGAGTAGGAGCTCAATTGCATTGAAGACGGGCCGCAGATCCTCATCAAATTCCACCCCTTCGTGGATCCGAAGCTGACGACGTGGGCCTTGGAATATGGGTCGCAAGAGTACCATCTCAGCCATAACACACCCGACAGCCCAGACATCTGCGGCACTAGTTGTCCATTCATCCAGAAGGAGGAGCTCTGGTGCCAGGTACGAAATGTAAAAGAATTGTTGAGAATTCCTGAATTCTGGCAGGTATCTACCACTTTCAGCTTGAGATTCTGAAGTCCATGCACTATCCAGGTTCCCGATTTTCACGACACCCTCTTGAGTGATCAGGATCGCGCTTGGCCTCAGGGCTCGATGATATATTTCGTGATCGTGCAGGAAAGCGACACCCTGCATTATCTGATATGTCACGGATTTGATGAAAGGAGCCGGGAGAGAAGTGATGTGTACGAGTCGGCGGTACTGAATAATTTGCTGCGTGAAGCAGTCAGCCGTCTGCATGATAGTCCAGACTCCACGCTTAATCGAAGTAAGTGCCGTACCTGTAGATCATGCTCGATGTAGTCGTGAACCACGTATACTTCATTGTTAGATGCAATCACTGCTCTCAACTCCGCGATATGCTCGTTGGAAACCCAACGTTTAATCTATGACTGGTTTGAGTGAAACACGTTACAGTTAACGATATGAATATGCGTACAAGGATGTCCAATGTGTAGCTCATTATTTGTCCAAACGTGCTGATGCCGCTGGCGACCGTATACCTTCGAATGGCGAGAAGAGGAGAGTCCGAGTCTTTCCCCCCCATAACTGCCTTTGCTTGATACAAAACCTCTCGTTCCGAAGAAGAAATCACATACTTGAACATGAAGAGGTCGCGCAGGTTCTTGCACACCATAAAAGGGAGAACCATAGCTATGATGAGGCGCTATTCAAATGAACAGCGTACTGAAGGTGGTAAAGGGCAAAGGATGGTGAAAGGAGCCGTGAATGGCGTCCATTGTCCTTTTATCCTCGTGGCGTGGACAACTTACGCGGAGAAGGTCAAGCTTTAAGATAGACAGAATTGGGGAGATGTGTCAGATCTCGGAGCTTTGATCCTAGTCGCCGATTGAAGTGGACACACACGCACCCGCTGAAGCTCGCTCAAGAGAAACACGACCCCTTGATGCTGATAGATAAGGATTCGATGCAAGTATTCTACACACAAAGACAGCAGGACTAGCAGAGATCGAAGAAAACAGAAGGTCCAAAGTGAATGCAAGGAGCGTGATATTCGCAGCTGGTCTAGCGCGGTTCCGAACGAAAGGAGTGTGATGAGTCTATGTCGCACAAGACGAAGACCGGGGTATAACAGTGAATAAGATATTGAGAGATAAGTAAGCGAAAAGTACACGTTGAAGTAAAGAAAATCAAAACCTATGCACAAAGTCCGCTTGGTGTCTAAGCCGTTCGAAAAAAAAATTGTGAATGTAACTGCTTAAGCAGGGGGAACTGAACGAGTAACTCATTCTGATTTAAACCGCGCGTAACCATCTCCACCACGCATGATAGCTTTCATGAACGAGAAGAATCGTTCAGCATACTCTGCGGGTGGTACGGGACTGATCTTGTGCTGCATATAGAAAAATGAACAGTTGAGCGTATAAACGATTCTTCATGCGATCAAGTACATACGCGATCAGCCTTCAGGCCCTTCCAAAAGTGCTCAACCTTCTTGAACGAGGTGTAAGGCGTGAGGATATCGATGACACCGAGGTAGTAGATAGTGTCCATTTCGCTATTAGCCTCGTCGGTAGCACGCAAACCCCCTTCGTCTTGGTAGAACAGGAAATGTTGTCGTTCACCGGTATCCTCGTCAGGCAGCTTGATGGTAGCAGAGCCTAGACGTTGAGGATCAGACTCCCGCATGATACGCCTCATAGCTATCGCTTCCGGTGACGAGGGACCTTTTACTTGAGTCGGTTTTCGACGAATCATGGGCATGTCCGGCTATAAACAATTATAACCAATATTTTCGAAGAATAAGCAGAACGACACCCACCGAAAACACTTTGAGAGTACTGCTACGAACGTTATCGCGATTCCCTCTTTCCATGTTGTGGATTCCGACAAGCAAGCTGTAATCCATGACGTTTAGGTGTTTCAGAAGTTCCGAGTCACGTCTCAGCTGTTCTGTCAATAGCGCACGCTTCTCCGGCCCCAACTCCAGCCTCTTCCCTCGCTTGATCCAGTTCAGGTCCTTCAGCACTGCTCGCGGGTTCTGAGCCGCCTTTTCCTCGGGGTACTCCCGTCCAACCGTGCTCCCCTTGAGATCGTATGTCTCGTGGACATCCTTGTGCGGTGGGAAAAGGTTATTCATGATCACAAAATGGATCTTTCGACCTCGAGGGAGCTTGACACGGTGGAGGCCGTAGAACCGCGAGATGAGGGTATGAGGGTTGTTCTTGACATGCGCATGATAGTCTTTTAGGATATTTCGTAAGAATTTGTGCTCGGAGTGATGGATCGTTTTGATGATGAACCGGTAGTCGCGCGAGAAATAGAAGAACGAGCCTGATTTGCCTGGTGACCCAAGCTCGGACAGGATATACTTCGCCGTCAACGAGAGAAGATAATCGGCAGGATCTACGTGGAAATAATCTTCGCGCAGTTCGCGGAAGACCCACGGCGCGTAGTCCTTGAACTTGAAGTCGTATTTCGCGCTCGGCGTCAGTTCATTGCCAACACTGTGGACGCCTGAGCGGGGCTAGAGACGGTAGAATGGCAAGTACGTACATATCGAAAGAATACTTGTGGCATGCCGCAAAATCGTCTTCGGTCAAGGGCCGTCGAATCTTGGCCTGACACCGCGATACCGCTATGCGAATACCTGTCAACATATTGTACATGAGCACATAGTTGACGTGATCTTCGCCGATCAGGTTGCCGACCAAGGGCTGCTCTCCACGCTTCACAATCGACGTCGTCCTCGTCAACGCCTTCTCCACACCCCGTTGCACCTTTTCCGCCTCGAGTGCCGCCTTGGCACGCTTTGATAGTCGTTCTCTTCGTATCTGTTCAGCCTGTTGTTGGATATCTGACGCGAGACCGCCGAATTCTCCTTCCAACTCTGACGGTTCTGACCCGTGAGGAAGAGAGTGGACGGTCATCATGCGTGCAGGTCTGTGAAAAGGCGCGGTGGCAGCGGAGCCAACAGTGTTGCGTCGAGAAGGCTTATGTGGCGGGGGATGCAGCAAACCATCTGGTTCATCGGTAAACGGTGTGTCAGAGGTACCTGTCATGTCAGAGTTGGTGTACATCTGTGCTGTACTCGTCGAGGTGGTAGTGGTGCGAACAGATGCCTTTGTATCTCCTGACGCTCTCCGCACGAGCGGCGGTGCGCGAGACGACGAAGAGAACTTTGGAAAGGGTCGGGAGGACGAGGTGGAGGCCTGACGTTCCCGTACGGGGTCTTCGAAAGTGACGGGACGTGCGGTTGGCGACGAAGGAACTTTAAGATCATGCTCTAGCTCCTGGTCTGTGCTCGCTGGTGGGGATGGTGGAGGTGGGCCAATATTGGAATCTGCACTGTCTGAGCGGATTTGATGACGATCGGAAACTGCGTGGACGAGGGAGCTGCCGACTTTGTGCAGCAGACTCTCTGGGACGGGGCCCGACTGAAGATGGACAACATTGTCGGTGACTTTGACTATGTGAACCTCCTGCGGTTGGTTCTTGGTGCCCGCGCCAATTGCAAGAGCATGAATGGGGTTCAACACGTCCGAATCCCGTAGTGATGAGGGGCTAATAGTGTGCGCAGAAGACGAGCGAGTTGATGACGGGCGCGAGTTCTGAGTGGTCTGAGGGGCAGTAAGGAACGAGGTGGCAGAGGTGGACGCAACGCTTTGTGTCTGAGAATCATCTAGCTGAGTAGGAGACGATGAACGGGGAATAGGTAGGACAGCAGCAGCCATGGGAAATCCAGCGCAGCTGTAAGGTGGGGGGTGAAATTCTAGGGAGTATTAGCCAGAAAGTAGAGTATTGGGAATATGCAGATGGTGAGTAGAACAGATACGGCCAGTGATGGTTGTCGTCGCTGGTCGTCGTTGTCGTCGGTGAACTTTCAGTCGGTGCCCATTGAGAGTTGCTCTCGGCGACGGCTGTGCGGCAAGCCTTGGGCGCGGATGCCGCTTTTGGCAGCTACGTCGGCAAGTCCGCTTTGACTGCGCATCTCGTGCCAATCTCGTGCCCAGCTCGTGCCTCTCAGTACTCGATCGAGCACAACGCGTCTCTCCAGCATTCGGTCGTGGCTCTCAATCTCGTCCTCGACGCGACTCTCCTCCCGTTCGCTCTCGGAAACGCCAGCGTTCATGCAAAGCACCCATTCTGTGAGTGTCTCGAAGCTCTTGAATATAATATACTCAATGCGACTGCTCTCTTCTCTAGTTGGCACTTAGTCTCCGGTACGCAGACCAATGACGAGTCTACTGAGGGATGGAGAGACGACCCGTATAAAGGTCTGCTTCAATACGCGCCCCTCATACCATTGTGAGTCGTTAACGCTAAGCGCTCACATGCCGGGTGATTGCCAGGCTTGCCGGATCGATGCCGGTGGCTGGAGGTGGCTGCAAAAGTGGCTGAGTGTGCTTGCGAGAATCTCTGCATGCTACCGCCATGTATCCTTCAGGACCACCACGTGAAACATCTTGCTTTTACTGTCCAAACTGCATGGTTATGCTCCCAGCATATTTCAGTCCTCCTATGCAAGTTCAGGCATCGGTTCCTCAGTCTCCGGCCCCACATTGGGATTCATTCTCATCACCATATATACATGACTCATTCAGCTCCCCAAGCATGCCTAAAGCAACCAGTCATTCAATTCCAAATCATTCGATGACTCCCATCCCTGCCCAAACAGTGCGCAAATCTGTGACACCAAAGAAGTCCTCAAATCAGCCATTTCAAGACCCGGAAAACATCAATCCATCCATGCCTACGAAATCCCCCACAAAGAAGCGTAGGTGAAGAACCCCAGTGCAGAAGCTAAAAGATATTCTACACACAATCAAGGCTGCATGTTGGACTTTAGGTCAATTCCTATGGGTTCTTTTCTGTATTCGAGGGGAGAATAATGAGAAGATAAGCCATTCCAAAAGTCATGCAAAAGTGGTGTCTTGGTTTCTCTCAGGATGGGATAAGAATAGCTATACTCCTACCCTCATTATTCATGACTGGTTCCATAGTGCAGATAGCCATGTTGCACCTGATTCTGAAGAGTCAGGACTCATGTACTCTACTACAAGGCCATATATTCAGATAAAAGGTGTTCAGACTGGTCTTTCATCTTTTGCAGCACAGATAGTTCAGCGCAAGCTTGTGCGAGAGGCAGAAAATGCTGTTGACCCAAACAATGGCTTACATTCCTCTTGTTCAAGCCCAGACTGTCAGAAGAAACTTCAGTGAGCAGATATTAGTGCCACAACTCTGCCTTGCATTGAAGAAATTCTACGAGAGCATCAGCCGTTGACAGTGTCACTTTTGCTTGCAGTTGCTGACAGGACTCATATGTGAGAGCCTGTAGTTAAAGCAGTTCGGATATACCATCCACCAAATCTGGTCAGTTTAACCCAGCATTCTGTTAACTCCACAGGAGAAGTGTTCTAACAGAACATGCACAGGTCGTCACACATGCCCTCAGCTTTTTGAACTATTGTCAGACCAATCGAGCCAACTTGCTTCTCATGACACGTGGTCTACTATACTTTGTGCTCTCTGCACTGATCGACCTCTTCCACTATAATTCTTGAGTCGGAACAATGCCCAGCTATAATACTACATACAAGGCACTAGCCCTCTTACGGGGGGACTTATACCTATAAGTCCGCAGAAGCTTCTGCAGCAGCCAGGTCACGTGACTAGCCCTCTTACGGGGGGACTTATACCTATAAGTCCGCACAAGCCGGTGCACCGGCCAGTGCACCAGCTGGTGCCAGCCGGTCATGTGACTGCACCAGCTGCACCAGCCAGTCATGTGACTGCACCAGCTGGCACCAGCCGGTGCACCAGCTGGTGTAGGCCGGTCATGTGACATAGGAAGCTGGAAAAGCGGCCATATTATGTCAGCATTTAGGTTATGGGGACTCTCGTCTGACCCTAGGGCTGGCGTAGGGTCGGGCGCCTAGGGCCCAGGGTTGGGCGGCTGTGGGCCAGGGTTGGGCATCTGTGGGCCAGGGTTGGGCAGCTAGAGGGCAGGGTTGGGCGGCTAGGGGGCAGGGTTGGGCATCTGTGGGGCAGGGTCGGTGGTTGTGGGCAGGGGCATATGGACGTCAGTGGTGTGAGGCGAGCGTTCTGTCCAGGACGGAAAGAGAGAGCGGCAGACATGGGTGGGAGAAGCGCCGAAGAGATGGGTGCAGAGATTCCCTCCTGGACGGAATTCTGTGGAGATGGATGTAAATGCAGTGAGAATGGGATTCCGGTGGGGCTGAGTGCATGCATTCCGTCTTGGAGGGAATTCTGTGTGCATGAGGTTACTGTTTATTGGATGATGAGAATGCCGTTGATCTAAATTGACATGCGGCAGTTGCGAGTGAGAAAAAATGTGACGAAGATGGAATAGACCGAATGAAGGAAGGATGTGATGATGGGCGAGGAGATTAGCAGTGGAGTGTAAATGAGGTGAAGAGGATCTAGGCTAAATGTGAATGATGGAAGGGATATATTGGATGTATTCTAGGCTACATTGATGACGGCGTACGTGAAGAAGACTAGAGTATTTGAAGAAAGTGACGGCAGACAATATGTGAAGAGAAGGAGAGAAAAAGTATATAGATGAAGAGGGAATGAGAGGAAGGGCATGTTCGCAGACTCTCGATCATGGAGACGTATTCTTGCTTCAAGCACGAGATCGACTGGTGGGAGAACGATTGGGTGCTGCGTGAGCGATTGGAGGTGAGTACTGAGAGATTGACCGAGTGGTGAGATGGGAAGATGACGAGAGTTAGGTTATGGGGACTCTCGTCCGACCCTAGGGCTGACGTAGGGTCGGGCGCCTAGGGCCCAGGGTTGGGCGGCTGTGGGCCAGGGTTGGGCATCTGTGGGCCAGGGTTGGGCAGCTAGAGGGCAGGGTTGGGCGGCTAGGGGGCAGGGTTGGGCATCTGTGGGGCAGGGTCGGTGGTTGTGGGCAGGGGCATATGGACGTCGGTGGTGTGAGGCGAGCGTTCCATCCAGGACGGAAAGAGAGAGCGGCAGACATGGGTGGGAGAAGCGCCGAAGAGATGGGTGCAGAGATTCCCTCCTGGACGGAATTCTGTGGAGATGGATGTAAATGCAGTGAGAATGGGATTCCGGTGGGGCTGGGTGCATACATTCCGTCTTGGAGGGAATTCTGTGTGCATGAGGTTACTGTTTATTGGATGATGAGAATGCCGTTGATCTAAATTGACATGCGGCAGTTGCGAGTGAGAAAAAATGTGACGAAGATGGAATAGACCGAATGAAGGAAGGATGTGATGATGGGCGAGGAGATTAGCAGTGGAGTGTAAATGAGGTGAAGAGGATCTAGGCTAAATGTGAATGATGGAAGGGATATATTGGATGTATTCTAGGCTACATTGATGACGGCGTACGTGAAGAAGACTAGAGTATTTGAAGAAAGTGACGGCAGACAATATGTGAAGAGAAGGAGAGAAAAAGTATATAGATGAAGAGGGAATGAGAGGAAGGGCATGTTCGCAGACTCTCGATCATGGAGACGTATTCTTGCTTCAAGCACGAGATCGACTGGTGGGAGAACGATTGGGTGCTGCGTGAGCGATTGGAGGTGAGTACTGAGAGATTGACCGAGTGGTGAGATGGGAAGATGACGAGAGTTAGGTTATGGGGACTCTCGTCCGACCCTAGGGCTGACGTAGGGTCGGGCGCCTAGGGCCCAGGGTTGGGCGGCTGTGGGCCAGAGTTGGGCGTCTGTGGGCCAGGGTTGGGCGGCTAGAGGGCAGGGTTGGGCGGCTAGGGGGCAGGGTTGGGCATCTGTGGGGCAGGGTCGGTGGTTGTGGGCAGGGGCATATGGACGTCGGTGGTGTGAGGCGAGCGTTCTGTCCAGGACGGAAAGAGAGAGCGGCAGACATGGGTGGGAGAAGCGCTGAAGAGATGGGTGCAGAGATTCCCTCCTGGACGGAATTCTGTGGAGATGGATGTAAATGCAGTGAGAATGGGATTCCGGTGGGGCTGAGTGCATGCATTCCGTCTTGGAGGGAATTCTGTGTGCATGAGGTTACTGTTTATTGGATGATGAGAATGCCGTTGATCTAAATTGACATGCGGCAGTTGCGAGTGAGAAAAAATGTGACGAAGATGGAATAGACCGAATGAAGGAAGGATGTGATGATGGGCGAGGAGATTAGCAGTGGAGTGTAAATGAGGTGAAGAGGATCTAGGCTAAATGTGAATGATGGAAGGGATATATTGGATGTATTCTAGGCTACATTGATGACGGCGTACGTGAAGAAGACTAGAGTATTTGAAGAAAGTGACGGCAGACAATATGTGAAGAGAAGGAGAGAAAAAGTATATAGATGAAGAGGGAATGAGAGGAAGGGCATGTTCGCAGACTCTCGATCATGGAGACGTATTCTTGCTTCAAGCACGAGATCGACTGGTGGGAGAACGATTGGGTGCTGCATGAGCGATTGGAGGTGAGTACTGAGAGATTGACCGAGTGGCGAGATGGGAAGATGACGAGATGAAAACAGAAGGGGGGGATCGAGATGATGGGGAGTATTGAGATGAAGAGGGGGGAGGGGTTTGTAGAGGCTGTGGGGCGACTGTGGATTGACGGTAAGTTTGAATGGATAGTTGGTTGAAGGGTTTGAAGAGAAGGACTGACGAGGAAGGAGTAGGGGCTGACGAGTGTATGGAGAATCTGCCTGTCATTCGATGGCGGGTGAATGGGTATGTGGAAGAAGGTGAGTTGTGTGTGCGGATGAGATGTGTATAGAATACTGATGAGTGAGAGTTTAGGGCCCTTCGAGAAGTGGACGGAGGAGAACATGTTGAAGCCGGCGCGACATGAGGAGGGATTGGAGGTTGGAGGCTGTAAGTACAATTGGGAATTATGAGCGGATGAATGCCGAGCTGACGACAGTGTGCAGTGGAGGACTGGTGCGCGATGAAGGTGCTGAAGTGGATGCTGTGGGATATGAAGGGGGAGATGAAGAAGTGTGAGGAGATGATAGAGGAGTTGGAGGATGGGGAGGTTGAGCCGGATTGCGTGGAGATCAGGCGGTTGGGATGGAAATGTCGATGGCGGTTGGAGATGTTGAGTATGATTACGCAGTTGGTGAGGGAGGAGACTCAGCGACTGGGGGAGAGTCGGCAGGGATTGGGGAGGTTCTTGAAGGCGTTGGTGAGGCGAAATGAGGAGGTGGTGAAGAGGGAGGGGGAGTGGCGGGAGACGTGGGCGGAGATGATGAGTGATTATGTGTGGGTGAAGGATAAGGAGGAGTGAACTATGGACATGCACTGTATGATAATATGATGTAGTGTATGTGCCATAAGAGACACTGATCGATTGCCTTAAAAGTGTGAAAGAATGAGAGTATTTGGTTGAGCGACTGGGAGCCGTTGACGACCATAGCATTCTGAGTTTTGCATATATGGGTAGATGAGAAAATGATTGTCGGTGCGCTGTTTCTGTCAGGAAACAGCGTGCCGATGAGCATTTTCTCATCTACCCATATAAGAAAGCTAGAGCGTTGTGGCCGTCAATGGCTCTTAGACACTTGAACACATATCTGATTGTTGCATACTTCTAGGGGAAAGATGCAGGGTCTCTTAAGAGCGATACATATATATTGCGTTGAGTGTGAATGATACAAGAATGAATAACGAAATGTAAATAAATGTAACGAGGATAGGTGTCAGTGGAAAGATGGGTATAGAGTAGGTTGGATGAGAGGGAGAGGAGATTCCGTCCAAGAGGGAATGCGTGCACTGAAGAATGTGTGAGAGCGATTCATGAGTGCGAAGATTCCGTCCTGGACGGAGTGCGTGGAGCGAGATGGGCGGACCGATCAGGAAAGTGGTGATCATGTGATTGCAGAGCGGCGTGAAGAGCGCATTCCGTCCTGGACGGAATACAGGCGGGGACACATGGGCCTCGTGAAGAGACGCTGAATGGCTGGGTGCGCGCAATCCGTCCAGGACGGAATTTCTGTTCTGAGGCAAGCACACGATTAGCCACGCGATTTCCGCATGCGCGGTTCCTTCCAGGACGGAGATCAAGCTATATTGAGACTGTTACGTCGGGATGACATAAATGGAAGAATGGTTGGTGACTGGTGCAGTCGGTTAAGCTGGGAATGAGGTGTTTAGAGAGTAATGAGGTGAAGGAATTAGCCTGATATGGAGTGGGCGGGGCGCCATCGGATAGAATAGAAGATGGGTAATATGATTGCCTGCAGGGATAGTGGGCTTAGCGTGATCGGCATGGCGTGTTGAAATGAATGGCGGCCTCATGAATGATGGCAAAGTTTGCTTCTTATGACATGAGGCGGTGAGGGGATGATTTAAAAGGGCAGGGGTCTGACAGGATTCGATTTCCCCACATTCTCTATTGCTACTACTGCTGCTGAGACTGCTATCTAGAAATCGTAATCGACATGCCTTCGTTCACTGTCCCCTCCAGTCTGCTGGAGATGACGAGAGTCTTCCGGGAGATGAAACCGCCGGTGCCCGATGCGCCGTGGTCGTTCATCGTCTGGCAGAAGCATACGGGGTTCACTCGCGCTCCCTGGGCTGAAGATTGGCCGGACGACGAGAAGCATCCCTTCAAGTGGGACAAGACTGCTCGGGCACAGGTGAAGGCGTTCGTGGATGCGTTCTGCTCGATGCCACTCGCCTCGAAGCGCCAGGAGTTCACGAAGACCCGGATGACGGACACTCATGCTACAGGCCGGGCGACGTGGACGGTAGCGATCAGAGCTGGGTTGAAGGCGTGGAAGATCAACGCCATCGTTGGAAAGGTGTTGAAGGAGAATGAGAGAGACCGGGCGTCGCTGCTTCGGCGTCATGGAGAACGAACGGTACGACTTACCTATTGTGACAAAAGGATGAAGGCTGACATTGGGTGATGTGCAGCTGCCAGACATGGGGGCGGCGATGTTGGACGACACTCGACAAGAGCTGGCTGAGGCATTGTGGGGTACCGACATCTGCACGAAGCAGTCGAACTACACGATCATGCATACGAGCGTCATTGGAGTTGCCAACATCATCCTGGCGGCGGCGTGGAACACGATGTCAAAGGCGGTCAATAAGGATGTGAAGGATTTGGAGGAGATCAAGGCAAAGGTGAAGATGTCATTTGGAGGTGAGTACACTTGGATGCTGTGGATTGGAGAGTGACTGATTACTTACGTGATTGTTACACAGAGCTGGATGCAGGGGAGGTGACGGCGGCGAAGTTGAAGCAGTACTTGAGGGACAGCTCGAAGCTGATGCGGCTGTACAAGATGTTCGGCGACGAGGCGGCTGAGAAGGAGTTGGAGGAGCAGCGGGAGCGATTGAGCCAGATTCGGGCGTGCTTGGGAGTGGATGAAGAGGGGAAGTCGACAGGAAGTGAGTGAGACCTGTGTGTAGAGCTGTTGGACTTGATGCTGACATTGTGAGATAGCTATGAGCAAGGCGTTGCGGGAGGCGTTGTTGAGGCTGGCTGGGGACCACGACATCGCTGAGGTGGAGCGGGAGCTGGAGGTCCAGTTGGATGTTCTGGATGGAGAGGGGGCGGGAGTGCCGATGATGAATGTGGACGAGTCGGTGGTGATCGAATGGGAGTCGGGGACGGAGGACTACCAGGGCTGGAGCGAGAGGGACGTGCGGAATGCACTGGGCCTGGAGGAGGAGGGGTTCCCGTCCTTCAACGAATTCATCGACGAGAATGGGGTCAAGACACCGTGGACGGATGCAGCGTGGTTCGCGCGTCCTTACGTCGAGGGCGAGAACGACGGTCGGGTGAAGTTGTCACCAAAGTGGCACCAGCTGATTGGGATCTTCAAGATGCTGAAGAATGCATTCGAGGGACGTCCGCTAATGTTGATGGATGAGGTTGGCCTTGGGAAGACGTTGCAGGTTATAGGGGTTATGGCGATGCTGGCGCACTACCGTTCCTTCTACGCCAAACGCAACGAGTATCCTGGGTGGTTTCGTAAGTGTGGATCTTTGTGTGTCCATTGGTCGGCGCTAATGTTTTGTGTATTGAATATGGATACAGGAGGCAAGACGTTTGCGGGGAACGCTGAGATCCCCGACCTGGGACATGTTCTGGTGGTGCCGTTCTCGTTGCGTGCGCAGGTAGAGAACGAGTGCCAACGGTACCTTAGGTGAGGGGCCTTCGATATCTTCATCTACGACGGGACGTTGAAGGGGCGACCGGAGTTCTGGACGAAGTTTTGGGACTTCTCGAAGCTCCCTCAGATTCGACGACTGGTCATTGCGACGGCGACGGTGAGTACATTCAAGGTGTGGTACTAGAGGATGAAGGCTGACAGGTTAGCAGGCTGTGAGTTCGGATGGCCGAGAGCTGGGCTTCAGTGGGAAGCAGCCGATGGGTCCGATCAATATCGTTGGAGCGAATCCGGCAGCGTTGATCTTCACAAAGCGGTTCCTGGTTGGGGCGTGGGACGAGATCCACCAGAACCGGAATATCAAGACGGCGTTCTTCGCGGCGAAGAAGCTGAGAGAGTGTTGCACGTTCTACGTTGGGATGTCTGCGACTCCAGTGCAGACGAAGCCACAGGTGCGTATTCAGCATTGATGTGCTGAGCCAATGGAGGTAGCTGACTTGAGACATATACGTGCAGGACCTGTGGCATGTAGCGTTGATCTTGGGTGTCCCAGGTTTCGACGGCGAAACGGAGTACAAGGACATGGGACGAGAAGTGAATCGCGCTGCTCGGAAGGATCGACAGCAACGTCGACTGGCAGAGGCGTTAGAAGCGGTGAAGAAATTCTCTCACGGAGAGGACGGGCAAGGTCAGTCGGAGCTGGCGCTGGTGAGTGGGAAGTGGATCATGGTGATGCGGAAGCGGTTCGCGGGAATGGTGGTTCGCCGGACGATCCACTCTGAGGACAACAACAAGAAACCGATTATTGGCCTGCCTCCCTACGAGCATCACAAGTTGCTGCTGGTGTTGCCTGCCGATGAGATGGAGAAGGTCGAGGCGATCATGGAAGGTGTGCAGAAGGAGGTCGAGAATGGGAAGAGTCTTCGGGCGTACGGGGAGGTGAGTAAAAATGATTTCAATATCTGTTGCAGGTCGCTGTCCGTCCTGGACGGAACTGGGCGCACCGCAAGGTTGTCAATATCTTGCGGACGCAGGTATTCCGTCCAGGACGGAACAGCGGCAGAGAGGCATGGAGCGGGCCGTGAAAATGGTTGGGCGGGCAGTCTGTCCGTCCAGGACGGAATGCTCGTCCCCAGCACATGCAAGCCGTAGACGCCCAATTCGTCAGAGTGCGCGCATTCCGTCCAGGAGTGAACACCTGGCTGCTCTCCCTGCTGGCATGACGAGGTCAAAGGGTTGTGTGTGCATTCCATCCTGGACGGATGAGTGACACTCGAACACATTGACTGACGTTGTGGGCCACTCAGCCAGAGTGTGTGCACGCATTCCGGCTTAGACGGAGTTTCTACACCAAACACCTACTGACACTCAATTCTTCAGCAATTTTATCTGGCGTTGCGTAGAGGCCTGACCCATCCTGACCTGCCCTCCATGGGCGGCACCCTGAAGTTCTCGACGATAGAGGAATTCAACGAGAATCCTTCGACAAAGCTGAGGTTCTTGGTGAGGATCTTGCAATGGCACCTTGAGGTGGACAATCGCTTGCCTCTTCTCGTCAACGAGCACGGTGAGCTCGTCAACCCTCAAGGACCTCCGGGAGTCTGCGTCAATGGTCTTCCCGACAAGATCATCGTCTACTCTGCCTTCATCGAGAACAACACGGTCATCTCCCAGGTAAGTCCTTTTCATTACATTCTTCGCATATTATGGGCTAATGGGGATTCTGCAGCTCTTCGACGCATTCGGTATCAAGCATTTGATGATCAATGGCTCACAGGCTCTGACGACAAGGACGGACACGATCAACAAGTTCCGCAGCGGTGAGCGTGATGACTCTCGTGTCATGCTCATTACGAAGGTTGGTGCGACTGGACTTAACATGGCTTTTGCCAACATCCTGGTCTGCCTGGTAAGTGGTTCTGTTGTTTATGTCTATCTCTACAAGTTGACCTATGATCTATCATTAATTTGCTTCACAGGACACCATGTGGTCGCAGCAAGAGGACAACCAACTGATCGGTCGAGTCTGGAGGCAACCACAGCCCAAGACCGTCCACGTCTATCGTCTCATCGCACAAGGCACTCCCGACGTCTTCTTGAATGAGATCGCGTTCACGAAGGGGATGATGCTGGAGAGCTTCTCCTCTGCCAGCGAGAAGATGAAGGAGTGGTTCGATCCCCTTCGCGACGACGACATCAGCGACTTCCACAAGGATGGAGATGATGACACCGACATCAGCTCTACGACGTCGGGTTCTGTGGTGACGGTGACTGAGAAGTCTTCGACGCGTTCGTCGACTCGGACGAGGACAGTTGCAGCGACGACGACGGCACAATCGGAGGCTTCGACATCTGGATCAGCCAGTACTGCCCCTCCAGCTGAGGTGGACACAATCAACGTCCCACCAGCTCTGGCTGCTACCGCTGCTGCTGCTGCTGCTGCTGCTGCTGCTTCTGCTCCTGCATCTGCGTCTCCTGCTGCTGCTGTTGCTCCTCCTCTCGTTGACTCCACGTCAACGTCAACGTCAACGTCGAGAGCAGTGCTGACATCGACATCGACTGTCGTCCCCCGTGGTGTTTCACTGGCTCTCCCTCCTTCGGCTGCTTCTGCCCCCACTCGCGTCACTCAATCCGTGCCTCCCTCGACTCGTCCTGCTCCTCGTCCTCGGCGGCGAAGGCAACCCAAACCTGTCGCTGCAGCAGAACCACCTTCAGCTGCTGTCGAGCCCGACGTCTCTGCTCGTCGCACTCCCGCTCCCCCCCTCTCGCAGACTACGTCTCTGGAGCCAGAGACGACCACCGGTCCGAGCTCGGTCTCTCCCATCTTCGACGAGCTCACTCTCGATTCTGATGCACATGCATCTCGCACTGCCGCTGAAGCCTCTGGAGCTTCCGAGCCTGGTCCTTCTCCATCGCCTGAGCCCGAGTCTGAACCACCCCGCTCGTCGAAGGACGCAGCAGAAGATGTCGGTGGTGATCGCGTGGAGATGGACGTCGACCTGACAGGTGGGGCCTTCGACGACGAGGAGATGAACCAGGAGACGAGTGGTTATGAGCAGGACGCGGAACGCAACTCGGATGAGGACTCTTCGGAGGACTCCTCTTCTTCAGAGGATTCCTCAGAGGAAGAAGAGAAGCAGATGGATGTCGATCCCCCTGTCCTCCCTTTGCCACCTTCGTCTGCCCTGCCAGAACTCACGCCGTCGGTCGCCTCATCGCGTGCAGTGACTCCTGAGCCAACGGACAAGGCTCTGGGGAAACGTCCTGCCCCGAACTCCCCTCCCGTCGCCAGCTCGTCGAAGCGCACCAGGCAGCAGCCGCAGCCACCAAGGCGAATGCTCCCTCCGCGTCAGACCAAGTTCCGCACCGTCAACTATGCCCTCGACAACCTGCCTTCCAGTGACGATATCGGTGGAACGACCACGCATCGCAAGAAAGGCGACGATGACGAGTACAGGGAGTCCAGCGAGGAGGACATCGCTGTGCCGAAGAAGGGGCTGAGCATTAGCGGCAAGGGCGTCGGTGGAGGCAGACCCAAGCACTGAGCAGGTCTCTGGACTTCATCTTCGTCATCCCCATCTGCGTCGTCTTCGTCTTTGTCGTCTGCTGGACTGTCGGCTTGTCGCACCGCGTGTCTCTCTCGCCCCCGCTATATGGTAATGTTTTTTGGACTATCGTATCAGGACTGTTCTACCTGTCATTGGTAGATTTATCACTCGAACTTCCCCCCTCCCTGCTCCTCCCGAATTTGTTCGACTTTCTCGGACAATTGTGTTTTTTCTTGTTACGTATGGACTAGCGGTAGTGTTTGTTTCTCGCCTCCATTTCTGACTCATTTGTTTTTCTCTTCTCTCTACCTTTCCCTTATGAGACTCCATAAAAAAACTACTCTGGTTTCTGTTTTCCATTTTCCTGTTTCTGTTGTCTTCATTTCTTGGTGTTTTCTTGATCTTCTTTCACTTCCACTTCCAAATGGACAATGTAATGAGGTTAGTCTACATTGAATGTAGCCATTTGACTTTATGAATGCTGAATAGTGAGTGTGACATAAGTAATTGATGTCATGAGCACTGGACTGCATTGAATGACAGACAGGCCGTGAGTAAGGCTGAAGATTGTAGACACATGGTACACATGTATGGCTGAGTGTTGTATGCAGTAGGAATGTGGTCATGGTCACCGCTGAAGAATCTCCGTCCAGGACGGAACCATGGCGCCACCCTTACACGGGAAAGAGGCGGATAGACGCACTAATGCAGGAGTTCCGTCCTGGACGGAATGCATGCTGTGACATTCTGGATCGACGTCACGTCCGACTGGCGGGCAGAGATCCGTCCTGGACGGACTCTGCTGTTCCACCCAGTTGGCATCGTCGAAGTGACTGCAGCAGTCACAGCGTCAACATTCCGTCCATGATGGAATTGCTGCAGCAGCAAATGACCACGGTAATCATCGATCATGAATCTGTGGCGCACATTCCGTCTAGGACGGATAACACGCCCTGTATCATGTCTCGTGCTTCCATTATTATCACTTAGATACCACTCCTATGAAGGCACAGGCAGTGAGTACGGCACACATTCCGTCCTCGATGGAACATTCAGTCATATCAACTGCACTATGCTCATGATTCATTCTAGCTAACATGTGGCTATACAATCTAGGAAGGGGCACTTAAATGTGCATTCAGACATTCTCTTCATCTTCGACCTCGATGGGTGCAATGATCACATCCATGCTCGTCGCCACTGCAGGGTTGAGTCCAATCTGTGGGCAGGGAACACGCTCACCGTCCGCTGGGAATTGCCTGAACTTCGAGTCGAGTCGAGTCTGCCACATCCGGTCAGATCCCCCGTACGGCAGCCACAGCAGCTTGTGGAACTCCCTCTGCACCCTGTCGCGCACAATGCCCGCATTCCGTTCATTCAACTTGTCCATCAAGTTCAGCCACTCCTTGAAGTACACGCATTGGCGGAAGTTCTGCAAGGTGCGAGGCAGCTGAGCTCCCTTGGGAGGGAAGTACCGGTTGAACAACGTCACATCCCAGAATTCGGCATCGCACAACTTGACCTGGACAGGCGCTATCACGTTCGTCAGGTTGTTGCTCTTGAAGATCGCCGTCGTGGCGTGGAGACGATTCTCCGCCGTCATCCGTAGATACCCGGGCAGATTGCCATTCTTCGGATTCGGTGCCTTCGACAAGACATCTGCCGGGAACTGTCGCCAGATACCCTGCAAGATGACATCGGGATTGCCGGGTTGAGCCACCTCATCGTCGCTATCATCGTCCAGGTGGTGCACGTGGGTGTCAGGTCCCGGCATCGTTCGAGGTCGCTTCAGTGTCACTCCGCGATCTTGCAGTCGGAAGTTCTTCACCTCGCCGTCATTCGCCAAAGGACGAATGTCCTGCGTGATCGCTCGCTTGTTCGCCGTTCGATCTGCACGAGGTTGACGACGTCCACCCTGCGCCGCCATCGACCCAAACTCCATCTGAATGGCATTGACATCCTGGCGGTGATACATGAAGGACAACACCTGCTCCGCCGCCCTGGCTGAGTGGGGAAGTCGCGCCCAGTACTGGTCGAGCACAATCCCAGACAAGCTGTACAGGCCATTCCAGTGGGGGTTCGGAACCAACTCGCCCTCCTCGTCATCGGCTTCAGTCGGGAACCGGCGACAACAGGCACGCAGAAGGGCATCCTCGGCCGTGCCACTTCTCGGTCGCGAGCTCAGCGCATTCACCATGTACACCGCGATTGCTCCCAACGTCAGGCAGGCCGCATCACGTCGATACTCGTGGCGGCTCTCATTCTGCCACTCCACTAGCAAACGCAATGCCTCCAGCCGATACACTTTGAATCCCCTGCAGGTCAGCCCATCAGCTGTCTTGAACAATAGCCAGACTAAGTATTGCAGTAGATATGCACTCACCACCAGGTGTTCTTCTTGTACGCCACTATGCCGCTATCCAGGATAGATTGCGGCATGTCAGTCAAGGTAGCACGGCAACGCGTCAGTGGGACTCGGGCCTCCAGACGGGCAGATCCCTCTTGTCCCGGAGAATCCCCCTCCCCCATACAGCTCGTCCATACTTCCTCCATCTTCTCCATGGCGCCAATGAGCTTCCCGCACTTGCTTGGAAACAACTCCTCCCCATGGCGCTGTCGGAATATCCCCTTGTGCAGCTGATAGGTCACCGTCTTGTCCGTCGTGTAGCAGTTGATATACACACACTCAGTGCCGTGTTGATACCGCTTGTTCACCTCCACGCGAAACCCGCCAATCTCACTCAGCTGCGAGTTCAAGTCCACCTGGAACCGGTCACCCGTCGTCATCATCCTGTTCGCCTCCTCAGCATCCAACCCAGGCAGCACATGTCGCAGAATGGCACTGTGACCCATGGTCAGCCACTGCACCACCCGACGCGGCCTTTGGATCTCAATCCCCACATCAATCCACCACTTTTCCTCCTCAAGGTCTATCACATTGGCATCCACAAATGCCAACACATCATCCAGCGCCGCGAACGTATCCACCTCGTCGCGGGGATCATGCACAGAGCGAGACTTGGTTCCGCGCAGCTCATGCACAAAGTATGCATCCCGTCCAAATGCATACACTCCCAACTTATCCAGCAGCGTGTTCCCCAGAAGCTCGAGGCGGTGCCATGGGACATCCACGGATTGGAAGTGAAACTCACCTTGCGGCCCCCGGGCCAGCGTCATCGCAGTGTCGTACGACGGAGGCCAGTGACCCACATGCTCCGGAACGGCCTCCCTCACTGCCGGCAAAAGGCATCGCTCGTAGTAGACTTTCAGCTGCTCCTTCCCTATGCCCATCATCATCCCAGGCCCCTCCTGATACAGAGCCGGCAGGAACACCCGCGTCACATGCCGGTTGTCCACCTTTCCCAGTGCAAAGTTTGGGATCTTGTTCATCGGCACATACAGCTTGACCCTCTGCAGCATCCATGTCAGTATATCCATCATCCTCACATCAATACATCCACCACTCACCGTCGGGGAGAAGACATACCCCTGCACATGATTCCGTTTCTTCAGAGTCTCCGAGAATGGAGCTACTGGGAATACCGCCATCGCCTTCGTGAAAGGCAGTGTCTTCCCATATCCAATGGCGGAATCGAAGTCTCGCATGATTATGCAGTCCTCCAATGTCGACCTCTCCGCTGCCTGTGTCATATTCAGGACAAGCCTGATGTCCTCGTCATCCTCGTTCTTCGTGCGGGCGCACAGCACCAGGTTGAGGAACTTCTTCAGTTCATCGCGCGACCGGTCCTCTTCATCAGCAGGGACGGCATCCAAAGCTGCGCGAGCTGCTTCATAACGCTGAACCAGGTCCGCAAAAGAGACCTGGACATTGAGCAGGGGTTCATATGGCCAAGCGAGTGGCATGTCAGATTTCTGCTTCCAGATTCTCTACCCAACTCCATTCATCTCTGCCGCCTTTTAATACCCTCACCTCTTTCTTCAACGTCATACACCTGATAGGCTCATTATTCTCCTTTTCCTCATGTCTGCCGTATCTTCAACCTGATCTCCATCCTAATCCTAAACTCCGAAACCCTCATGCACCAGCCGTCCAGATCTCCCTCCTCATCCCTTTGCCACAATTTCTCCCGTGGCGAGACATTCTGCCGAATATTGAATCTCAATATCAGAGTAACTACGATCATGATCTTAAACTATGCTGTTATCACAACTAGTCACACTGACTGAAATAACAGCTATCTTCTGATGATGGCATATTGCACATTGTAGCATTACATATTAATTGGGGTTATAAATACAATTCTACATATCAAATGGGTTATAGTCAGACAGATGGAATATTTAATAACTTATCAGAGCACTACTCTGGTTTGTTTCTGGGTGAATAATTGGACTGGTCAGCAGGATCAAATGTCCACTTTATTGTTGAGCTGAGGATGGAGCATCTTCAACTATAGTGCGACAAGATCAAATCATTGTCCATCATCCATCATCCGTCCAGGAAGGAACACACGATGTGAGTGACCGATCGATCGAAGAAATCCGTCCTGGAGGGAATGCGGCGCAGAGGCGGGGTAATTTAGACGCTCTCTTTTTTTGAAAGGTATCACGTCCACACGGTCCGTCCGGGACGGAACGTTGCGACGCAGCAGCGTGAGATGACCTCAAATATCCTCTCGTCCACCACTCCGTCCAGGACGGACAAACGGCACACAGGTTCACCGACATATGATTCGAATGCCACATCCCAACAACTGACCAGAAAGAAAGTATACAAATGTCTACGATGTACCGCGTCTACACAGTTATATATCTCCTGATAGTTTCCATTCTTGTGTCACTGCAGGGGAACAATCCGGCTGTACTTCGAAGTGTTCCATTGCATGCAAACCCGGCCTTCCCGCACAATCCGTCCACGACGGACGTTGCCCGCCGGCCCTTCCTCATGATCCACCTCGACTCAAGAATTGATGAGTTTCACCTCAGTCGACATGAATAAACACAACCCAGATCAATCTGAAAGTGCTAGATTGGGT